TAAGATTTCTTATTATTATTTTTTAAATTATTTAACTTATTATCTAAAGGATAATCTTTATAGTTTATTTAGCTAGTTTTTAATTAATATAGGGGTTATAATATTATAGCTATAGGTATTTAAGTATTAAGTTAAAACTATTTATTAAGATAATATTAAAGTTAATTCTTTAGTTTTTTCTATTTATAAAGACCTTAAGGTAATTAATTTCTTTAGTAATCTTTTTATTTTTATATTTATAATTAGTTCCTTCTTTATTAATAATATATAGATTTTTTTTTTTCTTATATCTTTATAATATATAAAGCTTATTTACTATATTAAGGGAAATAATATTTATATTTACTTTACTATTTATAAGTATATTAAGCTACTTGCCCTTAATTTATACTTTTAGTTATAAGTAGGTTTTTTAATTTTATTTTATTATTATTTATAAAGCTTTCTTAAGAGTTCTAGCTCTTCTAGCTCTTTACTTATTTATTACTTTTTTATAAATAATATAAATCTTTTTCTTACTTATTTAAGTAATTTATATTATATTTATTATAAATATAGTTTAGGTTATTTAGGTATTTATTAATATTAATAATTACTAGGTATTTCCTATAAGCTATTTTCCTTATTTTATAATTTAAGGTAATATCTTTTTTTCTTAATTAATAAGAAATCTTCCTTTTTTCCTTTTTACTATTATAAATAAGTATTAAAGTTATTCTTTTTTAAATTATTTAAAGATATTTTTAAGGATTCTTCTTTAAAATATTCTTTTTTTATTAGTTTATATCTTAATATATTTTAGTAATACCTTTATTAATAACTTTATCTTCTTTATATTAACTTTATATTATACTTATTATCTTTATTATATAATATACTTAAAGTTTTAAATATATATTAAGGCTTTTTTATATATCTTTATATAAGCTTTTAAGCCTAGCTATATAAATCCTTTATATCTTTATATAACTTAATATCTTATTATATTAATAATTAAATATAATTTCTATTTTTAATATTTTTAATTTAAATTAAGAATAATTATTTATTACTTTATCTTATTAATACTATAAATAGTAATATTATATATATAATACCTATAATATTTACTTATAATTTAAGTAATATAAATACCTTTATAATTCTTTTTTAATTAAATATATTCTTTTAGGGTTATAAGATCTTTTATTACCTTTTTTATATAGGCTTAAATATAAATATTATTATCTTATTTTATAATTATTTTTTCTTTAATAAGTTTTATATATTTTAGTATTTATTATTTTAAAAATAGTTTTTAATTTTATTATATTAAGTATAATTTTAATATTTTAAACTATTTAATTCTCTTTTTATTTAATTTCTTAATATTAAGTTCCTTTTATACCTTAATTACTTTAATATAGCTTAAGTCTTTATAATATTTATTAAGTTACCTTAAGTAGTTTTAATAAGAATATTATTTATTATTAAGTAAGGGTTATATATAATTATTTTATTTTAAATTTTAAGAGGTATTTTTAATTTTTTAAAGGTTTTATTAATACTTAATTAATACTTTAATTAAATTCTTTAATATTTAATTTATTATTTAGGTTAAGGTTAACTTCTTTTCCTTTTTTAATTATTATTATAATCTTATTATATTTACTATTTTATTTTTTCTATATAAGTATTAGTTTTATTATTTAATCTTTAGTTTTAAGTTTTCTTTTATTAAATACTTTACTTATTTTAATAATCCTTTTATTATTTATTTTATTTTCTTTAGTATTTAAGATCTTTTATATTTTTAATATATTTAAGTTTTTTTTATTTAAGGGATTTTTTTTAATTTCCTTTTTTTTATTATAATTAGTATTTTATATCTTAAAATAGGTTATTTCTTTAATATTAAGTTAAGATAATACTTTTTAAAGGTTTCTTTCTTATTAAGAAATAGGTTATATACTTTTAATAATCTAAAATTATAATAAAATTAGTATTAAATATATTATATTTTTTTTTTTAGTTATATTAATTATTTTAATTACTATTTAAGGTTTATTATTCTTTTTTATAATATTAATATATTTCTTTTTTTTAAGTATTAGCTTATATTTTTAATTAATTTTAATAGGGTTTTTATATTTTAAATCTTTATATTTTTTTTTATTATAATTTTAGTAAATAATTTAAATTTATTTTATTTAATTATTTTAATCTTTATTATTCTTACTTTAATATTATAAGATATATTATTATTATATTTTTATTTTTAATTAATATTATAATAAGGTTTATTATCTTATTATTTATTATATTAAGAGTTTTAAGTTCTTTAGGCAAATTACTAATTATTAATTCTAATTACTTAGTTAATATAATTTATTAAGGTTTTAGGTTTATTTTCTTTATATAGCTTAGCTTATATTAGTTCTTTAAGTATATTAAAAAAGAATAATATAAGTATATTTTAATCTTAAGGTAATTTAAATATTAATTAAAGGAATTTTACTTTAAGCTTAAATATAAATTAAGTTTATTTAAGTATTTTAATTTTTCTTTTAGCTTATCCTTTTTTATTAAGAATTTTAAATACTTATTATAAGGCCTTTTTAAAAGCTAGGTAATTAATATATAATATATAAGTTTAGGGTTTAAGGGCTTTTAAGTTTTCTTTAGTAGTTTAGTCTTTAAGAAGTAATTAAAACTATTATATAGTAGTGCCCTTAAGGTATTTTAATATATATTTAGTTTTATTTACTTCTTTTATAAACTAGGTTAAATAATAAAATATAAAGGCTTAATACTAAGTAAAGAATATAAAGAGTTTACTTAAAGTTTTATTAAATATCTTAGGTAAATTAGGCTTAAGGATTTCTTTAGTATCTTTATTATAAATAATAATATTAATATAGTTATATATTTCTTAAAGTTTATTTTAGTTATTATTAGCCTATTAGGCTTAGAGGTTTATTACTTTAGTAAGTATTTAATAAAGCTTTATTATTTTAATAATTATATTAATAATTTACTATTAAAGCTAGATAATATTAAAGTTATTATTACTTTTAGATAAGTTATTATTATTTTCTCTTATATCTTAGTTAGTAAGTAGATTATTATTAACTAAAGTTAAGGTAATATTAGTAATAATATTTTACTAAATAGGAGTAATTAATATAGCTATTATATTTATATTACTTAGTATTTATATAGTATAGTTTAAATAAGAGCTATTAATATATAATAATTAGGTCTAACTATATTAAACTAAGCTATATTAGGTTTATTATTAGCAGATTATATAAGGTATATATTAAGTATTATTAAAATATTATATCTTTTAATAATAAATTTAATATATATTAGGCTTAATTAATATAAAGAAGTTATATTAATAGTTAGTAAGCTAGAATTTATAAAAGTATTAATAAATATATTTTATATATTTATAATAACTTACTATAATAAGTTAGTACTTATATATAAGTTATAAGTCTAATTATAAGTCTTATTAAGTAGCTTATAATAAGAATAAGGAGAAAGCATAAGTTATTAATTAATTAAGGGAAATTTATAGGTTTTATATAACAGAACTACAAGGATTATAATAAGCTTTATTTAATTATTATAGTATACTTAGTAGTTAAGAAGGATTTAATTAAATAGAAATATTATAAGGTAAGGGATTTTTAAGTTACTTGCTTATTAAATATGTTATAACTTATTATATATATTTAATTACTTAAGGTTAATTTAACTTTTACTAACTAACTTATATAAAGTAAACTTAATATAATTTCTTTAAATTCTTAAACCCTGCCTTTACTCTGCCTTTATTTATATTTATATATAATAAAAAGAATATAAAGTACTTATTTTATTTTGTAATTATATTAATAAGCTACTTTTTATACTAGGCTAAGTATAGGCCTATAAAGTTAGTAAACATAGCTGCTTTTTTTTACTATTAAAAGCTAGTTATATCTTATAGCCTTTTTAACTTTTTAAATTTAAATAGTTCTTAAATAATCTAAGCTAGAAATATAATATCTCTTAATTAAGTTAGATTTATATAATTAATTAACTAAATTAGGCTATAGTTAAAAATAGCTATTTTAATAAAATTAGATTTACCTTTTAATATATAGTTTATTATAATAATATAATTATTCTATATATTATATAGAGTTCTTCTTTATTAGCTACTTTTAAAGTAGGCATAATAACTAAATTAAGATTATAGCTAGTTATATAATAAATATAATTATATAGTTATAAGTTATTTTATATAAATATTAAGGTAGTATAGCTATTATATTATTAATAAAAAGGATTAGAAGTTAGATTAGGTAATATACTTAAGTATAATAGATAAATTAGGTATAATATACTATAAAGGTTAATTAAGGTATAGTCCTTTAAGTAGGTTAAAGGAAGACGGTTAATTTAGCTACTAAGAGCTAGTATTTATATTACTTAGTTAAGGTAGTAATTGCGTTATTAAGGTAGATAAACCTTATTTAATTCCAACTTTTATAATAATAGCCTGCTATAAGTATTTTATTATTTAAACTATTAATAAAAAAGCTAAAAGGCTTAATAGCCTTATATATAGCTAAAAGTAAGGGGAAAAAATTGCTTTTTTTAACTTAGTAATTATTTTAATAATAATCCTAGAATTAGTAAATTAAGAGGTTATATTTTTTTTTATTTATTTACTAATATATATCTTTATTTACTAATATATACCTTTATTATTAAGGCTATTCTTTACTAAGAAATAAATTTTTAATTTATTTAGTAATTTTAACTTACTTTAGTATTAAAATTGCATTATTTAGAAGGTATTAAGTATATATTTCTTATGTTTAAATAATACGATTATTTTGCGATGCTGACTGAAGCGGGGTAGACGCGTTGGTATTGCCAGACTTTTGGCACGTGACAGTATATTCGTGTACTAGCTCAAGACCGGGTTATGTCCCACCGTATTTCTTTGCGGAATCACTGTAGTACCCTTGTACCAGATCTCCCCCACAGTCGCGCTATCCAGTCCGCCACCATTAGGACAAACGAAGTAATAGCAGACGATTATAAGACCCGTTGGTTAATGAAACAGTCTTCGAGTTTATAATTCGTGGCTGTCGCCCATTATGCCTGAGCCAAAGATGCATATCTACATGCCACTACAGCATGGGGAGGTCAGAATGTTGCGTTGCCGAAGGACGTTCACTTCCACTGGGGCCGTCAGATGCTCTACCAGCATCAGTGGCCCAGGATCCACACGCACCACAATCGCCCGTGAGATTGGAATAGACCGAGTCCGGCTTACGGACTCTCCCTCTTTCACTGCCCTTTCCTACACCTGGGGAAGCCCGAATCAAGATCATCAGCTCAGACTATGCGACAACACCCTCTTACCGATCACCAAGTCCCTTGCAGAGGCCCTGATCCATGTACTTGACGACATCGAGGATGGCTTCCTCTGGATCGACCAGATTTGTATCAACCAGAACAACAACAACGAGAGGAACCACCAAGTCCCTATGATGGGTGATATATATCGGAGGGCACGCAGAGTTTTCGTTTGGCTCGGCACCGAAGCCACTGGCGCGGAACGAATTGACCGAATATTCCAAGATTTTGAGACAGCCACAGCGACCTTGACTACCGACATGATGCTCATGGATGCTTTCGTCCTCTCACAGGAAGCCTATCTCAACAAGCAGGCCATGATTTCGATGATGAAGTTGCCATGGTTTGAGCGAGCGTGGGTTGTGCAGGAATTTGTGCTTGCCCAGGACCCCATCTTCGCGCACGGAAGATTTCGCTGGCATCCCGACACCATGTTTCTCGTAACCTGCCTATTCCGAGATCTTGGGAGAGAAACTTTCTCCAAGTTCCTGCGTCACGAGATCTCATACCTGCGCAAGAATCACCCTTTCCAGATTATGCAGAACACCAAGGAGGTGCATGAGGACTTCCACCTGCTACTTTCGCGCATGGGCAGCAAGTGCAAGGCTTCTGAGCCAAGGGATCGCGTCTACGCATTTCTTGCGCTGAACAGGGACCCCCGTATTAACATCAAGGCAATGTACGACGTACCTGTACATCGAGTCTTCACTGAAGTTGCCAGAACAATCATTACGGCGACAGAGAACCTGGACATCTTGGCCGTTGCGCCACGCCAACCCCCCAGCATATCCCATATCCCCATCGAATTCCCAGAGGACTATCCCTCCTGGGCTCCAAATTGGTGTTGTGACCGTTTGAGTGTGCCATTGTACTCTCGAGCCAGCCATGTTCCGTTCAACGCTTGTTTAGGCTTGCCGTGGATAGAACAAAACCCACAGCCTGATGAACCGAACCATTTGATACTGCAAGGAAGAGTTATTGCAACGGTTTACGAGACGTCTCCGATCCTGTCAGGAACCGGATCCCGCCAACGGTTAGTCGACTTCGTCAAACTCGACGAACAAATGACCGCTCTCCGTCAGATTTTACGTCGAGTAACAAACGAGTTTCAGCTGACAAGAAAGAGAGTACTTCGTGTTTGCATTTCTGATGGGTCTTTTATACCGCATCTCTCCGCGAGGGCAGTGGCGAGAGACCTTGAGTTTCGACAATCTATTGGGCTCAGCCACGCTAATCTCGAGAGCTTACTCTATGTGCTCAACAGTGAGGAACAACCTGAATCATATATCGATGAGAAATTGCTTCTTGAGGAGTATGTTTTAGTACTTCAGAACAGGAAGTTGTTTGTAACAGCAGATGGTCGGATCGGGCTAGCTCAGAGTTGTGTGAGAGCCGGTGATACCGTCATCATCGCACATGGCTCTGCAACACCGCTGGTGATTCGCACAATTGACGAAAGGAAGCAGGCATTTAAGCTGATTGGGCAATGCTATCTCGAAAATGCCATGTTCGGGGAGGAGTGTGATTTTGAAAAATGGCCAATGTCAAGTTTCTGTATCACGTGAAATGTAGACTCTGTCTCAACTACAGGCTTTCGGAACTCAAGTGGTCAAGTCCATGGGCGCTCTCATTTTTGCCAGGTGATCGATGTGGGCGTACTTCTGCTCCCAGACGATGGCTTTATAAGCAGTGGCGGCGACGTAGGCTATGCAATCTATAGCCTAGACCCCTAGCTTAAGCTTAGTAAAGGGTTCTAAAGCTAGATAATAACATAACTAGTGCTTTTAAAGATTTAGTATATTATTCCTACTTAAAGTGATACTAGCCCGGCAGCAATCATAGTAATGACCCCACTTGGTCATCCCTGGCAACCGTTCTAACGGATACAATCCCATTGTTCCATTTCCAGAGCTTTTTTTGTCTGCTAGGTATAGTATTCGGAACTCAAGACTACTCCATTTGTTAACAGATCTAGTTAATTCAGTCGCTGCTCTCGGTCCGAGCAACCAGCCGACAAGAGCATCTTTGAACGCGCAACTGCATAGTCAAGCAGACATTTCACTACTGGCCGGCTTTCTCCCCTATGAAGAAGGTCGTAGAGAAGAAATCAAAACCATTCAACAGCTCGTATCAGCTATGCAAGCTCAGGTCCCTTGGAACCCTTATTCCATCGTTGGCCTACAATCTAACGACTATGGGCCATTGATTCACATCATCGAGTGGGCCATCTATCGCTGCACCAACGATCTGTTGGGTTCACTTTAAACCTATAATTTCCTTCGATATGTTTCTATCCTAATTTCAGAACATAACGGCCTCGACAACCTGTCCCAAGAATTGAGCTGTATAAGCGGACCAACCACCCGGATTGCCCTCTCAAAGCTTCTAGTCGATGCCACGACTCGTGGCCATTCCAGCGAAGCCCGAATCCTTCTCCAACTCGGAGCTGACCCAAGATCGAAAGAAAATACTTACCCATATATGTCTGTTCTCCAGATGGCAGCAAAACTCCACGATAAAAGTCTTGTGCATGCTTTACTTCAGAAAAAGGCTGACCCAAACAAACACGATCCCCCCATAATGGAGTTAAAATTTCCATTGACATTGGCACACATCGAACCAGGCGGATTGGACGTCGTCAAACTGTTGGTGAATGCCGGGGCTAATGTCAATTGCGGTCATCAGTTCTCTTCGCAGAAGGCTTTCAGAAACGGAGTGACCGTGGATGTTCACCCACACCGCTCCATCTACCCTCTCGAGCTTGCTGTCCAAAATGGAGAGCTGGACTGTGCCGAGGAACTAATTAAGGCCGGAGCCCGTGTTAGAGACTCATGGCCTCTCAGATCAGCCATCAAACGTAAGGATCGCGAAATGATCTGTGCCCTGTTGATTGCAGGAGCAGACCCCAACGGCTGGATAAATGGACTAGGAACTGACAGCCAGTAAGTCTATGGATTTGGAAACATCAAGAACTGCAAATAACACGTATAGTTTGAATTGGAAGCAAACAGCTTTGGGGCTGGCTGTTGAAGTAGCTGACATTAAATGTGTGAAAACCTTGATTCACTTTGGAGCCAAAGCGGATGCCTTAAGTTTCTGGATAGCGATCGAAAAAGATGGCACTGAAATGTTCGATGTTTTGGCCGCTACGGGATCAAGACCTGAGGTTCCCCAACTGGGCATCAGGCACGAACTTATAAGAAAGTCCTTGCCCTATGTTCAGACAATAGACAGAAGAGCCTACCTTTCGACAAGGGTATCTGATAGAGCGGCAAGCGATATGGCTATGATTCATCGCCTTCTCGATGTGGGGAGCGACATCGACGATTTAAGCGCCGTACCATGGGGCTATCATCAGACCGCACTTCAGACAGCGGTCAAATGGTGTCATGATTCTGTTTCCAAGTTTCTGCTGGAAAAAGGCGCCAGTCCTGAAAAACGGGATCCATCTCTCCCAACGCCTTTGCAGTAAGCCTGTGAAGACCTTGCCAAGGGTACGAGGGACTATTGGACGCAAAGGAGGCTTATAGATGTGCTATTGGAGTCTGGAGCCGACGTGAACGCCCCCTCTGCCATGATGATGGGAGCCGAGACGGCTTTGCAAGTCGCTGCAAGATCTGGGGATCTGGATCTCCTTGTTCACCTCACCTCTTACGTTTGGAAAGTCTATATTAAAGCACTGAAGGCTGCCTTGTCTTCTGGCAACTTAATGCTAGTCAAATTCATAACTGAAAAGGAATCAAGCATCGAACCATATTTAAGGCAGTATGTACAACATGACCAAACCCTTTTGAATGCGGCCGCATCGTCTGGGAACTTGGAGATCGTTGACTGGATCATAGGGTTTCATACTGAGACAACTCAGGGGGGCTAGCTCCAATTGGCCCTAGAGGCTGCTACCACAAACGGCCACTGCTTAGTGGCAATAAGGCTTCTCGATGCTGGAGCGGATGTCAACCTAGGAAGTCCGCCGCCTTTTGCTCACAGCAATAGAAGGAGGAGATCAGGAAATGCTCAACCTACTCATATCTCGAGGCGCTGCTGTTGAAGCGATAAACAGCCCCTGCAGCCCCCTGATCGCTGCCATCTGACGAGTTTGGCCTCAAGCTGTTCGCACCCTGTTAGATGCCGGAGCCAATTTCAACAAACAAGTCGGAGACTTGGAGAGATTGCCACTCCTTGAAGCGGTTCAAGACGGTCCGTACAATGTGTCCGGATGCTCTTGGGGTCAGGGGCCGATGTCAACGACTACAGGGACTCGGACTGCCTAGGACTATCTGTTTCGAACAGATGTACAGACATAGTACATCTGTTGCTTTTGTGTGGTGCTGACCCAAATAAACCTTCACCATGGTCTGATGTTAGACCCATACATCTTGCTCTCGATCAGCGACAAGTCGGTTGTGATATTAATATTGTTAAAACTCTGATCGAGTGGGGCGCAGACGTCCATGCCTATTCAGCAATAGCAGGATATCCGCTACAGATGGCTACTGGGGATGCTCGGGACCTGCTTCTACAAGCTGGCGCTCGCCCTAAACAGCTCCCAAACTCATTGAAACCAACGGCCGAACGCGACATATTCACCAAGTTACAAAAGGCAGCGGGTTCAGGGGATACTAAACAGGTCCAACTCTTAATCTCCAGTAGCGAAAATGTCAACGAGCCAGCATATTGGGAAGGTAGTATGACTGCTTTGCAATATGCATCAGTATCGGGCCATTTCAACATAGTACTCTTGCTGCTTGAAAACGGAGCGAATATAAATGCTTAAAGGGCTGTGAAAAATGGTCGTACGGCACTCGAAGGTGCTGCAGAACATGGAAGACTTGATATTGTACGCTTGCTTCTTGAGAATGACAACGAGCCCGAGCTATTGGAGCGGCATTGTCAGAAGGCTGCAGACTATGCGGAGAGTCAAGGGCACCACTTTATTGCGAGGGAACTTAGGGGATGGAGGAGTGAATTAGTAAAGTAGTCTAAACCTGAAGTAAGATATATGGAACAGACTCCAGACAGAAGCTAATGGACAGCAAATTATCCACGCGATGCAATTAACCAAACCTTGATCGGCTGCAAAGCTTGGAAAGCTATTACATAATCTTACAATAGACATATTTAATATCTCGAATGAATTACTCTTGTGATTGCCTGGTCAAACGTATGCATATGAAAAGGAGTGCAAATGAAAAGGGTTTGATGAGCTTCGTTTCATGTTCAGGGTCGGATTTTGCGGCTGACAGTGGGCACGGTCGCTAAAAGGCCTCAAAATGACAGGTAACCCCGTCGCGTTACGTCAGCGTTTCCACTGATTTTATAAAGACGAAGTGCATCCACGTGTAATCTTTTCAAACTCACGAAAATCCTGGATTGCATGTTTAAGGACCATGGCCACCTCTGGAGCTTCTCAATTCCCTCCTTACGAGGGCACAGAAATCATTAGCTTCCAATTCTCGAATTCCACTGTTTCCGGTTCGCTCTCGGATGAGAATACCGAAGTCGGCAGGATATGGGCGGCGACGCTAAAGGCTTATCTCGATCACCCAGAAACCGGCATCGTCTGGTGGGGGGTAGTGCGTGACGCTCCGAACAAAGCTAAGCTGTTTATCGGTAGGTACAGCGAAGCGGCTCATATAAAGAACGGTGCTAACTAGGATGTCTTGAAGATTGGAAGAGCTCAGCTGGTCGAGGTCAATTTGAAGCTAGCCCCCAAGCAACAGAGCTTGCCAGCGCCTGGAAATCCATCACTGTAGCGCCAGTCACCAAAGACACATACAAGTTCACCTCTAGCGATGTCGCCAGAAAAACAGCTTTATCCAGCACCTTCGAAACCGTCTCAGCCCTCTTCACTTTCAGATTCAATGCTCAACTTAGCGCTGGCGATGGTCAGCAATTGGATGCAACTTTCCAAGAAACAGACCGGGCAATTATGCTAAGCCCAGGCGCTGTCGTCGCCAGCTACTCAATTGGAGGATGGAGCTTGGACCGCACATCATACTGCGCGGCGTACCGCTACCTAAACGCTGATGCCATGAGGAATTTCATCACAGGCGATAACAAGGTCAGAGGTTTATTGGAAGGATTGCAGTCTCGCGCTTCAGGCGGCACGCAACTGGAGTTTCTGGAAACACGAGTCTATAAGCAAGGCTGGCAAGGATCCGTCACCAAGACAGAGCCTGATATTCCGACTTTATCGGCTTTTATGGCTGATGCGCAGGCCTTGTTTAAGAGTTTTGACTCGGCTGGGATCCGAGGAGAATAGTGCCCCTCGAGCAAGGCTGGATTTGTGGACTTTGAGGACCAATTCGGCACAGCTCCGGGCTCGGAGGATAGCTCCGATCATCAAAGAAAGGCATATTAGGGGACAGCGACCGAGCTTCTTAATAATGGAGCATTCTAGAAATAAAGATTGTAATTCAATATTATTTCTTCTAGGGGACCTTAAGTCATTTTAAATGATATGGAAATCGTCTTGCTGTGATCGGTGACTGCGAATTCACAATAGGAAGGACGGCTTGTCATTGGTGAAACGGTGAGGCTAACTCCTCATCACCCACTTCGCGCCTCGTAGATTGAAGGGCGCATCGCAAGCCAATGACTCACTAGATTCAGGTGGCATATATATAAGCATAAGTTCTGTTCAGACACTCATTCTTCTTCACTAAGATACCTTTCCATTTGCCTCAAACTCAACACTGGTCAAACCCATCATGACATCTCTTAAAACAAAATTCCAGTCGCGATCTTGGCGAAAGGATCAATTCGTCATCTCAACAGACCCCAACTTATTCCCGATATCTCAACTCTCAAACATCTTCAACTCGAGCGAGTTCTACTGGGCCAGCGCGCTATCACCCGAAGCCTTCAAAGAAGCCCTTCACAACTCCCTTTCCTTCGGCGTGTACGACTCGGCTCAGTCACCCGGCCCAGAATCCCCAGGCAAATTGATCGGCATCGCTCGATGCGTGACAGACTTCGTCACCTTTGCGTATCTCACAGACGTATGGGTTGATCCAACATACCAAGGAAAGGGCTTGGGGAGCTGGCTTGTTCGATGTATCCAAGAAGTGCTGGACGAGATGCCGGATCTGCGACGGGCAATGCTGCTCACGGGAGATTGGGAGAGGTCTGTGCCGTTTTACGAGAAGCTATTGGGTATGAGCTTGGTTGAACCGAAGAGAGGTGAAGGACTTGCTGTTATGGAGAGTAAGGGGAGAGGGCATCCGAGCTATGGGAAGGCAGGTCTAGGTTATAACTGAGTATGAGTCTTTGTTCTTGTGGGCCGTATCTGTAACTAATATTCATCTCAGCGAGTTCAGGCTCAGAAACTCTCAAAGCCGTCTTATCCTTGAAATTCCATATAGCAAAGTATTGTTATGGTTATGAAATTATTGAGTGTTGGAGGAATCAGTGTCTTGCCAGGTCTTATTAAGAAACTATAAAAGTTATTAACTTTTTATTATTTATAATAACTGTGATCGGTATGCAGAGTTCACTTTCTGAACTCCCTTATTCACAATCCAAGGCTTCGTCTGAAGGATTGCATGTATGCCTTAAGTCGTCCTCGATGGTCGGTCACTATCGAGTCAATCGAAAGGGCATGAAAGAACCTCTCGGCACCGAAAGTAACCCGAATCCAAGATCAAAATCACGCATACTCTCATTGATACCGCATCGCGATCAATACACCACATCTACGTAGCACCATACCAAAGACTCTGAAACCATGCAACGCGGCTGTCAACCTGCGCCTTCAACTCCTGTATGACCCTTTCGTCTTCAGTCCCTTCCTTCGGATATCCTGCACTTGACTTCGGTCCCGAATTTGCTTCGAGATAAGCGTCCACCACGCGGCATTGTCGCACGAATAAGTAAGAACAGAGTTGTACCACTACTGCCAACCGGAGATCGGCAAGTCCTGGCGCTGTGCTTCCTTGGACAGCATCAGCGCCATCCTGCAAGGCACCTAGTACGGCTCCAAAGCTGCTGAGTAACAGCAAATGGCATGCAACCACTAGATGTTGCCCCACACTGTTGTCGCATACAGGCTTATTGCTTCGGGTTCCGAGTTCCTCGTGAAGTGACTGCGTCGCCTTTCTGAGTTTGGATGAGCATGATAGCAGTTCAACAAGAGTCTCCCCATTGGCTGCCTCATTTCTGCTAGTCAAAAGAGAATCAAGAACGTTGCTATCACCGGTCGTGTCTCCAAAAGGGTTCAAAAGCCATATCACGACAAGTTTGAACACGGTGTCATTGAGCAACAGCGTAGGCACACGTCGGTCAATATCTCCCAGATTTTGAGATAGCTCCCAGTTCTCGAAGATTTTACGGCTCTTGTTGTAAAGGGCTTGGACTCTAGGTGCTAGTTGACTAAGAGTGGTTATGGCGTTGCTAAAACTGCAAAGTGGTAGTTGTCTCAGTTGCGAGGAATCGTGGGCCGTGTCCGAGAGCCAGTCGCCTTGAATTTCAGGTATGCATAGATCTTGCAGGATGTCGTGAAACCCAAGCTGCATGTCGATTTGGGTGTTGGACATGAAATTTGATAAGTCAATGGGCTGATATTGCGCATGCGTCGTGTCCCACGAGCAGACATCTGGTAGCAGTGCATGACCCAGCCATGCTCCGGGCATTAGCTCCAGATACGGTGCCGAAACCAAGATCGGCTCCGACTCAGACTGGCATGAAACCATGGTTCCAGAAGCATACGGCGGGGTTGATAGCTGACAGCTGTATGTCATTCCAGGTTCATGGATACTCGGATAGCCATCCTCCTCGGGCGTAAGCGGTTGCACGACCGTTTCCCTGCGTCTTCTTGGGGGCCTAAACACTGTCTCGCCCTTGTAGTGGAGTAAACTCGGACGACCCTTGGGGCGACTAAGACTGTACACGCACTGAGTGCCATGTCGAAAGCAACGACTGCAAGCTCCCGTTCTGCTGCCTCCATAAGGAGTACACCTTAGCTTCTGGCTATGACATCTATCACATGACTGCCGACGTGAAGGCGCGGTCGTAGACGTTATTGCAGGACTTGGCGGGGCAGGGGGGACTGATAGATCAATTGGACTTGCGGTTGATGACATTATGCAGTAGTGACAACAGTTAGCAACTAGTTCCGCGAAAAGGTGTGAGAAGTTTCAGGTGTAAGTAAGATACACTAAAGGCTCCCTCTGAGAATAAATGAGCTTAATAAATTTATATCTAAACCTGTTCAAAGTCATTCTTCCATAGGATTGCTTGTATGTAATGGAGTGTCAGAACCTGAGATCATGTTGCGTGTTTTCCCACCTTGGATGCAGATAAGCAGCCACTCACCCACCACTATCCACGTCCAATCCTCTTCTTATCACCTGCATGCCATTTCAATTATGTGTTCCAGTCGTAAGAGCAAGGCTGAGCTGAACTGACTTTTCATCTTGTGTATCCTTTTGTGCTTCTGATGTTATACAAAGAGGCTCAAGTTTTCCCGATACAGGGATTTTTCGTATTGCATATTTGTGAATCTGAGATAATAACAAGGTGGAGGAAAAACGTACATTGTGTGACGAAGAACGTCATGGCACGTACATTGTCTTCCATCCTGCGACGCACGACGGAAGCCGAGATTTTTATGGTACATTCCTGAATAACAGATAACTATCTCGCCGCCTAAAGTTTAACCTTATGGCCAACAAGTAATTGTACAGCAGGCAACTATCTCCTGGGCTTAGGACATTATACTTAGTTTCTGCATGAGGGAATCGCATACTTGGGTGGAATATAGATAGATAATGGTTACTGTCCTAAAATATAGAAAGAACAGGCATAAGTTTATATAGACAGCATGGAAAAAACGGATAACGCGTTGGTTGAGACTTACGATAAGCTTATCGCCTTTCGGGCTTGTTACTTCCGCGTTTCGCTTCCTGACCAGTAGGTCAACATCCCAGCCGCATCTCTTAACAGGATCGACTTCGTAGAGAGTTTAAAAAGACACATTTTAATACAGTTTTGCTACTTAAAGAGTAGTTAGCCTCCAATCTGCTATTCCAAAGGAGCTTTAAGTAATATCTGAGGTTCCTGTTGCATTAGACGTAAGAGTGTGAGCGCTATTAATTCATTAAATACAGTTCTTAAGGTACTTATGTTAGGCATTATATGAATTATATACTAGTTCAGGCCTTACTTGTTGATGTGGTATGTCTTAGTTTATTATCATAGTAGTACAGGCGTTTGTCTGTGTTGCTCTTATATGGAGCTACTTATGTCGAATTTTTGAGTTATACTTAGAGTCCTTCCACCACACAGAATTTAAGACTTAATGCAGAGCAATTTATAATAAGTAAGTATAATCAGCTTAGTGGTGAAATTCATATTACTGTTCAAGCATGCCATGAGTTTTATATATTAAATGCTTTTTTTATTTTGACTTTATATTTGTATTTGTTGCAGATGTATATGTTGCACAGGGTAAGTGTTCCTTATCCACATAACAACGCGATGACTATCTTTAGCATTTGCATTGCGTTTTGCATACCTCTTTTCTCGGGCCTTTGCTGGAGCTTGTATAGTCATAAGGAGCTAAGTGAAATCAGAAATCAGTTTATTTTGGCGTAATGATGTGAGCTTAAGCCCCATGAGAAGCCTTTATTAGTTACGTTTAGGTACACAAGTCCTACTTCTATGAAGTCTACAATGTTGTAGCCAGGGAGTTAGAGTTAGATCATGGTGCCGGAAGAGCACTCTCTGCAAACAATGGGGAAAACCGTGGCCTGATTCATGCTTCCTTCGACTTCCGGGACGTGGGGAGATCCTTTCCCGTTTGATCCGTAGCCCGACTACATGGCCTGGTTGCCACTTTGCAACGACCTATGGGCAACCAGAGCAGCTCAGACCGGGCCGTTGGATCTTGCTCACGCGGAACACCCTTGTCAGGCTGGACCTTTGCGTTAATCACGAGTCTCAGGATTATAATGATATCCGATTCTCTGATTGACTTTTTTCTCATCATCAGACAGCCTTAATTGTTCTCATCAGTTGATGCTAGATCATCTGAAGGCTAACTTGAGTTCCTCCAAAGTCGTGTGAGTAGGTCGCGGAGAGAAACGGTAAGGTTGTCTTAAATTCTCTAGATAACTGCCGAGCCGAGCAGTATAGAGTTACCGGCAATGACCGCCGAACTGCTTGTGCCGGGATTGTGCCTGCAGCAGTCACACTTAAATTAATTAGTGTCTCCCCACTCCTGGTTAATGCTTAGGCGTGCTAATAAGCAGAAGGCAGTTTGATCTAAAGCTTGTCTTATTGTCAGAGGAAAGGATGGCATATATAGCAATAGACTATAACTTTGCAGTAATTACCTATTACTAAGGGACAACTTACTGTTAGATGCATAACACCAAGATAATTCTATAATTTAAAGCATATAATCAGTCTTATTCTAATTATCTTATTTACCTTACTGGTGGGTTGTATGGATTACTAAGTTCAGTATGGTGATTATAAGCTCAAATAACACATCTAGCGGTGAGGCAAAGAAAAGCCAAATCTTAACATAACTTTAATCCGATTTTAAGTTAACTAGGGTTCTGAATCACGGCAATTGTATTGCTTGAGATAGCGCTGCGAAAGCACTCCGAAGCATCCGGAGCCGATGGCCCGTTAAGTGCCTTAGGCATTTCATTATGGCCTCAATACCCTGTGGCAGCCATATAGCAAATATTCGATATTTCCTAAATATAAATACCTATCATCAAGCCCTTGAAGTAAGAAAATCAAGTCAACTTTCTCCAACTTTAAAACAACATAAATCTTTAGACCAACATTGCCATTGCCATACCATCATGAGGGCCTACGTATCGTTGACAGTTTTTTCGCTCTTCTTGAGAGTATCCGCTGTATGTCTTGCTCTTTTAAAATCCCTTCCAATCCCTTTCTCCCACTCGGAAAATCTTCCCATTTCAAGACATCTGACCCTAGTTACATATTCAAATACTAACAAATGTACTTTAATAAATAGTGGAACAAGTGCTATTGCACTGGATCTGACAAAGCTGTCGCTGATACGACCGCAAATACCTGTTGTACAGATGGTGATGGCGTTTCATTCCCTCATACTACAGGTGATGTCAAGGGGCGTTGGGATAGTAGCAATAAGATTTGCGTTTTCTCTGGTCAAGTGCTCTCGCAGAATTCGGTAAGTTCTTCTTGAAACTATTATAGCTTAAGCAAGAGCTAACTTGAGTTAAAAGGAAAACGATGCCACAGCAGCTTTCGCAGCCTGCTGCCGTCCCACTGGAGGTTCAACAATTTGGGGAGGTGCTTGCTCTTAAATGTAGAGTTAATTACATAGCTATGGCAATGCATCTTTGATCAGCTTGTCGCCTGATGCAATTAACCCATATTGAGCACACATATCTCTGACTGTCCTCGTCACAATCATAGATTTATTACAAGAATTGCAAGGGCCATGCTCTTCATCGTCTTCAACCATGTCTTCCTGTCTTGCGATAGCTTCTTCGCCACCGCAAAGAACGTCGACGCCGATGTATCTGACGTGCTACGCATTGGTGTTGAGAAGCTAACCTTGAAGCATAATGAGACGGTTGAGTATTTACTCTTATTCATGCTTGTCACCAACACTTCCTTTACTTTTCAAGAGATTGCAGAGATTTTCTCCACCGATCTCCATAAGCGCGATATTCTTCCCACTGCACTAAAAAATCCTAAGTTTGTCTCCGAGCACTGCAGCGACTTCCTCAGAATTTGTGGCGGTCGCAACTCTGTTGGACAGTTATACTTCCACGTTCTGCTGAACAAGTCGCTCCTCTCATCCAAGGTGGCACATTCGCAGCTCACTTTAAGAATGTTTCTCTATGCAGGATTGAACCTGACTGTGATAAAGAGTCAATCACCGAAGAGTTGCATGATTCTGTTGTAGAGGCTGTCCTTACCAAGCGTCACCTTTTGGGCTATGTCATGCGCAACTGGGTCGATCACTTCCGACATGGCGGTATTATCAGCTCTGACCGAAAGATTAGCCTATCTCAAGGCTTCCGTAATGTCTTCCCCGAGTCTGTTATGTTGACTCTCCTGGAGCGACCTTGCTAGAGCAGACATCACACCCAACAGGATACCATTGAGCTTCACGAACTTGCCCTTCGTACTTGGGAGTCTTGCTTCGGTGAGAAGCACGTCACTGTCCTGCAAAGTCTCATTGCGCTCGGTCAAATTCACGTCAAGTTCTCAATGCCCTCTGGTGCTGATATTTGTGGCTCGCGATACTTCTACCGTGCCGCCAGGCTCGGCGAGATCGTCCTTATTAAGACAAGCACCCTCTTGGGGACCTGCACTCATATGTTCTTAACATGGAATGAGACCATGGCCATCAACAAACGAACAGAGATTATAACCTGTCGCGAGGATATGATCCGGGCCCAAATTGAGATCAGCAAGCACAAACATGGCCGAATAAGTGACGAGGTCATCTGCTGGTATGAGAAGCTCGCCAAGCTGTACATCTACATTCACGAAGAGTGGCGTGCCACCTTTGTTTGCCAGGGGCTCTATGAGATCACTATCATTCGCTAAGGCAAGAAGTCTCCAGAGGCTAGTCGAACTGGCGGTTTTTTCGGCATCCTTGACACCGTTCTCAAGGGTGAAGATGCAGAGAGAGGAATCTGTTAGTTCGAAGAGTTCATCTTCGACGGAAGACCTCGACATCCATGATCACCTCTGCATCGCCATGTTGATCAAGCTCGCTTGGTCTTATCACGCAAGATTCGAACTGCTCTGTTGACGACTTCTCGTGAGATTATGACTAAGGTTCTTGTCGCTTTCCAGCAGGCAAAGATTGAATAACTTTACCTTCGCTTTGAGGACATTCGCGGCCTCAATCCTCTTCTTGGCACACAGCATAATTGAGATGAGCTTGAACGACTTCTGCATCGTCTCTGGAATACCCGCGAGAGAATTCAGAAGTCTGGCTGGTCATCTATCACGGTCTTGGACATTGGAAAGATGCTTGTACACGCCCAGTACGCTCGCAAGGATGTGGCCTGCGCATTTGAGACAGACGAGCTATTCTGCTACAACTTACGCCGCAGTGGTGGTCGTCTCGACGTTGAGACTCTCGAGTTCCCACGTCTTCTCGCTAGTCTCTACCCAGACAGTGGTCGCAAGGCTGGTGCAATGGCGATCCACGAACATGTTCTTCGTGATATGATCTCTTGTAGCAGCGAGTTGTTTCAGGATACATGCAAGGAGACCGTCACTGGTTTGCTGTTGATGTCTTTGAAAGTTGCAAAAGATGTATGAAACTCCATTTGTAGAGTCATTTGCGAGTTCTGAGTTTAGATGCTCAATCAAACCTGATGTAAGAATTGTCTTCCCGACACCTGGGATGCCTTGGCAAAACCAAGTTTGCCCAGATGTATTCAACCAAGTCTGGTACTCCGAGGGATCAAAAAGCCAACTACCAGTTCCGGGCTCTCGAATCTTCTGATATTCGCTCTGTTGCAGACCGTAGTCAACTGTCGTAAGCCAGTCGAGAATCTTGATGTCGTCTTTTCTGGTCTTATTGGTTCTAATATGGGCGACATCCTCCCGTGTTTCAGAAACAAGACAGTGGACTGTTCTTCATTAACTACTAACTACTGACACAGAAGACGGGACTGACTGACCATCGCTTAACAAATCCTTTACTGGGCGCTCCCCTTCCACATCATTTGACTTCACATATTGTAAAAGTTCCTTCGCAAATGCTGCGACTACAATAGCTGCATATTCTTGCCTAAGTTCTATGTAGTAATTATAAGCTCTTAGCCATAGGTCTTAACTGCAAATAATATATCTAGCTTATTATTTAGATAATATATTATAATATCTAATTAATTATTATAATATAAGTACTAATAAGAGAAAAACCTAGATTATAACTTTTTTATCTAACTTTAAGGGATATAAGAAAATTCTTTTAATATATTTACTAAAATAATTTAACTTAATATTATAAATACTAAGGATCTTATAAGATAATAAGGAAGCAAGATAGCGGCATATATGCTAAAAAGAAAGCTTGTCTCTATAGACTACCCTAACTAGTTCTAGGACCAGTAAGGTTTGGGGCTATCAGAAGGTCGTGTCGGTATTAAGTTTATGAGTCAGTCATAAGGTTAGCAAATACACTTCTGGTTTAACACAATAGGCGTGTTCCTGCCAATCTTTGTTCTTGTGCGTATCAGCCTAATTACATACACCTCGTATAACAAGACAAGGAAGGTGATTCACAAGACCCGCAGGCTCCATCTCAATGCAAAGAACATGGCCTCCAAGATCTTCGTTGAGTTTGTTTCGTGATGCAGCGTCTTTGATCAACTTGTCGCCTGATGCAATTAGTCCATAGTGAATACACATCTCTCTGTCTTTCCTCTTTACAGTCATAGATCTATCACCGAATCAACAAGGGTCCTGCTTCTCATCCACGCACATATCTTTATCTTCAGGATCCCCGTTGGAAACCGGATTTTCAACATGTTCGTATGACGACTTGAACAATACATCTTTGAGAGAATCGTTCCTGAGGGATGCCGCAGCAAGCCTCGACCACTTGCGATCTAGTTCTTCAGATAATCTGGTATCTTGGTTCCGAACAGATTGTGTTGCGTTTCCAGTAGTGTCAAAGCCGTCAGCAGTGACTGAGGTGGGTTATTGAGTGACCCCGTTCGTTCAAACTTTCCCTGGCCATGTACCTTGCCGGCATCCCACTTCACAACTCCTGGATATTCACCAGAGGATGTACTGACAAACTACGTCTCCAAGTCGGATCTTGTTGGATGGAACGCCGCCACCGATGCCTACCATGAGGCCGACCTTGATGGATGGGAAGGTGGTGACGAGATTGCTAGCAACAGTTGCTGCTGGGACGTTTCCGGTCATAACCTTTGGTAAGCAAGTGATGACAATGTTGTGAGGCCCGATAGACCCAAGAGTGTATGCATTGCTATCGTTTCGTGGCTTCAATAGTGATGGGTGCTGCTGATCGAGCATGGCTGTAGCGGCGGTTAACTCCTTGGGCAGGGCACAGACCCATCCCACGGTATAATCATTATGCGTAAATACATTATTACTATTCTCACGTTGACTCATCAGAGCTTCTGGCTCTGAGTATGCCAGGTGTATGTGGATAAATTCAGCCGAACTAGACAGAAAATATGCGGAGAAAAAGAAACAAGAATCAGCACAGCGCTTACGGACTAACTAGTCCGTGCCATATGCCGACCCTCTTCACCGACCAGCAGCTTGCACATGAGCCCTAGTATTCTTATACAGGGGTTTTACAGCCTGGTTCTCGGCCTTTGCTTGAGACATGTTCAGGCGCGCTAAACTGAAGCTGTCGTACCTAAGAAACACAAGAAGTGATACTAAGATTTGCAAGCTAATGTTTTCCCATTCTCCCTGTATTTACTTTAAGACTATTTACGTTGAAACTCAAACACCGCACTTATTTGTTATCGAAACGGGAAACAAGTACAGAGCCACCAAGGCTCTTCGTAGCATAGTTAAGGATACCATATCGATGTCCAGGGAAGAACTGCCAATCATTACCAAGCGAGACCGTAGACCCAAAGTTAGTAAAGCTGTTACCATCGGTACTATAACTGAACACAGCAGATCCAGCAGCACCAGGGCGGATATCAGCGGTGACACGAAGATACACCTTGCGGAAAGAAACGTTGTTTTGTCTTGCTGAGACAGTGCCTGTTGACTTGGTCGTCCAGTCGGTGTTCATACTCAGGCCTGTGTTGAAGACGAGGTTGAAGTTGCTTCCTTCGCGCTCAATGCCGATCCAAGCTGATGAATCGCGGAGAACGCTGAGACCAGTACGATCGCCGTCGGCCATCTTGGAGAAGTCGATGAGGACTGTACCGGTTCCTTGAGGGCCACGGATTCGGTGAGTGAGGGTGTTGCGAGCTTGATACAGGTCCTTGGTAACAGTGACGGTCTTCAAGGTCAAGCCGTTGTTGACAGTAAAGCTCTTGGTATCAGGATTATGGTTCCACTCCCAATCCTGTCGAAGGTTTGGTCCAGGGAAGGTATCTGTGCCAATAGGGCTAGCAACAGTACGCTTAGGAAGCGGGTAGTCATAGTCGCCCCATTGACCATTGACGAGGGTGATCTTGGGGAAACCATCGCTGCCCCAGGTAATAGGTGCCAAAGCCGGTGCTCTTCCGCCAGGGTACATGTCGACGAAAGCCATGTAGTACCAGTCGCCCCTGGGTGTTTCGACAAGACTACCTTGGTGAGGTGCTCCGGATCGAGGAGCAGCAGCGAGTTTGAGATTATCGGCGATGATGCGAAGATCGTAAGTTCCGAAGGGACCGTTGCTTGACTTGGCGATGTATTGTCCTGTTGCGGGTCTGGTTAAGAAGATGTACCAGTTGTTGTCTTTCTTGTACAAGCGCGATCCCTCGAGGGTAAGAGTGGATGGAGGTGAGAGGACAACTTGTTCCTTGACCTCGGACTTCATGTCCTTAGAAAGCTGAGCGATATGAAGGTCACCACGTCCGTAAGCCACGTAGGGAGTGTTATCTGTATCAAAGTGAAGGCCAGCATCGTAATAGCACTTGTTGATGGTTGCGATCTGAGACCACGGCCCAGTTGGGCTTGAAGCACTGTAGACATAGGTCTTGGAGAACTCAATGCAAGCAACAAAGTAGAACTTTCCATCGCTCTCTCGATATCGGAGGGAAGAGGCCCAGATTCCCTTGACGTAAGCTCGCTGTCCATTCTCAAGGCTGTATTTGGGGGACCAGTCAAGAACGGGAACAGAGTGACCAATATGCTCCCAGTTGACGAGATCATATGATCGAAGGACAGGAGCACCGGGAGAGTAGTGGAACGTTGAAGCGGTCATAAAATACGCATCTCCAGCGCGGGTGACTTCATTGTCGGGAAGATCTTCCCAAACAACAGGATTGGTGAATTTCTCTGCCATAGTGGCAGCAACCGAAAAGAGAAGACCAAGAACGGCACGCATTTTGAAGCCGTAAAGAACTAAAGAGCGTTGTTTAACAGAATCCATCTAGAGCATTTCTCTCGCAACTTATAAGAAAACGAGGGACATTCCTTTCTGGAGTTTTGACATGAAACGATTGGCGCGCTTTAGCTGAACAAGGATCAGCGGTCTACCTACTTAGAGTTCTCACGGAAATACAATCGCCTCTAGAGCCACGAGTAGCAGCACGCCAATGTTTATTGCAGGGTTGTCCCCGCATTATGCACGAGGTGCAACTTCAGGCTGAAACAAACGTGGTCAAACAAATCAGCAGACGCTTCATTTACTTGTTACTACTCCAATAATTAAGGGGAGCTGAAAGCCATAGCTAGGGTTCGGTTGGCCTATTAGCCTAATTTGGGCGTGTTTTATATGGATCGCTTAACGGATGATTGGCACTTGCAGCATTCGGCATCTGGTAGATGTCATCATGTCCGCTTCTGACAGACGGAATGCCTCTTCCGTTACCCCAGATGAGCAAAGATACAACAGAAGATTTCTGCTCATCTCCTCCGCCACTGAAACATAGCCCAAAGTGTCTTCTCGTATCCGTGCCAATCAGCGAGGTCGCAGGAGATATGTTATCTGTTTCGAGTAAATGATTCGCCTTATTCCGAATATCCGGGTTACTCTTCCTTAAACAGCTGTAGTCTGACGATGCGCGCAAATGGTAGCCTCAAGGTCGGTATTAAATATGGCTTCATGTCCGCATACTCGTTATGCGCGCAAATTGTTTGTGGCTATCTTACGAAGAGATCATAGCCTATTTGTGTAAATACGATATTCGCTCGCTTATCACTACTCAGCCCATCGCTATCAGGGTCCTTAAATGGATTTGAGTTGTTACCTTCCTTATATGTGGTTACTGAGATCTGCATGTCAGCATAGGGATCAGATATTTAAAGGCGACCTTGAGCAGCTTATAACAGTCCCATTATAGAATTACCATCCTTCAAGAGCCTCAGTTGGCAAGTCATTGACTCACAGCGACAGCTATCTCTTGAAACACCTTCAAGATGTGGTTGACTACCCCGTTGCTGTTCGTCAGCACCCTCCTGGGCCTCTCTGGCGTTGTCCTCGCTGACAACCCCATTGTCCAAGACATCTACACCGCAGACCCAGCACCAATGGTCTACAACGGCCGTGTCTACCTATTCACCGGCCATGACAACGACGGCTCCACAGACTTCAACATGACAGACTGGCGTCTGTTCTCGTCAGCAGACATGGTCAACTGGCAGCACCACGGTGTACCCATGAGCCTGAAGACTTTCAGCTGGGCTAACAGCAGAGCCTGGGCTGGACAGGTCGTTGCCCGAAACGGAAAGTTTTACTTTTACGTTCCGGTCCGCAATGCCAAGACGGGAGGAATGGCCATTGGCGTGGGCGTCAGCACCAACATTCTCGGACCCTATACAGATGCCCTTGGAAAGCCATTGGTTGAGAATAATGAGATCGACCCAACAGTCTATATCGACACTGATGGCCAGGCCTACCTGTACTGGGGTAACCCTGGCTTGTACTATGTCAAGCTCAACCAAGACATGCTCTCCTACAGCGGCAGTATCAACAAAGTCCAGCTGACAACTGCTGGATTCGGATCTCGTCCAAACAATGCCCAGCGCCCTACTACCTTTGAGGAAGGACCTTGGCTGTACAAGCGAGGTGACCTTTACTACATGATCTACGCCGCGAACTGCTGTTCCGAGGACATTCGTTACTCAACTGGACCCAGCGCCATCGGTCCCTGGAATTACCGTGGTGTCGTAATGAACAAGGAGGGTCGAAGCTTCACAAACCACCCAGGCATCATAGACTTCGAGAGCAACTCGTATTTCTTTTACCACAATGGTGCTCTTACTGGTGGCAGTGGTTATACCCGCTCCGTGGCCGTCGAGAGCTTCAAGTACGGTTCCAACGGTCTCATCCCTGAGATCAAGATGACCACGCAGGGTCCAGCTCAGCTTAAATATCTGAACCCATATGTCAAGCAGGAGGCCGAGACCATCGCTTGGTCCGAAGGCATCGAGACTGAAGTCTGCAGTGAAGGTGGTCTCAACGTTGCATTCATCAACAACGGTGACTACATCAAGGTCAAGGGAGTCGACTTTGGCAGCACTGGTGCAAAGACATTCAGCGCTCGTGTCGCGTCTAACAGCAGTGGTGGCAAGATTGAGCTTCGACTTGGCAGCAAGACTGGCAAGTTGGTTGGTACCTGCACGGTATCTACCACTGGAGACTGGCAGACTTACAAGACGGTTGATTGTCCCGTTAGTGGTGCTACTGGCACGAGTGACCTCTTCTTTGTCTTTACTGGTACTACCTCGGACTATCTGTTCAACTTTAACTGGTGGCAGTTCAGCTAAAGGACTTGAGATGCGGATGGTATGAGAGTATGCACTTCTTGTAGATATTAGTCTGTTGGACTATAGTACATAACTTGAATTGATTGCGACAAGTAGCCATTTGCCTCCAACTCCAACATCACAGACCTCCTACTTCATGTCTTTCATATTATCCGGTAAAATGATTCGTGTCATCTCATAGCAACGCTCATACTCAAACCAGACGCAGTTGCAGTAACCCAATATGATATAGAGGCTGTGCATGAGATTGCTGACAGCTTAGGTGACATAAGGCTGATAAACAGTACCATTTTGCTGCGCCTCCCGCAAGAGTCGCTTGTTGGAGCGGCTGAGCCAGATCTTCATGACGATAGCGCAAGCGCTAGAAGTCAGGCCGAAGGCCATCATACCGATGAAGGCACTGATGTAGCGAGGCTCCTCCTTTGTGACGAACATGAAAGGAGCAGTGAAGTTTCCTATCAGATACTGTTAGCAGTGATGAGAGAAGCTTTGTCAAGACAGACTTACCGATTTGAGACAAAAGGTTGCAAAGAGCAACTGAAGCAGCTCGCTTTTCAGGGGTCTTTGCAAGAGCACCTAAAGAATAGTCAGTATTGTGTTGAAGTAGTACCTTACTTCGGATAACATACCGCTGACGTAACCCATGATGAGAGGGTTGGCGATGTACATGCCGCCAACGTAGATGAAGGAAGCTCCATATCGGGCCTGGGGGTTGGTGGTGGCTAAGCAGACGATGAAACCAATGCAAGCAACTGCAACAGGGATGGCATAATGCAGACCGCGCTCCTTGACCCTGTAATACGAGTATTAGCAATTGTTTGGTGCAGGATGTCCGTTGAGACTTACTTGTCAGAGTGCCATGCGTTGACATATGAGCCGATAGCAGCGAAGATATAAGGAGGCGCAGTAAGAACAAGGGCAATGACGGAGCTGTATCCCCAATCGGCAGCCAGACCACGAACAATAGAAGGATAGAAGTTGGAGAATCCGTAGGCAGCAGATATGGTGATGTTCATGAGGGTAAGGATGTAGAGCTTGGGGTCGCGAACACTGAGCTTCAATCCTTCCCAGGCACCAGTCTTGGCCTCGGTGGTTGAGGGACGATCAGCAATGACACGTGCAGCAGCAACCTTTCGCATGTCCTCGGTCATAGTCCACATGGCGCTGCCGGTCGTCGAGTCGGGATAATCGGGGATGAACCAGATACAGATCATGGCAGAACCAGCACCGGCGGTAGCGAGGATGATGAAGAGCCACTGCCAGCCAGCAAGGCCATGAGCCTTCTCGAGAGTGGCGTAAGTGGCGGCAGCGATGAGACCGGCTGAGCAGAAGGCGATGGTCTGAGCTGAGTAGAGAATTGCCATGCGGAAAGCGACTTCCTTTCGGGTGTACCTAAAAAGATATGTCAGCACGAAATTTTATTGGTATATCAGAAGCAAGAGACGTACCAACAGCCAAGAAGGTAAATAGCGCCAGGGAGAAGAGGTGCCTCAACGAGACCAAGAGCAAATCGAACACCCATGAGTCCAGAGTAAGACTTGACTCCGACAGTAGCGACACTGACTCCAGACCAGACAATAGCCATGAGACAGAGGTAGAGACTGGGCCGGATCTTGGTAATCAACATGTTACTGGGGAGTTGACCGAGGACTGTAGAGGTCAGCATTATCCGAAATAGTCCAAGATGGAGATAAACGTACCATAACCGAGAGAGAGAATAGAGACAGCCGAAGAAAAGTTTGCTCCAGTAAGGTTCAGATCGGCATCAAAAGTACTAAGTCTCGCATGACCAATCGACGCCCTGTCAAGGTAATTGAAGAAGTAAAGACACCAAACACAAGGCATGAGAGTAAGGTCAAGACGCCGAACAATCTTCTTCTCCAGCTCCCGCCAGTTCGGAATGCCAAGAGCGTCAATCTGCTCCTCAGGGCTAGGAAGACGACCTTCATTCTTGAGATACCCCTCCTCTACCATACCGAGTTCCTTCTCGATGGCAGAAGCGGAATCAGCCTTGTCGTCGATGGGAGCCTTGACATCAGATGCAGGGACCTGAATGTCTTGCGGCGGCACATCACTGCCCGCTTTCTCATTCGGGGTCGTCATATCTTGAAGAATAACTGGAACAAATAAAGAAATAACGACTATTGAAATGGTTGAGAAAGGGAGGGCTTGTGATGTTCAACCAGGTCGAGAGGCTGCGTAAACGAGAGAGAAAGCAAGATCAAGACGCAGGTGGATTGCAAGTTTTATAGATGAGGGAGACACGAGAGAAAAACAATGGCGATGGGAAAACCCCGCATCTCTCCAATGTCGGCATGGCTGGGCAAGCTGGGGAAAAAGTCGTGTCCCCAGATGGTGTATGTGTGAGCCAAGAGTCCGGGGCAAAAGAACAATCTCTTGTCTGGCTCATGTTAAAACTGGAGAAGAAGGGTTCTGGGGCAAAACGGTCTCGCGTGCACAAAAAAAAGCACACAGACTGGGCCGGACCCCAGATGAATCACCAGAGATCGGCGGTGTCAAATCGAAATCAGATCACTTGCAGTCTATCGTCCTTCATACTTATTGTTTTAGACTTAGATTAATACTCTACGGTAATACCTTTGTCGTTAAAGAGGCTGAAAATGAGGCTCTTCTTAACAACGCCGCATTATCGGGCCGTGGTCAATAGACCAGTCTGGATCACTTTAGTCTCTTTTAAAAATGCCTATAACAATCTCGTGTGCTATTATTATTCCACGCTTTATTCAATCTGTCTAAGGAAAACGGAGAAAGAATTCTCTCGTATGTTTTGGCTCTAGCTAGCCACGCGCCAAGCTCAATAAATCGCAATGCGTTCATCATATTCCCCGATTATTGCAACAATTTTTAACTTATGGAGGGGGGGAAAACATCAGCTCCCGTCTCTCCCGTTTATTCTGGGCATGTTCTCCAAAAATGCAGTAAAAGTCCGAGTCTTCCCGTGCCAAGGGCGGAGAGTCCATTGCTGAGACCTGCACTGTAATGCTCCGGGTATCACTACCCACTATAGTGGATTATTCCCGTCTCGGCACTACTCCACCATCATGTCAGGGCCAAGCATTATGGTGACCAATCTCGCCAATTTGTTGTTTTGAGGTGGGAAAAGGTTATTCTTAAGCTTGTTCAGGACCTTGGCATATGGGGCTTTCCTCTACCCGCGGGATTAATCCTTCGCCGATGTTACTCCGAGTCCTAAAGTTTGCCGTGCCCAGCCAATCCCGCGGGAGATTTGCATTCGATTACTTAGTAAATACCAAGGAATCTGGTATTTCTCGGAAGCAATTCTGAGATCCTGTTATATGTACGGTCTCGAATACGTCCGAGGAAGTTTAAGAGTTCTTTTTCTCATACGATTGAGAGTTCTCTGCATGCAGCTCGCGTAACCACAGCGTATCCCCGCCATACTTACAGAGCGTTTACAGTGGCTAAAACGCTGCCTCGACCGCTACATTTTTCGCATCATCAGTTGAAGTAGACACATCCGGCACTTGTTTTCTTGGCTTTGTTCTGTCCTTGGCAACTCTGTAGCCAAACTCGGATACTCGTTCTCCGATGCCAGTGCCGAGGTGCGTCGAGTAAGGAGCGTGAGATGGTGACGACTAGGCAATTGAAGCTGCGAGGATTTCACTAAAGTACAGCAGATGATAGTACAACAAAGATGAACAAGGACAATAAGAAATAGTGCCCGATCCGACGAACAGGCTGTACAGCAAAGATATATGGGCGAGATAGAACCAAGCGTGCATCCTTGGCTTCCGATGTCATTCAGCTGTTTTGTTGGAACCTGGGAAAGTTCATGCGTCCATCGCCCATGACTCCCATTCATAAGACGCAAGCATGAACGGACCTACGCCATTCTGTCCATTCTCCAACTTTGGTCTGCTGACGTAGTACTGATGCTGTCAGCATGCTTCTGCATTGTGAGCGTTATACTCACTTCAAAGGTGACATTGGAACTAGTCAAACCACATTCAGCGACTGTGCCATTCAGTATCAACGACCCGTCTTCGCCTTCAGTGACAAAGTTTTCAATCAACCTTGTGAAGGCGTCTTTCGCAGTCCCGAGATACTCATCTGAGTCAAGGTATCCCAAATCAACAGCTTTCAACAAGCCCCATGTAAACATGGAGGAGCCACTACTCTCGATGAAGTTCCCTTTGCGCTTGGGGTAAGGTTCGTTCATGACTTGCCACCAGCTGCCAAGATCTGGATCGCGGGAGTCTTTCAGACCCCGTGCGACAGATTGAAGGTACCCGAGTAACTGGTCATAGCCGGGATGTGACGTGGGGAAGTACTGCAATACCTCAACGAGGGCCATGAAATACCAGCCAAGAGCACGTCCCCAGACATTGGGCGCTCGGCCTGTCTCTGGATCAGCCCATGATGCTTCGCCTTCAACCCAGCCGTGTACGTGAAGACCTGTTGTCTCGTTGATTGTGTTCTCGTGTATGAGCTCGTATTGAAGAAGGATGTCGTCCCAAGCTGTGTTGTTATCCGAGTCATAGAGATGCGTCCATCTGGCGTAGAATGAATCTGCCATGTAGATACCATCCAGCCACATTTGATCGCGGAAGAATTGCTGGTGCCTGTAAACTGTTGAGCTGCTGTTGCGACAATGATCCATGTGTTTCGCTCACCAAAAGCCCCCGGAAGGAGTGCGGGGATAAGAGTCCAACATGCGTCTGACGGTGTTGGCGGCTGTCTCATACTTTGACTCTCCGGTCTTATTGTGAAGATAGAGATAATTATTTCCCATTCGGTACTCATCAAGGATATACCTGGATGTGTTGAGACCTTTGATGGAGCCATCCTCTTGGACAACAGGGCCATCAATCTGACCGATGTACCAATCAAGATATTTCTCATCCCCAGAAAGCTCGTAAGCTTTTTCGAACCCAAGATAAAGAACAGCATCTTGATACCCAAGGTCCGGTTTGACGCCCTTCGCGATCATGGTGTCTGCCATCTCTGTCAGATAGGAAAGGCCATATTCAGCTCCGATGAGCATGACAATAAGAGACAGCGTCAATGGCCGCAAAAAGGTACCCATGATAGAGATCTCTTTAGTAAATATTCTTGATTCACTTTATCGAAAAGGATATTGTTAAATCCACAAACAGACGCTCCACAAGAATGAGGCGTCGTCCGACCCCATCATTCAGAGCTAGTCTCCCAGCTCATATAACATTAAGATGGAATTACCAACAAGGCAGGTAGTAATTCCCAATCGTCATACTGTTGGTTACTTAAGAGATATGTGTGACTATGCACTTGTGATCATTTTCTTGTTTCAGAAAGCCTTGTTTCTTCATGCCTTGTGAGGTCACCAATGAGGGGAAGTAACATGCAGCGGGTTGCATTGCAGCGTCTTGCCAATGAGAGTCTAGGTATATTGCCAGGAATAAATCCTTATGCCTAAGAACATCTGATACGTTTCTGTCACGGGGCGGTTATCTGGTCAATGTCGATGAATGTTGATGAAGCCTTATAACAAGACTGATGATATGATGTAAATTGGTTCCTTAGGGTAGCTGGAGAGGATGTTGCTATTAATAGTAACACATCATCATTGCCGGTCTATAGCATAATCTCAGATGTATCACAATCTCTTGCATGATGATTACTTACTTTTTCTCCTTTGCAACCGTTTAATAAAATTAACAGACGACCCACTACTATAATGAGTGCTAATAGAGACTTTCATTGAGACAAGATACACGTAATCCCATGATCCTTTTACAGCTCATGAACTTCCCGAAGCACTTGATTATAGGCAATATGATCATCGGAGTTGGAAGCTTTTTCACAATTTAATAGATATCAGAATAGGTGATGTATGTCGCCTTGTAACCAACTTCCAATATCACACAGAAACGTGTGACCTAGCTACTGCTTCAGAACCAATTCTCATGCTTCACGCATTGTAGTAGCACGCAAAAGACTGAGCCAGGTTCGCTGCAGTCCGACACTTGAAATCCCCATCATATCGCATCTGATCCAGATAATCATTGCAGTTCTTGCTCTTGTAGATGTTGCACAAGCACCCTCCAGCCTGGCACTCTGCGATCAACATGCTAGATCCGTAGTGATAGTTGTAGCAGTTCGTCTTGCCAGCATAAACACTTTGCGCCCAGGTCACATCAACTTGACCAGAGTATGACTTGCATTTGGTGTCGCTGTAGTAGTTGATCTGCATCTGCTTGGCTGCCGCAGCCGCGGAGATCAGAGTGGTGAGGACGGAAGCGGTTGAGAAGTGCATCGTTCTGGTTTCTGCGTGGCGCGTTGTTAGTCACAAGAACATGTGGAGGAGGCGTTGATTGGAACGCGTAGTGACCTACAGATGAGGGTTGATACGTGGTGGGATGAAGATCATTTACTGAGTTTGTTTCTCGGCGGAAAAGACCCCGGAGATGTTGCTTTTATATACATCTCCGCCCTCTGGAACGTTTTCGCATTTATTAGATTTGCTTGAACTGGGGCATGGTTGTAATCTTTACAGATGCTGATGTAAGTATAGACAATGGTTCCACTGCATTTGAGAATAATGACAAATTTCTGTGCGTACAAGGCACGGATTATCCAGTAAGAGGGGATAGGTCAAACGGCACTCACTTCGGGAAGAAAACGTCCGGTACGAGTTCAGATCGCCAGTCTCGACCGGGCCGCCTGCATACACGAGGTGGATATTGTCTTAAACAGACGTTACATATTGCCTCCCATCCTATTTTGGAAGCTCGGATGAACCAGGGCTGAACTTCTATCTCCACTAATAGATAAGGTTCTTTTATCGGTACTCATTACCGCAGTCACCCATGGCCTCAAACATCTCGGCTCTGCTACTCCGCGTCAACACCTCCTCAATGACTCTTCGGTCATCGTCATCCAAGCTCCAACCGAGGGTAGTAGCATTGTCACTTGTATGCTCACTCATACCAATCCGCGCCCCAATAATGACTGCTCCGACGTAGGGAAAGTCTAGCACCCAGCGCGTAGCTATGTTGGAGATATTGACTCCGTGTTTTGTAGCGATATTGCGTAGGACGGCAAGCAGTTCTTGGAAGAGAACCCAGCCGCCCCAGCTGCATATCATTCCGTAGTACTAAATCATCAGTACAATAATAACACAAGAGGGTGCTTTCTTTACCTTTCTCTGGCTGGGAGTAATGTTGGTATCGTAGACATCTGGTTCCGGCTGATTGAGCCACTTATCTGCGATGAACCCGCCGCACTGAAGAAATGATTTGTTAGTGGTTACATGTTCGGCGAGTATATCAGAAGACACTCACTAAAGTCCCATATGTTAACAGCTTGATATCATGTCGAGAGCATGCATCTGACATCTTCACGGTAGGCCTTGAGTCGATCAACGAGAACTGCATCCAATCAGAAAAAGCTTTATCAGTGTCTGCTCAAGTACCAACCTGTACTTGATTCGTATATATCTTGACACCACTTTCGACAACTCGTTCAAGATGTTCTGTATCAAAATTGCACAAACCAATCCGGGCCACTCGCTTGTCTTCTGCTAAATATTGCAACGCGTCGATATACTGCGGATTATCCCACTATAGAATATGTCAGTGGGAATAAGAGAAACACGTGTCAAGACTTACAAGTTGCCAATGGAATTGAAGTAGATCGATCACATCTTGCTGTAATCTATTGCATCTCTCGCTCACATTCGCTTGTACTGCTTCCCGAGAAACAGTCATGGGATGAAACACACAGTACTTTGTTGCAGTAAACATTTCGTCTTTGTGCGGATACAGCGATCGAAAACGTCCCTGTAGTCGTGTTAGTCAACAGTCACAAGCCTGGTAGTATCGATTGAACTTACATATAAAACTTCGGCGTCACCATAGTGGTCTGCCATGTCGAATGCAGTGAAGCCATTCTGAACATGTGTAGAGAATCCTTCAACGATCTTGGACATCTGGGCAGAGCCCCAGGCTGGGCTTGACATCTGCCATAGACCTGAAAAGATGCGAGGAAGGGTTCTGTCACCAAGTTGGAAAGTCTCCGTGGCCTGGGGAGGCCTGGCCAAATCTGAAGGTAGCCCATTCAAGGATGATTGCTGGGAACTTGGGATAGGAACGCCCAGTATGTTTGCTGTTGTGAGCATACCTCTTCCATAAGGGAATTCTATACCAGTATCCCTTAACGTCTCTTGACACTGAATGAGAGACTGAAACAGAGTTTGGATAATGGTTCGTTCTTGTGAGGAAAGCGCCCGGGCTCCCGAGCTCACAGAAAGGCTCTTCTTCACAGCTGTCATTGCCTGAACCAAGTCGCCATCTAAAGAAGCTAGGAATACGCGGAGCTTCTCTCCCTCATCTTCTGGTGACTCGAGAGCGAGCTGAATGCCGTCAACAACCAGTTTGTCAAGAATAGAAACACCCTCAAACGCTTGCCCGGACCCAAGCATACATCGGACAATCTTTTGGGTCTTCTCTAGCCCCTCAAGATCGAGAGTGGCGGATTGAGATTTGGATGACTTTGTCTGGGTCTGAGCAAGGTATTGCCGAGTTGCGTCTTCAAAACTGGCGGTGATATTAGGGTGAGATGCCAGCAGCGAGCGGATGATAACCCTCAGGCCATCAGGAGGTAGGTTCGCTATAACGTTATCCGTCATCATATTGACGTGGGCCGTATTGCTGCTGCCATTGCGAGAAACGGCCATTGTGAAGTCTTGATTCGAATTGAAAGGGTTTGAAGAATACCGCACTGGCTGAATGTCTCTGTAAATCGTGAGGTTGAAGATAACGAAATTACTAGTCTTGATAAAGACTGATATCGGTGCTTGAATATGACGACTGGGGAAAAGACCGCCGGTGTTCAAGGCTATCATCGGCGTCCAAGAAAGCGGCACCGGCGTTTTAGACACAGGCTAGAATGCCGAGATAGCCGGGCTCATGATCAGCTAATCGCTTTATCGGCTTCTGAACCTATCAGCAGCACCGCCTTTATCGAGAGCATCCACTACGCTAGTTACCCCAGATTTGGTGGCAACCACGATTGATTGGGCAGGCAGCCATTGGCTTGGTGACGATTCTTCAACCACGGTCATTCCAGAGCGAGGTGCAGAGCACTGAATGAAGCACGCATCAGCACATTACCAACATGTCAAGTCCATCTCTTCAGAGTGCTAATGCGTGTATACAATGTCGAAGAGTTAAGATGAAATGTCGTCCTCTGGGACAGGACACGTCTAAATGTGAACGTTGTACCCGCAGATCCCTTGATTGTGTATTCAGAGAGCATCGTCGAGGTCGCAAACCGGGCACGAAGTAGGTAGGGCAACATAAATGAAAGCTCATATCTAACAAGGGGCACAGAATCTCAAAAACAAAGAAGGCATCTACCATTTCTCCAGAGTCTGCTCCAAGTCTGGAGAGTCCAGTGGCGGCAAGGACCCAGCTTTCAGAAATTGAAGATGACGCAAACAACCTGCAACCATCAGGGTTACTTAATCATCAGGCCTTGGAGGGTAAATTCTCTCTCGGAAATATTCTTAATGCGGATCAGGAGCCTGTGCAGCGACAGAGAAGCCGCGATGAGTCACTTGAGGATCCTATTGAGCTTGGGCTGATTACTCCGTCACTAGCGAAGTCTCTTTTCGACAGGTCGGTCAAAGGTCATATAAGTCATAGTGTGATATGCTGACCTCCAACCAGTTTCATAACGGTTTTAAACCCATACATCAGCCAACTCGATCCCCATCTCCATACATTTCCCTACGTCCGTTCAAAGTCTGCGTTTCTCCTGAGTTCCATGCTGGCCATGGCAGCTAAAGCCTTCAGCCATGTTCTATATATGAAGCTATATGATCACGCGCAAGATCTCTATTCCAATGTCTTCCGTCGAGGTAGCAAATCAGTCGAAATCGTGCAAGCAATTCTGATTCTCACCTATTGGAAGGAGCCGCAAGACACCAGAGTCTGGACCTCTGTTGGATACGCAATTCGCATATGTATGGACTTGGGATGGCATAAGATTTCTAGTTGCTCTCCGGAAATAATCGCCTCAAAAAGTGAAGTGGAAAGACGAGAGCGACGAAATATAGAGAGGACATGGTATGTTCTCTTTGTCTATGATCGAAGGTATGATGTTGCCAGTCCTATCCCAGTAATTCCACGAATCAATATCATTTTAACTAAAACCTGCACAGCATAAGCCTACAGACTGGGAGGCCATGGATGATTGATTGTAACGAGTTCATCGAATCGATAGAAGATTGGTGTGATGATCCATTAGCTATCGACAATGACCAGCTTCTCGGGGCCTTTACAACTTTGAGGCTGGTAACATCGGCTGCATTCCCACTACTGGTGACTAAGTCACAACAACGATCCACATCATATCACGAGAGTGCACCACTTGTCAGCCTTCTTAATAGCCGTATTGAGAGATGGGAGGAGAAGTGGACTCGCAAGGTTTTTTCGCAGCACGAACAAACATGTCATGAGTTTCTAATCCGCTTCTACGGCACCCATCTCCGTCTGCAGATTCACACATTACCATTGTATGGAATTCTGACCTCGAATAAGTCAGACGTCAACTTACATCTTGATACCATATGGGTGTCCTTCAACAGTGCCCTGAATATGTTGCGGTTAATATCCCTGCACTCGGATTATGTTTCTTTCGCGCAAGACTCCGTTCATGTTATGACAGCGTATAGTGCTGCGTTTCTTGCCAAGGTTGGTACTCTTTCCGTCACCTGCGTGTAGCATTGCTAATTCTTTTATTGCAGATCAGCTTTTCGTTTCCCAACCTCATTTCGGACCAGCTCGCGTCAAGCTGCATTGAAGCTGTTGAGAGTGCTGGAAGAGTCTTTTCAAATCAGACAAGCTGCATAAGCTCCAGTTGCAGCTTACAGGCAACCTTTCTGACTCGAGTGGGCTTGAAGCTTGTCGAAACCCGAAATAGAAGGAATGCCACTCAAAGTGATACTGCTCAAGAGGTTCCTACTGCATCACGGCTGATTCCAGGCCAACATGGCCTGGATGGAGGGTCTAACGTAATGTTACCAAGCGATGCATCTATGCAACATATGCCTGGCCTGGAAAACTTGGAAATATCACTGTTTCCGCAAGAAAGCTTGGATTTTCCGTTTGAATGCGACGATATGTGGGCAGAAATGTTTGGCACGGCTGGAATGAACGCCCAAGATATATCATACTTCTCACAAACCGATTGCTGAATAATATACATGTAACTGCTACTCTCTTCAACCATATTCTATGACCCTGAGTTCCCACTTAATGGAACTACAGTAGTCTCTGAATGGCTAAACTTCCGAATTCCTTCCTTTACTATCTTCAGTTGCGAGGGACAGTTAGGATCAGGGCAAGCTATCAGCGCATCCGTAGTCATCCAGTCATTGGGAGCTGTCACTCTCTGCTTGGCTGGGAGAAGTGGAAGGACAGATGCTGGTTCCAATCAGTATGCTTCAAGTACTTGCAAGGTATTTCTTATCTTACCAAGGCTATAGATGCTAATCCCTTGGTCCTGTGGAAGGTAAAGCATTTCGCCTTTCAATGTGAAGTAGTCTCCTTCCTTCGCTCCACACATGATCTTCTTGCCTGGCGGACAAACGACCTCCACTCTCAAATCGTATAGCTCGAAGGAGTCGTCATGCGAGGTATTGGGGTTAGTGGAAGTCATTGCTGATAAGAAACAGGACTAAAGAAAGCGGCTTGAACGAGGTTCATTTTCCTCATACCAATAGAGTTATAAGCTCGTTATAATCAAGTTCTGGATCGGTCTGGGCAATGAGGGTTGTCGGTCTATGGCCGACCGGCGAATTTCCCCGCGTCTCTGCACCGGCGTTCTAAACATTCACCGGCGACTCAAACTAAACCCCTGTTTCCCCTCATCATAAACGAGCCATGCATTGCGATAAGCCACTGGAGTCAGTCTCCATCATAAATAATGGAGAAGATCGGCCGACTCAGATAACATGACTTGAGTCATTCCATTGGGAGAACATTATTATTATCCTCGTCTGTCAATGGTCATATGTGGAGTTTCTTTGACTTCTCTTCGAACCCAACTTCATATCAACACCTATTTCAGGCTCTATCCTTGACAGTCAGGAGGCAATGGATAAGGACGAGAAGATTGTCGCCTGCAGTGGCATGCCGGCAGACGTCGAGATGGGCAGCGGGAACACAGAGATCATCTCATCCAGTGGCCTCAAACGCGAATTGGGTTCCCGGCACATCAACATGATTGCTGTCGCCGGTATGATTGTAAGCTTCTTCAGTGCCTTGACCCTTAACATAATTGACTCCTTGTAGGGAACGGGACTGTTCCTTAGCTCTGGCCAAGTCATCGCGACAGCAGGCCCAGTTGGAGCTCTGTTGGCATATACCCTCATGGGACTCGTGACAGCAGGCGTTGCGTATACTACAGGAGAAATCACGGCGTTTATGCCATCAACTGGTGGCTTCGTTCGTCATGCGACCAAGTTTGTTGAGCCTGCACTTGGTGCTGCAACGGGCTGGAACTTCTGTAAGTCACCATCGCCTGGAAAGTGGTTGCAACATCCTGACTTGACTTAAACAGGGTATACTATGGCAATCAACATGCCCGCAGAGATCAGTGCTGCAGCAACTCTTGTTCAGTTCTGGAATACATCGATCAACCCTGGCGTCTGGATCACCATCTTTCTTGTCTTCATCATCTTAGCCAACCTTTGCGGAGCCAAACTCTACGGCGAGTCCGAAGTCATCTTTGCATCCCTCAAGATCATGCTTATTATTGGTCTTATTATTGGCGGACTAGTCATTGACCTCGGTGGAGCACCGAATCACGAACGACTAGGCTTTCGGTACTGGATCTATCCAGGAGCCTTCAATACTTACATCAAAGATGGCTCTGCTGGACGATTCCTTGCGTTTTGGAAAGCAATGCTGCCTGCCGCTTTCAGCTACGGCAACATTCAAGTCGTAGCCATCTCGGGATCTGAAACGCGCAATCCGCGAAAGCTCATCCCAGCTGCGACAAAGAAGACCTTCTACCGCATATTCTTCTTCTACTTTTGCAGCATCTTCATCGTTGGTCTCATTGTGTAAGTATTCCTCTTTAAGCATCCCAAATGGGTTTTTGTTGATGACAGCTTCTAGCCCATACAACGACCCAGCACTTGGAGTCTCTACCGGAACAGCCTCCCAGTCCCCCTTCGTCATCGCCTTCCAACGATCCGGAGTATCGGTCGTACCTTCAATCATCAACGCTGTAGTATGTACCTCAGCCATCAGCAGCGGATCTGCTTGCATCTTCATCGCCTCTCGAACTCTCTTCGGCCTCAGCTGTGACGGCCATGCTCCTCAGTTCTTCCAACGTTGTAACAGATTCGGCACCCCTCACTACGCAGTTGGTATGAGCTGCCTCCTATCTCCACTGGTGTATCTTACAGTCGTGAACAACACTTCCGTGGTCTTCTCGTGGTTTGTAAACATCACGACTGTTGCTGGCCTCATAGGTTGGGTGGTTATCCAGGTGACCTATCTCCGGTTCTTTGCTGGTCTCGAAAAGCAGGGTTACAGTAGAGAAGGTATGCAAATTGAAAGATCTTCTCTAGAGTTTCTCTAACGTATCTAGATCTTCCCTACAAGAGTCCTTTCCAGCCATACGTGGCCTGGGCGACGTTATTCATGGTTTCTTTGGTTATTCTGTTCTGTGGTATGTTCTAACTCTCTCCCCCATCTCTAGCTCTCTTCCTCTCCGTTGATGGTGTGATTAACTGGCTTCCAGGATTCGATGTTTTTGTGAAGGGTCACTTCACGGCCCAGGGTTTCATTACGTGTTACATCAACATCGCCATATTTGCTGGTATATCTGAACTCGCCACTATCGCAGGTACACAATAGGCTAACAAGATGACTCCAGTACTGTATACAATCTTTAAAATACGTCTGAGATCGAAGATCATTCCAACTTCAGAAATTGAGCTCATTGAAGAGTTCCGGCTAATTCGTGAGGAAAAGCAACAAGAACAAGATAATTAACAGCGCGGACAAATAGCGATGTTGAAATTGATATATAGCCACTTGCAAGAACTTCAATTCCAATGAGAGCCTCATACAAAGTAATACCAGCTATTTCCGAGTGTTTTGCTATACCTGGCCTATTTAGGCACCCTTCTCTCCAAAGTCCTTTGGCACTTCGGGACCCCAAACCGAGAACGGCCCAACAACATCCCTCTTAGTCCCACTTGCCCGATTCACAACATCACCATCAGCATAATGCTCAATCTTGAACCCACTAGGATCAGCCCAATAGTCAAAGATCTGACTGCCCAGAACGTGTCGTCCGACGCCCCAGATGCTCTTCCAGCCTTTGCTAGCCAGGTACTCATGCCCAATGAGCTGTGTATCAAAGTCGGCGACTTCAAACGAGGTATGGTGGCAGTAGATCTTCTTAACATGAGGTTCAGCTCGCTGCATGAAGAAGCAGTGATGATCAGAATATTCATCGCCGAGATCCAAGTGCATGAAGGTGAGTACATCCATGTTGGAGAAGTCCCAGTGGTACAGAATATCTGAGGGGACGAAATTGAAGTTACCTGTGTACCATGCTAGCTCGTTGTCAAAGTCTGGGACGACGTAGCCGAAATGGCCGAGTTTGTGGACGAGAGCTGGGCCAGGATGATAGCGTTGGTATTTGCCTAGGAAGAGTTAGCACCTAGGAGTAGAATATGAACAAGTATAGCGCTCACCTCGCCTTGGCTTTGTGAAGGGTTTGTTGTAAGGACCCTGCTGTTCGTGTGTTGCAGTGGGTTCTTCCGAGTCCGTCTTTCTCTCTTCTTGGCCATAGACAACATGAAAAAAGGTATTATCTTGTCGACTGAACTTGATCATCTTTCCACCACCAGGCGCATGCTCAAGAGAGACTCTCTCAGCTCCATCAAGAGCAGCTGCCTTTTCAAACTCTTCCTCAGAGGCAGCCACGAAAGCTGGTCCAAGGAATCTCCGCTTGCCATCTTTGCTCTTAGCTGCGACATAAATGAAAGGGTCTATTCCATAACCTCGATAGTAAATGGTATCTCCGACACGAGCTTCTTTAACGAAGCCAAAGTCATCTGCGAATCTGTCGAACTGGTCGAGGTCTGGGTGTTCGAAGTAGACATGGGCGATGCGGGACAGTTGGACCTTGGAAGGGTCGTTGGTGATTGTGGGGATTCGCATGTCAGTCATGATGGCTTCTCGTAAACACCTGGGCAGTTTGGTGAGAACAGTCAATGCAATCTTTAACGCAAGAGACATAGTAGAACGCCAAGAGATGAATCACAACTATTTTATAGGTTATGGGTATTTGTTCGTCGAGAACATAGAGTTTATAGGTCCCGCAGCTGTGGGTTTCTAAGTCCCCGAATCTGGGGTAGCAGTGAGTGGCGTTGGAGACAACCATGACGGTTCTCTCCGTGACCCACTCACCTGGTTCTCGATTTCGGAGGATCTCAAGTTAGCTTCGGAGGATCTATCGTCAACCGAGAAGAACGATTTGGGCCTGTCCCTCGACTGACCTCGAGCGACTATGGGGCCAGTTATGTGATACAGCTTATGGGAGCCTCCATCCGTAAGGAGATTACGGAGTTAAGAGGTCTTGAAGTCGAACGTTGCTTGTAGTCAATGCTTCAATCTCCGCTGGCCATGTTCTCATACCATACGCTATATCAATGATTCCTAACTAAGGTTTTCTATCTTCTCCGCTCTCCACAATTAAACTTATACCATTTTTCAGTAGTACAACTCCGCCACTTTGTCCGGTCTGCTCAAAGCTCATCCTTGACTTCTGTGAGCGGACTTCTAGTGTCCTGGCTTTCGGCATTCAACTTGCATTAAGTCCGATTCATCAGGCCAGTAAATATTCATTCGAGAAGAGTACAAATACTAGACATGAGGATGAAACTAAGTAACGAACAAGCCAACAAATTGACCATTTCTTTCTGAACCAAAATTACCACACCAAAAAAGAAAAGCCAAACAACCAAAATGTCCACACCCCCTTCTTCTGATGCACCTTGGTCACTGAATGGCAAGACTGCCATTGTGACAGGAGGCTCTCGCGGTATTGGACAAGCTATTTCTATTCACTTGGCACGCAAGGGTCTTACTAGATTGGCTATCACATATGCAAGCAACATCGGGGCTGCAGAGGAAACGCTGAGGAGATGCCAGGAACTCGGGGTAGAGCAGGCAATCGCTATTCAAGCAGACGCACTCGACCCTCAGTTTGGACCGAAAACCATTGCCGAGGCCCTCAAACGACTAGACACTACAGTTGTCGATATCCTCGTCAACAACGCCGTCTTGGCCGACCCTGCCAAGGTATTACCGATCAAAGACACAACCTTGGATGTGTTTCTCGAGATAATGCAAGCCAACGTTTACGCACCGGTTTCAATCACAACTGCCCTGCTACCTCACCTTCCAGACTACGGAGGCCGGGTGGTGAACATTTCAAGCGTTCTAGCCTACCAAGCCAATAGCGATCCGACTGTCGCATATGGAGCTAGCAAAACCGCTCTTCAGAGCTACACCCGATCCTTTGCTGAAAACTTCTCCAAGCAGAAAAAGGCTACGTTCAACAGTATCATTGTAGGCCTAACAGCCACGGACTCGATCAAGGCCAGTCAACACATGATGCCAGCAGGCTTTCTCGATGGGCAGATCCGAGACACAACCGCCGCAGAAAGAATTGGTGTTCCTGACGATATCGCCTATATCGTTGGCTTCCTTGCAAGTGAAGAGGGTCGCTGGGTTAACGGCGCTGCTGTAAGTGCTAATGGTGGTAACAAGCTTGTTATGTCTGCCCTTGGTTGAAGAGGAATCACTCTCATTAGTAAAACGGATGTGCATATTGCTAGGATTTAGTTATAGGGATAACGTTGATTAAATAAAACAGTCTTTACCGAGATGTCGCTCTACTGAAATTACGCTATAGAAATTGTCTACCTTGTCATTTCTTTCTTCACGACCCACTCACACGGTTCTCGACTTCGGAGGAACTCAAGCTAGCTTCGGAGGATCTATCATCTACCAAGAACGGCTCGAGCATGTCGATCCACAACCGCGAGAAATAAGTCAATTGAAGAATCGGACTTTACCGTGTTTCCGTGCCTCGAGATCAATGCAGAGGTCCAGCCTCGGTACTAATGAAGATCGCAGTAGAGATCCGGAGCGAACTCACAATTGCGGGATGACTTTGGCTTATGAACCAAGGTTCTATATGACATATAAGCTAGCCAAATAACACGATTAAACTTTGTCACATCGCCATGAAATTTCCAAGATGACTGCTTCATATACACCACCATTCGCGCTAGTGACTGGCTGCAACAGTGGCATCGGTGAGCAACTTGCCATATCCCTTGTCCAGAACGACTTTACAGTGTTCGCCACAGCCAGGCGTATCGAGTCTCTAGATCATCTCGCGAGACAACATACAAACATCATTGCACTGCCTTTAGAGCTTAGTGACTCCACGAGTCTCGAAAGGCTCAGAGACTCGGTCGACAAACACACCGGAGGACGCCTCGACATACTGGTCAACAATGCGGGGATGCACTACGCGACACCAGCAACGGATATCAACGTCAAAGAAGTCACGAAGCTATTTGCAGTCAATGTTGTAGCTATCATGCACATGTGCCAGCTCTTTATCCCGCTGTTGCGCAAGGCCCCTCGGCCACGCATTGTTCAGATTGGAAGCGTTACTCGCGACGTTCCTGTTGTTTGTCAGTCTGTATACAACGCATCTAAAGCGGCTCTCAGCCAGTATACAAAGACTCTTCGTGTGGTTAGTTGGCCTCTCTCCATCCACGACTGAGTTATCTCGCTGGGTTTCGACGCTAATCATCGTGTCTAGGAACTAAGGCCCCTGTCCATTGAAGTCATAGAGGTCGTTACCGGCTATGTCCGCAGCAATATCCTTCGTGATGGTGTTCTCATCTCTGAAGACTCACTGTATCAACCTATCAAAAACACTGTTGAGACTATCAAGAATGGAGGAAACAAGAACGGCATGCCTGCAGACGAGTATGCTCGCGTTATCGTCTGCCAGATACTTGGCAAGACATACAAGCGTGAGATATGGGAAGGTCATCGGTCCCGTGTATTGCGCTTCATGGTGACATTTTTCCCTTTATGGTTATTGGTATGTGAGCCTTTTCAATATCAAGGTTGAGGACTAACGTAATTGCTAGGAGTTTACCCTTTTCGTGTCCTTCAAGCTACATCTTGTATCAGATGCTAAGCTGAGAAACATATAAGGTGAAGAGCTGTTGATAAAAAGCCCCAGCTTGTATCATAACGGGCCGGAGGGAGAAGCCTTGAGAACTGTAAATGCATTGTGTTTTCTTGTATCTCAAGACAGGTCAAGGAGAGCTTCAGATCTTTCATTTATAATTTACATATTGACCCTCATCCGTCATTTCATATATCACGCTGCCGATACTATAATGCTATCAACCGTCCGAACGCGCCAAGTTACTCCCCTTATGAGACACGTATCTCCATGACACCAACCCTAACGAGACGACAATCCATCTACAGCCGTATAAGCCTACATAGCCCCTCACTCAATCGAAAGGGAAGTCTGTCATAGCTTACTCATAGCAGCAACCCAGTATTTCTAGAGTCTTGTCAGCAACAACGTCCCATGAGCCAAAAGCCAATGCAACTTTGGATCAAAGAAAGGGTATGCTCTTACAGTCTCTGCGCCTGCTCCCACGGAACGAACTTTTGAAGACAGCCATCCGCCGCCTGGGGCAGACTCCACGTCAAATCTAGCTTCTTCGTCGCTGATACCCTTGTTGAATATGATTTGGCTCGGTAGGTCTGGGTATTTCACAGCTGGCCTACCCAGTCCAATAAGGTCGCAGGCATCGTTATCAAGGGCTCCGGTAACACCACTTCGACTTCTGAATCCGCCTGTCACAAGCAGCGTAAGATCAGGGAACCTGCGACGGATCTCTTGACTTGTTCGTAGGAAGAATCCCTCACGAATGCTTGAACGGGACCCGGTAGAACTCAGTTGCAGGGATGAATTGGTACTCATCATCTGAGGATCTTCAAAAGATCCACCACTGAGGTTGATGTAGTCGATTTCCTCCTTTTGTATCAGCTCAATCTGTCGCAGCATCTGTCTCATGCCTTTCTCGTCCTTAAAGTCTGCCGAGTTGATCTTCACACCAACGCAGAATGACTTAGGGACTTCCTTGCGGACGGATCGGATAATGCGAAGAACTAGTTCGACGCGCTTGTCTGTCGAACCTCCGAACTCGTCATCTCGCTGGTTACTGTTTGGTGACATAAATTGAGATAGTAGGAATCCATCTGTAATCTAGATTAGTGAACATCCCAGGTTTCTCTTACAGTTCAAGCCACTTACGTGCTGCGTGAACTTCAACGCCTTGAAAACTAGCTTGGTGAGCTAGTCGCGCAGCTTCAGTGAATTGCGCGACAACAACATCGATTTCATTTCGTGTCATGGCCCTTGGAGTTCCAAAGACCAACATACGGATCAGTTTGGCAATGGCGTTATCGCCGAGGTTGATGGGAATGGCACTTGGTGCGATGGTCTTTGAGAATATGCTTCTCTTTCCTGCTCCAATCGGAGATTGGCGTCCTGGATGGTTTCTATCACATCACTCGAATTAGCCACTACGTCTTTCAATGTCCTGAGTTCTCCCCATGTTGCGGAAGCTGGGCTTACAATTGAGCAATCATATGACAGTTCTGGTTCTTGGTAGAAGCTGTCCACTCTGACCAGCTCTTGAGCAAGGCTGATGTGGTTCCGGTGACTGCGACGTCTTCATTACTGCCAAGATACTGATCTGAAACCATGATGTTGCCTGCTCATGATTAGAACAAATTTCCTGTCTCGAGAAACCTCTTGCCGTGAGTTACCTGTGATAAGAGCTGCCCATCCACCTTGCGCCCATCGCTTATACACGGCTCTATGATTGCAAGATGGCAGTAGATTTTCGGCCATTTTTTCAGACATTCCAGTCTTGACAAGCCTGTTCTTTAGGACCAGTCCGCATCGGAGTCGAAGTGGGGAGCCAGCCGCAGAGTTCATTGTTGACAGTGCTCGTAATAGTGAGGTTTCTTGGGAGATTTTGGTCTGAATGGAGTTCAGAGAAAAATTACATTACTACTTACCAGCAATATGGTCCCATTTGCTAACTAACCATCTTTTATAGCCGTACTAAAAATTACGGGATGTCAAAACTGACCGCGGAGGAACTCCAAGTCAATTAGTGCCCGAATCCTCCGAAGCCGAATTGCCTCGAGTCATAGACCCCACATGCACTTGAGAATCTTTAGCGGCGCCTGGGGTTTCGGGCGGGAACAAATACAGCAAGGGTCATTCCCATTCAACAACAATTCGGCCGCCTTCACGTGCAAGACTTTAAGGAAATAGACATAATATTTAGCTTAGATATAGTTTATCAGTTTTACATCTTCAGTGTAATTGTTTTGTCCTTTTCTTGGCCTTGTGCTCAGCCCTCTCCCCTGAAACACCACCTGCGACGGGTTTCTTACCATAACTCCCAAAACACAATTCGCAACATACAATTGGCTCCTCGAGAAGAACACCTCCACAGATCTCGGAACTTGACGACGCAGAGATACGATTGGCTCCTCAGAAGATAGACGAGGGCTTGGTATCGGTTACACATGTGCCGCTTTCGCCGTTCGCCATGACCTGTTTGCCGATCATGGTCCGTGAGCGTAGCTCAGAAACTATCAGTACGTTTTACGTTGAAGTGGTTTATGGTTATTTGGCAAATCATGGTTCAGAAATGGCTGTTTGACGTTTTGTTTGACAGAGTGGCTGTGTTCTTCGGGAGACGAGGATTCCGGGTCTTGGCTGGGCGGGAAAGGTCAAAGCGTAAGTGAAGCCGTGCGGTGATATGTTTGTCTGGTGATGTTTTTGCCAGATTTTGAGGCTGCCATCGTGAAGCTCTTGAATGTCTCGTGGGTGTCTTGTGTTTCCTTGGCTGTATTTCTGGTGGTGATATCTATGCATGTTAAGAAAGCCGTAAAAGGAAAATGACTCGTTGCCTTTTCTATATAAGTCTGCTCAACTTCCTTTCATTGTTCGAATCATCAGCATCAGCATCAGCATCAGCATCAGTTTCATTATCTTCCTTTCTCATCACTCTTCTCCTGCTGGTCAGGTCTCCATAGGTCTTCGATCAATCCTTCTGACTACTTCACTCATCTTCACTCCTCATTTGTTTTCACACCTTTCTTCTCAAACATATACCACGATAATATCACAGTCTCGCAATGGCTCCCATTAAGAACATCCTCCTGGCTCTTTTCATCGCTGCCGACCTCGCAGCAGTGTCAGCCCACAGCGTCATCACCAATGCCGTTGGTGATGCCGGTGGTTCTGGTATGGCACTCGGTGTCGATACTTCAACTCCTCGAGACGGAACTCGAAGACGTCCTTTCCAGACGGATGCAACCCGCTTCCGAGGCAGTGCTGCTGATACCGTCGGCGAAACCTTGGCTGGCGGTGACAACGACATCGAGCAGGGAACAGTGGATATTATGGAAGAGACAGGTAGCTATACCCATTGACCTCGATAATGGTTACACAGACTTACACTCAAGCCAGGAAGCCAGCTCCCTCAGGTCAACCCCGGTGGTAGCCTTGAGATGACGGTTCATCAGGTCAACTCAGACGGTGCTGGTCCATATACCTGCATGATCAACGCCGACGGCACCGGTACGTCGTGGGATAATATCCCTGTGACAACTAATGTTGAGGGTAATGAGCGGGGTCGCAACCGAGACGGCGAGATGGGAGACTTTCCTCTTGTTGCTTCTATTCCCGCCGGGCAAAACTGTACTGGAACAGTCGCAGGCGAGGATAACGTCTGTCTTGTACGCTGCCAAAACCCAGCTCGCGCTGGCCCGTTCGGTGGTGTAATCCCGGTCCAGATGGCTCAGGCCAACAACGGCAATGCTGGAAATACTGGTAACGCCGGAAACACTGGAAACACTGGCAATGCTGGTAACGGTAACGCCAGTGACAATGCCAACGACGGTGCCAACGACGGTGCCAACGATAATGCTAATGGTAATGCCAATGGTGACGCCAATGGCAACAACAATGACAACGCCAATGGCAACAACAATGACAACGCCAATGGCAACAACAATGACAACGCCAATGACAACGCCAATGGCAACAACAATGGTGACGCCAATGGCAGTGGCAATGATGAGCAGGAGGAGGAGGAGGATGGGAACGACACTGGCAGCCGCAACAATCGCCGCGCCACTCGCTTCTCCGCATAAGCTGATAATGATTGGTAAAGCGAACTTGAAAACGGAAGACGGGACATTTGACAGATAGGACAGGACATTTGACAGATAGGACAGGACATTTGACAGATAGGACAGGACAGAAGGTTGGATGGAAGCTAGATAGCTCTATAGTATATTAGGGAAGGGGATAGTACAATATAATTATGCTGATGAACTCTTATGCCTGTGTCTCTTGCTGGTGGTAGTGAAGCTCAGTCAATTGGCTTTAGGATGTAGCCAAAGGAGGTATAGCGGCTCAGAACACCTGGTGAGCTTATGGCTTGACCCTTGACCATCCTTCTCGCTGATGTTCCCGCAAGGGTCTCATCATCGACAATGTCCAGGGCACAGTCCTTCAAGCCACTCAGCTTGCTGACTAGGATCTAATGCATCACTCACGTTTACCACTAGTCGCTGGCAAGTAGTCTAAGATATTCAGCTAACATGCTTCACCGGCACATCAACTCTAACCAGTAGGGCAGGGTAAACAAGCTGGGCCTAAGAAAGTCAATCATAAGATCTGTGCTTCAGCGTCACCTTGGCGACATTTCGGGAAACAAATAACACATAAACAAAACAACTCGTGATCGTGGTAGTCATTCTTCCGTGTTATGGCCGGGTGCCTTTGTTCGCCACAAAAACCGGCGGATCTCCAAACTAGCCTCGGAGGAACTCTAGTGGGCCCCGAATCTTCCGAAGTCAGTTCAAACTCACTTTGAGAGCGTAGACCCCACATTCAGTACAGTACATCGCGACGTGTGACTATAGTGGACAATTCAGTGGCGTCTGGGGATCCCGGGGATCGCGGCACTCGCATTCTACGATTGACCCGGCTACCTTCCATATAAGTCCTCTGAATGAGATGAAGTGTCTAGCTTACACAACTAATCAGATTTCATTCCCCGAATACTTCTAATCGTTATCGCATGCAATGGAAGAAACGCAAGTAATTATTGTTGGAGGTGGACCAGCAGGTCTTGCCCTGGGACTATCACTAGCCCGACTGAGGATTCATGTTAGTAGTCACCATTTCGATACTTACAGCACCATTTCTATTCAGTACTGACAAAGCACTTTTACCAGTCCGTTATTCTCGAGAAAGAGGCGGAGATCACCACAGACCCTAGAGGCGTATTCCTCACGGGTGATGCTGTCAGAATACTACACAGCCTCGGGATCCATGATCTGGCGTCCATAGGTCATGGTAAGTCCACACGCCTCGGAAGCAAATGAACCTGCATAATCCGTCACATCATATGCTAATCTCGAGCGACACAGAAATGCCACATGTTAATGTCCATCGTGGCGGCTTCAATACTGTACCATTCTTCTCAATTCGCCTTGGGGACTCCAACAGTCTTGACCAGGCCTTACCAGAAGGCATTCTGCAAATGCAGCCCCGTCTAGGTAGATCTCCTCTTGCGTCCCTCAAATACGTGTCTTCTATGCTAACTGTAATCTACAGAGGGGGCCTTGAGAAATGCTATCGAGGAAAGTAAATATTGCTCACTGCGTACCGCCTGCGAAGTCGTGTCACGGTCTGAACAAGATCCACCAGTAATCGACTTTGACGACAAACAAGGAAATAGACAGCAAATCAAAGGAGAATGGCTTATCGGCGCCGACGGAAAACTGGGCATTGTTCGAAAGCACTTCCTGGAACCAACAGTAGGCATCAAGCAGACAGACGGGCTCTACCCATACAGCGGCACCTGGATAGCCGCCAACTTGAAGATGAAGCTTCCTACTCCGGAGACTCATCCTGATTTTCCACTTTGGAAGTTTGGCTACTCAGCACAAGAGGTTTATGATCTCTTCTGGCCTGTTGGATGGCACTTTTGTACCCCGCCTGGAAAGGCTACGGCTTCCGGGAGATTTGGTCCTTATGAGGAAAGACTTTGGCGTCATGAATTCGCCCAAGATGAGTCGCTTATCAAGGACAACTCGGAAGAGCTGTTCTGGGAACATATCACGCCGATGATTACTCTTGAGGGAGATAGCAGCCGGAAGCACAGATTTGACGGTCCTGTGAAGTACCCTCGAGATTGCATTGAGATTCTACGCTGTCGACCATTCCACTTTGTTCACAAGGTCGTTGACCGCTGGTTCAGTGGACGTACAGTTCTTATCGGTGACGCGGCTCACGTCTTCCCTCCTTTCGCTGGTCAAGGTATTGGAAGTGGTGTCAGAGATGCTCACCAGCTTGCATGGCGGTTAGCTCTGATGCTCCATCCAAATGCGAAGCCAGAATACCATGATAAGCTTCTCAAGTGCTGGGAATCAGAGCGACGTCAGAGTATCAACGACGCTGCCCAGTTCTCCATGATCAACGGGCGCATTTGCAACAATGAGCCTACTTTATGGTTACGTTTCTGTTTCCGGCTTTTGATGTTCCTACATGGCACGCCTCTTTTCCAGTACGTGGACTACATGTCACACAAAGAGCAGAAGGGCTTTTCGGAAGTTGAAAATGGTTTGTTTATCAAGGGACGAAAAGGCGGTTCCCGTCTGCATCAGATACACATGAGATCCACGGACCAGACGGGCTCTTTTCTATCAGACGACTTGCTACGAAAAGAGAAGACGATCTTCACTCTGGTGGTCATCAGTGATGGGAAGCAAAACAACCAGCTTAGGCTATACGCCGAAGCGAGGGCCGCAGTCCAAGACGCTGGTGTCTCATCCATTATCTCGAAGGAGGCAATCATTGTTTACGACGCACAGTCAGACGACTCAGCACAAATCCCAAAGACACTTTCAGACACCAATGGAGAGTTTGGTCACCTTACCGTCTGTTCAGCTTCGCAGATCCCTACGGCTGACGGACGTCTGGCGAAGGGATATGACAGCTCGGTCTATGCCAAGCGCCTTGGGAGAACCACCAAGTTTGCCATCATTCGTCCCGATTTCTTTGTCTTTGCTTGTGCTTCTGACTATGCTGGGCTAGCCAACTCCCTGAACTCACTGAGAGATTTTGTTGGGTTTGGGGGTAAGAAATAGTGTACGAGATAGAGCGCGAAAAGCGTGCTATATAGTTCTCCAATATTTAACTGTTCCTTTATTACATGATTTCAAGAAGCTTGAGGCATATTGCTCTTCGTAATTAGTTCCTGACATCCAATCAAAGTGTAGAAGCTGTTAAATTCAGTTTCACTATTGGAAGATAGATAATGACGAGATGTGCAATATTGTAAACATACCCTTGATGATCCTATGCTAATCTAAAGCATATCAAAAGTGACTGCCGGATATGCTTCCAACGTTTGGGATCTTAAGTCAATTTGAAATAGCTAAGATAAGTTGTAAATAGAAGCCTTTAGTTCTGGGTTTCAGCTGTCTAAGGCAATCAATGACAATACATCAGTGTCTACAGTATAACTTCTAACAAAAAGGGTCCAGATCTAAAGCATAGTATTTCTTGCCTTGGCGTCTATTGGGTTCTTTTCTATAAATATAAATAACGTTCTCTATAAGCCACATAGACTGTCTGATGCGATTTTACATAAATCTACTAAACAGGAAGATAGCAACTCTTTGTACAGAGACTATCACACGCGTCAAAAACCCAACTCTGCAAAGTAAGTAGTTAGTAAGCTTCCTCTGTATGGCTTATGCAGGTGAACGAACGATGCTTACTCAAACTTGATCACGTTCCTCAATGTTCCAACTTTTGCCATGGTGACTTCGAGCACATCGCCATCTTTGAGAAACACCTTGGGACTATGGAAAGCGCCGACTCCAGCGGGTGTTCCTGTCATGATAGCCGTACCAGCAGGGATGGTTGTTCCTGTATTAACTCTGTTAGCGCTGATGCATAGGTCTGGCTCGTAAACAATCGGTGAAGTACCTTGACTCATATGGCTCAGAATCTGCTCCGGCGAGAAAACCATATCTTTCTTAAACTCCGCTACCTGTCGAACCTTACCATTCACCTTTGCTTCTACAGAAAAGCCCGAACCGTCGCCAAAAATGGCTGGGCTGATCAATGCGGGACCAATAGGCGCAAACTTGTCGAAAGCCTTGGCGAAGAAGAATTGACCGGCTGAATGCTTGGGGAGCTGGTACATGCGGCAAGAAATGTCGTTGCCAACGGTGTATCCCAGGATGTAGTCCTTGGCTTCTTGGGGAGATATGTCGCGACACTGCTTGGAAGTCACAAATACGAGCTCGCCCTATAATGCAATTAGAATTAGGCAGTGTCATGTTAGCCTGAGCATGATAACATACCTCATAGTCTGGGAGGCTCTTTGCGCAGAAGTCGTTGAGTGGAATGTCCTCATCTGGGTTTGCAAGGGATGCAGCTGGCTTTGTCCACAGAGGAGGTACCGACGTCAACGTTAGCTAGAGGCCTGTTAGTTATATACTCTGAGGGCGCTATTTTCTTTACTGTCTTTGGCATACCGAAGCTTCTTTGGCGTGGCTGCGGTAGTTCAGCCCAACGCAGTATAAAGGTAGGTCATCTCTCGGCAGTGGTGCTAACAGCTGTACTCAGTCAGTATAGTAGATTGGTGACAGCTTCATTTCACTGAAGCTATGACACGGAAAGGCTTACACGACGAATTGATACAGTTTTGGTTACGTGGCTATCAGTCAAGTCCTGTAAAGACTTGACTGCGCTGACTCTTGTCCCAACAGTTGGTGGGCCTTGAGCATCAGGGCCAAGGTCGGCGAAATATACTTCCCCGTCCTCCTCAGACTCAAACTTGATAAGAACAGAGAATGTGCCCATGGCGTTGGTTTACCACAGGGCAAATTGATGATCCGCAGCCCTCCACCGAGGCCAATATTTAAATACATCTGTTCTTCATTAGGGACGCGTTTGCGACGATTCAGCACGGGATTCGGAAGAAGCTGCTTGTTCTGCGATGCTAAAATGCGGGGAAACATAAGCTACGGCAGATCTGAAGTCAACTTTTAGATCCTCCGATGCGGGTCTAGCTGCACTGAAACTGCCGAGGTTGGTTAGTCATCGGAAATACTGCATGAATATTCCTCGGAGCATCTTGTGAATCCACAATCTCGGCCATTTCTCGCTCAGTCCCAGTTACACCGGAGCGTGAACGAGACCCAACAGGTCGAGATTAGCTTCCCAAATCTGAGTGTCCATCGACAAGCGACGTGAGTTCCAGGTCAAAATCGACTACTGGCCTTTGTCAGAAGTTCTTCCGAATTGAGGAAATGTCTGCGTCGCCATCTTCGGGCAGCGGGACATTCGGCACAGCTCATTCTGCCCAACGGCTGAGCACCAGAGTTTGCGACAATTGCATTCGGTTCGTAGACCCCGCAGTTGACTCTCGGCACTACGGTATCTGACACATCTCCGTTTTGCAGTTCTAAAGTCCGATGTGAGATAACCCGGCAGTCCCTGACACCGAGCCACGAGTACTGATGTGACCGATCACAGGCGATCTTGGTCAGCCGTCATGCTCCCGCTGCCTTGAGCGTGGTAAGACATGCAGCTACTCCACGACACGTCGTCGGCCAGGACCAGCTCCGGGCTCCGGACGTGGATCACGGGCAACGCGGGGCGTTCGTAGCCGAGGGAGAAGGCATTCTGGTAAGAGATGTTTGTTTACTGATTAAGCATTGCGGTATCTAATCACTCAAACCAACGCCATAGATGAAGCCACTTCTCATGGTTATTCTGTCTCAGAGGACACTGTTTCTTTGGTCCCAGCTGCTTCAGATATACCCTCTGAGAGCCCTGAGACCATTGTAACTTCCCATGCATCTACACAAGCTAGCAATCAATCATCACAGCGTTTGAGCTTCCTCCTCGAGGAGGAGGCATATCTGTAAGAGACAACCTCGCATTGTCCTATAACTCCAGGCACTATGAGTGTTGTCGTGTCCTCCTACTGACCATGTCAGGGCCGACGAATACGTCAAATCCATTAATAAAGCCATACCGCTATTCTCGGAAACAACATTATTAAGCAGCAGAGATATTCTCTCAACCTGCAGCTGTGAACTCGTTGAGACCATGCTTCTCATCACAGCGAAACTGCTCGGCTTCAAATTCGCGTCTACGCACTTCGACCTCGACAGTCGTATAGACCAAGTCTTGAGCAACACGTCTCTCCAAGAAGACACAGCCGGTGACTTTCCATCACTCGACCTCTTCCGCAAGTTCTGCCTACTCGCTTTCTATGAGTTCCATCAGTTTCCAGGCCAACAAGCCTGGATGCGAATAGGAAAAATTGTCCGTTTGGCGTATTGGATGGGCCTTGATCGTCTCGACATAATCCAATCTGTCTCTCCAGAATGGTCAAACGTAAACAACAAGGACCTCCAAGACTGGAAGCTTGTCTGGTGGTGTGTATATCGTCTTGACTCATATGCCAACCTCTCATCCGGGACGCCCTACCAGATTGATGAGCGACTTGTCAATACGTCTTTTATCCACGACCACTACCAGGGTCAGCTCTCACAGAGTCTTATTTCCCCTTGCAGGCTCCCCTACGATCCGCGTGGCCTTCCCGATCTGCTCTTGTTTGTCAAGTCTGGCGCTGAGAGCAGCCTGCTCTTCAATATTCATCTCATCACCATCACTGTCTTGCGACAATTCGGCAGACCAATGAGCATGTGTTATCTAGTTCCTCACGAAAACATCACGGCCATCGTACTCGATGCAGAACGAACTCTATCTGCAATACGTCTAGCCTTACCACGGAACTTTCTAAATCCTGGAAGGAATGCGTTTATGAATGAGTCAAATACTGATCACCATGCCCGGTTAGTTTCAGTACTTCACTTGCATATGGCTCAACTGTTGGCTGCCCTCGCGAGCTGCTACTATCTTCCAGAAGGTGACGATTGGACACTTAGCTGGCAACGTGTTCTGGAGACCTGCCAGAACATAGCGGGGATAGCAGAGAAATGGGACAGCAATTACACTCTCACCGTAGACCCAGCACTTTCACTCATCAGCTTGACGGCCCTTGTCTTCCTGGATATTCACAAGAAATATACTGAGAGTACCAACTTACACCTCATATCCGAGATTGAGAATTGCGAACTTCTTCTGTTGCTCCAACTTGAGCAACTTTCGGCCCATTGGAAACTTCCAGATCTATTAATCTGTAAGTTCAGCCCTCAAGGCTATTCATCCGTCGAATTTAGACTCTAACGATTTGTATCAGTGTCATTCAAGAGCTTCAAGGAGTCGGTGACAGGTCCCCTCTCTTACCCCCACATTCAACTCATCCTTTCCCGGTTTGAGAGTCCTTTGCATCCGAGGTGGTTACAGTTCTTGTCATCTGCTCAAACGCATCTCGAGAACGTGATATGGGGACATGCGTCATGATGCCAAGTTTGCAGATCTTATTTAACCCCCGTAGCGTTTTCAGGTTTACGTAAAACTATATCCTGCAAATAGCTATCATAGAGATAATCCATATTTTTGTATCGCCCCCCTAATAAGGCCACCAGATTACGCTCCTCCCATTATCTGGATTCCCTTCCCATAGCATCCACGATGTGATGGACTGTGTGGCTCGGCAAAATCGCTAATGAGATGTTGTTAATATTTTGTTTGTCTCGGATGGGTTTTTAGCATCTAGTAGTTATTATACGAAGATTCGGCTTTGGTTGAAATCACAGGAGGGCTTTTTGTGTCACGGGAAGTGGGAGCTATGTCCATCAAGAAAGGTATATAGCATTAAACTCATTCAACTAGCTCATTAGACTAGAACAAAAACAATTATCGTAGACGGACAGATACCGTTTGCTAACTATCGCAGTGGCCTCCTGGTGTGAATGCAACAGGACGTATCTAGACCTTACTGGGAGCAACTTCATGGACCTCCTGGTCCAGAGAAGAAACTCTCTCAGTCTCCTTGCTGAGAACCTCCTTCTCAACGTGCTCAAGATCGACATCAGCCACAGCGGCATGGTCACCATCGATGACCTTGGCCAACTCCTCAAGGGTAGGTCCTCGAGTCTCGACATACATGAAGAAGATGAAGAGAACTTCACCGGCAACCCAGATGGTGTAAATAAGGTAGAGTCTCCAGGTGTTGCCGCCGTAGCCAGTTTCCTTCTCGCCCTCGGGGACGGCGGGGGCTTGCCAGGCCTTGAAAGCTAGAGGGTTGAGGTAGTTGTTGAGCAGAAGCGCGATCTGGACCGAAATGTTGAGGAACATCAGGCCCTTGGCACGGAGGGAGTAGGGGAGAATCTCGACAGCATAACCGATCAAGAGACCAGACCAACAAGTCGAGTAAAAGACACCGTGAAGCCAGACAAGGAAGATCATGGCGTTGTTGGCGCCAGGGGCCTTATGCTGCTCGTGGAGACCACAGGTAAGGGTCCAGAACAGGAGAGTCAGACACATACCGCCAGTGGCAAAAAGGAAAGAGAAGCGACGGTTGAGGCGTTCGACGAGGAGAGCGCAGCCGATAGAAACAAACAGATCGAGAATGGTCTTTCCGGCAGTGATGATGAGACGTTCGTTCTCGCTATCAAGACCAGCGTTGATATAGAGACGGGCAGAGTAGTTTGAAACAACACCGTTACCTGACCACTGGGAGAAGAGACCGAGGGAGAAGAGAACGAGGAGACGGTAGCGGTTACCCTTGGTCTTCAGGAAGTCGGTATATCGGGAGCTGTTGTTGGCAAGCTGCTCGGCCTTGATGGTGTCACGGATCTCACGGTACTCGAACTGAACGGTTGGGTGGTTCTCGTTGCCGTTGGCGTGGTACTTGGAGAGGATGTGAAGGGCTTCGTCCTGGCGGTCCTTGGCGATGAGGAATCGAGGGGATTCAGGGATCCCTAGAATAATCGTGTTAGCAAGATCGCTGAATAATGTAACCAGAAGATCAACTTACACCAGAGAATGACGAGCTGAATAAGACCGGGAGCACCCTGGAGGATAGCGGGGAATCGCCACGACCAGTCACTGTTGCCGCCGCCCCAGTAGTGAGTACCGAAGCAGGTCCAAGAGACAAGCAGAGAGCCCATGTTCCAGAGACAGTTGTAAACAGTGGTGAAACGAGCACGGTGCTGAGGATGGCAGAGCTCAGCGAGAAGCATAGGAGAGGCAATCTGAGCGAACGAGTTGCCGAAACCGAGAAGCACACGGCCACCGGAGTAGGTAGCGAAGTCGGGAGCTCCAGCCTGGAGACCAGCACCAATAGCCATGAGGATGAAGCCGAGAGCGATACAAGGGCGACGTCCCCAGCGATCGGCGATAACAGGGACAAGAGGGATAGATGCGACTGAACCAATCTGGTAGAGGGCGACCAAAAGACCAAGTCTGCTACCCTCGGGCTTATCGAAGAAGTCGTTCCAGGTGTCAAAGTTCTGAACAACACCCATGTACATACTACGAAACACGCCAAGTCAGTGGACTGGATCACGAGCAAATCCGGGGATTGCTTACCCATCCCAACCAGTTCCCATGGAAGAAACGCAAAGAACGCATGCGTAGAAGGTCAAGACCCTCAGACCGGGGTCCTTGTACCAAGTAACATGCTCAAACTTGGGAGCTTCCTCCTGAAGCTTCTTCGTCTTCTCGTCGACGCCGAGGCCGATGAGGTCCTTGATGCCCATGACGATTTCTCAATCGGGGGGACAAAGTATTAAAAAAAGTGACAATAGATGAGTTTTGTTCTTCTTCTGCCAGAAGCACTCAGTGGCTTAGCAGATTATTGCTGAAGGTGAAGAGTGAAAGGAAGTCTGACAAAAAATTGGGGGGAGATCCCTGGATAGATATAGAAAACGCGTTTGAGTGAGGCCCAGAACAATCTGAATGGAAAACGGGCGTGCGGACCGGGCTTTCAGACCCCAGATTGACGGAAGAACCGAGCAGGCAAAACAGATGAACAGAACGATCAAATGGCAGGCGTCCGCTTAACGGGGTTCCACTGTCCACTGTCGGAATGGGCGATCTTGTTCCACCTTGGCTGTCTTGGAAGTCTTGGTAGTCATGAGTCCTAGCCAAGATGGAGGCCGGGCCGCGCTCATTTCAGCAGGGATGGGTCAAAAACAATGGAGAAGAAATCGAGTCTAATTGCAGTCACAAGCTGGGGGATCTGTGCCTTGTGCACTCCACTGCACTTTTGAACTGATGTTGTTGCACGGAGCACTCCGTATCTGAAGCATAATAATGGGGCTCTGCGATTAAGCCGCCCATGGGGGTGATTTTCGCTATTAGCCTGTTGACCCTACCGGCGGCCGAAAAAAGGGGCCCCATTTCTCATCTCGCCACGGGTTTTCGCTAGGAACACCATGCTACACATCGTCTTGTCTATCAGGCACGCATCAGATTTTGCATCTGTTTTTACCCTGATCTGATCTTTTGTCTAGAATCGTCGGGCCCAACGTGCGACATAACATCATGGACATCACCGATGCTTACGGTCACTGGATGCTCACGGGACTGGGCTTTGTAGATCCCATTTTGCCTGTAGCCAGACGTCTTGGGGCAGCCATCAATAGAACTGTGCCTCCAATATTTGCCATCTTCCAAGACTCCTCGATGTTTTCAATAAGCCATTGAACATCGAGAAATGAAGAAAAAAGCAGCGGGAATGAGATCTCCACGTGGTGCGGAATCATCACCCGTGACTTTTGCTCAGGCGGTTTCGGGGATATTCTCCAGTCTTGGCCTAGAGTGGCATTTGGCTAAATACGGGTAAATGCGGGTAAATAACAACCTTATATCAGTCCGCCAAGCACCGAGCATAACAATTTTTTCCTGATCGATCAAACGCAATTTATCGTGTTGGTCTCGTAAAACCCGAATATTAAAAACATGCAATTCCCGAATTGCTCTCGGCATACCAGCTGAAATGCCCATAACTGATATGTATAGCGGCATGTCATGTGCATGGAAATTAGCCGATTGACAGAGCCGTTGGACTTAGAACCTGCACGTCGCATGATGATCCCAGAACAGCCAAGACTATAAACTGGAGACGACAGAACTTTTGACAAGTTCTCATACGGCCAACAACCGTTCCCAAGACCTTGGCGCTCACGAACCCAATTTTCTTCTTGTCTTTGATATCTCCACTTAACAAGACTTGTCCTGAGCTCGACCCGCCCTTGTTTGACATGGCCCAGGAACCGAGGGCCGAAATTCCCCTGACCCAGATATCCACTGTTTTCTGTCGAGCGTGACTGATGAACCGAGTTGACTCCGCCACGAAGAATAAGACGTTCAGCTGACGATGCCGCCGGCTTCTGAATCGTGTTGTGTCAAGATGCACTGACATAGAATGGATTCTACCTATTGTTGCAGTTGTTAGGCTTCGAACTAAATTGGCCGGGAAATAGTCATGCTGATTACGCTCCTTAGGTCAATGGACGGATCTGGGTGAAATAGAAGAGAACTGCATGGTTGGACTACTTGATAATGCCACCAGTTATTAATCGTCAGGCTTGTGCGAAATATCTTGTGACTCTGTTGATAGTGATTATGCCTCGATAACACGGGATGGCTTGAACCCAGTGTATGTGGCAAACGCGAGAGCAAACTTCAAGAGGCTCAGTTTCTCAATAGATCTTTATTCTATGATTTTTATATTACTTCCATAGAACAGTGACACTAATGGTTTTATATATCTTAAGCTCTGTAAGATGATAATGCCTTCTAAAACTCGAAAGCATAGGGTAGGTATATCTCTGACGCGCTTTAACGCGTGAAGGCTACGCGAAAATAATCCACTCTGGAGAATGGGTTTTCCAACAATACCTAGGCTGAAACATGCTATTAATTTACCCATTATGAGCCATTGCCACGGTTCTCAATGCTTGATGAGTTGCTCCGCGTGGCAATTACCAAGAGCCTTGGCCTTGACCATCTAACCAGCTGTCTCACGCACGACAGTCAGAACATCGTCATTCAAGGGTAGTGATTGGGGCTAGAACTTATCCAAAAGCAACCTCGAGGTAGCCAAGCAGCCAAGCACTCACGGATAAGCTTGTGGATGCGAGAGAACTACTTGGCGTGGAGAAAACATCAACCCCAGGGGGAATGGAGATCGGCAGACGCGACCCACCTGGATCTCTTAACAATGAGGAGAAATAAAATGGTTCTCTTTAACGTGGACCTGGGGAAAAAACAGTGATGATTGTAGTCAATGAATAGATACTCTATTGCTAAATACTATGCATCGAGATATATCAAAGTTATAAATGCCCAATCAGCTGAACTACAAGTCGACTTGAACAGGGTAATTAGCCTAAATTCATCCAACATCATTTCGCTTGCATCCCTTATCGATAGCGTCAGGTATTGCGCTCTGTCCAAGGTCTCAGCCCATCCAGAAAATTGGTGTGAACCTCTCCATTCCCGGTTATTCTCAGCACCTCCTTGTATTCCGCATCGCCAAGACACTGGAAAAACAGCAAAATACCCGCCCAGATGAAATCAGCATAGCTCACTACATCGCCCAACAAGAACGGCCCAGACGTATTCTCCTCCAGCAACGCCGTGATCTCACGCGCAAACGGCTCCGCTCTGTCAAATGCTCCTGGGGAGTTCTTTTCTCCGTACTCGTAGAGAGGCATTCCCACGTCTTGTAAACGCGTTTCGAGGAAGAAATCGAGACTTTTTTCGCCGATGATGTTTTTGGCTACACCGGGGACGTAAATTGGAACCATTTCCGTCATGAATTTTATCATGGATGCTCTCAGCCGGTCCTGCATTGGGCTGTTCAAGTGTAAACTCGGCTCAGGGTGCTTTTCCTCGATGACATCGACGATCTTGTAAGAGTCCATTATGTATGAGCCGTCTGGCATTTGAATGGCTGGGAGGGTAAAGGGGGCGCCTCGTTCGTTTGGGGATACACTGAGTACCGGATTGTTACTGAAAGCTCAATTGATGTAACCAAGCTTTGTACTTACTGTTCACTAAGGCGTTCCTTGATTTCGGGATATTCGAGCTATACAAGTTAGCAAAATTATATTATAACTGCTTCGAAAACTTGCCCATTCGGTCTTATAATCAAGGCCTTTATAATTCAGAAGTAATCTCGCTGGAGACGATGTTAGTGCTGGACGCAGTCCATTAGTCACGGAGACTGACTTCTCCAGGTATTCATGGACCAGCAAACCTGGGGTGCCCTGCTCGGAATATCAAAGAATGTAATGTTGTTGGTGGACATGCTGCTGTTGGTTTGTGTCTTTCGATATGTGATATGATGTTGGCCCTTCTGTATAATGCAGATGCAGCCTCACGGGGATAAGTGAGGGAATTCACTAGTTGATAAGGTACCCCAAGATATAAATAGTAACAAGTTCATTATCGTTTGATTAATCAGCAAGCCAGACGCGGACCAATAACACAATGGCATCATATCTTCCCCTCACGCGATGGATGTTAGCACAATCCTTCAATGCCAAAAGCAGCAGGTGAGAATGCTGCGATGTTGTAAATACGGACTTATTAAGTGTCTCTTGTTAAGTATCTACTTATAGAGTAGTCTAGACTGTAAGCTGACATGGTGTCAAATTACATATTTATACGCCTTTATTGTCCTCTTTAACAACATCTATAAATTACCAATTTCACTATATGCTGAAGCCATCATGACTCGGTATCGCTACTATAATAGCAATCCCTACTTTCAAGAATCTCGATACATCTTGCAACATTCCTTGCTATAAAGCCAATATAGGCATTCGTGTCAAGGTCGGAGCTAACATCATGAGAAAGTAGTAGCTCTGTTGTACCCTCATGGCCAATATTATCAGCATAAGGTAGATCCATGCGTTGTGAACTCTGTCTATCTGGATGAACCTTGCCAGTTGCCAAAATTAGCCTGCTGCTGTAACATGATTATGAACTGTTGCATATATCACGGCTGTTAATCCAGTGTCGTCTTCTGCATCGGGATCCACTTGGTTTGTAGCAAGTAACTGTTCTATTACTGCTTCGCGTCTGGTTTCAGCAGCATACATGAGCGGTGTCCGATCCCACTCATCTACTATGTCTGCTGGTATACCCATCTCTAAATAGCTTGCCACTTCTGTGGCCAGTCCATATAATGCCGCCCAGTGCAGCCCTGTTGCTTCAGGATCACCGATTCTATGACGGAGCCTGATTCGATTATTCAGTAAAATGGATAAGTAAGACCGAGACCGGACTAGCCCTGCTACTCCTAGCCATGTACCTATATGGGCTTGGCTTCTGAGAAATGAGATTGGTGGACAATGAGGACCACTTTCAAAAGCATGATATCCCCAATTGGTGGCGGCATGGAAATACAATGGGTATAGATCCAGTCGCTCTCCAGGCCCCTTGACTCCAGCGGGCTTGGTTTCAAAGGCCGCAAATGAGAGATATGTATTGCAGATTGCAGTGATTTCCTTGTGACCCTGAACCCAGGCAGTCTCGTTCTTCTCTTCGTCTGTTGTGAGGCCCTTGGTAAATGTCGGGTCATCCGAAAATAGGAGACATCCTAGATTCTCTTGCAGGTACTTCATAGTTGTGTAATGGAGCAAGCTCACTGTGTCAGAAGTTTCTCGCATCTGGACTAAACCCATGCACACGTGAAGAATTATATTGGTGCACTGCAGATCTCCCTCACCAAGTGTTGAGCTCCCAACTCGTACACTGAGTGCGTGCTGTAGTTGTAAAGGGGTTAGTCGCTGCGGTGAGAGTGTGAGCTATACGAGCGCTTTTCTTGCTAAGTCCCGGTGTTCTCGTCCTTGATTTCTGATTCTGGTGATGGTTTTTCCGTATGCATCCTCGAACGCTTCTGGACCGCTGCGTAGTTCCCTCAGGGTAGTTAGTATTTGGTTAATTGTTGTTTTGTCTTTTAAGTTTTCAAGATAGAACGGCGCGAGTAGACACCTGTAGAGCCATTAGCTGATCGTTGTTCCTGAGACATATCGAATGAATATTGAGCTACTGACGTCCCCTTGACTACTTGTGTCATTCTCTGTCGGATTGACTTTTGAGTCTTTCTTTCGTATTCGCTGATAAGTCCGGGTTGTCATCGCTGAGGATCAGCAACTCTTTCATCCAGTTATCCACATACAGCATGATAACCTTGAGCATATACTTTCTGACTGAATGATGGCAGTAGTTTATTGTCGAGACTCCTATCAGGACGTAAAGTAATAAGAATGTTCACTGCGGCTTCAGATTGCAGTTTGCAGATTTCTGAAAGAAACATTCCTCTACTTTTGTCTGTTGCCTCAAGCTCATCCAAACTATCAATAACAATAAATACTCTTGTGAAAGAACTGGCCACCGCTTGAACAACTTGAAGCATCTCTTGCATCTTTAACTCCTCATTTCCTTGACGATGAGTCTTATAAAGCGATGCCACCATGTCTGGTAAAGGAGAATAGTACTGCGCCAGCTGTCTTAACACACTCGCGAGTAAGTTCTCAGCAGTTTGTTCCTCTCGCCTCTGGTAATGACAGTAAATATACGTAAGACTGATACTATCATCGTTCTTGAACTTTGTCCGAAGATACTCAGTCGTGGTTGCTGTTAGAATGGTCTTGCCTGTCCCAAGCATACCGGGGCAGTAAAGTGTTGTACCTTTTGATTGCAGCCATGCTTGGAAGCTTTCGCTTCTCAGAAACCATTGACCGGTGTCTGGCTGGCGTTGCTGGATAAAGTCTTTTTGTTGAGAGCTGTAGTCTTGCTTACTGATCTGACTAAGCACCTTGTTCTTCTTCTTTCTTTGCTTTGAAGTTTAAAGCTCCGACCTTTTCATGTATCTTAAGTATAGGCTCATGAACTACAACACAGCTTATTAGAGACTTAGTCGCAACAATGACACGCAAATCCAATTTGGTTACTAACCATGGGCCAGGAGATCTTCGATCGTCTTCTCAACTTCAACCCTTTGAGGAGAGATCTGCAAAATAAGCTCTTCGGCGTATGCAGCTGCCACTATCGCAGCATGGCCTTGCTACTCATCGTTTTTATGCGAGTCAGAGCAGTCGCATATGCCTCGATCACACAAGGAAAATGGTTATTCAAGCCTGCAGATTCCATCTCAAAGCATAGAACCTCCTCATCTGCTGAAAGTCTATCCCGTATGACAGCATCTTTCATTACTTGATCACCTGACGTGACAAGACCATAGTGAATCTTGAGATTGTCCTCCCTTGATGACCGTGCATCTCTTGGAATGAGATTGGAATTATGACAAGCCAAAAGGCAGCTTTTGCCAGGCGAAGCGCGCAGAAAATCAGCTTTGTAAAGCCTATAATTGTCCGGGGAGAGCCGCTGATACTTGTCTGTTAGTCTTGGATTCTGTTCCAGTATGACCTGGATGGTTTCTTCTATCTTGTGACCCTTTCTTGCATTTGTTGCCCTGAGTTTGGTCATGGCTGTCAAGATGGAAGTTGGTGGTTGGTTCAAAGAACCCTTGATCAACAATCCCTGACATTGTATCGCTTTGCCGTAGTCATACTGGATCACGCCTCCGTCACGTCGATCAGGTGAGCTGACGACAAGATCGCCTAGACGAATATCATGTTGCGTGGGAACACCACCGCCAATGCCTACCATCAGGCCAATCCTGACGTTTGAAAATGTGCGTACCATATCCCTGGCAACAGCTGCACTCGTGGTTCCATAATGTCCGGAAGGAAGTGCTGCGATTACAACGTTGCATTTGCCTATTCATCAGAGGGTATAGGTGTTGTTGTCGTTTGCTGGTGCATCAACTAGCTCAGAGTCCTCATAGTCAAGAAGTTCCAGAGCAGCGACCAGCTCTTCTTCAACGACACATATCCACGCTATAGTGTACAACTTATAATCTGGCATGATTGCATCTAAAGAGTCGCTATCAATTATGTAGAAACAGCCATGGAAGTGTAATTACCTGGTTCGGTACGCAGTTCAGGCCAAAGTTGACCTTTCTGAGTTGGAAAGATGGTGAAAGAAGAGGAATAAAGCGGGAAATAGTTCATGTTTATATTGAGTGGTCCTAGAACACAGCCCTATTGCCAAGACAGAGAGGTATCACGGCGTCTAACATGAATCGATCAGCTCACAGAACAGGGTTCTCTCCTAAGTAAGCCATGTAATCAAGCTGTCATGTGGCTTGACTTCATTGGCTGAGGAAGAATGATGCGTTATTCGCGCCAGAGTAAGGAGCTTGACGAGGATAATTGCCAACAGCGAGGCCTTTATGCTCTATCAGCATGGCAAACCCTTCTGGCTCATCAGAATCCTCCTGTATACATCTTTTTTCACATAATAGCCCATGATGAGTGTTTGTGGCATTCTGGTGTTGACATCTTCAAGAGACGGACCCGTATCTGGTATGTTCCGAATAGCCATTGCCGCGCAGTCTTTGCAACAGCTTGGTGGAAATAGTGATTGCATGTTCGTGGTAAGTTTTCCGACCAATCGTTCATCATCCCTAGCGGGCCGACCTTAGGGAGCAAGAAAACTTCTGACCTAGAGGCAAGGTGCCAAAGATAACTAGTTTAAGGTCCACTAAAACTACACTAAACTTACCTAAGTCTTTTTATCATTTATGATAGGCGTCTTAAGTTTTCTGGCCTCCCCTAGGCCGGTTAAAATGAAGTCTACAGTACCAGTGTCCAATTAAAGGCCATTGAGATTGAGTTAACCCCGAAAAATGATGATATTGCCTTTGCATTTACCAGAGATATAGCCTAGACTAATTTATAATCCTCCAGGCAGGAACGGTAAATACCTATTTACTGTTAAGTACACCTCTGCAGGCTGTAACCGTAGTGAGATCAAGTCTTCGATGTAGATATAGAAACGACAAAGGCAGTACACAAAACACGTGATACTGATGGGGATGATTACACGGAGGGGAACCTCCATTGTCGGGTCTTGGTCCTCCGATAGGTTCCTCCAGACCCTAGCTCGTTCAACAAAGCGCAAGAACCTGCGTCGTCCGAAGGTGATTCGGCGTTGAGACTCCATCTCAATGGATTCCATACTGTTGGTTCTGAGTTGACTGCTGAGCTCAGCAATCGGTGCTGCTTCTTTCCTTTTGCTAGGTCTGAACATCTCAATCGCATAGTAGGCTCCTCCATAGATACTAAACGCGGCATGATAAGCACTGCAGATCCTCCACAAAAGCTTCTCGGAGGCAGTTGGGAACTGAAAGTTCCATGCGAGGACGAATATGACGCTGAAGCCAATTAAAATCAGCGCCGCTCCTGGAGCATACCACGGCTCGGGGGATAGCCATATGTCTGAAGGTACTCGATCCCAAGGTCTTCGGGAAATAGGTCGAGATACGAAATTGATCCGCAGCTTATGTGCTAATGAGACATAATATCTCCAATGAGCGTCTATACCGAACCGTCTTTGGCTGATAAAGTCTAAAGGAGTCCGATAATAATCGAGTGGAAGCCCAGGGTGCGTCTGTACATTTATCCGTTAGTCTTCGTTTTCAATACTGCTCGGAAATCGGATCAACCCACGTTACATCTAGCATACTCACGAATTTCTTCGATTGTGATATTGTCTTTTGTGCTGATGAACTGAGGTTTGGATATAGAAGGTTTATGATACCAGAGAGCTGATATTATAAAAGTAATAAAGCAAAATGATAGTGTTGTTAACTCCAAGGTTGAAATCGCATATCCTTTATGAATGCGAGCAAGTTCTTTGATAGTAAACCATGCGGCTTGAAAAACCGTAATAATGCTGCCAAGGGATGAGCTCAATACACTGGGGACAAGTCTATCGAGGCAAGGCGTACGACAAGCGTCAGCTTCACCTTGCACCTCTATGGTATACTGACCGTGAGAGTGTATCCACTGAATTCCGCTCCTTGATCTCCAATTTGTCTACGTCCGGGAAATCGACGAAACCGGATTTAACGAGGTAGTGGAATTGTTCAGCGTTGATTGGGAAGCTTTTGCCATCGGCCTCAGAGTAGTCAGGCGCTGTGAGATGAAGACAGCCCATATCAACAAAGAAAGCGTGTATGAGCTTCCATTTATACCCTCTGCTCAAGTGGCTGTCTCTCTTAAAAGCCTGTCACGAGAGGGTCAGTTGCCAGTTATTACCATGTTCTAGTGTAAGCCTTTTACCTTGACACTTGAACGAGCACTGGAAAATTGCCCTAAAGCGATGCCGAAAAGGAAATCGGGGCCAAGAAATGTGATAATGGCGAGATTGAACTTGTCGAGAACCGGGTGGTACCATTTGTCGTGAGGCGAGCCAGCATTAGGATACGTGGAAACCCAAGCGCATAGCAGCAAAGTAACAAGACAGGACCATAAGACGTCGAGAGAGCCTCTGTCATCGCTGCTGTCTTTCCAGCCAACCAATGGCTGATGGTCAGAGGTGTTTGAGCTCATGGTGGCTGGCCAGAGGCAGCACGGTAACAGTGAAGTAATTGCTACAACGTGACGACATGTTGACTGGTATAGGTATATTTATCATCCAGCCTTTTCTGTCAACCTGTCTACCAGGACGAATGAACGATCCATGCTTTCTCGCTCTTGGCCCCCATGGTGCAACATCTTCAGCAGAGCCAACATGCATATTCGCAACCAACAATCACATCTGTGAAACAAATTGTGTGATGACAATTGTCAGTCCAGGAGTCTTTCAATTGCCAAATTCGTCTGCCTGATGCATGTTGGTTCCTCGACTCGATACTTATAAATAATAATTGGTTCTTTCATACACTCGACACGGATGTACCATGCTCCTGCAACGCAATCACATGCAAGTAAACGCTTCGGGCGAACAGGGCGCCTACGTATTCGTATGTGCGTGCTTTGGAGGGGCTGAGCGCTAAATACATGGCGCTGAGTGGACGGTTTGATTCAGCGGGTTAGATCCGCAACGCGGGACAAGAGGCTGCACCCGTCAAATTGAGCGCAGCTTGACCAATCGGATTGAGGAGACTTGCTCAACAGGCAAATTTGCTAAGCCCCTGGAGAGCTCCTGTTGAAACCAACCAAGCAATTTGTTGCAAGACGTAAGACACACACGTGTCGTCTCTCGTCGCGAACATTTCCTGTTTCAATATCTGCACGAATCCCCTCAGCTCGTCTCTTTCGAATCCTCACCATTCATCCCACTCGCCGAGACCTGCGACTGTGTCTTCTCCTGTCTCCTTTCAGCTCACGACAGCTCCAGCTCCCCCCCCGCGCTCCCCGCCTCGACTCGACCCGACCTGCCCGACCGACCGGTTTATACAACCCAAGCCGCCCCTCAAGATGGCGACCGAGTCTGAGCCATTGATCAATCCCAATCCCAAGCTCCAAACCTACTACAACACCTTCGAATCGAGAATTGGTTACAAGCTGTTCCTCGGCGACACGCGCCATTTCGGCTACTATGAACATGACACACGATGGCCATTCCCCATTGGCCGCGCGCTTCGGCGCATGGAGGACAAGCTTGGTGAAGCGCTGAACCTCCCCTCTGGGGCCCAGGTTCTCGATGCTGGCTGTGGTGTCGGACACGTCGCTATACACATGGCCACCAAGTTCAAGTACCGCGTGCAAGCATTCGACGTGGTCCCCCATCATGTTGCCAAAGCCAAGCGCAACGTTGCCCGTGCTGGCTTGCCTGACGGTCAGGTCAGTGTGCGGCGGATGGACTACCACCACCTTGAGTCTTTGGAAGACCAGTCAGTCGATGGCATCTACACTATGGAGACGTTCGTGCACGCTACAGACCCCAAAGGCGTCCTTGCCGGCTTCTACCAAAAGCTCCGGCCCGGTGGCCACATAGCGCTCTTTGAGTATGACCACGAGTTTATTGGCAATTCCACCGATGACATGGCCAATTCGATGCGTAAGATCAATGACATTGCTGCCATGCCAACAAATGATCTATCACATCCTGGTTTTTTCAAAGACATGCTTGAGGAGGCCGGGTTTACCGATGTCGTTGTGAGAGACTACTCGGACAACATCAAGCCTATGACACGGCTGTTCTACTTGGTCGCCTACATCCCCTGGCTGTTCGTCACTTTACTGGGCTTGGAGAAGCATTTCATTAATACAGTGGCTGGTGTGGAGTCATATCGGGGCCATGGACGTTGGCACTATGTAGCCATCTCGGCCACAAAACCCGGAGGCACAATTGAGAGCCCGAAGGAACGATAACTCATCTGCAAGGAGAAATGAAACGACCAACGCCCCAAGCAATTGACAACGAAAGGCGACGAGACAGTATTGAGATGTGGATTAGGAAGGGGTTTCTGGCTGCTTGGGCGAGGGACAATTAACACGAGTCTATGAGGTATAAAAGGAAGCAGTATACTCTTTAGTTTACTAAGAAAGAAATATCAAGAGTATTTTCAAGGGCAGCTCGGCTTTTTGTCATGACCAACTAGTTCCACAGAATTAAGCTTAAAATGAGGTTCAATACATGGCTAGTATGAAATCGAGATCAGTTTATCTGGCTGGTTCACCTTAGATAAAGGAAATCAAGCTAAGATAAGCACAGTCAGGTTAACCTAGACCATAGATTTCCATATAATCTTCTTAAAATAGACACTAAGTTACCTAGGAATATAGAAGCAAGCATCAAAGATTGAATATATTACTGAAGGAAAAAGGTTACTAAGGTGAAAACTATAGCTCGAACCATTTATGTCTAAGAACCTCCTCTGTACTAATCCGTTCCTGAAGATTATACTCAAATAACTGATTTAAAAGTTCCGCCATCAACTTCTGCTCAACTTCAGGAGTTTTCAACGACTGCTTAGGTTCCTCCTTGTACTTTTCACCCGCATCAAAAACCTCCATCGGTTTGCTCAGCGCCACCTCGAGCGACCAATCCTCTTCGTCACGACGCCATGTCCCATCGGGGTCGAAATACTCTTCACGCGCCTCCCATTTCGCCCACAAATCTTCTGGGAGCTTGCCAAAGAATCTCACCATCTCTGCCAATAACTCGTCTCTGTCGTAAATCATGTAGAAGAGCGGAAGCTGCTCTCTGATTTCGAACAGTGTACACCCAAGAGCCCAGAGATCACAGGCTGGGCCAATTGGATCGCGGCATTCTAGAAGAATCTCTGGTGGGAGATAATTCTCTGGGATACCGAGGTCTTCCGGTGGCGATGAGAACTTGAATGACTCGCCAAAGTCAATCACACAAATCTCTTCTGTGAGGAATTCGTCCCCGAGTTGGGAGATGTCGGCTGGCTGTACGAGGTACCTAGGGCTAGATGCTGGAAGCTCTACTCCTGATTCTGTCTGCACCTGGATCTTTTCGGGGTGCCCTAGCTGGGAGAGCAACTCATCCTCAGAGAGGTGATCCAGATTGGCCAACTTGACTAAAATGTTGGATGGGCGAAAGTCTTGCAAAGCATGTTAGGAATGTCAATTGATAACCTGAGTGGTAGACTTACCTCCGTGACAAATCCGATTCTTATGGAGGAAATTCAATGCTTGGGTTGTCTGATGAGCGAACTTTCGTAAGACAGCAGCAGGGTCCTTTTCCAACCGCATCCACAAACGGGGCGATACACAAGGCCCAAGTGGTGGGAGTGCCAGACATTGATGATTTCCATTTGGCCCTTCAATGGAGAATGAATCAAGCGGCGATGCAATGTACTTGGCGCCAGGCATGGACTGGTCGAGTTCCGGCAAGCTGCAGTCAAGAATCTCATCGGACTTCAAATCACTGACCATGACCTTGAGCGCGATGTAGCGAGCTTCAAATGAGTCCCGACAAAGCCACACTGTACCGAAGCCTCCATGGCCGAGTTTGTGAATAATTCGATAGCGATCTGATGGACCAAGCACGTCTCCAATATGGATGGGATGATAGCCACCTTCTTGGTAGTCCTCTAAGGGTTCCAGACCCTCATTTGAGCCGTGGAGGAAAGTGCCTTGCGAGGTTGCTGGAGCATGGTCGAGATCACCAGAGTAGTCAAGCGCCATTTCATCCCCAAACTGATCTTCAGTCGAACAAGGGCCATGCGAGCCCTGCGAACCCATGGTTTAGACCAGGGGCAATGGGAGGAGGTGTGAGTCGATTGGACAGAATCCTTCCCATGTGAGGTATGCTTGAGGAACACGCTGCAAGTTATAGTGCCTAACAGTTGCAATGAAACGGCGACAAGGCAGTGTGAAGGTGTGGATTAAGAGGTTAGATCAGGCACCATCAACATGAGTTTGAGAGGCATGAAAGTCAAATCCCTATATCACCTGACACAAAATTACCCCTCATTTATACCCAAGACCAGGTCTTATTGGTCTATTAGAGAAGGCGGTATATTCTTAGAAACATCAAGAGTGATCTCAGGAGCTGCTTAGTATCTTCCTAGCTGCTGCTTCACCAGCAATAACAGCACCCTCCATGAATCCCGCCCAATAGCTCGACGCTTCAGTACCAGCAAAATAGATCCCACCAATCGGCTTCGTCAGCGCAGGCCCGAACTGAGTCCAAACATTCGGCGGGAACGATCCCGTATGGCCCCCCCGAGAAAACTCCTCGTTATCCCATCTCTGAAGAACCCATGACTGGACCTCTCTCGCCTTGGGACCAAAGTATCTAACAAAGTCCTCCGTTACAGCAGCAAAGATTTCTTCTTCAGAGGCATCATCGAGTCTTCGCATCTCGTTGGCTTCCAGAAAACCCATCAAAGCACCGAAGCTTGCATCAGGGGGAGAACTGTCGAATGTAGACTGGGAGACACCCTCGAGACTCGCGACTTCACCGCTGAGGCCCTGGTCGCGCCAGAATGGGGTTTTGTAAATTGCAATGACTTTTCCGATTGAACCCATTGGTACACGCTGACAAAGCTGATCTCGTGCGGCGGGGAGGGGAGGCTGGTAGACGATTCGACCTGCAAGCGTGGGTGGAATGGCGATGATGACCTTGCTTGCTTGAACACGGAATGAATCGCCAACAACAAGATATGTCCCATCATTCTGGAGGATCTGTCGAACAGGTGCCTGAAGGCGGACTTTGTCACTGCCAAGACGTTCCGCCAGTTTGGTGGCGATGTTCTGTGGTCCGCCCTGGATTCGCTCTTCAAGAGATCCATTCTTGACGTTGGTCAACATCTCCATTCGGCCTTTTGTTTCTGGGTCTCCAGTTCGTGCAACGTTGATCACAGCGCTCAACAGTGAAACGTCCTCGCATTCTGCCGACATGATAGCTCTGTTTGTCATGTCAATCACTCCTCGGGCTGTACCATCGCGAGCAAAGCCATCGAGCCATGAAGACAGCGTTTGACGATCCCATTCCTTCGCCTTTGGGTGAGTCCACGGCTGATGCACGTCAATCTCACTCGCTATCTCATTGAGCTGTATTGTGATATCAGCTAGAGTCGCTATATCCTCTTCAGACAAGGGAGGTATTCCTTGCGTCTTAGCAGGATCGTACAGTAGACGACCCTGACCAGGTATCCACATGAGCATATCGCCCTCGATGTATGTCGGGAAGGTTTTGATGCCCAGATCACTGGCCAAAGCAAGCAATCTCTTGTGGTTCTTGCAGACGAATTCAGCTCCGGCCTCGACTTTGTGGCCGTTCCCATTCTTGACCTCCACGTCGTAGACCTTTCCGCCGACTCGATCTCGGGCTTCAAGGACAAGGACTGATTTGCCAGCAGCGACGAGATCTTTAGCAGCCGCAAGACCGCTGAGGCCCCCGCCGACGATAGCTACGTCGACGGGCTCATGTGTCCACTGCGTGGTGGGCGAAGAGGCGGATACTGTCATTTTTTGAACGAAAATGTACAAAGGGTAGGAATTGGAGATGATTCGAAAGTCGGAAAATATGTCTGCGAAGAACTTGTGATTTAATTATATCATTTTCTTACGAAATACAAGAGATATATATATATATGGTCTGGTATTGGATTTATAGATTGGAGCGGCGTTAAAAAGCTGTTTCTCTAATCTTAAGATGGATTTGGAGGTCTGCACATGGAGTCATTTGTGGATTGCCGCGGCTGTCAGAATGACCTGCTTTGGGCCGCATATAGTATCTTTCGAAGCGATCTCACTCTCAAGTCCGAGGATGAATGGGAAAGAAGGACCGAGCATGCAATATGCTATTGTAATAGCCTTTTTCGTCTGGGCCGTCGCAGCGATGGTATATCCTTGACTTCTATTCAAGGCTCTAAAACGGGTATCGCTATATATTCCACTCCACCAACTCCCCAATTTGGGCAGTCCACAGCGAGATCCACAATTATGCAGCTAACCTGTTTTGGGGGCATTCACATGGCTTCTGCAACTGTTGTTGTACTTGGTTCTGATCATCAATGGCTATTAGGCTACTGCGAAATCGGCAATTGCTCTCCCCAGATTTGGGAAGAGATGAACCTCGGCAGGTAGATCACTATAAGAAGTTGTATCTAACTATGAAAGAAAGAAACAAAGAGAAAGAGCTCTTATGACTTTGCAATTCTAGTTACCTCAATACTATTCGTGATCCCAAACGTCCAGAATCATGGCTTCCCAAATCGAGAACAGCTTCTTGCATGAAGTCGAGAAAACGAGTGAGTCTTTGAAATGCACTTTTGTATTGATCCATTACTAAGACACTGCGTTGTCAATATTGATGTTGATTCGCTCAATACCGAATTCATACGATCTCTACCAATTACTCCCAACGATCAAACATGCAATCCGGCCTGGCTGTCCCTAGCTCTCCAGGATCCATCAAATGCAGACTTGATCAAGGCTACAGCGCTTGAGCTTCAGAACCAGGGGCTTCTTGCGATATGCTCACGACTGGTAAGAACACAGATATTCCTAGCATCATTCTCCTATTCCTAACTGTCACAGGCCGTTCATCTCTGCAAAAGAAACATCAACCTGATCAAAGGCCGCGTCTTGGTTCAAACGAGCCCGTCAGCTGCATACAATTTCCAAGAGACTTTGGATCATGCACGCTTGTACGTATCTGAGTTTGAGAAGGCTGGGATCCCAAAGAACAGATATTGTATCAAGATCATGGCTACGGGTCCTGGAATGAATGCTGCCAAAGTTCTTCAAGATGAAGGCATCCCGACCTTGGGAACCGGCGTGTTTAGCGTGGTTCAGGCTGTGGCGTGCAGCCAGGCGGGTTGCTTATACATCAGCCCATATTACAACGGTAAGACAGCCCGTGACATATTTGTTTCATGTTGGCTTAGCTGACTTGTAGTCCTTCAGAAATACGAACCCACCTGAACCCATCTCTGTGGCCCGATGTCCAGGATCCTGCATTGGAGCACCCGTTCTCCCATCGTATCGCTCAGATGGTTCAGGCATATAAGACCTTGTTTGCTAAAACTGGCAAAGAGCAGCCATTAGTTAAGAATGCTGGGTAAGAACTTTCGCCTCTATATATATCAACTTCATCCCAGCTCACAGCAATAGCTTTCGCTCGCACAGAGAAGTGCTTGCCTCGGCTGAACTCGGCTGCCATTCTGCAACTATTTCCCAGGATCTATTGGAGGAGCTTAAGACTTTAACACCAGGAGAAGTTCCACTGCCCGCTGCTCTTAAGGTAGCCTGCTTGAAGCATCCTTATGCTGACAATGTACCTATTCCTTCGCCAAGACTAGGAGAACTGCTCACTCGACATCTTGATGCCACTCTGAATGAAGGAAAAGAATGGTCTGCAAAGGATTTGACGGCTGATTTATTGGTTGATGAAGGCAAAGCGTTGGAGAATTTTATGAATGGAGATCCGGAAGCGGCTCGCATGGTCAAGGAAGCTCTGGATATGTTTATTTTCTGTGAGGAGGAGACACAAAAGCTCATCAAAGGGGCAGCCTTAGTCGCAAGTCTATAAGTAATCTCGATAGTTATACGAATCCACACTTGAAGCTCTTCATGCTCGAGATATTTCATATTAACGTCATTAGTATTATGTCTGCCTTTTGTCCTTAATTAATTGCATAGGCAGATAATACTCTGCCTCGAATGTGCTTTTTATGTATCTAGAGTTCATTGTAGTGGAGAACTAACACTACTCGACAGCATTGCCTCGTCCGCATTACACATTTAATTATATATTGTATTTTACGGCGTGATTCTGCTCCAGAGCTGAGGCCCGTCACAAACCTCTCGTTAATGCTATCGGGCAATCAGCCACGACGGTCTTAAACTCAGTGGAGTCCGCAAGGCTTCTATCAACCCAGACCCCGCATCGGTAGTCCGCGGGCACCTTGTACAGGAGACCAACCCGTTGGCGAGCCCAATCGTTTAGGATTGCCTCTTTCGGATGGATGGGCTCAAGACGTTTGTCCAAAAAACTCATTCACTTCGAGCAGTTAGGCAGGTAGGCTCGTGGTGATGGGTATATAAATAAAGTAAGCAATTTATATATATATAAGCAAGGCTAAGTGCCTTTAAAATATAATTCTTATCAAGCAACTCGATAACACAAACAGAACTCATACCATTTTGTTAGTGCCCACGATGTCTCAGCTGGTACGTTCCTCTGCCTTGGAAAAGACTACGGAAGGGAGAATTGGTTGTCTAAACTTTTGCAGCAACCAACAAACCGTCCAATCAATCATATAGCAATTTCCTGCACTGATATCGATGGACTCGTCAAATGGTATAAAAATGTTCTCGGTTTCGAGGTTATTAGCGATATCCAGCATTGCATCAAAACAAAAGACCCAACCCCATTTGAGACAATCTTCGTCTCATACCCACCATCACTCCAGGAGCTTAAATTCGCCATTCTCACAACTGGCAACGGCGTATGTATCGAATGTTTTCAGTTTATCGACCCGCCGCCAAAACCGCGAGATGAGGATTTTGAATATACCAGGGCTGGCGTTTTCCATATCTGTGTAACTGATAGAAACCCCGAGATACTGTTAAAGAAAATTGTAGATGAGGGTGGAAGGACGTTGGGAGGGTGGATGGATTATTCAAGGTTTGGGCTCGAGGGACATAAGGGGATATATACACAGGACCCATGGGGTAATGTGGTTGAGATTATGAGTTTAAGTCTCGAGAGGGTTTCTTCAACTGGAACAGCGTTGATGAATGCTGCGAAGATGCTTGCAAAGGGCAAGCTGTAAGTAATCACCCTAAAATAAGTATATACATTTGTCAAGGGCATGATGAGGCTGCATATTAATCGAGTAATTGTAGCCAGCGAATTTATTCTATATTGGGAAAGGCTCTAAAAGTAGATTTATATAGAGATTAAGTAACCATGTAACCGCCATCAACTGGCAATGCAATACCGGTGATCCACATCGATTGTTCGTTCGCGAGGAAAATGGCCGCTTTAGCAACATCTGCGGCCATCCCTAGCGTCCCCCAAGGATGTTTAGCAACAGTTGTAGCGTTGAGTGTCTCGTCTTCGAGCATCACTCGATCCATCTCGGTCTTGATGACTTGGGAGATAATTGCGTATTAGTTGATGGAGGTCAAAAAGTAAGAACAACTGAGTAAGGAGGGTAGCCCTGAAACTCACAGCCGGGACAAATGGCATTAACATGGATCTTGGATGGACCATATTCGCGAGCAGTGCACTTTGTCATTTGAACAACTGCAGCTTTGGTGGCGCTGTAGGAAACTATCGAGCAAGGCCGTTAGCGAGCAGGGTAACATTTTGCCCATTTGGTAGACTGACTATGCTCAACTTCTGACTTCAAGCCATAGACGGACGCGATATTGATGATCCATCCCCGTTCTCCTGTTGACCAGGGTGTTTGGCGAAGCAATTGACGGATGGCATATTTGCAACCCAGGAACACCGACCTGGCATTGATGGCCCAGGTAGTATCAAAAGTTGAATCATCCGTGTCGGCAATGAGCTTCGGCCCCAGCTTTCCGTGTGACTCAAGGGAGATGCCTGCGTTGTTAACGAGCACATCTAGCCTGCCAAATCTCTCCACTGTTGTGTGGATAAGGGTTTGGATATCTTCAGAACAGGAAACGTCTGTTCGGACATAGATAGCTTCACCATCTGTCTCATTGTTGATCAAGTCAACAGTGGCCGTTGTGGTATTCGGGTTGTCGGAGCGAAGATCTGCGCAGACAATTTTCCATCCTAGGTCACCATAGTTTATAGCAATGGCTCGACCCAGGCCTGAAGATGCACCCGTTACAATTGCAACTTTGTGGACCATTTTTGGCTGATAAAAAGAATGGACGTGATTAGGAAACCCAGAAAGATACTGACGCGAACGATGGACTTAATTTTGTAGTAAAGTTACAACTGTGTCGAGTAATTTTAGTCTACGTTGAAACGAGATACTGATATTTAAGTGGAAATCAATTACTTGGCCACGAGTATAGAGTTTTGTATATCTATGTCTCGCACTTTAAACAGATTAGGAATAGTATTAATTAATTACTTAGCCACGAGTATAGAGTTTTATACATCTCTATATCTCGCACTTTGAACAGATTAGGAACAGTGTCAATCACCGCTAGGCTTGCTTGATTGGGACCATTCCAAAAGCAAGATAGTCAACTTTTTATTCGCCACGTAATAGAGGTTCGGAATAACTCCATATCGAGCTAGTGAGCAAGCTGAGGAACAAATCGGCGAGGAATATAAGGTATTGCGCGAGGCGAGATGAAAGTGACTACTCAATCTTGTTATCACCATGCTCCGCCTCTTCCTATACCTTCAGCTATTAAAATATCCCTCCGATTAGACACGATCCCGTCCAATCTCTACCAGATCTAAGACGCTTCTTCTTGATCGTTGGTCTGGCTATTTGGATATGGATGATGAACTCAGTGGCAAAGTCGCCCTTGTGACAGGCGCATCGGGGGGCATTGGCTTCGCTTGTGCTCGACTCCTTGCATCAAAGGGCGCCAGTGTCGCTCTTCTGGACCTAGCCGATGCCACAGACCAATCCCAAGAACTGAACCAGCGCTATGGGTCTCGAACAATGTTTATTAAACTTGACATCACTCATATTGGTGCTGTTGAAGAAGCGGTGGGAATGGCCGTATCATGGAAAGGGCGCCTTGACTTTGCTATTAATGCAGCGGGCATTTTGCCTGCTGGGGTCAATATAGATTGTATCGACACTTCTATCTGGCGTCGGGTGATCGACATTAACTTGAATGGGACGTTCTATTGCATGCAGCAGGAGATTCGCATGTTTCTTGAGCTTGGGATCTCTGGCTCTATCGTCAACGTTTCCTCGGACGCCGGGACCATTGGCACAGTAGGTTGTGCAGCCTACGTTGCTTCCAAGCACGCAGTCAACGGTTTTACCAAGACGGCGGCACTTGAATACGCAACGAAAGGCATCCGTGTCAATGCGGTAGCGCCTGGGAATATCGACACGCCCATGTTGAGCCAGCTTGGTATGTCCGCGGAGGCACTGGGACACGCGACCCAGCCTTCGGGAAAATTGGGAAAGCCTGGAAACGTGGCCGAGTTGATTGTGTTCTTGCTTTCGGAGCGCGCCGAGTTTATGAATGGATCTATTGTAGCCATTGATGGTGGCACTACAATTGCGGGTTACTCAAACGGCGATGCATCACAGGTATTCATGGAAGTAAAGTGACAATATTACTACAAAAGCTTTACTTACTTAATACCTTGCTATGTGAGCAATGGAACTTATTTTAAACTGCATACGATTAATCTATTCCGAAGACGTATAAGAACAAGGCAAAGAATGTCCGTATTTTAGTGTCCCTTTAGGAGTCATGGTTACGCGTTGAAAATGGTCCGTATCTGAAGTAAAAAGGAAAAACAGTTCAAAGAGTACCTCGGTATTGGTCTAAATGATCACATCAGGTCAACTTCGCATCATCGATGGCTTCGTGATATTGAACGAGGGTTACTCAGAGTTCTCTGAAACAAAATGTCTTCAAACCTCCGACGTACAGATGGAATTTCGGATGAAACGGTTTCTTCTATAGTTATATGCCAAGAAACTATGGACTCTCAAGTCGGTTTCCGAACATAACAGGCTTCAACTCGCTGAAAATTAGAGGAACAAATCCTCAATCAAGAAGGCAGGTTCTAATATGGGAACATGTGAGTGCAAGGTTATGTTTCAACACTATAGTCGTAGATAAGTTATATTTTCCCATACAACAACATTATCTGATAACACTGAAGCAAACATGGTTTAATCGTACTGCTCCGGCTGTGGGGTCTGATATTCTTTGCGGCCGAATGCAATCCAGTATAACAAAGCATACAGCAAAACTCCTACAATTACACAAGACACATAGTTCATCAAATCTGCTTGAACCGGGACGAATAAAGGGAAGCAATAGAAAACAAGTGCAATCGTAGTCCAAACCAAGACAACAATGTTCGCAATCAGACCAAGCTTGGGGTACCAGAAAGGGCCTGGGGTGATGTTCGACCGGCCGTACCACAAAAGACACGCTATGCTGGTAAAGTAGGTCATGTACTGTAGAAGGATGCCGCCTGAAACAAGAGAATTGAAAGCAAGCTGCGAGCCCATGTAGATACACCCAAGGACAGCTGTCCAGGAACAAGACCAGACGTGGGCATAGATTGGAGTACCGTAAGGTTCTGGAGCAATTTGAGAAAGAAATCGATGAAATGGAAATCCTTTGTCTTTGCTGAAAGCCCAAGCAATGCGAGACTGCCAAGTATGGATGCCAATGATAGCGCCTGCAGCGGATATCAATACCAAGCTCTGCAATCCTAACGCAGCAGCAGTGTTCTGTTTGAACGCATCTTGGAAGATCTGTAGCGATGGCGTGGCAGAGTTGACAATGTTATCGACTGAGGGAGCCGCCAGGAAGAGCGCAAGGATTATAGGAAGTCCAGTCGCGCTGCCAAGAGCAACTGTTACTAGTAGAGCTTGAGGTATGTTTCTTCGAGGGTTTGGAATCTCGTCAGCCAGATGCACCACAGCGTCGAGGCAGGAGAAGGCCCAGTTAGGGGCGTTGAGTCCGATCATGAAGGCCACACCATTGGACCAGCCCGAGATGTTGTACAGGTTGACAAAGAGATTGTCTGCAGATTGTTTCTGTGGGCTCGCCGCCAAAACGCCAACAAATACAACTATCACGGTGCAGACGGTGAAGACGAGGAGAAAACGGCTGACCCAGGGGAGAACACGCTCAAAGCAATTGAAGGTGAATGCCAGCAGGTTCAGAACCTGGAACCCCACGAACCCCATCCAAGGACTATAATTGAAGTCGGGGTTTGTAATAGAGACCATGGCGAAGATGGTGGTTGGCACGGCGAGGCAGACCGAAGCACTAGTGCATACAGCCCCAGCCCATCCCACAATGCCAGTGATATAGGAAAGAAAGCGTCTATGCTTTGGAGGAGCTAGAACAGCGACCCAGAAGTATTGACCGCCCGAGTGAGGCAGAGCTGAGGCAAGCTCGCCTAGGCTGATGGCAACACATACAGCGATGATTGCCATGATGAGGAAGCCGTAGATGAAGAGGGGGGGGCCGCCAAGAGCGACGCCGCTGGCGAGACCCACGATGAGGGTGATGGCTGTATTGGTGATCGAGTGGCCGATGCCCATGGCCGTCCAAACGGTAAACGGCTTTTGGTGCATCTGGTAGTGGGATCCATCCATGATAGAGATACTTGGCGACTGGTGCAAATGGCCATGCTGTTGGCTCTTTCGTTCTTTGGAAGAGGCTTCTGTTTCCATGGTATCGTCGCTACTGCGCAACTAAAGAAGAAAGATTGAATATGCAACGATAAAAAGGGGATATGAAGGATAGAGTGGTCAGAGGGTGGTGTTAGAGTTATGAGAAGGTGATGATTGGAAAGCACCGTGTTTAAATACACCATCTTGGGGTATCAACTGTAGAAGTACTTGCTAGCCATAACGTTAAACTTTAGGCTGCGAACACGGGTGATTGGGTATCAAGCTGACAAGAATTAAGCGTCAAGAGGCTCGACAGTTACTATGCATGAACCTGAGCCACGATAGTATAGATCGGAACCATGCAGAAGATACTGGGGAAAACCTGGAGGCGGACACCCTTGACTCCAATGGCTTGCTATTGGCTAGAGATGGTGGTGGTTCGTGACTCTTGGACTAGCGGAAACTTCCACCGCTCGGAGAAGAGAGATTAGCTTGGACCCACACCATCGACAGTCTCGCACATTGTCCAAATTAGGATAAAAGCCTGACCACCGCCAAGGATCGGCATTGTGATGGAAGATAACATATGAGCCTAGATTTGTTCGCATTTCTTCCAAAACAGTCAACTTTATAGGCATCTTAAAATGGTCAGAGAGACGAGCGACTTCCGAACCGTCTGAGTTAAATAGCCTCATTTGCTCGACGTCAAGGAACCCAGCCACGATCCTGACGCTCACCTCTCCCATCATCATCATCATCATCTATCTACCTCGATTGCCCGTAGCCAACCACCGCTATCAAAATGTCATTTGTCGCTTCCCCAGAACAAGTTCGCACCTTTGAGGAGTTCTCTTCCAAGCCCTCCTTCTCCCAAGAAGCCATCGTTATCGACTTCACTACCACCCCTGAATATGTCCGCAGCGTCCTGCCGCCCGGTCTGCAGCCGGGCGACACCCCCACCGGCCATATCCTCATGGCCACTATGGAGAGCAAGCTGTGCGGAGAGTTTGACTGTGCCATTGTGAGCCTCGACGTCAAGTTCCGTGGCAAGGCCGGCACCTTTATGCTCGAGATTATTATTAGTAATGATCTTCCCGTCACCTGGGGTCGTGAGGTCTGGGGCGAGGCCAAGAAAACTGGCACATGTCGACTCTGGCGATCTGGAGATTGGCGTTATGCCTATGCTGAGCGCAATGGCGTTCGTCTTATCGAGGTGCAAGCCAAGTTCGACGAGGATCTTGCGCCCGGGGTTCGCGACTCGGTTAACTTTGAGATCAAAGCTTACCCTCACGCCCAAGGCAAGGGCCTCCAATGGGAGCCTCTCATCAGCACCCTCGAAGTTCGTGAACACGATGTCCACCACTCCGTTGGCCATGGCCGTCTTACTATTCGAGGTACCACTGCCGACCCTCTTCACAGCATCCCAATCGAGTCTGTCGGCGATTTCAAGTACACCACTGGTCGGGCGGATTATACTGTCGTGTCTGTGGACGAACTTGGCGTTGGCCAGGCCTATCTGCCCCATCTGATCGGTCGTCACTACGAAGATGTTCGAGTTCATAAGGTTGGCGCTGAATGGACTGAGCTCAAGGATGAGGAGGTGGAGGAAGAGTCATACCCTGTACGGAGGTTCCTCACACCCGGATTTAAGAACTTGAAGTAATATCATCAAGGGAAAGGAAACACAGATCCCAGTCCAGGCCTTTCGAAAAATACAACCGTACTACTTATGAGAGCTATGTTTTCTTATGCCTTGTAATATTTGTGACTGAGTCTTGGAAACGCACTAGTAGTTGATTGCATTGTGAATAAAAACTACGGCATCCCCACATATCGAACCTAAAAGTCGATAATAAAACTGCATGAATGGCTCTCTTTCACCTTCCAATATTCGAGCCGTCGTTAGAGGTTTCGTGTGAACTGGAGCGGTAAGCCCTCATCAGTGACTGGCTTGACCATTGACCCGTCTGGCCCCTCTGTTGTTCCTGGTGATACTCACTTAGAAAAATGACTTGTAATCTAACGATGCTTGTAGTAGTGACACTAGGAAACAGCCGTCGGCTTGTACCCAAGCCTTCATGATCAGGATGAAACACTGACAGGACGATAACGCCAAACATAAGTATAATACGAAGCCTTTCCACCATGTGAGCTGCAAGGGCCTTGCTTGTCTCACTAGCAAAAGCACAATCCAAACATCAAGAGCAATGTTGAAGGCTCCATGGGTCCATGCTTAAGACTATTCTTATATAACTAGCTTTACATAAGATATACTAATTATATAGTTTCACGATTTATAAAACTGCTAAGGATATTCCTTGATGTAACATAACTTGTAGCCATGACGCTTTAACTCCCATGTCTCTTAACTTCCAGATTTCCCTTACAAGCTCAAGCCCACGGTTATATGTCTGAACTCGAGTCCACCGAGTTAGTCTCTGAAATGTGGTTTCTACTAATGCTCGCTCCTCTACGAATGATGAAGGTAACTCGGGACCAGCGATGGTAAGTAAAGGCCCTACCCAGTTCAGTAGAGGGTGACCATCAGGAATACATCTCAATATTCTCATCGCCTCGAGTACCATATCGATCAAAGGCAAATCGGTTGCAGTCGTTGTTCCTTCTACTTGCGTTGCATTGGCTTGGTAAAGCATAATAAGGCCAATTCTGCGATACCCTTCAGCTAACTGTAAAAGAAGTTCCTGATGGCAAATGGTGTCTGGAGGTGTCCATCCATACAGCCGTGCTTCTATATCACTGAAAGTCGACATGCAGACCGATTTGGAGTCAAGGACCGATCTGAAATAACGGCCTGCCTCCGAGATCAGGGGACATAAAGTGCTCGAGACACCAGTAACAGGATGGGTGAGAGAGTCGAATGGCGGCCTTTGTATTGCAATTACGACCGAAGCAGTAGACCCATAAGAATCTCCGGTTGGTACTAAGAAGGATGTGAAAGCCTCGCAATAAAGATATAGACCAAAGAGATAAAAGGCGAACGGATCCGTGGGTGCCGAGTCTGCGAGTGACTCGATGATATTGCTGATGCCACTTATGAACATGATGCCAACATCGTTTCCTAGTGGATCTAGCCAAGCCGAAGAAACAAATAAAATGAGAGAGGACAGAATGGTAGTACGGAGGAGGGTCTGCTGCTTTGTTTGTGATGCCTGTAATCTGTCGATTTCTTTCTGTAATGAGGAGATGGCTAGGCCCCTGGTCTGAAGGGCTGAAGGTAGCTTATCCGGTTGAAAATAGTGCTGATGTGCTTCTGAAACACTCTCTAGTGTGTGCCTCAAGGCTTTCGAATGTCGCAGCCAGCCGGAAAGCGCATATGAGAGAGGATTCGTAGGTGGGTAAAAGATGGCCATGGACAAGCAAGCGCTATCATACCAATGCCTAAGAGTTGCATTTTCTAGAGCACTAGGAGCTGAGGGTGCCCGCTCGTTGAACACCCACGGCCTCTCGATCTGCCAGATATCGTGGCTAAAGTTTCCAGTGCATGTCTCTTTACGTAGCAAACAGCGTGTGCAAATAGGTCGTCTCTCGTCGCATTTGACCTTGCGACGTTTGCACTGCTCGCAACCACTACGAGACTTTGTCTTTGGCTTCTTCGACGCCTTCATGGTCTTGGAGAAGCAGGCTGCGTCTGATGAAGAGATGGGGTCTCTAAATGAAGAGTATTGCTAGTTGAGCTGGGGAATTTGAGGCGGGGTAGTAAAGCTTTGAGGGTGGCGAAGTACTTAGCGTGGCGGTAATGTCTCATTTAACGCCAGGCACAGTCCGCGGAGGCCGATAGTGATAGCGGCTAAGAGAACTCCGCAACAACATCCCAATTCCCCCGCCTTATCAAACAACTCCAAGACTATCGTCGCCATTTCAGCTGCAAGTGCATTTAATTGCTAATTGCTACCATCATAAAATAATAGGACTATTGAGTCTGCCCAGTACATCTCCTTGCAACATTCAACATCGAGTCATCACAACAGCCAGTTCCAGAAGCAACAATTCACGCCATGGGAAAAAAGTCCAAAACATTCACAGGATGCTGGACATGTCGGGCCCGCAGAGTGAAATGTGACGAGGTGCAACCTGTCTGCAATCGATGTACCAAAGCACGTCGAATCTGCGAGGGCTATGGAGTTCGTCTTACATGGAAAAGCAACCAGAAGGAAACTCCATTCAGAGTCCTTATCAACCTTGATACAGATGCCGTAGAAATACCGCCAGACGACCTAGATGATATGATCAACCGATGCTGTTATACTGAGGCTAGCCATGAGACCCAGACTTTTGGTCCTTTTTCGGTGTTTAGCGTTGGACAGAGCACGGGTTACGAGTCGCCGGGACAACAGCAACTTGATGCGCAAGAATGCCAGGCAGATCAAGGACTGGTGGAGGAAGCTGGAGCAGAGAATTCTCACACGCCCTCCTCTAATGAGTCGTTAATGGATGCAAGTCAACCTTCAGTACCAGAGTTCAGCAATCAACCGCCATTAGATACCACCATACTCGGTACGCTTACGCATCCAGCTACCACGTCGATTCATGATTATGTTAATGAAAATGATGATCTGGTGCTGGATGAGCTTTTCTCAGCAGAATGGTTCCTTGGCCCGAGCTCTTGCGACCTTGAGTCACAAGTGTCATCATGGACAGAAACCGGACTCTTCCCGCTCAGCTTGGAAAACGACAACCCTTTCACTATGGCAATTCCACTAGAGGACGATTCATCACCAGATCACATCCATGTCACCGACACCCCGTTCAATTCCTGGCATGAATTCCCGTCGCCACAAACCAGTCTCAGCCCTATCTCCATGTCTCGACAACAGACTGAGCTGATCCATCACTGGCTAGTCTTCATGTGTAGAAACATGGAACCAATTGACGCAGTGGACAATCCATACCGAGTTGTATATCTTCGTCTCGCTTCTGAAGGACTCCGTAGCACTTCCAAGAGCCACATGGCTGTGTTCCATGGTGTCTGTGCTGCCGCCGCGCACAATCTGAATACCCTACGGCACGACGAGACGAATACGCGATCAGCGTGGAATGCCCAGGTAGCCCTGCAAAATCTACAAGAGTCCATTTCAGAGCCAAAGCGCATGGACTATACTTCTGTTCTCGCTGCTATTGCAATGTGTATTATGCACGACACCATGACGGGGCAGCCTCGCAACTGGAGAACTCATATACAAGCTGCACTGAGGATAATAGTACAAGGGACAATTCATCTGGGTCTTGATGCGGGATCTGAATTACACGTTGTGGTTCTGCAATGTCTTTGTCTCGTTGTTTTGGGTGATGTTGAGACACAAGATGACCTTGCAGATATGTTATCGCAACTCCCCGCCACGGAGGACTATCTCTTCAAACAACACAGTATTACAAAGACTCTCGTGGGTATAATTTCTCAGATCAACACTCTCTCGAAAAAAGATACTGAAAGAGATTTCACTCTGATCGATCAGCTAGAGCTCCAGATCTATCTCCAAGTCACCCCAAACACTCAACACAATCAATTCCGCAGTGATAAAGTCAACTTCATCAACCAGCACTATGCCTCCGTCTGGCACTACGCCACAATAATACACTTCCAACGACGTATCCGTCACAAGCCTCCAGGGCAGCTACAAGATATTGTGTCTGAAGCACTGGCTCATCTTGAAGCAGCTGAAGATGTTGCTACTGATCTCGACGGATGTATTCTTCTGTGGCCTTGCATGGTTATCGCAAGTGAATGCTATGATGAGGAGCATAAGATGCGTGCGTTGAATTGGTTTAAGAGAAAGGGCCGCCATGGATTCGCAAATGTTAGCTTGGCAAGTACAATTTGTCTTGAATATTGGAAGTGGCGTGATAGGAATTCTACCAGGAGCTTAACTACATCGTGGCAAGATTTTGTTGTAGGAACTCAGTATGATGTTGTTCCGGTATGAGAAAATTAAACACAGCATCTCTCCATCTATTTGGCCCGAATCTTCAGGGAAACAATTAACAAACAACCGAATCATGAAGCTTTGACACCTCCATGGTCTCGCTAAAGATATTCCCGAGGCAACACTTTGTTTGCATGGGATATAAAATGGGTCGGCTGGCCCGGTGTATGTCAACCCGCTCGCTTCCCATGTCTCGGCCTGACAAGATCCGAAGCCCACCCAGTCTGACGTGGGGTCGTTGAGTGTTGCCATGATAAAATTGCGCTCAACAATCAATGAGCAATTGTTTGTTTATCTTAGCCCTCCAAAGGCTGTTTTCTTAGTTCTTCTGTCACACCTCGGCCACTAATTCGAGATAACTTGTACAATGGCGGCCGAACAATTCGACACGTCGTGGATGTGGAATTCTGCTTTCCTCGAGAAGGCCACGTCTACCGCCGGCCGGTTCGTACATTTCCGCAAGACATTCTCTGTCGATGCGGAGATACCGACATCTCTTCCTATCCAGATCACGGCCGATACACGATACAAGCTATACGTTAACAAGCAATTGGTCGCATATGGCCCTGTTAAGGGAGACGCGAGTCTCTGGTTTTACGATGAGGTCGACATCAGCCCGTATTTGCGCCTGGGCGAGAATAATGTTGCGATTCATGTCCTCCGGCTCTTCCATGGGACTTCGTACGGTACCAGCTTTCCACGCCTGGGAACAGGTGGTGTAAAGATTGCGACTACTGTTGATGATGAGGTCTGGTCACCTCAGATTCGAAGCAGCGAGCTTTGGCAAACGGCGATAGATCACAGTGTGACTCTTCGCATCGACGAGGAGGAAGACGACTTTCTTCACGTGTACGAATTGGTTTCGGCATCACGCGATACGCCGTTGGAGTGGATTTCTGCGGTGCTGCTGCGATTCCAAAACTCTACAGGCGTCACGGCGCCGTGGAAACTATTACCCCGTCTCATTCCGGCGATGAGGAGCCAAAGGTCTTATTTCAGCGCTATTCACAACGTTCAGAGCTGCCTACACCAGGACACTTGGAACGCAGCATTGACCAACATCCAATCCAGAGATAGTAACATCATTCTCCCCGCCCGTTCAAGTCATCAACTAGACCTCGAGGTTCCCGTTCATACCACTGCTTTTATTCGTTTCCGCTTTATCCGTCCAGAAACTGGAGGTGCTTGCCTTACGATAACATACTCTGAAAGCTACGAAGACAATCCAGTCCTGGTTCCATATCTCCGCTGCAAAGGAAACCGATGCGATACAAGCAAGTTCCTAATCGGCCCCAAGGATATTTACACTTTTCAAGGAAAAGAAGGGAACCCACGTCTGGGATACTACAATGACGAAGACACGGAGGAAGTATACATGCCTTTCCACTGGCGCACCTTCCGATTTATAAGACTGAATATCGAAACTGGATCTTCAGATCTGATTATGCGCGGCATCGATATGGACGTTGTGAACTACCCTTTGGACGTATTGGCAAGGATCAGCACGACCTTAGATGACGGAACTTTGGGAGCGTTGTATGACACGAGTGTTCGAACTTTACAAAACTGCATGCATGATTGCTACGAGGACTGCCCTTTTTATGAACAACTCCAATACGCCATGGACACACGCAGCTCTTGCCTCTTCACTTATCACGTATCTGGGGATGATCGTTTAGCCAGACAGGCGATCGTGCAGCTTCATAGCTCCTTTCAGCCCCGTATCGGACTTACCGCCAGTAGAGCACCATCGGCTCAATTGCAGATCATCCCTCACTTCTCTCTCTACTGGATCTGTATGCTACACGATCACTTTCTTTATTATGCAGACAAGGCGTTTGTTCGGCCTCTCATGCCTGTCGTTGATGCTGTGCTGGGATATTTCCATGCACGCATTGATGATAGACTGGATCTTGTAAGTCTAGGAAATGAGAAAGGTGTTTGGAACTTTCATGATTGGGCGGAGCAGTGGAGGCCTTATGGTATTCCTCCATCAGCAGCCAATTCCGGTATTTCGTCATACACCAACAGCTTATATGCGTATACCCTCAAACTAGCCGCCAAGTTGCAGTTGGAGTGTGCAGGTCGACTGTCTCTTGCAGATGAGTATGCTCATCGAGCTGGACTAATTGTCGATGCGGTTAAACATCACTGTTTTAATGGTCAATACTTTACCGACAGTATTGCCGCTTGCTCAGACACTAAAGCTGACCTTAGCCAACATAACCAGGTCTGGGCAGTTCTCAGCGGTGCTGTGTGTGGTAGCAGCGCTCAAATATTGCTTAGGCGAGCCCTAGGAAGTCCCCAAAGTGGCGCGCCACTTGTCAAGACTTCCATCTCCATGTCTTTCTACACACTTCGAGCCATTAGTGTTGCAGGAGGCTCTTTGTACGACGAGTTGTTTCATGCTCTTTGGCAGCCATGGCGTCAACAGCTATCGTTAGGCTTGACGACCTGGGAAGAGGACGATGTTTCGCACCGCTCAGACTGCCATGCTTGGGGAAGCGCTCCTATCTACGAATTTTTGGCAGAGGTTGCGGGGATACGGCCTGCAAAGGCAGGATGGCAGGAGTTGGAGTTTGCTCCGCGCCTGGGTCTGTATACCTCTCTCGAAGCGACAGTTCCGTTCTACAGGGAGGGAAAGATGGTGCTGGCTAAGGTTGGCTGGAGCTCTTTAGATGGAGAGACGCGAGTCACGTTGGGCATTGAGGGATTAGACGAGTCAATCTCTGTGCATGTGAAATTGCCAGGGTGGCCGGGAATGGTTGAGAAAAGCTCAGAGAGCATGAGTTTCACTTGGACAAGGTCTTAGGGAAAGTAGATATTTATTAGAGGGACTACAAAGTCGATATCTTAAGCTCGAAATTGGGTTTCACTCCTGCTCCGGCGCATTGAACTGTTGGTATGCTGACGAGGCAAACAACGGCATGCGAAACCAGTTGTCTTGATCTTGAGACATATCAAAGCAAGTATCATCAGAGAAAACTGGAAGAAGATTGTCCAGTCTCTCAACGTCCATATAGGTGGGGTTATCATACGTTGAAACAGACTGTCCTGGACTAATCATACCGTGTAGCATTGAGTCTGGCCTAAACTGATCCTCCACGTGAGATGTCGGGACTCGAAGATCGGCCATAAGCTGGAGAATCGTCCCTTGTCCCGGCTCAGTGCCTGCGTCCAGATCAGATGTTGCTCGACGCATCATTCTCGCATAGCTAGCGCTGATCTGCCAAAAGCGACCCATGGTATTGAGAAACGTTGTGAAAAGTGAGACTTTTGCCATGGCCTCGGGATCGCTCTCTCCTGTGAAGTATCTCTGCGCAGTCAAGAAGCGAGCTGCCACCCAGACAGACCAAGCAAAAGGCCAGCCGAGTTTATCGACAGTTTGGTCAGCCACTTTTGTGACGATTTGAGATAGGGCTTGCACGCTGTTGAGACATCGCTCTAGACATAGTCGACGTATTTCGTGATGCGCATCGGACTGGAAATTGAAATGACACGGTATGGCGAGAAAGCCATTGAGATAGATATCCAAGGCGTAATAGTATCCATACAGCATGAAAGTAGCTGGCCGGATAGCGCTTGGGACCCGATCTTCGACAACATTATGGTTATGCCAGAACAGCCGAGATGGTAGTGTCTCCATCCAGGAATTGAGTTCAGCCGAGGTATTGTGAAACTCGCCCAGCCAAGTCGACTCCAGGTCTTGGTTGTTGTAGAGGCTGCTGTATTCGGTCCCAACTCTGTGAATTCTTCGAGAAAGATCAAAGAGCTCTAATTGGTAGCTGAACACCGAGGCGGGAGTAAGCGATGCATCGTCTACCTCTGACAGGTTCTCCCGCCAGACTTGCTGTCGCGCAGGTAGGAAGTGGCGTACATGATCGTCGCCCAAGGTCGAGGGATGGTTGGTAGTAATGCAAATGGTACAGTCGAGAGCGTAGATAGCCCAGAATAACCGCTGTCGGAAAATACCATCACTCTTGCTGAGCGATTCACTGCTTTCGGCCTCCGTTGAGGTGCGAAAGACTAGCCCATCAGTATTTTTGAGCTGTACAGCAAGCTTCGTAGCTACGGCCAAGGGACCCCAGACCTGAGGCCCATGTGTCATGCCCGAAAGATCCAAGACAAGCACCGTAAGAACTTCTAACGAGCTATATGAGGGCTCCTCGAGCACGTCAACAAATATGCTTCGCTTGGAGTATTTCCAAAATGAGTCGCTCGAGGCCTGGTCAAGACGAGAGTCGAACGAGTACGGTAGTGTAACCCCGAAAAGAGCGTAGTAGAGTAACGCAGGTTCATCCATAGAGCCCATATCGGCGCAAACGCGCTGAACATCTAGGAAGGGAAACCATGGGTGGATGTGACGAAAGTATAAGGAAGCGAGAGAAACGACGAGGTCTGTTGGGGGTCTGCGTTCTGTAACTCTGCGGGTACGCTCAAAGGTAGGTGATGCTTCACCGACGGTCATTGAACGCGATTGTTGTTCATTGGAGGATTTGTTCTCCGCTTCGATTACAGCGTCTTGTACAGGTCCTTGATCAGTTGATGTGCTCGTTCTCGGCGTGGTGCGAATGGCACGTAACTCGGACTCCAGCCTCTCTGGAACCAACAGTCAGCCGGCTTTACTGGGACCAAAGCGAGTAGAAAATGATACAACTTACCGATCTTGTCCTCCAACATCTGGCGATGCCCAGCTGGAAACCCCGGTTTCCGCCTCCCACCATACTCGCACTCAACCTTTGCCTTCTCACAGCGCTGACAGGCCGGTAATCGGCGGTCGCACTTTGCTTTACGCTGCTTACACCTCTCACATCTAAACAATCAGTCATTCGTTTTTCCTTCTCCGCTTTTTGCTGTTTCCGGGGGAGTTAAACATACGAGGCCATGCTTTCGGTCTTTGTTTCGCCGTCGAGGTTGCATTTAAGCTACAGAAATTTCGGGGCTTGTTGGCCCTTAAATGGCGGCGCAAGTGCTGAAATCCATGTCCCACGTGATGGTCCAGAACACCTACTAGCGTTCCCCAGATTTTCCCCAATGCCCCGTGGGAATGGGTCGAGGGGGGCTGGTCTCGGTCGAAGTGGTCCCGAGTACAGGGCGTGGCGAGCGAGAGGAGGATGTATATAGCCATGACCTGGACCTGGAGCCATCATCAAACTCTTACTCTCATCCCAGTCGTCCAATCCAGACTTCTTCTGACTTTGGCATTGCATCAACCTTCATCTATCTGCTTCAGTATTTCTTGTATGCTCAATGGCTTCACCAGAAGTAGCTGCCACCATGGCTCTGCCTCCATCGCCTGTTGACACCAGGCGTTGGTGGAAATCACCCAATCTGCGCACTCTCAACTTTCTCATGATGATCCCACTTCTGTCCATCTTTTCCCAAGGGTAAGTCCACTCCCCGCAGATTCATTCATTCGCCAGACTAAAACTAATGTGACATGCAGTTTCGACGGGAGTATGATGAATGGTCTGCAGTCCGTCACTCACTGGCAGACTTACTTCGGAACTCCAACAGGAGCTATGCTCGGTTTCTTCAACGCTGCCTATCCCCTCGGTGGAATCCTAGGCACTTTTCTCATCTCACCCGCGGCCGATACCTTTGGACGAAGATGGGGTCTCGCTACTGGAGCTGCTCTTTGCTGTATCGGTGCGGCTATACAGGGCGCTGCTATGAATATTGCCATGTTTATCATCTCACGAGTCATTATCGGTGCAGGCAGTGTTGTTGTTGCTGGAGTTGGCGCTCCTTACATCACAGAGATTGCGCACCCGGCTCAGCGAAGTACGGCTACAGCTCTCTTTCTCACCTTTTACTCCGTCGGATCGATCATTGCCGGCTGGTGCACGTTTGGTACATTCCGCATTGACAGCACTGCATCTTGGCGTATTCCATCAGCCCTGCAGGGCCTTCCCTCTATCATCCAGCTTCTTTTTGTCTGGTTTGTCCCAGAGTCGCCCCGATGGCTCGTCAGCAAGGGTCGTAACGATGAGGCACTTCAGATGCTTGCCAAGTACCATGGCGAGGGTGACTCCTCTGACCCTGTCGTTCAGTTTGAGTACACCGAGATCCTTGAGACGCTGAGTGCAGAGGCATCTAGTCAGAACAACATGTTTGCTTTCCTGAAGGACCTGGGAAGTACTCCTGGTAACCGCAGGCGCATGTTTATCATGATCTGGGCAGCTATCTGCTCACAGATGTCTGGCAATGCCTTTGTCTCATATTACCTCTCGCCCATCCTGCACTCTGTCGGACTCAACTCGGATCTTCAGCAGACTCTCATCAATGCCACCAACCAGATGCTTTCTTGGTTCAGTGCCATTTACTTCGCCACGTTGCCGGCAAAGGTTGGCCGTCGCAAGCTTTTCCTGTGGTCTCTTGCTGCCATCTGGGTCATCGATATTTGCATCACTGCAGGAAGTGCCGTATTCGCCAAGGACAACACCAACAAAGCTGCCGCGTATACTGTCGTTGCGTTCCTTTACCTCTTTTCACCTGCTTATAATCTTGGTTTCAACGGCAATCTTGGACTTTACATCCCCGAGATCCTCCCTTATCGTATGCGAACCAAGGGACTGTCGTTTTTCTACTTTGTCCAGTTCTGCTTCATGATGCTTTCAACCTTTGTTGTGCCTATTGGACTCAAAGATATAACTTGGAAGTTCTACATCATCTTCGTTGGTTGGGTCATGGTTGAATTTGTTGGAGTCTAGCTCGTGTTCCCGGAGACAAAGGGACCATCGTTAGAAGAGATCGCTTGGATCTTCGATAGCCCTAGTGGTGGTGTTGGTATGCATTCAGCTCGAGCTGAGGGCAAGACTTCGACAATTATTGAGCATGCAGATGGCAAGGAGTCCGTCTAAGATGCTTGTTATTGGAACTGGAGACTTTCTGTAGGTGGAAGCCAGACTGATGTTGTAGTAACAGTTGGAAGCCAAGTCACGAATGTTGAGACTTGGAGTTAATGTTGAGTCGATAATTAAGTAGGGTAGCCAATTGTTATAGGCAGAGAAGAGATTGTAATAAATTCTCTTGCCTTCAAACGTTCAAAAGCCGCATTTCAGAGCATAAATGAATAATGTTGTAACGTCAGTGATGAATCAAAATATTAATCAGGAGGGTGAAAGTGTTGCCCTCTTTGGTACTGGCGTTGGACCTAAATACTTGTGGATCTCACCTATGGGGCACCGGACCCACTACGTCGTTCTTCTCAAATCTAATAAACGATAAACGAGGAAACTCGTTTAAGAGCCTCACGGCCAAGTGGAGAAGCACTCACCCTATACCCACAGGCAAACATAGGTGTAAAAACTATTTTTCATTTAGCTACAAAGGAATCAAGCAAGATCAAAATACAGAAGAGAGTAATTCACAGAAACATAGTAAAGTAGAATAATTTTACTATATATAATAAAATCAAGTATACTCCAAGTAAAGTGATCTACATTGTTAATTCCTGAAATCGCCTGATAACTTGACTGGCGTCGGCTTGCATTGACCCATCGTGCCTGTCCGTCAAAGATTCAACCTTACCAGCTGCAACCAACTCCTTTGCCCTATTCGTCTTCATGCCCTTCACGCTCTTGTACACTCCCTGGGCTGGGTATGCAAGCAATCCAAACATTGCTAAATCGTTGTTAGCTCGCATGTAACAAGAGTTAAAGATGCATTGTAGACTTACCACTGCCTGGTTTTGCAACGAGATTGAGGGATCCCTTTCCAACTCCCTTAAAGAAACCCAATGCACCCTCTTCTTTGGCACCTTTGATGGGTTTCGTCACGATATCGGTCACGCCTTCGTAGAAACCAACCCCAAAGTTCTGACTCATGTTAGTATCCATTTCCAACTCCAAAGGTAGCGATACATACCTTTGCTGCAACTGTGCCGCCGCTCTTCCAATCTGTCACAGGGCCATGATCCTGGACCTTTTCTCCATACAGTCGCGGCGTGTTGCGAAGTCCTTCAGTCAATGCCAATGGGACATCTACGAGCGACCCCTTCACCACAGCGGTTGTCATGCCCTGCAGAGCTTTTCCGCTGGCCACTGCAGTCGCTGTGCCCGCTGAGCGATGAGAACCATCTGGTCGGACACGCTTTATGTCTTTGAAGGGGTCAATGAATGCACCGCCCAGGGCAGAGGTAAAGTCTGTCATGGTGCCTAGAACCGACGAGGCGCCAGCTGTTAGGGGATCCCATCGCTTATTTTCAACATGGTATTCCTTCGATCGAAGTCTAAATACGTAAGTCAGTGTCATTGGAAATACGTGCATTGACAATAACTTACGGTTCAAAGTCTGTCAACTTGACTTTCTTGGCGTCCAGAAGAACTTTCAGGGCTGCGTTTGATACCGTAACCTGGCCCTTGTCACCCCTCTTTGCCTTGCCAACGTACTGCCATTTAGCAGCGTTATGTGGTATGAGCTCGCAAGTGAGGCTAGCCACTGGTAGATGTCGATGAAAGGAGTTCACTGCTGTCTCAACACCTCTCTCCTGCCTCATCTGCGATGCAATCCTGTTGGCAGCAGTCTGGGCCTCCGGGCTGAGGCAGAATCGGATAGCGGAACTTAGTTTGTCCACAGAGATGCTTTTGTAGGCAATGGGTTGTGGACCTGCTCCATTGGACGCAACAACACTTCCCCAAAAAGGCTGGCTATGAAGATGTCACTACAACTGTTTCAGGATGTGAGTGGAGAAGAAACTTACTCGCCGAAGAATGGCACAATGGTAGTCGGTCGACCATTGACAAGGCCACAGGCCGTAGTACCTGCGCCGCCATGATGAACAACAGCAGCGACACGCTTAAATAACCACTCTATCAAAAGGTTAGAGAATAGACTGCTGACTCTGGGATGTACTACATACCGTGAGGGCAATCACCCAAGTAGAAAATAGAGTCGGTGTTAGGGTCATTTCCACCTAGTTTGCTCCAGCCTCGAGAAATAATAACTCTGGCTCCTGCAGCCCTGCACGACTCTTTGATTATGTTTGTTAGGGCCGTAGGGTCCTCAATGACGATGCTTCCAAAGCCTATATATACTGGCGGTGGTCCCCTTGACAGGAAGTCTGCGAGCTCCTGGGGTGGCGTATAGGAGGGTTCATCCCGCATGAAGAATCCACAAATGTCTAATGTATTATATCAGCACGCTACTCAAAACGGGATCTGTTGATAACGTCTTACCAATGCTGTCCCCCCAGTCACTTGGCTTAGGGACTAGAGCTGGCGACCAGCAATAAGTATATGGTACTTTCATGAGGTCAATGATGTCTGGGCCAACAGCGGCAGCCAAGGGCTCAAGGTGCAAGTCACTAACTCTCCACGAGTTGATGACATCTCCAAGTCTGTGGTGGTTAGCATAAGTACCAGGAACTAAAACTTTGCTATGGGATCGTACCCTTGCCATGTCATCAAATCAACGACGCCATAACTGAGGTAATTAGAAGCCCTGGGATCCATATTCTGGGATTGAACGTTGGCCAAAGGATGAGGAAATGACCTCGTCGCTGTCCAAGGCATCGTGAACATCATGTGAAGCGGGATACCTAATGCTTCGGCGCAGTGGACATGTGCAAAACTCGGTGGGTTTGCAATAATAGCATCGGCGACGAAGGGACGATTCGATACGGGGTCCGGTCTAACACAAGAGCTCCAACAGCCTCTCAGCATGTCACGGATCATGACGCGCTTTCGGCCGATATCGCCACCTCGAAGGCTTTCCATCGAGGGAATCAATCCGGGGTTCTTGACCATGTACTGTGGCCATGCAATTAGCACTCGGCTGTCAGAAGAGCGGTCGATATTCTTACAGCCATGAGATCTTCAGGGTCTCCCCCGATGGGGTAGAACTCTAGACCAGATGAGCGGACAAAGTCTGTAAAGTTGTCATGAGTCGCTAATCGTACGCGATGGCCATATCGCTGTAGAGCGACGCCGAGGGCAATGAAGGGTTGAACATCGCCTAAATCTGTTAGTTTTAGAATAATATGTGAAGGACGTCAGACTCTACCTCGACTGCCAACAACTTGAATGACGACATTGAGAGCTGGACAGGGACCAGAGGGAGCAGCGGCGGGGAGGTTGCTGTTTGGTGCAGGTTCAAAGTCTTGGGCTTTGGCGGGAGGAAGAAGGCGATTGACTTCATCGGGGTGCAGCGATGAGAACTCGATGTCGACCCCTCCATGGTCTTGGCGCAATCAGCATCACGATAGCCTCAGGACAAAAAGGGTACATACCGTTAACGCGCGATGAGCTTGCGAGAACAGATCCAGAAGAATGCAACTCGTAAGGAGGTGGTGCATCCCAAGGAACGTCCAAGACATTGTCAGTCTCGTGCGACGCCTCACCTTTAGACGGAGATTGAGATCTTGATTTCGACATGGTATGATCGGATTTACCAAAAGAAGCATAGAAACTCGGCAGATGGAGATGCAGAGCAGATGATATACGGCGGAGCTGAGACTAGCGTAGACTAATTTAGGTGGACAGCTTGGCATGGTGGTCAAAGCTAAAACACCGAGATATGACACGCAACGCATGACACGCAACGCATGACACCTTGGCGGGCTGAGCAACCTCGCTCTTCGGTAGGGGAGTACCTTTGCTAACGAATCATGAAAGACTGAAGCGAAAAGACCGAGAATTCGGAACGACTCTGCAGATTCTGCCTTTGGGGAGCTGTGGCTTAGCACCTTAAGACCGGGATCAGCTAGTGCATGTTGATCTGAGCTAAAGACCGGTTGCGTGAAAGTCACTTAATTGGTTGACAAGCTACCATGCCGAAAGCAATCATGTGAAATAAACAATACCAGGTCCGATTTACGAAAACTCGGTGATAGACTTTATCAGAATTTAGGAATCCCATACCCAACATGCAGTTTAAACATGGCCAACTCAGTAACGAGATCTGAGAAATGAAAACCGACTCAAGACTGGATCAGAACACTCTACAAACCCCCCACTTTGTTAGGTTTCCGACTAAGAGAGCGAGCCTCGTTCCTCGTTTAATTCTCCAGCAACGAACCTCGTTCTTTACGAAAACCTCGTTTATAAGACAGACTACACTTCACCTCTTGGCCCTCCACTAAAGAGTAGGTCAGAGCTTAAATGAAAGGGTTCGAAATACTCCGTACAGTGGCTCATTACATCATGCAAAATGAATGGAATATGTTATGCCGAATTAGTAGTATATAGATAAATACAAGCAAAGACAGTCACTCTATGAAATATCTCATACGTAACACCATTCATTTAAACATCTCTTTATCTTTTATGTCAACTACTATCTTTCTTTACCAATAATCTCATTTCCTTTTAGTGTCCTTCTTTTTGGAAAAGTAGCTCCTGATGCTCCTCCAAGCTACGGCGTTACAGCTGCTTGCAGTAGGCTCAGCCCTAGCTGGGCCCGTTGCAACGGCGAGTTCGGACAAAAATGCAGTTATCTACGGTTCCAAAGGAACTGTGTCCCTCTCTTCCGATGGAAAGGATCCTGGTATCATGATACTCGATTATGGCGAGAATGTCGAGGGTCACCCTACCTTTGAGGTTGTCTCTGCCTCTGGTGATACCTCGGCTTTTGAACTCACATATGCCGAGTCCAAGTTTGCCTTTAGCAACTACCAGGTAAATACATGCAGTGCTCGAACATCATATCAACATACTAATTCCAAGCCTCTAAGAGTGATGGACCTCTCCCTCTGGCCGCTGCCATGGAGACCTATCGTGTAAACCAATACAATATTTCGAAACGCGAGACTGTCACCAACCGTCTCATCCAGGGCGCTTTCCGCTACCAAAAGCTGAATCTCTCTTCACATGGAGAGATACGCCTCAGAAAGGTAGGTGTGAAACCAACCGTTCACACCACAGCCCTCACCCAGCTTCCTGGAGGTTTTGAGTGCTCTGACGAGGACTTTAACCGTATCTGGCTCACGGGCGCCAGGACTGCTCAACTTACCGAGATTCCCAAGGACACCATTCCAGACTTCTGGCAGGTTTCTGACGAGGGATCTCTCGTTGAAAGCTCTGCGCCTCAAGCGCTGGGTAGTGCCGCGGCCGCTCAGTTGACTACCTACCAGCTTGGTTTCCAAGTCAAGCCAGTTACTGGGGAGTTTAGTTTCTCGGTCCTGTCAGACACCCTCAACGAAGCCATTGTTGTTACTTGCGACGTGAAAACGGGAAAGGTCACGGCAACGGGCGCTTCAAAGTCTGGCTCGATCCCATCTTCTGCTGATGCAAAACTCGGCGAGTGGATTTCTGTCCAAGCCAAGGTGAACATGACCGAGATCTCAGTTCTTATAAACAACAAGACGGTTCTCGACTTCAGCCAGACTTCCAAGTTCTACGGCTCCTTTGGCCTTGGTGCTCCTCTTGGTCACTCCGCTTACTTCCGCAGCCTCAAAGCTGCGACTCTTGATGGTGTTGAGATCTACTCAAACAACTTGACGGATCCTAGCTTCTTGAAGGACTTCTTTATGGGAACAAACCCCGCCGATACTATCGTTGACGGCTCCAGACGCGACCGGATTGCCTACACTGGTGATCTCGACGTGGCACTTGGTTCAACCTATGCCAGTACCTACGGAAAGTCTTTCGTTGAGGGCTCCCTGGACCTCCTGGGTTCCTATCAGGCAACACCGGGATTCTTCATCCCAACCGCCAAGATCCAACAGGAGCCTCTCAAGGAACTTTTGGACGTCAACATCACTGGCCTTATTGGCTATTCGTTCAATTTTCTGAATGCGCTTGCTAAGAATTATGAGGTCCTGGGTGATTTGAAGTTTGCTGAGAAATGGGCCCCTCGCACTACAGCTATGCTGGACTGGGCGCATTCCCAGTTGAAGAATGGTCTTTTCACTCTCGACAACGCGGCATTCACTGGAGATTGGAACTACTATGACCCCCCGCAGACTGGCGCAAGCTCCAAGTTCAACGCACTCTATGCCTACAGCTTGCAGCAGACACATACCCTACTCAAGGACGCTGGGGTCAACACCACTGTCTATCAGACTCGCCTCAACAACTTGCGCAAGGCGATTCACTCCACCCTCTGGAACGATAAGCTCCAAGCTTATGTTCTCTCCAATGAGATTACTACTGGTTTTGCCCAAGACGCCAACGCACTCGCTATCCTCGCTGGAATTCCCCAGAGCCACAACATCTCAGCCATCTCTTTGCTGTCTACTCTCGACAAGGAACTTCAGCTCAAGGCTGGACCTCTGGCCTTCAGCAACGCTACCGCCAAAGCTGGTTTCGCTCAGAAGATCAGCCCTTACTCTTCCGCCTATCATCTCCGCGCAGCCTTCGAGTCCGACGATGATGTGATTGTTCGACGTCTGTTGAAGAGTCTTTGGGCCCCCATGGCCAACCCTGCTCATGCGAACTATACAAACTGCTTCTGGGAGACTCTGGACCCTGATGGTACACCTGGTCTGGGTTTGATCACCTCTCTCTGCCATGGTTGGGCTTCTGGACCAACTGCCGAGCTGAGCCGACATGTGCTAGGTGTCCAAGCCGTTGAACCTGGTTACAAGAAATGGGACGTTAAGCCCCTGACCTTGGGTTTGGGGTGGGCTAAGGGCCGAGTTCCAACTGAGCATGGAAACGTTGAGGTCGATTGGAAGTTCAAGTCTGGTCTCTTGCAGATGACTGTTCGCGGACCTAAGAAGGGTAATACGAATGGAACTGTCTACCTTCCTCGGCCCTTGCCTACTCCTCTTGAGAAGAGTGTCATCAAGGTGAACGGGAAGGTTGTTAAGGGTGATAAGTTTACTGTATCTTCTGGCCAGAAGATCACTATCAAGCAGACTCAAGCTTGATGTAAAGTTTCTATCATAGTACTTCGCTTTGAACCTTGTATTATATGCTTGATGCATACCCGTCTTTGTATTTATTTATGTAATTTGTTCAGGACCGGGAGTCTTTTTGTCTTCACAGTAGTGACTAAGATAGCCATATAGATCCCAGGCTATGTCCCTTAGCCAGCCTCTGAGCAACCATCACCCTGGTGATTTGTATAGTGTAGGGACTGTTATAGTCCCTTGTATTGGAGAATCCATAGGACTCGTGATACCCACACCGAGACTGGTGATTGAAGAGCAATCGAAACGAAATACCCTGATTCTTACAGTAGCTTTTGAAGCCATAATGCTCTATTTGATCCTGTAGTTTCCAAGATTCATGTGTCAATCCAAAAAGCTGACTTGATCGTAAGGATAAAATCGCTCCGAACGCCAATTTCTCATAATGCATATCATTTCCTCCCGGTCAGGGGGATAAATTGGTTCAGAATCGGGCTGAGAGGCGAGAAACGAAGAATATGCTCTAACGATGTAATTGCTCCGCACCCGAGGGTTGAGGCTCAAGAGGTGGATGAGGAGAACATTTCCCTGCAGACCGAGATGATAGGAGAAATGCTCATTTTCGCTATCCTTTCTCTGAATGAACCGCAGTATTTGAGATCATTTCGTCGTCACTGCTAGCCTCTTTCGATATTTTGTCGGCTTAGGCACCTTTGAGAGAAGTGATTCATCCACAGACTTAAGAATCGATCTAAACCGCCTCACAAAGTATTCAGGTACATTAAAGCCGCAAAGAAGCGTCGGTGACACACGCCAGTCGTTAAAGGTCCTGGAGTAGAGGTCTTTGACGATATCTTCCTATTGAACTAACGAACGCAAGTCCCTCATGAAAAGACCCTTGTTACCAAGGAAGGGCTTCATGAGTAAATGCTTATAGTTAAACATGTTCTAGAAGAGGAAGCCTTCTCGATGGTAAGAGATATTGCAAAAGCATTCATATCGTAGAAAGGATTCGGCAAATATCCAGCTCTCCCGCCGAGGTAGTTCACTGGGGCCTAGTTCCCGATGATACCATAAACCTTTCCATGCCTTGAATACATTACACATTTCTGGTATGAAGCCTGTAGCCATTACCAAGATCGGGAGGTTCGATTCCCATTCGAATGGCAAGTCCACGAAGTCCCGAGAAAGAACAGAGGTAAGAATGGGGTCAAGTTGGGTCTCGATCTCTACTCTAGGCTTCCCTCTGAGTTGGGCTCGCAATTCTCGAAGACGGGTAAGAAGCATGAGGAATCGAATGCATGCTGGGTGGCCGTAGTGATTGTAGATCCGTGTGAGGTGGGACTCGTATAAACGCGTGATCCCCTCGAAAACGTCGCCATGATACAGGCGAAGCTCTTGTGAGTGATAATGAACCGTCTGGAGTAAGGAACTTCATGATTTTGACGTGCATCTCAATCGGGAGACTGCCGAAGAGGTCGAGCCCTTGAGGAGTGGATTCTTGTTGCTGTAGCATCATGGGGGAATGGAATAAAAGGCGATGAAGATAAAAAGCAGGTTGTGTTATCTTGTCGAAATCTTATAAAAGAATACAATCTACGACTCACACGCAGTAACAGAGGAGACTTTGACTCATGCTTGGGTGGATGACGGGACGAAATAACCTTAAAGGGTGTTATACAGTTTCTCCTTTCGGCCGTAGAGGCTGCCATTGGGCACTGCGTCCAAGGCGTAATTTACTCTTTTCGCAGCCCAACTCACCTTAATTCTATTGGATAAAGGTAAATCTATATGCTGCATGAAAGCTATTATTTCTGCTGTGTTGCCTAGATCTACGTTGCCGAGATATTGACAGGGTTATAAAAACTTATGAAGAATGGCTCAAGACTGGAAAATTACCCATAAGAAAATTCATTGCTCTGAGAATCAAGCCCGTCTATCTGAGAGTTACCTGTTGCGTTTAAACCCATCCCTGAACATGGGATATCTTATCGCTCGAGGAAAGGCGACCTGTAACCCCTTGGCCGAAGCGAGCTTTAGACTCATAATATAGGAAAAACACCAGCTCGCGCTGCTGTTGCCTGAATGAGACTTACAGCGGGCTTGTCTTGAAAATTTTGTGTAGATCATATAAACATAAAATACATTGCAGCATAAAGGTTACCTTTGGCTAATCTTTTAACTCAGGAAATTCATGATTTAAATCTCTGTAGCAAATCTAATCAGCATTTGTTTGTCGTTTTTTCAGAGTCGTGCCTCTTTATTGAGAAAATTCCACTACAGAGATATTTGTACTTGCTATAAGTATGTAAATTAGTTTCATCACCTGTGAATGATCCTTCTGCAGTGGTTGAGCGGGCCCCGGCCGCGTCCGACGGACCTCTCCGCACTGGTTTACCAACGGCCAATGAAACACCTCCACCGGTATATCTACCAATTTTGGTTTGTTTATGTCATATGAGGATTGATTTACTCGCTAGATGTTGACCACCGGGTAAATTATCCTTAACCAACTCCTACTAGTACAGCGTACCATCACTAATAACCAGAATCGGACTGCACTTAGTATCAGGCCGCAACTCAGCAGCCAAAAGCCGTCCAGACTTCCAACTCCCAGCCTCCAACATCTGAAGAAGACTCAAACTGACTCCTCGAGGCTCGTACTTCTCCTGAAGCATCTTGTGCAGTTCATCCAGCAGCGCGACAGTTAGAGCACGCCACTCAACGATCACATCGTCAGAGGCTTCAAATTGTGGAAGGTCCTGTCCCGAGTTTTCCTTTCCAGCTTTCAAGTCATCAGGCTTCAAATTCAAGACCCCGAGATCAACAAACAATCCACCATTTCGGTATTCGGGCAGTCCAGTGCCGAGATGCATGTTCTTCCAGGTGAAGCCTAACTGCCTCTCAAAGATCACGGAAAGTGAGTAGGCTAGCCACTGTGTAAGCTTGTGGAACGGCTGTATTTTGCTCTTGGGGTCTTTATCGCCCTGGCTATCAGCGATTTCAGCCAGCACTTCGAGAGGCCATGCATCTCCGATGGGTTGGCCTTTGAAGACAGTGCGGTTTCCTGGCCAGGAAGGGATAAGGAGGTCCTGTAAGCAGAACCAAAGCTGTTCATAGTCAAGGACCTTGGATACAGATGCCTTTTCTGTGAGGTAGTCTGAAGGATAACGTCAGCCTTGAATAATCTAACGGTCTATTTGTGCTTACTTACCCACTAAGTTTCCTGGACGGCCGAGCTCCCCGAAGACTGCAGGGTGCTTCAACAAGGAAGAGCCAACAGCTTGTAGCAACTTAACACGTGATGATACTCCAACCATAGGATTCTCAGTTGACACCTGGAAGTGCTGTTCGAAGCTGGTGTCTTGCAACTGGATCAAACCCTTCGCTAGAACAAACAATTAGCCCAAGAAAACAAGAACCTCACATCAAACATACCATCGACTTTCTCCTTTAGAGAACTGTCAGAACTGAAAGATCCAGCTGTAAACATGTGAAGCGATGCCACAGCAATACCCTCACTCCGGACAACAACTTGTCTAGTACCCGGTTCTTTGAAACGCCAGACATCGCCTGCTCCAGCATCAAGAAGAACCGACACAAAGAACAGATCGACCAATCGTCGAGTGATCTCAGTTTGATCAACCCCATCTTCACTGGACCAGCGCTTCACAAGGGAATCGACGCGTGCAACGTCTCCAACCTCGAAATGCTGCCAGCGACCATGAGGGGGAATAGTGTCGTATTTATCGGGGCCGAAATCACGCTAAAGATTTTTGGTATCAGCTCTGATGGTATTTCTGAGGATCATAGCATGCTCACATCAATGACCTTGGATACGTAATCAGCAACCTCTCCCATTCGGCCTTCGTCATACTCGAAGTGCTTCAATTGCCCTCGCTTTGCCGATTCGAAGACCTTGGAAGCTTGGTCTCGGACGGCTTGGAGAGAGAGGAGGTACTTTAGATCGCTATCCATTTTGTAGTAAGAGTCTAGTATTTGGAATATTGGGTGTTTGTTTTGCTTTGTTTTGCTTTGCTTTGCTTTTCTTTGTTTTGCTGTTTTGGATTGTTGTTGGTTTAAATGCTGATAAGATATGAAAGATAACAATCTTCGGAGAACTCCGAAAAGGCGGGGTTACAGCTGTCAAGGTGTTACAGGCCGTGTGAAGCACTATCCAATGGTCTCACTCCACTGAAGACGACGACCCCTCAACATATCCTCCCTCCTACATGAAGATCAATTGAACTTGAAAACATTGCGCATATGATCTTATGTCAAGAAAGTTAGCGTTGTTCATTATTATAATCTAGGTGTCTCTAGGATTTCTTGCTAACAAGAAAAGCCTACAGCACAGTTGCAGTCTGGATTTCACTTATGTAATGGTGAAAAGGTGCGCCATCATGCATTTCTCCTCCATCTTGTGTAACTGGGACACGTCATACTGGCGGTCTAGATACAGCAAATCAAAAGGTATTGCCGCGCTTTTGGAAGCAATGCAATTGCGAATCGGTGACCAGATATTCGCGGTTTAAACATTAATTATACACAGAGGTATTAGAAGTAGGCTTGAAAATACTGTATCTTAATCTTAATGCACAATGATCACAGAACTACCCTGAGTTGCAAGGTACACTTATTAAAACCAAAATGGATTGTCGCCAATTCCTATCCTCCGGGATTCACTACCTGAGCATTGTCTGAACGATATTGAGATGATTCTGCGGCTGTTCAATCGATTTGGTCAACGGCTGGCCCAACTTTTTCCTGAACATAATCACTCTCAAGTGCGAATTCTACCAGAATGATTAGCAAGGCTTTCAAGGAAGGGATTGGGTGACAGTAATACTTACGGTCGGCCTTGGTATACTTAAACCTCCTCGCTGGTACGTTGTTCTCAAAGAGAATGTCAATTTCACCAAAAGTACGATCCTTTGTCTCAGGAAGGCGAAACCAACACCAAATGAAACAAAGCAGATTCGTTCCGGCATAGAAAAGACCTGTCTTCGCACCCCAACCCCAGCCTAGACATATTGTTAGTCTTTATGATGTCATAGGTCTATAAACTTCCCACGTAGATGAACTTACCAGATGCAGAAATCATCCGTGGCGTTACGGAGTTGTTGAAGATGGCAGTGAGGTTATACACAAATCTTCCAATGACAATAGTCTTGTACCTGAGGCGTCCAGAAGGAGTCTCAGCCACAATGGGATAACACACTGGTCCAATGGTAATCATATTGCAAAGCGTCGAAACCACAAAGAGTAGGCCAATTGCAAGATAACCGTCTTTGCTAGTGGACCATCCGAGAGCTCCAATAGCGATAAGGCAGCAGAACATGAAGACGAGGCCGCTCATGTAAATGGTTGCACGTCCGAAGTGAGGGAAAAGGACCCAGCAGATCATGCCGCCAATGATGTAACATGCTGAGAGAGAAATGTTGAGGTTGAATGACTGGACCTGTGACCAGCCTGCGGCTTGGAGAAAAACGACAACGAAACCAAGAATGGCGTTACCACAGAGAATCTGGGCCGCCCAGACAACGCAGTTCTGAGTATAGAAGTTAGAGTTAAGTGAGATAATAAGTAACAAGGTGAGTTCTTACAATTTCGGTTCGACGTAGGTTGGTGCCTTTGAAGCATTCAATAATAGAAGCTCCCCCAGTTTCTGCCTTTTCCAAAGCTGTTGTATGCTGTATGTACGCCAAGCTCGCCTCGATAGCTCCTTCTCTGTCTCCATCGTCTGAGGCAAGTCGTCGTAGAGATGTCTTAGCGAGCTCGAGTTTACCGCGACGGACGGCATTCCATGGAGATTCGGGAGCGAAGTATGCCACGAAAAATAAGGGCACTGGCCAGACCCATTGGATGTAGAAAGGCAACTTCCAGGCCAAGTTACCCTCGATGTTCAGACATGCTCGGACCACGCCTGATGAAATCAGGATGCCTAGGCCCCAGCACATACAGACCCATGCTGTGACATATGGACGGAGAATCGTAGGTACGACTTCGCAAGCGTAGGTAGTAGATAGAGTCTGGCGCAAGGTTATTCCCTCTGTACAACTTGATGTAGTGAAAGTGTTAGTTACTTACCTGAAAAACACCCCAAGCAACACCACACAATGCCTCGCCAAACGCCAGAATAGATAGAGACGGTGCAAAGGCGAGAATGAAGATGGTGCATACAAGATAGGCCATGAAAACCATCATTGTAGTGCGAGCACCGAATTTATCTTGCGCGTATGCGTTGATCAACAGACCCGCCAATTGTCCTACTTGTGACGAGTTGGAGAGGCCCGATTGCCAGGCTGGTGAGATGACTTTTTTGCCCTCTTTGGCGCTGTACTCGCCAAAATGGTCTTGGAATTGAGTCAGGCCGTAAAAGGACCCGAGCTGTCAGAGCTACAAGTCAGCAAATCTCTAGGAGAGCCGAGCATAATTCACTTGAAGTCTGTTGCTTACCATCACCAAGTCATATCCTTCCATTACCAGACTGATGGACAGGACCGAGGCCCATAGCACAGCCTTCCGGTATTTCTTAAGGGCTTTGCGGATCGTGAGATCTCTGTCGGCGGCATTTCCATCCTGAGCGCGCTGGATGAGCTCGATAGTGTGAGGATCACCAAGATCAAGCCCCTCGAGCGTGTGCTTATTCACAACAATGTTGTCCGTACCCATGATTGCAACAGCAAGTTAGTAACGAATAGTTTGTCAATCGCTATTGGAGAATCGTGAATGTTACGAAAGGGTCCTGCTGAGCATTTCTGTTTAATATGAGGGGTACGCATCTCCCTTATAAGTCATGTAAATGTTGACCCCATGGGGAATTAAGCTCTAGGCTCTAGACGTTGTACCTCCAAAGTACGTAGTGCGGAGAACCACCAAGCCTGGACCGTATTTGACAGATGATGGCGCCACAACTGCTGAAGAAGCAAGGTCTCATAACAGAACCAACCAGCTTCCTTGACGGGCCAAGGGTCACAGCACATCCCACCGGACCTCCAGCTTGACAACCCATCCCACCGCAAACTCTATTTTAAAACATTCATCCCACCGGAGGCTCGTCTACTCATTAGAGTTACTTGTAGAATTGTATAAGCACTTGTATTCAGCTACATCTAAGGATGCATTGCTAGATACCTAAACTATGCTACTGTTGAATGACGTTGAGGGACGCTGCAGCCAGCTCCGCCAAATCAAGATTTCCACTGTCAGATGCCCGGGCATCTGTCGCCACCTCGCTTTCCTTCTCCTGATCATTTTCCGTGATAGGATATTTCATAGAACTATCATCTTCCGATTTATCGTTTTTAACCGCCGGCCAGAAGTTCGGAAGAAGGTCCCAATGAGTTTCATATGCACCATCCATAAACAAGTCGCTGTTCAAGTATTTCTTATAAACTGTGCGGAAAACCTCATTCTGCAATAGTTTCATCAGGTTCAAAAAGTGCCTGCTTGCAGATCCAAAAAGCATGAGTTTGGCATTGTCGATGTCGTTGTAGGGAGATGGCGCATCGGAGAAGTCGAGGTGTTGGTTGTCCTTGTGCTGATTCTCAATCTTTTCCTTTCCCGTTTTGAGGTCGTTCCAGAACTTGACGAAGTTCTTCTTTGAAATGTCTCGATCATCGAATTTGGCCTTAGACTGGCGGAGCATGAATTCATCGTACGCAAGCAAGTATAATCGGTGTATCTTGTTGCAAAAGGCATCGTAGACAAGCATTCCATCGCTAATGAGGTATTGAGCAATGGTTATGCTTCTGTATCCAAGCGTGACACCACGATTCAGGAAGCGAGCGTATGACGCTGAAATGCGACCGGGATGAAGAGAACTTCGCGAGCCTTGGTTGTGAGTGTCTGTTAGAACAGCATTTCTGGCGATCCATGGCAGCTCAAGAAGGAGCGGACCCAGAAGAAAGGCATTCCACTTGAGACCTCGGGGACAGAATAGCTTTATGGGCCAAACCCCTTCATCGCACATGTAGTGCGGGCATACCTGTTTGAAGTCGATCCCGGCGGCAATTGTGACCTCCAAAACGGGGTTGTAAGTGCCAAGTACATGACAGATCGAGAGGCCCGGTCTCTTATCGGTATCAGGGACAAAAGGATCAGGAATGAAAAGTGCTGCAATTGTCTTGCCAGGATATCTCTCGGCGTCTCCGATAGCAGGGTTCCAATCAGAGTTGTTGAAGAAGTCAACAAGATGTCGGAAGTCCTTTGTCGACATGTCCTCCATGTTCTTGTAATTGAACTCAGCGTCCAATTGGTACGCGAATGCGACCGCAGGGCCGTAAGACCGTCGAATTATACGTCCTGTGAGAGATAGAATTGTCTCGTTGAACCCCTCAAGGTGACCGGCGAGTCCGTTTGGCGGCTGCCAAGAAGCGACGCGAACCGCGTGCCCAAGCATCTTACCCACCATAGCGCGATCCCGACTGAGTGCATGAACAATCAGAGGATCCTTGACTGATGTAGCGTAGCGATCTTTCATTTTCTTCTTCCAACCTTCGATGGACGGATGCTTGATCACAAGCTCAGTCTTGTCGTTGACAAAAGCCCAAGCGAACTCGGGCTGTGCTGCTTCATGAGGAAAGACGATGACACGAAAGTGACGGGTGCTCGGTCTCAGGTCTGCTGAATAGCTTGCAAGTTTCGTGCACATCAACTTGTGGAACTTCCAATCGCTGCGCTGACAATCGGTTGAGCAGTACTGGGCATCAAGGCAGGCGGCGCAGTCGAGAAGCCGCCCTTGCTTGCCGCATGAGGCACAAGTGGCTGTGGAAGAGACCATGGTCTCGACTTCCGGTCGGCAGCCTACGCAATGAACACATGCTGCCAAGTCTTTGGCCCATCGGGTATTCGGATCGGTAATAGAGAATCCTGAGAGAGGTACCGTCATGTGCTTGGAGGGAGGGTCGGCCATGATGGTTGGAGACTCTGTCAAAAAGGCTCCAAAGGTTTTTTGAAAGGTTGAAGAGGAAAAATTAATTGTGCGAGGGCTCAGAGCCCTTCTCAATGCAGCATGTATGGCCGTGATTGCAAGATGAGGCTCGCACAGTGGTACACAGCATGAGACCAACACCAGAGCTGATAGGTTTTGAAACAGCCACAACTGCCACATCCCTCGTAAAACAGATGCTAGGTTATAGAATTGTGACGTCATAGGCTATGGAAAGGTAGGACTGTAGGGGAATAGAGATCTAGCAAGAAAGTCGTGCCATCAGATGCAAGAGAATATTAACTTAAGGTTTCTTTGCTTTACACTATGGTTTTGTAATTTTGGAGTATTTTGTAGATTAGAGTAATAATTATGTAGCGTTGGTAAAAGACTAGTGTGGTTTGTGATCTCATGATATAATAAGCAAGTCTTGAAGAGACTTCATGATACAATGAAGATAATGTCATGGATGAAGGTTGGAACAACACATAGAATACATAACTACACTGAATCATCGAGTGGTCAATATCGAGGTTGCATTTATCCTTCCCGCCCTATCGCAGTTTTGGAAATTCACGAAATCCAATGGTATATATACACAAAGAGAACATGGACAGCAAACGCTTCCACCACCTTGATCTAATCTCAGATTCCTCCCCTCTCGTCTTCCGCTGACATGCCTTGATCCAACTTCTGTGCTTCACACATCTTGGCATATATTCCACCCTGCTTAATGAGTTCTCCATGCTTCCCACTCTCGACTATCAGTCCTCCCTGGAAAACGAAAATGCGGCTTGCTTCCCGAATGGTGGAAAGGCGGTGGGCAACAGCAACAGTAATCCTATCACCAGCTGTTGCTGCCTCTAATAAGGCTCCCTGGACAACACGTTCAGACTCCGTATCGAGTGCGCTTGTTGCCTCATCTAACAGGATCACTGCAGGCTTCCTGATCAAAGTGCGTGCAATTGCAATTCTCTGTCGCTGACCACCGGAGAGCTGGTTGCCGCTCGTTCCACAACGAGTATTAAGGCCCTCTGGGAGCGAGGCGATAAAGTCCCAGGTATTGGCAGAACGACAGGCCTCCTCAACCTCTATATCAGAAGCTGTTGTCTCAATGCCCTGTGAAACATTGTCGCGGATAGTGCCTGGAAACAATGTTGGTTCCTGCTGCACTAGAGCAGCATGTTTGCGGTATAGACGAGGATTGATCGAGTCGAGGGGAGATGAATCGATAGTGATTCCTCCACTGGTTGGGTCGTAGAAACGCTGCAGTAGCGAGATCATTGCGCTCTTGCCACATCCCGATTGTCCAACAAAAGCGACGAACTCCCCAGATTGGATCTAGAAATCAACCTTTCAGCGCTACATGCCGACATGAGGGAGAGAATTAACTTACAGTGAGAGAAACTCCCTTGAGAACCCGATTGTGCGGCGCAAGAGGGTAGGAAAACTGAACATCACTGAGCTTGACAGACTTGCAACCATCCTTTGGCCCGTTTTCTCTGTTGTCAATGGTTTCCTGGATTGTTGGCTCGAGGGTAGATATCCAGAAATAGTAGTTGGCGGCCATGTGACCCTTAGTAAAATCTCCAAGAGCGAAGTGCGTTAGCATGGCGTATGGGAACTCTGGTCACTGATATGACTTACTGCCTGCAAAAACAAACAGCTGACTCGCCGCCTGACCAGAAAAGTAGACTCCCATAAAAGAGACGATGAACTGATAGAAGTTGATATGGCCATCGTTGATGAGCTTAGATCCCCACCTGAATAGGTTAGATGATACCTGGATAGATAGAGAACTACTCTTACCAAAAGCCTAACGCAAGGACGAAGTATTCAATGGCCTGGGTTAGTGAGAACCAAATCATCATATGGAATAAAGACGGGACTGAATCCTGGATAGCCATGTCTAGCTCGCGTGTATACTTATCCAGCACCCTTCGCTCAAGCGCCAGAGAGGAGATGGTGCGTATCGCCATCACCGCCTCAGACGACACTGATGAGCTCTGCAAGAGCGACTTATCTATGGCGTTTTCCATTCTCATCTCGAGCCATATGCGCAGCCACCCAGCTAACAGCATAGGAGGAAGCCCGACAAAAACACCGACCAAGCCAAGTCGCCAGGCGACCGCGACGGCTACGGCACTACAGGCAGTTAAGTTGATAATGGCGAGAAGCAGGAGTGCGACGTTGAAACCCATGAACTCGAATACAGCTTGAGGGTACGAGTCAAGGCGGCTTGTCAATGCGCCAATGGTGTTCTCGGGACGATCGAAGAACTGCAGGTCCTGGCGGAGGATGGAATCTAAGAGTTCCTTTCGGATCTTCCTCCCCAGAGTCTTTGCAAAGTCAGCAGGAGCTTGTTAAAATGAGTCAAGTCTACATACCTGTGCAATCATGTTGCTAGACCACCCCAAGAGGAAATAGCCTACTAGGCACCCGATTGCAATAACAAAGAGCATAAGAGAGATGAAATTGCCTCGTGATACCATATCCGGGGACGAGAAGACGTCGAGGACGTTGCCAAGAAGCAGAGCCTGTGCGGGGAAAAGGGCAGCTGGGAAATGGTTAGTCTTTCTTAAAATCCTGGTAAAGAGCAGCGGCTCCTTACCTCCGATGATGCAAGAGATGGCTGTAAGTAGATACCAGAACTTCAGTTCCGGCGTGCAGCTCACAAGCTTCATAATGGTGCTGATTAGTCCGCGCTGTTGAAATGCGTCAAAGTCTTGTCGATCCTTGAGTGGTACTAGGTTTCCCTCTTCGACTGTTTTGAGCTTGACCAGTGGGAGATCAAGTGTAGGGGTGTCGTTTAAGGCTGAATCTTTCTCTGAGAAGTGATCTGCGGTCTGTCGTGTTTCGGTTGGGGATAGATCTTGAGCCTTGACGAGATTGCAATAGATTCCGTTCAACTCAACCAGATCATCGTGGCTACCTTGCTCGACAACGCGGCCTGAAGATATGACGGCAATCTGGTCAGCGTTCTGAATGGTGGCTAACTTATGAGCGATAACGATAGTTGTCCGATTCTGAGAGGCTCTATTGAGGGCTTTCTGAACAATGCCTTCAGCGTGAGGGTCGAGCGCACTGGTCGCTTCATCAAGTAGTAAAACTTGCGGATTAGACACAAGACTGCGCGCAATGGCAACTCGCTGCTTCTGCCCACCCGAGAGGAGCCCGCCTCTCTCTCCGATCCTGGTGTCATATCCGTGAGGCAGGCCGGCGATAAAGTCGTGAGCAAAAGCAAGCTTGGCAGCATCCTCAACGCGTTGTCGTTGCTCGCCATGGGAGGCTGTCTCCCATGGTGTTCCGACGAGACCATCCGCGATATTCTCAAACACTGTGCCATTGAAGAGAACGGGCTCCTACATTCGAATAGATTTGTGAGCAACAGGACAGTGGGATAAGGATAAATTTCAGGAAGCCTCCTACCTGCTGCACCAGGCGGACGTTGGTCCGGAGCCAATGCAAGTTCAAGTCCTTGACATCTTTGCCATCCAATCTGACAGTACCAGCTTTCGGGTCATACCAGCGTTCTAAAAGGCCAATGACGGTACTTTTTCCTGACCCGCTGGTGCCCTGGATTGTAGTATGACGTTAGCCATGGTTGGGACTGAGAAAGGGAGAAGACGTTGGAGGGGGGTAATCAACTTACAACCAAGGCTGTGACCTTCCCTGCCGGAACATGCAGACTAATTGTATCAAGGACGGTGACATCTGGTCTCGTAGGATAGCTGAATGAAACATCTTGAAGCTCAACTTCACCCAAGACATGTTCAGGCCTTTCTCCAGAGTGATCGAAGGGATCAACTGCCGACTGCCTGTCAATCAATGTGAAGAGTTCAGTGGCCGCAGTCGCAGCACGACCGAACATGACCATCTGCGGTGCGATAGACATGACGGTACTAGCGCCGATGATGACTGAGAAGAGTACACTATTCAAAGTTAGAAAATAACGACCTGCTTAGGGTCCAAACTTGAACTGACGTAAATACGGTGCCAAGATCAGGAACCTCTCCGCGGTTGACCATGGCTATGCCCTGCCAAAACGCCAGCCCCATACCGGCGTGGACAACGAAATACTCGCCACCGAATAGGACGCCGTAGATTCTGTTCTTCTTCATACCTAGGCGGAACGAGCTTTCAAGAAACGAATCGTATTGACTGACGACCCTCTCCCGAAGATCAAAAGCGTGGACTGTGCGAACGCCTGCGAGGGTTGTTTCGGCGTAGCTCCCTGCCTGGGCATGGATCTTGAGAATATCGGTTTCAATCTGCGCATCCAGAGCGGCGACGCCTCCAACGACGATCAGCAGCACAGGCACCATGCCAATGATGATCAGGGTGAGCTTCCACTGGCTAATAAAGGCGATAACGAAGGCGGCGACGAAAGTGGCAATGGCTTGTACGAGCATGCCGAGCTTTTCGCCAATCCCAGATTGTATCAGTTTACCGTTGGATGTAGCTTGCATCGAGATCGATCCTTGAATTTGGTCAAAGAAACCAATCTCCTGGCTGAACGGGGCGCGCAGGTACTCGTGTCGAATATTGCGAGTCAGATGGTGGGCGACAAGGGTGAAAAGGGAGGCATATATGTAGGTGCACGCGAATCGCACAATGCCGATGTAAACAAAGTAGAGGCTGCGCGTGTTAGTTATCGCGGCAAATGGTCATTGGGTCGGTGTTGTTTCCTACGCGGTTTTCTGGACGGCGGACATGAAACCATCGGGCTGGGCTGAGAGCCTGGTGAGGATGTATGAGAGTCGCTCAACAGTGATATAAACTGGCCAACAACGAGGTTTACTATGGCTAGGGCGATGCCCGAGGCGATGGCCGCGATGATGGCGATAGATTCAAGAGCGTAGTCTGTTGCTTGGCCGAACGTAAAGACTCTCTGCGAGCGAGCATGGTCAACACAATGTACTCCGGGTGGCTTTCATAGAGGTTCGTGTCGTTAAACGTACCATAAAACCCCGGAAGCTCGATGGGTTGCCCTCCGAGGTGGAAGGTTCATCGCTTTGGGCGGCATCTTGTACACCGTTCGGGGGGAGATCGCTAGATGCAGTCATGGTCTTGGAGTAGTAGCGAAATTAGATAAGAATGAGAATAAAATAAAATAAAAATGAGAACGAAAAGAGTGATAGTTTCTGTAGACAGTCCGACTTATCAAGAAATGGTAGAGACTGGACAACTGTGGCTGGAGACAAGAGAGACAGCTGGGCATCCGTCAAGTGCAGCTGCGTGATGGGCATCATTGGCTTGTATACTAATTGGCAAATCTCCTGCCCCCAACAGCTGACCTTCTGTTATCACCGCTGACCATTGAAAGATTGACCAATGGCTCCATACTCCTGTTCGGAAGTCATGACTCCCTGGCGCCACATTCAGGGTCTGTCGGGCTCCGGAAACCCGGACGGCCGACCCAAGACAGAGATGTCGAGGGACCTGCCGGAGCTCCTTGTATCCATTGATTCCACTTCTGACCACACCAGCTGAGTAAAGAGAAAATATGAGTCAGTTCTCACCTGGAACGGCGACGATGCGCCTGGCAAAGAGGTTAGAGCATCCCGTCGCTATTTCCGGCCCTTCTATTCCAATTTCATCTTGGTACTCCGGCCCAAGGTCATCGTAGGGCATATTCACTCTAAAGTCTAATCCCATCAGTGCATTGGAGAGCTTGGCCGCATGCTAGATGACGAATTCATAGTTTATCCAAACATAAAAGTGAAAAATTCTGTTTGGGCAGGTCTCTGGTGTCGATGATGGTATTGAGATAAGACAAAATCGCCATGAAGGCTTCGCTCCCCACTAAGCGCCGCGCCGTCTTCGGTCCCCGGAGTCCCGGCTCCCGGCTCCGTCGACGCAAAAGTTCACACAGCGGGCCGGGCTGATGTGTCGAAACACGCCGATGACTATTCTGGCAGCAGGTAGCCACCCCGTGTTCCTAGACCCTAGCTCGGAGGTTCCGAATTGTCGGCTTCGCCGCTTTTATTTACGTTGGTCGTTCCATCTATTTAAGACGCCATCTCCTGACCCCTTCCTTCAGTCCTATTAGTCGAGCACATAACGCAACTACAAACCTATCCAGATTTCGTCAATAATAAGTAACATGGGATTCAAAGTCATAATAGTCGGAGGCAGCGTGTCAGGCCTCTCTTTGGCCAACATGCTTGAGAAGTTCAACATTGAGTATGTACTTCTCGAGGCACATTCCCAGATCGCCCCCCAACTTGGAGCGAGCATGGGCCTCCTCCCTGGTGGCTTACGTATCCTTGATCAGCTCGGCTGCTACGACCGTGTCCGGGAAATAGTCGGGGACTGTTATTACCAACCGAGCCTTCGTCTCTTTAACGGGAAAATATTGGACAAGGAAAAGCCCAAAAGCTTTTCTGAGCAGTTGGAGGAGAGGTAAACCACGATTCCTCTTTGAATTGAGAACTGCCTCTCGAGGCTGAATATGCTGACCCGGGCGTTTCAGAACCGGCTATCCCCAGATTTTCATCGATCGGCAGATGCTCCTGCAGATTCTTTTCGACAACATCCAGGCCAAGGATAGAGTGATGACGCAGAAGCGTGTTGTCCGCGTGGAAACAGCTGAGAATCAAGTCCACGTCCAGACTCATGACGGCTCTACTTATACGGGAGATATTGTTGTCGGTGCTGATGGAGTCCACAGCGCAGTCAGAAAGGAGATGTGGCGAAACGGCCTCGAATCAGATCCTGGATCATTTCGGCTGGACGAGGACAAAGGTTCGTTCTCCCGAATTTAACCACCTTTTTGTGAACTCAGAATTGACTTTCCTTCTTTCCTTCTATAGCGCTCGCAGCCGACTCGAAGTGCATTTTTGGCATTTCCAAACGACCCAAGTCACTTCCTAATACTGCTTTGCAGATCAACGCATTCTTTGACGGCCGCAACTATATGATGCTCTCGGCGCCCGGAGACCGGCTTTATTGGTTCATGTTTCAGGATATGGACAAAGCTACTGGCAGTGATATTCCCAGATTCACAACCGAGGACGAAATCAATCTGGCAAAGGAACACTTTGGTGATCAAGTCACAGAGTCCACGACCTTTGGGGACGTATACGAGAACCGATTGCAAACCGCACTCGTCTCTCTCGAGGAGCACGTTTTTGCGCGGTGGCATTTCCGGAGAATCATCACCATTGGAGACGCAGCTCACAAGGTATGCATCACCAGCATCAACTAAGGCCATGAAAATAATTAATGCGTGCACACAGGTTCACCCCAACACTGCTCAGGGCGGCAACGGCGCTATCGAGACGTCAGCAGTTCTTCTGAATACTCTCTTGCGACGATTAGACGAAAGATCGAAACTATCAGAAGAGGATATTGAGAGCGTCTTCGCCGAGGTTCAAACCAGCCGTTTCGCCCGTGCCGCGAATGCTCTCGAACAAGGCCGCCGGACATCATCAATCTCGACGCGAGATACGTTGGCCTCGAGACTTTTCGTCCACTATCTACTCCCCTGGTTTGGGGATCGTATAATCATGTGGCTCGCCATTAAACACGCTGAGACGGGCCCTGTGATCGAGCGACTGCCTGTTCCCAAGCGACACGGCGTCACTCTGCCGCACAGCGGTACTGTTACGAAACCTCGTAGCTCAAAGGTCCCGTGGGGACTGGGGGCCTTCGGAGCAACCCTTGTTGCAGTGCTTCTCTACTTTAGTAGAAGATCGGATTGGCCGAATGCATTTGCGACATTGTCTAGCGGGCACCTCGGTTATTTATGAGCCAATGAGGAAGGATTACTCGTTTTATAGACTTTATTAGATATTAGACTAGACACAACTAGATTTGCCATTTCTGGTGTTAGCATGATTTCCCTAGTAACCAAGAGAAACCTTAGAGCTGAATGTTTTACAATCCGCTGGAATAGCTCTGGGAGTGAGCACCTTCGGAATTGATTGCGAGCTTTAACTTTGAGTGAAATGTCTATCTTAGCAATTCTACGCTGTTTTTCAGAATCATTAGGGCGCTGTAATCGACCTTGCAGTGCTGCTATCGTTTTACCGTATCTACCTTGTGTTGTCTAGTTTTCAGGCGTAAAGTGATCAGGCAAAGTCTGAAATGACTGCATCAGAGCTTCATTGCTATAAAACCATTCTTCCAACTGTGCCCCGTGCCCCGTGCGGATCATAGGATTCATCAACATTGGCCCGGCATGTACGTCGGTGGAATTCATATCTTCCTCACCTGCGACTTGCACGAGGTTTCTGTCGAGGTCGTGATCGAAGCCCTGCCCCTGCTGCTGGCTCCCCCACGTAGACTGTATGCCCAATAATTTGAGATACGTGTCCATCTCTTCAGTATCCCGTGGCTGGTCGTCGCGCGGGGCCGAGAGTTCTACATAGCGGACTGCGACGTTGTAGAGGACCTGGAAGAGCCGATGCAACTTGGTTGCGGCGCCCGAGGCAGCGGCAGCTGGTTGGATTGAAGTGACAAAAGTACGAAGGCGGTCGAGGTCTGCCTTGTCTTGAGTCTCGATTACCTGGCAGAAGATGACGATAAAGGGAATGAAGGGAGCGAAGAGAAGGGTCCTGTTCCGTCAATATTCCCGAATCAAGATCAGCTGAGCCGGGCACGTACCAATGGACATAGGTAGGGAAGAAGTCTTCACTGCTCCTCTCAATAACCGCCAGACAATCATGGTGTCTGCGCAGAGTAGCTCTAGCAGCTTCGACGCAACTGGGGCTAAACGTTGTTAGAGCACCGGTCTGTTGTGGAGCAGCCCGATAGACCAGAGTAAGTAGTGAAAGTCGAAGAATGTCGTCTGAGACGGCAAAGAAATCCATCAAATCCTTGCCGGCATTATCCTTAGAGACCTGGATCCATTTTTCCTAAAAAAGAAACAAGTCAGACAGATGGGGCCTTTACAGACTTTGACGGCGTCCACCTACATGTGTTTCCTGTGTGGCCTGCTCCAACACGTGTAGATCGTTCACGAGAAGCTGAACCCGAGTATGCCGGACATGTTCGGGCTGGGTAATAGCTTCGGGGCAATACAGAAGCTCGTAAATGTTGCCCTGGCAACGTGCAGCTTCGATCCAGAGTACAAAATAAGCCATCACTGGTTCTTGGTGGGCGTCACTAGTTGCAGGTCTATGCGTTGTGATTTCCCAGTCGGGAATGGTGGATGCTCGACCGAGGCGAAGAGACAAACTCTTGTCGAGGAAGTAATTAGTCCAAAATAAAAACTTCCTAAACTTGGCGTCGTCGCTATTATCTGCATCGGGCATTCTGTGGTAGCCCAACGTCTGGCACAGCTCTGAGGCCTTGCTTGACAATGCCCAGGAGAGGTAGGGTTTCGAGAGCTCAATTGCATGCCAGGCCTGTGGGCTGGTCAGTATAAGTGCTGTCCATAATCATTGCGTCAACATACACCAAATAGGAGAGCTGTTATAGCCTCTGGCGTTGTCGGAAGATGCAGTGGCAGATCATAAAGTGCCGTCTCAAGGTTCTCGCGACACTTGCGGGCATGGCCTAGGTACGTCTCCTTTTGTTCTGCGGAGATATGATAGCTATAGTCCGTGAAGAGAGAATAAAAGCCAGCGTTGACAATGATGAATTCCATCTCGGAGAAAGTGTCGGAGAAGTAGACCTGCAGGCAAATGTCGGAGAAGTCTCGCATCGATATGAACTCGTATATAAAGCCTGTTCCTGCTAGCCTCTGACCTGTTGATAACCCATCAGATCACAGTGACATCAATAGCGAGAGGATCAAGGCACCTACTCTTTGCAATACGAATCAACTCGGTGGCTTTTTGGATAGGAGGCAACTCGTACCCCGATGGGCGTAGGCGTTGGCTCGGCCGGGAGTGAGGGTATGCCATTTCATTGGCAAAGGTCTGCTCTCTCAGGGCGCCAACAACGTGTGAGAGTGCGTCCAGCGTGTTCTTCATGTCTGAGCCAAAACCCGGGACGGGGTCAGCACCAGCGACTTGGTGCATGAAGTCGCTAGCAAACGCAGAGTGGGCGGCTAATGAGGATTCGCCCTCAAGGCCCAGCACCGCAGAAGGCGTTGGCTGGATAGTCTGGCTCGACGCGTTTGACATGGACGACGGAATTTTCGATACATGCGGAGCTGTTGTCGGTAAGACGGCATGAGAACATCGTTGTCGGTCGTCTTTGAGATCATGGAGCAGGTTGAGGACTTGCTCCATGCGCCGATCAAGCTGGTCGATTTTTTTCTCACTGAATGACGTGATATTGTCAGATATTCAGAAACAAATGATAGGGATAAAAAGGAGGAGTATGGGATGATAAAGTGACGTACTATTGTGGAGTGACGAGGATGCGGTTTCGTTTCTCCCTAGGCTTCTTTTCAGCAACAACACAGTCGATTTTGGTGTTAACGCAATGAGAACACGGATACTGCCTATCACAACGAATCTAGAATACAACCTGTAAGCGCTGATGGAGCTGGGGTATGGCATGACTGGGGCAGAGAGACGGCTGTCTGTGTACCTTGCGAAGGCGGCAGTTCTCGCACTATGAACAAGTTAGCTCAGACTCGAAGACCCCGAATGATGCGTAGTAATACTTACCGCTGGTCGAATGTGGATGTTGGAGCTTGGTGACGAGGGGTCTAGCGCGTCGTCGCCGTGCGCAACAGTATCCATGGTGAGCGAGACGGTGGCAGGAGACGAGACGGGCATGCAGGTGGGCGGCGGGGGACTGGCAACGCGAGAAGCGTCAGGAAAGATGGAATCCGGGCCCGTCAAGACGATATTGGCACAAAATTTAGTTTTACGACGTACCCGTAACATGAGGTTGTGAGTGTGCGAGTCATACCGAATGTAGGCATCGGCGCCCGGAGATCAGGGTGCCGAGTAGCCTACAGGAAAGTGGGGCTGGTTCTATAAGTGGGTCCCTAAGATATTGCATTGCTAAGTTCTGTCCTCGGATGGCTACTCTGTATACCCATTTAAATATAATAAAACACAATATAGAAATATTAAGTTATTAGAGAGCATTTTCTTTATAATTACTTATTTTAGTCAGTGTTGGGCAGATAATTAAACTCAGGATTAAGCTATATAGTTCTGCTTTATAACATACTAAGGTTACTGCCAAGCCACTGCTGCATTGCCGTTAACATACCGTAGGCAGTTCCTCAAGGTCTGAGAGGCTCGATATAGTGGAATGGTATAGATAGAGAAACAAAACACAGAAGCAGAATTATTGCCTAATCCTCGTCCAACTTCTTGCCTTTAAAATCTTGCGAATCATGCTCTGCCGGGGTATGACCATCGAACACAGCAGCAATAGCTTCGAGACTTGGGCCCTTTGTCTCTATGAAGAACTTCCAAACAATAGCAAGCTCAATAGCAAGCCAGGCAACATAAACAAAGTAAAACTTCCACGCGAGTGCCTGAAGACCGATGGGGTTGACCATGGTGTTGATAAAGTTACTCGCCTTGCCGAAGAACATGAGAAGCGAGAAACCCTTGGCACGAATGGGGTAGGGAAGGATCTCGACGGGGTAAGAGTAAAGAAGGGCGTTGAAGGCCAGGTTGTAGAAGAAGTAGAAGAGGAAGAGCATTGCGATGACAGCTTTTCCTGCGGCGGTGTTGTGGTCTTCATTGAAGAGACCAGCGCAAAGGGTCTGAGACGCAAAGATGGCAAGCATGCCTCCAACAGAAATTAGGAACTGGGTTCGACGCTTCATATAGGCCGTGAGGAAGGCTGATGCAACTGAGGTAAGCCAGTTGAAGATCATGAGGCAGCCATTAAGAATGTTGCGCTCTCGAGCATCGCTAACACCAACTGTTTCTAGGACGCGAACAAGGTAGTAAGAGACGAGACCGTTGCCCGACCACTGACTGAAGCAGCCAAGACAGACCAGAATAAAGACTCGCTTTCTGTTACCAGGAGATGTAAAGAGGTCCTTCCAACCCGTCTCGTTGCTGACTTCGGCTTCAATAACATTCCGCATCTGCATAAACTCGAGCATGACAAGCTCGTCGTCCTCATTTCCGTTACCATGCCACTTTATCAGCAGAGCCCTTGCTTCTTCACTGCGGCCGTTTGCGATGAGCCATCGAGGAGACTCGGGAAGGAAGAAGACGCATGTGATGGGAAGCATGGCCGGAGCAGCCTGTAAGAGAGACGGGATTCTCCAGGCCCACTCGCTGGCAATGCTAAAGGTCCCAAAGGTCACCCACGCAGCGAGGATGGCGCCTATGTACCAGGAAGTTTGATATAGGGATGTGATGACTTGCCGTTCCTTGGGATGGGCGAGCTCACCGATGAGCATGGGGGCGTAGGCGTTTGCGAAGACGAGACCGAAACCGATGATAAAGCGTGAGATGAGAAACATGGCGACTACATCATTGTTAGCTGCGAGGGGAAAGATAGAGGTTAAGTACTTACAGTGAACAGAAGAACCTTGGATGACAGCGCCAATGATCATGATGACAGCGCCAACAAAGATGCCCATACGTCTTCCATAGCGATCACCGACCAAGCTGATGAACGGAGTTGCAACGACGCATCCGAGAGGGAGGATAGCTGACATGATACCAAGAAGTGCACCACGAGGTTGACCAAAGTCTAAAAGCTTTTGTCAGTAACAGGTCCCAGACTAGACCTGGAACATGAGCACACTTACAGTTGTCCCAAGAAGGTACAGCTTGAAGACCAGACATCATACTCGCATCGAATCCCAGGGTAATAGCAGCTGCCAGGCAAGTTGGAATGATGAGAAGATAGAGCCGGAGAAGATTCTTGTTGTGGTAGAATGGAGGTGCGACGGCAACAAGCTCCTGAATTCTCTGGTCGAGATTAAGGATCTGCTCGTCAACGAAATGGCCTGCATTCTCAGCCATAGCGACATCCGCTTTGACTTCAAGACTATCCTTTCCCATATTGAGATCTGAATGAATACAACAGAAGAATAGTGGTGTTGGTGGGGGAGGAATAATGATGCTGGGAGCTGATGATGTACGACTATATGCAACACCTTGACCTTTAATATATTCACCGTTACAACAGCATGTGCCTCTTGAGTAACACTGCAGCGCGGGGCCCCCGAAAAAAAGTCTGCTTAACTCAACGACCCCACGGGGCTGGAACTAGTGTCGAGTCATCTCCACAGCCTGGAAGATGAACCTCTGAGGAGATGCGAGTTTTCGGGTGGTATCCGTTGTTCCAAGACTCGAGCAGTGGATGCTTCCCGAACGCCATTACCCCTCATACATTCATGCAAGTTGGACCAAAACCTGTGCTACCAACCGAATCCGAACTATAGTCTACTACCTAATAAGCTTATTCCCTTTTATTATCTAGTATTAATAAGTCATACCAATCCCAGTCGCACCGCCATTACCTAACCGACACTTTGGCAGTATTCCCATCATGACAGCCACCACCATCGATCTCATCTCCAAGCTCACAGTTGACGAAAAAGTGAGTCTTGTAGCAGCCGTTGACTGGTGGCGCACACCAACCATCAACCGAGAAGATGTCTTCATCCCTCATATCAAAATGTCCGATGGTCCCAATGGCGCCCGTGGCGAGAGCTACGTGAGCGGCATCACGGCAGCTTGCTTTCCCTGCTCAACCGCCGTTGGAGCCACGTTTGATTCAGAGCAGGCATATATGCTGGGCAAAGAGATCGCAAAAGAGACCAAAACGAAATCCGCAAATGTTCTCCTCGCGCCGACCATAAACATCATAAGGTCTCCTCTCGGTGGAAGAAACTATGAGACCTACTCTGAGGATCCCTACCTCATTGGAACTTTGGCATCAGCGTTTGTTCGTGGTTGTCAGAGTGAAGGCATAGCTGCTACGCCGAAACACTTCGTTGCCAATGAGTCCGAGAAGTCAAGGACAAGGATGACATCTAACATCGATCGCCAGACCTTGCGGGAAATATACATGCTTCCCTTCCAGCTGGTGATGCGTGATTCAGATCCCTGGTGTTTCATGACCTCATATAATCGCCTTAACGGGGAGTACTGTGCAGACAGTCAATGGTTACTTGAGGAAGTGCTCCGCAAAGAATGGGGGTTCAGTGGTCTTGTTGTTTCCGATTGGATGGGAACATATTCCACCGCTCAAGCACTCAACTCTGGTCTGGATCTCGAAATGCCAGGTCCTACGAGATGGCGTGGTCAGAAGCTTCTGGAGGAGATTGAAGCTGGTACTGTGACCACTGAGACTCTCGATAAGAGTGTTGGTAGGGTTATCGAACTTGCGAGAAAGACGGGCCGGTTTGGAGATCCTATTGAGAAGCCAGAACGTTCAGTAGAAGACCCAGAAAGACTTGAGTTCATCACCTCCATCGCAGCAGATGGAATGGTTCTTCTCAAGAACGACAACAACATCCTACCGCTCTCCCCAAAGGTTTCAGTTGCTGTTATAGGTCATCATGCTCTCCATCCCAGTATCGGCGGTGGAGGCAGCGCAAAGGTTCTAGCCCAGCACATCATCTCGCCTCTCGACGGCCTCAAAGCTCAAAGTGTCAACTGTCGTCATGCACCGGGCGTCCCAGTCTTTGGTGCCCTACCCCACGCAGAGCCTGAGACTCTTTCGCCTGTTCAGCTCCGCTGGTTTAACAGCTCTGTAGTTGGCGAGAGGCTTGCTCATGAACAGGCAATCACGCTACCAGAGTACATGATCAAGGAGGCTTGGCCTGCATATCTCAACAAAGAATACTGCACTAGCATGTCGTTTACTCTACGCCCAATGACAAGCGGAAGCCATGTATTCTCTGTCATTACTACTGGAAAGGCAGATGTGTTGGTCAATGGAGATAAGGTCTTTTACCGTCCACAGGAGACGGTCCTTCTCCCCGAGTCCTTCTACTTCTACAAAGCCAAGATTGAGCGACGCTTCACTCTTGATATGATTGCTGGCCAGGAGTACAAGATCGAGTTACACTCTTGGGCGACTGATCCCGAGCTTCTCTCCAAGATTGGCGGGACCATATTCCAGGGCGCCAGTCTTCGCTTCATGGAGCACGTCGACATCCCTCGCGCTATCCAAGATGCCGCAGTTGTCGCTGCCTCTTCTGATGTTGCGGTTGTCTTTGTAGGCACGACTAATGAACTTGAGTCAGAGGGCTATGATCGCGACACAATGGACTTAACATCTGATCAGTATGACCTGATCAACGCAGTGGTAGCTCTCAATCCTCGCACGGTCGTCGTCAATCTCTCAGGGTCTCCCGTCACAGTATCTCCCTTCATCGATCAAGTACCCTGCTTTCTTCAAGCTTGGTTCGCTGGTCAAGAGTGCGGCCACGCCATATCCCGCGTTCTTCTCGGACATGTCAACCCATCGGGCCGTCTTCCCATGTCATGGCCGAGGAGAAACGAAGATAACCCAGCCTATCCAAACTTCCCTTGCGACGATAATCTCGAGCTCAATTATGAAGAGCGTCTCAAGGTTGGTTATCGCTTTTACGATGAGGAGTGTGCACCAAAGCCTCAGTTTCACTTTGGCGAAGGGCTTTCGTACACGACATTTGAGTTGACAGGGCGGGCAAGTGTGACCTCAACGTTTGATTGCACTAACACGGCCGAGACTTTACTTTTATCGGAAGTGAAGAATACGGGCACGAAGGATGGTAAACAAGTGGTTCAAGTGTATGTGACTCCCCCATCATGCGACGGGAATCCACGACCAGTCAAGGATCTCAGATCGTACTGCAAAGTATTTGTCCAGGCTGGGCAAACAGAAAAGGTCAAGTCCAAGCTGGACAAGTATGCGTTTAGCTACTTTGATACCGCTGTGGACAAGTGGAAGATGCCACAGGGCGAATTCCTTCTACATATCTGCTTCAGCTCCGCGGAGATCCTCCAGACTGTCACTGTTACAAATCCGAAGACTCAGTATTGGACAGGGCTGTGAAGTAGTCGAGTTGAATTTAGGGTGTTGTTGTCAGCTAGGTAGAGGAAATATGAACTCATCTCCAAATCCAAGACCACCGTAAGTCGGCATACCACCGTCAAGACTCCAGTCCCAATTATCCTGGAAAAGCGATGCAATGAAATCAACCTGTTCCGTCTGACCTTCTGCCGGCAAAGGAATCCCTTCATCCCCATTGTCATCGGACTGGCCTTCGAGGCTGACTGACGGTCTACGCGATGGTACCCGGGACGGCACTGCAGAATTGCGTATTGCTGGGAAAGTATCAGCCGAAAGGTTTGGTCTTTGCAAGTACACCTTGACGTACAGAAATATGCAGAGCGTGCTTGATCCTTCAAAAGAAGTAGATGCTCCAAGTATCCTCTCGCGCGGGCATTTTCCCTACCAATCACCTGAAGAAGCACTGTAGTGTTCTCCCAGGTGGCATTGAGTTGTTGCTGATTGAAGTGCTTACTTCCTCCAGCTTGGGCACACTCAGCGAGGATTATTATGCCGCCACATGTCATGAGATCTAAGCGTGAACATGTTAGTGTTGTTACTACAAAGATGATTGAGGAAACCTTACAGAATAAGCTGAACCACCATGCTCCAGTCGCCTCCACTTCCCTGGCAGCTAAAAGGGATGCCGACAATTCGTAGGCAACTTGAACACACGTAGTAGCGCACTGAGCTTGAAAAACTCCCTGCAGAGTATTTGCTTCAACACCGACTTCATCTGAGCCAGAGCCTGTACCCCGCCGCTGTCGTGAACGCCTCGCAGCAGCGCAGAATGTACTAAAACTTGGTCTGTACAGTAGAATCCTAAGATGGAGAAACCTAGCATGTAAGACATTTCTCTGCCGCTTCAAAACATAACCTCTAGTTCCTTGTTCTCTCGGCGTGTCATTATCCCACCATTTCAAATCATCAACCAGGGAATTTCGAAAATCTTCTAGAAGCCCATCTAGACGAACGAGGGCGCTGAAGTCGGAGGATGAACTTGGCCAGTAGATCGAAGACAGGATTTTGCCGAGTATCTTGGCTAGTCGGATGTTCTCTACGACAAAGAGATTCTGTGATACTGTTCCTTCGGGTTGAATACATGAGGTGGCATTAGGACAGATGAACTCGTCGTCGACTGCGGCGGGTACGAGAACGTCGTCTGTCATTTGGAGAACTGGCGGTCTTCCTAGGGTCATACAAACTGTCCTGAGATACTGTTAGCAAGCCACTAGTCGACATATGGGAATTTCTGACTTACATCTCCATTTGCAAACATCCATACCAGACCCTTCGTCGCACTTCATTCTCCATAACAGATCTCTGATCAGCATGCCTTTCTGTATGCAAACCCAGGCCAACAGCTATCCTGCACGCGAGGCCGATAATATTATAGCATCTGATTGGATACTCGCTCGACAGCGCATAGTGCCCCGCAAGGAGCAAGGCTTGCACATGCGACAGATCAGCTTTATCAAGGATATCCATCTGCAACAAGCTTCTCATCCGTGAACTGAACATTGCCGAAGCAGATTCCTTCTCCGGCAGATCTGAGAACTCGCACCCCAAAGCAAACATTGCATTCAGGGCGCAGAAGAAAGAAGTTTCAGGACACTGATCACCTCCCACGCCAATATCACCAGCTTGACCCATCTCCGCCCCCGGATACCCAGTCGACGTCCATAATGCCTCATACCGTTTCCTAAACCACGTGGAATGACACCAAGGATAGAAAATATGCACACTATCAAAGTACAAATCCAGAAACTTATCAGCTACTTGTCGCGGCGGCAAAGCAAACTCGGCCGTTAGAAGTGACGTCGCGGAACTCCGGTCCCGATTCCGAAGTGGGGCCGCTGACCGGTGGCGATCGGGATGAGGAACCTCTCGGAGAAGAGAGTGAACCGAAGATTGACCGAAGAATTCATCTTCTTGACGGTTTAGAGTGAGAGTTGTAGCGCCCATTGTACTCACGGGACTTGGGCCGCCTGTTGTGGTGTGGATTGTACCTGGGGGTCTGTCCCTGGGGCTCTTGGGGGTGAGTTCTGCATCTTGGCGGAGCTGGTCAATCACCAGTTGCATATCCTGCACCTGTTTTTGCAACGATGCAATGTACCTAGAGAAAATACCATCAATGAATGAATTACTCAATGAGATGAGAGACTTACTCTTGCTCACTAAGCTGCTTCGCTGTCCCAGCAATAACAGTGTAAACGCACCGCACAGCCGGTTCCCCTCGTTTTCTGCAGGGATTACACACAGGCTTAGACCCATCGCACTTGATCTTCCGTTCCCGACATGTATCACATGCCAATGCGACTCTCTTCCGTTTGGTCGGACGGGCTATCACTTCTTCCTGTGTTTGCGGAATATCCATTGCGAGGAAAAGAGCGGGGGAATTGCTGAAGCCGAGATTGAGGGGAGGCACTGGCTTTTTTCACGGGCTGTACCCGGTGTTTTTCGGGTAGCATGGTATGGGAACGGGAAGTATCCGTGAAACACTATCCGCATTTGGTTTAGAGGATCGTTGGGTGAGAGTCTACCCGGGAGTTAAAATCGGCTCATGGGATATTTTATGTTGAAGGGCCCAGATGTCATGAAAGGTCTCGTTGGATGATTAATAGCATTGAGGGATATTTTCCAGTCCCTCAAAGTCCAAATTAATTATGCTCAAGACACCATATCGTGCCCTGCCAGGGTATCTCAGAAGACCTGCACCGCGTTCTGCAGTGGGGCTATCTGCACGACGTCCTTTTCACAACACTAGCTTTGAGAGAAACAACACATCTGAGACCAAGCGTCATAGTCGGACACAAGAACAGCGAAACAATCCAGTATTCCTCGCCTCGGCATTGTCTGCAACAGCAACTACTATTGGAGGAACATTGTTGTACACAATAGTTAGCCATGAGAAGGAGAAAGATGGTGAATCCCAATACGCAAACCGAGATGAAATGGAATCAGTAAGACAAAAGCAATAATAATGATGGAATGGATCTGATCGATATGTGCAGGCAGTTGAAGAGATAAGAAAAGCACTCGGAGAAGATGCTGTCAGTATAGAAGATGAGATACTCCATTCTCACGGCTACTCAGATTGGTCAACGATAAATATCGACCGGTTACCAGTCGCTGTCACTTTTCCCAAGACGACGGAAGAGGTTGCCACTATTGCAAAAATTTGCCATAAGAGGCGCGTTCCGATGAGTAAGTCCCCTCTGAAGAATACCTCGAGCAGGAGAACTGACAGCATAAGTTCCCTATTCTGGAGGATCCAGTGTCGAGGGCCATTTCTCAGCGCCATTTGGCGGCGTGAGTGTTGATTTCGTCAATATGAACCAGATTTTGGAAATGCACAGCGACGAGTGAGTTATTTCACAGAACTATTGTCTGATGATGGCGCTGAATGTCCAGCCTCAATGTCGTCGTTCAGCCATCTGTACCATGGATGGATCTGAACGAGAAGATTAAAGAAAGCGGTCTCTTCTTCCCCATCGATCCAGGCCCGTCCGTGAGTTTTCCCCACCAAAAGGAAGAACCTTGTACTGATCTACATCAAAGGCCCAAATTGGTGGCATGGTTGGAACAAACTGCAGGTCAGTACTTCGAACTAAGAACGGCTTTCAGGTCTAACGATGTGACAGCGGAACCAACGCAGTCAAGTACGGTACCATGAAAGACTGGGTAGTGAACCTCACCCTGGTATTGAGCGACGGCACCATCCTCAAAACCCGACGACGACCAAGAAAGTCATCGGCAGGTTACAACCTCAACTCACTCTTCGTAGGATCAGAAGGCACCTTGGGTTTTGTCACCGAAGCGACACTCAAGCTTGCTCCTATCCCTGAGCATACTGGCATCGCAGTAGTCACATTTCCCTCGATCAAAGCTGCAGCAACCATGGCCATAGAAGTCATCCGACGAGGTGTACCAATCAGCGCTGTTGAGATCCTCGATGAAGTACTCATGAGCGTCATAAACAGAATGGGTGCAACGTCTCGGAAATGGAATGAAGTGCCAACACTATTCTTCAAGTTCAGTGGAAGTGATGTTATAGTCAAGGATAGCATTACACAGGTTCAAAGAATTTCGAAGAAGCATCAGGCAAATGGCTTCCAATACGAGAGTGATCCGGAGAAGCAGAAAGCTCTGTGGTCTGCTCGGAAAGAGGCATTATGGAGTATGATGGCACTACGTGAGACAGATGGACACGTTTGGTCCACTGATGTCGCCGTTCCTCTGTCCCGAGTTTCCGAGCTCATAGGTTAGTATACTTGTCATGGTCACCTCATAGGGTCATCTTGCTGATTTACCCCAGATATATCCAAGAAGGACCTTGTCAAGCTCGGTTTATTTGGCAGTATTCTCGGACACATCGGCGACGGCAACTTCCACGAGACAATCCTGTTTGAGGAAAAGCAGCGCAAAGAGGTTGAGGACTGCGTCCACAAAATGGTCTCACGGGCCATTGAGATGGAGGGAACATGCACGGTAAGCACCCCCCTTTGGATCCTTACGGAGCGATTACTGATTGTCTATGTAGGGAGAGCATGGGGTTGGACTCGGAAAGAAGGACTTTCTTCGGGAAGAAGTTGGCGAGGTACCTATTCAAGTCATGAGAGCCATCAAGACAAGTCTGGATCCGCTTTGGTTGATGAATCCAGGAAAGATCTTTGATCGCAGAGACTAAGCGACTCGACAATAGACAAAACCCATGATTATCTGATCTATGTGCTACGCTTTGTCGGATAATCGGCGACACAATAAGCGGCGATGCCGGGCGTGTGACGATCATCAGGTCTCAGCCATAAGCGGCGATCAGTAAGCGGCGTTTCCGGTGCCTATCTGATAAACTTGTTCGTTACATTTTCTGTTTCTGGCGAGCTTTTGCGTTGCATCGCTTACGGTGATCCCCTAAACCGAGCGGCCCGCAGCGGGTAAAGTAGAGTTATTACTCCGTAGTGTTTACTCTTTACGTCCAATCAGCTACATCATGTCGTATTCCTAGGTTACCAGAGGACATAAGGATTTGAATATATAATATCAGAGGCTTCCTCACATTGTAGAGGTTAAGACCAAGCAGCAAGCCTATTCCATAAACCACATATCTATTCAAAACAACACATCCAACCCTACACTACCAGCAATGGTTTCTCTACGCGACATCGGACTTCTGCTCCTCGCAGCCCCAGCGGCCATGGCAGCGCCAAAAGCACCCTCCGAAGTGTCCACCATAACCCTCCCCTTCTCCAAATCAGACGATACCTCCAAGCCAGTTTCAACCTCAGCCATCGCCTCACCTGCCTCAAAGGCCTCCCAAAAGGCCGCGTGCCAGCTACCCCTCCGTTTCACCAACTTTGCGCTCTACTCCGACACAGGCTGCCAGAACGCGATTTTCGACCCCTTCATGCTCACCTGGGATCCCTGTAAGGGATACCAGTGGACAAACCCACTGGCGAATGGTGTTATATTCCAGAGCATGAGATGGACTGGGGGAAGTAACGCGCAGAACTTTTATGTTTGCCAGCAGGGTTTTGGGTGTAATGCGAATGTTGCCGAGGTTATCCAGGCTTCCAACACTTGTTCATCTGGTGGAGGGCTACATTTTGACAAGATTGCTGTCAACCCTTAGATGCTGAATGTATATAGGCGGGCGGCGATAACATTCTGCATCTTCCTGGCCGGTATGCCAGTGGACTTCACCAGTGCAAGCCAGTGCAAGGGCAAAAAGAAGTTTCTGCTGAGAGGCTTTACAGCTATAGTTAACCCCACATTCATATCCAGGTTTCCGTTTTAGTTCGGGTTCATATAAACGGAGGCATCCATGAGCCTGCGTGAATAATACTGCAAAGCTTTGCATCATAGCTCAACAAGCCAGCCGGGTCGAGATCGTCGTAGTTCCAGCCAATCTCTATCAATCCCTTCACAAGATCCATATGTCTTGTGCTAGACCTTTCTTGCGTTCGACGAATAACTCCGAGTATGCCACACCGTTGTTCATCTGCTCGAGTTTCGCATGCAATAACAAACAAGGGCCAGGGTAAATCACAAGTCTCGAGCTCCGCAAGAATTTGCAGACCTTTTGAGACCAACGCTTGATGGCTTGCTTCCGATCCGTTGTAGCTATATGCAGAGCGGTTGATCCAAAGTAGTGTTGCTACGCAGTGCAGCTTCGTTGCAGCGTGCATCCATGACGTTGTTCCCGATGTCGTAGCGGGCTCTTCTACATGTCTTCGAAGCTGACCCTCCAGCTCTACAAGGTCTTTTCGCGAGGCTGGAAGTACTGGACTTCTAGGATTGGGAACCACTATGTTGAACACTTTCCAGATGGTCCTTAGAACAGCTGGGTCGCATCCTGTCACTTCCACCTCCTCCAAGAAACATTTTCAGCCACAGATTCAACAAAGGATTATTTCAACTCACATTTCCATTCCGAGGTTCATCCTTGCATATGAAATCACCAGATATCCTAGTTCGACAGAGCGGTTTGTAAGTCTCCCTTCCATAGTATAGCTGGCTGAACTCGATAATCGTCTCATGATACAGAATCCATTCGAAGATAACCCTATAGCACTTGGACAAGGAACCTCGTTCTTTTGAAAACTGGAGAATCTGCTTAACGCCGAAGAGATATGCTGCCCATGCCACAGGGGTCGACATATAAAGAGTCTAATCGTTCAGTAGTTGGTATACATGGAGGACAGTGATACTCACTTCGTAAAGGTATAACAGCATACTTGCAGCAAGGTTACCGATTATAACAGAGTCAGGGTTATCTGGGTCTAAGGATATTCTTGTCATGGAAATAGCTCGACTTTTGAATCTTATTGCTCTCCCTTCGCCGAAAGCATGTAGGGCAGAGATTGCCAGCAGGCCGTTTAGTACCGCAACAGAAGACGGTGAAGAATCAGTGAGGCCAATTTGTAGCAGTAAGTTTGAAAGAGACCCTAATGGATTTAACAAGAAAGACGGTGCATGTTGGACGTCTAGAACTTTAGTTTGGCTTGTATAGTACAAGGGGATTTAAAACATACAATAGTGAATGAGACTGCTGTCTTCTCTATCCACCAGAGATAAACAGACGGAACTTGGTATCGAGCCTTGCAAAATTCTTTCCTGAAATATTCCTGTATGAAAGTGGTCAGAAGGATGACTTGATGCAACATGCAGCTTTCATGTTCACAGGGACGATAACTCACGAGTGTTTCCTGAGGCTACAGCGTCGGACCAAGCTCTTACGTGCCATTTCTGCGTGTTCACAAAGAACCCCTGACGCGTAACCTCGGCCTGTATGTTGTCGGGTCTATCACTTGGCCAGGAACAAGATGCTGTCATGGCTCTTTTTGCATCCCCATTTCTGGGCCAAGACAGGCGTAGTGCGTAGCCTTTGCAACGAAGTGTTGATAGTCTGCAGTTGTCGCATATTGGAAGTTTTCGGTCGCATCGGATCCGGCGATCTAGGCCGTTAGTAAGCTCTCCGTCACGGAATGCGGGTGGACATACCCCGACAAGTGCCGCAGGATCTGCTTGCTTTAAGGGTACTTAGGCTATTCATGGTATATCCAGATGATGGGGATGAAGCGGATTTAAAGGTCTCGTTGGAAAAAGTAAATGAGTAAATAAATCAACAGACACAATTTGAAGGGAGTTTACACGCTTACACAGACAATTACAAAGCCGTCTCGCTAAAGATAGATCCGACTAACTCCGCTCGTCCTTCAAAATAGTTGCTGCCTTTGAGCAACGGACGAATTACCTTTCAGAAAGCAAGCAACGCCCCCACATCAGCACGGTAAGGCGCGCAACAAGGTTTGTGTTGTTAGATGTTAGTGTAACCTGATTCTACTACTTTTGCATTTATCTATTAATTTCTTTTAGAATAAAGTATTAGAAGGATAGAATACTTACTCGGACTCTATATAGTGTCGGCTGTCTTAGATGTTGCTGCTAGAAACGTGCATTCAGTTAAAAATAATATCATTTCATACATTCAGATTTTGACTTATCTCGATAAGCCAATTAGGTGGTCTGTCTTCGGGGCCCACTCTCGCGAATTCTTGCCAACTTGACCTTGTCAGCCAATTATCTGAGCTTCTAAATCCCTTCAAGTTCGCTTTGTCATTCGGAATAATGTCCACAACAACATTTAGGTGATATTTCAGATACTTCAAATTATGACAAATTTTTTGAGGATTCCAATCGTATTCGTACTGCTTTGATGTATATAAAGGCACAATGCCGCCGCCATTGGAGAGGCTGTAATTGTGTACCGCATACTCAAGCAAGAATTTAAGAGATTTTGTTTATTCTATCATTTTCCCCTACACCTATTAATCTACCGTCTTATATCTCGACATTTGCGCAATTCTTACAGCATGTCACAGACCTTTGAGCCCAACATCGCTGCTGTCCTTCCCGTCAAGCAGGGTCAAATTACCATCGAACAACGCCCTATCCCTACCCCCAATGAAGGCGAACTCTTGGTTCGCAATGCCTACGCTGCTGCAAACCCCTCTGACTGGAAAATACAAGCCCTAGGCGCCATTATCAACGAGTTTCCAGCTGTACTTGGCAGTGACCTTAGCGGCGTCGTTGTATCCGTAGGACCCGGCGTGACACGCTTCAAAGTCGGCGATCGCGTGATAGGCTTTGCCATGGGTGTTCTCAATGGAGACGGTAACAAGGCAGCGTTCCAGACCTACACCATTCTCGAGGAGGTGGCGACAACTCACTTACCTGAAAACACCAGCTTTCAGGATGGTGCCGTACTTGCCGTCGGCATGGTTACTGCATCTATCGCGTTGTTCAAAGGCCTCGGACTGCCAATGCGCGAGAAAACTGCTGAGGAGTCTGGAGCTATTCTTGTGTGGAGTGGTGCTTCAGCCGTTGGTGTTTCGGCAGTGCAGATAGCACATGCGCTGGGATGGCCTGTCTACGCAACTGCAAGTCCGAAACATGACGAGTGGCTCAAGACATTGGGCGCGACCGATACATGGGACTATCGTGACCCGGAAGTCGCGCAGAAAATAGCTCAAGCCTTGAAATCGTCTGGAACAAAGATCCGCGGCGTGATTGATGCCAGATCAGAAGGCACCTCCTTTGATTCTGTTGTCGAGGTACTCACTAGAACTGATTTGACACCAGCATGCAAAGTCACTACGCTGATGCCATGGCCGGAAGAAAAGTCCTTACCAGCAGGGCCTGAAGTATATCATACCAATTGCTGGGGATTCACAGAGAAGTATCCGGATATCGCAAGCTGGATTTTCGGTGGCTGGTTGTCCAAGGCACTCGGAGACGGGAGGATCAAGCCTGCGCCAAGGGCTCTTGTTATCGAAGGTGGATTGGAAGCAACACAGGAGATGCTGAACGTTCTTAGAGTTGGGGCAAGTGGTGAGAAGTTTGTTTTGAGAGTTTAGATCTTACTGCACTATTTACAAGACTTCATCTTTGACATATTGTATAATTCATTGGCTCCAGACTTCCAGTATATCATTGTTGCAGAGTAGCAAAGGTATTTACCGAACAGCTGGTCTACCCATCTTTTATTAAGAGAAAGATGTGCCAATCATATTGAATTCGTGTTTTCTATTTATGTTTTAAATCGCAACGTCCAAGACAGCTGAGACACCTCTATCCAGACTCTCAATAGCCCCACTCAGCGCAGTCTGAAACTCCGAAGTATCTGCCACCCTCGCACCAAAGATCAACCCATTGCTAGCAGCCTTCGCAATACCCGCATAATCCGGACTTGGCGCAAAAGAAATATTCAACTCCTCATTAGTCGCCTTTGAAGCAGGTCCATCAGGATGAACCAACAACATAGATCTCTTCGGCGCATTCCAGCCAAGGTTGTTCAACACGATGGTCAGAACAGGAATGCCGTAGCGGGCGGAGATCCAGTATACACTTGAAGGTACGGAGAACATGTATGATCCGTCGCCAACGATCTGAACAACATATCTTTTGCGTTTACCGGGGATGAGAGCATCTGCTGCGTCGGCGGCTAGTTTGATACCCAGTGCGCCTCCGCCACTCCAACCGAGACCGCCGCCTCCACAGTGAATCCATTGTCCTGGGATAGTAGCTCGGATTTGATCCGCGACTGCGATCATGTTTGTAATAGCCTCAACGGCCCAGATTGTATCCTCTGGTAACTTGGCGCGTAAAGTTGAGCAGACGAAATCGGTTGTGAGCTTGCCTGAGTCAAGAGGCTTGGCTTTCTCATCAAGAGCCTGGATACGCTCTGTATAAGACTGTTGAAGAGCTTGTCCCCGACGATCAAACTCAGCGGTGGCAAGCTTCTGAGATAACGACGCACGAAGATGTTCCGTAATTTGTCGTAGTGACGTTTCCGCATCAACACGATATCGCTGTTCGGCATCGATGTAAAACACCAACATAGACTCCTTCAAAGGATCGACATCAAGATGAAAGATCCGCGCGTTGCTCTTCGGTTTGCAGAGCTTATTAATCCACGGAACATCGCAATCAAGAATGAGAAAAACATCAGCATTCTGAATCGCCGAGTCAACGCCGTACTTCATACCCAACCAACCAGGATGATCAGCAGGGAAGCACATATCCGAGCATCCCGTATCGAGAACTCTCAGACCCTTGATAGTATTCGCCAGCGTCACGAGAGGTTCAACCGCAGCGTGGTTCCGACCGGTGAAGCCGACGATGACCAAGGGGTCAGAAGCGTTGACTAAAGCTTCTGCAATTTCTTGCACAGCTTCTTGCGGTAGGGCTGCGGGTGCAACAGGTTTCCAGAAGGCGGAATTTACGGTGTATGGTTCGATGGTTTCCTCCATTACTTCGCGGGCGCCCATGAGATATGAAGGGCCTTGGGGGTGACTTGTGGCGAGTTGAAGAGCGCGGCGGACCATTTGTTTGACGTTCTTTCCAGTCTTGATCTCTCCTACGTAACGGCAGTATTGAGAGACAATTTGCTTCTGATCAGGTACGTCTTGAATCCAATGGCTATAATTGTTAGTCAGGTTCTGAGCTTTGGAGTAGTAGGTGGGCTTACATAAACTCAGTTCTTGAACCGAGAAGTTCCCCCTCAATAGAATAAGGCGACAATCCAGCAAAGATCAAAACCGGCGCCCTTCCCATAGCAGCGTTATGTATAGCAGCCGCAAGAGCAGAAGTGCCAACATCAACATGCACAATAACACACTGCGCCTCTCCACTCAACCTCGCATAACCATCTGCCATGGATAATGCAACCATTTCATTCGGACATGTGATAATTCTTGGAAATTTATCTGGCATTTCTCTCTGGCCTCTGACCATAGCTTCAAGAATGCTAGGATGGTCGGAGCCAAGATTTACGAAGCAGTTCTTGACGCCTGCTTCGACTAGGGCCTCGAAGAAGGCGAAAGATGTTGTGTACCTGCATCATGTTAGCCTACTGGTAAGGATCATTGTCGTGGTTGACATACATGCTGGGCTTTGTTGATGCAGGATCCGTACGATCTGATTCTGTCGCTTGAGCTTCTAATTTCATTGTTCCAAGTATAAAGGTGGTTGATGGTAAATGGAGAGCAATTTGATGAGGTCTTTACGTTTAATGGTTTATCACACGGGATCCATCCGGAGAGGAGTTCCCCATTCACGGTTAATACCCGAGCGGGGGATCGGCTCTGGCAACTGACATCGGCAGTAGAAGCGTGACCCCCACTTACGGCATCACAACAGACCCCGATTTATCACCATGAGCATGGACCAGGAAATATGTATCAATAGATGACAATATGTACATAGCATGCATCATTTAGATTGTCACCGAATTGTGCAAAAGGTATTGTAACATTGATTTATCACCACTCTGGTTCGGCTATTCTTTCATGTACATATTCTGAGTCATGTTCCTCTTTCCGAGATTTCCGAATGATTCAACAGAAATTGTATCTGGAAGCAATCCGAATTTCCGGTTTGTGCCTGACCTCAAAAGGCAAAGCATTGCTTGCGTTGCCGTGCACCCCACAAGGGACTAGACGATAAAGGACAGGGATTTTCGTAACCGGTGCATGCTTATGCCAGTTAGACTCCTTGATTTGAGATACGCATCCTTGGACATCCTCTTGGACATGGACTAGCTGGGTAGTATTCGTCAAAGCACAAACAGTATGCATCCTCGGCTCCAATCAGACAACCATGACCAATACAAACTCGTAGTCGTGGATTTAGCCACACGGGCATTTGTCCCGTCGTCTAGCCGTCTGGTCCCCCCGGTTAACCTTAACAGTAGTCCCCGTCTTCTCATCTTCCCCATGAGAGCGTTCGGGAATGGCCCGGAATTTTCAACACGGTCTATAATGTAGTATTTGGAATTACGAGCCAAGACAGACATGCCGTTATCTCTCTTCCTCGGATCTGCTGCATGACGCTATTGCCATGCAACCATTTCATGATCCTCTGATGACCTTGTTACCCCGGAATTCCTCTTCCATCACGCGGGGAGCATCCCAGTCCGCCCGCCTCCACACCCCGCACCCGGCTATACCACTTCAGTGTGTCGATCAAGGTCCTTTCATCCAATACCAAAGCTCAGGATGTAAGAGTTGTCGAGTCGACAGGCAGGTCGCTCAATTCCATAAGAAGGTGGCCTGCACCGCCCTGTTCACTCTGATCCTACAGCTCAACACCACTTGCTACACTTCTCCCAGCTTTCTCTTTCATCATGGCTGACCTCAACGAGAAGGCTACTTTCGACCATGCTTCACTCAAGGGCGCTGAGTCTACTGTGGAGCAGACACCTGAGGAATCTGAGGCTACCAAGAAGCTTTTGCGGAAGTGCGATCTTCGTTTGATTCCTCCGCTGATGGTCATCTTCTTCCTTTCCTTTATGGATAGAACCAATATCGGTATGTTCCTATTACGCGAAAGCATTTGCTGAAAGAAGGTTGAGCTGACGAGAGAACCTTGACATTCAGGCAACGCAAAGATCCAAGGAATGACGGAGGATCTCAAACTGACCGGCAGCGATTACAACATGGCACTCTTCGTCTTCTTCATCCCCGTACGTCGACCAATCCGACACAAGCATACTCAACTCGCTGACTCGAACTGTGCAGTACATCATCTTTGAAGTCCCGTCAAATATCATGATCAAAAGGATATCGCCTTCCCTTTGGCTCGCTGGGATAACTGTTCTTTGGGGTGCGCCATAATACCTTCCCCGTGTCTAACGGATGACTGACAGTGATAGGCATCTCGACTGTCGGCATGGGCCTCGTCAATAACGTCCAGGGCCTGATAGCATGTCGCGTGCTCCTCGGCTTCTTTGAAGCGGGAATTGTCCCAGGCTGCATCTACCTTATCAGCATGTACTACAGACGCTACGAAGTCCAATGGCGCATGTCTCTATTCTTCAGCGCTGCCATTTTGGCAGGCGCTTTTTCTGGTCTTCTAGCCTTTGCCATTGCTAAGATGCATGATGTCGGTGGCCTTGAAGCATGGCGATGGTATGTCGCAGCCTCAAAATCAAGAAGTCAACCACTAATTCTTTGTTGCTCAGGATCTTCATCCTCGAAGGAATTCTTACGGTAGTCATCGGTGTCATTGCCAAATGGTGGATCCCTGACTGGCCTGAGACTGCAAAGTTCCTCAACGACGACGAACGATCTAGACTTATCGCTCGTCTAGCCGATGACTCTGGTGATGCTAAGATGGACCATCTCAACAAAGCGGCGTGGAAGAGGATCTTGACTGATTGGAAGATATATCTCGGTACATTGGCCTACTTTGGCATCGTCAACAACGGTTACGCTGGCTCGGTAAGTTTGCAATGCCCTCGGGCTGAAAAAGTCAAACTAACTCTTTTAGTTCTTTATTCCCACGATTCTCCGGGAGATGGGCTACGCCGCCGAGCGAGCGCAAGTGCTCACTATCCCAGTTTATGTTGTCGCGACAGTTGGCTGTCTATCAGCCGCATATCTCGCCGACCGTCTCCGCCATCGATACGGCTTCACCATGTTCGGCGTCGTCATGACAAGTATTGGCTACATCCTCCTTCTCCTCCAACACCAAGTCCCCACCGCCGCACGATACTTTGCTCTTTTCCTACTCGTCACAGGCGGATACATCACACAGCCCGTCGTCCTCGGATGGCTATCTAACACCATGGGCGGACACTACAAGCGCTCGATTGCATCAGCTGCGCAAGTTGGGTTTGGTAATCTTGGTGGTATTGTCGCTTCTAATGTATATCTTACGCGAGAGGCGCCTGAGTACTGGACTGGCTTAGGAGTTAGTCTTGGTATGGTGTGGATTTGTGGTATTTCATGCACGGCGTTTTACTTCCTTGCTATTAGGGAGAATAAGAAGAGGGATCGTGGGGAGAGGGATCATAGACTTCAGGGTGCAGATGCTGATAACTTGGGCGATGACCATCCTCACTGGAGATATGTTACTTAGATCAAATATTGGCCCGAACAAATAAATCGGTCACATCTATAATCAACATGAAGGCGCCTTCTTTCTCGAAGACCAAAGGTTATCTAGAACCAATATTTTGGCCTAGGCATACTTCATCCTCGAGCGACTAAGATGGGCATGATAAGCATGTGACTTGGCTGACCTTGATCGTCACCCGCGTCGCGTTATGAGCCAAGTACATCACTTCAAGCAATCCAGGTTCCACATTAAGGGACGATTTCCCAAGCTGAGAAGTATTATTCTTGTCCAAGCAGGAAGTAGCTTGTGCCTTGAGCACGGACGAACATGAACGATCAGCAGGTGGAGGATTACATAGTGACCGATAATCGTCTCTAATTGGATATTTCAGCGCCGCCGCTCATTGGAGCGTTTCAGGCTTCGTAATCCCCCTCTCCAGTCTAAACCTCACATCATTAACCAGAGGAGAATCAGACTCAATTTGACTGAGGCTTACTCTGAATACGAGATGACTGAGTCAGCTGATCAGAACCGCGAAACTCTTGGCCTTCTCGGTCGCCTTCCCCTCGAGCTTCTGAACCAAGTCATCTACACCCTGCCGAACGCCGATATCAAGAACCTCCGCCTGACATGCTCGTATCTGGGGACCGTTTCCCTTCCTCGCCTCAACCGCATATTTCTTTCCACAAACCCGCATGACATTGAAGTCTTCACCTCAATTGCAGATCATGACATCTTCCGATTCAAAGTCACCGAGATCATTTACGATGATTCTCGCTTTGATAGCTCTTATGGCACGCCGCATGATGTGTACATAGAGGGAGATGAGGGAGACATCGGCGACGTCACAGGAGTACCGGATTGGTTCCGTATGGTTTATAGTTGGACCATCTATGACCTTGATTCAGAGCAGGAGTATCAGTATGTACCCCATGTCAAAGAAGCTTTCAAGACTCGTTGCACGCCAATTGAATCATATGCGGTCTATGACAAGATGTACCGCGAGCAAAAAAAAGTCATTGCCTCGAACCGGGACGCCGACGCGCTGAGATATGGCCTTTCACGTTTTCCAAATCTGAAAAGAGTCACTCTGAGTCCTGCTGCTCAAGGAATCCTTGGAAGACCATTGTATCCGACACCTACCGTAAGGTCTCTTCAAGAGGGCTTAATACTCCCCCTGGCACGTGGTTGGCCTGTGACACATTCGTTTGAGGATTACCCTCTCATGCCGTGGGATGACAGATCGAGACGAGAGTGGCGTGGATTTTGTGTCGTCACGAAACAGATCGCTCAACATATTCGGCAGAACCCGATGTCTAGATTTTCGGAGCTTGTTGTAGAAAACCGTCAACTTTGGACAGGAATTAGCTGTCGTCTCTTTGACAACCCAGTCAGTGATGAATGTCGAGATCTGGTCACCATCCTGAGTCATCCTCCACTGAAACGCTTTGAACTCGCACTTGCCTGCGGTAGTGAGGCCAGGGAAAACTGGCGTTCCTTTCGTTCAAAACTTCTTTTCAAGGCTCTAAGCAAAGCAAAGAATTTGCAACACCTTCGTTTCTATACTAGCATTCCGCTTATGAGCAGGAGATGGCACGAATTTGTGGAAGACGAACAGGATGGGATGCCTCTGTGGAGCATATTCCCAGTCAACGAGTGGTCAAGTCTACGTCACTTTGCCCTTTCTCGCTCTTTCGTGAAACAGAGAGATGTTATGAGCTTCATCTCTGCGCTCCCATCGACACTCGAGTCGGTTGAGTTGAGTTTTCTCAGCTTTCTTCCGCGCGAGGGGAGTTACAGGAGTTTATTACAAGATATGCGCAATAACTTGGGATTGAGAGAGAGACCGGCAGCCAATCAGCCAAAGATCATTGTATTTGTCGTTGACAGGGATGATACGAGAGATGGCGTTGTTACAGACGTTAGTCGGGCTGTAGAGGACTTCCTTTATCATCAGGGACAAAATCCATTTGTAGAGGGGCAGACCATGGAGGTCCTGGAGGGCAAAGGGAGACTGGTAGACGTTCTTAATCCTATGTATGACGAGGAAAGCTAGTGTGACAGAGGTTCGCGTAAATCTAGGAATTACAACCCATGGTCAAAGAATAAAGGCATTAGTCGCTCAACTTTGTATTCTGCTGACTACCCAGACCTATTAACTTCCCAAACTTCGGCTATCCTGTCCATTCCATAGTGCGGCCCATTCCAGTGCACTCCACGCCGCATCATTTAGTGAAAACCAACGCCTGCCTGGGTGAAATTAGAGACAATTACTGTGTATGTGACAACCCTCAAGACTGCATCTTAAGACCGATGGCAACCGTTCGACTGTTGATATCATTGTCTTTATAGCTTTGAATCGTAAGTAGTTAAACGACTGAATTTGTAAGAGATGTTACTACATACCTCAGAGTCGCAACTGACCCAGTGTCAAATTGTATATTGATAGGGGAATCGACCGAGAGATAGGCCCAGACCTTCCAAAGACATCGAAGGAAAGTACCATGTCCAACCTGGTTTTTGTTGTTTTGGTTAGCTTTCCTGCTATATAAAAGAACAGGGAGACTCTTTGAGACACGAGGTTCGCCTCAGAGTAGCGAAAACGTACAACCATAACATTCCCGTCCTTTCCATTACCCATGTATTCCTTTTGAATGTCTCGGATAGAGGCAATCACGCCATGGACGCGTCTGGTTATGTCTTCTACTGATCTGAAAAAGGGCCGGAGTTAGCAATGTATAAACAGAAGAAGATGTAATCATACTCTCCACCCTCACATCCGCCTGCCCAAATTGACCATTCCGACGATGTATCAAGTCCCTTCTCCGCTCTCGAGTCCCTGATTTGTTGTGTCGTCATTCCCTCATAGTTACCATGGTCCCACTCTCTGAAATCCTCCTCAAAGGTAGCTCTTTTCCTTGCCTCTGGGTAATTTTCAGTGACGAGCTCAAAGGTTTCTCTTGCTCGGATCCTTGGGCTCACAAAGATGTGCACGAGGTGTGATGGATCGATGAGCTTGGTAGGGCCCACGAAGCTATCTCCGAGAGCAAGTGCCTCCTTTCTTCCAGTATCTGTGAGCTCTATCTCTGTTTTTCCTGTGTACTTTCCAAGCTTCGACCATTCTGTTTGTCCTATTTCCAGGACAGACTCAATTATTAGAAACGAGAATGAGTAGTGCCAAGCATTTAATATCCAACTTACCGTGCCTTACGAGAAATACTGTAGGGGCCATTGTGGCCTTATTTTAGTAGTAAAACTTGGAATACAGGATATAAATGGTTACAAAGCTGAGGAATTTATGAGGGGTTGAGTGTAGCATGTGGGCGGTAGCAGGTGGCAAAATCTAGAGTGATGGTAACGGAAAAGAAGACGCACGACTGGAGGTGTTAGATTCGCTCCCTCCCGTCTGCTCAACTACTGAGCAGTTGTTCTGGGCTACCGCCGGTGAATCAGCAGCGCTCCGAGGGCCTTGCTGTACGGGTGCAGTCGGATCATTGCTTTCTGATAACCACACAGGGTTATTACTATTTTCCATCTTATTCCCTGGATTAAGACCTGCAACTGATGCATCTTGATATAATCCTAGACCTTTATCTATCAGATTAAAGGAGTTAAAATATAGGAATGCAAGTGTAACCTGTTATTTAAGTCTACTGCAAATGATTTAGGCAAGTTAAGCATCACCAAGTTTATCTACTTCCTTCGCTTCACAAGGCAATATAGACTCGACGGCTGTTTTAATGATTTGACATGTAATAAGGATCCATAATTCGCGATTAATAATCATTCAGATAAGTCCTCAGTGCTGATAAACGAGCTATAAAAGGAATGTGACGCTTCAATAAATATTCAGCGAGAATAACAAGGGAAACAAAAAGACAAAGGAAATGCAGTATTAACTCAAGGAAACGAAAGGCTCAGTCTAGATACAGATGCAGCGGCGACGGCTGAAAAGCGACCGGCGTCCATTCCCATGCACATAACAGTTGTCGTCGAGAGGCCTTGCGGTGGTTGAAGGCCGAGAGGCAATGGTAGTCTCCAGCCTCTCAATCTTGACAGTCATAGCATTCATCTTGTCGAGCAGCTCGCTGTCGTTCTCCTCTCTAGAAGTCATCTTCCTACCATGTCCACTGTAGGTTGGACTTCACCGTGTTAGATCAAGAAACCAGTAGTTGCTAATTGATACGTACCCGGCGATTGTGGAGGAAGCGGTACTACCCTTCCAGCTCAAAGGGCTGGAGTGGGGAGACTCAAGTACCTCATCCGTGTCAATGTTCTGACTGAAATAGCAGCGTCGTGAAGCGCAGTTGTACCATGCACTTGGTACAGGTCCATTGCCTTCATTCCTTCGACTATAATAACCGCATCGACATCGGGGGTTGGTGGAGGAGATGCCCAGCATGTCGTCCCAAGTGACAAACTGGCGTTTGTGGTCGGCTTGACAGTAGTAGTAGGGGCGACCAGCGGTTGGGCCCCGTTTTCCAAGATCGACTCTGGCGCGGATGGGAGTGTTAGGGCATAGAGGGCAGATTGGGGGCTGGATGAGGGGGAACTGGAGTGACATGGTGTGTTGGGAAGGGTAGTAGGCTTCCATCGGATGAGAATAGTTTTCAAAAGGGCTGAATGATGGTAGGTTAGAAAGTGGAATGGATTGTGAATGGGATTTGAAGACAGCGTCCTGACGGTCTTAAGTACTTAGATAAACACTTCTCACCGTTGACAACGGGAGTGACATGTATCTCAATATGCAGCCATCATTGGCAATGCTATTCCTGACCGTCAAAGACGCATCCATTTCAGTAATGGTCGGCTTGGCAAGCCGCGAGGCTGATTCCATTTATCACATCATGAGAGTATGCATCACGAATGTTGTAGTTGGCAGATGTGAGCACCTGTGCAACGCTATCCCCCATAAGACACCATCTGAATCAAACTCCTTTAGTGTCTATTGAGCTAGTTTGTATTATTTACTTACTGTTTGAGTGACAATGTATTCTTATTCTGGCTTTTTCACCCTTCTAAACCGCATGTGAACTCTCAAGTCTTCAGTTTGGCTCTTATTCTTCTAGCCTCTATACGCTTTCTTCCTACTGACGCTCTCCCACGCCAAGCGTCTCAGGTTCACCAAACCAAGCGACGAGGAGGTCGCCGATCATCTAGGGCTAAGAAACTGACCTATTGGAATTTGGGGGTCTCGTCGCCTCAACTGAGAATGGGATTCAACTGCAGCCACGGCATTTACATCCATTGACAGATGAACTATAACCGCGCAAGAAAAGAGAATTGCGCGTCTTTTACATTGACCTAACTTACGTACTTTTCTATTGTTCAGCTTTCGGTGCGGCTGAGTATCTGCATACATTGGTGTTACGTATTTTGAAGTTGGGCGGCAAACGGTTGGCTCGCAGATGAGGGAAGAGGTTCAGCTGTGAAAGTCATCCAATTACACTCAGCCTTATTACCCGAGTGGCCGCGAACGTTGAACCGGAGAGTTATACTTAGTAATAATCTTAACCCATTTCTTATCCACCATCGAATCCGGCACATTTCATTCGGCACCAAATATGTGGCTTGTGGTAGAAAGCGATCTGCAATTACGGTAGATGTGACGTTTACCCCTGCTCTACCTGAAATACTTTGCCTCAACGGGCGCTTAGTTATGTTATATCTCAAGCAGATATGTGAGTTACTACTAATGTATTGACAAGCTACTTTCTTATGGAAGCTCTCCGAGGTGTATGTCCAGTATTGCTTTCTCTATATGACGTCATCCAGATCTTTCATGTTGTTTGGGAGTGATGCTGTCTGCCTGAAGAGAGGAAGATTACTATATGTAATATGGAGCAGACTTAACTAAAAAAAAAAAAGATTAGTCCGCTATGGCGAAATACTTGACATGTATTGTTTGCGACCTCGCTAGGATTCCGTGAAATAGCCCAAGATATTTGTTTTACTGTTATGAGAGATAATCCAAGTTGAACCGCGATACATGGAATGCATACGAGGTAGGCTTTGTATAAATACAGCGACGTGATCTGTTCTCAACTCTTTAGGGTTTTATCTCATTACTATATAAATCAGATCATTGCATTATTATCCAGTGATGTAATAATTCTTTGTCAAATATCACAAAGACCCCAGAGATCATGCAAGATAACAACGTTACCCTGTACCTCCACCATTTTCGGAGATACTCAACCCGCAGGTTCCAACGGCCACTGAACCCCATATTTTGTTCCGATATTTACAATGATCTGACATGCGGCGTTCGCGGCCCGCAAAATCACAGTAACTACAAAGCGACTTTGGCCGCAAGCATCAAACCCTCAACATTATATGCGGCCGCAGGTGCGTCATTTCAACATTTTATAGGCATGTGCGGCGTGGGATGCGCGACTAATTGATTCGACAGGTTCAATTGTCTAGATTAAACGGAACTCTTAGTATGTCATGAAAGGTGCAGATACACCCTGGACTGATGGACAGGATTTTAGCGTGCAAAGGCGAAAGGTTTGGTTGGGACAATAATTATCGCCGCGAGATTCGGTAATTGAAATGCTGTAATAGGTCGTGCTGAATTGACCTTGACCCAGAACCATCCCTGCTGGGGCGGTGAAGGTCGGCCAGCCCAAGGTGAATATAAATCGTTCCATCATTTCTGCCCTTTTCCTTCCAGGTGAGAAATCTCGACCCAATGACCGGAGCCCGCCGGTACGGTACCTAAAGATTAAGTTCTAAATAGAGCAGTGGGGGGTCCTGCGGCTCTGCCCCATTCCAGCGCATCGGTGGTTAATTTCGGTACACTACAGGGGGCTATGCGGCTAATAAACTATCCTCCATACCATGCAAGTCAGGCCACCGACGAGGAGAAGCAAACAGTGGATGCAAGCCTGCTAAACAACAGCGTGATAGGACCGGATAGCCAAGAATTGGCTATGCTATACCGCTGTAGTCTTAGCACCCACTGCCGAGAAGTCAATGGCCCTGAAACAGCAGGATTTTCTATTCCCAACATGCTCTGATGGTGGAGAGACTGGCCGAGATCGCCGGGCCTAGTAATGAGCTTTTTCTTTGCTAGGGCTTGGGATTTCTAGACGACAGCGAAAACAATCTCACCATCAGTCCGATAGTCTATGATCTCATGCTGATAAGAATCCATAACTCTCCTGACTTGGCTTGAACTTGGCATGATAAAGCAGGGTCTACGACGGACTTGAGTCTGCGATAAGCATGCATAGTGTTTATCAAGTCTAAATAAAAGCCTCGCGGTGCCTCAATCTTCTATCAACTATTCAAGTCAATTCTTCAATTGTATACTACAACAACATCTTTACGTTACATCAATTCATCATGAGCAACCCTCTTGTGGTTAGCATCTCCAACCTGGCGGCTTACACGCCCCAAGAAACAATCGAGCTTGTTTCCCGCTCTGGCGTCAAGAGAGGTAACATGCGTCCTGACAAGGTGTTCCTCTCTGCTGTCTCCGCGGGATGTCTCCTTGGCTTTGGCTGTGGCGTCTCGCTATGTGCCATGACAGCACCCTGGTACTCTGAGAACGCGCCCGGCCTGGTCAAGCTTTTTGGCGCTGGTGTTTTCCCGCTTGGCCTAGTACTTGTTGTGCTAACGGGCGCGGACTTATTCACTGCAACCACTATGGTAAGCTAGCTTGATGCTTTATTGTTGCATTGTGGCTGATAGTGTTTTAGTTCACTTTGACTGCTGTCCTTCAAGGTCGGCTTCCGATCCGAAAGATGCTGCTGCATTGGTTCCTTTGCTTTTTCGGCAATCTTGCAGGATCGCTATTTGTCATGTCCATCATTATGGGATGTAAGTCACTGAACCCACTCATTGTTTATGTTGCAATTAACATTTTTCTCCAGATGGCGGTGTCTTTGATGCATCACCCTACAAAGAAGTCGTCATTTCTTTCGCCAGCAAGAAACAAATCTCGCCCCAAGTTCACCAAATCTTCCTCAAGGGCATCGGCTGCAACTGGCTCGTATGTCTTGCTGTCTTCCTCGGTATCCAAGCCAAGGATCTCGCCTCCAAAGTCATCGGCATGTGGTGGCCCATCTTCGCCTTCGTTGTCCTCGGCCTTGAGCACGTTGTCGCCAACATGTTCTATATGTCTCTCGCCATCTGGCTCAAGACACCCGATCTTACCGTTGGACTGTACATCTGGAAGGGAATGATCCCAGCTACGATTGGCAACATCATTGGCGGTGGCATGTTTGTTGGTGTGTACTACTGGTACATGTACTTGTTTGACGAGGACCCTGTCAAGATTGATGGTGCTGTGTACCAGGGCCCCCATGTAGACTCTCACATGCACATACATTTCCTTGCCAACAGAAACAAGAGCGCCGTCACCGACGAGGAGAGCAGGGTCGAGTCAGCGCCCGTGTCGGTGCCAGCCAGCGTTTTCGCGAAGTAGGACATCCAAGGTGGAATGATAGATACGAAAACTGTTATGATTCGATAGAACTAGAGTACTTTATTAGACATGAATTTAGACCATTGAACCATTTAATTCTGCCATGAGCCTCTTTCTAAGTGACTAAACTTAATGGGGATTCCTAAGTCTTGTCCTGCATGGGTCTGAAGGCTCTAGGCGCGGGAGTGGCGGGTTCAGATACTAGCTACGGATATCACGACAGTCCATCTCCCATTATTCCCAGACCTCATCGCCAGAACCTCGTAACCGGCGGACATGACCGGTGACCTTAACGATATTGCTTCGCCCGATAATACCGCATGGTATGTCTCGGTGAGAGGTGAAGCCATGCTGGCGTACATTTCAGCCAGCGCCTCAACTTGATAACGGCCCGATGAGTCAATTCAAATCAGCAGCTCTCAAAGTCTTCTACAAGTAGAATCGGATGGTTTTACATCAGATCAGAACGAGCTGTCATGTCATGGCGTGGGCGACAATGTCAGGGACAGAGTTTTGCATCTCCGCGGGGAGACCATATTTCTCCACACCAGTTGAGACATCTCCACGGAGTCCCCCGCTAAGTCTTCCCCTTACCAATTTTGATGTTCTAGAATGATTACCTAAGAATTTGGCATTAAGACGGCAAGGGCCTCTTGGTGGAGGAGCTGTAGGTTATTCCAGACCTGATTTATCTTCTCGGATCTTATATACAGTACTCGGTAGAATGTATCCATATACAACGGTATTATTCAGGCTGACTAGTGATAGTTATTTCAAGTATTAAGGGAGGAATTCATTTATTAATATTACATGTCTACAAGTTGCAAAAGTAACAGGAGGAAATGTCTCGAATATTCACTGCCAGAGCAAAAGACTTGTATATATGTAGAGTGGTCGCAGAGAGTTCCAATGTGACCGGCATGCAAGTGCAAGGCAATTGGACTGTGATTCAGAAACTTGACCAATTAGCAATGCGATGTTCTTGAGAATGCCTCACCTGGGCGCGTCCTACAATGTCGATCTGCCTTGGCTTCGTATTGCAGCCCTTCTGAGCATTGTTTGCCTGTATTATCGTATCGCATGTGACTAAACATTCTACTGTGTTGCACGCGTATCTTGCGTCTTTAATCTCTGCGTTCCACTGTAATCGCAAACTTTGTTTCTCAAGGCTCGTCCTTCTAATTGCACGTTTCTAGAATGATAACTGACTTAAACATGATACGCTCTTCACCATGTGAGGTGCTCATTTAAAAATGTCATAAGCGGTGAAGGTCCGGTACTCGAAGCAGTGATGCATTGTCAGGATTTTCAGCTCATGCGGGCTTATACGTTTGGTCTTACTTATGTGCACCGTTTACACACAGCCTGCTGCAGTTTTCAGCCTCAACTCTTTTTACTGGCTTATCGTTCAAGTAAGGGAGGTGAGGAAGACCAATCGGGCTTTCAACTCGCGTGAACATTAACGACTAGCTAAAAGTCCGATTGATTCGTGATGTCTATACCCCTCTTGTTAAATGCGGCTCTACTTGATTGTATCAAATGTCAATGTATTGCTAACCTAGCTGTTATTTTACAATATTTTAAGAATAGACTGTTTTTAAAAACAATTATCATCTCACCTGAATTGACAGTATTGACCTCATCTTTTATTATTCAATGTAACCCCATCCTGATGTTTTATCTATAAGCTTCAGCACAATCGCTTACATATTCCTCAGTCTCTTTTACCTTCACTGCATATGCAACTTCATCCTGACTATCAGCAACGGCATTTATGGCGCCCACTACGAGTAATTCTGTTGCCGTCTATAACATCGTTGGTCAAAGGGAACAGCCCTCTTATTCTAGGCAATGCCTCATCCGCTCAGATGACAACGGTTTGTGGAATGCATGCAAAGCATGGTATCTGTTCTTCATCCACATCGGGTTAGCCGTTGCTATCATGGTGCTGGTCATACAGATAGACGGTCGACAGTTCAAGATTGGATCCGGCTCAACTCTTTTCACCTTCCATTCCCGACTATACCAGGCACAGGTCACAGGTCTTCTTTCTTTAGCACTCGTGACACTCAGACTTGTTGCTGGGACTGGGTCTGCACTGCTTGCCTGGAGAATCATCTTTATCCTCCTCGAGAAGCGCGGTGTGACTCTTGTAGAGCTGAAGCGTCTACTGAGTTTGCGAGTCCCAATCATCCCAGCTGGAAGGGCAGAGATATCGCTGCGTTGGTCTCTTTGGGCAACAGCTGCCATCATATTGATGTGGCCTCATGGCTTTGCAGCGCCACTCGCATCTTCTTCACTCTCATGGATACCTGGTATCACGCTACTCGATAAAGAGACACCAGCGCTAATTGGAACACTTGGGCCTTATACTGATTGTCCAGCCATTCTATACGATGACACGCGGGCAACAGCGGTTATAAGTGCCGCGGCAATGACAGCGAATGAGCCTGGCTACGCTTTCAAGCCAGAGCTTATTCATCTACGAAGATACTTCAACGCAAGTAAATATATGCCAACTGGTAGTCGAGTCAACCTTCCGCTCCCTTACTTTGTCGCTGACGTGCGATGGGTCGACGCATCAAGCAACAACCGGTCGATATATGCTGGAAACGCCGAGTACTCCGATGTCGGAAAGCCTGTTGGGATTAGACTAGTGGGCGCAACATCTATCATCATGGATCAGAACTGGAGCCCTCAGGGTAAGTCACCAGCAAACGCGACTATCTTCAATGGTACGAAGCTGGTTGCAGCCCAGCTCCCCGGGGTCGAGCCTTTTGGGGGTCCTCTGGCGCCCGGTTCTGCTATCAGCGAAAGGGATAGATGCCGGACAACAACAAAGCAGTTCGGAAAGCTCCCTGCCGTGGCCCAGCATCAGGTTCAGATTATAAATGGAGACAAGGAGATTGTCTACTACGACTGCTACATGCTCGCGGAAGTAGCGGTAACAGCAGGAATATACCCAGCACGAGACTCTGAGGTTGTCTATTCTGACACTACATCGCAATCCTACGCCACCTGTTCGGTAAAGCGAAACGATGAGGCTCTTGAAGGGGACTGGCTCTCTAGTCTAGCTCTGGACTTTACGTCCGAAACACTCAAGTACACCGTCCTGCAGAACTTCAGTCAACCCTGGATCAGCCCGAATCTGGATGATTATGTGACAGGCATGCTGGCTCTGGGATACCACGCGACTTGGAGTGCCTTGATGAAAAGACTAGGGAACAAAACCGGACCTATATCTTTCAAATCTCCTGAGCCTGTTGTCTTTGTCGCAGTAGACAGATTCAAGCTCTATATCTGGCTAGGGATGAACACCACTCTTAAGTTCTCTGCGATTCTTGTTTTTGGTGCGAGCATGACGGCAAAGGCAAAAACTGTTCGTGATACAGCACTTGCGCCTTTAACGATGGATCTTACAGACATTGTTCATAGTCCTGGGGCTCGAGGGCTTTGCAATGCCGCCAGTCTCAGTCGTCAGGATAATGAACTTCCTAGGATGCCATGGCAGGCAAGTGCTCTGAGAAATCGGAACGAAAGCGAAGATGCTGAGGGGAATAAATTGTGTAGTAGAAAAGTTGTGTTTGCAGACGATGCCCCGTCGGCCCGCACCATGGATGTCGAGTTAGACTCTCTATCTGGACTTCGATATTAGGATAGAATTATAGTAACAATAAGTCTTAAAATTTTAAAATAAGCAATAAAGGGTATCAAGGAAAGAGATGAAACCTTTCTGTCTAATTTTAGGCTATTAATATAGACTGAATGGACTTATTCTCTTTTACTGTCAGCTTTAAGAGCAGTAACTGTTGCAGGATTGACTGACCTTGTAGCAAACGATACACAACGTCACAAGGCCTCGGTGTCTATACAGCAAGACTGACTATAGTTTTTGGCTTAGGTTTATCCCGCGTTGTGTCCTGGACAAATCGCCGAGCCTACCGAACACTACTTAATATGACTGTCTCGGGACATACACAGATTTGGTAATTGGATATGATGCGTCATTCTATTCACTGTGCTTGTCCAATATGTCTCTGATTTTTAACTTGTCATGCGACCCATTTCGACAAATCAAGATACCAGTGCTGAAACCAGTGACTCATAGACTAGACCTCAGTCACCTCATCCTCGCGATTGGTCACTACAACCTCCTTCTGCCTCCATCGCTGCACCATGGGTAGACCGACACCAGTCCACAGCGTCAGAGCCACAACCCATGCCAGTGCACTTCCCCATCCATGTGTCTTTGCAAACTCAGGAGCCTCACCAGATGCCATCTGGATCTGCTGGAAAGGAATAACCACCGCAGAGCCAACAGAAACCATGAAGCTCAGTACAAAAGCGCGTTTCTGCTGGTCGCCACCACAAGCCTCGTTGGCCCAGCCAGCGATTAGAGGTGTAAAACATCCGTAGCAGCCGTGCATGATGAAAGCCGCCATTCGTAGCTTGTGGGGAACGTCCCACGCGGTGAGGATGGAGTAGTTGAGAATCATCCAGCATCCTACAACTCCACAGACAAGAGCACGCCCACCGAGCTTATCAGCGATGTAGCCTGTTGACACCATAACCACAAAGTTGACAGCACCGATACAGGTTGGGATGTTGTTGATCTCGGGTACTGTATACCAACCGGTCTTTTTCAAGTAGATCCCGAAGTATTGCATCACGTAGCTGTTCTGCGTTAGAGGTCGAATATGACAGAAGACAAGAATCATCTTACCTTCCGCATGTCAAAGTCCAGAAGGAGTATGCTGCCGTAAACGCATACACCTGCCATGAGCCAAAGATTCGACGTATAACACTCCAGTCCATCTTTCCTACAGGTTTGCGTCCCTCCTCTTCTATACGCTGGCGGGACCTTTCTTTTTCCCATTCGTTGAAATAGAAGGCTCTCATGGTATGTGGGGTATCAGGGAAAGTGATCTGAACCACTTTGTCAGCAAAGAAATCTAATAAAGTGAACAAAAAAGAACTCACAAATCCATAGGCAGCAACAGGGATAGCGAGGATGAAATCGAAAATGAACAACCATCGCCAAGCGGACATGCCGCCCTTGCCATGCATGCCCGTAAATAGAGCAGCTTGCAGATACCCAGAGAACATCTGGCCGATAACACCGCTCATGACGAAAAGACCACTTCGACGCGCCAGCTCACTCTTGCGATACCAGGAACCCAAGCAGTACATGACACCAGGCCAAGCGGCAGACTCAAATACGCCGATGAAGAACCGAAGCACATAGAATTGGTAGGCGTGGTTGCACCTAAACAGGGCCAGGACGAAGACGGACCAGGTTATGAGGCAGCTCGAGAGCCAAATTCGAGGACGCAAGACGGTGATGATCAAGTTGGAGACAAGGCCACCCAGGATTGTTCCAATAGAGAAATAGGTGTTCATCCAGGAGAGTTCGTTTCCGGGGCCAAAGCCAAGCTCATCCGCCATTCCTGATACATAAGCATTGGAAATATTGTTTTGATCAAGCTGCTTCAATTAGCATAGGACATTGGCTGGCGACATGTTATTTACCTGCTTGATAAAAAACATGAGACATGCAAAACTCAGCATAAACCAATCAAGCTTAAAAATGAGCTTCTTTTCCTCTGGTGACGTCCCAGGCTCATGCCAGCTGAACCATCTTCTGTTGTTCGCCACTGTAGAAATAGCGTCGTTCTTCAAACTTGCAGCTGCAGGACCAGAAGTGATGGAAGCACGACTCTTGGCATCAACAGCAGCGACTGGGGGTGCTGTATTGATGGCATTGTCGCCAACTGCCTGGCTAGCCATTGCGAAGATTGATAGGACTGACGGCGGTGAAGTAGTCGTGAATGCTGAAAGAGGACACAGAATTGATATCGATGCAACCCCAGTGGGAGCATCAATATTTCAATACTTTATCTATGTAACGTCAAGTTTGATCTACCATACCATTTGCCATTAGGTAGTCAATTGCGTGCTTCGGCGAACCTATTTGTTATTCGCGCACTGAGACCGCAATCATTACCAAAAGAGGCAACTTGGTTCCTTGTCGGGGATGTTCCGCCAGGTGCACATCGCCGAACCGGACAGGTTTCTCAGGCTCGGATCAAGCTCGGTAGTCTTTTGATCGCTTCCACCATCCTGACGTCGAGGGAGGCTTTTCCGCTGGCTATTCTGCCTCGCCCTTGCTCGAGAACTTGAACAACTCGTCACTGCGGGCAAGATGGTTGAATTCATCACAGTAAATGGAGCCCAGCTCGCTTACGAGCTGAGTGGACCCAAAGATGCGCCGCTCATGATTACTCTTCATGGCGGAAGAGGAATGGGTAAGTTCCGATGACTTGAACCGAGACTATAGACTACGTCTGACAATAGTAGGTGATCATAGGTCCGACTACAAAGTATACAGCCACCTCAATGATAGCATCCGTGTGCTCTCTTTTGACTTTCGGGGGCACGGTCAAAGCTCCTGCACAAAGCCTTACACGTTTAAACAGATCGTCGATGATATCGAGGGTGTACGACAACATTTCTTAGGACCCGATGACAAGGTTATCATTTGCGGTGGAAGTTTTGGAGGCTTTCTCGCGCAGCAATATGCCATCAGTTATCCATCAAAAATTTCGTACTTGATTCTACGAGGGACTGCAGCGTCACATCATCGTAGGTTTGCATGACTATTTAGTTCGAACCTCTTATTCTTACAACCCCTACAGATGAGGAGGGCGCCATCAAGACCCTCGAAGCCAGAATCAGCAAAGTACCTAGCTTCTCGAAGGAGATGCTGCGAGACAAGGTCTTTGGCGCATATGATGACGACGAAGATTTCAGACTGGTACATTTTGCTATGATGCCTTTGTATCGAGAAGAATACGATGCAAATGCCGGCCTCAAGTCTTGCCGGGATACGGTTTATGTCGCAGACTCTCACAGTAAGTCACATGCACCAAGGTATCATGGAGTATAGCATTGATAGTATGCAGACGATCTTTACTCCGAGGAAGAAAAGTACTTTGATTACGTCGACCAACTGGGTAGTATTCAGGCGAAGACTTTGGTCATTGTTGGCGACCAAGACTGGATTTGTCCGCCAGGTTGGTCTATCAGTTGGCTTACTGGATGATCATACACTAACAGGCCCAGATAACTCGAGGTTAATTGCTGATCGGATCAACAATGCCGAATTGCTCGTGGTTCCCGGTGCAAACCATGGCGTGCATATTGAGAAAACAGACTTGGTCATTTCCAAGATTAGGGAGTTTTTAGAATTATAGGATTGTTCTAATCTGAACGGAGCTACGATGATCGACCATCTTGGGTGGCCTAGACATTGATTAGAAATTCACCGCCGTAGAAATGCTTTCTTTCTGATCAGGTTTAGCTCAACTATATTGGAACCACTACCGTGTGCTGGTTAGTAGAAATTAGGCTGACTCTGGCACCAAGCAGTAGTCTTTACTTAGATAAGATACCATGCGAATCAACCATATCTTCAGTGACGCTGAGAGTGTGATAAGGAAAGCTAGTTCGGAGTCGGGGCGACGCCAAGAAAATTCCTCGATTAGGGGGTACAAGTCGGGGCCATACCGATAGTTCCCGTAGATCCAAATTGCGACATGGCGGAAATAATGGGCCTCTGCAAGAATGAGCTCGACTACTATCCAAGATTCAAAATCAGCTACAGATGGCATTATGTGCTTATCAAACAATTTCTGAGAAATGACATTCGACATGATGGGCGACATTCGCGTTTCAATCGATAGGGGCGGCACATTCTGTGATGTGATTGCTACAGGCGCAGATGGAAACAACCCATTCATCTTCAAGCTGTTATCAGAAGACCCTTCAAATTATCCTGATGCACCAACTGAGGCAATTCGGAGGATATTAGAGAAGTATGAGGGAAAGACAATCCCCGTTGGTGAGAAGCTTGATGCTTCAAGAATTGGTAAGTTTGGTTACCACGGTGTTTTTTCATGGCTGATAAATATCGCAGCATCATGTCGTATCGGTACCACTGTTGCAACGAATGCCCTCCTCACGGGCAATGGCGAAAAGTTTGCTTTTGCAACTACCAAAGGCTTCAAAGACGTCTGCGTTATTGGAGACCAGTCTCGTCCTGAATTGTTCAACCTCGAGATCCGCAAAGCAAGCGTCCTCCACTCCACTGTTATCGAGATCGATGAGAGAGTCACCATAGAAGACTATGATCTGAACCCTCACAAGAAAGAAATCATGAACATCGAGGGCGATGCGAACTTGGTCAAAACTCCAAGCGGTGAAGTTATCCGGATCCTCAAGAGACCTGATGAGAAAGTCATCCGACAACACCTTGAAATCCTGCGCGAACAAGGCTACACATCACTTGCAGTTTGCTTTATGCATGCCTACATCTTTCCAGGCCACGAGAAGGCGGTAGCCCGAATTGCAAAGGATGTTGGTTTTAGATTCGTCACTATCTCATCTGAGACCAGCCCAGCGATCAACTTCCTCAAAAGAAGCAACTCTACTTGCTCAGAGGCGTACTTGTACCCCATCATCAGACGATACATTGACGATTTCCAAGCAGGTTTCAAGAACCCTCCTCAGAGGGTAGAGTTTATGTGCTCTGACGGTGGCCTTAAGCAAGCCGATAGGTTTCGAGGAAACGAGGCACTATTAAGCGGACCAGCTGGCGGTGTTGTGGGTACAGCAAAATGCTTCGACGTTGATGAGGGGACACCTGTTATTGGATTCGACATGGGCGGTACAAGCACTGACGTCTCGAGATATGATGGAAAATACGATTTTCTTCAACAAACGACGATTGCTGGGCGAACTATCAACCTGTCCATGCTCAATATTGCAACTGTTGCTGCAGGGGGTGGATCCATCTTATTTGCCCGGAACGGACTCTTAGCAGTTGGGCCAGAGTCTGCTGGAGCGCACCCCGGGCCTGCATGCTATAGGAAGGGAGGTCCTCTGACCGTTACTGACGCCAACCTGTTTCTCGGGCGGCTCGTACTCTCGTCATTCCCTGCCATCTTTGGAGAGTCTGGAGATCAGGAACTGGACACAGAGGTCGTGGCTCGAAAGTTCGAGCATATCACTCAAGACTTCAACCGACAGACGTCTCAGAATCTTACACCCGAGGAGGTAGCTTCAGGGTTCTTGAACATAGCTAACGAGACAATGAGTCGACCTATTCGAAACGCAACCGAGGCTAGAGGCTACGCTCCTGAGAACCACGATCTCGTGAGCTTTGGTGGTGCAGGTGGACAGCATGCTTGTGCTATTGCTGATAAGCTTGGCATCAAGCGCGTAATCATCCACAAATTGTCGTCGCTGCTCTCAGCACATGGCATCGCGCATGCGGAGCTTCAGTATGAGATATTCGAGCCGTTCGCGGCCGAGCTAGATGGAAAAGCCATGGAAGGGGTAGAGAACCTCTTATCAGCACTGAAGAAGAAAGTGGCCAAGGAATTAGTCTCACAAAAAGCTTCAGAGGAAGGCTTGGTCTTCGACGAGGCACTTGTGTTGAAGTACTTTGGCACTGATACAAATCTTTCCATCTCCAAACCAGCTGATGGAAACTATGCTGCTGCCTTCACAGCTATGCATATGCGCGAATTTGCCTTTTCCATGAACAGGCCCATCATTATCGAATCTGTCAAAGTTCGCGGTGCGGGAAGCACTGGCGCACCGAGCCATGAGACGTCAGCATGCAAAGAGATAGCTTTGAGTAAACGGATGGTGTTCTCCGACTATACCGCTAGGCAAGAAGTATACCTTGATGGCTCATGGCAGCAGGCAAGAGTCTTCAAACTGGACGATATTCCTGAGGGGAGTCTTATCATCGGACCGGCAATTATCATCGATGAGACACAGACGATTCTTGTTGAACCTCTCTTCAAGGCACATATTCTGGTCAACTATGTTGTCTTGGAAAAGATAATTTCTGAAGAACAACCACTCAATCCTTCTATTACCCAGACCCTATCTACTTCGAGTACGCCGAAAGACATCCTTAGCCCAATTCAACTATCCGTTTTCGCCCACCGCTTCATGGCCATCGCCGAGCAAATGGGCAACACCCTCCAGCGAACATCTATCTCAAGCAGCATCAAAGAACGTCTCGACTTTTCCTGCGCCATCTTTTCGCCCGAGGGCAAACTCGTTGCCAACGCTCCTCATATCCCCATCCACCTCGGAAGCATGCAATTTGCTGTCCAGGCTCAGCACCGCCACTGGAACGGAAAGCTTAAACCTGGCGACGTTCTTCTAACGAATCATCCTTCTTGGGGTGGGACACATCTACCAGACTTGACAGTGGTCACACCTGTTTTCATTGCAGATCAGATAGCATTCTACGTTGCTTCCCGGGGTCACCATACTGACATCGGCGGTATGGGTATCACGAGTATGATGCCCGAGTCACGGTCCTTATGGGAGGAGGGTATAATTGTACCCTCCATGAAGATCGTCAGCAGTGGCGAGTTTCTCGAAAGCGAAGTCCGAGCCGCTTTTGAGAAAGTCGGTACCTATCCTGGCTGCAGCGCAACACGCCGTATTCAAGACAACGTTTCGGACCTTAAAGCACAGACGTCAGCCAACCAGCGTGGTATAACTCTCCTTCAAAAGCTCTGCAACGAGTATTCGCTACAAGTGGTGCACAAGTACATGACGGGTATCCAAGATAATGCAGAGCTTGCAGTACGGGGGTTCTTCAAGAAACTGGCTCATGAGCATCCGGGTCCTCTATCAGCGACAGATTACCTTGATGATGGCACTGTCATGAAAGTCAGGATCAGTATCGACAAAAACACAGGCGGTGCTATATATGACTTTGCTGGCTCAGGTCCCCAGATGTGGGGAAACTATAACTGTCCCATCTCTATCACCCACTCGGCGATTATCTATAGCATCAGATGCTTAGTCAATCTAGAAATCCCCCTGAACGAGGGCTGCTTAGCACCATGCGATATCCGAGTGCCTGTGGGCTCTATCCTCAATCCCACTCCGACAGTGGCCATCTGTGGCTCGACACTAGCAAGTCAGCGAGTAATAGATCTAGTCCTCCGTGCTTTCGGTCGCTTTGGCGCGAGTCAAGGTTGCGCAAACGCGTTCGGTTGGGGCATGGGGGGCAAGAATCCAGTGACAGGTAAAGTTGAACCAGGGTGGAATTATGGAGAGTCGATTGGCGGAGGCGTCGGTGCTGGTGAGGGCTACAATGGCGAGAGCGGCGTGCACGTAAGTTGTGCTTTGCTTCCTTGGCGTCCATGTTGAACTAATAACTCACCGTGTTTAGGTCCACTCAACAAACACCCGCCAAACCGATAGTGAAGTGATAGAAAAGCGCACTGCCGTCCTGGTGCGAAAATATGGCATCCGAGAGGGCAGTGGCGGAAAGGGTCGCTGGCGTGGCGGCGATGGCATTATTCGTGAGATCGAAGCGCGTACGAATCTCAAGTTCAGTATTTTAAGTGATCGACGTGTGTACAGACCGTACGGAATGGCTGGGGGTTATGGAGGCCAAAAGGGCGAGAATCTTGCTTTCAAGTTCAATGAGGAGCATGAGCTGGAAGCAAGTAACCTGGGTGGCAAGGCTATTGTGCATCTTGAACCTGGAGAGTATATCCGGATCAATACGCCGGGAGGAGGCGGCTATGGGACGCCAGATGATGAGGAGGTTGATCCGGAGTTTGAGACCTTTCATAGGGCTTTTGTCTGAAGGATAAAAGATTCATCATCTAGATACAAAGTCCTAGCCATCAAATTAACATTCTATCGACGTACGAATTCTCAGCACATTTACTGTCTTGGACGGTCGCTGTAACAGTCATAGAAACTCGCCTCATAGTAACCTATTGTGTGGGTAGTTGGTATGCTGCCTTAAGTGTGTTTTTGAGAGTGTTATTTGAGTTGATAGACCTGACAGCTCATGCTTGCATCGCGCGCCTTACCTCGCCTCATAATAACACTACCACTTGTAGAAGAAAGATAGTTTTTGCTAGAGATGCTACACTGGGACGCTCCATGATTGTTGTTTTAGTTCTTCTATCAACTGTGGGGTTGCGATACTAAGTAATAATTGGATATTGCATGACGAAAAGAAGCAATGGAAACCCACTATCCATTAAGCTTAGGCGTGCTCTGCCGTTGCCTAGTCTAAGCCTAGCGGCTGTGCTCCCACAACCAATCAAACGGGTTGAAATGTCAAAGGATTCAACGCTGAGCCACAAGCGGGCTGATTTCAGTCGATCATAAGGCTGCGTGATGGGTCGATTCATCTACTGAGGACACGGCAATATCTCACCTTTCAATTCTTCATACCGGCTTCATCTCCAAGTCAAAATGCGCCTCATTAATACCACCACACTTGAGGTCGAAGAATTCTTTGACGTGTCCATTCCTGAATACGCTATCCTTTCCCATACGTGGGGCGACGGCGAAGTCTCACTGCAAGACTGGGCCGATCGCAAAAACCGCCGCTTCAAGCCCGGTTTTCAGAAGATCATCTGGGCTTGCGCCCAAGCTGCCAAAGACCAGGTGAGTCACGTCTGGGTGGACACCAACTGTATCGACAAGAGTAGCTCCGCAGAATTATCTGAGGCAATTAATTCCATGTTCAGATGGTACCGAAGATCTGCTGTCTGCTATGTATACTTGGAAGACGTCCCCGCCATGAGCTTAGATGAATGCACCAAGCCAGAGAGTGCTTTCAGAAATGCAAGATGGTTCACGAGAGGCTGGACTCTTCAGGAACTGATCGCACCGCCGAATGTCAGTTTCTTCTCCAGCGGCTGGACTCTGATAGCGACAAAGTCTGAACTGGCTCCTTGCATTACCGAGATTACGGGTATTCCTTGGTCGTGTCTCCTCAAGGGCAGGTTATCTAAGGCGCACCCACTGCGGAGATACAGTGTTGCTCAGAGGATGGCTTGGGCATCAAGTCGCTCAACGACGCGTATAGAAGACCAGGCCTACTCCCTCCTCGGTCTCTTCGACATCTCCATGCCGCTGGTCTACGGCGAAGGCTACGAGGCGTTCACCAGGCTCCTCGGAGAAATCATCCATAAATATGCCGACCATAGCTTTTTTGCCTCACAGCTGCAATATGTCGACTTTCTGCCTCGGTCGCCAATGGAGTTCTCCGACTCTCAATCAGTAGTTGTCAGTAGTTCACCGCAGCTCCAGAGGCATTACACACCCCAAAATCATTCGTATTCATTTCACTTGACAAACACTGGACTGCAGATCACTCTGCCAATCGTGCCGACTTTGGTCCCCCATTTCGTGTTCGGCGTGCTCGATTGTTGGGATATCGAAACTGCTAGTACAAGAACAACACGCAACGTATCACGAATATGGATACCGCTGCTTCGGAAGGGTACTGGGGAATCGCAGCGGTACTTGCGATTAATTTGGCCACAAACATTCTTCCCCGTCAAGATGGTTCAGAAGGACATTATGATGTCTTACAAAGAAAAGGAGCGTTTCTTGAAAGGCGAGAAGCATGTAGCATCTGATTCAGAAGAAATTTCCGATCACGTGGATACAGTTTCGATAGCTATGCAAAGAAACATTCTGGTAAAGAAGCCATATGCAACCATCCTATCAGTCCCTTCATGGCAGCCCCGCGAAGCGGGTAGTCCGTTTCTACTCTGCTTCCCGCGAGGAACCGCAGACTTTCGTCTATACGGTATCTTTCCGAGCGACCTTGAGTCGGACACCGCATGGGCATCGGAAACACCACCTTTACTACCACTAGTAATGCCGCGCCGGAGGCACAGAATCAGATTTGGAACAGGAAAGGCGGACGTCTACGCTGCAGTGGTGGTGTTCAAGAAACGACGATCAAAGCCCCCAAGATTTGTCACTATCTGTCTGGCCAATCTTGGTCACCCCGACAACAGGAGAACAGGTAGGAAGATTTTCGAGCCTAGATGCAGGGTAATTCCGAACTGGTCATCATCAGAAGATCAAAATGTGGAAGCCGTCGATTTTACTACCTTTCGCGATGTTGACTGTGTTGGTGACACTTTGGTTACAATGCAGAAGATAGCGAGCAATCCTAGAATCACAGCTAAAGGCCGCGAGCACCGTTTCGTTGGTCTCACCCAAGTTATTTTCGATAGAGAGCAGATGATGGAAGAGCTGCGTTTACTGCCAGATAAAGAAGACAAGACATCGAGAGGCATCTTGCAGCACTATGGTCAGGAATCTTCAGATGAAGAGGTAGACGAGTCAGCCATTGTTCATTGAGAACTATGATCTATCAAAACACTTGTATAACAATATCCATTTCTCTTCCCCAAGTAACTCATGAGGATTCAAATTATGAACGAACGTGCTGTGGAGTAATGAATACATGTACATTAAGAATCAGTACTTGAAGCCCTTGAGTCCTCCTACTCATGCTGATCGATCTAACATATGTCTTGGTAGTCCCCGATGGTCTTGCAAACAGTAACTGTCTTGCACACAGGATTGGGAAAGCCCTTGAAGTAGCCGGGGCAAAAGTCGGCAGTGAATCGGGATTCCATGTACTCGGACCAAGTAGCGGCAGGAAAGCACTGCGTATCCTTGTTAGCAAGACAAACCATGTTGAGAGCTCTGTTGATTGAACATGACTTACAAAATCGTGACCATCGAGCTTGACAATGCTGCCGGCAATGTACTGGCAATAGCCGCTAACGTTGGTGTCACCAGCATCGTTGGCACAAGCGCAAGCTACAACCTGCTTCGCGGTCTGGTCAGGTGCAGGCGCGGGAGCCGCCATGATGGCAGGGATGGCCAGAAGGACGGTAAAGAAGCTCTTCATTTTGAATGGCGTCGGTGCAATTGATGAATGTGCGTGAGTGGAGGATGATTGTCTATGTGTGATAAAGGTGTAGACAATGGTAGCACGGTGAACAACTGAGTGTTAGGATTGCTATTTTATAATCCTTTGAAGACTGGCTTGGCAAATTCAGATGCCGACCTCATGAGCAGGCAAACAAAACATTGTAAGCATTACGAAGATGCGTTCCATCTAATTTGGAGATTTACCCGACCATGTGTTCTAGTGGCATGTCAAGCGGTGCCTGATAGCATGACAAGTTTCTTGCATGAGAACCTTACTAGGTTGTACTACATCTCATATCTGGCAAGAATAGTCCGCGATGTATAAACGCCGTTTCATGGACTTTGCACTTATCCCCTGACACAAAGACCCAAGTAGGTAGTTTATTGCCACCGGCCCGTCCTTGGACCCAACCGCACCAATTAACACTTGCGGAGCACTCCTAAATGGTTGCTGGATATTGGAAGGCGGGGGGTTATGCATATTTATCCTGGGCGGCCTCGGTCTGATACTACGCTGGGGTTGTAACACAAAGTGGCTCAATAGAGTAGGTATGATTCACGGATGGACTAAAATGGATTGCTCCTCTATCCGGCGAAGATCAATGGCCGATCTTCTATGTACGGCGTTCTCATTATTAAGGGTCATAAAGTAGAATCTGGCTACCTGATCTGATATGGTTAATCATGCGATTGTCAAAGTTGAAAACTTGGCAACTATGGCGCTTACTCATGACTTAGTCAAATGTTGTCCACAATATGCTGCCTTGACTATTACACCAACTCCTTCACCTCAGTCCTAGGCTGATGCTTCGAGTCACTTTCAAATGCCTCTTCTGCCGTTCTTGTCTTGAGAGAGCCAAGCTTTCTCAACGGCTGCCTACTTGCAAAGAGCTGATCCACTTCTTCCAAGCTTCGGCCCTTCAACTCGGGAATGAAGAAGTACGCTAGAATAACCATGGCTACACAAAAGCTTCCGTAAATGAATCCGACCTTGGCACCGAGTGCTGCATAAGGCTTGCTGAGAAGGTAAGGAAGAGTGAAAGACGTTGCAAAGGTAGTCAAAACGGAGATGACAGAAGCAAGAAGGTTGGTCTTCTCTTTGATATGGCTCGATGCGGCTTCTGAAAGGACTATGTAGGACACGGGAGCCCAAGAGAGGGCATAGGAGGAAGAAAAGAGTATAAAGGAGGCAACCTGAGTAACGTCAGTAAGATGTAGCATGCCAACAGGGTGAGGTACTCACAAGGGTATTCTTTTGTGTCTCTGTAGGATCCGAAATAGTCCCGACAGAGCCAACAATAAAGAGGAATACAGCCATGCCAGTGCCTCCGATGAGAAGCAAGACCCTTCTGCCGACCAGATCGACAGTAAACCATGTAATAAACAGGCAAGCGAGACCGGCGACAGAGCTAAGAACAGAAAAGACGAAGCTTCTTGCGCCAAATCCCTGAGATAGGTAGAAAATGACCGAGTATTGTGAAGCAAAAGCCTGACCTGTAATTTGCTGTCCAAACATGGCGAGGACAGCTACCATAGTGCGGCGTCTGTTCTGAGCATCGAAGAGCTCAGGCCATTTACCCTTGTGATCATTGGAGTGGGCGTGTTGAATGGCTTGGATCTCGAACTCGATATCTTGTTCCGATTTATCCTTTCGAATTCGGCGAAGGGATTTGGTAGCTTCCTCCACACGGTCTTTGGCCAAGAGCCTAGTAGCGTTAGCACAATGTGGAAGACGACGACGAGCTGGAAACACATACCATCGAGGACTTTCTGGGACCCAGAACCATAGAGCCAGAAGGAAAGTAGGTGCAAGGAATTGCAACGCTACAGGAATGTGCCATGCAGCATTGGTCTTCATTGAGCTGGTTCCCCAAGTAACAAGAGATGCCACCAGAGCCCCGAGAAGAATCATGAGCTGGAGTGATGAGGTTATCAGGCCTCGGAGAGCCTTGGGAGATGTCTCGGCCTGATAGATGGGGACGACGACAATTGTCATGCCTGTCATGGCGAAAGAGATGAAGCGACCAATTGTGAATTGCGCAGCTGTAGTTGCGGTAGTTTGGAGGAGGACACCACTTTTGATGGTCAGTGACACAAAACTAAGGGTATAAGACAAGCACTTACACAAACGAAGCAATGATAAGGCCCATGATAGCGATCTTTCTGCCCCATCGCTCAGCAATTACACCGCAAATCACGGTGCCCAAGGCCTTCCCGATAAAGGGAACGGAGGTCATCACAGAAGATAGCCAAGGTTGAAGTGAACAATTTCCTGTCGACTTATCGCAGGTGCCGAATTGACGGCCGAAAGATTGCATGCCTTGAACGGATCCAAAGTTGCCGACGTCGTAGCCGAAGTTGAACGAACAGAAGCACATGTACCTACGAGGATAGTCAGTAACTTCTTGTAAAATGTGAAGCTGTTGACAATGGGAATAGCTGGGTAGCAGTGGTTATTCTTACATCAACAGAAAGAGCATTGTCCCGTTCATCTCGCTGAAGCGACCGCTTTTGGCGGCGGTGATTATGTTGTCCGCCATGATGCTGTAGGCCTTCAATGCACAGAGTGGATTAGAAATTAAACTAAGAAGCCCAGCGAACCAAGTGATGAATTGAATTGAGCTCTGCTGATGGCAAAAGCTGAGAGGTCTAGAGACAAAGGCAGGCTATGTCTTTATACGAGCCAGTCTCTATCAATCAACAAGAGACATGGCATCAGAGATCGAAGACAGGGCGTTAATAGCACGGCTAGACAATAACGCAATTATACCCCAGAAGCAGACAAATTGCCAATCGACAAATCGTAGACCCGAGACATTGGTAACTATCCCGTTGTTAAGAACAAAGTAGATTGGAATATGGATACCCTAGGCTGACCGGCAGCGAGAGCCGGCGCTAAACCGGCTCCATCAGGGCCGCGGCTCCGTGATATCCATTGAGACCCGGAGCCCGTTTCTTGGCTTTTTGTGAGGGGGATGAAATGATTAGCGTTGTACTAAGTATTCCAGCCGATGGAATTTGGACCATTGCTGGGAGTTTTAAACCCTCTGATGCTCATTATTATTTAATATTTGTATAACTAGAACCCTCTCTTAGTCTACTTTGAAGTATCCATCACCAGTCGACATCAATAATGGGCTCTCAGCCGACTACACGACCAAATTTTCTGGTCATCGTCGCAGATGATTTCGGCTTCAGCGACTGCGGCTGCTATGGCTCTGAAATCTCGACGCCGAATATTGATTGTCTGGCCTCGGAAGCTGGAGGCATTCGCTTCACAGAGTTTCATGTCGCTGCAGCGTGTAGTCCCACGAGATCCATGCTCATGACAGGCACAGATCACCATATCGCTGGGCTAGGTCAACTCCAAGAGATTACCAGAAGTTCGCCTGCTCATAGGGGAAAACCTGGCCATGAAGGTTATCTCAACGAGAGGGTTGTTGCACTTCCTGAATTATTGAGTGATGGAGGCTATTTCACTTGCATGAGTGGCAAGTGGCATCTGGGGCTCAAGCCAGAGCATCATCCGAATAAGAGGGGTTTCAAGAAGAGTTTGGCTCTACTACCTGGATGTGCGAACCATTACGGTAAGTAATTGGATAGCCTCCAACCCAACTGTACCTCTAACATGCCTAGCGTATGAGCCTGAGTATCAAGATCCCAAGTCCGAGCCAGGGAAGTTCTTCGAGACAGCTGTACGAGCCCTGCATGCTGAGGACGGAAAGTTCCTCGCCGAGAGCGAGCTTGGCCCTAACTGGTACTCTTCCGATGGCTACACCGACAAGCTTCTGAGCTACCTGTCTGAACGAAGTGAAGAGGAACGCCAACAGCCTTTCTTCGCGTATCTCCCCTACTCAGCGCCGCACTGGCCACTCCAGGCTCCCAAGGAATCTTGCGACAAGTATCGTGGCTTCTACGATGACGGACCTGAAGCCCTTCGTCAGAAGCGTCTCCAGAGGCTCAAAGATCTGGGCCTGATCGACAAATCCGTTGTGGCTCATCCAGTTACGACTGTTGCCGGTGAGCCTGCCGAGTGGGATCAGCTCGATGACGAAACAAGGGCTGCGAGTGCGCGTGCTATGGAGGTTTACGCCGGCATGGTTGATCGTATGGATTGGAACATTGGCCGGGTAATTCGATATCTCAAGGACAAGAATGAGTATGACAACACGGTCGTTTTGTTTATGAGTGATAATGGTGCTGAGGGAGCAAGCTACGAAGCTTTTCCCCTCGTTGGAACTACCATCATGGACCACGTACATAAATACTACGACAACAGTCTGGGGAATATTGGTCGTGGAAACTCTTTCGTTTGGTATGGTTCGAGGTGGGCTCAGGCGGCTACAGCACCTTCGAGGTTATACAAGATGTTTTCCACGGAGGGCGGCTGTCGAGTACCCCTTGTCGTCAAGCCTACGGCAGAAACCGCGTCAAAGGCAAACGGCAGTGTCGTGACGGATGCTTTCTGCACGGTCATGGATATTGTTCCTACCATTCTGGAATATGCTGGTCTGAGCCATCCTGATACCTACGCCGGAAGACCAGTCATGCCTCTCCGTGGCAAAAGTTGGAAATCTTTCCTGGATCAGCTAGACAAGATTTCGCGATCTTCACCTATCCACGATAAAGATTATGTCGCAGGCTTCGAAGTCGCAGGTTCAGGCGCTCTTCGTCGTGGTGACTGGAAGATCACCTACGTCCCAAAGCCAAAGGGCCCTCAACGATGGGAGTTATTCAACATCAAGAACGATCCTGGCGAGACGAATGATTTGGCAGAGTCTCAACCTGAGTTGATGGCGGAAATGCTAGAGCTCTGGGAGGAGTACAAGGCTGAGGTTGGCGTGGTAGGCTTAGCAGGTGAGTTTCCGGGTATGGCTGGTAAACAGGGAGCTCAGCAAGATACGATCAAGGACGAGATGGAGGATCCGTATTCTTGGATCAAGTATATCAAGAGACCTGAGATTACACCAAAGGAGTTGGTAGGTATTGTTCCAGTCTAGATTGTATGTAATTTAAATCTTGACTCCAAGTTCTGTTTAGACAGATATTACTTTATGCACCAAAGTCCATATCATGCTGCTGAAATACCCAATCCGGCAGAGAGAACAAGTCCCAGGTGATTTCGTTGGACATATCCCCTGCAACCTGTGTGTAGTCTTCCATGGGGTTGACCTCATTGCTCGGCATCACAGACGCGTTTAATGGTTGGGCTACTTGATGATTCCATGGTCTTAGAACAGGCGCATTCTGTGTCAAGTTTTGAGAAGAACTCGCAAATGACCCAGCTGCACTCTCACGTCTGTTCCGGTTTTGATTGACATCGTCATATGCGCGACGGAAAGGAGCGAGATCTGAAAGGTAAAAGGCTTCGGGAGGACCACTGACTTCTCCTGCATCATCTTCTGGGCGCCTATAAGGTCTACATAGTTAGTAATAGATGGCAGTAAGTCAAGATGTTTACGTACGATGGCGGAGTGGCACGGCCATTGTTTGCAATGTCGTTGAATCCGAATCGACGGAGGAGACGCCTGAGGGCGCGACACTAGAGATTGTCAGCATCAAGAATTCTATATAGACCAAGGGGTTTGTACTGCTCGTGTTGGTAGAGTTCCACGGGTTTGCCCACTTAGCACCTTCATATTGAACATGATGTCTTCCTTGAGCTGCATCTGTATATCAGGGTTACTCTCACCCAGTGAGGCAGCATACACAATCATGATCTTGGTCGCTTCATAAGTCGCAGCGTAAGTCGTAGACTCAGCGAACAAAGGATTCAGATGCTGAGCCATCATTCGTAGAATCTTCGTTACTTGGATAGCATGATGTTGGCAGACGTCTTGACAGTGCGAGATAAATGGTCGGGGAGCGGCTTGGAATGCTGCAGCGAGTGGAAAGGCGAAGCCGGGGATGGATATCCGTGTTAGATCGCAGATAAGAATGTGGTAGGAGAGATGAAGATAGAAGAGTGATTCCAGTGTGTTCAGTTCCTTGTGTACGTATATGCTGAACTCTGTCAGTTGAAGCTGTGTTGAGATATTGTTGTCCCAGGCTTCCAGAGCACGAAGGGTCTGCATGAACGGAGATTGAGCACCAGAAATTTCTACATCATCCGGATTGGTGCGGATAAGCCTGTGAAGATTAGCTACACGATTGATCATGAGTGGGGGAGATATACCGCAGGACCCTGGTTCTCATGCTCATCAAGTAAATGAGATTAGAACGCAAGTTGTATCTCTGCAGCTCTTCACTGGAAGGGAGCATGTCAGAACCTCGAGGTAGAAATAAAGGGGCCTCTGGAGTAGAAAATTGAAAAAGAAAGGATTGATCTGAGTTTGGGAGAGGGATCTGAGGTGCCTCATCCCGCCACCTCAGGTTCTCATTCACACCGCTCCCGACGATGCTGTCCAGGATGAAACATGACCAGAGAACCCTTCTTCGAGCTTCTATCAGAATACTATCCTGAGGGCTTTCTCCATTATTGCTAGGAAGGGCTGGGCGATCGAGGGCGAGAAGTCGAGCGGCGCTGTGGCAGCATCCGCAGAGCATGAAGGCTAGAGCGTCTTGACCAGTTTGGAGGGCAAAGTCGCAAAGAAGAACAAGGGTCTATACGATCAGCTTTCAATCACTCTTTATGCGTCACAGAGACTTACCATGGCTGTCATTAGTGTTGGCTTGCATATCTCTCTCATTACAAGAGCCTGTGATTCTTCAGCCCATAAGTGTCCAGGGACATCCGAGGTGACATGCTGGATATTGTAATTTGACCTGCCTTCGAGTTCTTTAATGCTGCTGTTAGTTAGTATACCGTCTCTGTATTCTACGTTACAGTGCATGGGACAAACCGAAGTCCGTGGGCGCATATCGCATAGAGAATTGCCTCGCCATAGTCTTCTACCAAAGACCCTTTGTCAAGTGAATGATTGAACGAAGGTTTGTGAAGAAAGTCAAGGCATCTCAGAGTAGCCACTCTGTTAAAATAAACGCCAGTTACCGTTTTCAGAGTCTGGATATCCCACGGAAGGGACTTGTTCTGTATCCTAGATTCTGTCAGTATGGATGCTCCTCTGAATGATCGCGATCATTACCGGACACTTGGTTCCAATGGAGACATTGAAGGTCGGGGCTCAAATGTTGTACCCGGCGAGATGTCAGCTACATCAGGTCTCGGCTCATCGCGCCGGGGACTCTCTGTAGAAGCATTCGATCCAGTAGTGACGGTAGCCCTATGCCTTTGGGGATAATGACAAGCCAGACTCCGCTGGAGACATCTCGAGCAGGCTGGCCGAGCCTTATCACAACGGCCTTTGGCTCTTCGGCAAGCCTCGCACGAACCAACCCGTCGTTTCTCAACACCCGAAGCACGATAGACAGTTTCCAACGTATCAGCCTCGAGTCTCTTCTGGGTCTCTGTACCCGGATGGTAACCGGGGCAATCAACGCCCAGGGTCTCGCAGTTCTGACAGCCCGGAACAGTTCCGTCGCATTTCACCTAAAATGTCGGTAGCCAATCATAATAGTGGTGAATAATGGGGACAAACCTTGCGGGAGCGACAGACAAGACAAGAATACCCTGTTTGTGAACCATGTCATTGATTAGCCCAAATACTCTTTAGATGATCTTTGGATTACACTGTAAGGGGATGCTTCCTAGGGACGGCTGTCGCTTCCGAAGCTCTGCTAATTGGCTAACGGGAGTTGGATGCGTACTTTGAACTGTAGTCGCTTGTGCCATGGTGGATCTTCAAAAGCTTTCAATGCAAGTTAGTCAAAGTGCTCGGCAGTTAACAAAGCTATTTGAGTTATAATGTGACAGAAATTGAACGGAAGTATTCAACTTAAGATGCTTAGAGTTGAGGTACATATTGAAAATCACCTAATCGAGGAGGGGTCAGCCTAGCCATATACCCCACGTTCTCTACTCGCGGAAATAACCCTAACACTTGCTAGCGACATGTTGATCTCCAAGCGTGAGCCCAAATACAGGGAACGGCTCCGAATGCCGCCACTAAATTGTATGCTGTGATCTACATGGCCCCCGAGAGATTTGGTTTATTATGTTCCCCAAATTCATCGTTCAGTACCTACTTACTCCATATTGATATAATATCTTCCGACATTTAAATCCCTTGAAGAAGTACGGGAGTATTGGCAAAAGAGTGCTTCTGCGAATAGCTGGGCAATCATGTCGTTACTGTAGAGGACTGTGATGATCTGTTCCTTTGGGATGAGTACCCCTAACGGTAGCAACACTCAGGAATTACTAAGAACTTCAGACCCAGTATTGTACACATAAGTGGATCTTTCGTTATTTCTAGTAGATCTTGCTTGCTCTGGCACGCGATGTATCTCTACTTCATAAGAGCAAACCATTGCTATGAAGCCACACCTACATGTGGGTGCACCGTTCTAAATACTCATCAAATTCATCCTCGCTGCTACAGCGCTCTTCCACTCAGCTGCCAGCGACAGCACAAAGCCAAACATCGTCCTTCTTCTGACAGATGACCAAGATATCCGCCTTGGCTCCTTGGACTGTCAGGATGTATTACAGCGTGAGCTTGTACAGCAGGGCGTTAGTTTTACTAACCACCATACCACAACTGCCGTGTGCTGTCCTAGCCGTGCCACTCTTTTGAAGAGACAGTTGGCTCATAATACCATCATCACACATGTTCGCTCTCCTGGGTAGGCTCACCTTGTGCTCTGAGACCAATACACTTCAGCTGATGCATTTAATAGTGGTGACTATGAGAAATGGGTTCTTGCCAAGCAAGATGGGGAGTATATGCCACAACTGATGAAAAAGGCTGGCTATCGTACCGAGTGTAAGATACGTACTTGATCCTGGCTCTTACAATTGTTATTAATATTGTGTCTGTTGGACATTGGGAATTTCTTGTATGGTTACTCCTTGTTCAACTATGATACTCCGCCCCAAGGCTGGGATCACGTTGATAGATTAGTGAGTCATCCTCCATCCCAATATTACACACATCACAATTGATTAATTTCGTTCAAGATGAACCCCTATAACGCTGCATTCAACATCGTCGTCAAGTCCAAAAACAGGGACGTTCCGATGCACTACCCAGGCTACCACCAATCAAACGTAGTCCGATCCAAACCGTAAGACATGCCCATGCCGTAATAGACCAATCTTCAAGCTCAAATATGTAGACTCGATCGTCTCAAGTATCTCTCAAGCCAAAAGGGCCCATGGCTACTCTTCCTCGCCCCTACATCACCGCACGTCGACAAGGCAAGAAATACGTCGAACCCCTTGCTCGATACTGGAATGACTCAGCAGACATCAGGTCTTGCTTCAACTCTCCCAAGTACTCGCACCGACCTTCTTCCCACCCTACTAGACATCGCCAAGCTTCCACTAAAGCACTGGCCTGACTTCTTGGACGGAAGAAGTCTTCTGCAACAGTGGAAGAAGCCTCATAAGCGTGATCACGACGCTGGCTTGTGAATCGCTAAAGAGATCATCAATATTGAGCATTATTGAGCATTGGGGGTTTGGAACCATTGAAGCCCCTGCTCCTGAAGCCTTATTTCCTACATCTACGTATAAGACCATTCGTCCTGCGGGAGATAGCATTGGGCGGCTCTATGTTATGTGGTGTACCGGCGAGGCTGAGCTTTATGACATCATTGTGAGACTTAGATTTATAAATGACGAATATCCGTTGCTGACAAACGGACAGGACGACCCTTACGGGATGACAATTTGATCAACTCAACAGATAATAGAATCAAGCAAACTATCAACCGTCTCAACGCTCTGGTCCTATACATGAAGTCCTGCGTCGCATCATCATGACAAGACCCTTGGGACAACTTCAATCTCCCCAAGCCCCTCAAATCCATCAAAACATTCAAACAAGCAATCCAGCCCCGGTACGACACCTTCTTCAGCCAATTTCCAATCTTCAACTTCGGCGAATGCATGGATTATCAGTACGCACCGAACGAAACACCCTTCTACTCGCCAGAGTCTATCTCGCTGGGATCACAATTCCGAGGACCGACGGAAAATTACGTTCTCACGCTGCCAAAGACTTGGATCAAGGCTAACGAGAAGCCTGCGGGTGGATGGGAGCAAAGGAGTGTTAGTATTAAGAAGATTATGGAGACGGCGAGGTATATTACTGAGGAGGAGATTTTTGGACTGGGCAAGGTTGAGAGGAGGAGGGCTGATGAGATGGATGTTATTGGAGATGCGAATGGACTATATCAGTCGGGAGCTAGTCGGAACTGAAGCCTGCTATATATTTGTGCAGATAGTCAATTTGGAGGTTTGCCAGCTCGATGGTGAATCCTTCCTCACAGAAATTGAGTACATTGCCCATATGTGTTCAGGTATATTGTTTGCTTTTCGGCTGAAGTTTAAAGCTTCTTTTAAACATCCAACTTGGTAAATATCGTAGATGAATCCACCCCTTGATGATATATCTCAAGCGTGGATAGAGACTAGCTGCAAAAGTATTCTATAAGCAGATCTTTGCTAGCGATTGCCATATGGCAAATATACTCCCAGATGTCGTTTGAGACTTCTTCACTTGCGAGGGTGCAAAGCTATGATGACTCTATTCAACTAGTGTAACCTGTACCACCACCTCCCCACGCATAAGAATACTGACTTTATTACCACTATCCCATATTACTACCCATTATAGATTGAAGCTTGTTGCGTTGTCCTCTCACTTTATAACGTGTCGTTCAGAGAGCTTATAATCACCACACAGAACTTAGTCGTTCATGAACAAGTTGAGTGAACCGGTGAACCCTGTTAGCGTCGGCTCTAGCTCCCGGTCCACAGGGTAGCTCGAAACTATCTGCAAGGTTTGATTCATGCTCCAGATTCGCTTTACAACGCAAACTTTCATGGTTTAGGGCGAAGCGACTATTCTTCTTATTAATAAAAGCTATCTAACTTGAAATTCGATGACCATGCCTCATCGTATTAAAACCATCCTTGAACCATTCTCGTATACATTCAACACCTGTCCGATGAATCTGATCCTTTGACAATATGATCCAAGACGGAGTCACACGCTCCAGTCTGCAGTACGCATCATATATCATGTCACTCGCCGATTTCCCCAACATCCCCTGCGTATCGTATAATTTCACAAACTCTTTCGGCGCCCACCAAGGAGACTGCGAGGATAACACAACCGTGCGCTTTTTCCTCAACCGGTTTCTTCCTTTAGCGACTGCTTCCATTCTGACCACGTTCATGAAGACGCAGATGTCTTCTGCTTTGTTAAGTCCAAACTCTTCCCACTCGAGAGACCAAACTGCATATTTCTCTAGCTCTCTGGCGATTTCCCATTGATTTCCTTTTGAGAATGCTGCGTAGATGAACGCTTCGTGCTGGAACATCTTCGCATCGTGTGTATTATAGATAACCTGAGCGCGACGTTTACTAGCTTCTCTCGTAGCGATCAACTGAAGAACTTGCCACTCTGGGCCACGGTATGTGAGATGAAGGTCGAAGGTCTCTTTCCAACTGTCCCATGACATGCCCCATCTTCTGCAAAGGTTCTTGACCCTGTCTCTAGACATGGTGGTGTCGATGGTAGCTTGTGCGATGTCTCTGAGACTCCGTTTGCTGAATTTCATGTCCATAGCTCTTAGCTTAGGTAAAATAGGATCCATCAAATCCCAGAACAAAGGTTTGTTGCGCTGCAGTATGGCGAGATGAATGGGTGTGAGACCCCTCTTATCTCGCTGCGTGACCAGTCCCGGCGCGACATGGCGGTAGAAAGTAAGTATGAGGCTGATCACCTCTGTATCACCATTCTGAACAAGGAAGTGCATCAAAGGGAGTCCAAGTATGTGTCCGTTGTCTTTGCACGTAATTTCCTGGAACAAAGTAGCCCAGCCATCAATCCATTCACTTGCATGGGATCCTAGGCTGTCAGGAAATCCCACGAAGACGATAGCTCTCTCGATATCTCTTCGACTGAGTACAAGCCTCAAAAGTTGTATCCGAAAAGGATCTTGCTTTTCTTGAGAGAGAATCGATTCGAGTAACTTCCATCGTGCCTGCATGGAGCGGGGACCAAGGCCAAGTTTGATCAAAGCTGCAAAGATGCGTAGATCTTTCTGACCTTTTCTCACCGCCTCAAGCAGAGGGGATCCGTCCAGGTCTTCGTGCCTCCATATAGAATGTCCGTGTTCATTTGGTGTCAGGAATCTGTCAATGAAGAGCCGTGCAGTCGCGATAAGGTTGTAAAGACGACAGTCCCCTTCAACCTCAGGGAAGAGATTCTCGAACCAGCCCTTTTTGGTGGGTACTGCCAGAGAGTCTATGGCCTTGCGCGCCCCAGAAGACATATTTAGAAGGTAGTCAACGATGAAGCTACAGTGTAGTGATGAAGCCAAGATCAAGGGCGGGGGAGCGTCTCCGTAGCTCAAGTACACGTCAGCACCAGCTTCTACCAGAGCTTTGACAGTACGAAGACACTTGCAGCGTATGGCAACCTGAAGCGGAGTCCCGTAGAGTTCTATACCAAATGGCAGAAGCCAGCTTCTAGCAGTCATGATACCATTGATATCAATGCCCAGGCCCTGCAGGTCGCGTATGATGGAAACCCTCACCTCGTCCCGAGCTTCGAGACTTGCAAGATAATGCAATGGAGACTCCCCAGTCTCTGTCTCAAGTTGCGGGCACACGTCAGAGCTCTGTTCAGAGAATATGTGTCGTATCAGTTTGATAAGGTACTGAATCAACGCCCATTGTCCATGTCTCGCAGCTGTTACGAGAAGACGAAGATAGAATTGCCCTTGGCTTCTGTAACTAGTATCCTCAAACAGAGAATCTTGTGGTGCGAGTAGTTGTTCCTTTCCTAAATATGACTCCAGACCAAGGCTAGCGCAGACTTCCAGAAAGGGTGCGGCAGTGTTGGGAGATAGTAGGGTAGGGTACTGAACGTTGACATTGCAGAGGAGGACACCATAGTGCTTCGCTCTAATGGCTATATCCCTTATACCATTCTCTGCTCTTAGCCAGCCGTATTCTGTTCGTCCATCTCCCAACTGTGCAGTGAACTCTCTCTCGATAGTATATAGAGCAGCCCTACCGTTCCAATAATGTAGATAGACAGGGAACCCGAAGTTTGTATCGTAATTGGCTTTTTCTGGCTCATTGTTTCGTGCTCTTAGGTCCTGGAATGATCTGATCCTTCGAATAACCGCATGAACTGAGCCTCGGCTTGTGTGACCGGAATTCTCGCGCTCAGGCTTGGAGTCGTCTAGACCGGGAAGATGGCCACGATAGGTCTCGAGTATCCAAAGCGCATCGATAGACCCCAACCTGGAGGCTTCGACTAGGTGACGAACGGCTGACGGGATACTTCGGGGAACTCCATAGCCCTCGGTATAGCAGCGGGCCATGAGAAAGTGGAACTCAGCGTGGTTTGGTTGTCGAGGATTGGATAAGTTGTCCTGGAGTTCGCCGACAAACTGGCTTTTAGATAACCAAGGCTCCTTCTGCCATGGGTCGAAGTCCTATTCATTGTCAGCTTGTTCAGTATGATGCTCTTGAGAGGCATACCCAGACATTAATCCTCTCCAAAGATGAGTCAGCTGAGCTCTGCACAATGTTGGCCCTGCCCATATATCGGAAGTCAGACAACAGTCCATAAAATGGTTGCTCATCATATGCTCCTGGAATACCTCACCTGTCACTGTAGTCTAACGTTGTTGCGATTGTCGCAAGATCTTTTCGATAGGCTGGATTATCTTTAAGCGTCATTTCGAAGACATTGTAGAACAAATTCACATCTACACTCAAGGAACGACCAAACTTTGAACACAGAAAGGACAAAGCGAGGTTGAGAAGTCCATTCTTTGGCTGTCGTTGTAGGAATCGCTCTCGTCGTGACGTTCCCTCAGTCTCGGGCTCTCCACCAATCCAGGCTGGGTTGATATACTCTTCGCCGTCAGCTAAAATCTCCCAGAACAACAGTCCGTATGAGAACGATTCACAGCGGATCAACTCATGTGATGCCACGTGTGCATGTCGATCACGGACTTCTGGCGCGTTGTAGAGAACCGTTCCAGGATATGTCGTCTGCCGACGGAGCGAGAGCCCGAAAACAGAGTGACTAAAGTCTGCGACTTTCGCTACCCAAGCTCCGGGTATTCTTGAATCTGGGAAAACGAGTGTGTTGATGAGTTTTATATCCCCATGAGCAATGTCGGCGGCGTGAAGCGCATGAAGTCCTGAAGCAATGTCGATAGCGAAGTGTCGTTTCACCGTGTTCGAGAGGTTCTGATTGCGATGAAGAAAGTCTCTCAAAGTTCCTTGCTCGGCGTAATAAGTGAAAAGAACGGGTAATTGATCCTCGCTCCAATCCCAGCCGCGAATATCAATGATGTTGGCGTGATGGCGTAGAAGCGGTTTGCTGACGACTTGAATCTCTTGGAAAGCAATCTTTCCCCCACCAGGATAGTCTTTCCTCGCTTTCTTGACAGCATATAAAGTGTTATTATGTTCATATAATGAGACGTCAAATACACCACCCTTACCAACATGTCCGGCTTTGGTCGATTCTCGGAATAATCTTGGGACATGGGAATTTCGCATTTCTGCAGCCGTGTTCTTGGAGCGATATGGGTCGTCGCCTGGAATGCCGAGTGCGGTCATCCATATTCGCGAATTGGAGGCGCTATTCAACCAGCTCATGGTAACATCTAGAGCATAAAAGAGTGATAATCGAGACAAGTGTTGATACAAGCCATCAAAAACTTGGCATACGATGAGCTGTACGACTAAGATGAGTGATTTAAAGGTTAAAGAACGTTAATGGGGCAGTTTAAGGTGACAGCCAGAGCCTGAAACAAGAGGCGAAGTGTAAGGCAGATTACAGCCATATCTTCTACGGCATGGCCTAATGATTCAATCACAGACGCTCTTTCAAGCCAATGTCTCTAAGTAAGACTCCAGCGCTGTGCTGTTGGCTAATCTAAGCCCGATGGCTGTGCCACTCCCACCAATTGAAGGCGTTGAAATGCCAATAGTTTTAACGGCTGAGGAGCTAGCCGCATTAACCCTGAAAAGCTGAAGTTCTAAGCGCTGTGGTGACGTTACCTCTCGTCTCGCCAGAGTGCAACAATCATTAAAAGGCTGTTTTCGCAAAATTAGATACGAATATTACACTTGCTCACCTTGTACTATCGGAGAACATCCAATATGTCACTGGAGTGCGTTGGCGTTGCTCTTGCAGTAGCAGATATCGTTCATACTTTAACAGTTTATCTTGTCCAAGGACTAAGCGACACTTCTAATTTTGGATCGGATCTGGAGTCAACACGTCTCGCATTGAGCACACAAGCCAACACGTTCAAAGACATAAAAACCCTACTTTTCGGACCCAGCGGCTCACAAGACCAAGGCATATTCGCCCAGTTTGACACACAAACACAATTAGACATCATAAGTATCCTGCGACATTTCCGAACTTCACTAGAGTCGCAATACACGTTAGTCAACAGGAAATATGGCGCTACGACTCCGAGCCTTGGAATAGTTCTCGACCCCGATAGTGGCTTTGGATCACATCACACATCGACTGTTTTCAAGCGCCTGCAATGGGGTTTCAGCCAGAAGTCCAAAGTTGACAAGATCGTACGTGAGCTCGATTGTTGGAATGGCCGACTGGTACAGATTGTGAAGCTCAAGCTGATCGTTATTGAGCATGCCGCGCGTCAGAACAAACTCGCTTCAGACAATGCATTGGCGTTGTCGGAACAAGTTCAAACGATAGACTTATCGGGAAACCAGGATCCTCTGGGTCTCAAGAAAGATTTGCAGCTAGCTAATCTAGCTTTGGATTACCCCTTGTCAACTCAGCGCAGGCAAGATCTTCAGATCACCGAGCAAGCCAAGATACTCGCATATGAAAACGCAAGAGATGTCATACAGCCTACTGAAAGGCCACAACCACCAAACAACGGATGGCGGCAGCCTTCCCCTATTGCCTTTTCTCGGATCAAACGCAGATTAGTCCAATTCCACGACCAAATCGTGCTACTGGAGTACAAAGACTTCGTTGCAGATGAAGCTGGACAACCTTCTGAAGCTACTCAGGCGCGTATTGCACAGCTGGCAAGAATTCTGAATGAATCTAAACCCGAGCGGTATCGCACTCTTCAATGCAGCGCCTATTACTTTTTCGAGGAACGGTTCACCCTTGCTTTTCCGATCCCATCGTCGCTGAACCCAAAGTATACGACCTTGGCTCAGATACTAGATAGCTATAAAGGCCAGCCGCCAAGTTTGGATGATCGGTTTATCCTAGCACGGAAACTGTGTGCTGCGGTAGCACAGTTGCATACAGTCGGGTGGGTTCATAAATCCATCCGCAGTGATAACATTCTTTTCTTCAATACAACCTCAGAAGATTTGCAAGCGTCCCTGTCATCGTCTGCTAAGACGGCATCAACATCTCCGGGACCAGAGGTCTTTGAGAGCCTCTACCTTTCAGGTTGGGAGTACTCGAGACCAGAGACCGGGTTATCTTCTGTTCGTTCTGGATCGGAAGATATTGACGAAAACATCTACCGCCACCCAGATCAATGGGGTCTGCCCACAATTCGATTCAACCGCAACCATGATATCTACTCCCTTGGGGTAATTCTTCTCGAGATCAGCCGCTGGAAACGGGCCATTAACTTTCATCCATCGCGGTTCCGGAACTGTGAGGTCGCCAATGTCGTCCGGAATTACTTTATCCAAGAAGCCAACAATACCAAGACGAGTGGTAGCATGGGATATCGCTATCAGGGAATTATCCTCAAGTGCTTACAGGGCACCTTTGATCCGCCAGATGTTGGCGCAGACTTGGAAATAGTGCAGGATGATCACGTCCAGCTTGATTTCAACATTGACTTTGAGAATGAGACTTTTTATCATCAAGTGATTGAGATTTTAGACGAGATTGTTCTCCATCTATAGCTTAAATTCTTAGCTCTTCTCGATTTTCCCTTACTTTCTCTTACTTTATCATGACTTGCGTAGTTTTACATAATAAACTTGTCCAACTTGGAACACGGTCACCCGGCTTTCTAAAAGGTGATCTTTTACTCTGTTTTATACAACGCCAAGATGTCGTCCGCCTTTCTGTTCGCCGCGACATCTAGCGCTGTCTGACCTTCCATGTCCTCTGCCATAGGATCTAATCCTTTACCCACCAAGAACTGGAACCTGGCTATCCGTCCAGTCGAACATTCCTGGCCCGCCACAACATGAAGCAAAGCCTCTCCCCTTGCATTAACAACCGACCAGTCCACTCCCATCTCGTCAAAGATCGCCCAAATCTTCGGCTCCATTTCCTCCGCAATCTGATTTTTAAGTTCCTTTGTGACCTTCCATCTATCACCGCCCCATTTCTTAGACAGAGCATGTTTCTCTTCATCCATCTTCGCCCAGGTAAGATCAACCTTAAAGCTGCTCGCACGGAAGTAGCCGAACACAGGTGTTTCTCCCGCTTTATTCTGTGCGTTGATGTCTGCTCCCTTAGAGAGCAGTAACTCAATTGTTTTCTTGACAAAGCCCTGCCAAACTGCATCACCGTAGTAGTCCACGACGAGAAGGAATGGTCTTCTGAAGAGGATGTGAAGCGGTGTATCGCCATTGGCATCTCTGACCATAACGTCGACTCCCGCGGAGATTAAAAGGTTGACCCCGTCTCTCGGGTTGCCTGGCTTTTGGCAATCTATCGCATATTGAAGTGGGGTTCTGCCATCTTCGTCGAACTGGTACTGAAGGTCTGGCGCTAAAGCGATGATATTTTGAACAAGATCGTTTGCGCAAAGGTCGGCAGATACAAGATGCAGGACATTTCTGCCGGTCCCGTCGCTGTAACAAAGGTCGGCACCTCTTTCGATTAGTATTCGTGCCGCCTTTGCGTCTCCAACTTCCAAAGCAGTTTGGATCAATGGAACGCCGACCTCATCTTGAAGATTGATATCGAGTAGTGGGTGCCGAAGAATTAAGTCGAGGTACACATTCCGCTTGCCGTGCGTCATATAAGGGCTAGATCCTTTTCTTTCCAATATTCGATGAGCTATGGTCGTTTGAGGGTAGCGAGAGTTTGGATCGGCGCCATGTTCGAGTAACAGATTGACTATACGACTGCAAGCTGGTCGGCTTGTTATCGCAAGATCGAGAGGATACAGCTCATGGCGCGAGTTGGGATCTTGTCTCTCCGGCTTCATATGTCGTCCATCTACTGAGCGCCAGGCAGGCATTTCCTTCCCGACTTTGCGAGCGTTTGGATCGGCACCCGAAGAAAGCATTGACCGTATTGTGTCGACGTCTCTGGCCAGGACGGCATCGATGAGACTGGCGTAATCGACGGCGACGACATCGTCTATCGGCTTATCCAGCGCGTCTGAGGGCATTGAATGATGTTTATCAATGATATGTAAAATAATCATTAGTTAGGAGAGGCACAGTAACATACTTTAAACTACTACGCCGAACTTAATATCATTTACACCTACCAAATTGGGCAATGTCCAATCTGACAACAGTGGTCGGACCACCTTAGTGCTTAGGCAGAAGTTCACTAAAGAGATTCTTCACATGTTAATATTTGTATAATTCCTTGTATCATGAGGAGAGCGAGAAATCTTGCTCGAGAATAAGAGTTAGCGTGGCGGTTGACCAAACGATAGTCTCCTTATTTCTGGCATTTATAAAATCATCATGAGGCCTTCTCTCATTCAACGCCCCATCAACATAGTTAATCGTCTAAATATTCCAATATCTCAGTAGCGCTACGCTCGGGGATTTTATCCTTCGTGTAAACAGTGGCCTTCGCCAGTGTCTTGTTGCTTGAGTGATTCAAGAAGTATTTGTTGTAGCTTAACTCTCGACCTCTGCGTTCCTCCATGATCTGAAGGGCCTCATCGATGTCTTCGCACGGAAGGATGAGAAAGACCCCCTTATAAGGGGAAATCAGTTCCGTAACATGATCTAGTTCCTCCTTTTTTTCGAAGATGGAATGCCCCGCTCCAAAGTCGAGTATCTTGCCGTAAAACCTATCCCCAGGCTTCAGAGCATTTTGCAAGATATACACAACAGCTCTGTATTCAAACTACTTCCAATATTTCAAGAGAGCCTCCACGCCTTCTTGTTCATATAGTTTGTTTGCATGAGAATCATCGTAGTTGAATGGTGCATAAAGCTCCTTCCGGTGTCGATCGAGACTGAATAGTTCTCTGTCGAGTTTCTCTGCGAGCGCTTTTCCAATAGTAGTTTTTCCAGCACCTTCAGGGCCGATTAAGATAATTGTTGGGCAGGGTTTGGCTGACATGACGTCAATTCATAGCGTGACTTATATGATTGAATTATCAAGTATCAATTAATCTTGACTAAATATGAAGTATACACAGAAAGCAAGCAGTTATAAGTATTATAGACGAGACAAACAGTTGTCAGAAATTCCTTTGCGAGGCATCACGGGTAAGACGGCTTTTCTTCTGTAAGCAAGTGAGTCATAAGTCTGGGTTTAATTGGCATCTTGATAAGATGCCGGTATCCGAATAACAACATCTTGAAGTATTTGCTCTCGGCATAATACGAGAGCATTGACCTGACATTCTCTGAAAGCTTTTCACATTCTACAGCAGGTCTATGTAAATTGCTGCTTCTAAGCCTGCCATGCCAAAACAGAGGATCTTCAGTTAGGCAGAATGCGGGGTAAGCTCCAGCACAGTGGCAACCAGGAGCGGAACTAATATGCGGCCTTCAAAAGTAGGGCCGCTTATACGCGAAGATAAACTCCACATCGTGTTACACTGTGCGCACCCCTGTAGGCTTTGGCTCTTCATTCCGTACTGTGCAAAGCAAATCCAAGTGGGTTTGACGGAGATTGTCTGCCTTCGCGTCGAAATGCTTGCATTCTTATCGTCACTTAAACAAGACTGGATGCATGGGGAGTGCTCAACCTCGCCACACAGCGTAGAGAAATACTTCAATCACCTTTAACATGTCGTCAAAACCATTCCCCCCTCCCAATGGGATGACCTCCTTCTGGCGCTCCTCTCCAGGATCGCTTGATAATCACCGATCAACGGAAGAACTGCCCTCTCTATGCGATATTGTCATCATTGGCGCCGGATACTCTGGCGGTTCACTCGTGACACATATGCTATCGCAAACTGAGTCAAAAGACAAGTCAATCGTCGTCTTGGAAGCCCGGCAACTATGCTCTGGCGCCACAGGGCGAAATGGTTTGTTCATCTCTCGTGTACATCAATTCTCATTCTTATTCTTTATAGGAGGGCACATCAAACCCGATGTCTACAACTTGTGCTCAAGGATGGCTTCAAATTATGGTATTCAGGCGGGGGCTGAGATTGCCGAATTCGAGCTCGCCAATGTTGAAGCTGTCAAGAATTTTATTCTAGACAACAACGTGGATTGCGATTTGATGATCACTCAGGCCGTTGATGTGCAGTTATCAGAAGACCACAACGCGACACTCAAGGCTGGATATGATAAGCTTGTCAACGCTGGTGTAAGCGCGACAAAAAGGGCATTCTATGTCGATAGCAAATATGCTGAAACAGTAAGCATCACTCGTGATCCTCATCTTGAGCATTCGTCTGGGTTCTGCATAAAGTGTTCTAACTTCAGGGCTAGGTCTCGGGCATCAAAGGCGCAAAGGGTGCTTTCAAGTACACCACCGGCCATCTCTGGCCGTACAAACTCATCCACCACATGTTCGCCGAAGGTCTAAAGCACAAGAATCTGAACCTGCAGACCAACACTCCTGTGATAGCTATTCCTGCAGCCCCAGATCCTGATGGAAGCTGGAGTGTCACTACAAGTCGCGGTGTTATCAAGGCCCGGAAAGTCATCATGGCCACCAACGCTTACACCGCCGCTCTTCTTCCCGAGTATCACGAGAAGATCATTCCCTACCGCGCGATTTGCAGCCGAATTGTTGCACCGAATCCCCCTCTCTTGGCAGACTCTTACGCCATTCGATTTGGTCTTACGGACTTTGACTATCTCATTCCTCGACCTGACGGTAGCATCATTGTTGGAGGCGCAAGATCAGCTTACTTCAGACACACAGAAGATTGGTACGGTATTGTTGACGATACGAAGGTAATCGATAGAGCAAAGGATTACTTTGAAGGGTACATGCAGCGACACTTCCGTGGGTGGGAAAGCAGCGGAGCGCGTACTGATCAGGTCTGGACTGGCAGTAAGCTCCCCTCTATTCTTGGTCCCTGTTCATATCTTGCTAACCAAGTCCTTTACGTTTAGTTATGGGCTACTCATCAGACGGGCTTCCCCGCATCGGCCGTGTGCCCGGACGAAAGAATATGTTTCTCATGGGCGGTTTCACCGGTCATGGAATGCCTCAGGTCTTTCTGACTGCCAAGGGAATTAGTCGTATGGTCCTAGAAGATCTAGCGTACTCCGAGACCGGAATTCCAAGACTTTTCGAGGAGTCGGAAAGGAGGCTAAAGAGCGACGAGAACTTCTTGAGGGATATGATTGATGCGCAGCCAAGCCTGGCTAAAATATAGCTGATGATAGCGCAGCAGGCCAAGACGAGGGGGAGGCATTTAGTTGGTCGTAACAAAGTAATAAACAGAAATCATTAATGCTGCAGTAACTCCTTATCTTTTTCTACTGTGTAAGTGTAAGTGGAGACACTACATATGACATCTTGTGTCTCCATTTACCTGCTTACTTGAGCTAGCGCCGTGGGGATTTTGTCTCCGTCAACCTACCCTTTTCGGCAACAGGGGTGACCGGGATATAGGGTATCATATTGTTTTCGCATCATGATACCGAGATATCGTATAAGGTTATTCAATAGTTGCATCACTGGTCACTCAATCTCTTCTACCTAATGGTCTCGACCTCATAGCTGAGGGGAACTCATGAGAAGGAATGCAGCATCAGGAGGATTAGAATGAGTGGTCTGTCGAGGATCGGTTTGTGTTAAACTCGCTGTCCTATGAATGGAATCCTTCTTGATATATGCCGAACCTACCCCTCGCTCTGTGCTGTCTAAAGTTCATAGCCACCAGGGCTAATCGCTATTCCGGATGATCAAGTCGTCAGTTCAGCTGTGTCATTGCTGGAGATTAAGTTGTAGTTATAGTCAGTCTAGCAGTAGATGAGAAAGGTATGCGTAGCGGCTCAAACGTCTGCTTCTTGTCTCAAAGTACTCTCAATAGACAGTAACTTCTCTCAGCCCTTTTGCCAAAGACGCCAGTAATGTATACAGTAACTATCCCTATATCTTAACTCTATAATTCCATTATAGTAAAATAGCTATAGATCTAATAGTCTTCTATCTTAAAAAAGAGCATTAATAAAACAATAAGATAACAATAATAAGTATCAAAACTATAGGAATTCCTTATTTTTAGATATAACTCTCTTTACATGCTCTTCTATATCTTTTGGCAGCGTGAGACCATACTCACCCTTAGCATAACTAAAGCAGAATTCCACAAGGCCGTGACATGCATGTTTAGACCCAACATACGACCTACCCTTGTACTCTAACGCTTCTAGCTCATAGAAGTAGGCCTCATTAACTTCAAAGAATTGATGTACCACGGCTTCTGTAGGCTTTTGGTTATTCTTAAAGAAAGCCGAAGCAACACATATCTTAAGCACTGCCGCGCCCCCTTTTGTCTGCACGACCTTGTTTTCCTTCTTTGCTACAAGCTCCGGCTGTTTTCCTGGCTCAATATCTTTAGATTCCATAAGCTCAGAAGCAGGAAGCTTATCAGTCTTCTCATTCTTATGGTCTGGAGTCTCGATGAGTTGGAGGTCGTAGAGCGCCAGCAGCTCATCGAAACGTTCCATTATAACGACAACAGGGAGGCGCTGCTTGCGTATCGCTGCCGTCACATCCTCGCGGTGCACCCGCATCTGCTCCTTGGCCTCAGTCTTATCCTTCAGAGACGCAATGCATTTCTCGGAGCAGAACTTTTGTTGCAGATACGCGATTAGCACTGCAACGGAGCGTGAGCGCCCAGATTTACAGTGAATCAAGATATTCCTCCCCTCGCCACTATGCCGCTTAATAAAAGCATTAGTCTCATCGAAGTGGTCGATCAGATTTGAGTTGGCATTGTCCTCGAGTGGAATAATGAGTGGGTACTTCACGACGCTGTTGCTGCTTGTCATGCCATTCTCGTCAGGGAAAAACCTTTGCAGCCCGTAGGAGATGTCGTTCTTGTCCCATGCTAGTGAGTCCTTAGGATGAATGGCAATAACCGCCTGGATATCATTTTTCTCAAGGATCCTCTCGTTAAGCGCATGGTTCATGCCCCCGATAAAAATGCTGCCGGATCCCGTAAGATCTGGGTGAACAATGCGCGTCATATCCGTGATGTCGTTCCGAGTCCATTCACGGATCTCGTGCCAGAACTTATGATGCAGAAAGCCGAGGTCGTCATTCGACGCAAGATTGTCGAGTGCCTGATATGTGGTCGGCTCGTTGGAGGGGTTATGGGTAAATAGCTCGCTCCACTCTGTCGATGGGGTCTGCTTGGCGGTACTGTGCATCATGGTTGGAAATGAAGACCGGGGAGGAGAAAAGTAAACAGAAATGAGGTGTGTATCAGAGAGAAGAGACTCAGACCTGTAGTTTGGAAGCTTATTCGCGAGGGTTGCAGTCTGGGCGGATGCCGTAACTGTAGAAAAATAATAATTAGAATGAGAGTGGGACGTGTTACACGCTGATTGGTTAGAGTGTTATATTACTATATGGAGTTTTCAACTTGCCTTAGTCTTTTATATTCTTTTTTAAAAGAAAATAACTTTTAGTATGTCAAGTTACTTTATTTATTTTATTACATAAACCCATTTAAGAAAAGCAACAAGTGAATTTATTCATTTATGCAATTTCCACTAACTTGTCATCTAGCTATGTCCCCGTAGATGCTAATCTTCTGTCTAACATATCTTGATATCTTCACCATTGCAGATACTCAGGACTCCTGTATTTGCTGGTCCTGCTGTTGAAGAGCTACTAGCTCTCGTTCGGCCTTGGTAACCGGCTCTTTGGGCAGAAGCTCAAAGTACCATGGCGCAACAATCGCGATGACACATCCGAAGCCGCAGGTAGCTGTCAGGGTAGCAAAGCCCACCAAATGCTGAGGAGCGTTGGCGCTGGGCCAGAGGTAGCTTCCATAGATGATGGCCAAGTGGCCAAAAGAGTTGACAAATGCGATGGCGATGGAACGCTTCTGGTCGGGGAAAGGGATCGACTCGCTTGTCCAGTTGAGCATGAGAGGTAGACCGGTGTAGAGTCCGGCGACGAGCAGACACATCATGACATATTTGGCGATGGCAGAGTGGACGAACGCCGAGATAATGCATGCGACGGCGGCCAGACCGTAAAGACCGCAGCTATGCCATCTTCTGTCTTGAAGTTTGTCTGAAGTCCAAGACAGAGCCAACTGGCACACGGCGCCGGTAATCCAGATGGGGACGGTCATCCACTGTGCAGTGACTTTTGTGTAGCCCATTGTCTTGAGAATGGTCGGAACAAAGTATGAGATGGACATTCCAAGGATGACGATACTGTAGGCAATGAGGAAGAACCACGTCTTTCCATCAGTCACAACAGCCTTGAACGCTTGCCATGAGGTCATACGACGGGTCGTGCTGCCGACACTGACTTGTCGATCGACGAGAATTCGAATCTGAGCAAGGCGGCGCTCATCGGGAGAGAAGTAGCGGGCGTTGCGGGGATAGTCTGGCAGGAGAAAGTATAGACCGAAACCACAGAAGACGGTGAGGGCGCCTTCGACGATGAAAAGCCAGCGCCAGCCGGGAATGCCTCGGACTCCTTCAAGAGCTTTGACGATAGCACCGGCCATTATGCCACCCAAAGCGGGGGCGATGCAGCCAGATGTGTAAAAGATACAGAATCGCTTGCCTATGAGAGTGTTAGCAGATTATAAGCGTCGTGATATGGCTGATGCTTACCAATCTCTTTCTTAGTATACCAGCATGTCAAGAGGTAGATGGCACCGGGGAAAAGACCAGCCTCAATACAACCGAGGAAGAATCGTCCGGCAAGGAAGCCCTTGTAGTTCTTGGCTTGTGAGAGGGCAATGACGATGCAGCCCCAGACCCAGACGATAGTTGGAAGGTAAATCGATGGGCGGCATTTGTTCATGATCATGTTGGAGGGGACTTCGCAGAGGAAGTAGCCAACGAAGAACAGGTACACAAGGAGCGAGTAATCTAACGTCTTCTTGTCAGCCGATATGATGATTGGATGTTAAAGCTAGAAGCTTACCGTTGTCTTTCATGTTAAGACTCTCACTCATGCCAGCTGCATTTGCATTCGCCTACGCAAGTCAGTCGTTGCTCATAAGTCACGATCTTGACCAGTAGACTTACAATATTTCCACGATCCAAGTACGCAAGGACATACATCCACCAGAGGCAAGGAAGAAGAGTAAAGTCGATTTTGCGAACAAGGCGTCTTTCCTCCAATGTATCAGGCACATAGTTTGCCAAAGCGATGGTCAGCTCCTCGTCATCAGCCAGAGCATCTCCAGCCTTGATAATCTCGCCATCTGCAAGGTCTTTGGAGACACGTTGCTCCGGGGCAGGCTTGTCCTCGATTTTATGCTCCATCATAATCGAAGTGTAACTTTAGAAGAGGGGGATGATCGAACGCAGCAGACGAGTCAGAAAGATGATATGTCGGGGACCATGTAGCATTATATCTCAATGATCAGCAATCGGGATAGTTTCCCGATCACCGAACATGTTTCGCGATAAAAGACTCGCCTATTGTTTAGTTCATTCCTCTTGATGATAAGCATCGATTCGCTCTGCTCCATACATGCCAAGACTGAAGGATGACTCGTGAGCACAAGGAATCCTTGTACAGTGCGGAACTATAGTGCGGGGTATTCGCTGCTAAGCTTGTTGAGGAAGGGAAACTAAAAGCAACAGATAAGCATAAAATGTGCCGGAGTACAGATATATGACCCGGCTACCATGACTCCATGATGTAAGCTTAAAAGCTAACGGCCGTGGGATGAGAGACAAAGAGATAATAATTACTTAGTTATAGTGAATGGTTAGTAGAGCCTGGCCAGAATAACTCACTGTGATTGGCTCATTGGCTGTAGGGTATCGTTTATCACGAGTTAAGATAATGACTATGCTGTTTACTAAATCTTTATTAAAACACAACTGGACATTTTAAGTGATGTTCTCCTAGTGCCTATTTTCGTGCTCTTTGTACTTCCTGGATTATTTGATACCGACTTCAGCCCAACTCTGGCTAGATAATGATTATGTGGCGCAATCATTATTAAGGCACCTTGAAATTTTGTCCCGTTGATCATCTGTAAGATCTGTAGTATTTTGCGAAGAATGTCATCAGCATTAGTGTAGGCATTTCACATTCTCTCCCATCTATTACTGCAAACTTTAAGGTGGCCACGCCTGCTATCGTGTATACTTACGAGATTAGGCGGTAGATGACGCAGTCAACTTCGGGACGGGCCGGTGCACATGGGACGGCGTTTTGGTTATCCAATTAGCTCTTGTTGTGGATTCGGTATTGGGTCGTGGCTATTTTAAGCCCGTTTCATGAGGTAAAGAAAAGTCCTTCGAATCCAATAATCGAAATACATGCAGATGGAGATTTCAGCCGTGCACGTGATGAACCAACATCATGCTGCAGCCAGCCCCTCATATCATCCCTGTGAGCTCTTTTCCTGCAGTCAAGTCGAGTCACATCATATCATGACAAGCAAGATGGCTTCAACACAACCTCCGAAAGACCGCAATAGCTTCCGAGTGGCAATTGTGTGTGCTCTACCTCGTGAGGCTGATGCCGTCACGCTACTCTTTGACGAATTTTGGGACGAGATAAGTGATCCTTACGGCCGAGAGGACTCAGACACGAACACCTACATCACTGGACGCATTGGGCGACACAACGTCGTCCTGGTAACTTTACCTGGCCCGGGTACAAACAACGCGGCAGCTGGAGCTGCCTACCTCACCTTAAGTTACCGTAATCTCAAGCTCGCACTACTCGTCGGCACCTGCGGCGGTATGCCACGCATCAACGACATGGATGCCTATCTTGGCGATGTAGTTATAAGTAAGACTATCATCCAGTATGACTTCGGCAGACTTTACCCGGGCCACTTTATCATCAAAGACGCACCCGAGGATAGGATTGGAAGAGCAAATAAGGATATACGAACCATGCTGGCATCATTCGAAATGGAATTTATGAGGAAGCGTCTGAAAATAGCTGCTACAAGCCACCTAAGCCATTTGCAAGAGGTTGCGAAGGAACAAGACCGGAAAGCCGAGTATCAATACCCAGGAACAAAACAGGACCGGCTATTCCCCCCGGATTATTCTCACAATCACAGAAAGTCATGCAGCGTGTGTAGCGATGACTCTAACGTCTTCTGTGAAGCAGCTTTCAAATACTCATGTATAGAGGCTGGATGCGACCTATCCAAGTTGATTCCCCGAGATCGTGAAGACGATCTTCCTGAAGGCGCAGATTTCACACCAGAAATATTCATCGGGCGACTCGGTTCAGCGAATCAAGTTGTGAAAAGTGGCGTTGATAGAGATGAACTCGCCGCCAGACATGATCTTGATGCCTTCGAAATGGAAGGAGCTGGTATATGGGATGAGATCCCCACAATGATAATTAAAGGAATATCTGGTTATGCGGATAGTCACAGGAATGAGGCTTGGAAAGACTTTGCAGCCGCTACAGCAGCCTCTGTGGCTAAAGCAATCCTTGGACGATATCCAAGCGGTAATAGTGTTCAGCCTTCGGCCCCTGTCAGCGGTATGTTTTGGTTCTTTTTTATGATACAAAGCTGATCTCCAGTAGGACAACAGGACTTGAACGAGCGTAGCGTCGCTAGTAACTCGCTTTTAAATGCAACATGGAGCAACCAGGGCCATATCGCAGGGGACTTGACATATATGCCTGGGCCGGTTCAGCTGCCTGGAGAGAGCAACGCTACCAATCCTTCTCGCTTTCTATTGGAGCAGTAGTACTGGGTATCCATGAGAAAGACTTCAAGAATTAGCGTGCATGCTCTTGGTAAAGCTTATGTTGTGAAAGGGCATACTGTGTTCGCTGTTATAAAAGCTGTCTACGGTTTAGTCATACGGCTTTCAATTCTTCCTCCTGCTGTTGTTTTGGTGGCTAGCCTTGACCAGAGCTCGCATGACTCACTTATGGTTGAAGGCTGAAGCCCTGAATATTTTAATGGGAGCGAATACTGTATCTAACAGCTAGGATAGCTTTTCTTATCATATCATCCATCTATGGGACATCACTTCCTTGCAAGAGGACAGGGCCGGGCCAGGTTTCAGCCATGTACGATATCCAATTTATATATACGTTGAAGTACTAACACGATCCACCCTCTCATCATCTCCTATACTTCCATAATATGTACCAAACACTCCACATCCAAACCGGCCCCTCCAATCAAGATATCAAGCTCAAGTGTCCCTCATCTGTCTAGTTCCCGACATACTTGACAGTGACAGAGTTGCTGGTGATAGAACCAACAGCCTGAACAGTCTGACCCTGGTCAGGAGAGATATCAATGATCTGAGCACCAGAAGGACCAGAAGTACCCTTGGTTCCAGAAACAACAGCATTTGTGAAAGTGACAGTGCCAAAGTTGGCAAGGTCAACCTGGCTACCACCCTCCTGGAAAGCCTCAACAATCCACTCAGCGTTGGTCTCGCAAAGAGTAGAAGGAGTGTTGGTGAAGCTGTGAGTGACCTTCTGGTTGGTGGTCAAGTTCTCAAGGGTAGCAACACCCTTGGTCTTGGAGGAAGCATCAACAGTCATGCGAATCTTATCGCCGACGGAGACGTCAAAGTTGCTGAAGCTGTAGGCATAGTCGGGGATCCACTCATACCAAGCATCGAAAGATCCATCAGCATAGAAGGAGATACCGGTCTGTAGAATGGCAGTCTGGCAGGTATCGCCATCGATGCCGACCCAGGCAGAAGCAGCAGCGCCGTCGGCACCGCTGACCTCAGGGACGGTGATGGTGCCCTGGACTTTGTTGTACCCGCTTCCGATTTGGACTGCTCCGGCCCAGTTGCCAGAGTACTGGTCGTTCTTGGTACGAGCCTCGGAGTCAAGAGACCAGAGTCTCTGGTTGGGGTGAGAGCTGTACTTGGCTCGGCGGGCAGAGCGAGGGACAACAGGGGAAGTGTCCCTGGGAGTGAGCTTGGTGCCAGGAGCAGCGAGGGCAAGGCTGGCGGCAGCGAGGAAGAGAGTGAACTTCATGATGATGGTTGAGTTGGGAGTGTTGGGCTTGAGTAGATGAGATGAGCTTGATTGTTTCTGATGCTTCTGGATATTCTTTTTCTCTTGGCATTTCTCAGACTTATATAGATTTTTACTCTATAGTATTTCCTATGTGATTTACTATCTATTCCATTAATCCAAATGCACTATTCCTCAAAGCGAAGGTCCTTAACTTCTGATATCCTCTTTGCCGTACTTCCGTATAATCAGCTGCGAAGCCCATGAGTATCTTGAGCGCGGAATAATCCATCACATCTCTATAGCTGCAGTTTCGCAAAACCTCCTACCTGTTCTGGAAATTTCACCATTAGCCCCAGTAGTCGTGTCTATCGGGCTTTATACCACTTGCCTATCTGAAAGGGACCTTTTATAATACCGCTATCACTGATGCAGCCTGGCTTCCGAATGTGGGCACATCTTGGGCTTGATGTGAAATGATTGGAGAGATGTCGAGTCTAAGGCCTGCTTGTAATCAAGCTTGATCTGGTTAATGCGCCGAGGCCGGATGGAAACCGGCATCTCTTACAGCTGTCTGCGGGAGTTGGCGTGATATGCCGTATGAAATGACAGGGGTCCCAATCTCCCGATAACTGCTACGTAACAAGTAATTACACTGTATCTAGGATGTCAATACATATAAAGACCTTCATGACTTATAAAGAGTAGATTTAGGCATTTAACTTAGGTTTTAAAAGATGAACAAAGACCCTGATGATCTTTTGATCTTGACACGACAGTTACATGCATGAACAGACATGCTATTCTGTTATCAGTCGCGATCGGCGCTAAAATCGGCATCTTTATGCCGTGCAACTGCTTCACAATAATTGTCCGTTACAAACACGGCAATGATATGCAACAACCCATTTACTACAGCTAGGTATCAACGATGAACTTTTGTCGCTGCTAAAGATTTCTTATCACATGGGTCTATGCTTTGGTGTTGCGCTATTTTACAAGATCAGTTTTCACAACGGGGACAATCTTTAGGGACATCCGAACTTCCTAAGGGCAGTCTAGCAATAGATGGTTGCCGAAGACGAGATAAATCTCTTGAACGCACGTATTTTCAAAGTCTCCAAATCATTGTAGTCTATAGAGGCATGTTGCTGGTAAGCGCTGCGTATAGGCGGATCATTCGTCGGAATTGTTCTTGGAGGAATTGACTTTCTCAAATGACCTGGTTATAACGCCTTGACACTGTTGTTTATCGTATTCTCACTATCCCGACGCCATAGGAAGTTCTTTTTCCGGCATTGCCTTTTTCACTCAATGATATAGTATAATATCTTCCTACTGATCCCTAATGGATATCACAGATATCTGGGGATCTAGTGAATATATATGGCCCCTTAGCCTGTTTTCCACAGAAGTACTTGCTCCACAAGACTAAACTCTGGGCAGCTAATATAGATAATATGAACACGATATCTTACACCGGGGAAGTAGCCTTGATATAGTCTTTCAGATGAGACATAAGAGCGGCACCATAGCCTTTCACCTGCTCATCGGATGGGACGGCGGAAAAGGCAATCTCAGTGACATGTCGGGCCCGAATTCGTCGAAATGTGATCCTGCCGATGATCTCTTGGGGCTTCTTTACAATAGCGATGGATCGATAGCTAGGATTATTGATGTAACGTTCGATGTATCTCTTGGTATTTCCGGAAATTGATGTTGGAAGAGGCCTTTGAGAGCGTCAAGAACAAGCATATTCTCTTTTGCTCCATCGTTATGGACCAATCGAAATTCTATCTCGCCATTTCGCTCTGCGATAACAGCGGGCTCAGAAACTGTCAGTCTTCTTCCTATTCATTGGGGCGTCGAATCTAACCTTGTCAGGGACATAATCCCTACTAATTGTATCCTAAGGCTTTAGGCATAGCTCTTGAGACTCGTCGGGACAAACTGTATTGACTGTGGTCTCTGGTTCTCGAGAAGCTGAGCACTTCGCAACGATTGGTGTGCTGCAAGGCGGAGACTCTTTGCTATCCATTTGCAATAATTGACAAAAATGCTTTTATATTCGATGTTTAGAAGTAAAAGAACTAACTAAAAGGCAGTCTGAACTATTTAAATGCTGGTCGGAACTCGCAAGCACCTGGCCAACCATGTGACCATACGGAGTTGTTGGTTACCTAATGTTACATAAACCTGCCTAAGGTTGCCTCAGCTCTTGCATACATTTACCTAGGCTTGCCTAAATCTACCTCAAGTTGCCTTGACTTGTCTTAAGTTGTCTAAACAATTAATCGCTATCGACTCCACTATACTGAGAAACTCTCCCTTTCAGCTCATTTACAGCCCTCGTCATGAACATGATATTCCCAGCACTCGACAAAGCATGTGAAAAACCGGCATTGTACGGATCAGCACCACCTTCAATACCAGAAACATGCGTTCCAAACTTCCCAATTACCTTCAACCACTCTTCAACACCCAGCAACGGCGGATATGACCCCGTGACATCAATGCTCTCAATAATGACCCAGACAAGGCAAAAGACCTGCCCACTCGTCGTTATCACGCCACCGATGTTACCTGCGTATTTACTCCAGCAGCGACCAAGGACTGCAATGCCGCCGAAAGCCCAACTGACGAACCGCGGGACGAAAATGCTATCGTCCTTGAGCTTTTTGGCAATAGTTTCATCGCCCTCTTCGATATCCCAATCGGCAAGCTGCACGAATTGAGTCAACCAAATCGCGAACTTCCCGGCGCCCGAGAGGAGGGTAAACCATACTTGTCCCTCGGGCGTGAAGACGGGGGGGAAGGTAACGGCGTTGTACCAAATGTGCCCGCCTGTTGCAACGGCAACATTGAGGATTTTCCCTGTGATTCCTTCCTTGGGCCTTCGTGAACTCATTTTGGCTCTTTTCGAATTTATCGTCTTTCGAGGCCGGCGTGTTACCGCTACGGCCATTGTTCTGTTGTCAGTACGAGCTGTAACAACGCTCTTTCTGTCCGGTGGCTTCATATCCGGGACAGCCTGTGATGCCGAGATTCCGAATACGGAAGCCTTCTGGGCGAATGCCGATGACTTTTGACCTTCCTGTGACTTCTGTGCCTTTATAGGCAGCATCTCAAGCATAGGCTGTGGCTTGCTTCTCGCAATGCGGGTAACCAACTCCCGCTTGAGCTCGTCCGTGCGAGTGTATGCATCAACACCCTTGATATCCAGAGGATTAGACCCTGTAGTGGTCTTGTAAACAAGGGTAGTCGGGATAGCGATGATAAGGCACACAGCATCGAGTACACTCAATTCATTGCCAGTGAGCAACTCGTAAAGAGGTGAAAGAAGGGGAATGTTGATCTCGGCATTGATCTTATCGGCAAGCTCCAAGAACAAATCGCTCAAAGATCCAAGGATACCAGTGATAAGCGAGGATCCGAAAGCGATGAAGTCTTGAGCAAAGTCAAGTCCGACTTGGGAAATGAGATCTCCAACCGTGACATCTTCCTTACCAAGCAGGGCGAAGATGTTTTTGCCAAGCTGAAGTATGAGGGTCTGAATCTTGGCGACAACATCCTGCAGTCGTTTCCAAAGTCGGTCCCACGTTGACTCCCCTTCTTTTCGTGGCCCAACAGCCGCACCGCGGTGTTTCGCGTGGTAAATACCATATTGACCCTGCGGGCTCTGAACCTGCTTCTGGACTTCGTTGTTTGTGGACTTCAACCGCCGTTCTTGGTTGGTTTTGGCAGAAAGAGGGATGTCCATTATTTCTCGCGGAAGTTTCTCTTGATACTGCTTTAGCATTCCAAGTCCAGCTTGTATCTTTTCAAAGAACGCTTGAGCCTTCTCCTCCAATTGCTGAGTTGAATCAGCAGCTAGGAGAATACCCCGAGTCGCAACATTGACAAGAACGTTCTTGACAGAGATTATATCGTACCATGAGAAGATGAAACCGAGCTTCTGCTTGATCCACTCCCATCCATCCGATATAGCTTCAAAAATAGTCTGAATAGCAGCTGCGGCATGCTGGACTGTTTCGATGACAAAGTTCCAGCCTTCTTTGACTTTCGTGACAAAGAAGTTCCATCCGTCTTCAACCTTTGACCAGAGATAGCATAGAGCTCCCCAGTTGCGATCCGGTGCTTTCAAGGTGCTCTGAGACGCGACAAGAACTGGTGACTTGCCCTCGGATATCTCGTTTTTGGTTTTGACGAGTTTCTTCAGGGTTTTGGCAGCACCTTCAAGTTCCTTGTCTGAAACACCTGCACGGATGAACTTCTTGCCATTGTCGAGCTCCAAACTCTTCAGCTTGTCAGGTGAAGAGATTTCATCAATGGTGGTCCAGACCTTAGACATGGGGTCGATGACCTTCTTTGCTGATATAATGCTAGATCCTGAAGCTTCATTTTGAAGAGTAATAGTTGGTGCAGACAGGGCTTCACTTCTGATGACGATGGTCAAAGCACCTTCTCCATCGGTTTGGACCAGGTCTCCCTTAGAAGACCCTCTGATTGACTTGCCATTAACAATCAGTTCGGTTGGTGCAGAACTTTGTTGTTCTTGGGATTTTGGTTCACGGCAAGAGCAGTAACAGTCTAGTCTTCCGGCACGCCAAACTTAGGGCCAAGCCTAAGAAGCTCATTGCGGCCATCTATGCCCATGAGAATTAGGCATAGACTTCCAATGTCGTCAACGCTGAAGATCATGCACTCTCCGTTGTTGTCTAGAGTACCGGAGAACTTCCCTCGGAGCTTTAGGGGACCTGCTGGGAAGGCATTGTCCATGAGCTCACAGCTCGCTGTGATGTTGGCCATAGTGAAAGTGCCTCCTAGGAAATTTGTAACGTGGATAAACTTAGGTGAGGGGGAAGAATGTCTGCTAAGATCCCTCAATCCATTGTCACCGAGCGGGACTTGTAAGTTGAAGACTGACAAGTGCACGTTGCTATTGCATTCGGCAGTTATCCGTTTCAGCTTGTTACTAACAGAGACTTTACGCGTGTGACACCTCTATGAATAGCGCTAATAAACAATAGTCTGAGTGGTACGTCACACAATTACTGGTCTAGGCCTTCGTCTTGCCGCTTTTTCTAACAGGTGAAAGAGGGGTACCTTTAATCTCAATTCAGTTCCGGCCAGGCTCCATGGGTAGTCCAGCCCCAAGACAAAGGATCCTTCGAGAAAGCCAACCAGGCCTGGAACGAGAATCCATTCAACCAGAAGTCCAACACAAGATGGTACGAGAACTTCAAGAACGAGGCGCTGAACAACATGGACTTTGACGTCGGACGCGGTGAGGATAAGTGGACTAGCAATGCATACTGCGTCAACGATATCAGCGCCATCCCCGGCACAGGAACCATCCAGATCAAATCCGACGTCTACAGCCACGGCATACGTGAACTCAAGGGCCTTCTAATCGGCGTTCCCCTCGCCTTTGTGAGAATGTACGCGACATCTCGTATCGGATGGACCACCACTATCACCTTACAAGCTATCGAGAACGGCGGTGGTCTAGACGTCAAAGTCACTAACAACGTCCCAAACGTAGACTGCAGCTTTGACGGCGATTCACTTAGCGTTTTGGATGAGATTCCGCTCTTGAAGAACTTTGCAAAGGATCTGAAGGATAAATTAGAGGCAGCGAAGAGAGCGGTGCTGGGGTTGGTGAGGGATCATATTTCGAAATTTATGATGGCTCAGGATACGGCGAAACAGTTGTCGGATGCGCTGAATGGACAGGGGAGGTTTGTTTTTCCTGGTGGAGGGACTTTTGATATAAAGGATCCGATTTTTAGTAATAATGGGGATGTGTTGATTGGGTTGTCTTATAGGCAAGGGAAAGATGAGTCGGCCTAATGGTCAGGCATGCCTTGGATGTCAAGACATTGTTACGTTTAGAGACTTGATCACGGATCAATGCAGGCTTGGAAATTTTATGTCAATTTATAGTCATTTATCCTATCCAAGACTTATCCCAGGCCAACCATGTCCAGATCATTATTATTGTGCCTGTGCTATCCTTTCCATCCCTCCGATTCTAAGGTATCATGAGTGTTTATTTACTCGTACAGCAATCTATTCGAACTACCACCTGCGAACAATGGCACGACGTCCCGGATATGTAGGTGCCACTGTGGCGTTCTTACCCGAGACTCCGCCCGAGGGTAAAAGAACTGGGATATCAGGATGCTGCAGGGCTTCGGCTTCAGCGATGGGCATCTCTCCAGCGCCTTCATGAGGTTCCGCGGGCTGAGGTGCGGCGGGATGCTCAGCCACAGGAGCCTCGTGGCCCATTGTTGCTATTGGTGCGGCAGGATGTTCGGCAGCGGGCGCTTCGTGGCCCATCGTCGCGACTGGCGCTGCTGGGTGCTCAACGACAACGGGCGTCTCATGAGCTGGTGGTGCTGGGGCTGGTGCAGCGGGATGTTCGACGACAACCGGTGATTCGTGAGCTGGAGGCGCAGCGGGTTGCTCAGCTACGACAGTCTCGTGAGGCGCTGCAACTTCCTCGGCTGGTGCGTGTTCAGGTACTTCCACGACAACTGTCTCGTGTGGTGGTGCTTCATGGGCCGGTGCCTCATGAGCGGGCTGTTCGATGACGACAACAGGATGCTCTTGGGGAGCTTCGACAGGATGAGCGGTAGGTGGAGCAGCGACGTGCTCGGTGACTGTCTGGATGACAGTAACATGCACTGGCTTCTCGACCTCGACAGTATGGACAACCTCAACAGGCTTCTCGACCTCGACAGTATGGACAACCTCAACAGGCTTCTCTACCTCAACGGTATGGATCTGCTGAACGGGTTTCTCAACGACCTGAGTATGCACCACTGTGACGGGTACTTCAACCTGGACTGGCTTTTCGACTTCGACCACTGAAGTATGGACAACTGTGTTCTCAACCACGGATGTATGAATGACAGTCACTGGCTTCTCAACGGGTACTTCAACGGGTTGAGTATGAATGACTGTAACTGGTACCTGAACTGGCACCTCAACTGGCTGAGTGTGGATGACTGTGACGAGCTTCTCGACCTCCACGGGCTGTGTATGGATGACGGTGACAGGCTGCTCAATCGTCTGGTGAACGACAGAGGTCTCAACGACTGTCACGGGCTTCTCAACCTCGACAGGTACAGTGTGAACGACTGTAACTGGCTGCTCAATGGTCTGATGAACAATTGATGTTTCTACCACTGTAACAGGCTTCTCGACCTCGACTGGCTGTGTATGGATCACTGTAACGGGCTGCTCGATGGTCTGGTGTACAACAGATGTCTCGACAACTGTAACTGGTTGTTCAATCGTTTGGTGGACAGTTTCAACAACTGTGACTGGCTTTTCGACCTCGACTTCGACGGGCTGGGTGTGGATAACTGTGACGGGCAGCTCAACTGTTTGGTGAACAACAGAAGTCTCTACCACGGTAACGGGTTGCTCGATCGTTTGGTGAACCGTCTCGATGACTGTAACGGGCTTCTCGACTTCTTGGTGGACGATTGAAGTCTCGATAACTGTGACTGGTTTCTCGACAGGAACATGCTGGACCTCCGTCACGGTCGCATGCACTGTCTCCGTCTGGTGTACAACCTCAGTCACATGAACAGTCTCGTGAACCGTCTCATGGACTACCTCCCCAGGTATCGTCACATGCACAGTCTCATGCACGGTCTCATGAACAGTAACAGGCTCGCATGCCACCGGAGCAGCCTCCTCAGCAGGAGGATTTCTTCGAAAGAACGACGGAGAAGCAGTCGCCAGACCAGCAAAGGCAGAAGCAGAAATGATTGTTGAAAAGTGCATGGCAGGCCAGCCTCAACGACAGACTCTTGATTAAGGATAAGCGATTAGGAAGGAAAGTCGACTCAGCGATACCAGATCGCGCGGTTGATATAAAATAAAATGAACGGCAGATAATAAATTAAAGAAACAAACGACAAAAAAGAATCGAATGGGATGACACAAACACGCTCCAGGCGGAATTAGAGCGAAAAAAAAAGAGAGTGTAAGGGAGAGAGGGATGAAAAGATAAAAAAGGCTAAAAGCGCGGGAAAAGCGAGGTTTTTCTTCGTCTTGGCCATGATGTTTTGGCGTCGTATTCCTTGGGGGATATGAGACGTGGCTGTTGTTCGGCCGCTGTTCAATCCGCCCCAGAATGTCATGATTCTCGTGCCTCATTCCCAGCTCGGAAAGTTGGCACGCCGCAGGGAGCGGTGTTTGGAGGAGGCATCTTGGCGATAGACACTGTCTCGGCATTGATTCAGCTCCCCCTGCCGCTATATCAAGCATAATAGTGTTGGGTTAAGCTTAAGAGGCATAACGTTAAGTCAGTTAACCTTAGGGCCCCTCCCCTGTTGTGAAACCGCTGCATGGGGGTTCATGGCGGGCTTGGCGACCTCCTGGCCGGTGTTTCCTGCAGCGGAAGACCAAGGTCCCGGCCTTGGAGACCCCGTTTCTTCGTTTCAGCCTTGTTACCACATTTTCTCTACAAGACATGGGAGAGAAATGACTGATTAAACGAACTTGGGATGAGTTGGCTTCTTCACCAGCGTTTTGGGTTAGCTGTCAAAGTCTCATCTTGACTATCCTGAAACGAAACCCCGCCAAGTCTTGTATCACGGATCTTGCGGCAGGAGAGTCGTCAATTGACGTAAGATAAATAGTCTTGGGAGTTACTTGCGAAGGATATTTTCTTTTTTTGGTGAGCTGTTCGTAGACTGCAGTTCTTGCGAGTTTGGATTGGGCTTGAGTTAACGTGAGTTAGGTTGTTATCTTATCTTGCCGTGCTTATCTTATCGTGATGCCACTTCAGATCATCCTTAGGGGTAAACAAGTGCGGCTGAGTCTAGTCAGTTCAGCTTCAGTTAGCATGCTTACTCTTGCGATATTAAATCATCTGTAATACTTCGTAATAATACATCACCAGCAGTTTACAGAGGCTTGAAGTTCTGCTACTCGAATCCAGGTCGTACTCTCATCTCCTGGACTGCTGCGGTGATTACTCACGTCAGCAACTACCCTATTTCTGCATTTACTGTGGCATACAATATCTCGTGAACAACCGTGACGCATTCTCAGCATGGCCATCGAGACTCCCTTGGTTCAAAGGCCTTTTTCCTGTTTGGTTCACCTCTCTGGAATTCCACTGGATATAATCCTCCAACATCTCGATCTTACATCCTTCGTCAACTTACGTCTTACCTCACGCCAGCTATCCACTAACACCATCCGCTCTCGTTTCTTCAGGTCGGCCAAGACCGATCTATCATTGAAAAGCCTGCGCTCTCTCCAAGATAGAGTTTCTCACCCTCAGCTGGGGCATCTGCTCAGAGAGCTGACTATTGTTGCAACGCTATTTGATTCTCAACCAGCCGAAGCCACTGTGCAAACTAGAAAGAAATGGTCTGGATTTAACAGGGACGATTTGTGGCGTGACACAGAGAATTATCGGCAACGTGTTGAAAATCTGCGCGAGAGAAACCTGGATTGTACCAACGAGGAAGTTCAAGAGGCGAAGGAAGATCTTGATTGGGTACAGACAAGAATCCAACAAGACACAAACACAGGAGTCAGTCAAGTCATTGACTTACTGTCCGGTATTTTTGGAACTGCTCCCAATCTTCGAATCATCGACCTAGATGCCTGTATTATCGCAGATCGTACCACTAATTGTCGCCCTGCTAAACATTATAAATGGTATCGATCCGCTCACCAGGACTCAAGCTGGCCCTCAATCTGGACCGCAGCATCGCAAACCTTCCGCATCGTCACCTCAGCCATCTCCCGCAGCAGAATTGAGCTTGAAAAGTTCCAGATCTTCCCCCACACGCCGCTATGCAGTGTGCAGCTCAGACATGTTGAAGATCATTTGAGAACACTGGACTCGGATGGTTTCGCAACTGCTTGCAAAAACATCAAGTCTTTTGGGCTGAGCTTCTCAACGCGTATGCTCATCGAAGGAGCACCGCCTGGCCAGGGAGAGTGTCTTTTTCGTCATGCTTTCGCAGCGAAGCGTTCATACAGGCTTAATCAACATCTTGAGTCTGACGCAGAAGATTTCACTGGCGCAGCAACAATTCTCAAATACATGCCCAATATCACGTCATTGGATCTTCATCTTCACCATCTAGATCATCTTGTTCTTCCAAAATACACCAAAGTTTTCTCTCATATTAGCCAGAACATCAAACTTAGTCATCTAAGAGAGCTTTCTCTGCGCGGTCTTCCTCTACGACCAGATGACCTTATCGTCTTCTTAAAAAACCATCCTACTATTGCAAAGCTGTTTCTTGATGGCATACTCCTAGTGGGTGGATCATGGTCACCTGTCTTTTCATGCATCGAGGCTATGCCTGCCTTGGACAGTCTTCGGCTCAGCTCCCTTAGCACGGAACATCACCATATAACGAATCTCGATCCAGTAGAGCGTACTTTTGAAGTCGACCTGCAAGATAGAGAGAAATGGGTTACTTGCGGTGACGGACATATCCTGTATTCACGGGATATGTACAAAGAGGAGATTAGACAAGGTCTTAATTTTAGACCTCAGCCCGGACCTCGTAATATCTGGAAGGATGATACGTTGGCGTACTATGACCGTATTCAGTATGAGTTTGGGCCTCCTTCGCTTATATGGGAATGGGAACCATTGACTGAGAATATGTAGATGCGTTGTTGATTCATTATGGCGGGGCCAATAGAAACCCATTCAGGTGGGAAAGACTTACCCTAAATAGAAACTGCAATGATATATTACTTGAGTAGGACTGGGAGTAAGTTATATAAAAGGAATGGTGATGAGCTTAAAATCGTGAGATAATTATTACCTTGAGTAAAAATGTTCTCTGGAATTGCTACGAAGTGAGGCGTTGAAGTGAAGTCATGATCAGCGCCTGTTGAACTGTCATTAGACATTTTAAGGATGAAATGCCGAACCTGCTTTGAGACCGCGATGTAATTAATGCTTTCTCATCGGCGAAGCCTGAAAGATACAAAGTCATGGTAGATTCTCAAGGGCCAATCTATAATCTTGAACTTGGGTACTACTGAAGCATCTGTTGGTCGTTGGTGCTAAAGAGCTCCGGGTATTGCGACGGAAATGCGGTAACCAGGGTGATGATTTTGAGTTTGTTGAGTGCGACGCGTTTCAGGCATTCACAGTGGGAGGACGTTTTGCTAACAGTGCAATTGTCACTGCCGTGCAAGACATTAGATCACGGTCAAATCGGTAGCAAATATCGTCAATCAATATACATTGTTCAAGGAATGTCTATAGTCTAAGTCTAAGTCTACTTTTTAATCGTATCTCGTCAAAGACGACCAGTCGCACTCAATCGATTCAAGTGCATCGCCCTCCGTAAACATAAAGATCGTTTCGTGAATGTTGGTCTTGGATCGTTCATGTGCTAAACCGGTAGCAGCGCTGCGCGGTGGTCTTTCTCTTCTCTTCTTTACTGGCGGGTGTTGATTGGAATTCGAGTCTCATTGGAATCTAACATCTATGCCTTAGCTCCTGTAATATTACAAATCTTAGTCAAACAAATGCTCATTTTGCGCTGTCCACGAATGGTTCCAGGTCCTTTGTTTATTCAGTCCTGGGTCGCTTCCGGGACTCACCATTCTCTCCCTGCTCCGAAAAGTACTCCAGGCTTCCCTTGGGATCAGCCTTCATGGTCTTTCCGCCCTCCTGCCACCCGGCGGGGCACACCTCGCCGTACTCGTCGGTGAACTGGAAGGCCTTGACGAGACGGATGGTCTCCTCGACGTCGCGGCCGACGGGGAGGTCGTTGACGGTGATCTGGCGGAGAACACCCTTGGGGTCGATGATGAAGAGGCCGCGGAGGGCGATGCCCTCGTCCTCGATGAGGACGCCGTAGCTGCGCGAGATCTTGGTGGACTTGTCGGCGACGAGGGGGAGCTCGAGATCGGGGCCCAGACCGCCCTGCTTGCGGGGCTTCTCAACCCACGCGAGATGGGTGAAGTGGGAGTCGGTGGAAACGCCGAGGACGGTGGTGTTGATCTCGCGGAAACGGTCGAGGGCGTTGTTGTACTGGATGATCTCGGTAGGGCAGACAAAGGTGAAGTCCATGGGGTAGAAGAGAAGAACGACCCTACAGAGTCTGCGTCAGTATAACCCATCCAGGTCCTCAGGGGGGCCGTCAATCGTACCATTGTCCCTTGAAGTCAGAGAGCTTAATGTCTCTGAACTCGCCTCCGGGGAAGAGGGTAGTAGCCGAGAAGTCGGGAGCAGGGCGCTGAACAAAAGCTGAAGACATGTTGATTGATTTGGTGAGGTTGATTGTAAGAATCTAGAGAGTCAAAAGAAGGGGAGGAAAAAAGGTTTAAAAACGAGAAGCTTCGACAGAACGCGACTAAGAACCGTCTCAGGAAAAAGCAATCACTGTGGAGCCCCGTTATCAGGGGTCATGGAACAAGGTGGAAATCATCAAATTTTAGCGCCATATTAGCTGATGCCACTTATCAGATACTTGGAAGCAATTGAGCAAGTAAAGTAACTTTATGTAATTAGTGCTATTCACTCACGAATGCTTGGGCGCATTTCTGATGGCGGTGACGCAAATGTGGACTGACTTTATCTCTAGACGGTGTGAATGCCGAAAAACGCGTTCCAGAATCCACATGTAGAAAGAAAAAAACACGTGAGGTACCTGCGGAGACGACGCAATTTGATTCCAAACCTTGAGCGCCAATCAAAGCTTATCAATCGTATCCATTTATATCCGGCCGGCTTCGGAGTCTCTCGGTTCGGAAAACCGAGCTCACCCTACAACCATCTTATCAGTTGCGATATCGCTACATTCTTTGGAATCTGATGTTGATCATGATTGTTTTATTAATAATCTGATAAAAAAGAAAATCTAGTTTTTTACTCCGTTGCCGTTCTTGGTGCTCTTTGTGGCGAGGAGATTGGCTTCGTGGACTATGTCTGACATGTCGGCGAGCGCTAATTGCGGACTCAATGCACAAATTCGCAGTGCTACTTTTCCTCTAACCTTGGTGGTTAGGATGCCAGCTTTGTTACTTGAGATGAGACTCTTTGAGATACCGGTGTTGATAGTCTCAAGCTCATCTTCGTTCAAACCCTCAGGCGCATAACGGAATGTTATCACGCCCAAGCTGGCAGAGCTAACGATTTCCCAGTCAGGTAGTTTTCTCAACTCCTCTTCCGCCCTCTCAGCAAGATCGAATCCATGATCAATCATCTCCCCAATCCTCTCAACACCAATGACCCTCAAGGTAAACCACAACTTCATAGCTCGACTCGCAGGCCTCGTGAGCTCCATGCTGTAGTTCCAAAAGTTTGGAATATCCTCATCCTCAATCGCAACACCATCGCGAAGATAATCTCCCTCATTCGCAAAGCTTCTCACGAGGTTGGACTTGTCCTTTACCAAGAGAAGACCGCAGCTGTATGTTTGGAAAAGCCATTTGTGCGCGTCCCATGACATGCTGTCGGCGTACTTGAGTCCATCAACTGTCTCGTGGCGTGTCGCGGATAGAGTTGCTGAAGCACCGTAAGCGCCATCGACGTGCAGCCAGATCTGTTCTCTCTTGCAAATCTCCGCAATTTGGGGCAAAGGATCAATGGCTCCCGTGTTTGTTGTTCCACAAGTCCCAACCACCAAAAACGGAACAAGACCTGCCTTGCGATCATTCTGAATCGTCTGCGCCAAAAGAGCCGGATCAAGCCTGAAATTCTCATCTGCAGGCAATCGCCGGATCTGCTCCTTATCAAACCCAAGCAACCTCATAGCTTTCGCAACAGAATAATGCGTCTGGTCCGAAAGATAAGCAACCGCCTTTCCTGTTTCACCATGTGGCACGAAGCGATCCCTCGCAAGCACAATCCCCATCAAATTCGCCATCGAACCACCCGAGACACAAATCCCCCCTGCACTCGCCGGAAATCCAACCCTCCCCGCCAACCACTCAATCAACGTCTTCTCAATAACAACAGGTCCTGAAGCCTGAAGTTTCGAAGCACCGAGTGCGTTGAACGCACTGGCTACTATGTCGCCTAGCCAAGCGACTGGTGATGTAGGCGAGGGGATGAAGCCCATGAAGCGAGGATGGTTGACGCGCATGCGGTGGTCGAATGCGGTGAAGGCTTCTTGGAGGACTTGGTCGATTGAGTGGGCTTGACCTGGTGTTCCTATCTTTTGAAGGTAGGGAATGTCTGAGGGTTGGGCGACTTTGATGATAGGGTCGTTTTGGACATCTTGGGTTGTTGAGGCTAGACGTTGGGTTATGGATTGGAGTGCTGAGCAGACTGCTTCGAGCTCGTCGTTGTGATGAAGAGAACCCATGGTGAAATGATGCAGAATAGTGTGTTTATGCCCTCAATTCGAAATTTCACCAAGGTCTTCTTAAATATTTACATCCATAATGTCTCCATTTTTGTATTCACATATATCTCCATCGACCAATGTTACGCCCGCGCCCTCTATGTCTAGATCAGTGGGGCTATTCGTTCACCTTGGCATGTCAATCGTGCGCCTTTCGATAAATCTGTAGATCCTGTCAGCATTTCGCAAATACTTAGCTGTCATAGGCTGGGAAACTTGAAACTAGCGACGTTGGATTATCTGACAAGGTCCGTTTGCCGTTTTGGGCAATTTTTGGAGAGTTTCGGAAATCCGAGATCTGCTGATGAAACGATTTCTAAGCTTGAATGGAGTATGGATGTCAATTGACGGAATATCCAGAAGTGGCGAAGGTATTGTTAGCGAGGGTGACACGTTGTAGCCGCTTGATAGTTGCACATGTATCGCGATCACGGTGACAATCTCAAGGCGTATGGTGGGTCTTGTACTAACTATTACCCTGCTTTGCCAGCCATGAGCGATTTGGTAAAGGGCTCAATCAGAGGAATCAGAGATCATACAACGTTGTTCAGTTGACTGTACCTGGCACCAAGAGAACGACCGTCTCGAGCCCTCAAGTGTTGTTTCACCAGTCAATTCTGATTGGCTGAGCGGCCCTCAGGTATCTATCAGGCTGCAACCTCACTTCTTCTCTTCTGTGTCCTCCAAGACACAGCGAATGACACTTGAAGTCGTCTCTATGCCCACTGCATTTGCGACTTCTGCGTACTTGTAGCTTAAATGCCACCTAAGCTGAGATATGTCCGTATGGACATAGATGATCGCGCTTGGGAAAGAAATGACACTGAGCTTGAGGAATGGGAACGATCCTTGAATAAAGCAACAATCTATCGCGACATCGCAAACTTCATCACGATGCATCGCCCCGGGAAGGCTGTGGAACTACATGGACCCATCAAGGGCGGCTATAATGTCTTCTATCGATTGGAGTATGATGATGAATCCTCTATTGCTCTTAGAATTCCCAGTCCAGGTATTTATGTTCTCCTACTACAAGGAAAGTTCAATGGTATTTCTAATGTATTATTAGCTACTAGATTTCCAGATGAGAAGGTTCGGTACGAGGTCGCCACAATGAGATATGTCGCTGCCAATACTACTATCACAGTGCCCAAGATATACCACTGGGGAACCTCGCAAGAGAACCCCTTGGGACTTGGCCCATTCATGATCATGGAGTATATTGAGAATGAGACAACTTTGTCTCAAGCCCTCAACAATCCGACACTAGATCCGACTGATTCTCACTCACTTGACCCCAACATCAGTGACGCGAGGCTCGAATTTCTGTATCGGCAGATGGCAAACATTATTCTCCAACTCTCAACCTTGTCTTTCCCAGAAATTGGGTCCTTGGTTGAAAATGACGAAAGGAACATATCTCTATGTGGAAGGCCACTCATGCAGAACATGAATTCCATTCTCGATCTCACCGGCTCACTAGAAAGTCTACTACCCGCCCAAGGCTAGGTATTCGCCACGTCAAAGAAGTGGTATTCTTCCATGGCCGACATGCACTTAATTCAGCTATCCTTTCAACAGAACAATGCTGTTGAAGATGAGGATGATGCGCGCGATAAGTACGTTGCTCGCCAGCTATTCCGGAACCTCGCCTCAGAAGGACGTCTAGACTCCAAGTCAAGCAACGACGACTATGGTACTAGCTTCCGTCTCTTCTCCGAGGACCTGCGACCATCTAACGTCTTAATCGATAAGGATCTTAAAGTTGTTGGTGTTATCGACTGGGAGTTTGCGTATGCAGCCCCAGCAGAGTTTTCCTTCGATTCTCCCTGGTGGCTTTTCTTAGAGTACCCAGAGTACTGGCCAGGCGGATATGAGAAGTGGATGGAAGCATACGAGCCTCGCTTTGATACCTTAATTACTGTCTTGCGGGATGAAGAGAGGAAGCTTAAGACTCAAAAAGCTGTCGAAAACGGCCTCAAAGACCTTGACGTCTCTGATAATGAGCCACTGTCACTTTCACAGAAAACGCAGAGAAGTTGGGCAAGCAAAGAGTGGATGATTAGGTATTTAGCGAGAAATATCTGGGCCTTCGATTTCATCTATTGGAGATATTTGGATCCTGTGTTCTTTGGCAACAATGAAGATGGTGATTATCGGGCGAGACTTGCCAATCTGAGCCAGAAGCAACAAGATGCTATGGAGCCTTTCGTTAAGTTCAAGATGAGTCAAGAGAAGGAAAGAAAGCTGGTGCAGTGGAGTGAGGAAGATGCCAGAGCTGAACTTTGCAAGATCCTAGCATAGATAAAGTGAGAAGCCTGTTCCGTTGCATCCATATACCTGCAGTAGTGATAGTCAATTATTGCTGATAGGGGCTGTGCCAATCTGCACCCAAGAGTCATTGTCGGTACTCCATCCTTTCTCCTGCTCTATCGCAACCATCCTCTCCAGTAACAAGACATCCTCCGAAGCAGGCGGCTTACGCCTGTTCTCAACTCCAACAGCCTCCACCTCCGCCTCAACCCTAAACTCCCTAGCCTCGATTTTGAAACATGTTATCCATCTTTTCACTTGTTGCATACCAGCAATGATAATATGTGGCTATGGGGGGAATCCCAAAATACAGTTACTTATCTTATGGGCGCCGCTCCTATATACTTGCTGAAACTTCTCATCAGACCTATTCATCTGTTGGGAAACTTCAAGTTTGCAAGAAACTGCGCCCAAGGATCCCACCATCGAAAGCCAGGCATATGACATTGCACAAACGCCAGTGGGCTCAGATTAACATGTTTAGGGACAGTAAGCAGCAATTAATCTTTGTAAACTGGCGAATCATGTCTGATAATACCTATGAACTCCGACGGTTCTATGTACACTATTAAAGTTCCGAAAGAAGCAACTCGTGAGAACTAGGTCCATGCCCGCATGATCCCGGAGTGAAAAACTCCGAAGTGCACAGATGTCTATCGAATCAGAGGCGTCGCTGACCGAGCATGTAAGGATCCGAGGATCCGAGGACTCGTAGATCGACGGGGAGATGTCCGGAAGGCGGAGGCCCGCTAAATCCTATTGATCCCCCGCCATTCGTATACGCTCCTATCGGCAGGGAAGGAAACAGGAATGGGAAACTTGATGCTCCATGCTTTCTTTGTGAATTGATCATGGGCCTGGAACCCCCACGCTCTGAGTATTCAGCTAGTGCTGACTCTACTGAGGTTAACCCAATCCCGCGGTGATGTCTATACTTAATCAAGAGTATAATTAAGACTAAAATCTTAACTTGAAGCCTAAATACTGCTGTTATCTCTAATTTTGTTATATATGCTTGTTTTGTGAGAATAACTCGCTGGCCTGTCAAAATAATTGTAATGGGTGTTACGATGAGTTTGAGTTATTGACGTAGCTCGAGTAGCTGTCGTAACTCTTCTAATGTCGCCAGAGAAACATAAGCTGTGTTGGAACACAAATATTCTCCGGGGCCGGAAAACCTTAACCGCAATAGTCCGCAACACGAGACAGAACAGGATCCAATTGTGATAAAGGATTTCAAAGTACGTCATCACTGACCAGGTTCCTTTATTGGAATGCCGCTGTGCCAAGTAAACGTTCTGACAAACAAGCTCTTGTCATGGTCCTATGCCTTCGGGGCCAGCTCTCGGACTCTTGACCCAGCCCACCAAGTTCAGCGAGTGTAAGCTTGGCCAGCCTTGCGTCTGGGGTACCCAGCGGTCCGGACAATGTCATTTCAAGCAATTGTCGCTATCCATCCGTCACGGCACTACCGTAGGACAGGACTTCAGTCCATCTGTAGCCTGTGGACAATTATCTTCGCTTCGCTGGGAAGGACCAAGCTCAGAGACGATGCTTAAGGTTCAAGCAGAGAGCTACGATGAATACACTCTAACTAGATTGACTCTAAACAAGGAAAACAGTCATAGCGGGTAGCTGTTACTTGGAGATTACGATGCCTGAAAATTGTTCAGGTTCATATTGAGGATAACCAGGATGATTTAAGGACTAGTTTTCTTACTGTGAAGGAGAATACTACAAGAGTCATACAAGTATCAGCGCATCCGGCCCGCTGGACAACAAATCACTGGGGCGCAATGAACCGTATCACATTAATCACTTTGTATGAGCCATATTCACTCTGTCTTGAGGAACCTTTGATTGTTACAATGAAGGATTGCTGACAGGCAGCCGGCACCTTATCGTTTCTTGGCATTAAAGCCCGTGCTAGACAAATGCCCAAGTCAGGGAACGAAGCAGTTCTTCAAATGTGCAGTTGCTTGCCGGATATCGAGATCAGACGCTGCACTGCACTTCGGGTAGCAGCCAATAGGGACTCAAGGTCATTGGTAGGAAGCGGGCCGTAATACTGCCAAGGATCTCGATGTCGAATGCGGGTATTCAGCTCCGTGTAGATCCCTTCCATTTGTAGCTATGTAGGTCTAACCTTGTACTTAGTTGCAGTCTGCTTACTATAGAAACTTATTCCTTGAGATCACAGCATGACCAGTCTACCCCAAGGCAAAGTATTTGTCATGACAACTGTGAAAGGATTTCACCGCGTTGCTCTAATCTGCTCCGTGCCGAATGAGGGCTGAGACACGATGATCATACTCTTCCTTCACTTCCAAGTTACCAGCGAATTGATATCTTAGGGACTATAAATATATGTTGACTTCCCGCTACTCTTGTCTAATCAACAAACATTCCAAATACACCTTCAAAAGCCAAAGAAACAAGGCCTTCTTACCATCTTTCCTCCTCCCAACAGCCACGATGATTTCGGTAAGTACTCATACTACTCTAAAGTCCTCAAGATCCTAATTGTATAAAACTAACATTACTAGCTCCGTTCCACCTTGACCCTCCTCTTTCTTCCAGCTCTAGCTGCAGCCGGCAATGTCTGTCTCGGTGTCTTTGCTGTAGCTGGTCTCGGCGATGCTCCCCCTGACGTCTACTACGTCGCCTTCGCCGCAGGATCGCCTTGTGACGAAAGCCGATCTGCCATGTTAACCGATACTCTAAACGAGAACTGGTGCTCTATCTCCAATCGCGCCCCACAGTTCGACATGTGCGGCGGCACGGCCACCATCTTCAATGCTGGAGAGCCTATTGGCGATGATGCGGACTTCAATGACTGCGGTGCGAAGTTGAGCATTAACGGGGAGGAGTTTGATGGAGAGGTTCTTGAGGAGCTTGCAGAGGATAACCCTTGTAGTGCCACTTGCAACAATGGTATTGCTTTTGGTAATATTGGTGGTCTGAGACACTATGTTGGTGTGCCCATGTGTGACTAAGGTTAGACTGGCATAATCTGGGAATATCAACTTGGTGGTTGAAATAGCTTGCAGATAACTATCGCAAAATACAGTTACCTTTATCTAACAGAGATATGTAGTCACGGAAGAGCACTCTGAGAATAGCAGAATTTGTCCTTAACTTGTGAGTGGCCGTGTGAGATTAAGGCCGGATTATATGTTTTAGAGCATCGAAATACTCAGACGGGTTTTCAAGACGGCTTGCATTAACAGTAATAACCCTTATTTTCAGTTCAGCATCTTAGTAAGTACCTGAGTATAAGCTCTTTGCGCTCTGAAGCGGGTGAGTGAAGCTCAACAGGGTCTAATAGAGCCTTTGAGCTCAACAAATTTCCAACCTTAACTCTACCCTCGGTTGCTTGGAGCTTGTTAGAGATCTTGAATTTCGCAGGCTGAAATAGTGGCCTCTCAACTTCAAGTAAAGGCTTTCACAACTAGGGGTCTGCGACCGCCTGTCTTGCTTCGCCCTGTTTGGGTCGCCGTGCTTCAGGAGGTATGTTCCACTCTCTTCAATTCCGAGGAATGGAAACTCCGCTAGCACGCAGAGGCTTGAATTCAGCTTGAGAATCTTCTACGCTCTATCCCACGGTCAAAGAGTGGCGGCTGGCTGGATGGCCTGGATGACCACCTATGCATGAAGAATGGGTGTTTACGCACCTGAGTTGCCTCGATCTATGCCTCAGGGATGAAGAAATAGCTAGTCTAAAGTCCACTAAATACATATTGAAATTACCCAAGTATTTGTACTATTTAGGATAGACGTCTTAAGTTTCTTGCCTCCCCTAGGGCCGGTTTGTCTGGCGCGTGAACTCATTGCGCTGCGCAATGAGATCAAAAGGCATCCGCCAGAGTTCATTTCGACTTCCGGACTTGCTTCTACAAAGCCCATCTAACTGAGACTAGTGCTCAATCCAGCGTTGATAATAAATAATTAATAGTAGAATTAAGCTTTGGCTCTTCCATGTCATCTGAGGATGACTTCACATGTTGATCAATGACGTATTATTGATGACAATATGTGGTAACAAAGTGGAACAGTTAATTACTCATTCGAGAAGTACTTGTCCCCAGAAACACTCCTCAACTAATCACTATATTCAACAAGGTCAATTTGAACTACAAGTCACCATGTCAGGAAGCGCACCCAATGATGCCGCCCCCGGCGGTCACTCTCGAGACCTGGAACAGACCCCCCTCGATGCAAATCAACATGGGCAGGCCCAGTAAGATTACCTCAGTGGTCCAATATCCTGTTGTGCGATTTACTAATTGTAATTAGGAATATTATCGACGAGACAAAGGATACCGGTGGCCAAGTTGTAGATGCCAACGTCGGGGCCAGCATTGATGCAGCAAAGTCCGGAGGCCTCTCCAGCCGTGTTGATGATATCTTGAATCAGCCCACCAAAGGACGCGTTCGTGGAACTTTGTCAGCACAACGTAAGGCATCGGAGATTGATGAGAAGGGCTTCAAGGTTGGAGAAGAAGGAGACTTGCATAACTTGGCTCACAGCAAACAGCCTTGAGCATCATCGGAGTTCATCTCAACAAAAATAATCAGGGTTATTTAGCTGCTTCAATATTATGCATAAGCACAGATTGTCAATTACTTTCACGGACTGCCTTTATCTGCTGTCAAGTCGCTTGTGACGTCCAATTCATAGACTAAATGACTCAACTACCCAACCCATCAGCCTAGAAATCACCATGGAGCAACAGTGCTAATGCAGAGCGAAAATCGTGATCGAACGGGTAGTTCATTGAGTGACAGATAGGACACAGATTCACATACCCCAAAGGGCAAAAAAAGAAAGCGTCGCTAACGCTCGCAATCGAATATAGGAACAGCCCGATGCGGGGGTCGAACCCGCAACCTTGAGATCGCGTACTCGTAAGAGTCTCACGCTCTACCGATTGAGCTAACCGGGCGTGGCTCTTAATTGTTGAGAGAGGCTATTCCGATTGGTCTCCATGTTGGCTGGGTGCTTTGACTGGACGCAACGGCTTCCTTTTGTCGATTTGTCCAGGCCGGCAATACGTCAAACACTCATGTTCAGCACTCGATCGCACGTTCAGTCTCTAAGTGCATCAATGGACATGACGTGGTGAGCAATTAATTCACGACAAATACAGTAAAGTAAGGCAAATCAATCATCTCAACATTCATCACAAGACACTCTAACTCGCTTCTGGATTCATCAAAGCTCATCATAAATTCCAATAAACACGGTTGCAAAACTCAAACAGTAAAGCGGAACCTTGGGTTTCGCTCACCCATAGACTCAATCTCCTCCTCAGTCTTACCCTCAAGCAAGTAATCCTGTTTACCCTCATCACGAAGCTTGTTCTGTCGCTTGAAGTGCAGATGAAGAACAATGTTAAGGATCAATGAAACAACAAGCATTCCCATGCTAGCACCATAGCCAGGGCGGTAGTGAGGAGCATACTGGCTAGAGAACAGGAAAGGAGATGCGACACCAGAAGCGTTACCGATGGTCAGGTGCATACCGGTTGAGAAAGCTCGCTTTCCGTAGCGGGGGTTGTTGGCGGGAACCCAGGCGAAGGAGATACCGGATGAGAGGAAGATGCCGATAGAGACAAAACAGCAGCCTGCGTATGAGACTGCAGCGCCCTTGCCTGCGATGAGCATGCCGTAGCCAATAATGGCGGATCCGATGCCCCCCATGACGAAGAAACCTCGCTTCTGAGTCATGTCACTGAGACGAGCGCCGATGAGATAAGTAATGGCTCCGATGGCGTAGACAGGCACAGTCATAGCCTGGACCTCAGCAGAAGACCAGGTACCCATAGCCTTGACGATGGTAGGAAGGAAGACAACGAAGGAGTAAAGCATAGCAAGAGTGGGGAAAAGAGCGAAGCAGTACGCCCAAGTGGTCCAGTCCTTAACACCGTCAAGAACATCTTCCTTAAGAAGCTCCCGGTTGTTCCTAGCTCGACCGACTTGCTCGTCATGAATCTTCTGAAGGTTGATCTTATCCTCCTCAGTTAGAAACTTGGCAGTCTCAGGGCTATTAGGCAGAACGAAGGGAATAACAACGCCGGTAAGGATTGTAGGTGCACCGTTGATGAGAATGATCCATCGCCAAGCGCTCCATCCCATAGCACCATCCATAAAGCTGATGCCGTAAGCAACAAGACCGCCGGCGACACCAGAGATGGCAGCGGTGGAGAAGAAGTATGCGATACGAAGAGCGAGACTCTTACGGCCGTAGTACATGGAGAGGTAGAGCACGACACCGGGGAAGAAACCCGCTTCGCAGAGACCGAGAAGGAGACGGCAGGCGATGAGGGCTCCGAGGTTATTTACCCAGGCGCTGCAGGTGGCGACGATGCCCCATGCGATGGTGAGACCGGCGAGATAGTAGGCGGGCTTGAGCTTCTTGATGATGAGATTGGAGGGTGACTCGAAGAGCTGAGGTGCATTAGCTTAGGAAAATGCGGAGGATACGTGGTGCAGCTTACACAGTAGGTGACGAAAAGGACAGAGACAGAAAGCTGGAACTCATTACCAGTCAGACCCAAATCTTCTTCCATGCGGAACAGACGGGCATTGCCGATATTGACTGAAACCTATTAGATAACTCTTTTGAGAGCAGAGTAGAGTGGCATACCTCGATCCATCATGTTCATCAGATACACCCACATAACCATAGGAATAATGCGGTAGTCAAGCTTTCTGAGAATAGCTCTCTCAGTTTGCTTATCAACATACTCATAGTTCTCACCACGCGCCTCCTCAATACCTCTCGCCTCTGCCTTCATGTCAGAGCCAGACGACGAGTTGGGACGCGTAGGCTCTTGATGAGCGGAGACATTGTCATGGGCTGTCATCTTGCTAACAAGCTGATGTTTGATGAAAATGTCAAGAGCTCGTAAAAGCTAGAAGATAAATAAAGGGGAGAAGTTTCAACCCCGAGAAGACGATGCTGAATGATCGACGGAAGAGAAATAAAGGTGGACGAGGGACCAGTTTTATACCAAAGCCAAGATATTTCATACCCCGTGGGTAAAAAGACCAGATAAGACTCAAAATGTCTAAACTTCCCCGGTAGATTCTCCATATCGCAGATTCTGTTATCCAACGCCAAGCATATGCAAGCTTAACCATTGCCACGCGAGGCTTGTCTGGGCAGCTGTAACGTCTTATCCAATCGATGCTATTCGTGTGGGAGACTCGGACAATATCCACACGAGGTTACAGCCAAGGCTCGTCATATCTCCTTCACAATCTCGGCCCATAATTGCATTGACGAGATGCAGATATCTTTTCATAAACCCCGGATTTGTTGTCCTCCCCACATGCCAAGGCTGTGACAACGGCTCCGCGTTTTGGAATTGCGTCTTTTTCTGGGGTCGTGAGCTCAAAATATCGCTGAATCAACCCACGGATACATATTGAAGCTGAAGGTGTAGTCGGTGATTTTTTTCAAGGGGCGGCTATGATTTGAGGCTGCAGGGCTTTTGACATAGCCGACACGTGGCGGACGAGCGGAAGAATTACCATATCGATGGCAAGCGGTGCAGATGGGGTTTATCTTGGCCTTTGCTTGGCTCTCCAAGTTCAAAATTGGGGTGAGAAGAGAGATGCGCAGTTTTAGGCGAGATGAGAACTGTGCTGACCCCCAAACTTTGACGAGACAAGCGGTCTCCTCCTCTACTCCGCCTTTCTGACCCAGCTTATTCATGCTTAAAATAAGGATGACCAATAAGAACAAGGGGAATTTGTTGAATCATCGGGGTAGACAATATTTCTGTTCCATCGTCACTGCAACCAGCTTCTCGCTCTCTTGTTTTCGTTTCATAGAGATTCAGGTGTCATTCAGCCAAGTCTGGGGTAAAAAAGCACAGATGGGGCACATCAGATCATCTCAGATCACAACATTCGACTTTTTTCTTCCTTCTGACATCTGCATCTAAATCTCTTAAAAACAGCGGAAACTTTCACACCGACCCCACGGGGACCCCATAAACGAGGAAATGGAGATGAGTTGGAGAATGCGGCCGTTGAGACGCGCCAGCCAAGACCGCCAAGTATGCCAAGCGCCAGTTATACGCGGTCAAGTCGAACGAGTTTTTTTCATCTGGTGGAGTGATCTCTTGGATACTCGTCATGGTATTTCCTTGTTGCTTGGTTATTGAGTGAATTGTGTCTTTCTCTTTTCTCGGCATCCGGTAGGCCAGGAATCGTGGGGATTGCTTGGCGTGTCGAACCATCGCGGGGAAAGAAATATGAGAAGAATCTGGGGAATATGGAGTTGATCCAGATGTAAGTTGGTTGAATTAATAGTATTGCATGAGTCCTTGAGCTGAGGGTCGATGCATATGTCAACGCGGTGGGCGGCTTTTGCATGATATTGAATCACGCAGTTAATTTTACCGCCGCGTTTACTACCCGTGCCATCTGCCGTGAGGGGAAGCGCTTTTACTGACAAACTGAAAATTCTAGTGTCCTGCAGATCATTTGGAGAATACCACCAGCACGTAACCAAGGGGTCATCTAAGCCAAGAAGGTTTCTTCGAGATTCATCTCCGACGCATCAGGATATGTATGTCCGTCTTGGCCAATCTAGTGCGAATGCAAAACACGCGTGGCAGGCACACCTCGGTTTTCTACCGAAGAGGCTTGACAGATTGATAGACTGTTATGTATGATGAAGATTGATCTGCATATGTTTCATGGTGTAGACCAGATAGTTAGTGGTGGCAAGAGAGCAAACGAGGGTCTCGGGGTTACCAAAGAGGCCGTGCAATAGAGCAAGTTGTTCTTTTTGGTTTGTAATTGGCTTGAAAACAGTGTTTGAGAATTGCAAAAGATGTTTTTCGAACAATTCTGCATGTTTGGCTCTCGTGTTTTTGTTCAAACACGCTTCCTGTCCAAATTCACCAGTTTTGCTTGGGAGCAAAGAACAACAATGTTTGCCAAATAGAGAACAATAGCTGATGCAAGCAACAAACCTACTATCCAATAAAGAACAAAACGATTAAGAAAGATGTTTTGCCATCATGCTCTGATACATCGTGAATTCGGAGACGATTGATTGTACTTGATTGCAGCCAGGCAAATTTACCTGTGTCACGTCGCAGGGTAGCAAGTGCTTTATGCCAGTGCACAAACAGTTTGCATAACTCAGTGGCTGCTTGTGAAAGTGGCAGTGCGTGACTTGACCGACTAGGCGGGGCACAGGTGAATGGCCATTGGACTTTAGGCAGCTACTCCCTGGTATTTATCCCTGCTAGACTCATTTTAGCTTTCTCCTCTTCCTCACTCTGACCACTCTCAACCCTGCACCCGCATCCACACACGCTATTCCCGAGACAAGGGCCCTTTAACCTTTTGACATTGTAAGTTGAGTTCTACCGAATGACTCCTTCGGCAGGAATGACTTTTACGCGTTGAAAGAGTCTCATTTGATGGATTTTTTCTGATTGAGTTCTTATTGACAGGAGTACAAAAGGTGTTCGCCCGCGTCTCCATTTGTTCGTCACTTCTCCCCTACGAATATACATCGCGACCATCACTAAATCGACCAAGATGTTCAAGCAACGATCTCACGAGACCCATCACAACACTCACGTCCCCGAGATCAAGGGTCATCCCGGCGACTACACCGTCGCTATTCTCGGCGACAGCCTCTTTGAGCGATTCAAAACAACCGGTAAATTCGTGAGCGCCGAACCCACCGACGAGATGTTCAAGCTTCGATCTCATCAAACCCACCACAACACCCACGTTCCCCAGATCAAGGGCAACCCGGGCCAGTACACCACCGCTGTTCCTGATGCCAGCGGTGTTGAGCGCTTCGAGACCACGGGACGAATGCTGAGCATCAACAAGGACTCGCGTATTCTCAACCTCGGTGTTGGCGGCGACAAGATCTTGAATGTTCAGTATCGCATGGATCAAGGTCTTGTCCACCTTCTCAAGCAGCATCAGCCGAACATCAAGACTATGTACATTCACATGGGATCCAACAATCTCAAGAAGCAGGGTCTTCGAAAGGGCGATGTTGATGCCTACGGCGCGTTGATCAAGCAGCTGCGCACTGAGTTTCCCGACATGACAATCGTCATCACTGCTTTGTTCATCCAGCGAGGTCTGGGACTTGATGTGATTGAACAAACCAACACGACTCTCAAGGGTATCGCTGATGAACATGGATGCGAGTTCCTCCCTTTTGGAGATGAACAGGCGGGCATCATGAGTGAGGACAATGTTCATCTGAACGAGTTTGGGTACCGCAAGTGGAACGAGATCCTTACCAACGACATGAACAGCCGCTAAGCAGCGCGCCCGTATCAACTTGACGAGGATAAACAGGACTTAGGTGGTCGGAGGACTGCCATGCATTTGCATTTGACGCAAGCGAGCCATCGTTTCTACAGAAGTAAGTCACCTAAAGGATGTTCCGTTAATCAGTCGACTAATTCTTTCTTTTCAGTAAGCATAGGGATATACTTGCGGCATAAGATGTCGCCTATTGGTCCTGATCACGATATTGCATGTGGATGATTAAGGTCGCGAATGGTGGTATCACCTTGAATGAAAGATGCACCTGGGCAGGATCACGCTCTGAATCGAGTGAAGGATAAACAAGCTACCGGAAGATTTCAGTCCTGTATTTCTGTTCTTAGACCAACAATTTCGTGACCTCCCTCATATCTCTTCCCTTGTTCCTTGTTCCCTTGGCCGTGCTGTATATCCCAAACCCCGGCAGCTTTAGTGAACGATCGTCGATCGATGTCGACTCTTTGAGTCCAACCTTTTGGAACTTGGACGAAATAACTCGAAGTCCATAGCCTCTGCGATTTCATTCTGAGACAACCCCAACAAGAGAATTGAGAACAACCGCCAAGATAATTCTAATTACCAACAACAGCCAGGAGACTGTTCACGCGGCTGTTCGTCTCTGTATCCATATCATAAGGAGGCTGACGCTTCCACAAAAGCTTCACACCCGGCTGGAACACCATGCAGTGCGAACTTCCACCAAAGTGAAACATGCCAATCTGCTGTCCTTTGGTAATATGAGCGTCCTTTTCAACGATAAACTCACAGCCCGATACTTCAGCCATGCCGATAAACACAATAGCCATGAGTCCAATCTTGGGGTTATCGGCCTGAATCCAAATAATTCCACGCGTAGCTACAGCGCTGATGTAAGGCTGCGAGTAGTTTGGCGCCGCGGGATCAGGATCATCTGGATTGCCAGCTAATCCCTCGAAGTAGTTCTCACTGTAGTATGACCCGGGAACAAGTTCAATGTCAACGACTTTACCGCTGACGGGCGCGTGCCAGCGATGATAGCTTTTTGCGCTGAGGAAGGCTTGGTAAACCGTCCCGTCGACGAGTTTGCTGGTGTTGGGGTTGGAGTTCAACATTCTGTCGAGGGAGTAGGGTTGGGACTTGAGCCAGAATTGATCGTGGAGCTTGACGTGCTCGACGACTTGTAGGGGAGCGGATTCGCATGCATTGGTGAGGACGAGAGTTGGATCAGGATATTCTGGGGTTGGAGGGGCGTCGTCTGGACAGGCGATCGGGCGCATACCCTCTCGGAACTCTCGTGTGAAAAAGTCATCCCAGGACTTGTAGCCGTAGTATTTTGCGGAAGGATCGCAGATGAAGATCTTGTCAAAGGTGGGGCCGCCCAGCATGCCGGTGTTCGCTACAGTGGCAAGCATATGGAGTGCATCCTTGGATAACCAACCCTCTAGACCAGACTGAGACCCAGAAGACTCCAAGAACGAACCCCAAGTGTCCAAAACACCCTTGAATGAAGTGTTCACTTCAGACAAAAGCCAAAACTCATACCCAGCAACAGTTCCCATAGGCCAATCAAGCACAGCATTGATAGGAAACCCAATCATGCCCATAGCAGTAGGGGGATCCTGCTTATCAAAGAACGGAGGGGCAGATTGAATAATGAGATTGACAACAGTGACAAAGTCATCAAAAGTCTTGAGGGCTGGTTCACCGGTTGGATCATAGTTCTTGGAGGACTGGGTGAACATGTCGCTGGCTAGGGTCTTGAGGTAGGGGGTATCGTTGACGAGATTCTGGAAGGCTTCGAGACTTGGGTCAAGAGATAGAGTGTCCATCTTGTAGGCCTGCTTGAGCTTGGAGGCGATCCATTGCTGGATTGCTGGTCGTTGCTCGGGGAGCCATTTACCGATGGGGCGGTGGGCTGCGAGAGGTAGTGAAGCCATGTTGGGAGGTGAAGATGATGTGAAGGAAGAGAATGGTGTGCTTTGCTCACGAAGTGAAGAACTATAAAATCGACTTGATGAGCTTGAATTTATATACATCAGAGTCGAAAGTGAGATCCAAGAAGAGCTGAAAGAAGATGCGGAGTCGCTCACGGATCAAACCCAGCCGACGTGACACAGAACCTGCAGCACCAATGATATCCCAGTACGACCGAGACATACATCTCTCAGCCCGCCACAATTCCAATATACCTGCCCAAAAGGCCCAAAGGCACAGAAACTGCCGTCATATATGCGCTCACTCGCAAATAATTGCATCACAGATCGGAATACTCCAGTAGACTTTGCAGCCGTCGAGATGTTCGCATGTGAATATCGCATGTTGGCTGAGACATGAGGAGGCAAGAGTCTAGACCTTGGCTGATATCACATATCGCGGGGTAACTGCCGCTTCCGTTTGTGTTGTACGAAGTAACGAGTGGTATGTGATACTGTTGCAAGAATGGTGGACGAGGAGGGGAAGCTGCGTGATACTGTGAGATGAGTTAGGAAACAGAACATTGTAATGAGAACTGACACAAACTCGGCCTTTTTAATTCTTCATGCTCGGGTTTTGTGGATGGTCTAACATAGCATTGATACAGACTGAGCCGGTGATTACTCTGAATCAACCTAGGCACGGCACGCATTAGTCACATTCTAGTGCTTCTCGAAGGTTTAGTGTCGGTCAAGACTTTCCTTCGTGCAAAGATGAAGATTTAGATTGCGTATGTAAATATTATGCAAGATAGGGAAATATTCACTAGTAGAACTCAGATTCATATGTATATCTATTCTTCTTATCGGGTATACAGCTACATATATAATATCAAGCAAATAATAAAGACTTCTTAACCGATCTTATCTTATCTTATCTCGTCAGATAGGCGTAAGGATTAGCTTTAACCCACCAGGCTAATAAGCTGTAAATACCACTTGGCGCCATCGTGAACTATCGAATTGCTAAGCCAATAGCGCAGTCTCGGAGATTACAAAAAGCTCTTCTATAAAGGAGCATTAAAAGCAGCTGAGACCCCAAAATGTCCATTTGAATCGCCATCCACTCATTCCTCAATTTCGCGCTTCGACGCCCTTCCGCTCTTTAATTTGTTGTTCGCTGAGATGATGTTGCTCAAGTACTCAGCTGCCATAGCAGCTTTCGCCCTCTGCGGGCAAGTTAGCGCTGGGCCTTGCAAGCCGATCACTCGTGTCACGAGCTCAAGCTTGGAAGCTTCCAGCACGGTCACGACCGAGACTTCTTTGACTGCAACGAACTCACTCTCGGTTGAGACTTCGGCAACGGTTGAAACTTCTTCAGCCGCCACGTCGGTTGAGAGCTCTGCGACTACCTTTTCGTCTGAGGCCTCAAGCACTGCTGGCGAGTCCTCTACTTTCTTCACCTCGACGACTGAAACCGCGACGCTTGACGCAACTACTACCGACTTTGTTTCTACGAGCACCGCGGTCTCTGATGTCTCTACAACAGCAACCGCGACAAGTTCTGCTGCGCCGGAGTGCGCTTTCACAGGAGACTACACCAACTACGTCCAAAACCCTTCTTTTGATGATTTGGATGGGTCTGGACAGCCCACCGTTGAACCGTGGATCATCCTCGGCGCTCCAACTATGACAACCAACCTCCCCAGAACTGGAGCCCGCTCCATGTTAGTTCACACCCCCCGTCACACATCACACTGCTAACAAATCTTCAGGGCCTATACATATCCCTTTACCGGACTAAGCTCAGGAATCCTTCAGGAACTCGTCGGTACCGTCGCCGGACATGAATATGTCTTCAAGTATCACTGGGTCCTTATCGACGGACACCCTCTTGAGGCAGAGGAATGCAGAATTGGTACATTCGCTGGTTCTGGGGGTGCGAACTCGCAGTTTCTTTATGTCGATGGGGATCAGGCTATTGTGCAGGGTCAGTACTATGAACAGGAGTATCGCATTACTGCCGAGAATGATAACCAGAGGTTGTCGATTGGCTTCTTTTGCACAAGCCAGCCGTCGGCGGGACAGGTCAAGATTCAGATTGATGATGTTTCTGTTTATGACTACTATGAGGGTTGCGAAAGTCCATGAGAGGGACTAGAAGCTAGCAGGTAGTCAGGTTTCCGGTGGTTGGCGTACATAGGATGAGAACACATGAATTCTACATCTCACCAGCCTCATAGATATTCTCTTTCACCAAGGACTTCAAGTAGTTTAAGTATAAGATAGTCTACAGCTTCGTTTCAGTTCTGAGACCCATGACATCCCTCAGGTCCTTAATCTCAGTATCAGGTCTATGCGAAGTCGGCTTCGCAACGCGTCCCCCATAAGCCCATTCCTTCCTCAATCCCGTCTCACGACCTTCCAACGCATCAGCGATATACTTCCCAATAATTGGAAACATCTTGAACGCATGTCCAGAATCCCCCGTTGCAAGAAGAAGAGCTTTATGTTTGGGATGGAGATCGATCAGCCAGTGTGCATCGGGCGAATCAGTGCACCAGCATACACGTGTATCGAGAAGAGGACGGTCCGAGAATTGAGGCATGACGGTGTTGATGAATTTTCTGATGGCGACTCCGGCTTCACGGGGGATGCCGTCTTGTGGATGGTCGCTCGAGTAGCGGGGGATGGAGTAGTGAGTTGTCTTGCCGTTCTCGTCGACGAAAGTGCCTTTTTGGTATTGATAGCCAGGGTTGTTGTCGCAGATCTTAATCAACTCTGCATCTTCGTCAGTAATCGGGTAATATTGGGCATCATGCGAAGTGTAACCGACTTGTATCTGGATCTGGTTCAAACATGAACCCAAGCTCGTAGTTGTCAATCACCGGAACTCCTTTCCACTCGGCAGCTTCTTCATCAGTAAGCTGGATATGACCCAAGGTCCAGCACTTTGACCAAAGCTGTTGTGACAGCTCGGGTAGTAGTTGTGGTGATGCAGCACCTGTGCTGAGAATGTAGTGGTCTGCATGAAGAACCTCACCAGAAGCGACACGGATTCCCGTCATCAAGCCGGAAGTATCTAGCTCAAGACCAGTCATTGTACCGCCATTGCCTGAGACGAATTTGACGCCCGTCTTCTCAGACTCAAATGCCCATTTCTCAAGGGCTTTTCGAGCGTGAACCCAACCACCGAGACTGTTGTAGAGACCTTTCCAGTTCTCGATCCCGACGGCATTCTTCAGTTGGGGAACACGTTTGACAATCTCGTCTCTGCCGCTGATGAGCTCCAGATTCTTCGCTTTGCCTTCCTTCTTGAGGTTCTCATAAGACTTCTCAAGGAAGTGCTCGGCCTTCTTGTCGCCCATCGTAGTTGTGATACGTCCCTGCGCTTGTTAGTTCAACTCGACAGGACGGCAAACAGGAACAGTTATTTACCGTTTCGAAAAACACGTCATGCCATTTCGGATCCCTCCATGCTTCAAGGGCTTCTAAAGCGAGTCGCGTGTAAAGTGGTTCATCGTATTCAGTACGCATCACTTTGTTCAAGTCATGACCAGCAGAGTCTAGACTTGGCCATGGGTGCCGGTCGATACAAGTGATGTTGGTATAGCCACGCTTAGCCAGGTGATAAGCTGTGCTGATACCGAATGTGCCCCTAGGAGTATCAATAAGCGATGGGTAGGCAGTGCAATAGTCGGGATTACCTACGCTCCGATGATGAGGATGGAGGAGTCCTTGTTTAGTGGTGCCACCGCACGAGCCATAGTTGAGAGAACCAACTTCAAACTAAGCTGTAAAAAGACGAGAGATAAGGTTTGAGAACAGAAAGATGCTATCAGACGTTGAAGTTGGCCGTTTTATCATCGACGCAATCCCCGTAACCGGAGCTGATACGATATCTCGTGACAAATCAAGGCTGGACCTTCCTTCACTCAATTACCCCGCAAAAAACATTACTTTATCGTTCGAAAGTGGCAACCCTCAATCAGAATTAGTCGATAGTTAAAAAGTGTCAAGATAAGGTAGGGTAGTAATTATTCTCCCATAACCCCGAAGCTAAGGACCTGATGATCCGGCGGCCAATTAAAAACTAGCTCAAATGACAGCATCGCTTGGACCTTCTTCTTGTGTGAGGGGATGCTCCAGATTTGATAAACTAACGTTTGCCGAAATCCGGGGAGGGGAGTAGCATCGAATGTGACTTGACTCGCGATAAGACAAATTTATAAAATGCCGACGACTTCGCGCCAAGAAATGTTGCATCGGCATACATTCCTCTCCTCAATTCTCCCTTTCGTCTTTTGACTGAGTCGCCATCATGGCACCCAAGGTCGAATACGCAGATAACCTTGAACCTTCAAGACAAGAAGATGGTACCATCGAAGGCACATCAGAAGAAATCATCGACAACCCCGACAAAGCCACTGCCTTCGCCATCAGCGGCATAGACGAAGACTACGACATTGACTCCGACAACTCACCCCAACCAGAAGTCAGAGCCAATGTCCCCAATGTCGATGATCCTTCTATGCCTGTTAACACGCTCCGTGCGTGGACGCTAGGTCTTTTGTTTACGATCCTTGGCACCGGGATCAATCAATTCTTTTCGATGAGATATCCTAGTGTCACTATCTCGTCGCTTGTTGCACAGTTGGTCGCTTATCCAGCTGGGAGGGCGCTTGCGCATGCACTGCCTATCATGAGGGTTAGGGTTTTCGGGAGGGAGATTGCGCTTAATCCTGATCATCACTTTAACATCAAGGAGCATGCGCTTATCACTATCATGTCGAACCTTTCGTTTGGACCGTCTTGGGCGACGGATATTATTCAAGCGCAAGTTGCGCCTGCGTTCTTGGGGTTGAAGACTCCTGTTGGGTATCAGTTCCTGCTTGCACTTACTATGCAGCTTTTTGGTCTTGGAATGGCTGGTATGGCGTACAGGTTTATTGTTGAGCCGCCGCATATGGTTTGGCCCTCGACACTTGCCAATGCTGCGCTGTTTCAGACTTTGCATGGGAGAGCGAACCCGAAGGCTGATGGATGGAGTATCTCGAGGTATCGGTTTTTTGTCTACGTCTTTGCTGGTGGTTGGCTATGGGTGAGTCATCAGACAAGTCTCTTTCGATGTGAACGCTCGCTAATAATGCCAGTATTGGCTCCCTGGATTCCTTTTCACTGGCCTAAGCACCTTTGCCTTCATCTGCTGGGCTGCACCAAGTAAGCTCATCCCCCAACTAACTCATATCATTGCGTACTGACCTCTGATAGACAACATCATCGTCAACAACCTCTTCGGCATGTCAACCGGCCTAGCCTATATCCCCACCACGTTTGACTGGTCCCAAATCGCATACAACGGCTCTCCCCTCGTCGTTCCCTTCTGGGCACAAGCTAACGTCTTCGCCGGGTGGCTCATCCTCTTCGCGCTCGTCACGCCAATTCTGTACTACACAAACACTTGGTACACAGCTTATCTGCCATTCTCTGGAGGTGACATCTACGATAACACCGGAAATGTCTTCAACGCCTCGCGCGTTGTTGATCATCACGGCAACTTCTCGCCGGAAGAGTACAAGGCCTACAGCCCCATCTTCATGCCTGTTACCTTCGCTCTCAGCTATGGTATCTCTTTTGCGACAATGACTTGCGTTCCTACATACATCTTTCTCAATTACTGGAAGCAGATCGTCGGCGCTTTCAATCCACAGCGAAAGAAGGATATTCATGCTCGGCTGATTGAGAGATACCCCGACGCTCCCTGGTGGTGGTACGCCGCATTGACCGCTATCGTACTTGGTCTCACCATCATGGTACAAGAAGTGTACGACACCCAAATGCCTGTTTGGGGTGTCTTCTTGGCCTTCGGTCTCGCTGCGTTCTATCTAATCCCCACTGGGAGCGTCTATGCCGTGGCAAACCTCAACAGTAACGTTCTCACCGTTCTTGGCGAGATCATCTCAGGATACGCCATTCCTGGAAAGCCAGTTGTTATGCTTATCTTCAAGTTCTACGCCTACACTGGACTCAGCCAGGCTATGATTTTTGCTTCGGACATGAAGCTTGGTCTTTACATGAAGATTCCCCGTCGCACCCTGTTTGTCGCACAGTTGACGGCCTGCATCGTTGGATCTCTTACCCAAAACGCCGTTGTTCTCTGGATGTTGCACCATGTCAAGGACATTTGTGAGAGTGACCAGCCCAACAAATACACCTGTCCTCAGGGTCGCGTCAACTTCTCTTCCAGCATCGTCTGGGGAGCTGTTGGTCCAGCCAGGCTATACAGCGTGGGCAAGATCTACTCAGGACTGTTACACCTATTCTGGATTGGAATTCTCCTGCCAGTAGTGACTTTCTTTTTGAAGCGGAAGTTTCCCAACAACAAGTTGCTATCTAATCTTCACTGGCCTCTTTTCTTCGCTGGAACCGGAAACGTGCCTCCCGCTACCGGCATCAACTACAGTTCTGCTTTTGCAGTTTCATTCATTTTCAACAAGTGGATTCGGGGAAAGTATCCGCATTGGTGGGCAAAGGTGAGTTCAAGAAGCGAAATTCCCCGTCGACGCGCATCATGGCTAACACAAGGCAGTACAACTACGTCCTCTCCGCGGCGCTGGATTCTGGCCTCGCAGTTTCGGCTATCGTGATCTTCTTCGCCCTCGTCTTTCCTGGGGTTAGTCTCAGTTGGTGGGGAAATAATGTTCAGGGCACGACTGCGGATGGTCTGGGTACTCCATGGAGGAAGCTGGGCACGAATGAGACGTTTGGACCATCTGCTTGGAATTGAGCGATGTTTGGTGATTCAATTTGCCACGTGTTTTGGTGTTTGTAATGTTATTTAATTTAATTGTTAGCCTGAGAGACAAACGGAGTTTATTGCGAAAAGCCTTGGCTTCCGATATCCCGTCAAAATATGCCATAGATACGCTTGGACAGTCGCTGTTGGTCTTTGCCTTTGTGTCGTGGCTGAAGCTTCTATTAACCCCTCAGTCTGATTACACTACCATAGTTGGTTGGTCTTCAATCGATGGTTCATTTCGCCTCTGATTGCCCGGAATAAACGTTGCTGACGCTAGGTTCCGAACGGTGTCCAATGAAATAATTTTCGGGAAAATACGACGAGTAAGCCAACGCTAGTTTCAATTGGGACACTTACTCCGCGTATCAGTACGCTCATCAAGGCCCGAGCTATCCGAGATAGCCATGTATATAAGCCTTGAGAAAAACAATCAATGATCAGATAAAACCCCTATTCTTCTTGGTTTTACACCGTTGAGTCTTTCGTCACTTGAAAACTCATCAATAATGGTACCTTTGAACATTCTTACAGCTTTGTATGTCCTTGACTTTGTAATGCGTAGTGGAAAACTGCTAACTGTCATCTCTAGGACTTGTCTTAACACGGCACAAAGCGTCCTGCCGCCTTCGCCTCCGGACTTGCCAACCTCATCAAAGCTCATCGGCGATCCCTGCACCCAAGTCGATGGAGTCTGGAAAATCACTGAAGACTGCAGCGATCCTCTCTACTCCCAGCCCATAATCGACAACGAGACTCACGAGACGCTGCCGGTTCCTCACCGTAGACTTTCAGGTCATTTCGAAGGGACATCTGTAGACTTCAACATTTACCTCCCCCATAATGGATGGAAGGGTCGCTTCTTCCAACTCGTCTACCCACTACAGAACTCAACCGCATCTGATCGAGAGATTGGCTTTGGTGCAGAGAGTGGAGGATATACCGTTCGTGCTTCTGGTTGTCCAACGTACCGTGGTGATGCAGCTGCAGCAAAGTTTGGCATGATGATTGCACGGGAGTATTACAAGCCCAAGACCAATAAGATCCATGGGTATATCTACGGAGGTAGCGGTGGATCTCTTGTCACTGTTGGAGCGATGGAGAATACGATTGGTATATGGTCTGGTGCCTTAACCCTGGTCCAAGCTGTGCCAGTCTCTATCAACAACTGGTCCATCCGTGCTCTAGCAGGTCTTGTTCTTCAGAATAAGATTTGTGAGATTGAAGACGCGCTCAGGCCTGGTGGCAGTGGTAATTTCTACTCCAGCTTGAACTCCATCGAGAGAACAGCGTTTCAAGAGGCCACGGCCCTTGGTGTCCCTATCAAAGCGTGGGAGAGCTTCCACGATACTGGAGCCTCTGAGTCACTTTGGGAGTCAATTAGGACTGTATCTGGGGCAACTGTGATAAAAATGGATCCCACCTATGTGGATGACTTCTGGAACCAGCCTGGATACTTGGGTAACGAGAAGTCGAAGCTGGGCGAGATATTACGCAAGGAGATGGTTGACTACAAGACCTCGATTACATCTATCAAACGTGACGCCAACGATATTCCTGTTGAGCTCATCCTCGACAAGGCACCCGAATCAGCGCGAACTTACTGGCTGGATATCATCATTCTCTCCAAAGACGACAAAGCACTTGGCAAAGTCACTGCTAAGGGTCGTGATGACAGTGACACCAAAACTGTCACTCTTCACCACGGCAATGATGCCACCGTCCTCTCTCTTCTCCAGCAAGGTACTCAAGTCCGCATAGGTAACCGAATGTTTCTCGCCATGCACGCACTCCATCGGTACTCAGTCCCCAAGCGCTCAGGCTTCTACGGATACGATTATCTCCGTGATTCCAACGGAGACCCTATATATCCCCAGCGCTCTGTACTAGTGGCAGAGCAGATAGCAAGGTCTGCTAGTGGTGGCGCTACGTTTTCGGGCAAGTTCAACGGCAAGATGATTGTCATGGATAATCTTTTGGACGTTGACGCGTTTCCGTGGCATGCAGATTGTTATAAGAACGAAGTCAGAAAGGTATATGGGGATGATGCCGATGATAAGTTTCGTCTTTATTTTAGTGAGAATGCGGATCATCAAATGGGCAGTATTGGGACTTTCAAGAGCTCTCAAGTTGTGGACTTCACGGGCCTTTATGAGCAGCAACTACGAGACTTGAGTGTTTGGTGCGAAACAGGGACAAATCCAAGCACTCCAACCAATTATACCATTAGTAACTCCCAGGTGCAACTTCCTGCCAGAGCTTCTGAGAGGAAGGGTCTCCAACCTGTTGTAGACCTCAGCGTTAACGGCGGAAAGCGAGTTGAGATCAAAACGGGGGCAATAGTTACGTTTAAAGTAAGCGTGGAAGTTCCTCCCGGTGCAGGAAAAATCGTTTCCTTGGAGTGGGATTTTGAAGGGACAGGCCACTTTGTCAACAAGAGCTTTGGAGAGGTTGCACAATCTGTTGAGACTACGGTTTGTTATACTTACAGACGACCTGGGACCTTCTTTCCAGCAGTGAGGGCTGCCTCTCATAGAGATGGTAGGATAGATACACGTTATGCTCTGGCTTTGAACTTTGGGCGCGTAAGGGTTGTCGTCATTTAGTTGCTCTACTGGTATTATGAACTTATGAAGCTGGGAGGGACATTACGCCCATAAAAGAGGAGTACCAGACTGAAATTTATTTTCCTTGTCTATAAATAAACTTTCGGCCTCATGTTCTGATCTGTCATTTCATTTGGTACAATCTTCGGCGCAGTTGGTGATGTCTCATGTCTCTGTGTTGCCACCAAGTGGAGGCTGGTGACGCAACGCTTGCAAGCCCTACTTGACTTCAAGGCTTGCCACAGCCTCACCCAAGACTTAGCCATTTCTCTCCCTCATATTATCAAGAATCAGCCAGTTTCATTGAGCAGGCATAATGAGGAGAGAAAAGGAAAAAAGCGTTTTGCATCCTCATCCTCATAACCCTTGCTCGAGAATTTCCACTAACAGCTTTAAATGCTTGGCTCTCACTCTTCTTGGGGTTTCAAATTGCTACAGGGGGGGCTGATGTGTTGGCACGTTTTGATTGATAGCATGATCTGAGCGTCTGTCTGCCTTGGCTGCGCCTTACAGCAAGCCACTCATACTCAACACTCATATTCCCCGCTTCGTCTCACCCGCTCCGTTGTTCCTTCTGCAAACTTGTCAATATCGACATGGCCGACCCGTTATCCATCGCCAGCGGTGTCGCTGGCCTTGTATCTCTTGGCCTGACTCTCTGTGGTGGTCTTCACAATTATTTTAGCGCCATCCAAGATCGACACCAAGATATCGAAAACGCAGCTCAAAGCCTTGCTCTTTTGCAATCTAATATCTGCATCATCCAGTCAAGCACGTTAAAGCTTGGCCACCGCCATGCCTTATCTGCCAATGGAGTCAATCAAGGTCTAGCTAATTGCATGTCCCAACTCATAACTCTACAGCAAATGATGTTGGACCTTACTAGAGCCGAGGGCCTGTCTGACGTGAAAGGAAAATGGAGAAAGCAAGTGATGATAGCTCGGTATCCATTTGATCAGAAGAAGTTGATTCAACTTCAAGACCAGCTTTCTAAGGCCAATGCGGCGTTAAGCAGTTTCGTACAAAACTTCAACCTGTAAGGAACTTCTACTAGCATGACAGTTCTGCTCTTGCTAATTAAAAAAAAGTGACATCAACATTGGAATTAGCGAAGATTTGCAGGTTTTGAAAAACTACACTAATGCTAACGATAGCATCACGCACAACATGCTGAGCACCATTGCCAGGCGACTCGACAGCATCGTTCCAGCTCTTCAACGCACTGAAATGGAGATGGCAACGATGTCTCGACACGCCCAAGAAAACTTCCTCGCCACCAGCAGCCATAGTTCTGACGTCGTTGTAAAACCTCGCTATCTGCAAAATTCCCAGAAGGAAGAAGCAGTGATGATACGACTGAATGATCCGGAATGTACTTGTTCCGACCCTCCCAGTTCTATTTGTCGACAATCATCCTACGTTGATCGAACCTGGGGAGTTTTGGTCATCTCGAAACAAGAGCATAAACGACAACATCATCGTCCTGGTTGCATTTTCTTTAGTAAATCACTCCAGACGTCAAAGACTACGTTTACTTATCTTGGTCTTCGGTATTGGCTTTCTCGAAGTTTGTCTATGTCACTGACTCGAGATTATCCTGCCGGGGCATACAATGTTTCCTTCGGGATACAGCCATGCAACGTTGTAAAATCAAGCCCGGCTTTTCAAGCCTTTATTGACCTCGGATGGAAGTACGAGGTCGCAAGGTAAAACAGTCATCGTTCTCCTGTTTCCATCGGGTTACAGATTACTGATTCTCGTGTCAGGTCTAATCATCCTTATCTTCTGTACCAAGAGGACGACTATCCTCCTCTCAGTCTACGAGAAGAGATCTCGATTTTACTCAAGAAGTTAAGAACTATTTATACCTCAGGCGCTGCGTCACCGTTTGACGTAGATGATAATGGGAACAACATCGCCCATAGATGCATGGATGTGAGTTCCTATTCTAGTTATGAACACGCGAGACGCTTTTATGTTAACAGAATCTTGAGCTCTATCGGGGACAACTAATCTATTTGGTTTTAGAAGAGGGATTAAGTTTCGAGGACCTTTTTGAATCGATTCGCTCGCTTCTGTCATACATGTTTGACCTTGGGGTGCCAATTACTGCTTCCGGTTTTTACCAAGGGTAGTAACTCCAGAACTCATTCCTACTTGACTTGACTTACACAAACCAGAACAATTCTTAGGAATTTGTGGAAACCCCACACCTTAGCAACGCTCCCTCCGTTGTATAACTTCATAGCAAAACTCGATACATCCTTCTGTGTTGAAGACATCGCCCATAGCGAACCCAGGTACTGGGATGCTGGGGAGATATTAAAAACTGATTCATTGCACGTTTGGGGCGAGTACCCCGAGATCGCCGAAGGTAATCCGATGCTTTCCATGTCTTTTCAAATCACGTACAGCTAAAAAAAAAATATAATCTAGCCTATGGATTCAGTGACATCTTCCGGGCAGTTATGCAGCGAGACCGGCAAAAGCTCGAGGCCATTACAATGGGCGACCAACTTCCTCCAGGTATTCTGGAGTCAGATATGTATGAACGTAACATATTGCACGTTAGCATCACCTGGCCAGAAGGGCTCAGCTTGCTTCTGCAACAAAGTCAGGCTGTATCTATACTGTGCGACAGTGAATTAATACGTGTCAGTCCTCTAGAGCTTGCAATAGAGTTGAGTGGGAAAAGATGTACCCAAGCAGACAAGTGGATGCTTTGCCAGGACTGTCATTGCGCTGTTTCTGTCCAACTGCTCCTAGAGGCCGACTGTTGCCTCCCGGCTCATTTAATGTTATCACGATACTTGAAAGAGTGTTCATTGAGATGCAGAAAACTATTGTTCAAGCATTTAGAAGATCGGCGGCGGCGACTGCGAGATCTTTCTCTCGCAATGCTACCCTCTAAAGTCATAGAGTGGTATGGAGTCACGGTTGATTCTGTCCCTGACGCTACTGCGGCCTTCCTGTGGGAGGAATTACAGTCACGCTCTGATGAATTGAGAAAGCAGGGATTTGAGATCAGCTGTGGCCTCAAGCCCTTTCATTCAAACTACTACTCCGGGGGCTTATTTGAACACCCGCTCCCTCCAGAAATCTGTTCATTGGCCGATGAGTTCAGCATTAGACCTTCAGATGAGGGTGGTATCAGGCCACTTCTAACACGCGTTAGAGTTCGTAATTTTACTCCTGTGGGAGGCATATTCGACTTAGAGACTACTTACCTGGATTGGCTGATGAAGCATGATCTCAAGCTGGAATACGTGACTGACGGCTTCCAGACAACGGCATTACATGATTTTGGAGGAAGAATTGGTACGATTCTAGTTCGTTTCCTTAGTTGCCCCGACCGCAACCCGCCATACCTTTGGGAAAGGGAAGGAATTAGTCTGGTTATTACCAAAATATGCAACAGCAAGATGGAGTCCGATCTACCATGCCCCTGCGTATCAGGTGTCTTCAACCGACCTTTGGCATCTTTGTTTTCCGGATTCACGGCTGATGAATTATCCTCGTTCGCTTGGAAGGCCAAAAGAATTAGGAAGATCTGTCTTCTAGTCGATCTGATTGAAAACACAGCAACCAGTGTCGACACGTCCTATCTAGCCAGATGTGCTGTCCACATAATTACAATGGAACTCCTGGGAATCAGGCACGTTGGGCCTTGCGCCTGGATTGACTCAAGCCCGGGAATGAAAGAATTAGATGAGGATGAAAGGGCGGAAGTATTGGACGAAGACAGGCTTTTGCTGGAAAAGCTTGACGATCTCGATGGAGAATTCCAAAGAGAGTTCCAAGATCGAAATGAGTCAGTGACGGACTTCCTAGTAGGGTACTATAGTCAGAGAATGCTGGAAGTGGTGAAAGAAATGGATGCGTCTCCGGCGGATGAATATAGGCTTGGACTACTCGCTGCTGGTGTGGTATTAGTAGATTCTGAAGAATAGCTCCGACTCCAGTTGGGATGAGGTGATAGAAAGCGAAGATGGGTATGAAAATGATGGCGAAATTGATGAGTAAGTCGTTTTACTAGGGTGGAGAAAAACAGGTAACGGAATGGCATAGGGATATAAGGACCCTCTCAATCATCAGAAGATGCTGAGCATTGCATTTTTTTTTTCGACGTTCTTAAGCAGACATATCAATATCACCGAGACGAAACCCTAAAGACCCTTAAAGTTGATAGCATAGACCAGAAGCCGATGGAGAATCCATCATGTAAATATAAGAGACATTAAGAGCCCAATTGACGTTTGAAGCAACTGATGAGACATCTCAGCATCAAATTTGAGCGAACAAAACGAAAATGCTTGGTTAACTGCTCGACCAGGAATCACATAGGGGTATCAATGCGAGGCAAAGCCAAGCTTCGGGGTAGCGTCCTCCTGACTATGAACAACATAGTAGTTCTTCATGAACAAACTTCCCAGTACCGAGTATTTGTTGTTTAGCTGAGTTGCAATCGCTCCAACACAGATGCGATTAGCCGGGTCATATACAGTATAGTTGACATCTCGTCCCAGAACAGAGAGTATTGTGCTGTCGATCTTGAAATGGAAGTCGGGAATAGTGCTATTGCATGGAAACGTGTGTGAGCCTCCTTGTTCGAATTTATAACCTTTGACATGGCTGTAGTAGTCGTTGACAACACCATCGGGGAGGTATACAAGGGCGGTGCCTGAGTCGACGATGACCTCGCCCACATGTTTCTTGCTGTTGACGAATGAGACTTTGCTCACGGCGTAGGAGCTTACGTTCATCGACCAGTGACTTTTGCTGACGACGGGAGTGTAGGCGATTTTCCCCTTGAACTTGGAGTCGTCGATGTATCCAAAATCCTAAGTCGCCGGCTTACCATCAACCCTAAGATTCGCAGCAAACACCTTCTTCTTCAGAGTCGGAAGAACAGTATCGAAGAAGGTCTTTTGCTTCTTGGGCTCGACGGTGTTGATGGCGCTGAACGCAAGACCAAGAATGTCGTCAGAGGAGAACTCGAATGGGATGACAGTAGCAGCCTGGACGGCCTGCTTGTGCGCTACGACGGGGCCTGCCTTGACGGTGTCGGTGAAGACAACGCCGCTGATCTCTTGGCCGCCGGCTTACTTGATGGACCACGTGTAGTTGTGGAGAAGCTCTGCGGATGAGGTTGGGACATAGGTTGGGTGCTCCAGGCTCTGGAACGGGGATGACTCGTTGGAATACACCCATCTGACAAGTTGCATGTTAGTCTTGATCTACGATCTGCTGAAGAGGGAGGTACTCACAAATCGGCGGAGCCAGTGTCGTAGATAAGCTTGAACGTCTGGTTTCCGATGATGGTGGAGACGAAGAAGGACAAGCCGGATGAGGAAGGCTTTACTTTAACAGAGCCTGCTTGCTTCACGCTACGTGCCTCTTTGATGTCGTCGTGTGTCGCAAGGAATTTTGCCTCAAGCCTCTGCCTCTCAGCGGCAGGGTCAAATTCCTCTGGTGTGGATGACGTGAAGGCATCGACGCTGAAGGAAGCGTCTTGGCTATCTGGCACGGAGAGGCCATTGGCAGAAGCAGCCAAAGCGGCAATCAATTGAAGGAGTTTCAGAGACATATCGAAAACAGTCGTCGAGTATGACTATGCCAGGAGGTAACCTCGCACGCAACTAAAGGTAACAAGAAGATAGGAATTCTTGCTTCCTTATGCCCAAGGGGCCGGCGTCGTTTTCGTTCGTATTCTCTCTTTACTGTTACATAGTTCCTGAACGCTTTGATTGTCCGCGGGAGAATGGCTAAAGTGCCGGGTTCCGCATACGATTTAATTTCCTAAAACTGGTTATCAAATGGTCCACCACCAATGATACAACAGCAGGAGCGGCAGATCAGGAATGAGCTCCACTAAGAAACTCGTATCGACGAACGGTCTTGGCCTCATGACTTCATATGAGCAGGGGCTAGACTCTAGAGTAGATCAACCCGTTTATATATAGTCTGCTAAACATCAGGCAAGTCAGTCTTACACCAACGGCATCGCCAAGTATCTATCGATTATGACTCGCATTACTTTGGCCGCCGTCGCTGCGGCCATCGCTCTTCCCAGCCTCGCTGCTGCGACCAAGACTCCTACCGGCGTCATCTCCGTCCCGTTATCTCGAGATGAAGGCCTGACGGCGTATTTTGCCAAGCTCCAGGTTGGCACGCCACCGCAGACAGAGTATCTCAAGATCGACACGGGCAGCCCGCGATATTCTTTCCTGGACCCTCGTAATGAGGTCTGCAAAAAGGAGGGAAATAATTGCAAAACATTTGGCACTTTTAACAACAAAACATCTTCGTATGTTCCTCTGGACTTGTAGTTTCTGCCGCTAACCATCGTTGCAGAACATCCCGCTATCAAGGTACTGGTTTTGCGGACGCCTTGGGCTACGTTGGTCGGGGCGATTACCTGAGTGACACTGTTGTTTTGGGCGGTGTCTCAACTAAGAACATGTACTTTGGCTATACGTCTGATTACAGCTTCCCAGACAAACTCAGCGGCGACATTTATACGATTCTTGGTAAGATCCTACGATAGGAGAAGTACCTCACATAGACGATGCTAACAAAGACAGGTTTGTCGTTAGTACCAGTCCGCCGGTCCCAAATGTACCGACAGGTTCTCCTCGTACCTCCTGCCGGAGCTGAAGAATGCTTCCAAGATTAACTACATTGCTTCGAGTATCTACCTCGGACCCGATGACAAGAAAGCTGCCAACGCCAAGATGCTCCCTGGTGGCGCCTACGACAAGGCAAAGATTGACGGCGACCTCATCACTGTTCCCATGGTGAACCCGTTCAACCTCGAACTCAGTGGTGGCCAGACTAACTCGGTCAACGTCACTTCTGTCGAGGTCGTCCTCACCAAGGGTAATAACCATACAAAAGAGTCTTACGGCAAAAAGAGCGTCGGTGTTCCCGTGCTGCTGGACACAGGTGTCGCGAACTGGTACCTCACTGATAAGACCATGGCTCCTGTCTTGCGCGGTTTCAGCGTCGCAAAGGAACCTGGTTTTGGCCAGCGATGCTTCGTCGTCGATTGCAAGTACGCTGATTCTAAGCGCAACGTTGGTTACATCGCTGTGGAGTTCGGTGCTCACGGCAAGATCAAGGTTCCGTTCCACGGCTTGGTGTCAAAGTTCACAGATGGCACCTGCGGGGTCTTTCTCGCTTCTCGTGGTTAAGTTGCCTTGTCGGAAGCTTCCATCTTTGGCATCAAGGAGGATCTGGTAATCGAACCTGTACCTCGGAGATATCTACATGTAGCGACTGACATCCGCATAGAACCTCGTTGGGCAGCAATATAGCTGGTCATCCTCAATCTTCTACCTGGGCTACCTGGTTTGGCAGTACCCCAGCTCTATCTTGATGCAAAAGCTCCCTATGTACGTCTTCTCCTACTTTGAAACATCGATATTTCGGAACTGGCCTGTGTCCTAAACTCTGTATAGCGGACGATACTTTGGTGTTATGATATTTCTCTGGGGCCTCACCGCATGCACAACGGCATTCACAAAACGATTTGCAACACTCTGCGTCAACCGCGTCTTCCTCGGTGTATTCGAATCATGCATGTCGCCCATCCTCACAATTCTCATCTCTGAATACTGGACACGAGAGGAGCAGCCTCTCCGTACATCTTTATGGTGGTCCGCCAGTGCTGTCGGTTCTTTCATGGCTGATGCCATAACGTACGCGGTCTCGGGCAAAGACCATTCGGGTTCCAAGTACGCGGTCTGGCAGGTTGTCTACCTCGTCTTTGGGCCGATAACGATGTTCTGGGGTGTTTTTGTCTTTTTCGGTGTACCGGCGTCGCCTTTGAAGGCGTGGTTCTTGAACGAGAGAGAGAGAGACATCGCTACTGACAGGGTAAGTAGCCCATCACGCGAAGGAAAGAACAGCGTTACTGAACAGACGATAGGTCCTGAAGAATCACACCGGTATTAAAAACACCGAGTACAAATGGAACCAGGTCCGGGAATGCCTTATGGATCCCCAGCCGTGGGTACTAGCGATACACGCCTTTCTTCAATGTCTCCAGGGAGGAGGACTAACATCGGTGAGCAATCTTGACCTGAATCAGTGAAGAAATCATGTTCTGATGATAACCCAGTTCTCCAAGATTGTTTTGACCCAGACTCTTGGTTATTCTAGCCGCCAGGCAACGTTAATGGGCATGCCATCCAACACCATCCACCTCGTCTCGGTAGTCTTTGCGTAAGCACCCGGCTTTACATATGCAAGCCCTCAATGCTGACCTTTATTGACCAGTGGTTGGTTCTGCACTCGTTTCAAGAACACCAGGTGCTACGTCATGATCGCAACGAACATTATCGTCTTGATAGGAGCCGTGTTGGTAGACAGTGAGTCTCGGCCATTCTTGATCTCTAAGTATAATCTCTAATCTGCTACAGACCTCCCGCAATCAAACCACAGAGGGCGACTTGCGTCTTTCTATAGTAAGTCTAAAGTCTCTTCCATGGTTTAGAACCGTTGCTCACAGGGTCGTCTAGTCATATACGTCAATACGGTCCCTTTCGGACTCGGCATGAGCATGCTCTCCTCTAATATCGCAGGGTTTACCAAGAAGTCCACCGCAAGTGTAAGTGTACATGCATCGCCGACTGTGAGTTCATTCATCTGATGATTCGGGCAGGTCATGATGTTTCTGGGCTATTGTCTTGGACAATTCACAGGCCCTCAATTCTTTATCACCAGCGAGGCTCCGCAGTTTCAGACTGCTTTCAAAGGCTTCTATTCATCGGTATCTGCCATGATCGTCCTAGAGACTGTGTTGCTGTCAGTGAGCCTATCCATTCGTTCCCTGTCAGATACTGACCATTCATTTTTAGCATCTATATCAAGTATCAGAACCATCGACGAGATCGCCGTCAGGTGGAGGAAATTCACAACACGGACAGTGCGGAGGATGACTTGGATTTAACGGATTGGCAGCAAGGCTCCTTTAGGTATATTTGGTGAGTGCGAGTATAAAGGTCTTCCAACTTTATGGCGGCCATACAAATCAACCCATGGGGGGGTTTCTTTTCCCTTCTCTTCCTCCAATTTCAGCTTGGGCAATAGCGGATCTTGCGTTTGCGCAATGCAACAGCTCACATATGCTATTTCGAGATCTCAATTCTCCGCACAGATGGCAGAAATTTTAAATCTTTCTATATTGATCATCAACCTTCCCAGTTAGCTGTGAAGTCTATCAAATGTCGTTTGATGCATCATTAACATTGGACGCATTCCTTATGTAACTGCTCCATATATGACATCTTGGAGTATGCCTCGTACTTAGCGTGCTTCTAGATGCGCTTATCAGCGATTAGTCATTAGTTACCCCAGACTTCAAAATAAACTCCAAGACCGAGGTAACCTTACACCTCCATCGCCCCTCATCCTCATCCACAGCCCTTGCCACGACGACTCACCATGTCCCTATGCAACACCTGCGCAAGAAGGAAGCTGTCTTGTGATCAACTTAAACCGCGTTGCTCACCCTGCCGACGGTCTCACCTCAAATGCGCCTATGAGCCGTCATCGCACGCTGTATTTGAGTTCAGAGATGAGACAGAGCAGATCAGAACTCATTCGAGGCGCCGCGGGAAGAAGAAGAGCACTCTCAGGCAACCGAGCCGTACAGAAATGAACCTGCAGGCCCATACAAGCGTTTCAACAGTCGAGACGGATGCGCCGGACTCATTGGAACCATCATCACTTGCAATGCTCGATGCGGCGGCGATGCCTTGGATGGATGGGATATTTGACTCGTATCCAGACCAGCAATGGGACTTGAGTCCGGACTCCGCAGTACTTTACAATGGCACTGCGCAAATTTGGCTCCCGCAAACGGATTCGCCTGGTCAAATATCCACTGACTTCAACGCGGGCAGCTTGTCCTCGAGTTCCCCTCAGACGGTCTCCGATCGGGTCCTGGCACAGCACTATACCCAGAGCCTAGCGTCCAAGTACAGTTCCAAGGGCCAGACCTGGAACAATCACACGTATTTCTTCAATCGGTTCAACTCGAGCCACTCGTTTGTGATATCAGCTCTTTACGCGTGGACAGCGGCTCATCTCTACTGTAACGGAACTTTGGATTCAGATAGTAGTGCCCTAGATCACTATGACAAGAGTCTCGCTGCTCTCGGGGATCAACTGGGCATCCAACTGGGGGTTGGGGGCGTGGAAGAAGAGCTTAGACAGACTTGGCCTCAGCTTATCACCCGAGATGATGACCTGGATGCCGTCTCAGTAACGTTGTACTTCCTCGCCTGGACCGATCTGCTGCTTTCAAGAAGAGCCTCTCTAAAACGGATGCTGATTCTCGAAGCTTGCCTTCTGGAAACCCGGGGCCACGGTGACCAATCGCAATCAGTTTACGGTAGAATGGCTGTATGGTTTTGCTTCCTTGACGCCCGCGCTGCTCTCTTTTCACAAGGTGATGATCGCATCATTCAGTGTCTGGGAAACGACTTGGGGCTAATGTTCGCGGTGGACAAGTCCTACAACTTCCTACAGACAGAATACACGCTGCTATACCCGAATGAAGAACGGCGGTGGGATGAAGCTCATAGGCCTCTGTATGTGGCTACTTGTCGCTTGGTCGCTCTTCTGGGGATGATATCCAGAGTCGACAGCAACACGGCGGAGGAGAGTCAAGAAGCAAGTACGAGAGCATCATTAGACGATATAAAGCAGGTAAGCCGACAATAATATCGCTCTTGTGCTGTGTAATTCCACTGCTGATGATGAACTAGGGTCTCGCGAGTATCAGCGAGGACAAAGCGGCGGAAAATAAGGTACTCTCCATCTTCCTCACCGCAAACGCCCTCTTCCACGCAGTGGCTATTTACGCCTCCAGAGTCTACCGACCAGAGCACGCAACCTATACAGATACTTCTCATGCCGAGGACATAATTGGCATCACTCGCCGCTTCTACAATAAGCTCAAGCGGCCGAGGACGGAAGCGCCCCCGACCAAGATATGGCCTATACCACTCATCATGGCCGCGATTGAGGCAAAGGATCCTATCTACAGAGACTGGGCGCTACAGCTTATCAAGGACTGTTGTCAGGCTGGAAAGCATTATGTCAACGCATGTGCCTTTGTCGAAAAGGTGCATGCCGCCGAGGAGGGGACGGGCTGCCGCGCGAATCTTTCCCAAATAGCCCAAGACATGGGCGCCGATTTTGTGATTTGACCTACGCCAGAAGGTTAGGTTTAGTTCCGCCATAGCCTCTTCCGCCCTTGGTGGCAAGCAAGCGACCGGCGGCTGGGACCGTCGCCGATTTGACCTGTTTGGGACAATCGGGCGACGCGCTAGCAGAGACAGCCAACGATTAATCACTACCCTGGAGCACCCCATTAACGCTCCATCGGGGCCTTTTTATATAAGAATACATGTTAGAGAAGCGATACTCGATAATTCTTCAATATTCTCATCTTACCATCTACTGCCCTACAACATGCCGTCATCCGAGACCCCTGTCACTGAAGTTTCTCGTCCTACGTGCTACCAGCACATTGTCGTCGAAGGCACGCCCTATGAGAGAGGCCTGTCGCATGGAAGACAAGTGGCTGACAAGGTCCGTGCCAATATCGAGTATTACAAGCTTCCAGGCAAGCTCCCGCATTGGTGAGTAGAATATGGATACCACTGTTTTCGACATTAACCAACATCAAACGCAGGTCCATCTCTTCCAAGATCATCGAAACCGTCTACCTGCCAGCCTTTGAGAAGTTCTACCCCACTGGACTCGAAGAGATCAGGGGCATTGCAGATGGAGCAGGCGTGACGATCGAAGAGGTCATCATGCTCAATGCTCGATACGACCTAGGTAGATGCATGTATCGGCTGCAAGATGGCGGCAAGACTCCTCAAGACCTGAACGGGCATGATGAATGCACGAGTGGCTTCTTCCCTCCCGACGCAGTGGCATCTGGTCGTGCTTTGGCTGTGCATAACTGGGACATGTCCAGCCATCTTTACAACCAAGACCTCATCATCTACCTCGAAGTGCACCCAGACCCGTCTGAGGACCGGCCATCAATGTTCATCCTCACTGAGGCGGGTCAGCTGATTCGCAGTGGGATGAACTCGGCCGGCATGTCAGTCACCGCAAACTCACTGCTCTCGAGCGAAGACTACGTACCCATTTCACATGTTGATCAAGACGGAGTCTATCACGAAGTAAAAGACCCCAAGCTCGTCCTGCCTCTCTCCGTAGCCAGGCGCGTTTTCCTTGAGTATGGCAACTACGCTGAGGGTTTGGTGGCTATCAATGCCTTCCCCCGCCACGTCTCAGGAAACCTGCACGTCTCGACAGCCGAAGGGTTCGCAATGGCCATGGAGGTCGCGCCAAGCCGTATGTACAAGTTCTATGGAAACATCGACGACAACTACCTCATCCACAGCAATCACTTCCTCAGTCCTGAGTTTCTGAGCCGCGATGATGTGTTTGATCGATATCCTGGTGGGAGCAGCTGGTTCAGATGCTTGCGAGCCGAGAAGGGAGTGAGGGCTGATTGCGCGGCGGGGAGACTGACTCCGGAAAAGATTAGGTCGGCTTTCTCGGACCATCTGGCTTACCCTGAGAGTTTGTGCAATCATCCGAATGTGAACCAGAGGAACACGCCTAGCGCTGTCCTAACTGGATATACCTCCAAGCAGAACATGACAGTCGCTTTCGTCATTTATGATCTGTTGGAGCGCGCCATCACAGTTTGCAAGGGGCCTCCCTGCGAGGGCGTGCTGCAGAAGTTCGAGTTAGGGGAGAAACGATTGTTTAAGCATTAAGAAAAGCAACCGGAGTGTTCAGATAATCCAACTGAAATTGAGTGAAGATGACAACTAGAATGTTTCGTCGGCGCTGCAGCTAGATATATGTTACATAACAAAGAATTTTGTTGTAAAACTACGTTTCATTCTTTTGTCACCCAATCCAGCATCCCATGCTTGTTGTAGTGTAAAACGCTACAAGTTAAGCACTCAAGGTTGAAATGATGCTTAAAAAGTTAGGTATCTAGGGTATGTGACGAGAAAGTGAAGCTGAAACCTGGGGTTTGTTTCGACAGGGATGTTAGCTGAGGCCGAAACGTCGCTTTGCTCGAGGCTGAAACCAGGGACTCACGATATCACATTTCTGTTTCAATAGCTAAATCCAATCATTCCTCTAGCCACGAGAAGTACTTAAATCATCAGCTCCTGCTTCCCAGAAATTAGTCTACTCTCATCCAGCATCAATCCATTTTTCCTTCACAAACCTCTCATTCCACATTCTTGACAGCATCACCATTCTGCCCAACATGAGAATCTCATCAATAGCCTTACTTTCTTTCCTCTCAACAGCCATGGCCGCTCCCTTGGTCCGTGGACCCGGCGGTCGAGTTGTACTCGAAGGTTCTGGTTGCACGTTGGTACAAGGCAGAAGCGTATGTGACGATGGATTCGGAAATACCTTGTAGGTTTGATGATTCTCTTGAGATGACGTGCGTGCTAATCATTGTCTGTAGCTTCGAAGATGATCCGTTCTCATCAAAATAGAAGAAAAAAACACATAAGGAGGACCGAGCGATGAGGGCTTCTCACAGTGGAGGATTGAGACCTGAATAATTCCGCTTGAGGCGTTGAACTGCAGGATGGGTGGCTAGTACACCCGGGCCGTACAAGATACCACAAATAATAAACTAATAAATATACAATTACCACTAAATCCTCTCCGTCTTTTTCGTGCCACTGTGAGTATTCTCAGCCATTAAGTGTAGTCTAGGCGGGACCCTCAGCCTAAGCGGAACAGGCAAAATGAGGCCATCTCCACCGAGCCCAGCCGCGTAAGAAAGCTTGCGGCCTAACATGGATCAGGCCTGTGCATATGGCAAGAAGGACATTTCGTATACCAATTGATTATTTTGAACGTAAATCTGTGGATTTCTCCATTCGAATGCCCTACGGTAAACAAAGCTGGCCGACTACGATTGGATTAAAATCTCGGCTCTGCATTCCACGTCGTTATGCATGCTGCAGCTGCACGTTGAGTTGGGCACTGAGCGCCTCACTTTCGGTCTAAAATGAAGAATAAAATCCCCGATTTCTCAGTAGATTCTCTTCAACCTCAACTTAAACTTGTTTTTTTTTTTTTTTTAATTTCAGAAGCCATGACTTCATCTAATTCTAGCGAGGACTTGTTTCCTGCTCTGGAGTCGCTCTCCAGGTTAATCGTGCCCCATATCAAGACTGCGATATTCGTCGCACTTGTTCTAAACCAATTCACTATTTTTCCAGACCTTAATGTTATTCTTTCACAAATATCGAGCCCATTGATTCTTATCGTCGCCCTGTATTTCGGTGGCATTTGGACCCTTCCTAATGGCCAAGACAGTACCAGCACCCTTTCTTGGAAGTTATTGCTAGGACCCTTTTTTGACTTCAAGACGATCTCCAGTCGGGTCGGGACATACTTCAAAGGTAAGACTAGTCATTCTGGGAGCAACTCACGAGGTACTGATGTTGTGTGTTCATTTCAGTGGGCTCATTGATGTCTTTGGCTTACTACCTGACCCTCTACTACGACCTGCCTCTTCCCTTCCAACCATGGGTTCAATACATGTTCGTCGGCATCGCTGCCGCCGTGTCAGCCGCTGCATACCTCTTTGCTCCCATCAGCAAGATTTATGGACCTCTTCGCTTCTGCTACCTTGAACATGCCCAGACATACTGGCTCGTCGTCAACTGGTGGTCGCTAACAGCTGTCGTGCCCTTCTTCTCTCCAACTCTACTTCCAATCTTTGGCTTCTGCCTCATCAGTGTGACTGTTGGTACTTGGGTCCACATCTACTTTGCATACCGCGAGAAAGTCCGTACCATCGCTTGGACCGTTTCCGAGAATGCAGCCCGAGCAAAGGCTGCTGCTGAAGAGGCCCGAGACTTTGGTGCCATGGCGAAAAAGTATGAGGAGCAAATGGTTAATGCTGCAGCTGAGGCACGACGCGATGCTGTTCTGTCGAACTCGGTTAGACTGACTGACTTCTTCGATTGCGCATCTCGTGCCTGGTCTGCTCTCGCTGAAGCTACGGCCCCAGCTGAAGATGCAGTCACTCAGGCCCAAAGGGTCATAGCGTCAGCTATCATCTGTGAAGAAACAGAAAAAGTCGATGACAAGCAGAAAGCTGAAAATGAGCGATTAGCCACATACTTCAGACAATCTGCCGAAACTGCTCATGAGCGCGCAAGAGAAACAGTCGCGCTCCTCCGCGCAGCCCAAGCTTCCGTCCGAGGTTCAGAGAATGCAGCACGACAAGATGAAGTCTCCCGTCGCCATGCAGAGCATACAGCTGAGAATGCTTCTAACGCAGCCAAGTCTGTTAGTGACACAGTTGCAGCGATTCAAGATGCTGAGCGCAGAGCGGCATGGGCTGGCGGTGCAGCTGCGAGAAGGGCTGAAGAGGCTGTGACTATGGCGACGAATGGTGAGATTGAAGAGGCAAAGAAAGCGGTTGCTGCGTCTGAATCAGCTTTTCAAGCTGCTGAGGAGTCGGCCAAGATTGTTCGGGAGGGAATGGAGGCTGCGCAGCGGGGGTTGCAAGAGTGGTTGCAAAGCAGTAGGCATGGGGTTTAAGTCATTGATTAGTTTATAAATAATCTTACTGAGCACTGTCTTGAGATAACCTTGGCACCATCTTGGGATAAGCCAGGCTGTCTTAGCAAAGAAGGTTTAATAAAATAACAAACTATCCGAACAGATACATGCTCAACCACTGGCACCTGGTGTCTCGCCAACAACAGTCAAAAACTTCTGCGCCCGCGTCTTACCCTCCTTCAAACCCTTAAGACCATCAGACAATCCCTCAAGGCCGTTCTTACCCACGACGTAAGGATGAGCTGTGAACCAACCCTCTCGAAGACCCCTAGTGAATGCTGAACCCCATACAACACCAAGGAGCTTGTTCTTCTCATCCTTGTCATGAACGTGACCAACCATTGAGAAGACGATATCAACACTGGGGTCAGAACCCTCGACTTGTTTCTTCATCAAGATGTTGGTCAATTTTGGCTTTCGGCCAGTCGAGTCTGGAGGACCGGCGATAGCCTTGGTGACAACTCTGATGGTCGAATCTTCTGATACACTGTCAAAGGCTTTCCAGCATCGACCATCTGGAGCGCCACCCTGTTTGAAAGCTTCTCGGATTGCCTTGACCAGCTCCTCTTCGGTCTTATAAGCAGTGTAGTCAACAAGGATGTCTCCCTTGCTCTCGTCAAGGAAAGGCTTGATAAATGCACTTCGCTGGCTTCCAACTGCAATGATTGGATGAACATTAGCAGCTGCAGCAAGCTTGATACCGTAAGCTCCAGTAGCGGTACTAGCTCCGTAAACGAGAAGAGGGCGCTTGTCCTCAGTCTTGGCAAGTGGCGACCAAGGTTCCGGGATCTCAAGCTCCTGGAACAACGCGCAGACAGAAGTGTACGCGGCGAGAGGGATGGTAGCAGCCTCTTCGAAAGAAACCGAATCGGGAATATGGAAAGTTGTGTAGTATGGCGCGGTGGCGTACTCGGCAAAAGCACCGTGTGGAGTTCTCATCTCATGGAAGGCGGCTACGCGGTCGCCTTTGTGGAAGCCGACGACATTTTCGCCTACGGCTTCAACGATACCGGCGATGTCATCACCGGTGTTGGTCTCTTCGCCGAGCCAAATGGGGATCTTCCAATCCTTGGGGTTGGTGCCTTGAAGGTTTAGTATTTATGATGTGAGAACGAGGGTATGAGTTGCCTTACCTGCGATGATAACCTTGATGAGGACGTCGCCGGGGCCTGGCTTAGGAATCGGAGAGTTGATGATCTCGACGGATGTATCTTTCTTGACGATTGCTTCCTTCATGATGTTTGTGAGTTGTATGTCCTTTCGTTTGCGTGTACTCGTATGGTAATTCTGAACTTCTGAAGTTGAGATATAAATTACCGAACACTTCTTATAGATGGCACTAGAAACAGTATATAGATAACGTTATACAGTACAATTCGCCATGTAGCATGATATACATGACCTCATTTCTTCGGCATTCGACCTACATTAGTAATGTTGGTGGATCAACATCCATTGCTATTAATCGTTAGCCTCTCCGGGCTTCGGGGCCTTACATGAACCCGGGACCCGTTAAGCTTTGACTTTAAAGCTTTGTAACTCTACGGTAGTTCATTTATCCATCGACGCGGTGTAAATATCAGACCGATTGAGCAGAGTTTCATTGTTATCTCAAACGATATGTCTCCGAGAAGAGTTCAGGTGAAGTTGATAGATCCGCGTATTTACGTGTCAGCACCTTATTGTTGTGGGGTCTATGGGGACCTCGACTTTCAGTTTCTCCGCCGCTTCTACACAATTCTAGTTAGCACGATCGGTCCCGCTTTCCGGCACGGAACTTTTCCGTGCAGTCTTTGCCAGATAATTCAAGCCAAGGGTTCATGATACTGAGCATGGTAATTTGTAATCCAAGTGCCTGAGGTCAAATCTACAAGCTTCGCCTCTCGCACGGTCGTGAAGTCTCCTTGCTTGGGTCGCGAAGTGGCGGCGAGCGAGATTATTGTGCACTGCAGAGTGCAACTTGGTAAGGATTTCTATGACTTATGTATGTTGGTTACGGGAGGGAAGAAAACTCAGAACATTTATGATAAGTAACAGAAAAGTTTAGATACGGCGGCTCAATAAAATACATACCTAAGTAGCAAACCTCAAGTCTCTAGAGGGAAACATTGTATAATATCTATATGCCAGGAAAATGGGGATCCATCTAAGGTCAGGTATAATACAAACCATTCATAACGCTATTTCAACTGGCCGCCTTTTTCTCCCTTTCAAGGATTGGCTGCAGTAGCATGAGCCTCAACCCACCTCCATATTCCAACCTGATCAACAGTTAATTGCAAGGCTTATCCCGGACCTTCATATGGCTGCTGCACCTCCAAAAAATACTCCGCCTTCTGGTTCGATAATATCTATAGCAACAGCTATTTCACCCAGGCAAGACCGAAGATTCCGAGAGGAAAACTGTAAGGACAGTAGCGTATCTAAAAGGGTCAGTAGGAAGTACATAAAGGACATAAGGTACAACTTACGTGGCTCCCGCGATTATCAGTTCTTGACTCTTCATTCTCGTGCCACCAGAAATCATCGCAATGAAGAATACCGTTGCACCACCAACAGCAAAGAGTCGTGATGATGTGCTGTTTAGGTAGGAGCATAGAATGACAGGGGCCAATAGCATGATGACAATAATGGGCGTCATCAAGGCACGAGAGATAGAAGCCGCAGACGGCCTTGTGGGGATATAAATATGGGCGCTGTCTCTTGAGACTTTCGGAGAATAGTTCTGTGAATTGTGTCAGTATGACAGGGAATGTCCTACAACTACTGCATGGGACGACGTACCGGGAAGAAGTAATCTCGCAAGCGAAGCAGATTCTCAGCCACGTTGTTCTCAAGTCCTATCATGGCAGATTCGTCCCGGGGACTGGTACTAAGTAGCTCTTCGGGTGGATAGTTCAAAAACCTGCTTTCTGCTCGTGCGATAGATCCCGTGCCATTGACCCAGTTTTGCAGATTCGTCACAGCACGAGGATCGGCTTGTTCGAGTTCTGAGATTTGTCGACTTCTTAATAGGAACTTGTCTAGGCGCGTTAGTTCAACTTCAAGACCACCGTAGCTGGCCAAGGACATCTTACCGAGATCTTCCAGAGCTTCGTCAAGCTCAACAAGCACTTTAGCTCTGTCTTTGTTCTCATCCCGCTGAGAACTACCGAGGAACAGTGGCCTGTCTTCATCCCTATCGATCTTATGCAGCTTGCTCTCTAGTTCGACAACACGATTCTGCTTAAGAAGTAGTAATCGAGCACGAACATTGAGAAATCTGCGTGCGACGAAAAAGGACTCATGAGAAGATATTAAAGACGAAAACTGCGGGTATCCATTAGGGTAGTCCTCGACTTGGTAGAAGTTAGCCTTAAATGTACACAAGGAAAAATGATAGGCTTGCTTACTCTGCGGTAGTTGCATCGCTGGAGGACATTGGGTCCAAAAGAGTGATACAGGCAGTGAGAAAACGTCACATGATGGCCAGACTAGATTTGGCCACTCGAAGGCCCATCTGCTACTTGTCTGCGTTGTCGTACCTATGGTTGACGATGCTTGATTGTTGCAGTGGCCTAATTCTATATCGGAAGCAATTGTTTGTGACATATTGCTTCTGTCCTTGAAGTTCGATTTTACCAGGGCTGTTGTTGAAAATGTAACTGTCGGCGGGGTTATGTTGAAGTGGTTGAGGGAGCCTAATTAGGTATTTTTTCAACCCCATTAAGTACAAGACAGTTCTGAGATATGCTGCATTTGTGATTGGAGTTGTATGTTTTAGCTGGACAAGCTGCCTCTTTGAGCAGTCCTGCTTATAGGCTCGGTTGTTCCGTTGGGGCGTCAGCTCAGCCACAATAATATCAGGGATTTTGCATAACCTACAATGCTTATCGTCCAACAGTTCAACTTCTCATTCTTTCTGAATCAGGTCATATATGTGGACGGTCGAATCGTGGTCCCTGCTACGGCTTTCCCATGGCGACTACTGAAAATTCTACAGTCCGCTGGGCTCTGATGATTGGGATCAACTATTACCCCAAAGATCGGCATCTTTGTGGCAGTGTTGACGACGTTAGCGACATCAGGGCCTATCTGGAACAGCATAGCGCTACGGCTATTCAAACTTCCGTGCTCACAGCCACCGTACCGAAGGATCATCAGTTCAATAAAGATCCACCTGAGTCAGTCGAAAGCAGGCCAACCAGAGCCAATGTACTCAAACATCTTCGCAAAATCATCGATTCTGCAAAGCCTGGAGATCATGTGTACATCCACTTCTCCGGGCACGGTACTCAACTACCATCAGACGGAAACATTGGCGAAACTGGCTTCGGCGAGTTAGGCCTTGTTCTTTATGAAAATGACGAGCATGGAGCTAGCTACTTTCGCGGGCGCTATTTAGCCCAGGCTCTAAGAAGAATGGTAGACAAAGGCCTTGTTGTCACAGTGGCTTTGGATTGCTGTTTTTCAGGTGCCGTAAGTCGAGGCGACCGAGTCCGGGCTATGGAATACGATCCATCGTTCGATGCCGACAGAGCTGAACAGGAGCAAGAATTCAAAGCAGCACTGGGTATCCCCGGGAGAGATGCAAGAATCGATAGAGACTGGCTTGTCAATACTCAGGGCTACACTATTCTAACGGCTTGTGGTCCCCACGAAAAGGCTATGGAAGTTCTTGTCAACAAAACCCAGAAGCGAGGTGCACTCACCCATCACCTTCTCAAAGGCCTTACTACCTTGGCAAAGGTGGAAGAGGCTGTGTCGCACCGATCGCTTCACGAAATGGTCGTTTCTATGATGCAGGCGTCGGGTTGCAGTCAGACTCCAATGCGCTACGGCAATACTCGCCTTTCGTTCTTTGGTTTGCTTCTAAACCCAGTCTCCCTGACTACCTTACCAGTGAACAAGATAGAAGGTTCGAAGATCTTCATAAAAGCTGGACAGGTCCATGGAATCTCAATTGGCGATGAGTTTGCTATTTATAAAACTCTTTCACCTGCCTCAAGTCGAAGACATCATGCGAAACGCCAATTCAGAGTCTCGAATGTTTGGGCTTTTGAGTCTGAGCTGATAATGTTTCAAGACATTCGAACACCGTCTCCAGCCTTCCCATTCAGCATGAAAGATCTGGAAATATTGAAGGCCACCCAGCTATCTACAGTTTCTTCGGAACGCATTAAAGTCTGGCTTCCAGAGGAGTTAATGCATGAAAAGAAGTGGGTAGACAGGTCAAAACTGTTACAGTACTTTGAAACAATCACAGAAGAGGGTGAGAAGGACCTTTGTATATTTCAGCTGACCATCGACAAATCCAACGCATACGAAATCGTCGGTGAAGCACAAGAGAACATGCTTCAGCTACCTACCATCGAGGCTGGCTTGGGCGATTCATTTTCCATGATGATGGAGACTCTTCAACACGTTGCAACATTTAAGTACTTCGAGGGCTTAGGTAATCTATTTCCATCCCCAGAGTTCAGGGAGAAATACACTATTAAGTCAATTGTGGAATGCGCCCCGGATGGTATCTTCAGAGTTTCAGATGGGGGACCTTTGGATTCAATATCGAGAACCATGCGGATCACCCTCTCTACATGGCCGTCTTTGACTTTGTCCCTTCTTGGGGGGTGAACAATCTGGTCTCCGGTTCTGGAGGTGACGACTATGTTCTCGTACCACTATCTCTTGGCCATAAGAGTGGCCATAAGGAGATAAAACTGAAAATGACGATTCCAAGTCATCTCAATTTGCGGACCCAGGCTCGAGATGTCATCAAGGTCTTTATCACTGACAAACCAATTTCGTTTCCGGGTATGGTTTTGCCGGAATTGGGGATGAAACCAAGCTTGAGGAATTCGTCTGCAAGCGCCGAGATACTCTCTGACTTTATCAAGCACTTGAATACTGGGGGAAGGATAAGGAGTGCTGGAAATAAGGGGGCATGGATGTCGCACAATTTTGTAATCCGAACCTCCGTCAACTAACATATGGTTGCTCAAGGCGTATGTCTAGATTCCGCACCAGAACAGGCTTTAGAAAGGATCATCTACCAATTCCAACTCGCTCTCATCATACTCGCGCCCCTGCATAACCTCCTTGCCGCTGTCGTCGCACAGGATATACTTTCCTCCTCTTACTTCCGACACTGTGTATGTTAATCCGTTTGAGAGCACCTTGACCATGTCATTTGGTCTGAGCTTCATAGTCTAAGGGATATTAGCTAGGTAGGGGCCTCTTGCCAGAGAAACATACCGTAGCGAAGCTTCTGATGGTTGGACGACCTCCATCAATCATCTCCACTTCCGGTGCATCCTGTTGACTATGCGACGATTAGTGATAACACGCTATGCTGGAAAGTATAACGTACTTTGATTCAATCGGAGCTTTTTGGTCCTCGGACGAATCCTTCATCGTGAATATGGTGGAGTCAAACTCAAACGGATGCACTGAGACGAGGGATCAATTGGAGTAGCTACCTAGGCCTATCCCGTACTAGCAGCAGATCAAAGATTCAAAGTAGTAGAGGCTGAACCCAAGTGCTGAGATTTTAGAAACCGGCCAGCAAATGCGGCTCAATCGTCATGCGACCCATCAGGCAAACTACGGAAAAGGCGATACACTAGAAACTGGTTCTAAGCGAGACATCATGCAGTAGCAGCAATAAAGCAGTTGTAACACACCATGAGCTTTTCTCCACCTATTAAAAATGTTTACTGGTTTGCGATATTTCTGTGGCCAATCAGCAACTAATGTACTCTTCGTCTTATCGAAATGCTAAGAGGGTAGGGCACTGCCTTCTAGTGGTGATGACATTCTGCAGGAGGTTACACGACCCTGTGAGCTATCATAATCCTTTCCGCAAAGGTTGTAAGCGAGCACTATTACCTCCGCTGTAGCACTATGGACTTGCGCTAATTTACACGAGAACATGGAACCTATCCAAGCAATTGATACCCTAAGGGAGAAGCTGGAGAACGGCGTTGATAATGGCAAAGCAAGACTTTCCGTATTAAATGATCTCGTCAAACAACTCAAAGAACAATTTACAGTTACCGAGGATGTACATTATCTCAATGAGTCCCTCAAGGTGCGAAGGGAAATGCTTGCATTGATTCCGCCCGAAGATCACCAAAACAGGGCTCTTCAATCACATCTACTTAGCAATGAACTTAGCGATCGGTTTGCTGAGACAGAAGATCTCAATGATATGGAGGAAGCCATAGAGCTGGGAATCCAGGCGTTGAACTTAACACCAGAGAATGATCCCCGAAGAATTGTATTCCTCAGGAGACTTGAGTTTCTATTCGAAGAAAAGTACGAAGAGACGGAAGATCTCGCCGATTTTGACCAAACAATCCACTACCAGAGGCTGTCACTTGAGGCGACGGACTCTAATAGCAGTACCCAGATGGCAGTCAGGCTGACTGCTTTGGGCTCGAAGCTCAACAAAAGATCAGAGATCACGGGAGAAATCTCAGACTTAAACGAGAGTATCCAGATTATGAGACAGGTCGTTGAAATGAAACCTAGGAATGAAGACGCGCTGAAGAATTTGATCCAAACTCTCTATAACCGATATAGATGGAATGGCGAGCTACAGGATTTGGAAGAATGCGTGGAACTTCATAAGAAGGTGACTGATTCATCAGTTACAAATTCAGGCAAAGTTGGATGGATGATAACAAGAGCCAACCACCTATGTATTCTCCATGAAAGAACTGAAGATGAATCTTATCTCGAGGAGGCATTTGTGGTTGCTACCGAAGCACTCGCCTTGATTCCCGAAAGACACTGGAAACCCAGATGGCTGCACTGCCTAGGCCGACTGTTCGGCTGCCAGTATCTGAAGACTGAAGGATTGGCCGACCTCGAAGAAGCGATTCGCCTGGAAAGACTGGCCCTCAAACTCACGCCCACTGGTGACAATCAAGGCCGGATCTTGACAAATCTGGGGAACCGCCTCGGTGACAGGTATCTGAGAACAGAAGATGTTGCCGACATTGATGAAGCCATTGAATGCGCCAGAAAGTCGTTGGACCTGGAGCCTGAGAACCCTGAGCGACTTTACAACCTCGCAATCAAGTTGGGGGACAGATTCTCAAGAACAGAAGATCTGGATGATGTGGATGAGGCTATTGAACTGGAGAAAAGAGCCATAAAGATAATGCCATTGGACCATTCCGAAAGAGCAGACTATCTGAACATCTTGGGGAACCAACTGGGGGATCGATACGAGCATACCGGAGACTTTTCTGATCTCGAGGAGGCCATTCGCAACGCCGAGGAAGCTTTGAGCTTGATGTCAGAGGACCATCCCCTCAGAGCAGCGTGGCTAAACAGCCTTGCCAGCTACTTCCTGGACCTTTATACCACGACAGGAGACGAGCATGATTTGGAAGAGTCCATTACAAACTACGAACTGGCTCTTAATCACGAGATGTCAGCGACGGAGGATCGTATTACAGCTGGCCAAACCATTCTCTCCAACTCTTCAGATAACCAGCAACTCTACGATACTGCAAAGCTCGCAGTAAGCCTAATCCCAAAGCTTGTATCATGGTCCCATGAGAATCAAGATCGACAGTATGTCCTTGGCAAAGTAGTTGGGCTAGCCTCCGACGCGGCAGCAGCAGCATTACAAGCGGGCCAATCCCCGATGATAGCCTTGCAACTTCTCGAACAAGGTCGTGGTATCATTGGCGCGTCATTACAAGACATGCGCAGCGACGTGCAAGACCTTGCGAGGCAGCATCCGATTCTTGCAGAAAAATATCGTACTTTACAAAGCGAATTGGACCGGCGTGCTGAGCATGGTAAGACGACGGATGCGCAGTCACAAGCGTCGATTAATCGAAGACATGCTGCAGCCAAGGAATTTACTGAGCTGGCAGTTGAGATCCGCAAGTTGCCTGGATATGAAGACTTCATGCTTTCACATAATGAAGATGAAATCTACAAAGCATCAGAGCGTGGTCCGATTGTTGTAATCAACGTCAGCAGGCTTCGTTGTCATGCTCTACTGGTCTCAAACAGCCAGGTTCGTGCATTGGAACTCTCGAGTATAGCTCTCGAAGAATTGGAGCGCAGAATAAAACCCTGGACCCTGGCAACTTCGCAGACCCTCGAGTGGCTCTGGGATACCATTATGAGCCCTATACTCAATATGTTAGGTTTTACTCAACCTCCACCGATGGATAATTGGCCTCACGTCTGGTGGATCCCGACAGGTCCTTTAGTTCAACTTCCCCTCCATGCAGCAGGATACCATGGGCAACAAGGTTCTGAAGCCGTACTTGAAAGGGTCATTTCTTCATACGGCTCGTCAATCCGCAACATAATCCGTGGACGTCGGGAGTCCTTCCAGCCATCCAGCTCTGATCAGGCACTGCTTGTTGCAATGGAACATACACCAGGCCATGATACGCTTTCTTTTGCCAACGAGGAGATAGACTTAATAGGCGGTACCATCCGGTCTATGGAGCTCAAGTCAATCATGCCCGTCCGTACCAAGAAAGAAGTTATCCGATATCTCCCAGATTGCAAAATCTTCCACTTTGCTGGCCATGGCCTCGCTCATGCAGACGATCCATCCAGGAGCTGCTTGTTGCTGGAAGACTGGGAAAAAGACTCGCTCAAGGTTTCTGACCTTTTAGATATGAATATTCGTCAAAGAGCACCCTTCCTTGCATACCTATCGGCATGTGGCACCGGCCAGATCAAAGACGAGACGTCATTCGACGAGAATATCAACCTCATCAGCGCGTTTCAAATTGCTGGGTTCAGGCATGTCATTGGCACGTTGTGGAATGTGCAAGATGATCTGTCTGTCGAAATGGCCAAGATGACGTATCAGGAGCTGCTGAACTCGGGTATATCGGATGATTCTATCTGTCAGGGTCTACACAAAGCAACGCGTGAGCTGAGAAGGAGGTGGATGGGGCAGGATGAGAGTTACCAAAGCGCAGGAATCACTATTGTATCCAATGGCAATGATACACCCAAAGAGTCTCTCTTACGTTTGGTCAGAGACGCATCTTTGATCGGCGGTACAGACGATAACCTTGGTTTGGCTGATTGGGCACCCTATGTACACTATGGAGTATAGATAAACATGTCATTTGACTCACGTTACAGAGGACCACTGTCTGGCACTGCAGGTATTCTGAGCTAACATCAAAACAAGGTACTATTTCAGAGGCACTGGTTGACAGTGCACTCCAGCAACTGAAATGGATGACTAAGTACCTCAGCCACTCATTGTTTACCCTTGAATTCGGACCATATCCTTCATCCTTCAGTACCAACATTCCCTTTACCAACAGGAATATGTTTAAAGTGCGATAATGTCTAACCAGTCTCATAGCAGTAGATTTGCCTTAATAGCTTGGGGGGCAACCGGAGACCATGAGATATCAGAATGAGAAGGCCGTGGGAAGTCTGCTGGAAGCCAGTTTGAGATTGCTATTCACATCTACAACGGAGAAGATTTGGAGACTCCTGAGACACAGACTGTTACATACTTTAGTTTATTTTTAACAAAATCACAAGACTCCTTATCTATCCAACCTATCAGCTTAAGGCAGCTCAAGATATTTGTGCCTATAAAGCCTCACCACTATAGAACATCTCGCCATTAGCGACTGCTTAGGTGATCTCGAAGTGCTTTTGTCCAGTGCAGTATCTGGAGGGAGCATCCAAAATGCCTCCTTTACCATGGATATTGGTAGTGACTAGTAGCGGCTTGGCAATCCAATGCTTATTTCTCGTCTCGGTAATCATTTAATCATAAAATTCCGAAGCGCGAACTTTCCCGCACCCAGCTTTTTCATCAACAGACCGTTCATAACCTCGAGATCAGTCAGGTGGCTGCAATTGTGAGTAACGGCACAGAGTTTTGATTTCGGACTTACCAGGGACCAACAAACATCCATGAATTACCGCATGGTCGCAGAATATAGGGAACCCTGGCCCCCATCAGGCCACAAATAGCATCTCCGACCCTTATTGACACATCTGTGCTTCCCAAAACACCTGTGACTTGAGTCTTGAAGCATGTTAAGTCAACATGTCGAGTCTTTTCTCCAATTCGCCGCGGAACTGCAGTCTCAGGGTTAGGAAATTCTGTTTGAAAGCCAAGCCAAGCCAGCCAGTAGGCGTGATATTCGAACTGATGGCTTGCGCTCGGTGGCTTCCAGCCTATCCTATATCCGTACCGTTTTGCCCCTTCTATCTTCAAACGAGGCTCAAGATCAATAAAGCGCGTCTCTATCTGGTGTATGTTGTCGAATATAAAACCTTCGACAACCATTTTGTTTCCGTTCGATGGGAATTGGCAGTTAGCCTTGGAGTTCCCAGTGAAACCGAAGCTTTGTTTTGGACCTCCAGAATCTTGGTTGTCTTGCGTTTGCTGCTTTAAATCTGGATATGCTGCCTTTTCAGCTACCGACTTGTAACTCGACGGAACAGTCCAGTTGGGGACCCATGAAGGCAGGCCAGACAGTGTTCCTTGACGGGTTAACGGATTAACCTCCACGTGGCTCATGACATTCAAAGTATCACTGTCCTGCTGTAGAATCTTTGCAACGTGGGTGTAAAGTTCCTCAACAGAGACACGATAACTGACCCTAAGGGGTGACTTATATCCAAGTTCTTCCAGTAGTCCAAGAATAGCATAGACTTTGTCTCTGGGATCCGTTGCATCGTAGTTTCTCGTCATATCTAGCAGACTTGCCAAATGTCCATCCGAAGAGGGGCTTCGCAATAACCGGGGATCTTTCTTTTGGCTTATGAAAAACTTCAATAATTTAATAACCTTCATTCTATGTGCGCCACTCCGGAATGGAAACAGGTAATGATATGTCGTAGAGAAAGTTGTGGCTTCTATCAGCTCGTCCATAAAACGGTAACATAGCTTGAAAACTGCGGTAGCCTGCATGATCCGGTCCCATTCTACCGCAAATGGGCCACAGATGACCTGGATGTCTGAACCCAGAACAACCTCTTGAATGGTCCAGACGCGGTGCCACCATTCCCGTTGAAGAAGCTCGCCTAGTGCTAGCCAATGACCTTTGAAGCATTCATTTCTGATAACGTGGGCGATGTATTCCCGGGCAACATCTAGACTTGAGCGGGAGATATCTGCTAGTCCAAGAAGCAGGCGAAATGCAGGAACAGTCTGCTCAGTAGCCCTGCCAAGCCAAACGAGGACCGAGGATGCGCGAGAGTAAATCTCTTGCATGAGAGTTACTTGCTGCGCTCGCTCATCCAGGTCATTTTGGTTAATGCAAATAGCATCAACCCACAATAGTGTCGGGAAGGTAAACCGGTGATCAAGAGGCACTGGGGTCTGAGATTCCTTTTGGCAGACGCACTGCCGATCTCAGCAGTGCAGATTCAGTCGCAGGTGGCGTAGACAGTCCTCAATATTGAGTCTCACAACTAGCCATTCCCCATTAACCAGTATACGGGTGGTTCGTGAAGGGTCTCCCCACGTGTACGAGAGGGCGTAATAATTGAGGGAGGGAGAATCTAGAGAGACCTCTGTTAGGTAGCATGTCAGAATAGGGCTGCCACTATTGTCTGCTTCAGCAATTGATAGCAAACGGATGGATCGTGGTGTAGATAATGGTCGATATCTAAACAAAGACATTGTTCAGTCTTGGATTCAGTATTTGACTGTATTGAAATGGCTAGATATTTCAGAAATATTAACGATTATTAACCTCGAAGGTCTTTCTTGGGGAAATAAGTGCGTCTGCCACATCATCTTGCATCAATCTGCTGACTGGCGTCCAGTGAGGAGGTCCCTTTCAACCCCCACGTGAGAATATACATACCTAGACGTCTCAGCTAACGAGGTTAAATCTTAGGCAGCAATTATTAGGCTAAGAAATGTTTTTTCTCATCTCAAAGTTACTACAATCCTCTGTTAGAAAGATCTAACATCTTAACACTGAAATTCTCCACTATTTCTGGATTATCTATCATATCAGATTCAACACCTCAAATTGTTGTCGGCTGTCTGCTCGACGTTTCGGGCTCAATGCGCAGTGCCTTAGAGCCAGGTCATTCAAATGATCCTGCTAGTGATCGATTCAGAGCTGTCCTTCGGGCGGCCCTCAAGTTAGCAAAAGCAAAGCGACAGCAGAATCCTAACGCCTTTATATTCGTTAGTATCTTTGGTCTACAGACGTCTAAAGAGTACCCTAGCCCTCCCGCAGCGGACCTATGTGGCATCACAGACGCTCTGCTAAACGACTCAGGAAGCAATTCTTCCAGTCATAATCTTCTCATCGCTCGTACAAATGCGAATAACATGTCCCATATATCAAAATACATCAAGACAAAACTCACCTGCCAAGAGGCTCAAATCATCAACACGCATTTAAAACTACATCCTGACCAAGTGCAGGTATTCGTTAACGCCATTCCACCTGAAGCTGAGGTAAACAAGTTACGCTCGTTAACTCGAACAGGTGGTGCATCTATTGGCACAGCCCTCGGTTTCGCCGCATCAAAGTTCATCCCCGGGGGGACCCTGGTTGTGGATGCTGCAAAGTCGATTGGTTCAGCGGTTGGTTCGACCGTTGGTGATTCAGTTGAAGACTCAAGAGTCGACAGATCTGAGGCTTTGGCCCTAGCCAGACATATCCAAAGGGACTGGCTATCAGATTTTACGAATTTCGAACCTCATCCTGTTTCTAAGGTCGTAGAAATTCTACAGCAACTACAGGACCACGAGGATCGTGATCGAAGAAATGTGCTGGAAGATAACAACGACAACCTGTTCGACGCCATGCGTCAATACATGTATGGTCTTACGCCCATGTGTCATACTTTAAAAAAGGCTCTGGATGCTTTTCGAAGCAAACCAGAAGCAGAACATCGCATGCTTGTACTTATATCGGACGGTAATTCAACAGATGGTGATCCATCAACAGCCGCTGGTGATCTTCGAAGTGATGGTATATCAATCGCAACAGTCAAGCTGACAGACAATCGGTCGGGTACTCAGCAGGCCTTGCATTATAAGACAAATCCGCTCTGGGACAAGGGTACCCGGAACCTCTTCAAGATATCGACCCCTATTCCCGGATCAACACATCCAGTTCCTGTCTTAGCCTCTGTTAGTTGGGCGGTTCCTTCAGCGGGAGAGATTGCCCTATTTTGCACGGTTTACACCGTCGCGGCATTGGAAGAGTTCTGTTCGATGCTGCTCTCTGCCCGATTCGGTTCAGCAGATGCGCTATTAGATATCGTTAGTAGAATGCGTTTTGACGATTATATCAACAACGAGCATCTTACCATCCGACATAAGCCTACTAACCAAGGGAAAAGGGGTATCTGTTATGCGCATGCCGTAGCATCTGTCATGCACATGGCTTTACTTCGCATTATCTCTAGAGCCGGTGGCATTCCTTCTTTCAACGAAATACGGGATAAGATTCTGTCTAAATATCCAGAGATAGAAGATGGACAACCAACTATAGAAGTATTAGCAGATGCGTGCGATTAGTACCGCCCCCTCCACTTCCAAGAGGTTGACGAAGAAGGCGCTCGCCAAGCAGTGCTGCGGCGGCGCCCAGTGCTCGCTACATTTAGTTTATCAAAGCCCGGGTGGGACGAGTTCTCTAAGCATTTCAACAGAAATTCCAGAATGCATAATGCGGTTCTCACAGAAGCCCAAATGGCAACACACTTTGATAAGAAGTATGATGGTGGTCACGCCGTTGTGTTAATAAGCTGCAGTCCCAAGTCGCTAACCTTCCTAAACTCGTAGGGAAGTTCTTAGGGAGATAACAGAACCTTCAGTATTAAGAATTCCGCCATTCTAGGGCATAAAGATATCTCTTTGTCCTTCTACGACATTTATTAGGTAGAGAGCGACCTAACAGACGCCGAACAACAAGCTTTCGACACTAAAGTGAACGAAGAGCTGCATCGTCGTGCTGAGGAACACGAGAGCATTTTCAAGCTTAAATATCGATATCCAAGATGCAAGGACACTTCTCCACTGGCAGAATTCAGAGGAAGTATCAGGAGAGCTTTATATCCAAAATATCAGGGATAGTTCGAACCTGATCCTGGAAATCTAGTGGAGGCCCTGTATTTTCGAGCAGGGCTGAATGATGTTGTCTAATAGTACATTGGTCATGCACCAATGCACGGAAGACATGGTCAGGTTGTTTGTGTTCCTTAAAACGTCGCCGTGTACTTATTTGTAGGTATACCTTTTCCTGTGCTGTGCCTTTTACATGGTGCAGGCTTAATCCTTTACCAGGGCATTGAAGAATAATTTTATTTATAAATAGTTATATAATTATTATATTATTTCTTTAATACTTCTAAATGTTATAGACTCTATAAGGTATTTAATAAATATTTATAGATAATACTTTTTCTTTAATTTAATATTTAAATAAATAGGTATTATTATTTTAGTAGGTACTTATAGGAATTTTAAGCACTAGTCCTATAATCAAACTACCCTAACTAAGATAGAGTCGAAGCTGCCCTTGAAGTGGATTGACTGGTAAGTTACTTCTCTTTCACCAGCGTATCAACTCATGCGCTGGCACATACATGTTCTAGGAGTTCCAAACCTCGCAGAGTCAAATGGTCAACGCGAACAGATTCATTCAGCTCAACATCCAAGATTTCTGCAGTACCTACCCGTCCGGTACTTTCCGGTTGTACTGCCATGAACTTTCCGCCATCGTCGACGACGGAAGAATTCAGAACTCGTTGAAATACTAAAAATGAGAACAAGTGATGTTTTCCTACAAAGGTTAGCTAGGCAAGCTTCATTTCCAGTCCTATAATTGTACATAGTGGGCCATTCGTGTACAGAAGCTGATGCGATGGGTTAAAACAAGCAGCTTATTCAGTTGGCGAGTCTGGTCAATAGAGCTGTCTACAATGTAATGCACTAAGTGTATTATCATCTCATTTAGGTTTCGGCCCCATGTGAACCAAGTCTATGTTTCTTTTTGTCTTCGTAAACTTTCCTTAATACCCTTCGTATGGTATCAATAGCATAATTAGAAACGTTCGCCTCTGCTGTTGTAAGAACGCTCTTAACCTGATCTGGTGTCCACATGAGGTTTGTTGATGTCGAAAACGACGCTGTCTATATCAAATCAGAACATGTATCTGTCTGCATCGTGATACTCACCGTGGGATTGAAGTCCGGGTTCAAGGCATTCGGTAAGAGTGGGCAGTAGATGATGTACATATCTTGCCCGCTCTGTCTTCTTCCATGAAAGAGCCTAGCGTAGTGATCCATGTATCGAAACTCGAATTCCAACGCATGCCTTGAAGATAAATTCTTATTCCGCTGTGGCTTGTGAAACTCCCACGTCACTTCTCTCAGCTCAATGTCGAAGTCAGCAGCGAAATGGTGCAATCTTTGGACAGCTGCTCCAGTGTGAATATCCGAAGACGCATCGAAAGATATGAAAACATCAACACCTCGCTCTGGCCGAGCGAGGATATGGTTCGGCAGGTTATTCGCCATGCCGGAGTCCATGAGTCTTGTACGCCCCTGTGCTTCCCACGGTGGAAAGGCATGCGACTGCAAGGCTGCAGGATTGGAAACGGATCTGTCGCTGCTGTGCATCCCTCTTTGATGCTGATGGGAAACTCGGGATATGTACAAGGAGTGCTCTGATGTATGTTCTCGCATCCCTACAGGTCTTTCAAGTCCGTAAAAAGGATTCGGGTCATGACCTGCGCGGATTGGATTTCCCCAAAAGCCCTCAAAGTGTTTGGACTGGAGTAAGTTGTTAAAGAGCGTCACCAATCGTGCCACTATCGTGTTCTTGGGTATAGTAACCAGAAGGGCTTTGATGCATTCCGCCAAAGGACCCGCTGGAGCACTGGTACACTGACCCAGTAGGAGGGAGAAGGACTGCTCTGGACGGCGATCCACGGAGTATCCTGAGATGAAGGTACGTCCCCATGACCAAGTTGGTACATAGCGGTTGAGGTCTGGACTCCCGACCTCGAGGGGTGAGATCTCGAAGTATTGGAAGAACTTCTTGGCTCGTCTGTTCACAGCAACTGTTGCATTTGTCTGATCACTTCCTTCGACAAAATCCAGTTGCCGAGATGTCGGTGGTTTCTTAATATCCCTGGCCTTGGCGGAGATTGTCTTTGGCTCGTATGAATACTTCGGTACTCGTCTCACGGCTGCGAGAAGCGGCATTGGCTCCAATCCCCTATCTATACCTGATCGATGCCAGATCTTTGACCACTGAAACGTCGCTCTGCTTAGTCTGCCCTTTGGCTCTCTCGAGAGCAGTTGATACGTTGCGGTAAGAGTCGAGTAAAGGTCCATAATCCCCAAGCCAATGATGCTTTTCTTCGCTTTACTGACCAGAGGACCTATTAGAAAGTAAACGCCTCTCTTGCTTCTCGCAACCATGTTCAAAGCATGAATGCTCATTGGGTGAGCAAGCTCACTCGCTACAGTAAGATAGTGGTCTATGAGCCGTTGTATGTCATGCCGAGCAATAGTGTAGTAGGCTGCGAGCGTCCAACAACTTCCACTAACGCCCGCAGTCCAGGTGATGCAATCCCATAGGCCATGCTTCTTGGCTGCTGAGATGAACCCTGTGAAGCCATACATGACTTTATACCCTCCACCTGATCCCCCTAAAGCGACGAGTGGGACATCTCTGGGGTCGACCTTCTCGTCAGGCGATAGATCTAGGAAGCGATGTAACGCATCCTCTCCTCGTGATGACATTCTCGACTTCCGAAGCTCAATGAACCTTTGTTCTTCGTAATGAAGAGAGGAGCCATGTCGAACTTGAGCATCCCATTTGAGCTCAGGATATGTTGCAAAATCCGTCTCGTCCCTCTGCAGGAGTGTCTTGACAGATGCCAAGTCGACAGCTCTTTGATGCCATCTTTCAACAATGGCCTTAGCTTTCTGGGACAATGAGACGTTGTTCGGCGCTGTAGTCGCCAACTGGCAGGACTGTGTGTGGTGTTTTCCATGTATAGTTGGCACTGCCAATATTCGGCCATTTCGAAAACGTATTCTCGAATTAGTGACTCGAACCCTCGAAGAGACTGGCGTTGCTTGAACCAGAGAGACCAACGAGCAAAGACAATATGTTTTTGCGTATAAGTAAGCTGGTGACTTTCGAACTGAAGTCAAAATCACCATTTTCCTAGCCTTCAAAGGCGCATATTGACGATGTAAAATGAAGTTGAGGTTTGTAAACAACGCATCTTGAATCGTTGGCGTCATTGCTGACTGATCTCGCTAGCTTCGGCAGCCAAACAGCGATACCACGTGGGCGTTAGCTTTCTCTAACGCTGATAAGCCAATTAGAGCATGGTAAATGCAGGGTAGGTTAGAGCTATTGTGCTTGACAGTTTCTAGCAACTTCAATTACCGACAAGAGTACAGGATACTGGGAGTAGAGTAATGATTAAATAATTATAACATAGTGAATTGAAATTTTTCAATGTCTTGGGATGATGCATCTCATCGAGATGTGATAAGGATTGACTGATAATCAACACCCTACTTATTCATTGGCACTGGATCACTTCTCCTCACCCTTTAAAACATGTTACAAAACAGCCTTCCTCCCACATTCCATACATGATTCCCAACAAATAAGCATCCATAGGACCTTTAGAACTGGAACTCCCATGCGTATGTAGTCACGGCATCGGTCTGGTAGAACGGCAAGGTAACCTGTCCGTTGCTAATAGTGTGACCATAGTAACCTAAATCTGCTGGAGGGCCCATCTCGCTATAGTGAACATCACTACCAGCAGCGAATTTCCAAGTCCTGACTTGCAGGGTTCCAGAAGACGGGAGGCCCAACTTTGCCAAACCGGAGAATGTCACATCATAAGTACCGGTGGTAGGCGGATGACAGCCGAACAATACTCTAGCAGTGCGCGTTGTAGTATCCACGGTTGCATATGCATCAAACCGGCCATCAGAAGACACAGAAGTCGAAACACGCTGGCCCGTCATGTTGTGTGAGTAGTAATTATACACCCACCAGTCACCATTAGCAAAGTAACCTGTAGAAGCGTAGTCCGAGGGATTGGGTTTGGAGAGAAGACTGGCAGCTAGGTCGTGAAGCTGGGTGCCTCCTAGCCAATTGCCACGAAGACCAATGGCATTACGGCGTTCGAGCTGGGAAATCCAGAATGCGGATCCAGCGGGGACTTGCTCGTTGAATGTAGCGTATTCGTTGATGTTGATTTGGCGCTGGGGGAGACCGTATTTAGTGAGGATCTGTTGCAAGACACCGTAGCTGTATTCAAAGTCGGAGCCTGAACCTCCCTCCTCGTGCCATACATATTGGTCGGGTACGGAATTGTTGTTCTTGACAAACTGAGCCCACTGTGTCCACCAAGAATTGCTTGTACCTGGTTGGCCGGCAAGAGTTGGACCCGACGTCAACACGGCCTTCCCGAAAGCATCACTAGATAGTCAGTAAAGAGTCCATCTCGTCTTCTCAGAGGTAACTCAACACTTACTTGAACTGATGCCATCCGCGACCCCACATTTGAAGCCACTGATCGATGCTACGGCCCCAGAAGCAACTCCCCTCTGGCTCGTTCCATATATCAATAACCAAGCCTTCCTGCATGCTGTATTTCTTGATATTTGCAATGATGGCCTGGACAAATTTGTCGTAGGACGACCAATCACCATTATCACCTGGCGCTGGTGAGCTGTTATTATTAGAAGAGCAATCAAAGCCCCAGAGGTCATTCAGCAATAAGACATAGCCACCATTGTGACGGCGCGTGACAATGTAGTTGTTATGAGCGCTGGCAAAGCGCTGCTGGAACCCAGCCTCATTGTAGCTCCATCCATGAGAGACCTGGGCTCCGGCACCTCGGTAGTAGTTGAAGCCGAATCCGGAGAGCAGGCTGTCCGGAATCTGGTTCGTGTTGTCGGGTATACCGTATAGAATGCCGGCAGCGAGGTGCTGAGGAGCACCGGTGGTGGAGGAGAAGTCAATCTTGGGACCGGCGTTGTCAGCAGCTACAGTGCAGACAGCCGCAAGGACTGAGCAGGTCTTTATCATCCGCATAATTGAATAGTGCTTATACAAGAGTGCTTGAATAGATACTTCCTGAGGATAAGGACCACAGGAACGCCCTCCTTTATATAATACGTCTCAACCCCCGAAGATACATACTCTTGCTGGAGATACTAGAAATGTTACGCTGGGTGAAAAGCACGGCAGCGGATAACCGGCAATTGTGACCCTGGCAATACCGAAGCTGTTCTTGTGACCTGTTTGCGGGGAAGATTTGCCCAATTGATGAGGGCAAGGACGCAAGGCTCCCACCGTCAAAGCGGCCAGACGATGTCTGTTAAAGATTTCCGGTGGGAGTTCCGGTGGGAGAGATCTGCTAGAAGCTTTTGTAATTTACTTTTCTAATTTTGATAAGATTTTATTGAAACGCTTATATCTATTGAACTTATGATGGACTAGCTATTCAGCCTGAATATACAAGAAACTCTACTTATTTACTAGGCACTGTACCTAATGCACATAGCACCCTGGTCGTACCCCTGCACAATCTGGGGTTCATTGATGATACTGCTAGTTATTCACTCCGGATCCGATGCGTCGAGTTCACAGTTATCCGCGAACGAAAGCCCCAACACCGTAAGCATGTCTTTAAACACATCACATGATGATGCACCATCTGCATAGATATCCCGACGACGATAGCTGGTACACAATTTCGATACGGTACCATTTTTGATGCGTTGCCCAGATCTATCTTGTCGAGACATTGATGGGGTCTATATAACTTAACTTAGTATGGCCGCCTCCCAACTTTGCAACTCCCCGAGCGAACAGTTGATTACTTGCTTACGAGAGTCCGGCAAAGCAACTGATAAATCTCCCTTTCCCCTTTGACACCAGATTCGATTGTACATAGGCACACGAGTTGCAGTTGATGGGCCTTTGTTGTATTGCTTTGCTGCGCCGTTGCTTCCCGAAAAGCCGACATGTGATTGGCGCCGATTTTTTATCATACGTATACCCTCCCGTCACTTGTAAATGCCGGTTTGTCGCAATAAAGCTGTTAAAGTGTTGCAGCTGCTGCATAGTTGTGACATCAGGTTTGCTTCGAGGTGAGCTCGTCATACGTCATGTCCCCAGTTACGTCATCCAACATCAACCTCCGGCACCAGAAATATAAAACTCACCATCAAGCCAAGCATCTACATAATAACCATCTAAAACACGAATCCTCATCTAAAATCCATCAAAATGTCAAAACTTGTTGATGACGTCAAATCAGGCCTAAAAGGCATCCGCGGCGCCGGCGACGCTCTACGAGGCGAAGTCCTCGACGCAACAGATCAAGCCTTCGACAACAACCCGCGACACCCCGAAACTGTTAAAGACCACGTCAATAACAGAACCATCGCTGAGAAGGGAAAGCAAGATATGCACGGCGCTGATAATGCTATTGCTCGTCGGGAATGGGAGCACAAGGGCGTTGAACCACCTGCGCATGTTGGACGGCGAGAGAATGAGAAGCCGTTAGCGACGCAGACGGAGCCTCTTTCCAGAACGGCGGCGCATGATAGACCTAATGAGGGGTTGAGTAGGGAGCCGGAGATGGGGCATTTTGGGAGTAGAGGAACAGAGGGGGGTGTTGTGAAGGAGCCTGATTCGAATCTACCGAGGTATGCTTGATTTTAATGCTCAGACAAAGGTAAGATATCATGGCCTTTTACAAGTTCTGCTTGATATGCTAACTCTTGATTTAGCCTTCGCCACCACACATGTTATTTAGCTATACCCACTTAGAGAGCTTGAAGACTGTTGAGTTTGCATGATAGCTTATAGTATCTCACGATACGAACGAGTCTCGCGTCAAAAGATTGTTTTATATTTTTGTCTTCCAGGTAGCATGCGTGATACCTCCAATGCATGCTTTTCTCGATCATCCAGAGTGCGAAACCATGATTTGGGGTTATTGCCTATGCTGCCTGAAAGTGTAAAACATAACATTCTTTTGACATGAGACTCGTTCATGTAGTCGAGTCATCACCTATGTATTATCGAGCAGACTTAGGGTGTAAGGATGTGAATATGTCACGATATGTATTATAGCTATTGAAAAGGAACATATTCAAAGATTTGTTGTCAAGTAGTTACTAAGTCCTTCGGTAAATCTACCAACGAGGCTATTATTGTCTTAACAAATCTTTCTGTATGGCTCCCTGATGATCCATATACCACTCTCTATTTATATTCCTTATCAGCACTCTCGTACAGTCCCCCAAAAGCTCCATACCACGTATCAACAACCTTCGTCGCCATACCCGCCCCAATCGTATCATCACCCCTCTCAAACTTGGGCACGATATCTCCCATAAACTCCTCCACAGTTAGTGTATGCGGCGCATGCTCCTTCTTATTATCATCAGGATTCTCCCTCTCTCGATGTAAATTGGACTCCACCATCGGCGGGACAATTTCAACAACGCGAATGTTCGTTCGCTTGAGTTGAGTGCGGAGATTCATGGAGAAGAAGTGTAGCCAGGCTTTGGTACCGTTGTAAACGGGGTTGATGACGGAGAAGGGGATGTAGGCTAGACCGCTGGTTATGTTGACGATGAGAGCGTTGGGCTTGGATTTGAAGTGAGGGATTAAGGCGAGGGAGAGATGCATTGGTCCGCGGATGTTGATGTCAATTTCCTGATCTGCTTTTTCGAGGAAATCGTCATTTTTCAAGACGTCAATTGGGCGTTGAACTCCGGCGTTGTTGATGAGACAGTCAAGATCCGGGTGGTCGCTGGTGATTTTCTTGACGAAGCCGGGAATATCAGCCGTCTTGCCTGTATCAAGGACATAATAACCAGCAGCGCCGATTTCCTGAGTCGTGGACTTGAGGTTCGACTCCGTTCGTCCAGCAAGAAGAACCTTTTTGCCCTTGGAGATCAAGTATTCGGCTAGTGCGCGGCCGATACCGCCGCCTCCACCGGTGATGACGGCGCAGTTGAAAGTGAGACCATTTTGCGACATTTTGGTGACTTCCGAGTTTTATCAAAGACTGGGTTATGGTATCGTATGGTTTCTGAAAGGAATACCGCAATTGACACGCGTAAATATATAGAAAGGACCACGGAAGTTCGGCACTGTAGTTGTACCGGCGGTGGAACTGAAATATGTTGGCGTCATAGGCTCTAACTTCAAATCGCAAAAGGGGTAGTGATGCGGAGGACCATTCGGTCCACAATTAAGTCCGGTGACCACGATAAGTCCGATAGTGCTCAACGAGATGATAGTGACGCAAATTTGATATGATTACAGATTTTGACTTCATTTGGAAACCGAGCCCGAACCCTGCATGCACTTTGATCTACCTATGGTGATTAATGCAATAATGCAAGCTTCCCTAATGTTCATATCTTTCCTATATCCTCGCAGAGAATCTTTGCAATTTTAAAATCCTGCTCTATTGCCGGACTGTAAAATGCGCCAGTTTCGAGATAGCCAAGAGCGAAGTTTGTCCATTTTTTGTTGACGTCTGATACGACGTCGCGGATGTGAGGGTATGGTGATACGCTCAGAGCATATATGACGCATATTTGGCCGAATATCCTGAGTTGCAATTAGAACCGCTTTGAGTGAGTGGGAGAGGGGGTTTTACTGGCTGCAGACGAAGAACTTGAGAGGATTGCAACTCCTCATTGTATCGGTGACTTGAATGACGGAAGCCCAGGCGAGAACAGCGCTGATGGCATCGCGACATTTTCGGAGGTGTCCTTCGGTGAGAGACGATGGTCTTTCCAAAGCACGGTGTCTTTTAAAGTTAGCGTTGTGTCAAAGGCCGGGGTGATAAACTCACAGCAGAGGCCGACCAATGTGATATCTCGCTACAAAGTACCGAGCATGTAGCCAAGCCGTCACGAGCGCATCGGAAGGAGACTCAGCCTGCGTCAAAGGGGATTTCGGATCAAACTGAAGCATAGGAGGTAACCGTTCCCGCCACTGTTCCAGCTGACGAATAAGTTCATCCTCAACAGGTTCAGGCGGATAATCCGCAGTCGGATCTTCCAAAAGTCAACACTTCACCCCTCCAAAGAAATTAAGAACCTACTAAAATGAAACAAGTTATTCCTCGCTCTCGTCAAGATAAGTCGATGCGCAAGCTGCGATAAAAAGTGGTAGTGAAAAAACGGATCATCACCCGGATATCGAAACGATCCAAATGATGCAATGTCTTGAGCGGAGATAAACTTTGGTAGAGCGATGTGTTCTTCAAGATGCAGGGAGTTACTCGGTGGAAGGTTTAGTTCCTGGGATAGAACAGCTTCGAACATGCTTGTTATCCAGAAGAGACGGGATTGCATGTCTAGCATCCACTCGTCACGGTCTCGCGATGCGCTGAGAGGTTAGTTGTTTGTTGTTAATAGCTGGGGGTGGCTTACTTGTTCCAGAAGTATGCGCTGCATGCGCTCGCTTTGCTGAGCATGGCCCACCAATCCACAGGTCTCAAAGCCTCAGCGTAGAACAATCTGTTAACGTCAGCTTTCGTCCCAACTTTCATCCGGCAATCATACCCTGATAGAAGATAGAACTGGCAAGCCTGTAGATCCTGCTCGCACATCAAAAAACCAAACCGTTTCCTAGCCTCATTAAAAAAGTCCAACCCCGGCATCTCCCCTTCTTGTCCAACATACGGACTGGACGCCGGCGTCGCCGCAAACCCAGCTTCTTGCAGCGCTTTCTGCCCCATCGAGCCAAGAGCCATGACAACAAGAACAATACAGCTCTCTATACAAATCCCAAAGTTCCCATCAATGGCAACACCAAGCGTTCGCTGAAAATACGTCTTTTGATCCAGTATCGGATTTGCAAGGTTAAACGTCGTGAAATAAACATCAGATAACTGCTTCAACGTCGCAATACTTAACTTGGAAAGCCAATCTGATGAAATATCCACAGACGCAGCGTGCGGAAGTTTCGGCCGCGAAGATTCGAGGCTTGTTGAGTAGGTACCGCCTTGCATCTGACACATTAACTTTACAGATTCTGGAAGAGCTGATTGAATGGCGGGCCAGAATAGGACTTGATGTGCGCTAAAGGAGATAGCGGGATTGGGATCATTTGGTGCTGGTGAGTCGATGGTTTCGTGGCGGAGAAAGGATGGAACGCCGAGGACTTCACTTGAGTTTGCAGGAGATCTGGGGTTGAAGGGTCGTAAGACGGTGGCGATTGAGCGATGTTCTGTAGGGTTAGGATCGTGGGGTCTTGAGTCGTCGATTTTACCTTCGATGCGACGGAGGATGTTGACAATCATTCCCATAGAAGCTTCATTTCTAATGTTGTTAGTGTTGGGTCCTCACTGGTGGATTAAAAGACGTACCGTGTTGCTTTTCTTTGAGTGAAACGGCATTGAATACCAAGAGATTTACAAAGTCCACATGGAAAATCTTCATCACATCTTGTCTTTTTCTGACGACAATATTCACATGCCTATCACGCTTGAGTCATCTCATTCTTGATGAGAGTGTAGGATGCTTACCTGTCTGGCGATGAAGCCTCTTTGTCTCTTTGAAGGTGGGCCTTCATCTGAGCCGTGTGCCTCAACGGCAGGACTGCTTTCGTCTCGGTCTGCCATGCAGTTCTTTGAGAGTGGTTGATGAATTGTAGTGTTGGCCGGGGAGGAATGGCAAACTCCGGCTGTGGCACGTGCAGAAAATTCAGACGTACTTCGATAGATGCATATCTCACTTGCTACATACAAGTCTCGTTCACAGTCGTCTTCCTTATTCCAGTCAATGATAAACGGAGCAATGCTTCAGTGCCTAATCGAGTAGACTAAGTAACTTTATTCTAAATACTTTCGTCTCCCGCCAACATCAATCCATCCTCAACGTAAGCTCTTTACGATCTTACAGCCCGATTCTCCGCCAGTTCCATCTCCAACTCATTGACAGCAAATATCAAGTCCTCATTATATCTATTAGTCTCTTTAATCTGATTCCCCGAATCTTGAATGATCAAGAGTGTCGCAATATTAAGCGTCAATCCAGATACATATGCAAGCGGTATACTAGCCGCTGGGCTCCAAGCATATGTGACGGCGCTCGTAAGACTCGTCACCAATGATAACGCGAGCATTGTGTAGAAGGTCTTGGGAAAACTCGTCTTGATCTCATCCTTCTTATTTCTGTTGAAAAGTGGTTTCACGATAACGTATAATCCTGCGAGTGACGAGATAAACTGACTGAGCGTTGAGTAAAAGTTGCTGTCTAGTGCAGGCAGTGCGTCGGGAGATGCGCAGAGGATGTGGAGTAGATGGTTGGTGGCATTGCTGCTGCTAGGATCAGAACAACGGGTGATCTGGTAAGTTCAAAGAGGTTTGTCCAATGGTTCTCGTGTGCGTCACGATTGATGCTGAAGCCATGTCGTGGCTTCGTCAATCGCCTCTGCTTGGGCTTGGTTGAACCGTTCTTCACGTGGGCTGCAGTGCTGTTACCATCTCTCCCGAATGAAGTTCTTTGGACAATGCCACCAGATGGAAAATTGGAACCGCTTGACCACGATTGAGCGCCAGAAGAATTAACAAACGATGAGAGGTGTTTCGGCCGTGCTGGCGAGGGATTAGTAATTGGCAAAAGAAAGATTAAGGCAGAGAGAGGGTCCGCCAATTCAATCTTACCTTGTTCGACACGCAACTAATTGGCCTTCACCGTGCATTTCGCCAAGTTGAGCTCGAACATGTCAAAAGCGACTTGGATGGGGGCCAGCAAGTCCACTAGAGACGTCCCAGCCATCCTGTCAATCTGCACAAACGCCTCTTTGACAGGGAGGAAAATAGGCCGAATGTGAGCAGCGTTGCTTCTCAGGTCGCCAATTTTATCACTAAGCCACTCATAATCCTTCACTTCATTCTTCCAGCGCTCGAATACGCCAATCCATTACCGCTGGCAACGCTTCGTCCGTGGAATACCTGGCATGATGGCGTTTTGATGGTGAAAACTTCTCCGCAAATGCCAAGATGGAGCGAAGAATGAAAGGTCAAGTGCAGATCGTAGGGCTGACCTTTGATCTGGCGGTGTTGTAAGCCTTCGCGGAATCTAACCCGCACATGCTAGACACCATTTGTATGACCTGTATCCTCTTATACCTTCCTGCACCGGTGCTATTCACATAATTGGCAAGGCCAAGATTTTGGGTCAGCCACCTTTTGCCAAACACGACAAATTACATGATCTGATTTGCATCATGGAAGCCTCATTGTGGTTACAGTAGCCGTAATATCCAGGGCCAAGAAAGAGTTTGTACAGTCGTTTCACGAGTCCTATTTTGTTTAATAGTTGTTGATTTCGTCTTTCCGTGTAAAACGCATGGATACTTCGCGCATTGCAATAATCATAGTACACGAGCGTGACCTCGCAGCTTCCTATTACAGTATTCTAGAACAAGGTTATTGGCGAGAATGTCAATAGTTCTGCCGGTTAAAAATCTTTGCTCGAGTCTGGACTGGGCGGGGCGAGCTGATAAGGACAGGTAAAATTGCAATACAGCACGTGGCGTGGGCTGGTTCCACGCACTATTAACAATAGCTTATTTAGCATTAGGTTTAAAGAATAACATTGACAATAGCGTCCTATATGTCGCCGCGATGAATTAGGGGTCTGACTCTATCGCTTTTAGGCATAGCGTTCCTGTCAATAACAAATACTACAACAACCCAATACAGTCCACCTTTCTGTAACCCTAGCTGTGATTTATGCCCCCATCATTCTTTTGTCATCATCCATTTGAGGGAAAAAGCCGTCATGGTCCTTTTTTCTGTCTTCCTGTCAGTGCTTGCGACGGGCGCCGCCGCAAGCAAGTGCCGTCCCTCCTCGTCTAAGCCCCCTGTCTCAAACACGTTGACGGCGTCTGCAGGTATATTTCCGATCCGAAAACAAGGCCCGTTAGGCAAATCCATGATAACTAATTGGCGTCCTATAGATGATATTGCTCGGAGTACTCTCCTTCCTGAGACAACGGCATCCGGGGCAACGTCGAGCGAGTATTCAACTACAGGAGTAGTAGCATCCACCACAACCCAAAGGCCGCTTGTCGTAGACAACCTTATTGTCAATGGAAACCTTGGAGCTCCGGGCCAGGACTCTGGGGACATCTACGGCTTCCAACACGAGATCCGAGCTCGTGCGCTCAACCAAGGTGGCTACATCGGTAGTGACACGGGGGAAACCCGATGCGTGGAATTGAGTATCCTCCCTGATGGTGGTAACCCAACGAGAAAGCGACAACTCACCACCGACACGGATCGTTCGACTAGCATCTGGCAGCACATCGTCATTCCTCATGCCCGGCCCGTTTTTCGGCTCTTCTATAAGGTCTTACAAGTGGAAGACGGCAACGACTGCAAAGTCAATGTGTACTATGGTAATCAGCTGTTTCTCAGCTCTGCTTCTTTTCAAGGTGTAGCCGATTGGCGCGCTATTTCTGGCATGCCTTCGTTGACAACACTCAGTTCCGACCTCAGGGTCGAGTTGAGATGTGTCAACGCCGCAAAGAGCCCGGCCCAGATACTGGTCGATCAGATGCTCATGTCGGGTGCCATTGGCCTCGGCGATCTCGACAGAGCCAAGATAGACTGGAAAGCTGCCACCCTGGCGCAACCAACGATGAGCAGCACTATCTCTGGCGGATCAACACAGGCGAAGCCTAGCACAACCGAGACGCAATCGACTTCCGAGACTGCATTCTCCAGCCAAGCCGATACCTCGGATCCACCTACCTCTACCGAGCCCAAGACAACCATTCTGTCTACCGAGGCCAGGACGAGCACTAAAGCTTCCGTGTCCAGCGCATCCGAGTCATCGTCTATGGTAAAATCCGAATTGGCTACATCGTCGGGCACCCAGTCAACCAGCTCGGAGACTTTGACGTCAACCTCTCCGTTGATGTCTGGATCATCTATTGTTTCAGAATCATCTCTGACATCAGCTTCAACTACTTCTACAGCCCTGGAGTCAACTACATCTGAATCAACCACGTCTACAGCGCTGGAGTCCACCCATTCTGCATCAGAGTCGACTACTTCCAATACCACTCCTGAACCAACCACGTCAAACCTTTCCTCGTCAAAAATGTCCACAGAAACTTCATCTATTACAAGCTGGACTCTTACTGTATCCGCCACTGCCACGCCGACGTCGACCACGTCAACTACTACAAAGGGCCCAGGTCCACTTCCAACCTCGATTGATGATCTGTCCCCCGCAGCCAAGGAAATTTTCGACTTCGTCATGAGCAAACTCACGCCCGACAATAGAAACCTTCATGTTCCTGCGCCAGCTCAATCTGACGCTGACAAAGCGTTGCACCCCAGCAAATTCGACCCTAATGATACCTCGGACCAAAAGGCTCTCGCTGCCCAACTGTTGGATATGGGACTCGATCCCGTGGATGATTTTGTCAAATCGGCTGAAGGCAAGATACCCAATAACGATCCCGACTCTGAAGGCGGCGTGTGCCCGAATCCCAGTAAGAAACGAGGTCTGGCGCATGCCCTTCGATCTCGTCGAGACACATTCGGTAGCCGTAGGCTCAATGGTCGCTTTGCACAAGCTGCTCGCAAGCTTGACAACTACCTTGCCAAGCGGGACGGCTGGGACTACGCTTGCAACGAGGCGCTTGGGGAGTTCCTCGGCGTGTTTGGCGACGTCGGAACTGCTCATGAACTTGTCTGCTCGGGCAAGGATATGTGGGACAGCAGGGATGCCTTTGTGTGCCTGTTTGGTGGCTGTGGCCCAACTGTCAAATACGAGGAATGGACCTATACCTGGAATTACGAGTGGGTTGTAGACTTTCCGACTATTTCGGAATGGATTGCGCAACCAGGCGATGGCAGCTCTCTGAGGTGTCTTGACTGTAGTATGAAATTGACCAGCCTCAAGTTCACCGGTACTATTGTTGTCTGGCTGGTGGATGGTCGGGTCGAAATCAAGTCTGCAAATCTTACTCCCGAGGTTGTTGGCAAGGCAAACATGATTGTTGCCCTCGAAGCAGTAAGTGCTTGGGAGTCTCAGTGGAACTGGGTGTTTGAAGCCGCGCCGCTGGAGACGATCGAAGAAAAGGGAGCATATTCAATCAGGTCCAAGGTGCTTTATGAGTTTGGCATCAAATGGAAGACGGCATCTGCTGTCAACGTTGCCAGTGCGGGTGCTTCCTTTTCACTCAATGCTCAAGCCAACTTGGATATCTCCAACGGAGTTGGACCAACCCTTCAGTCTAAGAAAGGCTGGGAGCCCCAGGTCACCTATTCATACCCTGTTTTTACTGCCTCTGGCGGAGTCTCGCTCATCCCCTATGTCCGTTGGGGTGTCGAGTTCGATATCGATATTTACAACCAAGTCAGGCTTAAGCCAGCTCTCTCATCGCAGACACTTGTTACAATCCAGTCGAGCTACTCAGACGAGCCTCAGGGCCAGTGCTCGGCTAACAAGCTTGCCGTAAGCACCTACATGTCTACCAAGAGTATGATGAAGCTTCGTAATGGCGTCTACGATACATTGTATAGTGGCTCCAGTCGCGCGTTCAATCAATGTTTTGAGGCACCTGATATGATACCCACGGCTGAGGATATTGCCGAGCTGTCTGAGTTTGCGGGCGAGTTCTGTACATCTTATTTGGATTACAGGCCGCCTCGTACCACCTCTATCTCGACTGCCACATCAACAAGCGGTTCAACCACGACTACTGAATATGTGACCAGCTGGGTTCCACCTACTGCACAATATGTTGTCCTCACCATAACTAGCTATTTTGATCGGACCGGTTGGCCTCAATCAGAGGCAAGAACCGTCACCACCTTTGACAAAGCCGCCACTTTTACTCAGTCGGGATTGAAAAGGCGCGACGCCACAGCCACACAACAGCTTGCTGCTCGTGTGGTTTTTACACCGGGGCTGGTACAGAACTGGGACAACAAGAAGATTTCATTTGCTTGCAAGCAGATCGCCACTGGGACCGAGACAGTGACGCAGCCGGTGACTACAACGATTGGTGTTGGAACAGCCACCATCACCGCCACGACAACGGTTGCCAGACCAGGGGGAGACGTAAAGTTTACACTGATAGTCCTTATCAGTGGAGATATATCGGCGCTGGACGTATGGACAATTCCTGGACATCCGGAGCATGTTCCTCGCCATCTGAAAAGTCGGGCAAGTGCTTCAAGATCAGAATTAACGGCCCCAAGTGGACTGATGGGCAGTATCTGAAATACAGCTCAAACGATCCCGACTCGCTCATAGCAGGTAACGGAGGATTCCCCTACCTTATCCACAACACGTGGTACTTGTCAGAAACGGGTCGCTTGATCACCCAAGACCCTTACGCCCGAGGTGGCTACGTTGCTGCTGTCCGGAACTCGAACAATATCATCTTTGGCACTCCTGCTAGCAACCCCAACCCAGATGGCGCTGAAGCCCTCTACTGCCAAAAGGACCCTAATGACGTCTGCTCTGGTGTGCTTTCCTGCAGCACGGATACCAGAAATGGCCTTTCATTCACTGCGCCCAAGTATGACTGGTACCGCCAGTACGACGACGTCCGTTTCTACAATGACTTTAGGCCTCGCCTCGGCGATAGTACTCCAGGCAGTGAGATGGCGATATTTACTTGGGAGGCAGCTTCCTGTGCCTGTGAATGAGACAACTATATAGAGGTTTGTCTCTATGGCCTATCCATCAACAGCTTTTCATTCAATCTATATATTGTATTACTTTCTGAATATAGACTTCTCGACTTGTATCGCTACCTATAAGAATGTTATCAATTCTTTCCTTTTCTGTCTTCCTGCAACATGTGCAGCCTTATCTTCCCGTCTCAAATCCTCGGGACTGCCAAGACCATTCAGGCCCACAAATTGCCTGATTTCATTTGCATTATGGAAATTTCACCATTATTGTATCAGCCCTATTGCATATAAGAACACAGCTTTTTTATTCCTTTCTTCTTGGTATATCTATTCGATGGAATATCGATTAAAGTAATACAACTCAGAGAAGAGTCAATCTTCAATAGACTTTTTGTCATTCCCTTAGATATCCTTCTCCCATCTGGCAGTGATCAACGCAACGTCATTAGAACACTCCTTTTTCCCCTTCTCTTTAGGCGTCAAGTTTAATGCACTTTCCATACGCCATTCTGACATCAATGAATGAAAAAGTCTTCGGGAATCGGGCCAGTCTGTAAAAATTCCCCATACATAATGCCATCCACATAAGCATCATCCTGGTAAGTAAATCCTCCCCCAACTCCTGGCCGCAGAATCACGAGTGCCTTGACACCCCATAGCAGAGTGACAACATCTCCTGGTTTGACAACCCGGTAGCCCATTCCGAACATCCCATTGGTGGTCTTGAAGAGAGTTCGGTTATCAACACTGCACTCGTTTTCGATGATACTGGACATATTCCCTAAGGCCTACTATGCTATATATCCATCGTCGGCAATCCAGCCAAGGGATAATTAATGTACAGAGCATCCGAGGAAATAAATTCTTGGCAAATGAATCATTTTCAAGCTCTCAAGGCTCTTGTCAGCTGCGTTGCAGCGCATAGGTGCCCAAGGCAGACCAAGGCAGCCAGAACCTGCAGACGCCACCGTTACCTAGTTGCACCCTCTCCGTTTTAAAGCCCGCATTCCATAACAAGCAAATGTGCAATATGTGAAACATGATCTTGCTTACTGACCAAGCTTTGTCGATTATGAAAAGTCCTACAGCCACAGCGGCTACCACGCATACGTCTTGGCCCATCATGCGGCCAAAGCCTGTCACCAATCATGAGACACATTTCCAAGGCTGGGCTTGCTTCTTTTTCTGTAGAGTGTTTCTCTCTTACTGCCTACAATACTATAAACAATGCTTCGGGTCCATATTTACGCCTTTGTCGCAACAACAAACAAGCGAGGAAACGGCAAAAGAACTTTTCCATCCTTCTGCGCGGCATAGCCCTCCTTCAACTTGCTTAAATAAGCCTCAATAAACGCTTCTTGCTCAGACTCCGACAGCGGATCGAGATAAGGACGAAGACCAGTCCCCTTGACCCACTCAACAATACCCTCATGGTTCTCCATAACATGCATATAAGTCGTCTGCCAAATATCGAGATCAGAGCACAAATGCTTCAATCCATCCCAAATCTCAGTTAGTGAAGGAAACTGGTCACGGGAGTAGTTGGCGGCTTTGAGTTTCTCTGACCAAGGCATGTTGGATGTATCCGCTGTTTCTCGCATCAAAGCGTGACTTGGCTCTTGAAGGTTGAAAGGGACTTGGAAAGCGAGACTTCCACCAGGCGCGACATGCTCAAGGAGTTTTCTCACAATCTCAATGCGTTGCCCATTGGGTAACCATTGAAAAACAGCATTGGAGAAAAGAACGTCAACGGGTTCTTCAGGTTTGTAGGTTAAAAGATCAGCGACCTCAAACGAAACGTTAGGAAGAACTTGTTTCGCCTTGTTGATCATGTCAGCTGACGAATCAAAACCTGAGACGTGAGCATTGGGATATCGTTCGGCTAACACGGCGGTTGAGTTGCCGGGGCCACAGCCAACGTCCACAACGCGCTTGGGAGATGTGTTGGGAACACGAGCTAGAAGATCTGTAGAAGGACGAGTACGGTCTTTGAGGAATTTGACGTATTGGTCTGCAGACCATGTATCTTTGGATTGAGCCATGGTAGCTGAGAAGTAGCGTTTGGGTTGTTGACTAAGGGAGGTGAGAAGATGACGTCGTGATAGTGAAGCGACGCGAGACATTGTCAATTGAAGACTGAATGATAGTAATGTGAGTCTGATGAGTATTATTTTCTTCTTGGCATAAGATAGACAGCAGGGACCGTATTTATATTCGTATTTGGCCAGTGTCGTGACTGATAATATTATTCAGTCGCGTTTCATTTGACAGCCTGGGATTGAGTTTCCTGCGAGAATAACGACTTCAGCCGAGTCGGACTCCGATCGCCAAAACCGAGAGAGTGGGACTGCCTCGGTTCAGAGTCGGGCTATCGGATGTACTGTTCGGAGACGAGCAGGACCTCGTGAAGGAGGAGAATTTTTAAAGTCATTTCGTATGATCATCTTGGAACTTTTGCAAGGTTAATTCAGTGTATTAGACTGGGTATGCGCGGTTGTAACAGTTGTGGATGCTTTTCGAGTCACCGTGTTGGCATGCATGATGGCGCGCTTAGACCTGCTTTATCAATTTAATATCCAAGTTGAGAAACACATACCCGTCTGTTGGTGCGAGAATTGCTTATTCTCGAATTGAGGCAAGAAGCGCAGTTATTGATAGTATATATCAAGTCAACAAATTAAGAAGGCAGTGGAAATAGTCAATTGGTAAAGCGATTCGGAGCCGGGACAGTTTTAATGGTACTGTTTGTAAGCCCACCAATCATCGTAACCAACAGTGCCGCGGAAGCAGGCATATTTCTACGCTTATTAGGGATTATCATCACAAGCCCAGATATTTGGGAAGGGCCGGAACTCGATCGCAGCTTGACTAATTACATTTGTCTCTACTTTGTGCCAGAATTTGTCAGTTACTTCCGCGCTCCTGATTACCATAGAATCTAGCCAACTCCCAAACAGCATAGTAATCACGGTCAATAATGTGCTTTGAATGGGCGTTGGTGTATTTAAACAGACCAAAAGTCCGTAATAACCAAGTCCGTCTACCCTCCCTCATATGTTCTTTCATCATCACCTACTACCTCAAGTCATTCACAAACTTTCCATCTACCATTAGCTTTAGATACGCAATACACCGCCACCACAATGTCAGAAATTAAACCAATCAAAGTGTTGGGAATTCATGGACCCAATGCTGGAAAGGTCATCCTCCTCTGCGAAGAGTTGGGAGTATCTTATGAGACAGAGATCATCCCTCTCACCGACGTCAAGAATCCGAAGTATGTCGCCATCAACCCGAACGGACGGCTGCCCTCTATCCAAGACCCAAACACAAACCTCACCCTCTGGGAGTCGGGCGCTATCATCGAGTACCTCACAGAGACCTACGACAAGGATCACAAGCTTAGCTTTACTCCCGGTACAGCCGAGGCCTACCACGCTCGTCAATGGCTCTTCTACCAGACGACCGGCCAGGGACCTTACTATGGACAGGCGATGTGGTTTATCATTTATCAGCAACTTCCTGAAGCTCGGGAGCGCTATGTTAAAGAGGTCAACCGTGTGACCGGTGTGCTGGATGGACATCTGGCTAAGCAGGAGCCTGATGCGGATGGAAAGGTTTGGTTCTTGGGTGGTCGGCTTTCGTACGTGGATATCGCGTTTTTTATGTGGCAGCATACAGCCGAGCCGCGAATTCCAAACGAGGAATTTAATCAGGATGATTACCCGCATGTTAAGAAGTGGGCTGAGAACATGCTGGCGCGCCCGAGTGTGCAGAAGGTCTTGAAGCTCCAGGAGGCTAAATAGACTGTAGCGGGACATGGTTGTAGGGAAGGGGGCTCTGCCTTTAACAGGGGAACCACTGCTGCGAAGCTGGATGGGAGTGAAGAAGGATACTTGTTGCTGTTCAGTATGAAGGTTCATGAGACTTTTATTCGCCTTTTGCGTAGATTTGGTCATTCATATAAAACTCGTTTCACGGGCAGTCATTTCAGATCAAGGCTCTCACTCAGTCGTATGCTTTTATGATATTATAACGCAGAATGGTGAATTCAGAATACTAAGCAACTTGGGCCTAATTATTTCAATAAGTACCCAACTCCAAGTATAAACAAATACTCAAATGAGAGCAGTTCTCTCGTGTTACGATCAGACGAGATTAGTTATAAACCCGACTCTTATCACGTCGAGTTCAGCTACCCTATTCCTCGTCTCGCGCGCAAGGACGTGCTGAGAACTTGAGCTCTGCCAGAAGCGAGCCAATCATCAACGGTTCCGGCCGCGTGGCCTAATGGCTAAGGCGCTAGATTTCGGTTTCCAGCTCCCGAATTCTCTAGAGATTCCAGGTTCGAATCCTGGCGTGGTCGATAATTTGCTGGATTATATCTTTTGCATGTCAATTGGCTTGTGAAGATAGTCTTTTTGCTGGCCCATATGTGCATTAAGTATGGGCAGTTGAAGGCAAAACTTTATTTGGCGGATAACCGGTTATGGACTCAATAGACAAATCAATCAACGTCTCATTCCCTCACTCATACTCATACTCAACACTATACATACACCGAATATTCTTATCATCAGGACACCATCCATGGAAAACCAACGTATCTCCCGCGTTATTACTCGTCGCACCACCAGGCGCATCAAGTCCGAAATCCGGCGCCGCAATCAAAGGCTCTTCCGCACGTGTATAAGGACCCGACAGTTTATCCGCATAAGCGTATTTGACATTATACAACGGATCGCGAAAATCGTGACTGCTGAAGAACAAGACATATTTCCCGTTGCCAAGGCGCACGATGTTTGGCGCTTCGACTAAGACGCCGTCTTCACTGCCAATGCGGTCAAAGATCTTGACGGCTTCTCCAATGAAAGTGACGCCATCGCCTTCGATTTCTTGGAGCATTATTGGTGTACCGCCCGTTGGGCCTGATGCATCGCCTTCGATTTTATAAATGAGATAGTTTTTCCCGCTGTCAGGATCTTTGAAGCCGCTGGCGTCAATGGCGCCTTTGAGGTTATCTGGGCCGCAGACAAGAGGTTTCTCATCATATTTATAAGGGCCCGTAGCGTTCTTTGAGCGCGCGACACCAATGCAATGTCTACCGGCTTCTATCTCAGGACTCAGGTAAACGATGTACTCTCCGCTATCGACGCGTCGAATATCGGGTGCCCATGTATTTTCGCCTGTTGTCCAGCCCTTATCGGGAAGCGCATCTTCTTGTTGCAGGGTCCATTCTCCGAGCAGGTCTTTGGCTGTGGCGACCTGGAGTTTTCGATAGTTGTCTGGCGGACCGCCGTTGGTTGCGACAGCTACCCATGATCCATCTTCGATTTGGATGATGGATGGGTCTGGAAAGTTGGCGTTTATGGCAGGACTGAGAGTACCCTCGTGTTTCACGGTGAGTTTGAGTGGTGATTGGCGAATGGTGCCGGCCGTGGCAGTGTTGAGAAGAAGGCCGAGGACAGGCCAGATAAGGCCTTGAGTGATCATGATGGAGTTGGTATTGAACTACTTTGAAACCTGTCGAGAGGCTTTGAATTTAGTTAGTTTCATACCCGTGCTTTTATACCCGAGACCGTCTCGGCACAGCCCTCGATCGGCACTGCTTACCTTGTTTCCATAGCCTCTCATGCGTCAGTCGGCTATGCCGTCAGCTGTCGATCATATCAGATTTCTAATTTTAAAATAAGCAAGGTACAGCTTCCTTTTCGGGGAAATTGCTGCGCATAGCTGCAGAATAAGCATAGCATACCATCGTGGTGGATATCTCCCAACGACAAGCGAATGATAATTCGGGGTAATTGTTGGGTTTCGCGTTTCCTTCATGCGAATGGGTTTATACCTACTTGTTTATTGGCCGCATAAATTTTGTCTCGACTTGTGGCATGTTTGTTGGCGCTGCAACGCTTTGGTAAATGACAAGTAGCATCGGCAGGCGCACTCGGTTTGTCTCCAGATCTCTTTGGTGATTTCGAAGGATGAATGAACGAAAGACTAGCTACGTATGGCGACTTCAATGTGGCCTTTTGTGTTGCGGATTATTCTGCGATTAGTTTTCGCATTCCCTGATGATTTTAGCCTGTCTGGCAACCGATCAAACCAACAGGATACCCCAAGCACTCACGCTAACAATTCAAACCCTGTCACCAGCCATCATCTAATCACCCAGTCACACAGTGTAGTGCAGGCCAGAAACTAACCTAGTTCATGATCATTAAACGAGCCAAAGATAATAATTTTAGTGAGAATTCCGTAAAACTATGCTTACTATCACTTCAAATTAGCTACGAACAGCTTGTCAGCACCTCTAACTGGGTCCTTGGAGGTCCACCAACTTGAAGACAATGCGTGAGCTCAAGCGGTGAATCCATTCGGGACAATCATAGACGGAGTCAATGATGGATACACACCTTTGGAGGCTGCTATGATGGTAAAATAGACAGTATCAACCTAGTAGTTCTAGTGAGCATCATGGTTTTAGGCTGAAGAATACATCATTTCTATTCTTAAAATGATATATTACATGTCTCTTCTAGCTAAAGCTTTCCTTCTACAACTCTGCCAAAATACCCAAAGACGTCTTGGTGCTCACGATGTCTAAAACGGTATGTCTATTCATAAAACTGCCCAAAACCAAGCGCGAAACTCTGACGCAATCATGCTATCAACACCAAAGCTAGATAACGGCTTATCCTCGCTGATCTGATCTATAGGCATTAGTTTCAGGTTAGAAAAGCGCGTCTTGATCAGCTGCATAATGGCGATGCGCAAGGTACTAGAATCTGCGATGGAAGCAAACACTGCTGACAGAGTCGAGGGAATGCTCTTGAACCATTCTGCCGCTGAGACAATAGGTGTGCCCGCCTTCGCCCTCCCTATAGTCAGCATACTCCTTCATAAGATGACCCATATCAAACTCCAGCGCTTTATGATTAACAAAAATAGTTTCAACATCCAACATAACAAAGAGCATGCGAGCCGGCTTCTCCTTGGATTGTTCCTCCAGCGATGCATAGCACCACGCTTGCTGCAAACATCCCCGGGACGAAGGACCCGGTTGCCTGTTCTATCTTCACTTAAACTCAGCTCAACTTCGCCCTCACAGACAGTTACAATCCCGAGTGTCAATGCACGATGCAAATTGGACTCAGCGCTGGGTGCGAAGTCTATCATGCGAACGACACATCCTTTTGGGATCTGGAGAGAAGGCTGATTGTAGTTAGCGACATCAAGCAATGCGAGATCGTGGAGACTAACTCTGTTCAATCTTGCAAATTCCAGGTCGACATCCCCTGTAAGTTCCACTGAATTGCAGTTGCTGCTGTACATGATGCTTTGAGCGCCAGCACCGTCTAGCATAATATCGCGATGATCACCGTGATCTGTCTTGAAGCATCTTAGTTGGGCACTTTGACAGTTCTGATCAGAAAGATGGCCCTTACTAGCAAGAATGTTGGCTCACCATTACTATCATGGCCAGTAACGTAGCGGAACGGGTTTTGAAGGCATGGGGCAGGAAACTCGGTGCATCGATTAGAAGTTGTCATGTTGATTCACTGCTGCCTATCTCAAGACATGTTAGGTGGATGAAGAAGAAATATAAGGCGAACGGGGTAGGTGAGGTAGATTCAGATCAGAGAAACAGAATGAACGGCGCGGCGATTGTGGCAAGAAGTCTTGATGTAATATGGAGTTATGATAAAAAGCGAGGGTGTGTCAAGCTCGATCGATAAGCCTCCAAGTCCTGAGAAGTTTCGTTCATCATCGGCAACGTTGTGTTAAACCAGGATACATCAAGTAGAGTATGTGAGCTGTACCATCTACTAAGATCTCACTCCAAGGCATACACAAAGTGTGAACAGACAACTAAGCAGTATAATGAGTAACAGGCTATATGCACAGCATCGTGCTCGAACTCAGAAATTATAAGACATATATTGTCCTTGTTAAAAGTCATTACTAGTGGAGCATCTCGGGTCAGCCTTGCATTCTATTGATGCAGCTAATATAATCTACTCCACTCGAGAAACCCCCGTCAATCTCAATGAAGACGTTGATGTCGTGAAAGCCAGGCAGGAGGAGGTAAGCAACTCAAAACTGTTACAGGCCTCCTCACTGATGCATCCCATAGCCTCCCTTCCACTACCGAAATGGATCCATTGCCCGTATGATTGACTTTGGCCCTGGCGTGGAGTCACCATTTCATCGGGCCCTGACTATTGACTATGGGATCGTCATCGAGGGAGTCTTTGAACTGACTCTCGACTCTGGGGAGAGGCGTATCATGCGTCAAGGAGGTGTGTGCGTCCAAAGGGCTACTGCACATAAGTGGAAGAACATCGCGGGGAATGAGACCATGCCAGGACGCATGATGTGGATTTTGCTCGACACTGAAGAGCTTACTGTAAGTGGGAACAAGGTGGAGGGGTTTCTTGGTGATTTGGAGAAGGAGTATCAGGGTCGGGGCCACTATTGAGATAAATTTATCAGTCCAACAGGAGCTTTGGTGGTGTCTCAGTTATGAGAGTGTCGGTAGACTTATAATTGCTCGTACGAGATCTCGTTCCGACGTTGTTCCGCCTGAGGTAGTTGACCCAGGCAGCTGGCACCAGTAACTGTCGGGGAAATCACTGATGTTTCTGACTGGAGCACGTAGAAAACAAAGATTCTGGGATTATCCTGCCATCAGAAAGACTCACGCTCTCATTCCTTCCATTGGATTTGCTGTCGGTGAGGCCACAAAACTGCAGGTCTCCAGCGCTGCAACTATGCTTGAGCCTCTTGAGCGAACTTGATCAACGACTTGTAGTGTTGAACGGAGCCTCATCAGCCACTGAAACCAGAATGGACTTGATGAGTAGGATACTCCGCTCAAGACATTCATAAGATGAACCGATTTTGCTGTGATTGATAGGCTCAGCTCCTCCCGGCAGTAATGGCAGTTTTCCGATCACGTGGAGGAGACATGCCGACTCTCGTCCGGGCGGCTACGCTAACCCCAGACCCGGAGAGCTAATTCGGCCGGCATTCGATGTCAACAAAGGAGCATGAAGAGAATAATTAACAAATATTTCTAAATAGATATACCGAAGATATCACATAAATTATATGTTTCCGTCGTTTATCCGCAATACCTTAACAGAAATGGAAGAACAATTCCAGCTTCAAGTTGACATCAACTTCACCTCCGCGCCGAAGTGGAGACCGGGAGTACATCCGTTCCCCACAAATGAACCCAAGCATCGGGGCAGTTACCGAAGTGTCTTACACGTTGAACTCTCAAGGTATAAAACCCCGTCCCTATCTTTTCATATCTCCCCTTTTCCTTCTAGACTCTCCATACTTCACTAAACCGTCAAAATGTCTAAACTCGTCCCTCTTACCGTCATCAAGGGCGCCGGCCACGAATTCATCCCTCTGCCCCAAGGCGAGAACGCCACAGTCGCTGACTTTCACACCATCCGCACAAAGACCGATGCCCCCGCTCACATCACATCGGGCTTCTACAAGATCGAGGCTGGTCCTGCTCGTCCTGCGCATTATGACTTTGAGGAGAGCAAGTATGTCTTGAGTGGTCAGATCGACGTTTTGGTATGTTCCCTCATACGGCTTATCGTTGATGATGATACTGATGATTTGTAGGATGAGGCTACTGGTATCACTCACCACCTTGTTCCCGGTGACTTTGCTTTCTTCCATGTTGGCTCCAAGGTCAAGGTCAGTATCCATTCGCCTCCCCTCCTTGTTGGCAGATACTTACATGTCGCAGTTCTCTACTCAGTCTCAGGGCTTTGCCTTCTACGCTGTTACTCGACCTGTTCGTGCGCCTCACCCCAATCTGAAGGGTCGTGAGGAGGACACCAAGTCCCGCTTGTAGGATGTTGAGAAGGTTAATGGAAAAGAGTGTACGACAAACGTCTAGTATGATAAATAGACGATAATAGAGTTTATTTCGCGCTATCAATGACCGCTTCATTTAGTGACATTATTAATGTTCATTGGATAGACTGATTGACGATGATTTGATCCGTGAAAGGATGTAAGAGCTGCTTTGTGACAGCAGTTGAGCATTTCATCGCAGCAACGAAAGACATTGACTCGCGACAAATGTCGCCATAACATCTATGCCAATATGGGACGTGACGCGCCACGAGACAGACCCGGCAGCGAATAGCGAGACTGTTACACACGTTCACTTTACACCAGTCTTCTCACATCCATAGCTCGAGGCTCCAAGGAAGCGATTCACAATTCGGCAAGCAGCGCCCGAAAGAATAAAACACCCTCTAGCAACCCAATCTTCTGAGGTCGCACAAGACCAACCATCAACATCAAACACCAAACACCGCTTAAAAGATCATCACCAAGATAACTTGCTATCACAATGACCACTTGCATCGGATATTCATATCTTTTACCAAAGATTGAGATCTTCAGCCTTGACTACCTCGACGTTGCCTTGGAAATAATCTATGGGGAGGGCAAGGCAGAATGGCACAGGGTTGATGACTTACTCATATTTACATCAGAAACTGTTGATCTGGTTGGCTTGAGAGAAATGCTTGGAGATTTGGGGGTGACGTCTACGTGGCCTGAGTTCGTAGCCAAGGAGCTAGATTAAACTTTTATATGAATATGAAAGCGTTCGTCTCGCCCAAAGCTATTATGAGAAAGTGTAGAAATTCTCGGATGCAAAGTTTGATGTGCTGAGGGAGTTCTAAAAGTCGGCTTCCAAAAGCACAATTGTGAAGTTTCTGTTGTCGAAAAACGTCCACAGTTTCGGGTTCAATCATGACTCAATTTCTGACGTGAATCAAGTCTGAAGGCGATTTCAGGTGTCACAGGTCCTAAAGATGTAACAGGCAATCACCGTTCCTGATAAACACTGCTCAAGTGTTTAAACAACAGCCATGCGCTGTTCATGAGGCGACTCAATTGAACTTATAACACTCCTAGCTCTGCCACAAAGAGCTTGCAGTAACACCAATCAACACTATCATACATCAATTACCATAATGTCTGCACCTGAAGAACCGGGACTTGTGAGGATTGTCGGAGAGCCGAAGCACTTTGAGCTCGAAACGCTGACCCGTGATCTTGAAAGGATTCATGGTAAAGGGAATGCGAGATGGAAATTGATTCGGGACCGGGTTCACAAAGTCGAACTTGTCTCAATTACAATTGAGACAGAAGACATTTCTACGTTGGTAGAACACTTCAAGAAGCTTGGCGTGGAAGTGGAATGGACACAAAAGTAACCAAAGACTGAAGTGAATACATCAATTATCATCATACAGTACAGATGCATACAAATCGTATGCCCGGAATTGAAGATCATCAAGGCTCTATTAAGTCTACTCTATGAACAAACTCGTCCTCCAAAGCACCATCTATTTCTGACAAGCAGAAAGGAAAACATCATCCATAAGAAGAGTAAAAGGAGCAGGGTTGTTCTTGCAAGTAAGAACAAACGAAAGTTCAACTGTAGAATGCGTAGGCGTGACAAAGTTCATGCGGTTGCGGTACTGCCACCAAGCATTAGGGTCGAAGAAAGGATCAAAGTCATCAAAGTTGACACCGTCGAACTTGACGAGGATGTCACACTCGTAGTAGGGAAGATGGGCGCCGTTGCCCGTGTGGTGGCCGTAGCCGAGATAGTATTGCTGGCCGGGCATGAGACCAGTGATGGTGCGCTTGAAACCGGCTTTGACACCGTCTTTTTGAGGCCATTGGAGAGCCCTGGGAGGAGTTAGTTTTGTAATAGAAAGGGGATCGGGGGAGGACCTACATGGCGAGGTTGCCGCTGTTGGCACGGGCTTGAGGACCGAACTGGCCGTTGTAGGTGATGCCGGCGTTCCCGGAGATCTGCCAGCCACTGGTACCGGACTCGAAGTCACCGTTGGGGATCAAGTTTGTGCTGACGCAGTTATCTTGAGGAGGCTCGGCGTTGTTGATGGGTCCGATGGTAGAATCAGGGTTGAAGGCAGTGGTGGTCTGGAAGCCGACGGGAGTAGGAGTGGCCGGCTGGATATCAGGACGAGTAGTGGTGGAAGCAAAGTTGCCATCGGTTGAGGCATCACCGTTAGCAGAGGTGGTGGTCTGGAAGCCAGGGTTGACAGGGGCGGAAGTTGACTGGGCATTAGCCTGGATAGTGCCAGTGGTCTGCTGATTGTTCTGAGCAGTGGATGTTGACTGGCTCGGCTCACCACCAGCAGTTGTGGCATCGTTGATACCAGTCTCGGTAGGGGCGACGGTACCTCGAGTAGATTCGGTGCCTTGGTTATGAGGGGCAGTGGTAGCACCATTCTGGGGAACAGTGGTAGGCTGAGCAGTGTTTGCGTTGTTATTGGCACTGGTAGTACCTTGGTTAGGAGCATCGGTGGCAGTAGAAGGACCGTTCTGAGTAGCAGGTCCATCCTGGGTTGCAGGAAGAGTCTGAGTAGCAGGGCCACGCTGAGTAGTTGGAGCAGACTGGGTGGTAGCAGGGCTGTTAACAGGCTCACGGATCTCACCGCCTCCAAAGTCGAGTCTAAAGTCACCAATGTTCTCAGGAGTAACCTGGTTAGAGATAAAGATAGAATCAACAAGGACCGTAGCAGAACCCCCAGAAGAGCAAGTAGTTTGAATGTTCAAGAAACCCTGTGTAGCAGGGGCAGATGTAGAGACCAAGACTTCGTTGTAGCTAATACTAGCACCGTTGGAGAAAATACCAGTGGTGAAGAACTTCTGAGATCCAATGAAAGCTTCAAGAACACAAGAGGTTGTTTCGCGGGGAGGAGTGAAGGCCAGGTAAAAGAACTGAATGGTGTACTGAGTACGAACATTGAGTCCAGTGAGCAATTGCTTCAGCGCAGCAATGTCTCCAAGACTCTGACGCTTTCGACCGCCGGGGGACGCCTGGGCACTGAGCTGCGCACAGCTCTTATCCGTACTTCCACCACCGGGATTATAACCATCTTCAGTGTTGAGAACGACATGACCATCAACGACGAAAGGATCAAGGCTTGTCAGACCACCGCCATTGCAAGTGTTGGTGATAATAGAATTGGCCGCAGGTGCAGGAAGAGTCGTAGCCTCAACAGCAGCAGACGAAGTCTCGGAAGCGACAGATGCAGAAGTCTCTGTGGTTCGAGGCTTACAAGGACCAGCGACGGCGCCAGAAATGGCTAGAGCCGCGACGGCGATGAAGGAGCGCATAATGAGCGTAGGGGTAAACCAAAGCGATAACGAATGAGTGACAGACCGAGTTGGACGGTTGAAGCTTCAAAGGAAAGTTTACAAAAGTGAGATGAGGAATTGTGTTTTGTATTGTAGGTGTTTAGACCCCTATTGCGGAATTGGTGATGCCGAGGGCTTTCGATAGTGTAGTGTGGCGTTATCCGCGTTGAGACGTTCAGCCTGCGCCTCTTGGGTCCGGTAGTTGGGCTATTGATGTTTAGTGTTTTGGTGCCTGGATTGATGTTAGATGGTGGACCCTGAGATTTGACGTCAATGTCAGCATCACGATCGTTTGATGATGGGATAAGCATTGAGGTTGGAGAAGGTCATTCCTAATGCACCGTGTAGGTCGAACATCTTAGTCAATGGTTATCACCAGGACAGGTTTGTCTGTTCCATTGAGACTTGAGAATGGTCATTAAAAACTATCGGCAGTTCGACTATCTCGACGACGTATTCTACCCTTGTTCACGACACAGAGCATCATGATCCAATTCACGGGATGGAGCGTCACCGCTAAACATGTTCTGCTTCCAAGTTCTAGTGCCGACCAAGCATATCAGGAATTTTTCCCCGTTCCTTAATCTCAAGTTGAGTCACTAGCGCCATGGTGACAGCTTTCCCGAGAGTCTGGATCCGAGTCGCCGACTAACGAGTCGATAGCGCCAACGGTAGTGCGGAATTATTCAGCTGTTATCTTGCATCCGAAAGTGTCAGTAGATAGAAACGTGGAGTTCTTGGATGCAGATTGTTTTCTGGCGAACATTGATATCTGATGATTCCTCCATCTCCTTCAAAGGCTTGCCCGCTCAGGCAATAGTCCGATGATCTCTTGACTCAACGGTTTGGAACTCAAGGCCTTTCATCCCTAATCAAATTCTCCATTCTAGTACTTTCGAGCTCCTTGTCACTTATCGCCAGTCCATGGAAGGGCCATAAACTCTTTATCAACTTCGCTATTAGAATCATCCCGTCGGCTCTCAGTCCTGCCGGCGTCGTCCCATATCAGCACGGCAATACCATACACAAGGTGAATCTCCGGATTCCTCGACCTGGAGAGTGCGAAGACAATTGGCCTTGGTACCGTACCTCTGGTCGAGGATATCAATGGAGCGCATTCAGACCATGAGTCAGAAGGCCTCTATCATTTGGCCGCTCGTGTTCAAATTTGCACTTAAACTTTATTCAAAGTCCATATCCAGCCTTATCTATAGTAAAAGCTGCTTCATTGATATTTCAAGGCGCACTCGCCATCGCACCCGTCAACAGGAAAGTAAACTGTGTAAGCAGCGGGGTAAAACCAGTGATCTGGGTGTATGTTGGTGTTTTGTCGTTCAAGTCTGCCTTGCAAACTTGGCATTTATAAGTGATTCAGAAATTCCTCCCTGTAATTGGATGCTCTGAGTTGGATGGCGAAAATCTGTCTTCACTATTGGGTCACGGCTCTGAGGCTGGCAGACTAGAGCTCAGCTGGAACGCCACCAAAATCCGGATCTTGAGATGCCAAATCATAGATGGCTTTTGAGAGATGTTCTTTTTTCCTTTGTTTCTCCCTTTGTGAATTTTCTGCAATCGACATGTCCTCACATCTGAAACTCCATGGATGCCATCAACAAGCTCTCTGGCTGGAGAAAGACTGCCCTTTACCTTGCCATACTCGCTTCAATCCTCACGATCTTCCTTATTACAGCACTCATCATATCTCTGCATGTCATCAAAGATGGCGGTGCATCGCTATTTGGAGAAACAGCCATCTTAAGCGGTTCATGCGATAAAACCTCACGTGCTAATCTATGGATCCATCTCGCCATCAACGTTATTGGAACAGGCGTTCTAGGCTCATCTAATTTCTTCATGCAAGTCCTCGTTGCTCCAACCAGGCAGGATGTCGATCGCGCTCATGCTTCAAAGCGTTGGGTCGAAATCGGTGTCCATTCTATTCATAACTTTCGCTTCCTTTCGAAACGCCGGGTATTGCTTTGGGCGCTCTTCTCACTTACCAGCATCCCTCTCCATTTAGTCTTCAACGGTTGTGTTCTTGAATCCAAGGCTACGAACGGCTTTGTAGTCGTCATGGCTTCGGAGACTTTTCTCGATGCTGCAAGATTTACTGTTCCGCCGGTGACTGGGTCATCCAACTTCCTTGTCGCTCTAGACAGCGTGGAACCATTCAACAGGACTGTCAAGAGTATCAGGAGTTCCCTGGATGAACAGTCCTGGGAACGCTTAGGATTTCAAGACTGTATACAACGCTACAATGATCCTGAAGCACCGATGCCATATCATCGGCATGTTGTTATGGTCATGAGCAATCAGAACAACACTCCTAGCTCTCAGTGGACTCGAGCCAATGTAGGCAAAGGGCTTTACGGCTGGGACGATCAAGATGCACTAAATTCACTTTGGTTTGCAAGACCTTATCATCGGCTCAGAGATTCCCGGGCACTCATCACAAATTCTACGAATAACAATACGGTACCAGCTTCTGATATGCAACTCGATCCAGCCACTGGAGTCATATACATGAACGAAACGAAGTACGAGTCCGCATTTCAAACGATGAAGGTTGACTACTGCCTTTCTGAAAGTTACCATGCTCCCTGTCGACTGAGCATCGCGAACCCCCTTCTTCTTATTGTCTGCATCATGTGTATCTCCAAGTGTCTTTTATGTGCTTATACATTGAAGGTTAGGTCTTGGAGTACTGAAGAGCCTCTCATGACTGTTGGGGACGCTATTTCCTCTTTCATCGCTAAGCCAGATACTTGCACAAAAGGAATGTGTACACTCGATGCTGGAGACCTGGATACGAAACTTGATATAGAGAGGGTACTCAGCAGTCCGCGACTCTGGAGGAAGGAACAAAAGGTCTTAGCTGGCAATGCAGTAAATCCAGGTATTTGGATTCTCTCTTATATGCTTATCGGAAGTCTACTACTTCTCGGTGGACTCCTCCTTTTACCTGCACTGCAGACGCAGTCTTTGTAAGTCTTCACTCAATCCTTCAATTATGACTTGAAAAGACTAACATGTCGATGTACAGGGGAGAGTCACGATTCGCACATCATCAGAAAAACGCCGACGTCAACGATTCTGGGCTGCAGTCAGCATCACTCCTTGGCCTTACCATGATATCGAACACGCCTCAACTCCTACTATCTATATGCTACATGGCATTGAATGGGCTGATAACTCGAATGCTTGCCGAGCTTGAATGGGCTAGCTATGGGATTGGCTTCAAGGCTTTGAGAGTGACAAACCCCAGGGGTGGCCAACGATCAACCTATCGACTGCAACTCCCGTACCGCTGGTCCATTCCACTTCTCGCCGTTAGTAGTATACTGCACTGGGTGTACTCCAATTGCTTTTATTTAAGTAATTACGAATGTAAGTGATTTATACTGCGTCAGGAAAATGACCTTACGCTTTTGGAGCGGTCTACTGACAACTTTCCTTAGTCTATAACCCCATCATGCCTTATGAAATCCTGGAAGTTGATCGCGGTCTCCAATTCTCGTCCGTGGCCATTTTAATCGGTTTCTCAATATCAGTTTTCATCGCGCTGAGTCCTATGATTCTGGCAAGGTTCCATTTGCCAGGCCAGATGGTTTTGGGAGGCAGCAACTCCAAGGTCATTTCGGCTGCGTGCCACTGCATCCCCATCAGTTCGAGTCATGCTACACGAAAGGTTGGCACGGTCACTGTTCATCCCTTGGAGATATCGGAACGCGGAGGAGACCCATTGGATTTGATGGCGACTATGAAATTGAGATGGGGAGATGTTCCGACAAATGCAGACGGTGAGATCGGCCATTTGGCGTTTGGCGTGGAGGAGCAGGAAATCATAGAGCCCATTGAGCGAAAACACTACAGTGGCAGATTCTATGATTGTTGATTGTTATTCTAGATGCCTAGATATTTAACCTGGTATGTGTAGCAACAGGTTTCGCCCGGATCATCAACGGAGTTTTGATCCACAGCGCAAATGACTTCTGTTCCGCCCAATTCCTACTCTCCTCACACAATTCAAGATCATACTTGAATAGCAATGTCGCCAATATGAGCCTCATCTCATGCATAGCCATATTCTGCCCAAGACAGTTCCGAGGTCCAAATCCAAAAGGTTGGTGAGCTTCCCACATGTCTCCAGCATACTTTGAGTCCGTCTTGAGCCATCTCTCCGGCACGAAAGTATCAGCGTCCTTGAAGTTTGATTCAGAGTGGTATGTGGAGTAATGGTGGACTGATACACGCGTCTCTGGTGGTATATACTTTCCCAGGATTTGCTGGCCACCTGGTAGAACGACTCGTGGACTTCCAATGGGGACTGGGGGGTAGACACGAAGGGCTTCCTTCAAGCAAGCATTCATGTACTTTAGTTCGGCAAGACGTTCGAACGTAAGGTTGTCAGTACTCGTGAATTTGCCGCGAATCTCTTCAAGGAGTGTCTTCATCTTCTCGGGGCAGGTAAGCAGGTTGTAAATGCAACCGCTCAGTAGTGTAGCTAGAAAGTTTCATCATGTCAGTCACCTTGGCGGATGTTCACAAGATGGTGGATTCAAATACATACCCGTCGTCTCAGATCCAGCAAGCATGAAAAGTTCCGCATTAGAATGCATTTCCTTAAGCGTAAGTCCCTTGCCCTCCTTTGCCGACATGACCAAGTTCCAAACATCAGGCTGATCAGAACCATTCTCCAAACGGTGGTTTACACGATCTTCTGAGTGCTTGCAGTGCGTGACACGCTGGTCTGTCACTGACTTTGGTTCAAAGCGAGTAAATATGGCGTTCAGAATGGGGTAGTAGTTGATCATAGACGCAATCGGTAACATCTTGAGTGATTCGAAGATGGACCTCACCCAAGGGCTATATTCGTTCTGTGCTAGGAGGTTAAGAGGATGTCCGAAGCATAACTCGGCCATCACGTCAAAGGTTGTGAAGTTGAGCAGTTGCGTCATCTCGATTGGTTTGGCGCCGTCATTTCCAACCTCGGAGATTTTGTACATGAGAAGATCTGTGTATTTCTTGAACAGGGGTTCTTGTTGTTTCAGGGCGCGCTCTGAGAATGCTGGAGAAAAGAGCCGTCGCACGCGAGTATGGTTCTCAGTATTGGTAGTAAGCATACTTGGAACGCCTAACAAGAATCATATGAGCATAGCTACAATCACAAAGGGATGCATGTTCAATTCTCACCGTTTACAGGCTGCACAGAGAACTCCTGTGCCTTCTCCGTCACTTTAGGTCCATGGATATCAATCCAAGCCTCGCTAGCCGTGTAGCTCACATCCGTCGGCCCAAAGCGAACAACAGGTCCATATCGGTCGTGCAATCTCTTCATCCACTTCACATCCTCGCCCTTGAGCGAAGCCAACCAGTAAGGAATACGGGTGATCCCGCAGATCTTGGGGCCGGGGATGTTCGCTAGTGGATGCAGCGTGACATAATAAACTGCATTGCCGACAAGATACAAGCCCAGAATGGCTATAAATGCGAGAATAGGTCCCATTGTTGAGGTAGTTGTAGCGAGAGAAAAGTCAAATGCCGAGGAGTGATTGAAGAAGGAAACTTGGATGCGAGGGCGGTGACTGGCGGCCACTGACTTGTCGGAAACTGATAAGTAACCAACATTATCGAGTTCCTGGGAGGTCGCTTCTGCATCATCCCTGGTCGACAAACCGTTCCTACGCGACGTTGTGCTCAAGGTGGGCACTCATGCCAGGGCCTGCACAAATGAAACATGAAGGATTTTCATCAGGATGTCTTCCATTGGAAGCTGTACTCTTCTTCTAAAACGACAGTCCTCGTTCTGCTGTCTTTTGTCAATGTCTTAGTTTACATATATAGTTTCGCTCTGTGCCAACCAAGAGATGTCTTTAAAAAAGTCTTTACAGAAGAGTCTGAGAGGGGAACTAATTTGATTACGCACGAGTCATTATTCGTTTAGGGGGACTCATCCTTGGACATCATATCATGCTCCTGCAGTAGCTTAAACTTTAAGCCAGGTTTGCGCTGCTATCACTGGTTCAGAATTGGACCAAGGCCAGGGTTTGGGGTAAGAATAGTTTCCCCGGAGCAGGGGACCAATAGGTTTCCCGGGGGCCCTGTTGTGCTTTCTGACAAGTTGCCCTCAGGAAATGGATGGGCTTTCAGATCGATATTGCCCCAAGCGATGCAGATAGTATACCTCTCTCTATCAAGAGCACGAACGACAAGAAGCAATCAAGAACAGTTGTATCTTTGTCTCCCGGTCTGGCCTTTATCAGTGATAACTTGCACGATATGCCGACACATGGCTGAATAATGGCTCGCATTCTCGTATAGATTTGGGGCAAGGAACCACGGCTAATTGTGTCCCGCCATCTTCAAGGTAGTATTGTAATGCCAACAAATTGCTTCTTTGACCCTCCCATCACATAAATCACTCCGATCGAGGGCCAGGAACACGAAACAAAAGCGATATGAGTATCTTGGCACTATCAGACCCCTAACAGCTGGAAACCGAGCTAGATCGGATCTGGACTAACGGGGTAAAACGTCGCATGTGCATGATCCAGAAGTAACCTAAACATGGGGTCTACAACCAACAGTGATGAAAGAATTGACACCTAGCTAGGCATGGCAACGAGGCCCTGTAGCTTCCGCTGTCGATTGCGTAGCCGGGGTTGAGAAGATCCATCATGCACGGCAATAAAGAGATCCCGCCCCTTTCAATACATAGCTTGATTGAGGTTCAGTTCAAGTGCCTTTTAGTATTCGTAATTTGACGATGGCGGGCTCTATGACGGGAGAGCAAATCCAAGCTCTCGCTGATGCCCTCGAGCCTCTGTCACCGAAGGATCTTGGACCAGCTGTTCAAGGTTTCGCTGTCGCCTTCGGTATTACAAGTGTTATTGTCGTTTGTCTACGAATCTATGTTCGCGCGGGTTTATCTGGAGTATCGCCACGACTTCTCGGGTTCGAAGATTACTTAGCCGTTCTTGCGACTGTAAGCTCCCGAATTCGTCGACTTCACTGGTTTGAATTGACTAACTTTGGCAAAGATACTCTTAATACCCGCCGTCGTTTTCGCCTTCCTTTCAGCGCGCTATGGAGTCGGATCCCACGATGCGAATATTCCGAATCCGATGTACCTTATTCGCGCCACCGAGTACCAAACCTACTGGGAGCTTTTATACTTTACTTCGTCGACAATCATCAAGTGCGCCATCGGTTTCACATGTATACGCCTCGATCGTCGGAAGCGAGTTGTCTTTCCCATATGCGTCAATATGTCGGTTATGATCATCGTCACGGTTTTGGCTCTAGCATTCGTGTTTGCCAATTGCAAGCCATTTCATGCGACGTGGAACCCGGCTTTGTGAGTTTGTTGACGCCGGGTGATATATACCATCAACTAACATAATACGTTAGGGGAACATGTCAAAAGGTCATCAGCTTGCAGACGGTGAGCTACATCGTTTCCGCTATTCAGATGGCAACCGATTGGGCATGTGCGATCATTCCGTTCTTTATTGTAGCAGGACTACAAATGTCTCGACGGAGAAAGATATCCGTCATTGCTATCCTCGGTCTCGGCGTTTCAGCTAGTATTGCGACCTGTATCCGGATGCCTTATTTGAAGTACTACGACGTGGTGAAATATCCGAATGAGATCGCATGTATGTTTGGCTACGTTAAGCCTTTTCTTGGTCCATGGGTACACTTGCTGACCTTGTTCTTATCCAGATCATCTCGGCGTCGTCAGTATCACCTCCAACGTCGAGTGCTGTCTCGGAATCATCGCATGTTCTCTACCACCGCTCCGAAAGCTGTTCAACTTCTACTACGGCTCCTCTCACGAGGGAAACTATCAGTACACGGGCGAAGTGAGTCCCCCCAATCTGCCTTGTTACACCTTGAATTATCCCGCTTTTACGTATCAATACCTGTATGCACTTACTAATTATAGCAGAGCGAGAACATCCTTCAGGGCTCTAGTCAGGGCATCAGGTTGGACTCAATCAATGGCCGAAAAGGGACATTTCACGCATCGGCCCAACGTGTTCCATCGCGAGCTCGAGATCATGAAACAGACGATGATAATTCGAGCAGCAAGGGAATTATACGAAAGACGGAGGTCAGAGTTAGCTCATCGAGGTATAACTCGTAGCCTAAAATTATTTTGCGCGAGGAGACAGTTGAACCACTCACCTATTACTGGTCTTACAGCAAAACAGCGAATTACTTAATCACGCCAAGGCACGCATAAGCGATGGTAGTCGTGGGAGAAATCTCCATTATGCCATCAAAATAAGGTTGGCATCGCTGGCTAGGAAGCCAAGAAAACTTAAGATATCTATCCTAAATGACAAAAAGACTTAGGTAAATTTACTATAGACTTAGTATAGATTTAGAAGATCCTAGACTGGGTGTTTTTGGCACCTTACCGTAAGGTCAGAAGTTCTCACGCTCCCTGAAGCCTGGTTCATCAGCCACGAAGGGACTGGCTGGGGACTGGCTGATGATAATACATATGAAGAGCGTTATCATATTGACTAAACGTAACGCCACATGAATTTGCTGATTCAAAACCAGAGAGCTCATAGAAATACATAAATAGATGTATATGCGAAGATAGAAATTATGTGTTGCTAAATATCGGGTTTTTTTTTTTTTTTTTTTTTTTTTTAACCCAGTGCACACATGTATGATGAAATGGAAACCCGTCGCATCTGACAAGATTGGTTGAGTTACCTTAACACACGTAGCCCATTATGCACACCAAGCTCTGTTATTGTAAGATCGTTATCTAACATCTTCTCCAATTCTACGAAGTCCCGTGCAGCGATCTCCCCTTAAAATTCCAGCAATTGCCAAGTTTGGATAATCACCGCATCGCACGAATTATGCTTATTCTGCCCTCGAGTGCTAATTATAAAAGATTGGCAAAATGGAGGGAAGCCAATGATGGTCATTTCTGGTGATGCTGACGCGGGGTTGGGGATAAGCTTACTGCGCTGACATTGCTGACATGTTTCTCAATAACTATAAGAACCTCAAAAGGGCGGTCATTACCATTGCTTTAATTCTGTAACATTTTGTCGCATCGCGGTAACATCATCAAAATGGCCATCACAGATAAAATCCACCCAGTCTACAGCTTCTGGTTCCTCTGGGTCGACCCCATCCTGACTCTTGTCGGGATGTATGGCAACTTTATCGATCACGATCTCGCCATGCAGGCCTTCTTCGTAAATTACCCACCGACCGACCATTTCCGATGTTTCATCTATCAGATCGGCGGTATGGGCACGTCATTCCTCATCCTGCTCGTCGGGCTACTACGCTACACGCACGACATCAACATCTGGAAGATTGTGCAGCTTGCCATTCTACCAGCTGACTTCACCATGCTCACGGCTATATACATTGGCATGCGCATCTCTGGCAATTTGGCGCTTGCAGATTGGCGCTGGGAAGATTGGTTTAGTATCGTCATCACTGGTATTTGCACTGTTCTCAGAATCGCGTTTGTTCTGGGCGTTGGGGTGAGGGATACGAGGGCGAGAGCCAAGAGGGCTTAGTTCGGCCAAGAAGGCACAGCTGGTAGGGCTGAAGAGATGAGATTTTGGTGGCGGACGGGATGAGATGGCTAAATTCGTTTCGTGGGTTGGGTTAGCAGGCCCAGACTTGAGGCTCTGCTTGCGGCGCAAACTCACGATGACCTCAAGATGCCAGTCCCTGGATCGGAAGATTTTTCCAGTGTCGCATAGAAACGTACAGGACCCCACTATTGACTGAAATTTTTCTCTCTGCTACCGTTTCATTCTCCTGCCGTGGAAAAAGGAATCAATGCTCTTCTCCGGTCTGATTACAAGTGGATACTCGTTAATTCCTAAAGCGGTATAAATCCCAACTCTTCAGAGCCCAAGCAGGAATTTCACGCGGATCCGCAAAGTTCATGACTCGATTTCTCTCCTGGCAATCGAGTACAAAGTTGATCACCACTTTGAGTTCTCTTAAACGTCTGCCTGATAATCCCTACCATTACAAAAACTGGGTAATTGGGGTTTTTGTTCTGGGGAGGAATTCGGCCCTTTACCCAGAATCGCGGGGGTCATAGCGTCCCCGTGATATCCTCGTTCTACCCAAATCGCGTGTCTACCATGCTACTGTACCCTCTTGCGAAGCTATATACAGGTCCGTTTCTTTCCGTCATGTTGGAGATGGTGGAGTTTTTGGAGTCATCTGCTTGAGGCAACGGGCCGACAGTCGAAACGAGAAGGAGTCGGTTATCCAAGATTTTTGTGCTGATTACCCTGGACATGGAGATGAGCATGTCTCCGCATCTTGTTCGCCATGGGGTAGTGTTAAGGTTGATTTGTGGGTTTGTGGTGCAATTGGATGGGGGGATGTTGGGCGCGGTATTTTACGCGACTGCTGTTGATGATGCCGATTCTCCGGTAGCAAATCATATTATCTCACGACATGAGGTCTAGATCGAGAATTGAAAGTTTAATTCGCATCGGTTGTGTTACATTGTGATGATTCGTAAGCTGTCAAATGAAGCAAAACATGAGATACATTGGTCAAGCGTAGGGTAGCTCTCCAACAGTGAACCATCATCGCCTTGCTGATTTACAGCCAAGAGATGCGGCTGAATCATGGCGAGATCGCAATGGCTCTAGTGCTCGCTTCAGCGGCCGCTTTCATACAATCAGTCTAGTCTACCACGAGATCCCATCTTGGCATGGGAATAGCAAGCCTGTCCGACTTGGCACTGCATTATGCCTTCTGTTTCCATCTCCTGACACTTCTCAAATCCTCATGCCACGCTGGGAGTATTTGTTCCAGCTTCTTCATACTAACGTTCTAACATTGGGCCTTCATTACGGGGTGGCTTGTTTCCCAAGTGGGGAGAAACAGGGCGACCGTCAACCGCTCCCGTGACGTAAAAGGCTTGCCGTAGAACATTTCTAGAAAAGGAACATCATTCATCCGCGGTTAGTCTCGTGTCGATCCCTCCTGGGAGTTGAAAGAGTGGACATCCCAATATGACCGCTTACGCGACTCATTGGTCTACCCACCGGACCGACACATTCAATGCTACCCTTTAATGGCTTCTCGGCAATGATGGATGGTTCGATGAACCTGTTGGAGAAGAGATCATCCGAGTAAGCATCATGTCACTGGTGATAATCGCGCGGTGATCCCGCTCTAAATGTTCAATCCTACCTCGTAGACGCGTTGGAACTCCACCCCATTATCGGCTCAGACGGCATCTTCTGATGGAGAACGAGCGGCGAATCTTTCGGTGCTACCGTCATGGGCCATGAACGAAACGCTCCGCATATTCCCCATAACTTTGGTCGTTGCATTTTGCGGTGCCCCATGGCGAAACAGACTACAGACATAAAGCCTCTCCAGACTTGTGGAATTGTGGGTTGCATATAAAAACCTGGGGTTTGCCGCGACAATATCACCCAGTCTGCAGGTGTCACTGACAACCCTTCTACCCTACTACATTATTAACTGCAATTCTTCATCATGGGCAAGAGTCGACAGAACTCGACCACCACGGTCGACCGTGAGAAGGATGAGATCCAGAAAGCCATGGGTCACGAAAAAGCTGAATTCGAAGCCCTTGAAGTAGCTCGTCATGGCGGTCGTGAGATCGACGAGCTCATTGACGACATGGAGCGCCAGCTCGATGAGTCTGGTGGTCTGAAGAAGGGATTCTTCCAGGTCCAATTTGCCAACCCCAAGCACTTCACCTGGCTCCTGGTTGCTTTTGCTTCCATGGGTGGTCTTCTCTCCGGTCTTGACCAGTCTCTTATCAGCGGCGCGAACTTGTTCTTGCCTGACGACCTTGGTCTTACTGAGCACGAGAACAGTCTTGTTAACTCTGGTATGCCGCTTGGTGCTGTTGGTGGTGCGCTGCTTTTGTCGCCTGCGAACGAGTACTTTGGTCGAAAGGGCGCTATTATTATCTCTATTATTCTTTACACTATTGGTGCTGCCCTTGAGGCTGGTTCGATCAACTTTGGTAAGTCGTCTGCCTCTGTGATGATCAACACCATACTGACCATTCAGGTATGATTGTCTCCTCGCGAGTCATTCTCGGTCTCGGTGTCGGTCTCGAAGGTGGTACAGTCCCCGTCTACGTCGCCGAGACCGTCGAGCGCCGAATCCGTGGTAACCTCGTCTCTCTGTACCAATTCAACATCGCCCTCGGTGAAGTCCTCGGCTACGCTGTCGGCGCCATCTTCCTCAACGTCCCCGGCAACTGGCGCTACATTCTCGGATCATCACTCCTCTTCTCAACCATCATGTTCTTTGGCATGCTCTTCCTCCCCGAGTCCCCCCGTTTCCTCATCCACCAGAAGCGCCACCTCGATGCCTACAAAGTCTGGAAGCGCATTCGTGGTATTGAGGACCGTGAATCTCGTGAAGAGTTCTACGTCATGAGTGCCTCTGTCCTTTCGGAGGAGAATGCTGTCGCCGAGGGTGCTAAGAACCATCGCTTCCCTTGGATGGACTTCTTCACTGAGCCCCGTGCTCGTCGCGCTCTTGTCTACGCCAACATCATGATTCTTCTTGGTCAGCTTACTGGTGTTAACGCTATTATGTACTACATGTCTGTTCTTATGAACCAAATCGGCTTCGACAAGAAGGAGTCTAACTACATGTCGCTTGTTGGTGGCGGCTCTCTTCTTCTCGGCACTATTCCCGCAATCTTCCTCATGGAGAGATTCGGTCGACGCTTCTGGGCCATCACTATGTTGCCCGGATTCTTTATTGGACTGGTCTTAATTGGTGTCAGTTATCAGTTCGACGTCAAGACTCAGCTTCAGACTGTCGAGGGTTTGTACCTCACCGGTCTCATCGTCTACATGGGCTTCTTCGGATCCTACGCCTGTCTGACCTGGGTTGTTCCTTCCGAGGTTTACCCCACTTACCTTCGAAGTTACGGAATGACTACTTCCGATGCTCTTCTCTTCCTCGCCTCTTTCGTTGTCACCTACAACTTTACCTCTATGCAGAATGCTATGGGCAGGACTGGTCTTGCTCTGGGCTTCTACGGCGGTATTGCGTTCATTGGTGAGATCTACCAGATCTTCTTCATGCCCGAGACCAAGAACAAGACTCTTGAGGAGATTGATCTTGTCTTCTCACGACCTACTATGGATATTGTTAGGGAGAACTGGGCTGGTGTTAAGGAGACCACTTATCTCCTCTGCACTGGTCACTGGCACAAGGTCTTTGTTGAGCAGGCTATGACTGATCCCAAGGACCAAGTTCAGGTCTCTCATGCTTAGATGACTACGACTATGGGGATGGTTGCGGGTGGAAGTGTTGGTGATTTAACGTATGATGATACCAAGAGTAACTAGTTACTATTAATGACAAGACTGAATACTCAAGTATGCTTATTATGTGCTCTGGTGACAGTCTTGAGCTACGGGACGAGAGTATAGTTAAAGATCCTGCCAGGTGATCAAATTATCCTGACTTTCTTCGAGTTATCCTAAACTCCTCTAGGGTATCCTCGATATCTCTAGGTTATGTTGTATTTCTCTAAGTATGTCTGTCACTTATGATAGAAGTCATCCTTTTTAGCCTGCATCCTAATATCTCTATCCCGTCCCCATTACCACCGAATTGTCATTTTAAGCTTCCTCTCCATCATACCTATAAACACCACGATTCTCAAGTTGCGTCTGGAAAAGACTTTGTGGTTCAACTCGCTTCCCCGCCCCCAACAAGGTAGCATTTCCCTTTGGATCATCACCCTTCTCTCCGCACCCAATGCACCAATTGATACCAGTAGGTGGGGACTCGAACTCACAACGCCCGTCTATGTTCCAACCAACACCGCCATTGATGGACCAACCGTGACCTGAACCTTTGGTATTGCGGTTCACGAAGTACGTCGCTACAGAGGTATCTTCTACTAACAGTCCCTGAGCCCATCTCTGATGCGGGTATATAGTCTGAGAGTCAGACTTTGTCTTGTGACGAAGGACAGCATTTGGACCAGGAGTCAATGATCCCGTGGCAACAGAGAAGCAACGGGCAGATGGGATACCAACTTGCTCACAGTCTTGAACAAGAACTTGTGAGCCTTGAATCAAGATGTCAAAAGGAAGAGCACTGCCTGAGATGTCTTTATCTCGGTTCATAGTGCTGTTCTGAATGGTGATGCGAGAAGCGTCCTGATCAATCTGGAAGAACTTGTTGAAGCCCTTGAGAGTGAGACCACTAGCCCAGCTATCAACTGTCCAGGATGGGAAGCGGACGGCAGCAGAGTTGCATGTCTTGTCACTGAGTGGTGCTCCAGAGCAAGTGTCGGGTACCTCAATGGAGAGATCCCGAATACCCATCTCACTGTTGGTTTCAGGAGGGGTATAGACAATGAGCTCTGGTTGCATATAGTCTAGGTCAAGATTGTCTGTCAAGGGTATCTTGAGGGTGATGTTGTTACCATAGACACCGCTGATTTGATTTGGTGACATCATCCTCTTGTTCTCCTAGATCAAGTTAGAAGATGCGGAGTTTTAATAGGCGTTAGGTACTAACTGGTATCCAGGTCTGGGATGCGTCGTCTCGCACCAGGTTGCTCATGCCGTTGGCCTTGATCCACGATTCTGTGGCCGTTCTGGAGACATAGACTAGTTGATCCACTGCGAAACCACTGCTGTTGACGACCTCAACTGAAGAGGAGCCGATGGGAACATAGTCATTGGTGATGTTTGACCTAAACCCATACCGAGGCTTGGCAGTATTGGTAGAACCAAGTGTGAAAACAGGCACAGAAGGGCGCTCGCTCAGCGACAGAACAGTCTTACCACCAGCAGACCCGGTGACGACAACGTTGCTGGAGAGGTTCAGGCCTGCAGTCATAGGCCATTTTCCAGCAGGCAGGATGACAGAGCCACCACCTGAAGAAGCAATGCTATCAATAGCTGCTTGAATCGCTGGCCTCGCATCAACGCTATTATTAAAAGATACAGTGATGTTGGGAGCGGTGATATTGGGCAGTATGATAGCAGAATTATGATACCCAGCAAAGCTAAAGTCAGGAATCACATCCCCACGAGGACTCATGACTGTCGTCCAATCAAACGCATGGTGCTTTTTCTTAGCCAGTATGAAGTATGTAGCGCAAGTAACAGTGATAGTAACGATAATAAAAATGGCAACGACGGAGAAAATGGTCCGGCGGGAGAAACACTGTCGAGGAAGAGGCATCGGAAAAGTTCCAAAAGAGGTAATATTTTATGCGGGGAGTAGCAGCGCTGCTACTCGTGCCGGAGCGACGGGTTATATAAACCGTCAGACTAACACGACACGGGGCAGCACTCGGCAAAGCGTGACTGGAATGAAGAGTGACATCTAGAACCCACAGATCAAGTTTAACAACCAAGGATAATCGCCATCGGTGATTTAACCAGATCACACACTACGGAGGTATAATCTTACGCTTATGTGAGGGGTCTCACTTTGTCCTGCGTTAGTGTCATGGCTGGAATGCATGGCGCCCGGATATGGCTGTGGGAAGCGACTTTCATCCCGCGGGACGGGCTGTAGCGGTGATGTCACTTGTCTTAAATATCCAGGTTGATTTGAAAAAAATCCCTGATTCATGGTGAACTAACGGTTAGTGACAATCGCCGTTGTGTAATGGGGAATTGGAATGTAAGACATGCGGCGAACCGCAAACGTGGGATCTCGGCGAACTATGGCAACAACAACCCGTTATGACAACACCGCTAAGAAGTGTGCTAGGCGAATCAACGGTTTTAGAAAGGTTGCCAAGGAAACAGGGCTTCTGTATTCGGAATCTTGAACGATGAACGAGCTTTTGCCGAGGTACACGTAGACACTGTATGGGGTCATGACATGCACTCATGGAAGGCGAATCACGGCGGCCACGGTTGCGTCGATCACTATCATGATCGTTTGATTTTGATTGATTCATGGTTGTCATTAAATATTATGCTAATTAACTTTTAGGTCTAGTGGTCTATCGCTAGTAATCTAGCAGTCTACATCCGCTCGCTCATCCTTGAGGCGACAACGCTCTGGTTTGGCAATCTCTTCTTCTGACTTTTGCAACAAAGGCGCTTCTCCCTTTTCAGCCGAAGATAGCTCATCTGCATCAAAGATCTTAGTTCCTTCTTCTTCTTCCGCTGGTGCAGTTGTAGCAACGGGAGCAGAAGATGCAGTAACACCGGATACACCCCAGACTTGACTTCCGAGGTTGGTGGCAACCTTTGTGAAGATGATGACACTCATGACTGGTGATACACACTTGTTGATCAAGTATCCAATCGCAAGCTTGTGTCCTCGCTTTCGTAGCTCAGGTTCAAGAAGGATTGAACAGAAGAACCAGAGAGAGGGCAATTGGCCGACTACCAGCATCGGAACAAGCTTGAGAGCAGAGACATGACGAACACAGCTTGCAATGAACAAAGCTGTGTTGAGAATGCGGTAGTAAACCAAGCTCAGACGGATGACTTCAACGGAGGCAGCAATGCGAGTGATGGTGATCATCTTCTCGCCGGCCAAATAGAAGTAATTGTTGAAGTAGGCATTGGAGCCCCATCGACGTCTTTGGCTTAGGTAGTGGAAGAGTGACTGGGGGGCAACTGTTTCACTGACGGCATCAGGGACGAATAGTGTCCGAAGATGTTCACCCTGAGAAAGCATTGAGTAGGTGAGTCGTCTATCAGTGCCCTAAGAATTTGGGTTAGCTTGTGTGGGGAGACTAAGTAAAGTGGGTGTACTTACCAGGTATTGCACTTGGTGGTTAATGACTAGTTCACCGGTAACGGGTTCGGCGTATTTCCGAATAGCACCGGCCATTTCTGGTCTCACTGCGATCATGGTGATGCAACCAGGTAAACAAGTGACTTTTCCAATGAACCCTTCAGCTCGCCGTCTGACATATTGTCCAAATGTATACTGAAAAATGTTAGACAAAGACACAGTCGGAAAATTTGGGGAATATACCTGAAATTGTTGATAGAGATTCCAAAAGGACCACTCATATCCAGGCTCAAGCTCAACCAAGACAAGGCCACAAGCAGCAATAGCCTTGTCATCTCGAGCAAGAGCATTAGCCAGAAGAGCAACAGCGCCCTTATAGATAGTAGAGTCGGCATCAGTGCAGAAAACCATGTCAAAGCCCTTGAAGTCCTCGCCCTTTGTCAACTCAGGGAGAATCTCTTCCCACATCTCCTTTCGTAGAAGCTTTGTGTAAAGAGGTGAATTCTCGCGAGGAAAGTTGAAGAGATCGTGGCAGAGAATGAGAGAATCCTTCTTGCCGGCGTTCTTGACCTTCTCGATGACAATGACCGGGACATCTTCCATGAAACCGGCGAGGACATTCAAAACACCCTTCTTCCACTTGAGGGAGACGTAGGGGCGTTGGAACTCGCGGACCATTCTTGTCATGTGTGATCGAACATCTCGAGGCTTGCCATCGAGGATGACGACCATGACTTGCTTGTGAGGCTCAACACCATTATCCCGAAGAGAGAAGATAGTCTTGACAATCTGCTCCTCACTCTCAGAGTAGGCAGGGATGAGCGACAAGATCCATTTTCGGCTGACAGGCTTGGGTGGATAGAACTTCTCATAGATAGCACGGTACATCATCCCAGTAGGAGACAGGATCGCCGATAAGAAATCCTTGCTCTTGACGAACAAGATGACGACGAAGATCAGCTTGCTCTTCTTACCAAAGAAGGCAGTGATCGCCATGCAGATGTTGAGAAGCACGATGATCCCCATGAAGGCGACCCTTTGGTTGCGTAGATCCCTTTGTGATAGGATTCTAGCAGGATCGACAGGGTCTTCGATCTTGGGGTAGCCGCATGTCTCAATGCTGTCATTTGCATGCACTGGTGCTGCCTCGACTGACTTCTCTGCGACAGAGGTAGTAAGGTTGAGTTTCTTGGGGTCTGTCTCGAGAGGACAGACACTCTCACCGTCGTCACCGCTCGAAGAGCATGGTGAGACTTTTGACGGGATGGTCTTGAGGTTGAAGAGAGGAGTGAGGTTTTCTGTAGGAGATGGGAAGAGGGGTTCGTCATGAATCTTAGGGTCTGCGGGTGGTGTAGGGGGTTGTTCGGAGATGACATTGAGGGTAAAGAAAGGGGCATCCTTCTTGTGATGATGGTGATGATGGTGATGATGGTGATGATGGTGGTCAAGTTCATCATCACCAACAACAGTCTCAGCTGTAGAAGAGAACGAAGCGTTCTGCCATGATCTCAAGCGGTGGATGGGACGCTCAGGAACATGAAGGGCATTGTCCTGCTTGAGATCATTGACAAACTCATTGTCGAAGTAAGCCTTCTTTGCCTCAAAGGAGTACAAGGCGCTTCTCGGTCGTGTATTTAGAGAAGCCATGTTTAAAAAAAGAAAAGAGGCGTAAAGAAGAGAACTGAACGAAACAAAGGAGAAACGGGGGGAGGAATTCAATTCATGGCCTTCAAATCAACAGCTCACTCGAGGCAAAAAGATCATCCAAACAGGGTCCCCCCATCATGACAGCAGGGAAAGGGTCTTGGCAGTATGCAAACCCTGGCTTTGCCCCTGTTGAATTCCAGTCACCTGGGTTCGTTTTCGGCCAGGCCATGCATCATACACGTTTCTTTTACTGAAAGATTATGAGCAGACAAGGGGAGGCAAAAAAAAAAAACATAGGACCTGTATCTTGGGGACGAAAAAGACTTAGGTAAGTTTAGTATATCTTAGCAGGCCTTTAGACCAGTTAATTTTGGCACAGTGGTTTAACGTCTCAAGTTTTCTTGCGAGGGCAGATCAATACTGAAGAGAGCAACTTCCAGGAACAATTCTACCAACGTCGAGACAAATCTGTTTTCGTTGATCATTGCTTCTTTCATCATGGATGGTCAACGGGTGGAGTGGTTGTTTAGACTGGCATTCCTGCGATATCCGGAATGGGCGTTCTGTCCCGGTGTCCCGTGTGCCACCCCGCCACGCCTCGCTGAAATTCAGAGACAGGGTGAAAGACATGGCGTTTTTTGTTGGCGAGAGATGGTATGGTTTAGTTCTGATATGTGCTGTAAACTACGTATGTTTATTTGTTAGTGAACGGCTGTGTCTACGTCAATGGCGGAATATGTTCAACCGATGAGAATCGGGGAGGATCCCGTTTAGGTGACAGTAAGAGCTTCCTACAGTATTTTCAATTATTTACCATGGTCAAGAAAAGTCTGCATTCATGCAATCGAGTGGTCCCTTGAAGACCCCTTCTCGGGTAAACAGTCCCCTCGGTTGAGGAAACATGACAAGTCTATGCTTGGCAGCATCCTCTCAAACTCAGTGTCAACTCTAGAACACATCGCTACCACATGGCATGAAAAACTGAACCCTCCATCATACGACAGACCTGACGGTCACATAGCCAAGACCTACCGAAAACGACTGCCATGTGCCCATCCTCCCCAGGAACAAAGGCGCAGATCCCCGTTGCCCATGCATTGCACCTGCATCTGCACGTGAAAGTGTATGTGACAGGTCAAGTTTAGGCAGGTATGTGATAGGTGGCTTACCCTAATTACGCCATTTGGAGGGGAAACGATGAGAACGGTCTTTTTTTTGTTAGGCCCAATATCGGTCCTTTGCTTAAGTGGTGATTTACCTTGGCGGACCTTGGAAAGAGGGTTGAAATTAGAGTTATCTCAGGGTCTGGCTCCACATACAGCGCCACGTAGGGAAAAGAGGCATGGATGCCCAGGCCCGAATGCCACTGCTGCACAACCCCTCACTTGTTTATGGTATCGCCCGACTATTTCCTTGATTTTGATCACTTAAACCTGAATAGACACCAATTGATTTACATTTAATCGTGTCTAGCTCGCGCGCGAGTCTGTGCGTTGAATCTCCAAAGCATGCTGCCCTCGATCGATCCAACTTATCCCCCAGGACAAGGTCGATCGTACGTAAATCGTTCACTCTAAAATAACTGTAATATGTCATAATGTGCCGGAATGCTATTGCCATTGTCAGTGGCATGTAATAGGATTGGTGTCTACCTGGCATTGCATTCCTCGCTTGCGCGCTAGAGGTTACTAGCACTCTTTGCCGGCCGGGACATTTCCACCCTATCGCCACTTTTTGCTCCGAACACGATGGCTGCTTACATAGTGCTCAACCCACACAGTGGCTGCGGGAGCCGCCGCTTTGTCTGTGCTGTGCAGTAGGTATATCGATCGAAAAGCTGACTTTGCCCTATTCGGAGGTTTTTCATCCTCTTGGGGCGAGATTCATCGAGGGAGGGTTGCAACGCCTTGGACTAAGAACTTGGGTCGACAGATAGTCCATTCGACTATTCCTAATGCTGCCGAATCTAGACTGGCTACCCATAGCTTTGATCGAAAATTTGTTCAAAGTTTCTGCTTTTGGTTGAGTATGGAGATGATGGAGCGAAAATTCGATCAAGAAGCGTTTTCAGTATCAACTAACAGTCTATAAGAACACAGCTTCCAGCAGCCTAATTCACTTCTCATCACTCATATCATCAACACAATCATCTCTTCAGAGTACTTTGAACACTCTTCACTCCCCTCCTTGTCTCACTCTCCATCACATCTTCTGTCTCACTATCCCACACACTCTTACATCAACAATGCCTATCGTTGCCAATCTTGTCCAGAGACCTGCTCCTCGCAGCAAGGTTCTCTCCCACCAAACCAAGAAGAACCATGCAGCCAAGACTTCACCCACCAAGCCTATCATGGCACCCACTGAAGCTACTCCCCTTGTCGCAGTGATCGGCGTTGGCTTCGTTGGTACTGGTCTTGTCGACTCTTTCTCTTCCAAGTACGAGATCATGGGTTTCGACATCTCTGAAGACCGTCTTGAGTTCCTCAGGGGAGAGTTCAGTGCTCGACCCAACGTCTCCTTCACCTCCAACGAGCCTGATCTTGGCAAGGCTACCCACTTCCTCATCTCTGTTCCTACCCTTCTTCGCTCTGACAGAACCATTGATCTGTCTTATCTCCGCTCCGCCCTTCGCCGTGTTGAGCAGTGGGCTCGTCCTGGCTGCACTGTGGTCATTGAGAGCTCTGTCTCTGTCGGTCTCACCCGCGAACTTCTTGGTCCCATTGCTAAGGCCAAGGGTCTCTTCGCCGGAATGTCTCCCGAGGTAAGCCGAACCATCTACACTATCGTATCATGACCTATACTTACATGTACTAGCGCATTGACCCCGGCCGAGTTGAGCCTCCCATGCGATCCATCCCCAAGGTTGTTTCTGGCCTTGATGATGTCATCCCTGGATCTCTCGACGCTATTGTCCGTCTCTATGGTCGCGTCTTCGACAGCATTGTCCCTGTCTCCAAGCCTGAGGTTGCTGAGATGTGCAAGCTCTACGAGAACTGCCAGCGCATGATGTGCATTGCCTACGCCAACGAGATGGCCGACGCTTGCAAGGGTCTTGGCATTGACGCCTTCGAGGTGTCTCGCGCTGCTGCCACTAAGCCCTTCGGTTACATGCCCTACACCCCCAGTCTCGGTGTTGGTGGTCACTGCATCCCTGTTAACCCCTACTACCTCCTCTCCAACTGCGAGTTCCCCCTCCTCGAGGCTTGCGCCGACAAAATGAACAAGCGCCCTGCCACCCAGGCCAAGAAGATCGTCGATGAGCTTCGCGGAACCAGCAAGCTCCGGCGCCGTGACTCTGGCATCGAGCTCAGCAAGCGAATCCTCGTTGTCGGTATGGGCTTTAAGGCAGGACAGGACCATCTCGTCAACTCTCCTGGTCTCCAGCTCGCCAAGGAGCTTCAGAAGCTTTCCATGGATGTCCACTTCGCCGACTCTCTGGTCAAGCAGACAGCTGTTCCCGAAATTCCTCGATTGGCTGATGAGGACTGGACCAAGGAGGAGCTCGAGAGCTTTGACATGATTGTTGTCAGCTTCAAGCAGTGGGGTATGGACTTTGATGTCTTGGATCAGGTCTCTGTCCCCGTGCAGATGTGGTGCCAATAGAGAGTGCAAAAAGCTTGATATAGGTGTTCTGGTTTCTGGTTTCTTGCTTTTCTATAATACATCGCTGTTTTCTTTCTTAGCATAGAAGTAATAATCATAAGTTAATAGAAAGTCGTTTAAATAATCACTTCCTACCCGTGATCTTTGATAAAGTCACTTTAATAGTTCTTCTTACAGGCTTCAGCTCAAACTTCCTTGATGCATTGAAACCTGACCAAGTTCTATAGTATTGATAGCCTTGGGATATCACGTACATCACCGGACTTGCATTGTTCCGCTTGCATGAAGGTAATATCCGTCGGTGACATGGACGAGAAAGTAACTTTACACAATTTCCGCCTCATGCGACACTACGCTTGCGGTACTCCATTCACCATTGGTTCGGTATCGGGCCATCGGCCAGATTACAGAATACATGATACTACTGCGGGGGATTGTCACGAACCCCGTCATGGAAGAACGCATGGAAGCTTCGATAGCTGATCACGATACGACTGTGCGGAAAATTAGTCCATTCGCCAAGATGTTGCCAAGTGATTGACGTGAATGAGGGTGTATAGAAAACGCCATCAGCACGCCAAGATGTCAAAGGCTTGCCAAGACCTCAGCTTGCACCACGGTTCCTGCCAAGAGTCACCAATTACAGGGTTTGAACGACGTAGCCCAAGATGTTGACGGTGGTTTCACTTCGTATCAAGACTGTTTCATCGCACGATTATGGCGACGTACAGTATCGCTTTGTAAGTGGCTGACTTGGCAAGTCTTGTGACGCAAGAGTACATGGCAATGCGACAAGGTCCACTTTCTTCTGGATCATTCGGCGCAGCAGAGGATTGAATGCTGTCTAAGTACAGTTAAGAGATAGATCACAGAAGTCATTGAAATGATCAAAGTCAGAGAGCGAGATAAGTGATGTAAAAGAGAGTAATCTCCGTCAATTAATGGTATAAAGTACTATAAACAGCTTTGACAACGGTATTCTATGCAATCCCGCTCCTCTATTTTCATCCCGATCCCCAAATGATTGTTGCATGTAATCAAAAAGAACGATAGAGCGTCAAGCTCTCAAAGGTATCAAAAGTTGTGATGAGTTGTTTAGAAGTGAGGGGCGTTGAGAGCGAGACCCATGAGACATCCACCGATGAGACCGGCGATGGGGATGGTCATGATCCAGGAGAAGACGAGGAGGAAGACTCGCTTCCAGTTGACGGCCTTGAGGCTGCCGTTGCAGAGACCGACACCGACAGTGGCACCGGTGATACACATGGAGGTAGAGACGGGGAGCTTGTACTGAGAGAAGACGAGGACAGTGATGGCAGCACCCATCTCCATGGAGGAACCACGGCTGGGAGAGTGGTAGGTGATCTTGTTACCCATAACTAGTGAGAGTTAGTAATTGTTCAGAAGAGACGATATGATTGAGACTTACCCTTCATGATGTTGTAACCGTAGGTGATGAAACCGATGCAAATGGTGGCAGCGACAATACCAATCTGCCAGAGAGGAACCTCGGCCTTCTTCTCGGCGGGCTTGCCAGAGTGCCAAGCAGCGTACATACCAGCCCAGACACCGACAGCGTTACCGACATCGTTGGCACCGTGGGCGAAAGAAGCAGTGCAGGCAGTGATGATCTGGACGAAAGAGTACAGGTACTCAACCTCGTTGGCGTACTTGGGAGCATGCTCGTAGACACGGGCCATACGGCGACCCTCGGGAGTAGCCTCAATACCCATCTGAGCGGTGTGAATGTCGTAGTGAGCACCGTACATAAGAGCGACGACAATCTGAGCGGGGATACGCTTGACGACGGCAATCAGGTTGTGAGTCTCGTGAATGGAACCGGCACCGATGGGGTTGGCGTGGAGAGTGCGCATGGCCCAGCCGAGAGGTCCCTTGCCCTTGCGGAGGTTGGCGTGGTGGCGGTCCTCAGCCTTCTTAAGCATCTTCTGGTAATCCTCCTGGGTAGACTCGGAAAGGTTGAGGTGTCGCTTCTCGTTGGTCTCGGAGCTGGGGGCAGCGGCGGGGGTGATCTCATCGTCGCTGATCTTTTTGGGGTTGGGGTCCTCGGACTCCTGGGAGACGGAGACGTCATCCTCCTCGGCACCGTGCTGAACGACAGCGTAGTTGGGGACACGAGCGTTCTCGGCATCAGGAGGAGAGGGGCGCTTGAACAGGAGGGGGCCCTGGATGGCATCCCACCAGCGGAGAGTGTAGTCCTTCTTGATGACGACGGCGTGGACGAAGGGGACGAAGAATATGGCAGAGAGGACGAAGAGACCAAATCCGACACCGAGAGTGACGGAGGCGATGTACCAGGCAGGCTTCTCAGCAAGTCCAAGACGGGGAGATCCCTTGTAGACGATAGAGAGAGTGCAGATGGTACCGGCGATGAGGAAGAAGAAGGGAGAAGTCCAGACAGCCCAAGGAACAGGGTTCTTTCGGACGTGGACAACCCACTTGACAAGAGAGAAGATGATGGCAGCAAAGCAACCAGCAATAGCAGGAGCCATACCAAGACCAGCAAAGATAGCACCGAGACCCTGACCACCGTTCCAACCCCACTCGACCTTGCTAGCACCAACAGTAGCGATACCAACACCCGCGAGCGACGAGATAAGCGAGTATGTGGAGGAGACGTGGGCGTTGTGCTTGGTGCACCACATGACCCAGATGGAAGCACCAGCAGAGGCACAGGCGAAGGCGAGGAGCTGGACACCGGCGTTGTCACGGAACGACTCCATGGGGATGATGCCGTTCTTGATTGTCGAGGCGGTTCGGGCGCCGACTGCTAGGGCGCCGAGGAGTTCGAAGATACAGCAGAGCACCATGGCTCCTCGGTAGGTGACGGAGCGCGATGAGACACTGGTAGCCCAAGCGTTGGCGACATCGTCTGTGATGGAAGTGTCAATTATCTGTGAATGCGTTATGAATTGATGAGTGGTTACGTACTGGCACCGTTGTTGTAGGCCTCAAGCAGAGCGAAGCAACTGCCAATGGCAAAGACGTAAGTGTAAGCCTCGAGAACCATTGTGACGGTCTGGCTTGTTTGTGCAAAGGGGAATAAAGAAAGGTAGCTAAGCTGTATGAAGCTTGCTTCGTAATGGAAGACGGAGGGGGAGGGGATGGAAGAGGATGCTCGAGCAAGGAAAGACAAGATTCAGAGTTCGGGGTCCTGGAGGGGAGACTTTAAAGGTTTCTGCAGTACCACCGAAACATTAAAAAAATGTTATCCATGGGTTCTGAGCTCCCCTGTACTTCTGCAGAAAGAGGCTAAGAACTCAAAGGTCCCTAAGCTTACAGTAGTTCCGTGCGTACACCCCCACACGCCTCCCGAAGGAGGGAGGTCCAGAAGCTGTAGGCACTGCGTGTTGTGTTTCTCTTCGGTGAGACGATCTGGCTACCGATTACACGGTGGCTTCACACTCCACACCCATCGTGAGTGTTTGCCGCTTTTGGATCCGGTCGGAGTGGGTGTAGTGGATATATTCTGGGCACTAAAGAATTTAAGCATATTAACCCTATCACCTCTCTCAAAAACCCCACGTGCGAGATCTCCAACCCCAATTCTTCATTTCTATTGGCCACATTCTTCACGTCGAAAAGCACATGGGGGCTACGCCACAATCTGCGGGACAAGAGATGGCCAAGCGATCGGTGACACTGCTTGGCTAGAAGCTGATTTCTAGGCGAGTCGCGTGCTCTCTTTTCAAATCGTGGGTCGAAGAAAACCCTGCAGAGATTTTTTAGAGTTGGGAAAACGCTTGAAAGTAAGTTTATTCACAAGCACAAATGTATGCTTATTGTTGTTGTTGCATTGAAGATGGGATGTGCACGTGCATATGCGTGCTGGTTCTCAAACAACAAATCTCCCCCAATTCAAGCAAAAAACAAGATTAAAATACAACCTCCGTAGCCCTCTTACCCACTGTAATTGTATCACAGTACTGTTTTGTAACACGGACATCCTCCGTTTTACTCAAATCCATCGTCTCGGCTTGAGAGTCTTGGCAACCGTACTCTCAGCAAGTCAATTCACTTCTCACAGCGTTGAACTGTAAAAATCTGGCCCCTCACCCGAGGGCTTCGAATACTCCACCGTTCGGTCTCTCTTCCTGGTTAGACGCAGTTTATCATGGTCCTTGTCTCTTACCAAATCTAGACCTTCTCCCCGTTGAATCCCATCCTCCCCGCGCGAAACGTGCAGAGCCATTTGAAACGGCCACATGGGGAAATGGAGAGATCTCACTGGATAGATTGCACCCCGGACACTAAGTACGCGCTACGTCTGTTTGTTGGGTCCTTTTGCTCGCCACTTTTTTTTGACCAGGGTTATTATCACTTTGGGTGTCGTTTTCGTTTCTTTTGGCCTGACATTTCCGATTCCCGTTTGTCTAATGCACGTGAAGATGTTCGTTGTTGCGACATCCTTGATTGTCGTACGCATGATACCCGCTCCCTCGGCGAACGGATGAGACCTTCAGGATTGTCTGACCATGTCGTTTTGGTAAACCGAGTCTTCAATTCGGTGTCTGTATAGAGAATTGTAGATCACTAGTTTCTTGAATAATTCCTTTTTGGCGCTTCCATCGTTCAGCTCTAGACTTATCTCTAAGCTTAAACCTAACGTTAGATTCTTGCATATCAACTTTCCCAGCTGATCCGAACATCGTCGCGAGAGATGTCTGTCGCCACTATCTCATGTCCAGCTCTAGACACCATCACGGCAGCTTTTACCGTTCGCCAAGTCTGCGCCAAGCTGTTATATTCCGAATACCAAGAAGGCATCTTCCGGAATACCCGTCATCTCGGCCGTTCTGCCCTGAACGCCCAGACGGCTTTTACCTGGACGCCCAGAAAACGCCTTCCGTCTCGGCGATCCATCCCTCAGCTGTATGCCCTGCCCGCGCATGTCTTGGCCGTTCCTTGCACCACGGGGACACGACGCGGGCCCTAGATTGGGTGCAGCAGTATCCGTACTCCCTGTGTACAAAAACCACACCAACGGTCCGCTAATCGTGACGTCCCCGGTGCATGTATCCCGTTTAGCGGCATGCCTGTGTGTAGTCTCGCGAGGATCCTCAGCCAACCGTATCCACCCCGTTGGCGATTACAAGACGTTCTAGCAGGAGATTGGCATACGTCTAACCCTTGTCTGCATAGGTGAGCTGCAGGATCAGTGACCATTCTTGTTCTCGAAGGTTTAGCGGATATCGCCATCGCCGTAGGATCGTCGGGGATGCGATATCAAAAAGATGCCTGTTGATATTATACCTGTAATTGCTTTTCAATTCTCGATCTGGACAATCGAATAGGCCAGTCCAAGATGGGAAAGCATCTCGGATCATCGTGAATTCATCGATAGCTCATATCGAGATATGTATTTTGACGTCAAAGCTGAAAACGGAGTAATCAACGTGCTGTGTGCCTTCGATGATCAACATTCTTCTTTCACGCACAGTGACGTGAATGATGTCAAAAGAAGAAAGACTTCTCGATCGATGTAGAAATCAATCACTATAATTTATCACCTTGAAAGAGTATCCTTCTCTCCTTCAATCCATACGTGCATGTTGTTAATGTTGAATGTGAAGGCAAAACTACCCTAGACAGAAACTGTTCAAGACAGCAACGAAGCCATTCCCAGAATGAGTAACGCCTCTTCAATGTCAGAGCCTAGACAGGCCTTCTAATTGGCTTGCCTTTTCTCTTCATCGATGTCTAGCCCGTGACTCGGCAGCAACGGGCAACTCATCCCAAACCTTGAGTTTATGTATGCAGGGAACTTGAAGCCTTCCCGAACACGGAAAAGATGCACGCTCTCTATTCCCGCTCTATTTCCCGAAGCCCGGTTCCCAAGCGGTGCGTGCCATCGTGAAACTGCTCCATACCATGAATTTCGTTGGGAAAATCACTGGAATGCAAAATTTGCGTTTACAACCGTTACCCCTAATATTATTGTCCCTTGTCTAAGAGGAGAAATAACGTTTTTGAGCGTTGTTGGTGACGACAAATTGGCTGATCGGCCAACCCGACGCCGTCGTTTCCCAAAAGATGGATTGCCGAAACACGGGGGCTCTACGGCTTCAGATATTGGCTACTTAATGTCGCGTTGCTCCTCCGTCTGATCATCAACGCTAGCTTTGTGTCACCTCCAGCTAAACTCGCTTGATTTATGCTTCTTTGGCATCTAAATATTCGCTCATCTTATTAGGTGTTAAAGAAATAATATTTCGCCTGGCCCACTGAGAAAAAAAGCGCGTTTCGGAAAGGCTTTTTTTGTAGACGGCTGCTGTCTCTACGAATTCGATCGCGACACGCGTCGCGAATGGAAGATAAGTACTCAATTTCTTGGAATTGTCTTATCTATATAACTGTCGATCTTGTTTCTTACAGTGTTCAATTGAGGAACTCCAGAATCGCAGAGACAACAATATCAGGCGCCTGCTCAGGAACATAGTGTCCCGACTCAACACTTCGACCTTCGACCGGTACACCAGGATCAGCAACATCCTTCCACTCCTTGACAGCATCAAAACACTTCTCGATGACTCCATGCTCTCCCCATAGGACAAGCAAAGGGCTCTGAATCTTTCGGCCATGCTTCAGATCCTCACGCGCTTCTTCCAGATCGACTGTCGCGCTCGCGCGATAATCATTGCACATGGCATGAACCGTTGCAGGATCTTCCAAATTCTTGGCATAGATCTCAAAGCACTCCGGCTCAAAGATGGATAATCCATCGCCTTGACGACCGCCCATGAACATCTCTGCTAACTCTCTAGGCTTCGCGGTGATAAGTATCTCAGGAAGAGGCTCCTTTTGAATCAAGAAGAACCAATGGAAGTATGCTTTGGCAAAGTCGAAATCTGTTTTTGTGTACATCGCCAGTGTAGGACAGATATCGAGCAGTATGAACTTGCGAATGCGATCAGGATAATCGACAGCAAGTTTATGCGCAACCCTCGCACCGCGATCATGAGCGCATACAAAGAAAGAGCCAGTGTGACCTAGAGCATCCATAACATTGATACAATCTCTGGCCATGGCGCTCTTTGCATAGGAAGCTACATCATCAGGCTTGGAGGACTTTCCATATCCTCGGATATCGATGAGTACGACAGTGTACTTGTCGAGAACCTGAGGAGCAACACGATGCCAGATGTGTAGTGTTTGGGGAAATCCATGAATGAGGAGAAGAGCGGGCTTAGATGATGGCTCGCCGCTTTTCAAGCCGTTTATGGTGATGGCCGGGTTGGACTTTGTCTTGATGGCGAAGGGCTGGAAGTTGTCAAACATTTTGAGAAGCTAGTATGTGATAGTATCATAAGGAAAGCTTGAGGAACTCGAATTGTATGGGCTGTTAACCAGTTTTATATGGCATGAACGCCCTTTAGTCGACAAGTTGCTTAAATAATGTATTTTGGTGATGATTAAGTGCGGAGAGTGACTATGCCGTCATAATTTCACGGGCTCACTGCCAAACCTCGGCCGCTTACCACTAGCGGACTAACCATCTGCCGCATGATAACGATCAAACACGCCGAACAAGAGGCCAGAATAGTGATTGACGAAGCGATGGCATAGTAATTCGGTTCTTAGAGGTATTTACTCTGTTGTTTTTGAGATTCAGTCGCACAGTCATGAATCCGTGCAGTCGGCCAAATGGCAATCAGTCCGACCTTATCGGGGTCGTTACGCCGATAAGAGACTGCGGACATTTCTTTATCCGCTTGGCCCGGCAAGACCGGGCCGGGAGAGAAGTGGGGATTCATCCTCCGCTTTTCCGTGTGCCGGTATCGTCTATGTACCTATATAACTATAAGTTGAACGCTTTACGAACTGCAAATTCTCAGGAAATAAGTCAGAGAATATCCTCTCCCAAAGACGAGCCGTCAGCTTTGATATCCAGCATCTGACTTCATAAGCCTTTCAGAATGTCCAAAACACTCAAGATCGCCGTTATCCCTGGCGACGGCATCGGCAAAGAAGTCATGCCCTACGGCGTCCGGTGTCTCAAAGCCGCAGCCAAGAAGTTCAACCTCTCTCTCGAATTTCAAGAATTCGACTTCGCAAGCTGCGACTACTATGAAAAGCATGGCAAAATGATGCCGGATGACTGGAAGGATACTCTCCAGAACTTTGACGCCATCTACTTTGGCGCAGTTGGCATGCCTGACCAAATTCCCGATAACGTCAGTCTCTGGGGCAGTCTTCTCAAATTCCGCCGTGAATTCGACCAGTATATCAACTTACGGCCTTGCCGGCTCGTGCCCGGTATTCCCTCTCCCTTGGCAGGTCGCAAACCCGGCGACATCGACTTCTGGATCGTGCGTGAGAACACGGAAGGAGAGTACTCCAGCGTCGGGGGAATCATGTTTGAAGGAACGGAGCGAGAGACAGTGATTCAAGATACGGTCATGACACGTGTTGGAGTCGATCGTGTTCTTCGCTATGCCTTTGATCTCGCGCAAAGTCGACCGAGGAAGAAGTTGACGAGTGCGACGAAGAGTAATGGTATTAGCATTACTATGCCTTGGTGGGACAGCCGCGTGGCTGAGATGAGTAAGAATTACTCTGATGTTGCGGTTGAGAAGTATCACATCGATATTCTGACGGCACACTTTGTCCAACGGCCTCAGATCTTCGATGTCGTTGTTGGGTCAAACCTCTTTGGTGATATCCTATCTGACCTAGGCCCTGCATGCACGGGAACGATTGGAATTGCACCATCAGCAAACATCAACCCAACGGGCGACTTTCCAAGCTTATTTGAGCCCGTTCATGGAAGTGCACCGGATATCTACGGCAAGGGAATTGCGAATCCTATTGGAATGATCTGGGCAGGGCAGATGATGTTGTCGCACTTTGGGTACACAGATGCTGCTGCGGGAATGATGACGGCTATTGAGAATGTACTGGCGAAGTCCGGAGCGGAAGTTAAGACGGCGGATATTGGGGGTAAGGGAAGCACGCAGACGTTGGGGGAGGCAATTGAGAAGGAGATTCTGTCAGGTCAATAAGATACGTGGATGTGATGGTCTTGTCCTGAAATTTCAGCGAAAGTTCACACGAGTGATAAGGCTCGATATGTCTATTAATAGACCAGAAAAGTTGTTTTGCTGCATCCTGTTTCAATGTCATTGCGTTTCTATATTGATCACCAGGATCTGACATGAGCCTACGAGGGGGACAGTGCACTCTCAGACACCAAAACATCCATATCTTCAATCTGACCATCCTTCGCTTTTCGCACTTAACTAAATTAAAAATTTACTTAGGCTGCAGCGAGAAGCATGCTGTGTGCAGTCCCATCCACCATTACGGCGATAAACCTCCAAGCTACATATTCTTGCATGAGCTGAAAGAATATTGGTGGGCTGATAAGTCACAAGGCGCAGAACACAGTTTTGTGTTGGCCCGTCCACGCAACTCTGCAGAATCCTTCACAGCCTGATTGCCAAGAACAAGTGATCAGTGACCGGAGGAGTTTATGCGTGGTAGACAGTTTACCAATTAAAAGTGACAGTCTAATCAGATAAATGGTATATGGCCACCATCGCGTCTGGAGTGGTGTTATGAAGATGCATTGGAAATGAGGGATACAACACATTCCATTTCCCATCGTTTCCATTCTCGATTATTCCCGCCACAGGTAGAGTCATCATGGCGCAGTACAAAGCTATTGTCTCTTTAGACATAACTGCTTTGCCCCCAGCGAGTCCAAAACAACGCATAAGACTAACAGAAATAACTCCTCAGCTCCCTAATCGCTACGAATCGTTCCATGAGGCCGATCCCTCATCACCGCCTCACGTAGATACCGAATTCGAACCAACTGTATCGAAGGCCCCTCTTGAGCAGAATGTCTCTATTGAATCGCAACTACCATGAAAAACTACCCAAAACGTCGCTGGTGGCACAAGATAGGCCTGCTAAGTCTTGCTATACTTATCGCCGGTACTGTCGTCATCTTAGCTTCATGCGCTATTTTGGTGTTCCTTTGGAAGGGCGCACAAACAGCCCGAAATCGTGGAGAGCCGGCAAACTTTTGGAGGGCCATTGTTTTTCACGACATGGCCGCTAGAGTTATTACCATATGATCTGCTGCCATACGCGTATCGATAGGACTTCACATCAGTCTCCTAACTGCGGCTGTCGCTGCTCTGATGCTCGAGACGACTGGGACCAGGTTTCGCGACATCGCTGCTGTTTCAATCCAACGAGCATTGAGTCCAAGTCCTTACACAATACTTCCTGCTTTGCTACGAGTTGCCAGTGTCAACCTATACGGTGCGCTCACGCTTCGATCATCATTGCGGGAACGATTATTCTCGTGGCTTCGACTTTTGCGTCCACTATACTGTTCACAGATTTGAAGAATGTCAATATCGCTAGGCCTATGCAAACAAAACTTCTCCCGATCGGACTTGGACCGAACTCTACCCTTTCCGCGAATGGTGTACTGCACTATAGATCCAGCCCTTCAGCGAACTGGCGATTTGGCGAGATGAAGCCTGACAAGGCCACCTCGACTGCTGAGATTGCCGACGCAGGGAATACACACCGCGCTCTCCTACCATACATGAAAGAAGAGTCCCGAGCAACGCTAGAGCACTAATCTGGCCCTGGGCTAGTGGGTAACTTCAGAACAGTCTGCTTCAGCCCCAGCCTTGCAAGGATTCATTTCGGTCTTACTGCAAGTAAATCGGGCCTTCAAGTCGAGCTCGATGTCAAATCAACGAAAAATGGCCCTGAGTTTCTCAAAGATTGGTCAAAGATCAAATTCGCTTTCCAAGCCCTACTACCAACCAGATGGAATGAAAGCGACACAAGCACCTTGCCACTCTCGCTTGCCAATAATTACCGCGCTAATCGGCCTGGAGATCTGGGACTTGAAGATCCCTTTTCAGGCCGCAACTTCAGTTTCATTCCTTTATTGCTTCTCAAGTCAAGCCCAATTCTGCTACATGGATTTGGGCACCTAGAACTAAATGATGAGATTGATGAGGGCGAAGCCATGGATAAGATTGATCAATTAAGGGGGTTGAGGATGAAGAAGGAGGGTCGTTGAACCAAGACTTCGTTGAAGAATGGTACCGAAGCATTCAGTGTGTTTTGTCACGGATAATGCACCAGAGCTATACGAAATTAGTGACTGGGATGACTATTCCATCCGAGCCTACAGTCGAATGGCAACGGAACGGCATTTCGAAGAGTAATGAGCAACTACAGCAACAGCTCGGCATTGGAGTTTCTCACAAAGACTACCGGGATCGACAGATTATGAAGCTTGAGGTCGGAGTGCATAACACGACCTACTCCAAGTCCATGAGTAAGCCATATAAACTTTGCTTTTACCCAAGCGCTGTTGGGGTACTCACGCCAAGGAGGTTGGCGATGACAGACTACAAGGATCTCTATGAGGGAACTGGATTGGTTGGTGGGCCACACGTGCTGTACATGTCTCTCTAGTCCAAGACATATTGCGAGAGACGGGCGATCCTGCGCTTGCCATACAGGCCCTTGCCATGAGGTTTCACTGCATGATCTTCTATGACAGCATGGCGGAGTTTGATCTGCAGGAACCAGTCATCACCAACTCCGTTGAGATGTTCATCCCAGTACAATGGACTGTGTTGGCTATAGTTCTCAGCCTGGTTATCGTTCACTTACTATTTCTGTGCAGCACCATAATACTGTTTATAATCAAGACAAGAGCGTCTGATCTGGGCAATGCTTGGCAGGCAGTCGCTCAAGTTGTCTCGACTGAAACGCGTGAGGTCATTGAGGAGGCGACTGAGATGAGGGATAAACAGGTTGAAGCTTGGGCTAGGTCATCGGGTGTTTCTAACCGAATGTACACTGTATCGATGCTGGAATTCAGGAACAGAACGGAGATCGTATATCAAAAGAGCTAATGCTTGCAGAGACTCTTCAAGTTTCAGGGTTGCTTAGCTTTCTGAACAGATATCATGTTATATCATACAGGAAGACGTATAAAACTCCATGCCCTGGGTCATTGCCACTTCCTCCACTTCATTAGCGCTCGGATCGATTCCCCTGAGTAACCCTGCCGCTGTGGGTATTCTACATAGATCTCATCTTTGGCCCATGCTGTCGATCACATGCAATCGAGTTCTACCAACATGCAGCTCTCGTTTATTACCAAGGTTATAACAAGGCTCCTTGTCAATAACTGTAGCTCATAATTGCCGCTAATGGGGGATAATCAGGATAGTAAATTCCCACTGTAATGAAGCCGAGACAGGCCGCTCGAAGCACTGCAGCATTGATCAATTGTCAGGTCATGACAACCTGACAAGTAAATATTTTCAGACCATGTTGATCACTTCTCGGGACGACAACTCTCCTTAATCACTCTTTGAGCTGTTAATATGTGCGTGCGTTTACTTGCTCATTGTAATCAAACGGAAACGCGCCATTGCCCGATTATCCGGAATGAGCCGATTAGTACGGGGTAATCCAATGGTTATTCCTAAAAGGATACCGAAAGTGTCGTGATTTACGGAACGGGCCGGAAGTTCCGGTGAGTCGAGGTAAGGCTTCCCCAGAAAGCCAAGCTGTAATTGTTTCATTACTGCTGTACTAACTTTATCTTTACTGAACAACGAGACTAACACTTCGTCTCATGCAGTCTCATTTCTTCTGAAGTGACCTAAAACTAGGCAGTGGCCAGAAGAGGTAATTAAGAAGCCAATGGTGTAAGTGTGTAGATAGAGCTCATGGGTTGGTTATGATATGACTTTCGGTCTCCTACTTTGTGTCGATAACTTGCTCATCGTGCGGGCAAAGCCTTCATGCGCCAAGGAAGCCCTTCACTGTATCAAGAAGTTACTAGAACGATGGCACGAGCTTCAAAGGTTAAAGCAACTGGGTAGATCCCGGGACGTTTAGCCTTTTATAATACGCTGGGCTAAATAGAGTTTGAACGCACGGCACAGTTATGGCCATTGCTTGGCACGCGACCTTCTCATCACGGCATAGCGGAATACCACCTCAACTTTGATATCCAATTAAACCCTCCATTTAATGACGCAAAAACGTCTCAAATCCCGTGAGGCAGTAATACTTCAGGTAATAAGAAAGTGATTAACTTTGTGGCTTTATATCGTCTGGAACTTCTCATGTTCTTTGCGGGTTAGTTAGTACGAACAATCAGCTGATTCTTTGTCGCTTATCTGGTAGTGAGTGAACCGTTGGGGTTACCATCTCGCGACGATTTCCAAGAACAGAACAGCTCGTGCTGCAAGATGACATATAAGGAAGTTGTCAACAGAAGGTGAGTTCAATGTCAACAATCTCCGACATGTTTCAGAATTGCTAGCCTGGAACAAAATACTGTAGGATTGATGCTATGACCATAGCAAATACGTCTAGTCAGGTCGTGTAGTTGGGCATCATTATGTCACGAAAACACCAGAGGTTGTTATTTATTATCCATGAGAAACCAAGGATAAGAGCTATAGAATACAATAAGTTCAGTTCATCATCGATCAGTTGAGCGCTCCAATGCTTTCAACAATGTCAAGTCAGGCCTTTCTTGACTCATTTCCTCAGACTCCTCGGACATTTGGCCGAATGTCTTACCAATCAGGCTCTTTTCCTATGGATCAGACTATAAAAGGAACTTTTGACGCCCTCGACGACATTCAGTTCGACCTGCAACCATTCACTGTACAAGAAGCTATCCGGGAGGATTCGGAGACCCTAGAAAGACCAAGATTCTCATGGGAAACGTCATCAGCCTCCTCATATCACCCAAACTCCAATGAATCGTTTGACAGCGACGAAAGGTCACAGCTTTATATCTGTTCTCCTTCTTCCGTCATTTCAAAGTCCCATCAACATATCCAATCAATCTTGCCAGAAGATATCACTGGTACCTTTGTGAACAATTGCGAGAGCCTCAATCAACAGGTACACAGGTGGCTCTCGGAGCTCCCTGATATCCCATGGCTGGACGTGAGGTGTGTTGATGTAGGCTTATCAATATTACCAATCGTCACGAAGAGTCCATCTAATCTGAAATTTTAGGCCCTACACGAAATCACCGAAGACAAAATCCCCTCAGAAGCAGATATTCAACATCAAGGGGAGCATATACCTGGAACCAAGGGTATTCTACATTATCTTGACTTTTTAAACTCATGCTATGATGGTAGCCAACCTACACGTATAGAAGCTGAAGAGTATCAGGTAATGGATGAAGGTCCAGTCTATGAAAAGCCTGAAATTCATGCCGCGATGGACCCGAGAACAACCCTTGATGCATACCATCTAGCCCTGTTGCAGATCCACTCGTCTTCCGCTTTCACTACAACGACTGCCTGGAAATTTCGGCCATCGATGCGACGACAGTACCCCAGGGGCCTGGAGGAGGAAGCCCGTCGAAGCATTAGTCTGGTAGCATCCTCAAGTTCTCATTGAGTAGAGCGAGGTATTGTGCATCCAAAAGCAACCACTACTGTACTGTTATTTGTGTGAAAGAAATTATCTTTGTATTACTTAGAAGAACGTTCAGAATAGATAAGATGTCTCGGAATAAAACAAATACTAATGTGGCCATGTTGCTGATTCGAAGGATCTAGTACTCATGGCTGAACCTTTTGAGTCTTGAGTCTTGGCTTGCCCTGTTGTTTTGGCGCTCTCCCCTATAAGCCAGCGCTGCACACCAAACGAGCAGTCTAGAACCAAGCCACCATCCAGAACTTCTTTAGCAGGGAAAGTCTAGCCAATCATCTGCCATTACTTACTGAAGCTCTTTCGTCCGTGCCAAATGACGAATGGTGAGTCTTGGATCCGTGCACCCGGGGATGTCATCTAGTAGCCTCCCCCTTCGGCACAAGAACAAGCCTTGGCAATTATTAAGGGTATGCCGCGGCAGGGGAAATCTATCGGCATGTAGATCAGGGTGCTTTATGACGGTTCGGCAGCTAACACTCCGTGGCTCAAGCACCAGTATCGCTCTGAATTGCTTACGACTCCGCGTCTCGTGTAATAAACCTTCTCAAGTCGAGTTGTTTCATACTACGCAATTCTCCGATTCTGACTCGACATTTGAATGTCAGGGCAAGTTGACGTAGGGAAGAGGCTTCGTGTCCCCGGCAAGGATTCCCCTGCCAAAGCCGACGAGATCGTCCGGAGACGACGGCTGAGTATTCAATATACTTTATATATCGTGTTTCACGGGTGTAACCGGAAGCGAATGCGACACTACCCCGGATTCCCTCTTTGAGGGTTTCAGCAAAACAACAATGCGACGCAGCACTCACTGAGAATGGCACTATTCATATATCCGTTGTGAAGTTCGGGTTTCTGTGTAGAGAGGGGATCGAATAGGCCATTGCAACATGGTAATTATAGATACATACACTTGACCATCGTTCCTCAGTGTTAAAAAATAAAACAGAAGAACGTCTAAGTCCATAAATCCTCTGGTCAATGGACATTCGGGGGCTCCTTCATATTAGAATCTGATCACTTGGGTGAAACAATACGGCGTTTCCGCGACAACTCACAGATCATGGAGAGGGCACTTGCGTTGAGCCTAGTTATTAAGCGGCGTTCATGCACCGTCAATTGACATATCAGGGTGCGCTAAAATGTCCTTAACAAATCGCTATCTGCGCTTTGACAGCAAAAGTGGTTTCACTAAGGCTAGCTCAGCCCGGCAGTAGTCGCTGGGCTTCGTAATGTGCCAACTGTAATTGCGGTCAAGATACTGTAATATGCTTTTGAACATCATTTATAGCGGGTATTCCGAAACGCTATCCGGATACTTAAAGCCGTGGAAGAACCCATAGTCGTTCCACGATAAACATCGTCATTCTTTATACCATCAAAATGAGAAGCCAGAACTTTTATTCTCCTTCTAACGAGGATAGGTCAATACCTCCAAAGTTTCCTCGTCGCACATCTTCTTTGCGTACCAAGCAACCACTGCCTCACATCGTTACCACCATCGAGCCTGGTTCCAACCGGCAGTTGTTCACACTGCACGAGAGCGCCGACGATGCTTCTCAGCCTTACCATAAGCGGAGCTTTTCGCTAGGTTCATCGCGGACGCCTACAACTCCTGGTCTCATCGACTCGCCCTACAGTGATGTAGCGCCTACACTACGCATGTTCTCAACGTCATACGTAATGACAAAACCGCAAGGGAACTCTGCAAGCTACTTCGAGAGCGATGTTAGTGATCAATTCCAAGTACCGAAACCCCGCCAACAGAAGCCCCAAGGAAAAGTGCAAAATTGGCTTTCTAAGCTTCCCAGTCAAAGAGAGTCACCCTTTCAAGAAAGGAGGAGAGATGACGAAGTGAGCCGAATATTGAAGTCTAGACAGCCCTGCCTTGTTGCCGACGCTTCTACGACGTCTACTGGAGTTGAGAAGCAATTTCTGGATATAGATTCGGAAGAAGATGATGGATCTGAAGGCTCCGATTCTGAGGATACCGGAGATCTTGATAGCTATCACGAGGCTTTGTTCAGATTATCGGGCTCTAGAAATGGTTGCAGGCCAACCTTTCGGGCATCGATGCGACGACAATTTCCAATTGACAGGGAAAGGGAAGCCCATTTGAAGATGTTTTGAAGCATTAGATAAAATAAGAGATCAAAAAGAGTTAGAAATAATATGACTGGAGTTGAATAGAACATTATCCTTTGTTAAGGGTTGGGTTGAGAAGTTGGAGGATATTATGACGAGCTCGATGTCCTGCGAAATCGTGGGTTTACTAGACTATATTGTCAAAAACGATTAGGCCATATAATAATTTAGCATATGAAGCGTTCTATAGACCAATAGTTGAGGGAAATGAAGTCGTTTAGGACTGAAAAATACAAACACCTAAACATGAGCGCCAAGATTCAACCTTTCAGATCACGTCACCAAGAACATGACAAGCGACTCATGAGCGCCCAAGAAAAAAGTTTTACATTGCTCTTTTCGTAGAAATGGGCTAGGATAAGCATGTCCAAGCGATCAGTGATCACGATTCGGGCCCTGGCATGACCCCTGACAAGAAACGGTGAGCGCGACGACCATCATGCATTTTGAAGAATATCATGAACTTCATGATGTTGCTTACGTTTATCAACGCAACGCCCAATAGAACATCAAGAAAATAATTAATTCAGTGGATCATCTTAGTAAATAGCATCCAATATCGTCTTGGCAATCATTGTTAAAATATTTTCTTCACCAGTACCGTGAGCATGGGGTTTAAAAGGCTCTGGCTGTCACCTCTTGGCTTGAGTTCAGAGTACCGGGGTTTCTGTCTGTCAAGTACGTACTTGATGATAGTGCTCAAAATAATTGTTACCGACTCTATGGAATCGAGACTTACTCGCCTGCCAATTCCCCGTCAAGCTGCTCTCCCTCCAGAAGAAGGCTACATCACTCGCTGAGAAACCAAGCCGAAAATGCACGTTTACGTTCACAGCGCCAATCCTTGGCTTGATGGTCATGTCCGAGAATGCATCAAGCGACATGTACCAGATGCCATCTGTCACGACAGTTTTACCGATATTCCAGAGGATGCCGATACTGTGTATCAGCTCCTAAATGGCTGGGAGCTCAATCATCACTTCGCGGTGTTGAACAGAGCGAAACATGGACTGCTTAACGCGTATCCTAACAGCGATGCGTTGGCTCGGAAAGATCACATGGCAAGCGTCGTGGATTACTGGATCACAAAAAGACCTGAAAGCGTCCTCAAAGGTCACAGTCCCGCGACTGTGAAGTTATCGCTCGACTATAGCGAGTATGTTGAAGATGCGCTGGCTGCGGCAGATGATCTGACCCTTCTATACTCGCTTGAGGACAACGAAGCAAAGGATGCGTCGGAAAGAGATTGGTGGATCCTGAAACCTGCCATGATTGACTGTGGCCATGGCATTCGAATATTCAGCACCATTGATGAACTGGCGGGAAATCTTGAACTCGCTGCTGATATCTCGGAAGAAGATGAAGAAAGCGAAGAAGACGCAGAAACGCCGGATACCAAATTCGAGAGCGACGACAGCGCTGAGGGGTTCAAGCCTAGTCTGTCAGCACCTGGGCTTGACTCACTAGACGCTCTCATTACAGCAACTGGAAAACTCTCCATCAACGGAACGAGCAAGATACAAGATTTGGTCATCGACGAAAACGAGCGCATTCCATCTGCACTCCTTCGAGAGTTCGTCGCACAGCAATACATCGTCAACATTCCGCCCATCGATGGTCGGAAGTGGCACGTCAGAGCTTACGTCCTCTCAGTAGGACGTCTAAAAGTTCATGTCTTCAACGAGATGCTAGCTTTACTAGCTCTTGACGATTATGAGCCTCCTTGGAAGAACCCCAGTCTCAAATCATCGTTGACAAACACTGCGCTGCAAGATGAAGAGGAGTTCACCAGCAAAGAATCCATGCGGGACTTTTGGAAGATTGCAGATGAAGTTCTTCCTGGTGATTGGAAGAAAAATGTCTTCGATCAAGCTTGCCAAATCTCAGGAGAGCTTCTTCGTGCAGCCGCTCATACCATGGCTGATAAATTCACGCCTCTGGATAAGTGCTTCGAGCTCTTTGCCATTGACTTCTTGATCGATTCCAAGGGAACAGCGTGGTTATTAGAAGTCAATGAAACACCCGCATTTTACGAACAAGGTTATGCAGGCGAACTTGCGCAACGGCTCATGGAGTCGTTGATCTGTGTGACGTTGGAGCATATGGGAATGGCTGATATGGAGAGTGAGAAGAATGTGAAGGCGAGGGAGCGTATGGTGGAGGTTTTGGATGCGACGAAGGAGTTGGCGAAGAGTAATATTACGGAGATCCTGCCGGGCGATTTATAGAGAAAATTAGATCAATAGAGTTTGTGTTTTTTCACTTTTTATGAATTAGTGTGATTCTCCCTGTTTCCGTGGTTGCCTACTTTATGGACAGTATCATAACCATCTTTCCTGCTTTGATTGCGAATGCTCACTTGCTGTATCTCTTCCTTCCTGCATCTCTGCACGCCTTTCTTATTCCTCTTCCCGTGGCTTATTTTTCTCCCTGCCACCATCATCAATCTCATCATCACTATTTATCTCAACTCCGTCACAACACCTCAATATCTCAACATCTCACTAGCAGAATGGACCACCCCTTGCGTCCAATATGGCAGTCAGTTGATCTCTTCGAATTCGACGCTGAAGATGCCCCTCGCATCATTGAAGCTATCGGCTATTCCTGCTTCACTGTGGAATATCTTCCTGGCGCAATACACTACCCAGACAAAGATCCCACTGCTGTCCTCCACTCGCTCAAGGAACCGTTCGCCAATTCCAGCAATCGAGTTCCCCGCCCCAACGGTTTCTTCGATCTTCTGCCCCGCGTGTTCGTTCGGCGTATGCTTCCGTGGTGCGATGTGCAGACTCTCTTCAGTCTTCGACAAACGAGCTTTCGATTGCGAAAGATTATAAGCAGATCCCTGATATACAAGAGCATTATCAGATGTGCCCTTCCTCTGTACCATGCAATACTCGGGACTAGACATGCACGCCGTGTGCTTCTCATTGACTTCTGGGAAAAGCGCACCACAATGTGGTATGACCACTGTGAGAATTTCGCCATGCTTATCAACATCCCTGATTGGTCACGAATTTGCCAGAGTTGTGTCGAGAGAGGCAGCCGAATAAACAACCGCCTCACTGGCACATTCAGAGTCTGCCAATACGTGAAATTGGACACTCTCGCACAGTGGCTAGCTGAAGGTGAAACACTCCCTCCCTGGGTTTGGCGCGAGAGCGTTGGCTTGAAAGGCCAGAGGCAAGATCTGGTGGAATACGATAGCGTTAGACATCTCGACACAGGGAAGCGCCGCTCATGGAAGCGCTTGGCCCCTTTCAATTACATGGTGGCAAGCGCGGTGCCCTACATGGATCCGCAAACCGACGAGAACGAGTCTGGAGTCGCGTGCAAAGGATGCATCCCCCAAAGTCAGCGAAGGAGAGAGGATGGAATTAGGAAGGTTTATAGCCGTGAGGAGTTCTTGGAGCACTTCCAATGGTGCAACAGAGCGCAGTTATTATGGCAGGCTTATTGTCAGCCAGACTCAAGAATTCCTATCGACACGACAAGTTATACAGAAATCCAGAGAGCAATCGACTCAGTCCAGACAAATGGCTAGCTTTTACTACCGGAACGCTGGTCGAAGTCAAGAAATGTGGCTGGACCTTTGCCTTGTCTGTTACACTGTTTTACTCTCTCTTTTCCGGCTTCACAAGGCGTTTTAGAGCAAAGTGCTACAGATCATAGTCAACGGATAGATTGTTCAAAGGTTTAATGCTATTATATGTACACAAAGATCAAGTGTCAACACCATCGGGCTACAAATTGCCGATGTCGGTTGAGAATTAGAAAGCTTCCCAAGCTTTCGAGACCAAACTCATACACGGAATGAGCTGACGAAAGCCAGTCGACCTAAGGGTCAAGAAGTCATGATTTAGCAAGAAGCGACGCTGGGAACGTTCTTGCAGCTATCATACTTCTTACCACCAGTGACCTGAACATTCTGCCAAGTCCAGTCCTTGCAACCAGAGCTTCCGCAGACAATAGCAGCATTCTTGCCGCTGGACGCAACACCGTTCTTACCCTTGATGTTCTTAAGGGTGAGGCCAGTGATGGGAAGACCGCTGGTGGGCTCGCCGTGGAGATCACCGCCGTCGTAGTTCTGCTCAATGAGGATGCCGTACTTGGTGATCTTGGAGAGGGTGATGTCGGAGTAGGTGACCTTGTTGACCTTGCCGGTTGTGTTCTTCATGGTCTTGACGCGGATGCCGTTGGCGGAGTTGGTGACCTCTGAGTTGAGGAACTGCACGTTGTCGACGATGTTGTCATCGCGGCCGCCGACACTGCCGATGGAGAGGCCGTGACCGCCGTGGCAGTAACCGTTCTGGAAGATGATGTTCTGTTGAAGTCAGTAAGTAATTCTCAGACATGCTCAGGAATGACTGACCTTTCCGGAGTTGACAGCGACACAGTCGTCCTGGTTGTAAACCTTGGCGCCAGTGATAGTAACGCCAGTGGAGGAACCAATGTCAAAGGCATCAGTGTTGTGACCGCCCTTGGTGTCACCATCCTTGTTATCAAGGGTGAACTGGTTGATAGTAAGACCATTAACACCATTGATGCTAACAGCCTGAACAGGAGTGTTCTTGACATAAAGATTGTTGATCTTGGAGTCAGTGAGCTTATGAGCCGAGAAGAACTTTGGCTTATCGATGCCACTGTTTCCTCCCTTTCCATCCCACCATCGCTCACCACCAGCATTGAGAACAGCACCAGAGCCCTCAACAGTGATCTTGTTTCCAGAGATCTTCATAAGAGGTCCCTTCCACTCCTTGTAGCCCCAGGTAGTGGTTCCCTTGAAGATGACCTTGGTGTTGTCCTTGAGCTTGCTGAGATCGAGAGTCTCACCGCTGGGGACAGCAACGTTGTTAAGGACAATGGTGGCGCAGGCGGCTTGGGACTTGCTGGCCTTGGAGGCGCCGTCGGAGCCGGAGAAGGTGCAGGATGTGGCGCGCTTGGAGTAGGCGTGGACGTCGGGGGCTTGGGTCACTGCTGGGGCAGGAACAGCGACGGCGCTGCCGGCCAGGGCAGCGAGGAGAGCGAAGCCGAGCTTGGTCATTTTGATTGTTGAAGAGAGAAATATCTAATGAGTGACGAAATAAACGAATGTACTTGTGAAAGTGTAACCTTTGACCGGCAAAAGGAATGTGATGATCTTGTGTGCTACTGTTCTTCTTCTTCCGTCCTCCCTAGATTCTTATATATTCCCCGAATCTTGAATGCTGAGCCAAACTCCATAGCGATTACCCGTTGTATCCGAGTTTCTATGGTTCCAGAAAAGACCCTTTCCATTGTGTATTCTACGGAACATAATTGTCCTCCAATTGGGAATAGCGCCCAGACTGTCAACACGGGCCGAGTTAAATGAGAAGGGGGACTTGAAGCCCCCATTCACAAAACGTCAGCGAGTGCGCGGATTTGTTTCTCCATAATTGGAACGAATTACGCGTGGGACCTGGGTGACAGGTGGAGCGTAGAGGCCGATTATCCGCAGTAGCGCGATATGCAGTTCTTGGCAAATCGGGAATGTTTCCGGTTCATGTTTCAGGTTTGACTTTGACCAGAGAAAGAGCCTCACAGAGTTAAAGGTCAGTTAGGTTCAGTGGCTTGGTTTCGTGTTTAAACAAGTGCGTTTTGAGATATGGTGAGTTTAGTTTCAAGATAGCCTCTTATACACGAAAGCTACGTTGCATCCGAGTGAAAAGCATTGACCTTCGGTATGATACAGATATCTAGAAATAAGATCGTATAACGGTGAACATCCTTGAAAGGGAGTTAGCTAACCCGTACAGGGCTCTCCCTGTTCTCATCTGAGGTTCATGCCCGTATCCATGGCGGCGGTATCCAACACGCTTATATCTTTGTTTCCCTCAAGTGATAAATTGTAGGGGTGACGTCGCACTTGAAAACTAAGCATACATTTTAGGTGATTGTTCGCGTCAACTACCACACCCTATGACACATAGACTATGACTTAAAAAGTTCGGCGAAGTGGAAATATCAGGACTTGGCTGCATACTGGCTTGCCAAGACATCACGGCACTCACACGCGAGGAAATAAGCTAAAAGGCCAAGAAAAAGTGGTCAGACGTTTGGGACTGATTATATTATATTTATGGGTCGTGAGATTACTATTCTGCCAAGAGTCATACTCGCCAACGACGTCGGCGAACCTAAGGGCATAGGAACGATTATGCAGCCCTGCCCTATTCCCTTGCAAGTCTTTCTACTCGGCATTGAGTGACAGGAGAAATCTGTAATGTGGTGGTGATGAAGGAGGAAAAGGTCCTTGTTGTGGCTTTTCCCCCTTCAACTTCTGTAACGAGATGGACTGTCACACTTTCTCACAAAATATATGCAAGCAAGAAACCTGCTCTTGAGACCTAAAGTGCTAACCTGCATACGCCAATCATGATAGTTACCTCAGCGGTGCATATACATCTAGGGTCCATTTCAGGCCTCGAACGACTATGATGTAACTATGATTGAACAATGAACAATTCTTCCCAGCAGTAAGAAAGCCGTGGAGTTTCTCCGGCATGAATCCTTGATGGATGATGACACATAGGACTCTATGTTTTCTTTTTATATGTTGTCTCATCTCTTCTTTTCTCACCTCGCTTAAGATAGAGTCACTCTGTCGATGCTTGTGTAACCAAGACATCCATGTACATTCTGCAATGGGAATATGGCCAGCGGTATCCCCGGACCAGGCAAATCACTAGACGGCGTAACTCCGAGAGGTAGAAGCGCTCAACGGCGTTGTTGGGTTGAGTTGTGTAAACCCAACAAGTTGCGGTGATCTATCTCGGGATGCAAGGCGTGCATCATGCCCGAGGGACTTCGTAGATGAGATGATGTGAGAATTGCCATCAGAGTTACGAAACGGCAAGCCATTATCACAGAGTTAGGCCGAAGGATAAGAAAAGAAAACTATTAAGACAACACGTTATGGCATATGAAGGTCCATGGTCCCTGTTCTGACCTATCCTTTCTTCCCAATCGTGTCGAGAACTTGGATTGAGGGGTATGGAAGGCATGAAACTTGAGGGGCTATCGCCACTACTACTGGCTTCAATGCATGATGATCCTGAGGCGTCCTTGAATGAATCATCTCTTCCCTTCTCGCACTTCGCTCTTCGCCTTGTCATGCATATATATATATGGCTGCTGTGTTAAGACTGAAATAAGAAAACAGGTATTCTTCTTCAAATAAGCATCCCAGCAATACATGACGAAGATTATATATAGCGCCTGATCGTTTCTTGACCTTTGATCTCTAGACAATCTCATAGAATAAGAGTTTAACCTACTGTCTTTATCTTCAACCGTCAATAAGATCATTCTTCGATTCTCAGGAACACAAACGAGGAAATACGACCTTTGCTGTTTCCAACACAATGGACTCCTGTTACGGAACTGGAGCCTTTCCTCAGTCGATCAATCTTGCCGGAGCTTGGTATGGTAATCAGTTCTCCGATGAATCCGAGTACGTATACCATCTCACCTCCCAGGAAGTCGAAGAAATCGAAAGCGCTTTTTTGCACTTCAAAGGTAAGTCCCTTTAGACTTGCAGCAAGCAGGCTCTAATGTAGTGATAGCCCTCGGCCTAAATGGGGACTTGATCTGCCGACAGAACTTTCCACTTCCGACAGTCGGGGAAAACCTGGATCGCATAAGGCTTGATGTCCACGAAGGAAAGGGCTTTGGTCTGGTTCGAGGCTTAAATCCATTGGACTACTCCACTGAGGACTTCACGATGATGTATCTCGGCATTCAATCGTACATCGCCAATCATCGAGGTCAACAGGATGAGAAGGGAAATATGCTGGGTAAGACAGAGCGATGGAGGGTCATACATGAGTACTGAGATGTCTTTATTACAGTTCATATCGTGGCCGACAAGTCTTCCAAACTTTCTAGTCAGCATCATCGGCATTCGCCATCGGAAATCGTAAGTGGGACTCTTGAACATTGAGGTTTTTACTAATAACTGAGCTTTCAGATGTTTCACAACGAGGAGTCCGGAGACATTGTAAGCTGGCTGACAAGAAGTTCCGCTGCCTCAGGCGGAGGATGCATCATTGCTTCAGGATATGCGGTATACAATATCCTGAATCAACATCACCCTGCATCTATCCGCCAGCTTTCTCAGCCTAAATGGGTATTTGCAAAGTAAGAGCAGCTCCAGCCAGTCTCTATTATAAGAAATATCTTGAGTAACAGCCATTTAGCCAGGAATGATACCCCAGGCCGATATTCTTCTATCACAGCAACAGGATCATGCTCAACTTCGGCCGAGTCCCACTAATCGGCAATGCGGTTCATCCGCGCCCGCTTCATCTACCGCGAATTTCCATAAAACAGTTCAAAGCGTTGGAAGATATTGAACGCGTAGCTCGAAAGTTCCGGTTGGAGATTAAGACGAAACCAGGCGATATTCACTTCATCAATAACCTATTCATCCTCCACAAACATGATAGCTTCAAGGATGGTGATGGGGTTGGTGAGAAGAGGCATTTGGTTCGGATGAGGCTTCGAGATGATGAGCTGGGCTGGGACTTGCCGGAGAGTTTGAGAAAGGAGTGGTCAGAGGCGTTTGATGCAGATTCTGATAAGCTTTGGCATATTGATCCTATGCCGGAAGGCTTCTTTCTATTGAGATCATATCCGAATTAGATGGTTAGTAAGGTACAGGGCCGAAAAATGGGACAGTAATCCATGTCGGGTGGCTCTAGATATAGAATTATGTCTATAGAATACGGATAGAATAATTAAGTTATACGTGGTAAATAAAAGCGTCTGGCTACAGGTCCCAAAACATCATTGTAGTGTGTCTTTGAACCAGTGATATGCATACGTCGAAAGGCGAAACAAGATACATCACGGGTCTTTTTGCGAGCATCAACTTGGTCAAAGGTGATCAATTCCCGTTCAGATTAATGTAGTTTATGTTGTTAAGCAATCTTGAGTAATTCTTCGATGCAATGTTCCAGAACAGAATGGAGTCATGGTGCTGACCCCACATGACCCGGAGACCCCTCTCTCAGGAACCCACCTCGGATATAGCTCATCTATGCCCACTCAACGGAGGCACTACACGAAACCGCTTCAATCATATCTACCCAGAGACACTATGACAGCATCACTCTTTCATAAGTCACTAAACTCCACACTTACAGGGATCAAGACCTCGGAAGTGATTCAATTTCGAGGCATTCCATATGGCCGTATTCCTCGACGCTTTGCTGCGCCCGAAAAGCTGGAGAGATATCCTAGATGGCTTGACTGTACTAGTTTTGGGTAAGTCTTCTTAATCCAACTACTGTTAAGCGCACAATAACTAATAAGTCAGACCTCGATGTCCGCAAGTCGCTGTTGATGTCGGGCATTTGCTGCGCATACCTCCGGATCATGTATTCCCACATGAGCCTGAGGATGAGTTCAAATGCACAAATCTGGATGTCGTCCTGCCGGATATTGGACCTTCGATTGAATCATCAAAGTTACCAGTTTTGGTCTGGATACATGGTAAATTCCTCGTTGGATTGTCATTGTGAGATGTTAATGAGTCGGAACAGGAGGCTCACAAGCTGTAACATTTGGGAGCGCCGCATCCGGTGTCTGCGGTAGACAAAGGTCCCAAGGCATGATAGGCGTCAAGCGCTAATAGCTATTTTAGATATGAGTACAATTGTGGCTGATTCTCTGCGTTTGGGGAAGCCAATAATCGCCGTATCCATTCAGTATCGACTTAATGTCTTCGCTCTTGGTAACGGCAATGGGCCTCCGAACTTAGCTCTCCGTGATCAAGAGCTGGCTTTACAATGGGTTCAGGATCATATCTCAGGATTTGGTGGTGATCCAGTACTCAACCATTCTAACACCAGAAGAACAATGGGCTAACAAAGCGTGCAGGATATGGTTACTCTAGCGGGTGAGAGCGCTGGGGCTATTTATTGTCACGCCCACTTGGTTACAAATGCCCGAGTGCGACAAGTTATTCTTTCATCTGGCTCATTGTTCTTATCGTCACCTCAGCCCCGGCAATCGGTCTTGGCTCTTCGCGAGAATATTTCCAGGAACCTGAGGGACATGGATCAAACGCTCGATCTGGAAACTGCATCTGCAAGTCAGGTTGTTGAGGCGGTCAGAAGATCTGGTCTACAGTCATTTTTCCTCGAATGGGAAGATTTCTTCAATGCTTGGCAGACAAAGACTGGCAGTGCGGAGAGATTACTCCTCAGTGATGTGACTAAGGAGGTCGGTCAATGAAGATTGTTAGATGAAATGACTACTAACGCGCAAAAGGGAGCCATTTACCAAGCGGGAGTATGGTTGACAGACCCAGACGATATAGCAAAAGCCTTTGATGCTTCCGGGCAACACGGCGACGAGCTCAAGAAGTTATACCATATTTATCCAGACCGACCTTCATCCTGCAAGACTGGGGCGTTGGACTTCATCAACGACTACAAGTACCTACTCCCTGTCCAGCACCTAGAAAAATCCTGCAAGGATGCAAAGAAGTCTGTTTTCAGGTGTTTGATAGACGAAGCAAACCCATGGCAGCCCTCAAGTGGGGCTCATCACGCCGTAGACCTCGTTCTCTTATTTGGAGGATTTGATCTGAGTTTTGCGCCCAGTGCTGAGCGCGTTGGTCAGGCGATGCGAAAGGCGTGGATTAAGTTTATCTATGGGGAGGAGCCGTGGTCTGAAGCGATGGAAAACTATTATGGTTTTGGACCCCATGGGAGTTTGAAGAGTCTGGAAGATTGGGAGGTTCAGTCACGGAGACGCGTTGGACTGGCGGAGAAGTTGAGTGAAATGGAGAGTTCGTCGTTGGATAAGACATCTTTTGGGCTGGCGGCAGGGAAAGTGAGTTTGTTGAACTGATAAATTGTTTCAGGGGAATTATCTGATGCTATTGATTCCACTCTGAGCCTGTAATGCCATGGGTATTCTTCTCTCTTCCTGTTCCCTTCCAATCAAACTAAGCTTCATAAAGACGCCATCAAAGACCTAAGGCGTGATCGCTTCCGCGCTGCCGGCTGCTTGCGAATCGTTGCCAGAAGAGCCATTAGACTCGACACAACAGTGATGTCAAACAATGGCGTAGAGGTAGCTGGTAGAAGGAGAACTCCGTGGCTGTAAGACGTAGGCAGTTCGCTCTCAAAGCCATGATGATGATAGATTGCTAGTATCGAACCATCATCATCGCCTCGCCGTTCCATATCCACCAACTCATAGCGCAGTGGTCCCTTCTCAGCTGGATGAACTTGCCAATCACAACTGTGAGCTTCTGAACCTCCAAAGTCCCCAGACATGCTCATGTATGGATATCGAATAACCCTCTTCTTCGTTTCCTTCTCAGGCAAAGGGTAACACTCCCGTCCTGTGAGTTCAAACGAGGAATCTCCCGTGTGTATCTGCAACGTAATACCCTTTTCTCCTTCATTCGGCGATGATCTACACTCATCTCATCAGTATAAGCTTTTCTCCCACAATTTGACAAACTTACACCTCCGCATCCAAAGGATCTCGACCTATCACTCTCTCATGAATAGAAACACTAGCGTCAACGTCTACCAGGAACCGAGCGTTGTCGCCGGCATGATATCCGCTAGGTTTTCGAAGAAGGCATAGCTCTACCTTGTAACTCTCCGAGCCCATGGGATGCACCCCCACTTTCTCGGAATATTCCTTTGAGATGTCATATATCGCGAAATGGGAGATTGTGTCGTCATGTTTTGGGATGTAAAGCGCTTTTGTTAGATGCGCAGGGACGTGGGATATTATGTCTTGCATCGTTACGGTGCTGCGTGGTCTCGAATGAAGATAAACTGAAGAAATGTCAAAAGCCATTGAGGGCAAGATATTTATAATATGTGATTAAAACCGTTGGAAGTCTCCAGATTTTAAACTCCAGATAAGGTAAATAAAGGAAATCCAGTTTACCAAGAAGCGTGTGACATTTATTGAAGCTTGATCTCATGATCAGACGTTGCCAAGATGAACTAAACAGTTTGCATAACGTACATAGCCACTCGTCACAATCACAATTACAACGGACTTTTCCTGATAATTTCTAATCGAGGATGTAATGAACCCAGATATGGTATGTCCGAGTGGGGCTGACAAGTCCGATTCTGTCGCCACTCAGAAAACTTCCCATTTAGGTATTAAGAGCTTAGAAAGGGTGACTAAGAATAGAAAGTCCGATTGATCGGGGATTCAAAGTCCGATTTGGAGTAAGTAACATGTGAATGGCATCGAAATCGGATTTGGCTGGGACGAAATCAGATGTTTTGGGACTTAATAAAAGCCACGGTCCCATACTTTTTCACAGATGCATTTACTTACATTGATCAGGTGCCAAGCTGACATTGATTCACTTGCCATTGGTGACGTTTCAAGCATCGTCTATAAGTACCAAAACTTCACTCTATCAATTATCCCGTCTTGTCACGTCACAGCTCAGCAACTCCATCTCGAATTCATCACCATGTCCACCAAAAAGTCAATGCGCTCTATCATGGCCAGAATCACAGGTCAACACCGCCCTCGCCTCACAATACGGTACATCCTCCAATCCCAACACTCCGATCTTTCACTGACTTTACAGACCGGATTACGACTACGTTTTTGTCAGTGGAAACGGCGAAGATGCAAAAGGCCAATATCTTCGCGGAAAGCTATCACTTTTCATCCCAGAAGGACAAAACATCACCAGTGTTCAACTAAAATTGACTAGTCGGATGTGGCTTGGGTAGGTTCATCCCGAATATTCGAAGCTGACAGCGGGAGCTAACGGGTAACGTTTCTTAGAGATCACAAAGTTGATGCCGAAGATGCTGTAAAGTGGCAACGGCGCGAGAACACTGTTCATCAGTGGGAGCCATTCAATGTTGTCAATAAAATCGGAGAGTCTTTTAAGAATGGGAAGAATTTTGAATGGCCTTTTGAGTTGTTCATTCGAGGGGATCAGGAGGAGTCTTTCAAGGGTTGTACGCGATGCAGTATTACATACCTACTGGAAGCCTGGACGGTTGATGAGGGTTCATCAGACAGCTTCAAGACCTTCTCACCAATTCGGATAATTCGAACTCCGGGGTTCTCATCATACGAACTCATGGATCCGATGACGGTGCAAGGGAAATGGTCGGAGAAGGCGGAGTACAACGTTTCCATCCGGCATCGAGCGATTGCCCTGGGAGGACTGATTCCTATCGAAGCTCATCTTGCGCCGCTCAATCTGACAGCGAAGATCACAAAAGCCAGGTTTTACTTGCGGGAAAAGCACGATGTGGAGGACAAGTCTGAGGCCGAAAACACAGGGTATGAGGGACAACGAATTGTGACGGAGTGGCCATTGGAGTTGAACGACGAACCTCAGCAGCGGTGGCAGCAATGCCTACACCTCCCAATCGCTGTCAGAAAATGCTCTCCCGACTTTTCAGTTTGTGGGGTTTCTATCACACATACGCTGCATTTTGAGGTTACTTTGACCAACAATGGCGTCACGACAGAGGAAGAGATCTCGATGCCTATACATCTCTTCATCTCACCAGAACTACCTGTCAACGGTTGGGGCGTTTTTGTGAGGGATCATGTGATTGCTGCAAAGGAGGTCAAGAGCCTTTTGGCAGAAGGTATCAGTGTTCCGCCGAAATATTGCAAGGGAGATTTTGTGGTGGAGGATTATGAAGCTCCACCTCCTGCATATAGTGAAGGATGATGGGAGAGTCATCAGATGCGAGAAGGACTTATATTCGATGTAGATAGTTTTGAGATTACCTGTTTGATACGAGATAGCACCTGCTTTACAAGAGATACCAAAATTTATTACTATTTATCAAGTCATCATCGTCGTAGCATCATCAGTTTGCGGAGTGATATAAGCTGAGTCCCAGAGTTCCTAGTTGAGTTAGCGATATCCTTGAGAAGCGATAATGAGCTTACCCAGTCAATCCCATCAGGTCTAAACCAGTCGACATTGGTAGCCCAGTCCTCAAACCTCAGCTCCACATCTTCGGGCATGAAAGTCGGTGCGGGATCTCGTTTGGAGAGATATGATCTGTACAGATTAGTCCCCGCACGTCTTATCAAGAGCCAAAGGTCACTCACCGAGTACAACGAATAACGCGATAGACGCTTGAACAAGCTGGGCTCTTCATCTTAAGCGCTTCCATCCTCATTATAGCAGCATCAATAGCAGATATATGCCCTGTCAGATCAGAATCATCGGGCATGTCAAGCATACATGAAGTAAGCGCAACAGCTCCGTGAAGTGCATTACAACTGATTGCGCCCTTGACGAGCCAGCGATAACACTTTAAGCGCGGTAGTTCGTAGAATTGGTGGTGAACATCAAGTAGGGCTAGACCGGACTTGATACACTTGTCCCGTGACTCAGCACGGAAGTGGCTCGCTTTGGAGCTGTGAAAAGGTCGATGAAGAAGAAGGTAGAGTTGGTGCGCGTAGGTTTGAAGCATACACCAATGAGCGTATCCGGCGGTGTTGAGAATACTTCGGCGACCGTTTACAAGATATGCTGAGTCCCATTGTAACTGTTCTTTCGCCACAGCTGTATCATACTGGTGCAAAATTGTCGTGTTGAGTTTATCGTCACTGGAGATATGCGAGCAGATTTGCGTCGAAAGCTGGAATAGTCGAACCTGGAACTTGAGGAGTGATGTGTCAGTAAACTCGCATGGTGAATCCTTGGGCGACTGCTTGATGCTGTGTTCTTGGATATCTTTGTCGTTGACCCATGCTGGCATTGTTGCTTTCATGTTCAACAGGAACGTGAGGTCGATGTCTCGGAAGCAGAGCGCCTGATATGTATGAATGATCAAGATGCCCGCCCAGCAGCGCCGACGACGCTCTTGTTCGATGCAATTAGGGCCTTCAATATCCGTATGGCAACGCAGGGCAATGGCGATGTTGAGTGCACTGCCGAGAAGCGCCCACCCGTACTCTGGGCCTTCGTTATGAGATATCATGTGAACCAGGATGAGAAGAGCCTCGAGGGTGCTGAAATCATGGCGAACCAGGAACTGATCTTGCGACAAGGCTGTCATGGCCGCATTTCGGTATTTTTGTGACAGTACCGACAAGTCTCGGGGATGGTGGTGTCCTGCCATAACACAACAAGACCAGCGTCTGTTGGCTCAATGGTTTTGAGGGTCAACGAGATGATGGCGAAGAGGACGGCCAGCCATGACAAACTTGTCTTCTCTGGGGCTTCAAGGAAGTCCAAGTACTGAGTCTGGAATGTCGGGCCATGGAGAATATGGAATAGAGATGATAGTGTTCCGAAATAGCGGCATACCAAGTACTCAGTCACAGAAGTCGGCGGTAGCAGAGCAAGCAGTTCGTTGATTGGAACACAAGGCCCAAAAGACAAAGTAACCGTCGGATTTGGTGAGTCGGGTATAAGACTCCTCTCAACAGAAGGTCGCCGCAGAATGTGATCCCATCGCTGCTGTATCGGCTCAGGCGTCGAACTCGGAGATGACACGGTCTCTTGTACCTCGACGGACTGAACCTGTATTTGCTGTTGAGGTACCGGTTCAACAACCTCAAGTCTAGTCCTTCTTCGCTTCTGCGGCCCAGTAAAGTTTGATCCATATGCGCAAGAATCCTGCCAGCCTCGTTTGAGGCATGTAGCGCATGGCAGTCCCCGGTCGCATTTCAGCTTGGAGTGCCTGCAGGGATCGCAGTTCAAGGGTTTTCTGGGGCGTCGCTTCTGAGCTTGGCTTCTGTTTGGGGAGCTCGAACTGCTCGGGCTTAGTTGCTCCATAATTCAATGGGTATGTCAGTACAAATCAACAAAAGAGGGCGTTTTGTTGCGATGTCCGATGTTGGAGATGAATGGTTGGAAGCCGATGCAAAAATCGGAGTCGGAAATCGGATTTAGGCTGATGTGACTGATTACGTCAGGTCTTGCGCCAATCAACGCGAAGCCCTGTCAAAATCGGACTTGTCGCTTGTCGCACAAAGCTCGTGACAAATTGGACCCGGAAGCGCTCGAGGACGATCTGCAGCATAATCTTCACGGCATGACTCAATGAACGCCAAGAAAAGAATGCAAAATGATCATAGTCAGCTTGGGCTTTGTAATTAATCACCTGGGATGATGAGATGACCGCCTTCGCCTTAAAGACAAGTGGTTGACAATTTCGCAACATTTTGCTTCACATAACTTTGCTACCATGATAAAAGCCAAGATACACTCGCTCTCCAATTACGGCCAAGGTCCCGAAGCTAATCAGGGCGTAACATCTCTCACAAGTCGTGCCCCCATGCGTAGATAAGAAAAAGCTACGTCTGCCTGAACCTAAACTCACGAAACGAATTCACGCCCATATTTTCTCAAATCATAAAAGCCCACGTTTCCTCCTACAGGTTACTTAAATAGCATGGAGCCTCTGCATTTCAGACCGCCCGCAGCCATCTCTCGATAAAGTTTTTTTTTATTGTTGCTTCTAAAATTGCATCTCGGCTTATTATACGGGTGTCTTGTCGTCAACCAGTCACAGCTATTTCTCCACTATAAATCTTCAACCATGGCGACACCGACTCATCTCTACCCAGGCGTAAATCTCGCCCTTCGAGAAATGCCCGAGAAGGAATTGAACTTCAACAATGAATATCTGTTTTATCCCATTGGATTCCCCGAGTACCCGGGGAGTAAATCTGTCGTCATGCCTGTGAAAGAGGTGGCGATGATGATTCTCATAGATACGTTGACGGATAAACCAGATTGGCACAAAAAGGTTTTTGACGAGGTAATTGTTCAGAAGTGGAGAGACGAAGCGCGGCAACAGAGTGAGGATGGCTTGTATGCGAGGATTATGCAGGATAAATTGGGGGAGGGTCCTCGTAAGCCTCGGGCTAGAATTATCACTGATGCGGCGTTTGACTATGTAAGTCAAGGTTCAACGCGTGCCTTGAGGGTTGCTAATTAACGTTTGATAGTGCATTGAAGAGCTACGTGGAAAGGCAAAGCATTTTGAGCATTCAGGCCTGATCCCGATTCTTGATGGACCCGGCAACACGATCATCAAGTCAGACTCGTTCATCGACGAGAGTCTCCATCGGGACCTCAACAGAGCGTGCTATACTCTCTGGAAAGACCAGGAAAGCAATGTTGACTGGCATCCGCGAAGTAACGACATGGTGCATAATCTGATCCATCCTTCCATGCACAATTTCGTCTACGGTATTCCTTACCTCACCAACGACAGAGAAGTTGATGCTGATGATTAGCAGATCGCTCACCGTTCATTCAAGAAGAAGTCGTCGGCGTGTCCACTGCCCTTGAACTCATGGGTAAAGGCGACCCCGTGTGGGGACAGACCCCTCTAGCCCGAGAGAATGAGTTCGGGTCAAATTTTAGGGTTGGTTCAGGCAAGGTCCTCCCAGAATACTGGTCCGATAAATACCAGTGGCTCCCCGCCAACGTTGGGTTTCGAGAGGACGGCAGTGCTGAGTTCACGAGTTACGTGAATAATCTCCACCCCACAAAGTTTTCTGATATCTACAAAACCACTGAGAGGTTGGTTGACAGGGCTATTCCTGCTTGGGATCATTGCTTGCGGGAGGTCACTCACTTCGACGACAAGAGCTTTGCGGGGAGAAATGAGTCACGGTTTGAATGGATACATGCGGCTTCGTAAGTCTAGATTCTCTTACAGTGGTGCTATTTTCTCTGGCTGATCAATCCTAGTGACGAAGACGACGACCTATGGACGCCAGAGTTTGACGTCGACGAGTTTCTTCACAAAGACGTCGAACTCACGCATCAAGAACTCCGTGACTTGGAAGAAGAGTGCTACCACGATGCGGAGGACCCAGTTGAATTCGATGAAGATGAGTATGAACGCAGAATGAACGAAGGCCTTCCCCCTCTTACACCCAATGTCGATGATGAGACCATGGCTGAAGCAAAATGGGTAAAGTTCCGCGACGCTATACTCCCTGACCCAAAGCCATTTGAAGAAGTAGGCTATGCACCAAAGCAGAGCTTGCGGGAGAAGTTCAAGAAGAATGGATTGCAGATCGTTGTCAAGATGGCGAGTATTGAGCTCACGCCTGAGAAACCGGATTTTCCTGCTGGAAGTTGGCATGTAAGTCTTCCCCAAAAGTGGATAACTTAGGTTTTGCATACTGACAGACGGTAGCTCGAAGGTCAGATGAACGAGAAAATCGCCGCAACTGCACTGTACTATTTCGACAGTGAAAACGTAACGCCAAGCCGTTTATCATTCCGTATGCAGACGAGCTCCTACCTTAATGATAACATCAAGACTGGCCAGGATGATTATCACTATCTTGAAAGGGTGTATGGCACAGATCTAGGAGCGCAAGGTGGATTCGCTAGATCTTGTGTTCAAAGCTACGGAGATGTTGACACGCCAGAGGGCCGTCTCCTCGCTTTTCCTAACGTCTTGTAAGTCCTTTCTCCCTAAGCAATAATGACTTAACTAATATTTGAGTAGTCAACATCGCGTATCTTCTTTCAAGCTACAGGATCCTACGAAGCCTGGGCATCGTCGGTTCATAGCTCTTTGGCTGATTGATCCGCACCGAAGAATCCTTTCGACGGCGAATGTGCCGCCTCAGAAAAGGGATTGGTGGACAGGAAGCGGTGAGGTGCCTAGGGGACTCATGGATGTTGAGGAAGCGCGGGCACATCGGCTGAAGTTGATAGATGAGAGGACTGCGGAGAAGGCGAGGTTTCACTGGGAGGCGATTGATTACAACTTCTGTGAACACTAATTGGATCTTGGCGTCAGCGTAAGAAATGGATTGAGTGCTGAAGCAAGGCACATGATGCACTCATAGTGCTTTTTAGAGATGGATCTTGGAGGCAGCCTACCATTGTAAGTATCGTAAAGTTCAATGTCGAGTGCAAATGTTGTACAACCAAGCCTCAATACGAATCTAAACCGCCCAAGTAGGATATCACCGAAGTCCTCATCACATCCGGCCAAACGCAGCGCTCTACATGACATGTGCAAATCACAACTCCTAAATGTTATACTATCTATAAATGAATACGAGATAGCATTAATCTCGAGATTGTCTCTCCACCCAACCATATCGTGATTCATGTCCAAGACAAAATCCTCTCATGATGGACAGCTGACTTGTCTCAGATACTGACCTCTGAGTGGTCGCGGAGAAAAAATTAAGAAAGTGATCGACATCCGTAGGACAGGCTCGTAAATTTTACAAGTGCTGACATGTGCATCACATGACATGGGGGCCGAGACGTGGCTTGGAGTATTGAGGCGCGATGCTATTATTAGAGAGTTGACGTGTAGCAAGCGTAATGAGGCAGCATATAAAAAAAGTATAAAAGCTTCGACTTCGAACACATTTCCGATCTTTATACCAGTGCATTCACATCTCTACCAAACATCATAACTTCAACGGCCAGATCATCACCATGCATTTCACAACCCTCCTCACCAGCGCCATCGCGTTCGCCTCAACAGCAATATCTCAACCAACAGCTCGTCAAGCCCCTACAGCCAACGCAGTCATCATGATCGTCAACTCGGCCGATCACAGCCGACAGCCCGTCAGAATTCCCCTTGCGCAACTCACCACTCTCGACTACCAAGTCACAGAGCTGCGTCTCGAGAGTCTCAACGTTAATATTCCCAATATTCAATCACCTGAACTCAGCGATGTTGTTTGTCAGCGATATAAAGACAAATATGGTGTTCAGCTTGGGAGCGCTGAGTTTAGTCATGAGAAGCCGGCGCTGATTAGTACCAATCCTGTGGAGTTTGGTTGGGTTTTGTGTTATCGCAAGGACAAGGCTTGAGGAGACGGAGGAACATACGGGGGTTTGAATTGGGAGATGGGCTTGGATAAATTGAATACAGTGTTGCATAGTTCTTAATCGCAAGATTATACATAGCCTTTTTTTGTTCCTGATAATATGCAGATGCGCAAGACAGCATTATTAATGCTCGTAGGGCTTAGTCGATGTTCGGTTGAACTTCCACCGTCGCAGCCAATCATCATGAAGGACGTTTGGGGATTTCAAATCACGTAACGATGATTCTTGAAGCCGATTGGTCGACTCGTAAGGTCATCTCTCGTAAGGAAGATGACGTCGGGGTCTTGGAGTAATTCTCCGATTTCTTCCCCCAAAAATGGTTGCAATGGCCCGGATTATCAAGCATTCTTGGCCGCAAATTACGTTGCATTCTTAGGGGATGAATTAGTGACTTGATTACTGTGGAGTTTCGTATGGGCATTGAGAATTTTGTAAAAGCTTTTAACTATTACCCCGAATACTACATGGCATCAGCTTCGCTTGATAATCTACAGGACGATGAAACATCATCGCGTGCCATCAAAAATGTATTTAAAGACAAGCTTCCTCTAAAGTTCAATACCCATCATCACAATACAATCACAAACCATTTCGCATCACTTTGAGCTAAATCATTCATCACCGTACAATTGTTACACCATTCATATCAACCAATAACCATCATGTCAACTGAATCAAGACTCTGGCAACCCCTCAAGCTGGGAAACACCACCCTCTCCCATCGCATCGCCCTAGCCCCTCTAACCCGCCTCCGCAACGACGATGACCATCTTCCCCTCGATCTCATGATAAAATACTACGCCGACCGTGCCTCAACCCCTGGAACGCTCGTCATCAGCGAAGCAACTGGTATTTCCAAAGCAGCAGAAGCAGCCCCCAACGCACCAGGAATTTCTTCCCCAGAGCAAATCGAGGGCTGGAGAAAGATCTACGATGCTGTTCATGCTAAGGGGAGTTTTATGTTTCAGCAGCTCTGGGACCTTGGTAGAGCTGGTGATCCGGATTATTTGAAGAAGAGAGGGTATAAGTACTCGTCGAGCAGTAGTCTTCAGATGGAAGGGAAGAATGTGGCGCCTGAGGCGTTGACGGAGGAGGAGATTTGGCAGAAGATTAGGGAGTTTAGACAGGCTGCTAGGAATGTTGTTGATGCTGGTGGGGATGGTGTTGAGATTCACGGTGCTCATGGGTAAGACTGCCATTCCTTGCTGGATAAATCCAGTTGCTAACAAAGACTGCTCCAGATACCTTATCGATCAATTCATCAGCGAAAGTATCAACAATAGGACCGACAAGTGGGGAGGTTCCGTTGAGAACCGCGCTCGCTTCCTCCTAGAAGTCATAAAAGCCACTGTCGAAGAAATCGGCGCTGAGCGAACTGCCCTTCGTCTAAGTCCCTTTGCAACATTCCAGAGCGCCTACACCGCCAACCCATGGGATCAATTCGGCTACATCTTCAGCGAACTCAAGAAAGCAGGATACAAGCTCGCTTATGTCTCACTCGTCGAACCGCGAGGTAACCCAGCTATCCTCGATGCTACACCTAAAGATCTTGCTTCAGACAAGGTTAGTCCCTTTGGGAACAAGAAGCAGAGTCTCGAGTACTTTCTTGACATGTGGGATAATCAGTCCCCTGTTATTGTTGGGGGTGGATATATCCCTGATAATGTTTATGACGCTGTTGATGGGAGTTATAAGAAGTGGGATGTTGTTGTTGCTTTTGGGCGATGGTTCATTTCGAACCCTGACTTGGTGTTTCGACTGAAGTATGGTGTTGCATTGACTCCTTACCAGCGAGACACCTTTTATGCTGCTAAGAGCAACAAGGGATACAATGACTACGCTTTCAGTCAGAGGTATCTCGAGGCTACAAAAGCATAGATAGGCGGCTGATAAAGTTGCGGAAATCATTTACATAGAGCATGGCAATATCGTATATAGAGTAGGAAGAGTAGGATAGAGAATCTTGTTTCATCTTTCACATCATATTGAATCATAACTTATCTACCATATTTACCAACGCAAACCGTTCATGGAGAGTTGAAGAAAACTCCTCCCTGCGAGATGCAGGCTTACTTGTTCAGTCTAGGCGCCCTCTCGGGATCCCTCCACCAAAGACAAGCCTCCGTCCGAATATCATCCTTCTCAACCTTCGTACCCCTCGGTTGCACAACAATCTGCTTCGGCGATCTCTCCCTTCCATTATAAGTCGGCCACTTTGGACTTCCAGGGTACCTATGCTTGTTGGGATCACCCGTAGCAACAAAACTAGCAAGATACCCATGGTAGATGTGGCTGATCTCGGGATACTGAGTAGTAGGCTCATCCCAAGTAAACGCTGTGTCGGCGGTGTGAGGGATACCTTGCCAGGCGGGGAAGCTGTTGTTGGTGTTGAAGCGGACTTTCCAGGTTGGTACGCCGGCGGTGGAGGCGCGGTATGCTGTTTCTTGGCCGGGGCAGATGTAGGCGTAGTCGCTCCATGCTGCGGAGATCCGGTTGTATTGAGTGCTGTTGGGGGAGTTGGCGAATGGTGAATCTTTGTGTTTCGCGGGATCGGGGTACAGAGCGGACAACTCCTTGAGATCTTTCTTGGTCAAAGCTGGTGAGATATTATGGAGATAGTCCAAGAACTGCTTGTTGGTCTCAAGATCACCAGGAGTGTAATATTTGCCTTCATCATTAACTGTGGAAGTGATAGTCGGGACGTGGAAGAATGTTCCATCATAACCAGATTGAGAGCCAGGCTTCTCGAACAGAGGTCCACCATGGACGGGCTGGAATGGCCAGGTCAATTGAGGATCATAGTCGTGATACAGCTTGGTGCTAATGTTTCTAATAGCATTAACATCTGCTCCCTTCAGACACTTGAGCGTTGCCTTGTTGCCCTTCTTCTTATCGCATCGAAGATAAGTAATGTACTCATCGTATTGTCGTTTATACAAAGGATACGTATCATTTGGGAAAGCGCGTGATGTGACCGAACCAGATTGATGAATCGCCCGAGCAAACAACTGCTTGTTGTCCTTCCCGTAGTTGTGAAAGTAGTGGATTCCAACAGAGTGGCCTCCAGCAGAGCGACCGCCGATAGTAACAGCATCCTTATCACCACCAAAAGCACCAATGTGCTTCTGCACAAACTCTAAGAAAAAGCGCTGATCTCGGATACCAAGGTTTGACAGACCTTCATCTTGGAAGAGCTTGGATGGCAGAAAGCCGAGGGAATTGACGCGGTAGTGGAAGTTGACCACCACGATGGGAACCTTGGATGAGGCGGCGAATGCAGCTGCGTCGAAACTGGCCCAGCTTCCAGCGTAGAAAGCACCGCCGTGGATCCAAACAAGAACAGGGAGTTTCTTGCTCAAAGGTACACCCTTTGGTCGAAACACGTTGAAGTTGAGGCATGCTTCACTCTGTGAATCGAGTGGAACTCTGGAACTGACTTCTTGGATACAAGCTTTGCCAAAGCTATCCGCCTTCTTGACGCCATTGAACTTCCCAGGCCAGGAAACAGGGTGAAAGCGATGATCGCCAGTAGGTTGAGTGGCGTAGTCGATACCCAGCCACGCATCAACGGGAGCTGGGAGCTTCTGCTTGGTGAAAGTGCTGTTGACAGTAGTACCGGAGAAGCTACTGTAGCCATCAAGCTTAACGGTGTTGTAATGTCCTCCAGTAGCCTGCGCAACAGGTGACAGCGCCAGAAGCGTTCCGAGGTTTGACAGGACCTTCATGGTGATTACTCAAGATGGAGGTGTGAGAGAACAAAGGAAAACAGGAAACAGGAAACGGGCATGCTTATATATCGCTCAAATCTATCGATAAATGCCATTTAAGCTTAAATCCCCCGCTTATCAGTCGGCGTACCCCCGATTCTTTACTAAAATCGTGCAAGAGCCGACATCGTCGGATACGTTCGCATTAGAGGTGGAGTATGGCATCATCATCCTCGGGTTTCCGGGTTTAGAAATAGACCCGACATCACTTGCCAAGTTATTGGCTTGCGAACGATGATCACTTTCACAAAATGATCGAGAATTTGGTGAGGATATTCACTATCGCCAAGGGTTGGTGATAAAAAGAGAGGGGTGTGATTCGCTAGTTTAATCGACGCTATATATAGGGAATCCGGTGGTAGTTTATGAGGTTATGCCAGTCTCAAGCACTTATCCACAACAGGCATAGTCTCTGCTGAGTTCCCCCGCTCTGGACTAAAAAGTAGAAACCCTCCGTGGAAATTTATGCAAAAGCTGCCCCGGGTGGTTTAACTGCTTTTCATGCTCTAGGATGTTTTCTTTACTGTCTTTGTCTTGTCACTTCTCCGACTATTGATCAAGGAAAATGGGCGCAGCTATTCATCACTCACAACGGCGTGTCTCCTGCGAGGGTTGCCAGAATGCTAAAGCGAAATGCCAACGACTTCGACTAACTGACTCTTAGTGCATGCGATGCTTTCTCCTAAAGATTCAATGCATTATCGGAAAACAGGGAGCCGTTAGCAGACCACAACGAGCAGCTTCTGGTCGACCTATGCATTGCAAACATCACAACAATGTCGCTGACGAGGCGATGCTTTGGACAAGAGAAACTGACCGTTGTCGAAATTTCCAACCATTCATCATTTCAGTCTACGCCAACATATTATAACAATCAGACCAGCTTGCTGAGTCCTGAATCTTCACTTGCCGACTCTCTTAGCATCTTTAGCTCAGAAGCAGGCAGCTCGGAATCAAGCAGCTAGCAAGAAACTATTCGTGACGCAGACGCTTCATTAACGTAGGATATATCATAGGAGCTAGACCTGGCTTCACTCACTTCGGCTACCAACGGCAGTTCTTACAGGCGCAAGTTTCTCTCTTATCCTCCTTCAGTTACGGGTTTATCATCTTGGAGTCGTGAGGTAGCTTCACCGAGATATCTAGAGATACAGCCGAGCCACACAGACAGCTTTTCCCAGTTACAACGCATCAGTCTTGATCTTCACGTGCAGACTATAGTAGTTGAACACCATAAAGAAGCACTTACTTTAGACATGATCAGCTAAAAACTGGGCCCCCTTTTCAAAGATAGATTTACATTAGCCCAGTCAGTCTTGAAATCCTCTCAAGACTTTCTCGTTATCCTTGCTCGGCTTCATAGCTCCCGATCAGGGGCAGTATTATCATCAATACCGCCACCCGCCCTCACTTTTGCTAATTTGGGTTTGCCAGTACTCCTGCCGTATCCTTATATCACATACCAGCCCTTAAGTGCCCCTCTAGCTCCAACCATAATTAATATATTTATATAACTAATAGCTCTTTATAAGCTAATTATTAAGAAGCTCTCTGCACGAGTTAACCATTTAGATATTCTCCCGATCGCACCTATCCCTAGTTCTGCCTTTAAAGGGTTAATAATGGTATACCCCTGCAAACAAGGCTTGCTCTTTACCTATATGGCTATATATCTATTAGAAAGAATAGAAAGTTCATTAGGAACTGCAGGAGGCCCTGAAAATGGTAAGGGTTTATTATCTCCACGACAATTAGACATTCTGTGAATTAAGCTTAGCGGAGTGAATGGCGAAACTGACGTCACTATGCTGCGTCTTATACTATTAAGAAGGGCATTCCATGACACTAAAATAATATTAAGGCAGGTTCTCTCCTAATAAACTCGAAGCAACTTTACATAGCCAACACGACTAGTTAATATTAATACTTAATTACTACTCCCGCTAAATTACATAACAATAGCTTGTGTCTTGGCTAGAGGCGGACCCGGTATCACAGTGTGCCGTACTGGATTACGGATACTACTGTACAGACGCATTCTTAGCCTCGCCCATACACTTACGCTAGCCTTTCTCTTGATAAACAATCAGCCTCTGCATTCTTTTCAGCTTTTCCTCCACTACAATCTTAATTGTAATAACGTGGGTCTTAGTATAGCCGCTGTAGCGAAAATTACCAACCCTGCATTCTGAAAACCATCCACGGAGGTTTTAATAAGAGAGCTACCTAGATTCTTATACTATGCCCGATATGATGATGATGAATTGTTTAATTTTTGTAGCATTCCCTCTAGAATAGATTATATGGCACATAGAGCCCTCTTCTTTTCTCTTCCCCTTGTCTTTCCTTCGCAGCCTCACTACCAACCCCGTACCTAACTACTTCACATTCATAGCTAGAAGTTTGACAACTAATACAGCAAACATGCCTCCCGTTGACGCCCTCATCATCGGCGCAGGTCCTGCCGGCCTGTCTGCAGCTCTTGCCCTTGCCCGCCAGCTGCACACTGCGGTCGTCTTTCACAGCTCGCTCTTCTGCCACGGTTATGAAGATGTTGGAAAGCCCTCTGCTGGAATCCTTGCCCTCGGCGAGATCCCCCCCCGGCAGCAGCCACAGCCCTCACACGCAGTGCCAAGCAAATAACCTCCAAGGTTGTAATCTACACCTCAAACAACCCTGGGGTGCAAACCGCAATCGCAGACCTCCTCGGCGAAAAACGATACCACCATCACAACAGACGACCGGGAGATCGCTTCTCTTGCTCTTAGTTCTGAAGGTAGCGGAATCATTATTACCTTTGCAGATAGAAGCTCGGTTTAGGAGGCGTTCTTTGCGTATAAGCCGCCTACGAAGCTTAACGGCCCGTTTGCAGAGCAGTTAGGTGTGGAGTTAGCGCCCGGTGGAGATATTCAAGTAATACTACCATTTAGAGCCACCAGTGTCAAGGGGGTTTATGCGGCAGGAGATTGCCCGGCTAAGATAAAGAACGCCATGCAGGCAATGCATATAGGGACGTTCGCGGAGGTAGGGATGACTCTATGTTGCACTCCAGAGATATAACTTCCGATGAATTTACATTCTATAGCCAAGGAAAAATATTCTAACTTTTATCTTTCCTTTCAGGCCGTATATCACGGTCTGCTAGCCATTGTAGAGAAGGGTAGTAAATAAATATTTGTCCTTCTACATTTGAGGCCATCGTTCCCTGAGCTTACTTCCTATGGTGAGAGACAAGTTCTCCTGCATGATAGTATCCCAGCTCGAGCCTTCTTTCATCAACCATGCCCACGTCTTTCCAGGAATAAAATCAGTCTTTTCTTTTGCCTCCACCTTGTTGCTGCACGTATCCATAACGTCATTAATAAGCGTGTCGTATAGTCTCTGAGCCTCGTCAAAGTTCTCGGCTTCGACGAGTATGCATCCATGGCGCAATCTGTTATCGAAGTTGTTGAAACTAGGGAGGTCGATGGGATGATGGTGCTGGTCTCTATCAGTAGCGGCGGCCTTGGCGGCTAGCCTGTGCAGCTCTATAATATGTTCAGCTGCAGTTTTCCAATCTTTCTTTCCCTCATAGTGTCGGATCAAAGAGTCTTGAAGGTGGAATTCGGCAACCTTGTCACCTGTAGACATAGCCATGCGCAAGTTTGATAATAGTCTCTCCTTCTCCATGTCGTTATCGCCTTTTTTTGAAATCCTATCTGCATCCCTTTTATCAACTCTCCAGGCTCCGTAGGTGACCTTTTTGCGAACCCCGAGTTGTTGGAACCACCAATCCCGTCGCGCCAACTGCTTTGCCAAAGCTATTGGAGCGCCGAATCCTGTGCTATCTTTGCCGAGTGATGGCTCGTATTTTTTCAAAGCTGCATCATAATTCTCATCATATTTATCGCAGCCATTGCAAAAGCTTGTCGAAAGAGGGGCCATGTGTTTCAAAATGATGGTCGCAGTTAGATAGGAGTGGTCTCTCACGTCACCCAACTTTACTGGGTGGGTCTCCAATGCCGAAAGGACTCCTAGAGCCTCGGAGGCATATTGGCATGCTTTCTCAGCACGCTCGTTAGTGAGAGTGTTGGGTTGTGGAAGATAACCAGACGCCTTGAGTGTCAATGACAACGCTTGTAATACGTTCGCCTCCCGATCCTTCCAAGGCTTGGGACCCGCGAGCATGACTTTGTGGCAGGACTCAGCGCATTGAATTGCCTTAGTTAGGTTACTGAATGTGAAGTGATCCGTGAGAGCGAGACTGACACCTGTAAACGATATTATTGCATCGTCTGACTGTAGATCGATACCAGCTGATGGGGACTGCAGCATCTCCAAGAATCTTTCCGAGTTCTCTGTCAGAGTTGACACATTTAAATGTTGAACCTCGCCAGATCGGGCGAGTTCCCACAATCTATACAAGACGTAGCCGATGGATTTTGTCACGAGTTGATCTCCAAGAACAATACGGAGCTGCTGGAAATTGAGGATCTGTAGTTCGATCGAGCGCAGGAAATTAGAGGATTCCAATAGCAATTGCGGCTTAATATCGACGCGCTCTTGGCTGCTCGAGAAGTATCTCGCTCCTCTCAAGCAAAAATGCGCCATGAAGACCTTTACCGTACGTTCATTCCAGTCTTCGTTCGACTGCATATCAAGCATCGACGTGAATTGTCTAAGAGCTAGCGAGAGAAGAGGATGGAGACAGAAATATCTCCGGTCATGGTGGAGACTTCCTATTGGCAATCTGACGATTTGCATCCAGCCAGAATCTAGGAGGTGTTTTTCCAAGAAGGTATCGATCTCCTCACGAGAAGGCACTTGCTGATCGTATTGTGCGAACCAATGTGCTAGAGCATCAAACCAATCCTCGCCAAAGACGTTCCATAGAGGGGAAAGTCCCAACAGCACTCTTTTCATGTTGGGATTTGTTGAATCACAGATTTTCAATAGATCTCTGACCAGAAGCAAACCACTATGGTCTTGATAAGGTCGTGTGCTCCCGTTTTGTAAATGATTGTAGAGCAAGAAGGGTGTTGAAACAGGCTTATGAATCTGTTCTCTTCGCATATTCGCTTGCCTCTGAAGAACTGGAATGTACTCTTTCATCGCCAGCGGGTTATTACCCAAGTGGCTGGCTAGTAGAGTCAGGTATCTAGTGCTTTCAATGTCTGAATGTTGTTCTCCGACTTTCATTTTGCTGAGCACATTCGAGGTCAGTTCTGCGGCGCCAAAGGACGACAGCTTCTGTATCTCTAGTGTACGGACGCCTTCGTCTACGAGCCAAGCTTCTCGTGATCTCGAAGTGAATAGAACGAACACTTGCTTGTCCTTGATAAGACGGAGCCAATCTTTGATGATTTTGCGACACTCCTCTGCTTCTGCAATCGCCGCCCTTGACATCTCTGGTGCCAAGGATGTCACTCTATCAAGATTATCGATAATGAACACTTGACTAGTTGTATCCGAGATCATATCCAAGCTGACAGGCATGGACCAAACCGCAGCCATACCACGAAGTATGGAACAGCTTTGCGGAATAGCCATGTCGAGATACATCGAAGCCATGCTGAACTCGGTGAACGGCCACCACCAGCGGAGGAACTTCGCTATCGCAGATTTCCCGACCCCGACCATGCCCTGGAGCAATAAAGCGCGAGTTGAACGGCGGGAAACCGCTTTGAGGAGCTTCGACTCTATTTCGAGGATGTATTGCTCCCTATCAACAAGAGTTCCGACTTGTTCCTCGTACGTCTTTATGGCAAGCCCTTGAAGATCTCGGCGCTTATGATGAATTGGGTCAAGGTCAGGGATTCTTCTGCTTGGAACCAAATTTGTATTGACATACAATACCGGAACAAGGTAATCCGGGAGGACCACTTTCACCCCGAACACTGCATCACGTAAGGGTGATGCGATTAAAGCATGCCGTGCCTGTACAAGGGATCCTGCAACGTCCACGGGGAACTGCTCTAGCAGATGGCTGAAGAATGACCGCAGGAAAACATTCGCAGCACTGGCAGTGAACTTGAAGGACATAGCAAGCACTGAACAGAGGCCCGCCTCTACGAAAATGCGTGCCAGGTTGGATGATACATTTCTAGTGACTTTAGCCGACTCACAGGAGATAAGACAGGCCGTCTCAATCGAGTGAGCACTGAGCAGATTGGCAACTTCGGTGGCCCGGACACGATGCTCCTTGTTTCCAGAACTTGACAAGAAGCTCAGGTATGCTGTGCCGTCAGATATGCAGCCGTGGACATCAAAGAGAACCATGTCGAACCAGCCACCTGCCCCGCCTTGTCTCTGCCATGCCTCAGATGTACGAGAAAGATGAGCAGCTAATGCTTTGAAGGTACCGGGTCGGGCAACATCAAACACGACTCTGATGCTCTGAGATTCTGGCAGGCTGCGGAGAGTCTCGACGACGGCCCGAGACCCTAACAGGGGACTAATGTCGTCTTCCCTGTTCGGTCGACTTGCAACCAAAAGGATGTTGAACGTACGTTGCACAGAGGACTGCACTTCTGCCGGACCTTGTGTTGTCAAACTTGATGGAATGGTTGGGTGTACGGTTCTTTGGATAAGTATCCGCTGGGATTTCGCCTCCATGACGCATGCTGTGCAGAAGACGTTCTGGACTTTGTCTTTGGATTCTGAGATGGTGAGCGTCTTGAAAGTGTTGCTGGCAAGCGACCAGATAGCTTCTGACTCTGCTGATGTTTTCTGGGCTGAAGTTGCACTTCTTTTCTGAATCTGGCTTTGGATCTTATGTTTCTGTCGGCCGCAGGCGCTCCAGGAGTACATATGCTCCAAGGCCTCCCAGTGTAAGCTATGAAACATAGATTGTGGACCAGAGTCCTCGATCTTAATTGTCATGAGTTCGTCGATATCCTCCTTTGGGGATGGAATCTACAACAGTGCCTTCTTGTTAAATCTGGCGACCAAGGTCAATGGAGTTCCTGTCTGACACGCACCATGAGCATGAGTCCAATGAATTCAGCAAGCTTAAGTTGCTCAACCAAGCTTTTTCCGTAGCCCTCGATCTCGCATATAACATCGCTAGCTTTGGCTGTCTCATATGGTTCCGACGTCGAATGCTGCTCCAGTAGCCATTTCAATCGACTTGGGTCCTTGTTCTTTGATAATATCCATGGGTCCGTGACTGTTTTATGGTTAACCACGGGCAGAAGATGTTCTTGCATCAGGACCACAGACTCTCATGCTTCCGATTAGTAGAGTTCCATGACAACTCTACCTCCCATGTACCTTCTCTGACTTCTCGAAGCTCGCGTAATTTCATGTCGCATTAAAAACCTGAGAAAGCTAACAAGGCACTGCTGGTTGAGGTCCAAGGTGACTGAATTGGAAGACGCAAGATTGCATGTAAGCACTCACGTCAATTCAAACATTATAACAGTTGTGGCGTGCTTCATAGATTCAGCGCCTCCAAGCCACGAATGAGTCTCACCCTGCTAGGCGGAATAATGATTGGTGCCACGTTCATTCCGTTTGGATGCGGAAGTTAGAATAAGCCGCTTTTTCAGCTTCACCACTCAAAAAGCAATAGACCATGGTCCAGAACATTATGTACCAAGGGTAGCCGTTTCGGTGGCTTGAACCTGACCAGCTACATTAACATACCACGGTCTAGAATCAATTCCAGAGATGCAGAGTTGTTTTGGTGGCTTGGACGTCTGAGCCACACAATCATCCATGACGCGACAGCTTTCCGGATGACCAAACATTCGTGCTGCGGTTTCGTACATAAGAATGCAACAGGCGAGAGAATTTCCACAACCGTACACCCTAACCTAGAAGCCGACTGTCGTTGAGCATAACCAAGAGAGCAAAGCTGACCTGGTGCTCCTCAAACAATGTCCACCGGCGCAACCAAGCCCACCTTCGCGCTCATCGACCGCCTCCCCGCCTCTCACCACGCCTCAGTCTTCCTTGGCCGCATCGTCGGGGATATCTTCCATCCCTTACATGATTACTGCCCCGAGGACCCACGCACAGCCTTACAGCACCTACCCGTCGAGGTGGCCGATACCTCCGTGTCCACTATCCTCGCTGCATCGCACTCGACGGCGGTTCGGGCAGTACTCGATAGGATCTTTAGGCTGACGAATAGCAAGAGCAGTAGTACCGGGAAGCAGATTGTATCGGATAGGGTAATAACTTATACCTTGCCGCAGCACCGGAAGTCATTCGCCGCGATAGTAGGTGCACACCATGGCAAGATACTGGAGTTGCTGGAGAACAATGGCGGGAAAGGGTACATGGTCGTGGGGTTGAAGACTTGCCAGGATGCCGAGATCGAAGTTACGCGTGACCAGGATAGAAAGTCTGACGTCGAGATGTCGGTGCCGGCGGGTCAGATAGCGAGTATCGCGTCGCAGGGCGCTGTCAATCCGGCGTCAGTGCCAAACCCGACCGTTGGGAGGTCCAGTGAAGTGAGCGCCAATTGGGGAACAAAATTTACGGCCAAGGGAGAGCAGATATTTGCGTTGCAGTATCGGAAAATTACCTTGAAGAAGCATTTCTTTTCCAAGAAGCCGTCAACAGCCGGGTTAGGGCAGATAAAAATATTAGACTGGGGTGAGGGCGTTTATGGTGAAAGTGACGAGGGAAGAGAGGTGGTGTATAGCGATGACGAGGACGAGGACGAGGACGAGGACCAGGATGAAGATGAGGATGTGATTTTGGATGAGCTTATGTCTAGTGCAAGCTCAGGGGGTGACAAGGGCGATTTATGGTTACCAAGCTAGCGCACCTCAAGATGAGGGTGGATTTCAAATCCCTGTAAATAGACCGACCCTGTGGAAGCTTATGCATGAGTAGCGACAATGTTTGTGAGTCTTGTCAACTTCTGATCTTACGGCCATAATGCCTATGTGCTCTGGGTTACCAGGGTAAGTGAAGTTGCGAGTGGCAGCCAGGGGCTAAGGAACGATGGCTTGACGCCATGGCGTTTTATATGTCGATCGCCCTAAGCCGTGAGTCCGACCTCCGAGTATTTTGGTATGCGGGGATAATCTCAACCTCTACCGTCGGGGCTCTAGATCAAGGACTTGAGGGGGTTGTTCCAAGAGTTGAATGGCGTGGCCGTGAGATATAATTTCTTCCTTTTCTCAATCTGTCTCCTCTCTGTCCATAGTTGAGGGTGTCTATGCTTTGAAGCAACGTCATCCCAGGCCCGTACCGTGTAGTCATCAAATCTCAAATCCACATTGCTGCACCGGGTAATTGTAGCAGTCAGATCAGTTTCCGTGGTAGGTAAACGAACTGGCATGATGTCTTTTCGCATCCCACAACACCAGAGTTTCAAGGTTTGGCATACGCAGCGCTATCTGTGCAGCGTCTCGTAAAAAAAACCAAGACCGCTTTTAGATCAATATCGTGGATAAACAGTTGTGTTGTCCTTACAACACAAATTGTTGGCATTTCTTCATGGTTCTTTAATACCCATTGCCACCAGACTACAAATCTACCCACTCTAGAGACTTGTCCCATAATCTCGCCGCTTTCTCAGTATCGCATGCATGCTCCCCATACCCTCTTGCATAAAACGGAGTTGAAGAGTCCCACTTCCCTACGATTTGACAGTCTTCCAGATATTTCCCGCCTCGACCTTCCAAGGCTTTGGCGACGGCGGCCCAGACACTTGTAGCAGCACCCTGATCCGGGAGCTTCCAAACTGTCTTCAGGTACGGATCCACTGCGAGGCCGCTCTTTTGTTCTTCAGATAAATGTCTTCCCAAGTCGGTGAGAACAGCACCTGGCTGAACACTCCATGCATGGATACCCTCACTGGAGTACCTCCGCTCGATCTCGTTAGCTGTCCAGAGGTTGGCAGTTTTGCTCTGGGAGTATGCTTTGTTGGGATCGTAACAGCCTTCCATGTTGATGTTGTCAAAGTTGACCTCGCCGAAACGATGGGCAAGTGAGCTCAGCATGACGACTCGCGATGCGCGGTTAGATGTAGCACCTTTGGCCAGAGCAGGTTTGAGGAGTTGGAACAAGAGGAAGTGAGCCAGATGATTTGTACCAAACTGTGTTTCGAAGCCCTCTTTCGTGCGTCCTTCTGGTGTGCACATGACCCCAGCGTTGCAGATAAGGATATTGAGTTTCGTATTCTCGGATAAGAACTTGGCAGCGCACGAGCGGACACTCTCGAGCGACTCAAGATCAAGCTGCAGAAGATGAACACCTTTATCTTGAGCAAGATCACCTAAGGCTGACTTTGCCTTTTGGAGGTCGCGAGCCGTTAGATATAGAGTTGCGCCAGTGAGATGTAGCGCTTTCGCGGTCTCGATGCCGATGCCCGCAGAACATCCGGTGATGAAGACGATTTGGCCGATCAGTTTTCCTTCTAGACCCTCATCCTTGATGATTTGGATAGCTGTTGGTCGAGAGTCTCCTGGTCCGTTAGGGGACTCGTGAGTGGTGACGTAGCGATCAGCCATGGCGTTGATATAAGGGAGCAAAGAGATGTAGAGAGATTCGACTGGATGAATAATAACTTGGGTGAAGAACAGGAGATAAATTCGGCTTTGGGGGAAACGATCGGAGCTGTTATTTACACCAAAATTCTCTCGACATGCAGCGTTTCACGATGCAACAAGTCCGAGCTGAAACGCCTATGATTCACCGCTAGGCCTTGAGCGGGATGCGGACACCGATCAATCCGCTAGCTTTGACGCTATCCGAAGGTAAGTATAGGCCAATGGCTTCTGTAGTGGAGCAATCCGTTAGACTTATGATACTCCAACTCAATATTCCTACACTCGCTCGGCATCAACAACCAAGTAGGTTCATCAAACTATATACACAATAGAAGAACGGAGCTTACCCCCCAACATGTTATTCCTTAGCTAGTATACCTAGCACAAGGACTCAAACTCTTAGCCTTACCAGCATCCTTGGGAATAACACCCGCAGCAACAGCAGCCTGATAACACCATCGCCAATCCTTCTTGCCAAGATTTCCATCACATTTCCAAGACCAAAAGAACCATCCATCAGACTTCTCAAAAGACTCTGCTTGTGCGGCCCAGTAAGCCTTGTACCATGATTCTTGGCCTTCAATCTTGAACTCGTCTGTGTTCTTCAAGGTTGAGTTCACTGAGAGGGACCATTCGCCGACAAAGACGTGTTGGCCCATGTTATCTTTGCAAGCGGTCTGGATGTAAGACTTTTTGTTACCGGCGATTCTGTTGTCGAAAGATAGATACCGATGGGCATCGAAGAAGATGAGATCGTCGTCTGGGAGGTATTGTCTTGGGTCGCCTGCGCCCCAGCTTTTGCCCTATGTTCAAGTCAGACTTCACCCAATCGGGCTCTCGGGGATTGGTACTACTAACCATGTATTGGATGTGTAATCGATCAGCTTTGGGGACTTTAAGGTAACCCTCCATGGCCTGGATGCGCTTGTATGCACCAGGGTAGTAATTCTTGATCATGTCGTCTGCCTCAGCTTTCCACTTGCCGGCGCGTACGGGCTCATTTAGCACCTCGAGCATGCCTACAGTAGTGTAGTTTCCATTTGTATGGATACGTTTGGTCATCCACTCAAGAAACTTAAAGGCTCGCTCATAGTTCTCAGCAGTATAGAATCCAGGGTCGGGAATAGACTGCACCTGGGTCAGTATGTGTCTTGATGAAGTGAGATAGCGTCACTTACATGGCCGGTGAACTGTTCATTCGGCGAGCTAATACCAGGAGCAGAATGGAGGCCAATTACTGCATAGACTCCATGCTTCTTACACCACCCGACAATACGGTCAAGATGCCAGATCCCACCGCGAGGCCAGTATTCGCCTTTCTGAATGATATCTTCATACATCCAGTATCCAACGGGGATACGAACGGCATTGAGACCAAGACTTGCAATCTGCTTGATGTCATCCTCTGTGATCCAAGTCTCCCAGTGTTTCTTGAAAGCGGCGTTGGCCTTGTCTTGGCCGATGCCTTTCACGCATGCCCATTCGTCGTTGTAGGCGCTACAACCCATGTTATTCCATGATTCTTCAGCCATCCATCGTTCGATGATAAATTGTGAACCGAGGTTGACGCCGCGGATTTTATCATCGTTTGGAAGCCATCGCTCAGTGATCCTCTCGCCGCTGGCTTTCGCCGCAGCTATTTAGGGTCAGTATTTGCAGTTGCTGGACATTATCTTTGCCTTACCTCTGGACTGAGGAGTCCAAGCCTCTGCTACGGCGAGGAAGAAAGGTAAAGCCAATTTGAGATGCATGATTCAGGAAAAGGGACATCTGTTGAATGGGTGCGAATCTCTCTTTAGCTGACTTGATGAGACTACAAGAATATACTTCACATTGCCCAAGGTCTCGGATATATATTTATGTGATCAAAGTTCGCAAGGATTATACTCCATTCACATACCTGTGCATATGGCCTGACAACAACGGAATACATCCGCTCCATCTCTCCATCTATCGTATCGATCTACCGTGCATATTTCCGCGATGGAGAACCATCATAAACCTGATTTGCCGGGCCGACTGATGGATCGTTTCGTTTTGGCATATGAAACGGACGATCCTCAACCTTGATTTGAACAAATGGGATACTCGTCATTCCACATTCCTCTCGCTTGCTGGTATTGCTGGTTGGCTCGTGCTAGGATTGCAGGATGCAAGCAGATGAAGGACTGCGGCTGAGGGTTGGGGTTTCAGACAAACTCCACTAACCCTGTTCGTCTAATGAGAGCATTTCACATATCTATCAATTTGAGGTGGATCCCTGACACATAACCTTTCATTTTGAGACGATGCATCGGATGAGTCGGATTGAAAGTTTAGTAGATTGTTACCAGCGGCATGTTGACCAGCTTTCACTGCTCAACACTGCTTGTTCTAGGATCTTTTGTTGTTTCGTGGGGTGAGTGGACCATCATGTTGGCAAAATACGACGCTGCACGTTACCTGTCAGTGGCCCATAGAATAACAAGTTCAAGTCACCATGCGAGGCATTTTTGACGTACAACAGTGTCTGCAACAGGAGAGTCCGCCTTGGCATCGGCGATGCGTATGTATCTCGGTCTATCTTGTAATGTGCTGGGCGAAACTACTAATCAGATCACCGCAAATAATAGTGCCGGGAATTAGACCATGGTCGCCGAAAGAGGCAGGTCTAAAGACCATGAGCCACGTGGGAGGTAAAGCGGTTATCAAATGGCAGCTGATAATGAACAGGCGAGGCTGCATCAGAAATAGTATCGTATTTAGATATAGTCACGGATGTAAAGGGATGCCAATGACTCGCTCGTACGGATAGAAAGTCGTGAGAACCGTCGTGAAGACTGTTGTACATACTATTCGATGTGACGAATGGTAAGAATCTTCCTGGATGTCGACTCGACCTGCTTGTCTATTACTTCCATACTCGATAAATTGCGAAACTTTGCAAAATAAGTCGGATTTAGCTTCCAAGTAATCTCGTTGCTGAAGGTGAGCTAGAGCAACAGAACTCATTTCACACGTCGATATTTGACAAGCCATTACTACACAGTCTCGAAGTGAGCATTCTGACCTTCAGGTCGAAAATTGGCTGCAGAATTCCACGGGAGGAACGCTTTCTTAGAGAATCTTATTGAGTTTGTCACATAGAGATGCACTCTTCTTTTACGCTACCTCTACTCTTTTTTGATGTTTTCACGAGAGAGTATACCACCGCCAGTGCAAACAACCTTAGGATGCAACCTTATATGTCAGAATGTTGGCTTAATTGGACATTCCCAGTCAAGTTATCAGCCAGTGGCACTTCGTGCTTGGATTGTCTCGAGATGTCCTTCTGTCAACAATGAAATTGAAAGCACCGTTCTATCTTTTTTCATGATCTAACAGAGACTCTAGTGGCTTGGGATGGCTACGGGTAGCTCAAGGTCATTTCGTCATGGTCGAGGAAGGTTGCGGAAATATGACAATTCAAGAGTTCTGACTATCAAGTTTCTGTTCAACGTCATTTGATCTTTCGTCCAGGAAGCATCATATATGAGCAAAAGACCAAATGTATCTTGGACAGTCGTGGACAGAGACCTGATGCAGGCCAGGTAGAAATACTTTGCAGAGCTCCACGATGTTTTTAAAACATGGCTATCGGCTACACGGCACAAGTGCCGAAATATCTTACATCTTGAGACAAGCTTTTCCTCGTATTCATCCAAAAAAAAATAAAAAATACCACTATTCCAGTAAATAATTCGTGCGCTGTAACCTTGCTCTAGTAGGGTGATACACCGCTCCTCGCTACCTCTACCGGTACTCATCTTGAACAAGCCAATGACTCGTTATCCTTACCATTTGCCTTACCAAGCCTCATTTTGCAATTACTAACTTCCCAATATGTCTATAGTAGCGTAGCAAAAGCCGTTGTAAGCGAAAAACTTGGTACGATCACGGCAGTTTATCTGATTAAAGTTTTTCCCGCATGAATAGTAAAGAGGCACGACTATTTAGCCTTGTTTATGAAACATTTACTAAGCAAATTTCGGCAAAGTCCTTCAGTTTCACGATTCGTCGATCTTTAACCAGATCTGCCGCCGACGGTATAGGATACGGAATGTCTTCCTCCGAAGGCCATCAATGACGTTTTGAATCGAATGAGTATAAGACATCGAACGATGCCTTCTTTTACGAAATCCAGATTTCTCACTAAACGCGTAAGCTTAAAAGAACTCGCCGAGTCCGCCGATAGGGTTATCTGATGAAGATCAATAAAATCCGCCGAGTATAGCCCGGCTAAATAACCGACGTCAATATTCTGGGGTAGTAATATAATACGGTCCGAATAAGGTCTTCCGGATTATCCAATGAGTCTTTATTAAGTGAGATATTGGACTTCGGAATGTGCTCTTCCGAATTCCTTGATCGGCGATAAGATGTCTTGGTAGCCAACAAACACTCACTTACAGCAAGACAATTAAGATCGAGAATTGTCGATGGAGTGTATGTCTAAGATATCAGACAGAAGTCAACTGACTCTATAAAATCTCGAGAGGCGGCATATCTTCCCGTGCTTCCACACATCTAAGAAACCCGACTCCCACTCCGGGAAGGGCCAACTGCACTGCAACGCTGATCTGGCATGCAATTTCACCATAAGTTCTCAGCGTGACCTGCCAAGAGAAGTTCATCGAGGCATGCAGCGAACGGAGCAAGCGGCTAGACGGGTAATCGGGCCTGTCATGGGCCGATTCTAGATTGTACCGAAACAGGGCCCGGAGGGAGGCGGAGATGGGTAGGTGTTTTGATAGAGATTCTGGGGCAAGGGATTAGAGTTTCCCCGTGGGGATTTATGGGATGAATCACGATGGCCGGAGTCGAAGCGGTATGATGCAACTGAAGCATTGGGCGTATGGATAGTAACGTTGTGATGAGATCTTTACGTTGGTGTTGCTTCATATCCTGGTCGAGGTCTGGGCCCGCCAGCCTGGTTGGGCTCGATATTGATGGCAGGTCGATGTATAAAGCAGGTGTCATCCACCAGCCTGTTGATAACACAGACCCAAGGGTATATCACCATTATTCCATTCTATAAAGGATCACTGGATGATCTCATCTTTGCGCAATCCACCAACTTCTACGATATCCACTTTGAACATCCTACGATGAACCGTCAAGGGGCGAGTGGCAGTATGTCACTGCTAAACTCCCTCTCACTACTGCTGGCACTTCAAGTCAGCTCATCATACGCTCAAGGACTCACAGGTTATGGATTGACTTCATACGATCCCATCTGCGCTGAAGCATGTCTTCGGTCCTTCACTCCACTGATGCTGCCCTGCTCAAGCATGCACGATGGACACATGGCGACTCCCCCAGCATGTCGAGCCAACGACACTGCCTTTTTAACATCTGTGGCTTGGTGTTTGAGTGACAACTGCGCCGATGAAAAGTTGTCGAAGATTGAGGGTTACTGGGAAGAATGGATTACAGGGAGCAAATTTGTTCCTGCAAAGTGGTCCTACTCGGAGGCTCTCATGGAGGTTGACCCTAAGCCACCGCGGTATCAACTCAACATGACAGACAAGGCACTCAACCAGACATCAGTTCTCGCGCCAGTCACGTATCTCAGCCAATGGAATTCACTCTGGGCGACGAACCATGAAATGATAATGGGAGCAAGATATGGGTATGTTCCTGATCCTCTACGACACCCATAAGACCATGCTAATCTTGAAACAGTATCATTCTTGTTGTCATTGCCGTCGGAATACCTATCCTAATGACATGGTCCGGCTATCTCCCTGTCATCCCATTAATCTACGACAAACTCAAACCATACATCCTCTATCCAAGCATGATCGGCACGTACTCCGTCCGACCATTGCCATTTAAATTGGGCAATGCTCCTTCAGTTGGTCAGGGTCTATATATCGCCTTATTCATTGCTCTGGTCGTTGTGTTTACCGCTATCGACTACGAGCTTCGTCAGCCGCATGCTAGATTCATGGGTGAACGGCGAGAACTTCTTGCTTATCTCGTCTACCGCACCGGAGCCCTAGCATTCGCCTTACTCCCACTGATCATCATCTTTCCCTCGAGGAACAACCTCCTCTTATGGCTCTCTAACTGGTCACGTTCGACATTCATCCTGCTTCACCGTTGGATTGGGCGTACCTTCGCTTTGCTGGCTGTTCTGCACGCTATCTTTGTTCTCGTTGGCTCTGACAAGATGGGCACCACGGACTGGAGACGCTGGGGATCTGTGACTGTGATCTTCACTGTTATAACCTGCCTTGGCAGCGGCCTCTACGTTCGAAAGGCTAACTACGAGCTTTTCTTGCTTATGCATATCCTCATCGCTGCTCTCGTCATCATCGGATGCTGGTATCACCTCATGCTGCGATATGCCTCCATCCGGCTGCACTCGCCTGGTTATACCTCCGGCCACGAGATCTGGCTTTACCTCGCAATTGCTCTCTGGGGTTTCGAGCGACTCGTTCGAATCGTGCGAGTCATCAGATTGGGAATTCTCAGGTCCAAGGTCAAGAACATCGGAGCTGGCTACGTCCGAGTCGATGTACCAAGCGTTCGCTGGGGTTTGGATCCCGGCAAGCACGTCTTCGTCTACTTTCCAACGCTTGCTCCCATGCGACCTTGGGAGAATCATCCCTTCTCAGTCATTCCTACAGTTGCTCTTCAACGACGTGGAACCTCACCTACGCCTGGCTCTCCAACCTCACCAGGAGCTTCCTCGGGATTGGAAGATATTGAGAAGTCAACGACTCAAATTGCAGTGGTCAGACAGTCATCAGCCTCAGCTGAGATCTCCGCTGGAGTGACACTGTTCATCAAGAAGTCGACCGGTATCACAAAGTATCTTGAGAGCCACGATCGCTTACTCACCTTCTTGGAGGGACCTTACCCAGGTAGCGACACACGACAGGTCCTACGCTGCGACAGACTTCTTCTTATCGCTGGTGGTGTTGGCATCACTAGTCTGTTTGCATTGGTTCACAACCACTGGAACGTCAAGCTGGTATGGAGCGTCAAAGCAGATGCCCGATGTCTTGTCAACGAAATCGAGCCAGCCCTCGATGCCGTGAGCACTGCACAGAAGGACATTAGAATTGGTTCAAGATTCGATGTTGCTGCCCTCATCGATGAAGAGGCATCAGCAGGCTGGAAGAGAGTCGGTATCGTGGTCTCAGGCCCGGGATCCCTATGTGATGATGTGCGGGCCGTTGTTGCTGGAATTGGTCGTAACTCCAAGACTGTGTTTGAACTTGAGGTGGATGCTTACTCCTGGTGATCTCGATATGGTGAATAGATGGCACGTGGGGAGCGGGACGCAGGAAATGCAAGTGCTGGTTGGATTGTACTTGTTTCAGCAAGGTTTACATCATTATTATGGCATATTATATGAGTTACGTACTAGATTTGTTATCTACAAGCATTATCTAAACTGGGAAACTCACAGACGTCGTTCAAGTGAGCTGAAGTACGATTCTTGGCTGTGACTCATGAAAGCCCAATGCCAACTGTCTGGTTCAATGTTCGTTCCACATGCATCTCTTGCGCGAGTGCTTTGTCTTATTCAATCATAGATGCACTTTGAATATTGCCTAAACGGAAACCTAGGCCGTCTATCCCTTGGCGTTCACCGTAGGGTTACCTCAGCACGACATCGACATGGCCGATGTTCACAGCCTTGCAGGATGATGTCTCACCTCCTCTCCCCTTTTATCTCTATCCTCATCGTTCCTCCGTAGTCATTTCGATCGCTCTTCGGCTCGGCCGACTCCGTTATCTCACAAGATGGCTATAAATACAAGTGGGATACTCCGATTGCCCAAGGCTGTGAAGACTCGAACCACTGTCAGCAACGAGATAAGAAGTAGGGTCACAGCGGATATGACAACATCAGCACGTGGAGGAACTTCTTTATCCAGTACCACGTTTCTTGGCTGTCCCGAGCGTGTTGCATACAAGGGCAGGTCCCAAAAGACTCTACCGCACATGCAGGTGAGATAATGCAACATCAACCCTCAGTGCGACACTACTACTTGCCTCGATGATCCCATTTCGGATTCGGCCGAGAAATATGGAACCTTCTAGCCTTTCTGTACGAAACGGGAGGAGTATACAGACTGAGGTTGTATTGGACAGCAACAAAGAAGTAATGATATGTATACTTCAGGTGTTATACCAACAATGTCTCCCAAGGTATTGGATGTCCAGGTCAAGCCAATCACGGTATTTCAGGGCATCTCAGATAACACAAGTGACTGGTTTGACTGTAGTAGCTCAAAGCCGAAGCATCTGAGCGAGGATAGTCAAGATCTGAGAAGCTCTTCATTACGGTTTCATTAGTCTTTAGATAAGACACTAACCTAAAAAGAAATCTCCGTTTCCTAAACCCGAGTCGAGTCTTGATTAGCCAATCAGTAATACTCTATGAGCAGAACCCCTTTAAAGGTCTATAATCTCCTAGCAGATGTAGGTTACTGGTTAGTGATTATCTTAAGATGGATTATCTTAAGATGAACTGTCTTAAGATGGACTATCTTAAGATGAACTGTCTTAAGATGGACTAAGCATCTTAAGATGATAACAAAGAGAAAGACGAAGTCTCCAACTAAACGCCAGAACAACTCAAAACCTGACACTCACCATAACCGCTTTACACGAATGGCTGTATACCAAGATCTTTTTTTTTTCATCATCCTTCTCGAGCTTGATCGCAGCATGCTCCTGGTGACGTGATTCGGCTGGGCTATCTCTACTAACAACAGTACGGGCCTGATTTCAATCGGCCATTTACATGGATGATCATTCTTCGTTGACTCAGTAGGGCCGCCAATATATAGCGCAGACCGCCGCAGGAGCAGTAGACCTTCAGTCAATTGGCTGTTTGGTTTGTGGTTTGCGATAGGTTCCAAGCAATAGACGAGTTATTAATTTGCGTAGCTCGCTTGGTATTCGCTGCTTCACGACGGCATAAATGTGGTATAGCTAGCCTATCATTCTGGCAAACTAGCCTGTCATTACTGACAATTCATGGCATATCCAAATTAGATATGTAACTCCTGCTCGTCACTCAACACAAGACTTAAGAGCGTTCTTGTACTTTACCAGGGTTTGCAATGAGATCTTGAACGGACAGAGTAAACCTTTTTGATATAGTGCTTGCTTAAATTCACTTTATATCTGTATGGAGTTTTATTAAGACGAAGCCGGCTCTCGGCCCATCCGCTTCAACCATTTTTCCAGATCGAAATCCCCCGGTTGTAGATCCCTTGGGTTACCGACAAACATGAAAACATGACCAAGGTCCTCAGCAGGTTCCTTTCCATCTGTATACTGAATAAGGCATGGCTTGGCTCTGTAGCTGTTTGTCTCATACTCCGCCAATCTCTTCGCTTGAGCAACAGACTGCACATGATAGACAGCACCACTGACATCTGCACCTTGCGGGCCTTCTTGCATAGCAGGATACTGTCCCCAGAGTTGACGGGAGTAGCCTACGATTTTTGCGGGTCGCAGCTCGGGCTTTTCTTGCACTCCAAGGACATCGGCTAGCATTCTTGGATCTATCAATGTTCCGTACACGAAGTAAGGCCCTGTTGGTGGCTCAAAGAGATCGACTTGGGCTGGAGGCTCGGGAGGCAGGTAGAACCACTCTGCTGGCGCGCTTCTCACCTTTAATATAAAGGGAGATTCTTTTAACTGTTTCTTGTGGGGAGCAGGCGGCAGCGGAAGCGCCGGTGGTGGTGGACAAGTTGTATCGTCTGACATTTCATACGCGTCGCACTATAACTTTCAGCACCCGCTGAGTGATGCTGGCGGATACAATGTGGTTGGAGGAGTTCAAGCTAATGATCTCATAGCTTTGTTTTTAATAGTGGGTTTTATGTGTTTGCGCAAGGCTGACGGTAAAGCGAGGGATAATGAACAATGGCTGTGATTGATCTGATGATTAAGCAACAATGCGATACTACGGAGTAGTCAGTGATGGGACAGTTATGTACAGAGTAAATATAACTTCATTATTTGTTCGCCTTATGACAATCGATTGAGTATATGAGATCAGACCTACGATACAACACCAATATTTTACAGCTTCTACATACCTATGAAGCCATGCGGTTAACGAATTGAATCGCTAGGTTGAGCTTGAGAGGCGGTCAGTGAATTAAAAAAGCCACCATTCCAAAGCTCAGCTGACTACGCCGACGCTAACTCATCTTCCGGACCGACATCACCAAGTCTAGAAATAGCGACAGTCTGTGCACTTCAGACGCGCGACATTCGTTTATCGCAACACCGTTACTGTGATCGTCGCTGTAGAACATTGACTTCCGCCCGGAACGGTGCGTTGAAGTCAAAGCGGCAGAGACAAGATGAGCATTGAACGGGATGAAACGGTCCAAATGAGGTCAAACCTGCACGCGCCCTGCCAACAACAGTGCCATTTTAGAGTTTGGCGTTCCCAGTTTTGCAGAAAAACCGTTAATTAGAAAATACAACGCTGCTACGCCGCAGAAACAAATGGCCGTCAATTAAAATATCTCCTTCATCTGAGACAATGCAAGGTCCCCTGCACGTCAAAACGCAAGGATCGTCAGACCGTTTTGCACAACGATCAAAGTGACAAAGTGAAGAATTCTCCCATCAAGAAAACATTACTCCGGTTAACATGTACTGACACCGTTGAAGTGGGCGCCAACGATGCCCGTTGAACGATAGCTCAGTTGTTAGCTCAACACCCTAGTCTCGATCCTTCAACATCATGCCCGGTAACCGAAGCGCCCTCTCACGAGGGATTTGAATGAACCCCAGATCCTTTCCCTTGGGTAACAAGCGTTCCCCGCGTCGGCAATTCGCCTCCCCCAACCATTCATTTTCCCTCCCTCCTCCTCCTGCTCCTCCACAATCTTTTTCTTGCATAATAACATGACCTTCAGTGTAACGACGACTACAACACCATGAGCAGGCATGGCATCGTCCTCGGACGCAGCCCTAACGTTAGCATCGACTGCTATATGCGTCGCTCTCATAGTAGCTAGGTGTTTGTACCGGCTCATATTCCGCTGCCACATCCACACGACATGTCACCGACGATGGCGCATCGACGATTTTTACATGACGATTGCGGTGCTGCCGCTTATCGGGCGCGCTGTTTGCATACTGCTCTCGTTTACGCTTAATCCGGACCATACGTACGATCCTGCGACGGAGGCGGAGGCGCAGACTTGGGGGGAGAGTGTGCAGAGTATTGATGGGGATAGAGAGCTTTCGCATAAGCTTCTCATACCTGCGCGGATATTCTACGCCATGTTGTATGTGGAACAATACTAGGAGGGAAACAGTGCTGATTTTAGATAGTTTGTGGTGTTTGAAGTTGGGGCTTTTGGCCTTTTATTCACGCTTCATTGATGTCTTCCGCTGGGGCAAACCTGTCACGGATGCGCTTTGGTGGTTCATCATCGCCACGTTCATCGCGGTCTTTATAACAATTTTCGCAGAATGCCGTCCATTATCACTGTACGTTCTATCCCGCAACTTTCCTCGAGGCATTGCTAACGAGTTGATAGAATGTGGGCGCTTAGTTACGATGATACGAGTAAGCAGAGACGAGTTTTTCGCCACCAGATGTCAGCTAACATTTGCATCGCAGAAGTCGCATGCAATCGCGCCGTCGGCAACCTGATATTAATGGCGGTTTGCAACATAATAATAAATATCGCTCTTATAATCCTTCCGTTTCCGATGCTTCGACATCTCCGACTCGATATCAAGGAGAAACTACAGCTTGGCTTTTTGTTCAGTGTCGGCGCTGTGTTGGTAGCCATTACGATCCTCCGCCTCCCTCTCATCCTCAACGAATCTGTCTCTCAACGATCCCGATCGATGGTAAATACACCTCCATTCCCGGTGTTGGGCTTTTGTTAACGTATGGTAGTGGGCTTCAATTGAGATTCTCTGCGCATGCATCGTCTCCAACACCCCCTTCTTCTACGCTCTAGTCAAAGACATGAAACGACAGCACGACGACCGACCCGAACGATCACCTTCGAATGCTACAAACCCGGGGGACTTTGATTTTTATGATCTACAGAGTCTACCGTCTTCAGCGGGTGTGCAGGTCCCTGTCAGGTCATCGCCTGAGACGTCGAAATGTACAATACGGTATTTTGAGAATGTTTGAGGGGCAATTTCTAAAAGCGCTGGTGGTGGGATAGTTAGTTAATGATACCCAATATGAAGAGATATGTTCATGAGCTTTACCTGCGCAATTGATCGGACGAGCGGATGCAGTGATCCGACCGGATGTCGCGGAACCATCGGCCAAGCTGCGATGTCGGATGTTGCGTGGTGAACCGCGTATAAATCTTCTTGGTGAAAATGCACATCAATACAGATCAATTGCGTATCAAATACAAATTCGCATGTAGCCGAATAGACTTTAATTTAATTTAGACCAAACTCTCGATTCTGCCAAGATCACATCTCCGTCCCATCGGCTTCGGGTTGTTCTTTGTCCGCCGCGATCAGCAGTGAGTTCTGTCTGTTCTAGATGGGCTTGGCCTCAGAACCTAACAAACTCATAGACATTTGGACTGTTTGCTATGACTTTGATGGTTCTAGGTCTTAATCTTCTCAAGATTTGCATTAATCTCTTCTGATAATGGACTTCAAAGGGTCGTCGCAAATCCAATACAGTGGGGCTCCACTGTTGTCGCGCCAACCCCACGACCCTCTGTGACATCAGCTCTCCAGCTTTCAACCTCCAGTACCGACCTCAAACAAACCCATCACCAAATAATGTCAATGTCCCTTCATCGACGCCAACCATGCTTGAACAGCGTATAGCATCTTGGCTCGACTCGCTCCCCTACGAATATCTCCCATCCGATACCCTCTCCAAAACCTCCAAGCGAAAAGCAGCGCTGCCTAGTCCCCCTACTTCAGACTCAATGGAGGCAACAACACCAAAGCGCCGTCGTCTCGTCGATCCAGATCGTACGCCGCGAGCTACAAATTTGCCTCCTCCTTCATCAACCGGTTCGTCTGCTTCGTGGTCTGAATCGGGTGAGGGATCTCGATCAAGTTCGCCAAAGAAACAAATGCTCAGGCTGAGGCTGGAAGAAAGAGGACTTGAATGCAGACAACTAAATATCGACACTGCGCCTCCGGTTATCTCCAGTCTTCTTGATACGATTCAAGAGATTGGAAGTAGGATTGAGATATTGCCCGCCGACAAGAAGAGTGCTATTCTGGAGAGTCCACTTGTAAGGGAACAGAATACGCGCTTATGGAGGTTTGCGTTCAAAGAAGAGGGTCAAGATACGTCGCCAGGACGAGTTCCTCTCCCGGAAGAGATATCTCAAATCTGCGATTTTGCGCGTCACTGTCATGACACAAATCATGAAGAGGCGGCTTGGAATATGGAAGTGCATCATCGACTTCTACAAGCTATCTTGAGAGAACCCAACGCTCCAACAGCCGCGCCTCTCAACTTTACTACCTGGTAAGCCTTCCAGACTCCAATAATATCAGGCTTCTCACTTATTGTTCTCTAGCACCACCGCCCGGCCGCATCGTCGATTCGTTCCCTACTCCTCAACAGCAAAAATGGTCGACTTCTGCCTCTACCTCAACACCACCGACTCCTACGCTCTCCAAGCCCTCGGCCGTCGCACACCAACCCTGACCGTAAACCACACCGACTTCGCGCCCCTACAATTGTCCCCTATAGTTCTAAGCATTGAGACTAAGCGTCCAGGAAAAGAACTCGACGCCGCACAGCTCCAGATGGGAGTCTGGCACGCAGCACAATGGGCATTCCTCCGCTCCGTCATTGGCCTTACACCACAGCCCTTGACAGCTGAAGAGGAAGTACAGAGGAAACAAAAAGCGAATGATGTTTTGGGGCAGTTGGGGTTCATACCGGGCATTATCGTGCAGGGTCATCGTTGGCTCTTTGTGTTTTCGACTCTGGAGGGGGACAAGACTGTTCTTTGGACGGAGAGACAGTTTGGTACGACGCAGAGTATTTTGGATACTTATGCTGTTGTCGCAGGGATACGGGAGTTGGCCAGATGGGTGAGGGATGTTTATGCTCCTTGGTTCAGGGCGAATGTCCTCGCTGGGTTTCAGCCCACTGAAGTAGGATGAGCCCACAAGAAGACAAGTTTGGGATAGTTGAAGATGAACTTGGCAAGCTCTGTAGAAGGCAAAAGTCTAGTCGGGGAGCCTGCTAAGTTCAACCCGAACTATCCTAAACTTATCTCGGGATTTCTATCATTTATCATCGCAGCGCGCCTGGACAGAAACCTCAGATCGGTCGCCGCTCGATGTCTACGAATCACATCAGGTTGCCGACGCCTTCGCGACGATTGATCCAACAGCTGATACCCTGAAACCTGGCCCCCCGAAGGCTTCAGCCTAACAGGGAGAGGCAGGACGAGTCGCTGTTGGGTTGCGATAACTCACCACGTCAATGTCCCACGTGCCTTGTCCTACTCGACATGTTAAAGCTATGCATCCAAAATCAAGACGGAACGTTGTCGGGAGCAAGATCTACAGAAGACGATCCACGTCCACGACTCGCCGTATCGGCCAACGTCCTCGAGGCGAACAAAACTACAAGACCCCTCCGACGCTGGGCCTATCAACCCTGTCTGTAGAGGTGGTCCGAGTCGTCGCAGACTGCAGAGAGCTTTGCGTCAACGCCATCGTCTGTCAAGTCGAACCAGCGTCACGTCTCTTCGCCATACACCGCCGACTCGTCTAGCTCCATAGACGAACATCCTCTCGAGAGAGCGACCGAACGGCCGATTCCGAAACGAAGAACTGGCTCACAGCCAGCGTCAAGTCTGCTCGCATTGAGCAGTTGGAAGTACGACTTTCATTACACGGAGTTAGGCCTATCCTGAGGTCTTTGAATCGGCGAAGCCATTGTTGACCGAGCCCATCGGTCGGGGAACCCTTGTCCTTGTCTCCCGGTTGCCAAGATCAGCGGATGAGGACCGAGCTGGTTCTGTAAAACCATCATTGGATTGGACGCGACATGCTGTACACCCTGTACGAGAGTGTCGACCCAAGGCTGGAAGCAACAATCTAAAGTCAACTGATAGCACGATCAATACGATATTTGACACAACTTGCATAACTTCGTAATCATCACCCAGTGACTACGACACCAACGGCCAGCGACGTAGATCCCTACATACCTCCATCCACGTACAAACATCCCCTGACGGCATCCCCTCCGCCTCATCCCTCCTCCTCCAAACCTCAACCAGCACCTCCTTGGAAGCCCTATAACTCTCAAACCCAGACCTCCCAAACCCTTTATCCAACCACTCCTCTATATCCCTCCTCTGTCTCGCCCTCGCCTCCGCCCCCGCTATAAAAGCAGGCCACGCCGTACCTGGTCCAAGCAGATTATTCCTCTCCAGCGCTTCATCAAATGCATGCAGTGATTCAACAACATCGTTTACACTGTCTTGGAGTACCAGGGGGTTCACGTTGCGGATTCGTCGGTAGAAGAATATCACGAGCGCGGAGGCGAGAGCGCGTACCATGTGCGTGTGCGGTGTTCCGCCTGGAGCGCTGGGACTTGCGCTCATGGTTGTAGACTCATTGTGTCGTGAGCGGAAGAGACAGACTGCATTTTCGAGATAAGAAGCTCGTGGTTGTAATGCCATAAGAGCTTCTGCGTCGGACTTTTTAGAAGCGGATAAACGATCCATGACGTTGGCGAGGCGTGTTATTTGCGACACCAAACTAAGCCACGTCTCTGGAACGCCGTAGATCTGCATATACATATTCTCATGGTCCTGCGACGCATCCGCGAGATGGATATCTTTAATATCGCGTTTTGTCTTTTGACCGTGGAGTTTTCGCGGTTCAAGATGGAGAAAGTTGTCGAGTGTCATGTCGGGATTGATGGATCGTGAGGTCGTGGTGCGGAAGGGTGTTTCTATGGCGTGGTTTTCGTCGAGATATACGTTTAGACTCTCGGAGACGATGCGCATCCAGGCGTAGATGTTGTGAAGAAGGCGGGCGCGGCGGGATATACTTGGTTTGGTGAGACCGCGCCAGCTTATGAGGCGTTCCATTTCTGTAAGACACCAGCGGGTATCTGTTTCGTTGCCAGAAAGGAGCTGAATCGTCAGTTCATGCATTCGTGTATGGTGGAGGGGAACGTACTGCTGTTGCTAACACGGCACTTATGCCCATCAATTGCTCCTTATACTTGGCTTTATGCGGTCCCGGCTGCGATTCCTTTTCAAGACTGACTTTGAGATGTTGTTTCGCAGCTTCATATGTCCGAATTGAGAGTGACTTCCAGTGATCACCAGGTCGTGCTAGGCTTGGAAATGTAATGGAGTTGAGGGAGAGGTGGAATGATGATACAGCTATCAAAGCATAAAAAGTAGCCAGATTGGCACGCTTGATCTGATCTTTGTTCACATCCAGCATTGTCAACTCACTCAGCGTCATGATAGCAGAGGGATAATGAAGAGTCTTCCAAGCTGACTTTTCGTTGATGGGGAGAGAACCCATTTGACTGATGACGTCGTCGTTGAAGTGCTTCAGAAGTAGAGGTGCATCCATCTTGAGATCAAGCTGCGGCCACGCAACATCATCGCTCGCTATTTCAAAAGGCATCATATCCAGAGACTCAGAAAATCCCATGTTGGATTCATTAGGCCAGTTGAGGTTCATAGGCAAAGTGTCGTAGTTGTCGTAGGGAAGTTGAGGTGGATTGTCGAGAACGCTAACATCCCAGGTAAATAAATCGCCCCAGTGCAGAAAGTCGAGAGATGTTGTTGAGAAGTCATTGGAGGCAAATTGATCGCTTTCTATAGTCTCTGAGAAATCTTGGGCCTGGTTCTCGGAAAGAGTGTCGAGATCCATGTCGTTGAAGGAGACATGGTCTGAAGGCGTTGTGACAGACTGAGTGGTTTCGAACTTGAAGACCTGAAAGGGGCCAACTTCGCAGGCATTTGCTGCATCATTTTGAATATCCAACCCTTTTGACTCTTCATCAATCTGGTTCAGAGCAGCTGTCACTGTCGACGGAACATTCGTAACAAGAGCATTGCTCATAAGCTCCCTATCCTCCTCTATAAAAGTTAGCCCAGCCCAATCCTGGTTCCCATAGAAGACTTACCAGTAAACAAGTGTCTTCTCGAATACTGTTCCGCCCCAACATCAGCAATCTGCGTAGGCTGCTTATCATAAACCTCCCGCCCCGTCGAAACCAACCATCTCAAAGCCGGCGTGAAACCCTCGCAGTTCAAGCCCGCCTGCTTACAGCGATTACACCTCGGCAGCGACTGATCACACTTGAGATGACGTTTTCGACATGTCTTGCACCCGCCGAAAGAGTGTGTTCGTCTGGATTTGGTATTGGACATACTAATTCGTTTGGGATCAATACTGAGGATGAGGGAGTGGCAGGGTTTGTCTTAAGAGGAAGGGGATCGGGATTGCTTGCTTTTTTGGGAGGGGGGCTTATCGGCGAGTGCGACGGGGATTGGCGAATTAGAGGCTGATATGAGAATTGGTGGTGTTTGATAGGTTGGTTTGGGAGGCTAAAGTGTTCTAGTGTGAGTCTTGAGGCTTCGAGATTGCTTCTCTCCGCGTGATGGGCGATAGTGGCTTTTTTGGTGGAGATTTGGGGAAGACAAGACAAAGGGCGTCACTCGGTTGTAAGCTGTGGATACCCAGACATGACTTGGATTAACCGTCGTATCATCGAATGGCATCATGCGATTCAATGAATAGACCGAGTGTCGAAGGTAATTACGCAGTGATAGAAATTTGAAAGCAGGTAAGATAGATTCCTCAGAGCATGGAATTCTGTGCAAGGCAAAAGGTACCCAAGCCTTGTTTCGGTCAATAGAATCACGATGATGTAGACAACTGAGATTGAGAGAATACTGTAGTAAGATAAAATTACGCTATGCTATAAACTATCAATCTGGCCATCCATCTTCCTTTTTTCACCTCATTAAGCCTTAGCCTCAGCAGAAAACAACTTCTCAATACGACGATTGTTCCACTCCCAGGCAGTAACATCCTCATACTTACAAGGAACACCCTCCTCAATAAACTCCTTCAGCGGGAACAAAGAAGCACTTCGGTTAGGCTTAGCAAAGTACGCAATAGAGTATCTCTCAGGAATGACCTGCTCGCCATCACCAGCCTTGATGGAAGGAGGATACGTAACACGATGACACGCAGCCTTGAAAGTATCATTCGTCAACCGCTGCAGAGAATCACCGATGTTGAGGATGATATCGGTAGGGGAAGCTGATTCGACGTTGTTGAACGTTCCGAGGTTCTCTTGGTCCTCGACCTGAAGACCACCGACAGAGTCTTGGAAAAGCATGGTGATGGTTCCGAAGTCGGTGTGCTCCGCGATGCGGGTTGCTGTTCCGTCTGCGAGTTCAGATGCAGGAATGGCAGGGTAGTGAAGAATGCGAAACTCATTCTCAGCACGGTTATGCAGCGACTTCAAGTGTTCAGGAGAAACACCAAGAGCAATAGCAAGAGCCTCAAGAAGCTGCATCTCCGTCTTGAAAGCCAACTCATAAAACCCCTCCATAAAGCTCCTAAACCCAGGAAGGTCCTCCTCCGGAACCCAAAGGTTATCAACAAGCTCATCATTCGCGGAGCCAAAGTCCACAGTCTCTTTGATATCCCGAGTCTTTAGGGGTCCAAGACCTTTTTCGTAACCGCTGATGTTGGCGACGTTTTCCTGGCCGACGAAGGAGTAACCTCTGTTGGGGTTTGCCTGGGGAGGGTGTTTGGCGAGCATTTTCGTCTCGAGGGGGAGGTTGAAGAAGCGCTTCGTCTGGGCGAACAGTTCGTGGATGGAGGTGGAGGGGATGGGGTGGTTGATTAGTTTGACGCCGCCGCGCTTTTTGAGGAGGCGGAGGAGGGAGTCGCAGAAGTCTTGCTTCTGGGAGGGGGTGCCGAAGAAGAGGGACATGTCGAGGGTGTCTACGTTGAGGGCGGCCATTTTGAAGGTTGTTGATGAAAGTGATGGAAAAGAAGTGTAAGTGAAGCCAAGAGACTGTTGTGAAGATGAATGTGATTGTGAGTGATGAAGTCTTTTTGATGCCGAGTTCAGGACAGTTTATATACATGAATCTTTCGGAAACTGTTACTCGTTTCCCCAGACTTACGTCTTTCCGTTTCGGTCATCATGATCTGGCTAACAGTCTACGTCTTCAGTTCCAGAAACATGTCAGTTTCCCAAAGAGTATAGTAAATCGCTATCAGTTAATGCCGGGCTAAACCGTCAGTAAGGCAGGCCCGGAGGTACCGGGATGCGTGACAGCACCATCAAGAAAGATAGTGATCCCGACAGCGAGACTAGACTATCCCCAGATTGAGAGTCAAGAGTGACGGCTATCGTCGCTGGAGACGAGATAAGGATGAATCGTCTTCCCCACAAGCGAGCTGATTGTTAGTGCGTGGGGAAGAATTGGGGGATGCGCAATAGGCAGGAGATCCCGAGCTGGCCGAAATGGGCTGACTCGCTGGTTTGCCTACCCTAAACCTGTACAAGATGCGTCTAAATGTAACGTAAAACGTTGGAAAAGGCTGTGAGCTCTCTCCAAAAATGGTTTTCGAGGTGGCATAGAAAGTTCCAGTCCATGAAAGGAATATTTTGTCGTCCATAAGCGCAGCCGTTGGAGTCAGCCCGAATGTTTCAATTAGTTAGCATGACAATTGTCCAGCGCTCTCAAGGATCACAATGTGCTATGGTATCCAATTGCTTTGACGTTTCACCGTCCATAGAAAAGCTCGCATTGGCCCTCCAATCGTTTTACCCCGTGATCGACAGTCTGTCTATTCTTGGCAGTGGGATTCAACGGTGGGATGCCGGATCGTGCCGACAAAAAAGGGGATCAAGGTCAATGCCCAACATCACCAAATGTCCATGGGGTTCATGCACCGGCATCACCAGCAGCAATTTGATCCGGAGGCATTCACGTTCGCATGACAAAACAGGAGGTCGCGCTAGAGGTACGTGGCACAGATTATCGCCTTTTTTTATCTGATCTTGTCACCTCAATTATTATGTTGACGGGAAGACGGTTACGCTGCCGTGATATTCTCCGAATATCGTCCTCACCAACGGGTAATACGCGACCATGTTGACGCGTCAATACTCACCATGAACCTTCACCTTGACGGAGATCTTTTCGCCGTCAAACATCTTTTGTCTTGAGAAAAAAAGGTTCCTTCCCAACATCCGTACGTGATCCAACCCCAAGTCATCACAGCCGTTCGTGTTCGCGATACTCTCCCAGCCTACGTGCCGGGCGGTTAAAAGCAACTCTCCTCAATGAAGATCCCCCTCAACCGGCCCTTTGGAACGGTAGTTATACCCACTGCAACCACAACACGGCAAAAACGGACCCTTTTAAATTATTCATACCCAAAGAATACCCTCACGGTAAAATGAGATGAAGTTTATCACTCATAAAGTTCCCGTATCTTCAATTACACCGTCACATCACACGCGTCCATTAACGCCGGGAGCCACCTTACAGTAGCATCAAGGCCATCAGATCTGACCTTTCTCTCGGTAATATAAGCGATGACCGCCACAGTCAATGACGTAGCACCTGTCTGGAAACGGTCAATCAACGCGTCCCCTAAACATGAGACAGCCAGCCCCAGCGCTCATAAACACACGTCCTCAAAGAGCACGAACCATAACTCGGCAGATGCGGAAATGACAGGGAGGTTTCTAGAAGCGGGGAGTCAGATGGATAAACTTTGCACTAGGGGTATTAGCTGCTACATTTCAGGGGATTTTAAACACAACTGCCGCTACGGCGGGCGCTGAGGTTGAGGCTTAATGCAGGGCTTGCAAGGCGGCGCGGCGCGGCTCATACGTTTTTTTTTTCTCTTTGATTGCGATGCGCCGAAATTGTACAAAGCTTATTAGAGTAGCATTGTAATGCAACGTTAATAACACAAACATATATATAACCGTTGCTTACCCCTCGTTCAAATCACCGATCATCACTCTCACTCATTCTTTTCTTACCTTCTTACGCTCTTTTTAAACAAGATCTGTGCAACAATGCCGTCCCTCAAAGCCATCTCGGCCTCGCTTGTAGGCCTGCTGAGCCTTGGTAGCGCCAGCGTCATTCCCCCTGTTAGCAGCGAGGGGTATCTCGTTGCCTCGACTTACTTTGCGGGGTTTCACGCCAATAGGGGATTCCCTGTCTCGGCTATGCCTTGGGAGAAGTACACTGATGTGAAATATGCTTTTGCGTATGTTATACCTGCATGATGGGTGTGAGGAGGGCTAATTTGTGTAGTGAGACTTCGCCTGATGGAAAGCTTGATGTTTCCAAGTCGCAGCCTGAGAACATTCCTTGCTTCGTCAAGGACGCCAAGAAGCACGTATGTTATTGAAGACTCAGCGCAGCTCATAAGATTCATTTGACTCACAATGTTTCTAGAACGTCAAGCCTCTCATCTCAATCGGTGGTTGGACTGGAAGCCGACATTTCTCCACCAACATTGGCTCTGCCAAGAACCGCACTGCTTTCGCCAAGAATGTCATCGACTTTGTTGACAAGTATGGCTTCGAAGGCTTTGACATTGAGTAAGTTCATCATCCTTTCAAGCCTGAAATTTGTGTCTGACAAGTATTCAGCTGGGAGTACCCCAACCGCCAGGGTCTCGGATGTAACGATATCAACGAGAACGACACTGCCAACCTTCTCGAGTTCTTCAAGGAGATTCGCAAGGACCCTAAGGGTAAGAACCTCTACATCACTGCTGCTGGATCCGTCTTCCCTTGGAACGACAAGTCTGGTGCAGCTTCCAAGGATGTTAGTGGCTTTGCTAATGTCATCAACTACATCATGATCATGGTATGTAATTTTTGCTTTGAACCAAGCTTGAGATCCATACTAAATCGTTCAGAACTACGACTACTACGGTGCTTGGTCCGCCGTCGCCGGCCCCAACTCTCCCCTCTACCGCAAGTGCGATCCCCGCAACGACCAAGGCGCCGCCGAAGACTCCATCACCCAGTGGACAGGCGCCGGCATGCCCGCCTCTCAGCTCGTCCTCGGCGCTCCCAACTACGGCCACGGCTTCAAGATCAACAGTACTTCTGCCTTCGGCAAGAGCAAGAACCACAAGCTTCAGCTCTACCCCGCCCACAACTCTACCGATCGCTTCCAGGGCAGCAGCTGGGACAACGACCCTCTTACCGATGCTTGCGGTAACCCCAACCCCCCTGGAGGCACTTATCCTTTCTGGAGCTTGATCAAGGAGGCTCACTTCCTTGATACCAAGGGAAACCCTGCTCCTGGAATTTCTTCTGCTTGGGATAACTGCAGTCAGACAGTAAGTCACCCTGTACACCTCATATTACATGGATATAGTACTAACTGGGAATAGCCTGTTCTTTATGATGCTAAGCGTGAGATCTATGTTAGCTACGATAACGCTGCTTCTTTCTACGACAAGGGCAAGTTTGTTCTTAAGAACAAGCTTGCTGGATTTGGTACCTACGAGGCTGGCGGTGACTACAACAACATCCTCATCAACGCCATTCGATCTGGTGTTGGTCTGCACTAAGCTGCAGTATACAACGAGCCTTGGGCTTTGACCTTGGTGTGGATTTTAGACTGATGGATTGGCTTTGCTGGTCTTGTTAACACATGCTTAGAGAATCTCCTAGCTTAATGAAACTTTTCACTTCTTGTCATATCTTATAAACCAATCTATTGTGAACAATGCATACTTTGATAGTTCAGAGTGCCTAGCAGTTACTGAGATAGTGAAGTATATATAAGACAATACAAAATGCAAGTTGTAAATAAGCACAAGAAGAAGAAAATACCCTATGCTCGCTATGGCCGTTGCCATTCTTCATCTTCGTCCATTCAACTAAGGTTTCCAGAGACAACACTTCGCTCCAAGAAATGTCTTCAAATCAGAAGCGCTTGTGAGAGCCCGTATGAACAGTAGCCTCGACAAAATCATGACCAATATCAAGTCTGATACCTTCAGGGTTTTTGATACCCGCTCCATCATCTGCAACCGATTAGTAACCTTTTATCAAACCAAGTACGTCGAACTTACACCACGTATCATCAGCCTCAGGATGAGGTCCAACAAGTCCGACTGAGCCCTTCCCGTAAGGCGTAATCGAAGCAGCAACATCTCCATTCGCAGAATACCGTCCAACGACCTTACCCGGCTTACTCCCATCCATACCCCTAATCACAACACCATCCTGGAAATACAACCATCTCTTATCCTCTGTCGTTCCCGGCTCAAAAGTCCAATCAACATTGATAACAGTATCTTCCTCCCCCTTGACCTGCGCCCCTCGACGCTTAATCTCCTGCTCAGTATCAACACCCTTCGGAAGAAGATTATACCCATTCCTAGGCCCGGCAAGGTAAGCACCGAGACAAAAGCCAAGATAATGACCACCAGAGCTGACGAACTCCTGAATCGCCTTTTCGTATTTCTTTGTGGAGCGGTATGCTTTGCTCCAGTTTGGTCCACCGCCGTGGGCGTAGACTGTAGCGCCTTTGAGAGCTTCGATTACATCGATTGGTTCATTTGGACCGGCGAAGACGACTTCGAAGTTGGAGGGCGAGGAGACGAGGAGGTCACGCACGCCTTCGGGACAGCCTTCTGATGAGGCTGGGCCGCGGTATACGACTGCTTTGGGGCGTGCTTGTGCGCACAGGGTGGCTGATACTCCGTAGGAGATGATAGCCATTGCGATGGAGACCGGGCTACTGAAGTGCATAGTGTTTGGGTTGAGTAATTGTTGTGTTTGTTCAGAGTCGACGGTGCTGAACTGAAGCTTTATCAGTGGTCTCCGTTGGCATATTTATACTCGGTTTGCCTGCGATCAGCATTCCAGACAAGTTGCCTCCCGCATCTCGGCACAGACACGGCACGACATGGCGTACAGGTCATCAAATCGTTTCTCGAAGTGCGTACAGATCCTTAATATAGTTAAGCAAGATCTCAGCCGTATTGACAAGCAATGCCACAGCCGAGTGATGATTCACTAGCGCTTTGACGTCAGCATCTGATTAGACAGCGCGTATAAACACTCCCCACTTGGTGACATGCTCTAACCCTTTCAATGGAGCGCTTCATCCCGAAAAGTGCATGCATTAAGATTCGGAACTTTCCCTTGAACTCTTTGGTCGAAACACCAATAACGCCCCGTCATTAGCTGAAGGTCCTATTTCTGGCCATCTCTCCGTCTGTAACCCAACAGCTCTCAACACCATATCGCTCTCCAGAAAATCCGCTAATTGTCCACTATCCCAAATAATCTCCCTCCTGCTCTGCGCTCTCAACATGCAGATAATCCTCTGTCGAACGTTTTCGTCCGTGCAGTACACGTAGAGTTGGAATAAAGCTGCTGTGAGATCGATTTTGAGACCGAAGCGTGGTCGGGTTGGGTTACACCATAGTTTCTCGAGTTGATCAAGAAGAGTGTTGCATTCGGCGGAATCGAGATGAGCTTCGGCGTTTTCGTCAACGTCGGATTCCTCTTCGATGAGGAGTTCCCATAGTTTATGCTGTATCCGAAGATTAAGAACTTTTTCGCTGTCGATGGGTTCTTTTCCAGCTGAGAGTTTATTCACGAGGATTTCGAATTGGCATTGCCAGACTTGTACGTTTTGTCGTAATATCGACCATTGCGTGTTGCACTCTGACTCTTCGTTCTCCCATTCTTGATCAAGATCCCAAGAAATATGGTTAACCATGTCGTCAAACTTATTCATGACATCTTCTGCTTCATCCAGATTTCTGAATTCTCCCTCGATTCGTTTTTGTTTCTTTGCTGGCATTAAGAGATGCGTCACGTCGGGAAAGACACGCTCGGGGGAGAAGATGGCGACTTGTGAGGCGATTGCGTGGAATATTGCTGCAAGTTCTTGAAAATCACGGTTGGGGAGATATGTTTTTGGGACGTGATTTGTGAGGATTCTAGTACCGGACTCGAGATGCCGAATTGCTTCGCCAAAGTCCCCGCGGAGACTTTCAAGAATAACGAATAAGATGCAACATGTCAAGACCGTTGACATATCCTGCGGTGACTCCTGATTGCTTGTAAGTTTGGATATGGCTTCGTTATAATGCCACAAAACGAATCGGTCAAACGACGCTGTTGATAATTGGTTGCGCGTTGAATACTGCCAATGCGTTGCTCCCAAAGCCAACACCGCATGTCGAACGCACTCGCTGTTTTGGCTAGGAACAAGAATATTCCTATTCCAGAACTCTTTGTTCAGATATGGAGTGATTTCCAACTGGCTGATAATATCAGAAAAGAAATAAACGTAATAATTCGACTCGAGTGTATCTCCCGGTAGTCGAGGCAGTGTCGGCGTTGACACCTTTGCAGCTAGAATTGGAAGAGAGCGATTCTGCGTCTTTGTCGTGACGGCCTGTGATTGGGGCGTGTATCCATCGCAGACATAACCTCCATCCCTGCATCTCTTGCACGTGGGTTTCTCCTCATCACATTTCTTGTGTCTTTTCTTACTTTGTCTTGAATCAGTAGGTCAAAGAGGAAGAAAAGCGGATGGATATGCGGGACTTACCATGTGAGACAACCTGTACGAGTCTTGCGTGAAAACGCTCTTACCCGCTGAGCGCGTATAGACCGATCCATTTGGTAGTACATACAACCCACGGGTCGCTTTGTTCTCCCGATGAGCCGTGAACTGGGCCTGATAAGAATGACTGAGGATGTGAAGCGTGCGTATGATGATGCAGGGAAGCTTCATCAGTGGTTCCATGCCAAGGCCCCGCTACTAAAGTTCCGGCCTCAGAAGGCTGCTAGTCGCCCTCCTTGCGCGTATAGACGACCAATTATATCTGTTTCTTTCAGCCTCACATGTAAAAAACGCCGAGAGTGTCTAGGCAGCACAATTCGGCCGGTTGCTTACGGAAAACCAGGGCTTTTGGAAATGTCCGTGAATCCTTCAACTACGCCAGATTGACCGATGAGCCACGTTTTCTTGTCATGGTGCGCCCTAAATTATGCTTGTTTAGTGATCGTCTTGGCAGTTGACTCACGTTTAAGCCTACGCAGCGTCAGTACTGAAATTTCCGAACGCAAAGATCGTCCTGAAACGCAACACCATCAGAATGAATCCTTTGGGTGTGTTGAGTCACATCGTCCAATGGATTCTCTACGCAGTTCGCGTCATGACACCTCCACGAGAGTCAAACTAACATGAATAGGGGCTCTACGGATATCAGGATTACTATCCATTACTTACGGCCCTACGACACGTCCGCTCCCCAAAACCCTCAACTTCTGAAGACGGCACAGCAGCAGGAATTCTAGGTCGAACGAATAACACCTCATTCTTGTCGACGATATATCCTATCAAAGGCTTGGGAACATGGCTTGTTGGCGCGGCTGCAAAATCCGTTCTCGAGTTCTACCTAGAAAAGTCTCTTCCAGCTTTCCTTATGAAATGCGTTACAACGATTGTTATCGCACCTTTGAAATTCCTCTGGATCCGATCGATCATGTCCGAATATCCAATATCTCTAGACTCAAACATCAGACTCCTTCGTTGCGTCACGGCTAAGCAGTGGTTTCACTTCGTCGGTACCCTATTAGCTTGCAACATTATCGATGAGATACCAGACCTTGTCGTCAAGCTCGGCCTCTTCTTGTTACTAGCAAACGGTGTCGATGTCGTTGAAGAATGGACGAAGGAAGATCCCACGATGATTGGAATCATACTTATCGGCGTTTTCTTCACGTTGAAGATCATGCATGCGGTCATTAGGGTTCCAGAGACGGTGGCGGGTGTTGAAGCTGCTCCTGATATAGATGAGAAAGGGCAAGGCAGGAGTACGCGTGAAGTCTTGGTGGATATTAAGACGTCGCTGAAAAGCATGACCTTTTCATTGTGGTTCAGATTTGTGGTTTATCATTGTATCGCGTTTGGTATGGCTCGCATTGCCTCAGCTGTTGGAATCTTGGGCAATATGGAGGTGAATATTGGTTGGAAAGACCCTCTATAGAATCAAGAACTATGTATTTGTGTCATGCCTTTTTTGCTCACTCTGATCAAGAGACTGTACATTTCCCACCTCCCCTCTTCACCTCATCCATCAACAACTTAAACTCCAAGTTATCCTCCCCATTCTCAAGGCGTTCCAGATTCACCTCATGATCAGGAAATATAGATCCATACTTCTCATCTAACCACCCATACGGCCAGATACAAAGCCCTTCCTCCTCCTTGGCTTTCCTTCTCCAATTCTTAATCTTGTCATCTTCGTCAGCCGGCGGGACATAAACATCATCACCATAGTAATCCCCTTCATCTTCCGTAATGGGTCGCTCCTTAGTTGGCACGCATACAACCTCCGCAGGTGCTCTAAGAGCCTGGCGTACAGCTTTCCATAGATCAGCCCACTTTGGCGCATCGTCGCCATTGGGGTCGGAAGCAAACGCCACGCATTCTGTGATGCAGAGTTTGGACAGTGTGCCGTTTGCTGCTTTGAGGTAATCTGTCAGCACGGAGGTAACTGCTATTCCATCCACGTGCAACGACCGCAATGAGGGCATGGATCCAGGAGGTATGTATAACGATCCTTCGCCGCCCAAAAATCCATCATCGTGAGTCTTGAGTTTAAAGTATTCCAGCGCGTTTGCATGAGCGAGAACGGCTGTTGGCAATTCATTGAAGAAAGCGTGAAAGCCGGGTAATGTATTAGCCTGCCAGCCAGCTCCGTTATTTCCGCCATACGTATTGAGAGTCAACTTCTTCAGCCGGCCCAGAAACTCAGACCATTCTTTTTGCTGCCAGAAAGAAGTTTTTCGCGGGAGAAAGTTCAGGATCGTGAACTCGTCGACTGGCGAAAGCGTAGCGATGTCATGGTACATATCCCGAAGGGCTGCGCGCCACGAGTATCTCTCTTCCTTTCGTTTGACTTCCTCCCAGTCTTCAGGTTCGCAGCAGAAGTAGATGTAGTTGTTGCCGATATCGTTATTATCCCAGTCTGCATCCACTTCAAAGTCTTGTTCGCCATTGGTGTGAAGGGTCAGGGCTTTGCAGCGTGGCAATCCCTTGAATTGGATGAGATCCTGGATGGTTGGTGTATCTGCCTCTTTTCGAGCCCAGACTGATGCGGGAGGATTTGTCCAGTACCATTTGGGTCCAGCGTCTGAGTCACTGTCGCTTTCTTCTTCTTCTTCTTCTTCGTTGTCTTCATCGTCTTCTTCATAATGCTTGATAACTCCTTCGGACTCTGAGTCATGGTCAGACTCATTATCGCCGTTATCTTCCTGATTTTCCGATATGCCCACGTCAGAAGGCTCATCCTCACTCTCTTCTTCCTCTTCCTCAACTGCCTCCTCCTCCGTCTTCTCAGGCATCTCATTAGGGTAGAAAGTAACATTCAATCTCAAGCTCACAATATTCGCTCCATATTTGTCGATAACAGTTGGCAAGATGTGATCCTCTACAAGCGGACAATTGACTCTTAGCACCTTGAAGAGACATGGCGCCATCGCGGTCCGAAGGCCGGAATTGGCCAGGCTGAGGTTCTTTCGATCATCTGGCTCAAGATAATCCGAGATGCTGAATAGTACTTCAGGTGGTAGACTCTCAAGAAAGTGACCAGACATTGTCGCAGTGGGGGGACTGTTAAATCAGAGTACTGAGAGATATTCTAACCTCGGTATTGCGATCGGATGGAAGCTGTCAAGACCAATGGGGGATGGCCACTTTATAACTGTTGACCAAAAAATGCCCCGGAGCAGTGCTGCTGCTTCAAAGAATGGCCTGAAGTGGCGGGGGACTGTGCCTGTGGCGGCCTAGAGTGTGTTATTGCTGCCTGGACTTTACTGGATCCAGCGTTTACAGAATTCTTGTCAGCAGTGGAGGCAACGCATCTGCGGATCCCCCACCAATGCCCTGTAACTCGACTATTCTTGGTGCAAATGGCGGCAGGGGGATCTCTGTTTATTTGCTCCCGTTCCGACCAACAGCGGTTGGCCAGGCAGTCACAGTTTTACCAACAGCAGTCAGGTTACAGGGCACTTACAGGGCACCAAGCACTGAAATATCCTCACGCAGGTTTTACCTTTCGCCCGACAAACACGGTTGAGAAATAACCTGGAATAATCTGAGGCTGCTTAGTCCTCTACCAAAATACCTCCTCCATCGTTCTCAGTTCCATCAACAGGCCCTAAGAACATGATATCATGTAATATCTGCTTCCACGCGCCGTCATCCTTCTCCTCTTTCCGCCACCAATACTGCACTTTGACCAAAATCCCTCTTCCTTTATTATCCTCCGTCCACATATTGACTCTAAGCCCCTCCCACTTCTCAACCTCTGCTTTGTCGCGAACATCCTCCAAAGATGTGAAGCCAGCGGGAGCCAATTCCCTGATCGTTGCAAAATCGTCTTTTTCGCTTTCGTTGAGGGGTCGCATTGTATAGAAGCTTCTTACAGAAGCTGGATCCATTTCACTAATGTCCCATCCCGCTTCGCGGTAGATTCTCTGGAGAACTTCGCCAGATTCACGCAGGAAGTGGAGAATGGTGTCTCTGTCTTTTGCGGCATAGTCTGGGTCTGTGCGACATATTTGACGGCATTCTTGAGAGAAAAAGAAGGCCTTGTTGTCGATGGACTTTGTTTCTCGGTATTCACGATATAATTTGAAGAGTTCCTCCTGGAGAGGCGAGTAGTCAACAGAGACCATTGTGGTGTTTTGAAGTATGGCGAATGATTATGCTGAAAAAGTGATTGGCGCCCCTACTAACCTCAGATACCGTTCCAAATATCGTTGTACATGGTGCTGGTTATTCAATTAGCCATTATTTCAGCTTATATTGAAGCCCGCTTATGGTTGTCTCAGCCTTGAGAAGCCAAGAAGAAATCTCCAGAATACTGTATCTAATCCTTGACGACAAGTTGCCAAAGAGATCACAAGGCTGCACGGCTCTCAGGGGGTTGGGGCCATGCGTCATGGGTTCACTGGAAAGTCCAGGCTATGCTATCAGCAGCACTAATCTTGGTCTCAGCGTTGGATAAAGGCTTGTGCGACGTTGTTTCTGCTGAGCATCCTTGTCTCACCGCCCTGGATAGCATTGTCGAGAGGTAATATGAATCATAACCCAGAGGAACACATGCTTGCTGCAAAGCAATGAGAGTTATTTGTATGCTTCATATTGACGAGAAGTGTGCTCTTTTCTTGACCTTTCCGTTCTCTGGAGATTTTTTATGATGTTCCAGGTCATCACTTTTCATGGTGGTACAGTAAAGCTGCATGGTGGTACAAGCGATGGCGGTGTACTGTATGCCAGCTTGTCTGCTCTCTTGCGAGAAGAGTATTCATAGAGACTCAAGAGGAGCTATTGCCTGTGGCAGTATTAGAGTGTTTTTAATGGCTGTCTATTAGCACTTTTTGATGCCACGGTCTCTTTTGCCCTCAAAAAGGCATCTTAGCCTTCGAAAAATACGACTAATCACTCGCCAGATACGTACTCTGGCACGTTGGTAACACGAATGACAGCTTGTCTTTGAGTACCCATGGACGGACTCCACTGTGCTGCATATAGCCGAAGACTGTGCCTGATCGCAAAATGTTAGATCCTAAGGTTGGGCAAGCATGGGTCCACCAGGTAAACCACCAGACTGACTAGGAGATCTTAGAAAAGATAAAGAAGTACTTTTTCTATATATATATATATATATATATTACTTTTCTTGTAGGCTCTTAGCAGCTTTGCTTCTTGCATTAAGATGCATGGAGAGAAGAGACAACAAGGTCTATGCACTTCTGCAAGCCACTCTATGTTTGCCCAGAAATACTTAACCGTCATTGGCCAACTCTTGGAAACTGTGTAACACAACAAACAACTAGACACAATTTTATGACGCCTCAACTTGATGAAGTGTTTGTAGATGTATAGACACGGGAGTAGGCATATTCTCAAACAGAAACTGGTTATTTTATTTCGCTCGTTCCCCCTTCTTCTTTTCCCTATCTTCTTCGTCTTTGCTATTTTCAACATCAACACTTCCCCTACCAAACACTTCCATTTTCAGATACCTTCACTATCAGACCCATAAGCGACCGATATTACCATACATTGCAGTCATGGCCAGCCATCTCAGTCCTGAGTATGAAGCTTGCTTCCAACGCCTCGCCGTCATCAAAGCCATTCATGAGAGCAGCAAAGTCTGCCATGGACAATTCATGGAGCACCAGTTATTACGGCTAAAGGATGAATAACTGGACCTCGACGACTATATCGAGTCCGCATACTTTGAGATGAGGGAGCGTCAGCAGAATCGGCAAGACATTACTAGGCTCAGAACTCGTATTAAAGAGATGGGAGAGAGGCGGAAGCAAGTTAAGAGACAGATCCAGAGGGAGCTGCGGAAGAACCCGACTGTCTTGAATGACATAGATTCGTGCACCAATGGTTTTATGTCAAAGTCACAAATACCCATGGACATTATGACCCAGAACTTTTGGGTGGACAAGGAGGGAGAGAGGGCACAATCCATTCCGAAGTTGCCACCTACTCCGGCCGCCGACTCAGCCGATGATAACTCTAATGAGGCGGCATTGGCTCTAGGGAATGAGTCTCCCCGTGCATCTCCTCCCCCTTCCTCCCCTCGCTTCATACCTCGTAGTCCTCTCAGCAGCAAGCGGACTACCCCCGAGAGTGCCGAAGACCCTCCATCTCCCAAGCGTCGTGCAGATCGTCGTGACATCACGACCATCGCGGAGATAGATGAGAGCTTCTCCAATCAGAAGATCACAGAGACCCCAGCACGCAGCGGCGAATGGTATGTCTTTCGGTGCGAAGAGCATGGTATGCTGTTCGATGGCCTTATGAAACCGGCGCAGGCCGCCGCAAGGCATGCCAAGACGCATGGATTCCTGTCTACTTACGCGTCAGCTGTTGATGCCTTTGGCATCAAGATCGATTTTTGCGACGCTGCCTTTGCAAAGTCACACAATGATCGGGTTGTTATACACCCTAAGCGGAAGGCCGGGCGCCAAGTTGGCAGTGTCACCGTTGACAGCGCTTATCGTCCTCGACATGACCGATCCGATGACCAAAACAACGACGAGGAGATTGCACAGCTTCTTGGTGATATTAATCCCTCCCATCCCCGACACCGTCCCATACGACGAGCAGTCGCGACCAGACAGCGGACGATATTGTCACGGGATCCAGACGGCACTCAAAAACCCGTTGAGATTACCGCCAAGACGATCTACTGGATCAAGTGGCCAGATGATGGTCTCTGCTACCCAGCCTACGTTCTGCCATGGAAAGCGTTCCCACGATTCCGAAGCAAGAACTGGGCGCCAGTTGACTGTGGGCTGTTGCAGTCGGTAGATCAGTTACCGGCCTGCTACGACAAAAGCTATGGGTTCGATGGCATTTGGGCAGAGGGCTACAAAGATGGCCAACGGAAGATGGACAAGAGGCTATACCCCGTTATCTTCTTCACTCTTGAGAAGATATTCCCCTGGGAGTGTGAGACAGGTTGGGCTGCCGCGGAAGACTTTCGCGTCTACGACGGCGACAAGGAAGACCCTCAGTTCAAGGCGTCAGTCGATCATTGGCTAGCGAGAGAGGATCGCCAGACTCCAGATGAAGAATTGATCAGATTGAGTAAGTTGTCAATCTTACATGTCGTTTGGTCTAGGTTACTGACGATGATGTATTAGAATTAATGCCACCGCCACTTGATCGGGGATCATCGAGAAGCTCGAGCAGCGAACGAGGATCAAGCCAAGAAGAGTCATCTGAGAGTGAAAACATCGATGAAGAAATTAGAAAAGCTTTTGCGGACTTGAACAGATGCTTGAACAGTGATCGAGGATCGAGCCGAGAAGAGTCACCCGAGAGCGAGGACGATGATGACGGTATCGGACTGGCTCTGCTGGGCGGTCTCATGGAATCTCAACCGAGACAAACTAGCATTTCGTCGACTCAGCGCAGGTCACAGAGCGACGACAGCGAGTCGTCCCACTGCCATCGCAGCACGTCCATGTCGTCAGACGAAGGCACTCCTCCTGCGGACCTACCCAACCCTGATGAAGATGAGGAGTCAGATATCTATAGTGATGATAACGTTGGGCCGTTCCCCGATAAGAGTCCTAGCGAGGAATCCGATACCGAAACCCGCAGGCACGACCTCGAAGAATCCCCTGTGAGGCCTTGGGAATATCCCACGTCCGACGATGAGTACACTCTGGAGGAGAACCATGAGGACGAGCAGGAGGACGAGGAGGGCATACGATTCGATGAGCCATCCACCCCGAGGAGAAGAGTTATTTCCTCTGAACAGTGGGTGACTCAGGCTATGGCTAGTGCTTCTCGTCAAGTGGACGCTTTCTGGGTTAGAATTTTTCGAGAGTACTCTAAGGAGGCCGACGAGTTGTCATCCTAGGCGGGTTGCACGTGTCCGTGTATCTGGCTAGCTTGGCCCCGGGGTTATGCCTCCCTGCCTACTCTTTCTTGCCCTCTCTGCGGCTATCTTGAACCGTTGCAATAGGTAGTTCTGGAGTCTTTTGGAATCCCATGGCTATCCTCGCATCAACTCATGGGTTTTGACAACCCAACCTGTCGCCTATCATTTTGAAAGAACGTTTTTATCGGCTTAGTTTAGAAAGTCATACTTTCATTTAATAAAATCCATTGTCCTTATCGAGTTATTTTAGAGAGAATATAACACCGATAACTTGCTTCAAGACCTACATTAACCTCAAAGTCTGTCTATTGAAATAAGCATAACACTAAGCCCACAAAAACTAATGCTCGCAAAAGCTATACTGGATGCCAGACCAACTTTGCTCCGCATCACGCTGATAACTAGTCCTCTCGTCCATTAACTTCAACCTATGCTCCTTCGCTTCCTCCAAAGACATCGGCAATATCGAATTATCCGCCTCAGCCTCCACCATATTCACCAATTCCTGCGGAAGAGGCTTACCACTCTCTGCTGCAGCTTTCAAACCGGGATGCTCTGGCTCTCCTTCAGATACCAACTTCGCAACAGCGTTGGGAACGTTACTAGCGTTCTCCTCACCCAGGTTCCTAAATGCACTCTCCGTCCACCAACTCTTCTGCTGAGGCGGTACATTCCCCGTATTGATGATCCTCGTCCTCGGATCGATAAGCCAAAGTGCTATAAACCGTCGATGGCCCGGTTTACTCATATCATCCAGCTCCACAGGCGAAACCCTATGATGAAACACATTCGGGAACGCCAACAATCTACCCTGCTTCGTCTCGATCTTTCCATATCGCTGAAGACAATCCCCGCCTCTCAAGTTGGTACCATAAACTTGCTCCATCCAACCAAAAGCATCCTGGCCTATATTCCAGTCCTCTTGATAATAATCAGTCTGCATGCGGAACTGCAAATAACTGGGTTTTACGTTCTCAGAATCGAGGTAGTAAAGGGCTGTGCCGACGATATGCTCGTTCATTTGACCTTCTACATGCCATCCTCCTGCGGGAAATTTCGGCTTGTCGGGTGTGAGTTCGATGGAAGCCATTTTGACGATGACTTGGAGATCCTTGAAGCGCTCGCGCAATGACGTTCCTGGCTTGACACCATAGTCCCAGGCTTTAAACTCGGGGGCTTCTGGTTGAACGGGCTCTCTAATCTTTTCCCAAGCGTCTCGCTTGCGGGTGTCATAAAGGAGATCCCCATCTGCGTCTCTGATGACCTCTTCATACTCAACTTCGCCTGCATCATGAGGCGTAAAGTCATCGATTGACGGGCTCCAGTTTGCCTCGTTCTCATCACTGCGAGCGTTAGTGACCTCTGCCCAGTCTTACTCCAGTGAAAGGTGGTTACTTACTCGGGGTTTTCAGGTCGCGGGAAGCGAGACTTGGTCCGACCACCGGAGACGATGTCCCAGTCTCGACAGAACGCCACACAGTGATCCCAGGCAGGAAGAGCTCTTTCGATGAGTTCCTCAACCATTTCATAGATATCACGATGCTTGGGATGGAGGTTGTTAATGTAGCTCGTTAGCTTGACGCTTCCATCATCCATGAGTTTGACGTTGGATGGAAGCCACTGATAGGCATCGGACCAAAACATTTTATGGGCATCACTACCTTGCACCGAGTAGTTTATATGGTAGCGATCATCGTATTCTGACGGTATGTCGACTGGTTTTTTAGGTATGACTTCTCCTTTACCGCTCCATTTGTCGATTGCATCTTCAACGCCAACTACCTCGTCGCGAAATACGCGAGAGCGACCATAGACAAGGGGATAGAGAGACGGGTGCACGAGGTTTTGTACCATGTCGTTGCTTCGAGGATGCCAATCGGGGTTATCTTTCTGTCCTTCCTTAAGCTTCGCAAAAGCATTTCTAAGACGCTTATGGAGGGTCTCATCGATGAAGGTATCTGATTTGATGACGGTTGCGTTTGCATCCAAAGCTGGTATGAGACCTGTTTTCTCAAAGAATTTGGCCTTGACACGAAGCTCTTTGATACACTGGAAACAATAAGCGTGGAACGGAAGAAATAACTAGGCGTTCTTACGTATTTGAGACAGCCCCGATCTAGGATGTACTTGAGCCTGTCGGGGCCGTATGCAGCGCCGCTGCTGAATCCGGGGTTTCTATGCTGCACAATCTCGTCATATAAAGGATCAACTGGAAGCGCAAGGGCCTCCTGGACCCATTTCTCCGCGATGGCGTCGTCAAAGACCTTTGATCCGATAAGCTTCATTCTTCATTCGATATTACATACACCCATGCATACCTTGATATGCCAGTCAGGCTTATCAGTCAATTGATTCATGACAATCATCATGGCAGCCTCTCGCACAAGCAACATATCGGATTCAGCCCCCCGGGAGTTGTAATGAATTCCAGTTGGATACATTTCGCCTTCGTGGTGGTAGTTATGATATCGAAGGTTCATGCCGAGGCCCGGATAGCGGCCGACTGTTGGAGGGTCACACTTGTCAGAGTACATGGCGGCGCGATGGAGTCGAGTTATTTGGAGTTTTAGGCGTAATTGATTTGGGGGCAACGCGCCGCACTTATTTATACGCGATATTATCGTGCGTTTGGGGGCTGATATCCACATTCTTGCATGATTGTACGCGATAGGAAGCTGTTGGTTTGAGCGGTTCACGAAGAACAGTCGCGAAGTCATGTGTTTAGGTGGAGGCATCTTAGGCAGCCCAAGGCAGCCGTTCTAGGATAACATTATCGATAAGAGATATATTGCAGACACATTGAGATAAGAACATATATCCAGAGCAGAAAGACAGAATATTCTTGGTTACCTTATTCGAGACTCTAGGTTGAGCGCTTTAGGAATGATATAGATGCCGGTGGAAATCTGGTTACGCTTTCATCAATACCAAATCTAATGATCTTGTATCACTTTATACTCAGCCCACTTCAGCGGTATAGTTCTACGTATTTTTATCCAGCTCATTCCACCAACACAGACCGCAACTGGATAGATATAATAGAAATAGATGCTACAGAAGAGCCCGTAACAAACTCAGTGACATGTCTGTCGTCAAATAGTCTTGTTTAACATTTCAAGGTGACCTGCAGTCAAGACTACCCTACAGTATATAAAAACAGCAAAATCTGTGCTAGCGTGGTGAGAATATTAGCGAACTCCCCGTGCACGACCCAAAAAGCTTGTGTAGGTGCCAATGTTGATCACGCTTGTACCAAGCAAATTGTCGCCATTCTGAGTGACTAAAAGTCTCGGCAAATCCGACCATGTCGTATTATTTGAATCATGTGTCGCGTGTTCAATTACCAAGAGAAAACAATAACTTGACTTTACGAACTAGGCTTGCCAGGTACACATTGACTTGACTTGTTTTGTTCTTCCCGGTGGTCGACTCTCCGTCGGTTATGTAACGAGAAATTAGTGATCGTCAGATGTGACCAGGAACAAGGTGTTTCATGGCTTGTTCCAGCGGCATGACAGTGGAGTGGAGGTTGATCGTCTATCTCGTGTGCCGCGTACCGCTCAAGTACCAGCGCCTTTCTCGGATCACGGAACACAAGGGAGGAAGCTATCGAAAGTCTATGAGATGGAGATGCTCGTATTAACGGAAATGACATTAAATATGTTATGACATTCGCGGTTAACAATGCCGAGCCGTCTACCGTAGGCATGTCTCTCCGGAGGCTGGAACCTGGTGTTGACCGAAAAAGGAGAAGAGGGCCCCGCTTGTCCATGCAGCGTTTGCAGATGAACTGCCGCCGTTGGAAAGGCTCTGATTCTTTTTTTATGACAGAAGCACGCTAGAAGGGCGTGCCACACGGGGGCCCGCTCGCCGCTGTCTATACTCAACTCCAACGAGTCAGCCCTGGGAGAAATACGATACGACCAGTTATATTGCCAGGGCCGTAAGAAGGGAGACGTCAAATGATTCGAATTGCCAGGCCTTCATCCATCGGTGAGCAAATGATGAAACTGTAGCTTGCAGCTTGTGAAGGAGGTATGTATGGCAACGGCCGATCCCGCAGCCAAACGGGTAAGATGATGACGGATTATGAAGGGCTGAAGGATCTCATTTTTTCATTTATTCTCTAACCGCGGTAGACAAGATTGATAATCCAATGTAATCCATTTGAGATGATCGCAATCGAAGATCGAAACAGGCTGAGATCCACAATGCCAATGTTCAATCATCAACCCCGCTCAAAGGAACACCCCAAATCAAGGCAATGTTGTAATCCACTGCTGCAGAGTGGTGGCGGTGCATGCAGATTACATCGGTTTCACGGTGTAAATATTCTTCAGCCCAGTAACTCTAAAGGATTTGGACTTCCTGCCACGCAGTAATTACCACAAACAGCCTGTTGACCCCGCCCCGGAAGAGCATTATCACGGCCCCGGCGGCCCTTGACATGCACGCATGGATGCCTGGGCGTTACAAAGTGGCGTCGCAGGGAAACACAACAATACCTCGATTGTCAAGCCCATCAGCAGTGACTGCATGCTGATGTAGCTAGACAGAAAGAGATGCGCTATATTGTGCGATTCAGCCGGTCAATTTGTTCCGCCAACTGCACAACACTGCCGTCCACCGCACCATAAGATAGCTTTGATGGCCAAGCTTTTCTCGGGTACAGTATTAACCACGTTGCGACCCTGGGTTAGGTTCCCTAGAAAATCATTGGTGGGGCTGTACCCTGCTAAAACGAGCCCCTAATGATTTGGCCGCCGAGGAGCTAATGAGCTACTTTTGGGAGCCATGCGTGACCCCTGAACACGCGACCCCTTTCTTATTTGGCCTTGTAGCCTCTCTTTGCGGTGCATTTTTTGATGGTGTCTACCCCACATTCTCCCGTTCATTGGAAAGGAAGGTGCAAATCGCCCAAGTCCAGACCAGATTGTTCCATTGCGACACAGTCCAAAGCCTACACCTCGGCCCTGTCATTAGCTGTACTAACTCTTTAGCTTGGGGGACTTCTTGGCTCTGTTTTATTTCCATCATTTTGTGCATTTTTTCCTGACCTCTTCTCCCTTCCCTTTTTTCCCTTTTTCTCTCCTCTTCCCCCATTACAAATCTCTAATTAACATCGTCGTTTTCGTCGCGCCGCCCTCCCTCCTTTCAACAATCAGCGAAGCGGCCACTGCGTCTGAGTCTCTTTTCAACGACGGACCGCGCAAAAGCCCAGGCAAGATGTGTTTCCTCTTCTCGGTATCCTATGTTTTCGGCGTCTTCTTCGTCTCGATACTTGCCAGCAAACTGCTACATCTGTGGACACATCTCTTCACGGTACCGACTTCGGCTTTTATCCTATACCTACCGACATTCTTCCTCTTCGACTTGTTAGCGATATGCATTGCGAGACTGTTTCTGAGTCAGTCCAAGACACCGTGGGCTTGGATTGGGTGTCTGGTTGGTACTATAGCTACGTACGTTTTTTCTCGGCGATCGATAGTGATGGCCCTCAATGTGAGATGAACACGCAAACTGACATTGCGCGACTTGGCAGACTCATCTCGATCGGCGGCTCGGCGTCGCAGCTTGGATTCTTCGTTAAGACCGGTGGAGAGCTCGATTGGCGCGATGCGACAGCTTATGCTACAAGCAAGGAGGGTCTCAAGGTGCTTTTTAGCGGCAGCGAGGCCGTGATAGCATGCGGAATCGGTCTGCTCATTATCACTATTCCCATCCATGGATTCTTCTACCGCGCATTTGGTGCTTTTATAGGCGCAATTGGCGACAACATCCTCTCAGGTTCGTGTCTGCGATGTCGGCTGTTTTGGTCCGCCCGCTAACTTTTTGCTTCACCCGCTAGTCTACTCCTACTTCCGAAGCTTTCGCGTGCGAATCCCTGGTATCCAGCGCGGTAGGTACTCAGCTCTCAAGAATGCCGACACCGATCTTGAATCGACCGATACATACTCGATGGACGAGGATTTCCGACCCAGCGCCGAAAACCCTCCACGTATGGGCGGAGAGAAGCTTGCCACCATTCGAGGCAAGATTGCTCGATTCTTCGCGCGAATCCCCTTCTTCTCGTGGCTATGGAAAATTGCCCTTGCTCTTTTCCTCATGCTCACGCTGATCCTTCGACCTGCCAAGCCGTACGATTTCTTGTCAATTACGCTTCCCGTTTCGATGCTCGATGTTTTCGCACCCGAGCCCGATTTCTGCCAAGCGCAGCGAAGCCTTATCCAGAACGCTTTCCCGTTCCCCGACTTGATAAACAATTCGACATGGAAACAACCCGAGGGCGATTACTTTAGGGGCTGGGCGCCTTTGGTTAACAAGGATATGAGCCCTCTTGGTGAGGCGTACCGAAACCACTCTGTCGACTGGTTGCCCGAGAAGGGAGAGCTGCCCCGTGGCTTTTTCCGATTCGATCCTAAGCGCTTCAAGAATGGTTACCATGGCTCACTTGGCAAGCCCAGCACTATCATTTCCGAACACAAGTGCCCCCAGGTCTCGCTGCAAGAGAAGGATCCCTACTACAACCCTGTTCAGGACCCATTGAAGATCACCAACCTCGATACCGATATCTTGCCTACACTCAAGGAGGCGCTTGGCAATGGCGACGTCAAGATTAAGCATGTTGTCTTCATCCTTATGGAGAGTCTTCGTCAAGACTTCTGGCCTCTGCAGCAAGGCTCCCATACACACAGCCTGATCATGGATCTCAACAAGAGCGAGAAGGAGAAGGACGCGGCCAACGAGCGATTGTCCTGGATGATGCCTCACATCGAGAAGATCACTGGTCTGAAGCAAGGATTCACCGATAAGAACGGCAAGCCGTACGCGAAGCCAAACTACACATGGCACGACCAAGCGGAGGAGGGTTTCGGTGGCATCAATGTCGCAACCGCCTACACCGCCGCCACAATGTCCACCAAGAGCTACTGCGCCAACCACTGCGGTGCTTACCCCATGCCCGTGGAGAAATTCGCCGAAGCCGACACCGACAGCTACCAGCCTTGCATTCCCCAGATCCTCAGTATGCTGAACAAGGTCAAGACCAACACATCCTCTGACGACGCCGATTTCCGCGATTTGCAGTGGAAGACTGCTCTTTTCGAGGCTGAGATTGAGGAGTACGATCGTCAAGAGAAGTTTGATGCTAAGCTTGGCTTTGAGCACATCATCACCAAGAAACAGCTCGAGAGTCACTGGCGCTTCAACGAGTCGGATGTTCTGGGCAAGAAGATTAACTACTTCGCTTACCCCGAACCCATCCTTATGCCTCATCTTCAAGACTTCATCACCAACACGACCGCCAACAACCAGCGCATGTGGTTGACTCACTTCACCAGTACGACCCACCACGCTTGGGGTCTTCCTGAGGGCACTCCTTACTACGATTACGTTTCTCACACCGGCATGAACAAGGTGCACGATAACTTCAACAAGTACTTGAACACCCTTCGCTACCACGATGGCTGGATGGCTAGCTTGATGAACCTCCTGGACGACCAAGGTATCGCCAACGAGACCCTCGTCGTCTTCGCCGGTGATCACGGTCACTCCTTCAAGGACGACGCTGGCAAGGAGGGCACATACGAGAACCAGTTCATCTCCAACTACCGAGTCGGCCTGACCTTCCGACACCCTCACCTCCCCCGAGTCCAATACGACGCCAACACCACCACCATCTCTATACTCCCTACCATCCTGGACCTCCTCATCAACAGCGGTTCCCTCAACGAGAAGGACACCCACATCGCCTCTGATCTCGTACAAGACTATGAAGGTCAATCCCTCATCCGACCCTACAAGAAAACTGACGGCGACCGACGAGCCTGGACGTTCTCCGTCGTCAACTCTGGCGCTGGCATGCTCGGCGTCACATCTGCCGACGTCCCCTGGCGCCTCGTCATCCCCCTCAACAAGGTTATCGAATACCGAGTCACCGACGCCGTCAACGACCCCATGGAGCTCAAACCTGTAGCTGCGTGGTCACCCGAAGAGCTCGAAACAGCAGTTAGTTCTGCCTTCGGCGACGAAGCTGCGCAGTGGGCCAACGAAGCCATACCGATAGCCCAATGGTGGGTTCTCGAGCGTCAACGTCTCTGGCGCTATCACTCTTTGTCCGCATAGACACGCCATTTTTTATATCTGCATCAACCGGCGTTTTTGGGAAACAAAACTTACTCAAACTGTGTGTACCTTTCAACACACATTGCATCATCAAGCATCACGACAGAAAACCCAGACTTTTATCCCCGGATGGATGAAAACGGGTCTTACTCTCGAATCTTGGAACAGCGAAAATAATAATCTCTTTTTTTCTTTTTCTTTTTTCGATATACTTTTCTCTTTGTAAAAAGGGCGACGATACGATGCGTGATAGAAGGGAACAGGCCGGATAAAATATCCATGTCATCATTTTTCTTTTATCTTTTCTTGGTCTGGCTCGAATTGGCTTCATAACCAGGCTTGAACTTACCTATTCGGAGTTTTTGGTGGAAGGGGAATTGGGGGATGGGGACTGTGTTTACGGTCGTTATGGCATGATCTTTTTGGGCATTGTTTCTTGGATCATTTGTGTATAGCGTCTAGAGGTTTCTTTTTGAACAAATGCATACTTGATTACCTCCTACATATTTGTTCGTGATGTTATGCATGGTGTTTGTGATGGTGATGGTCGCGTGACAGCAGCAGGCCGGTCAAGGGGTCACACTACAGAGTATGGGCCCGTATTTTCGCAAGTTAATCTTTACTGGGGTAGGGATGTGACAGATACTCCATGTAACGCTGTGAAACCCAGCGGTGAGGCGGTCTGCACACAGCGCGCCCCCTGACTTGTGATATTTGATGTTTCGTCGCACTATGTATTGAAGATCCTTTGTAGTCCAATTTTGTGATACGGATTATTGATACGTCGAGGCTTGAGCGGGTTTCACTGTCATGGTTTGGGAAACACGAGCTGAGACTGCACTGACCACTTGAGGCTGCGTACTATTCTTGGCATGGTGTTCTGGATTCGCGGTATTGTGTCGGATTGCTGACAGGAAGGGCTTGGCGTTAGATCTTTTGATTGAGACTTGATTGGCTGAGTTGTTATGGTGTTGTGATGGGTTTCATGGTGGTGATAGTAGATAAGGTTGTGAGATTAGCTTGGTTACACGCTAAGTTATGGTGTTGATGGACAAGGATTATCTATGCATTCAATATTTAAAGTCTGAAATGACATTTCTAGTCACTCGTTCAACCACTGCCTGATTCTAGTTGGTTAAAAGTTCCTCTCTGTGCTTATCAACCCAAGCTTTGAATGTAGTAGGTTGTCTTCCCGTATACTTCCTAAAATTCATCGACGCTTCCCTATACGTCTCAGGCTCGTACAAACCTGCTGGATCACGTCCAAGATCCGCCAGCCTCTCAACAGCAGATTTGATCATAGGTTCTGGAAAACCTCTTGATCTGAGTTTCTCACTGTGCTCATCGCTGTTGATCTCCTTGATGTTGATATCCATACCGAGACCTTCACTAACAATTTTCCATGCTGCTCTTTGAGAGAGCAACTCAGGTCCGCATTGGGTGATAACCAACTCTCCCAAAGGCGGTGTCGCAACGATTCTTGCACCTGCGAGAGCGCCAACGTCTTCGGGTGCGAGATAATCGAATGGTGCATCGGGATGAGCCAACTCAAGCTGTCCAGACTTGACCTCGTCCCAGTCTTCCAGCATCTGGATATTACTTGAGAAATACGCAGGACGTATGACAGTATAAGCAAGACCACTTTCAGCAAGTGCAAGTTCAGCTTTGCCATGGATAATAGCTAGGATTTCCTCTGCCTCAGAAGATGGCTTTGCACCTCCATTCTCCGTAACGCAGAATGAAGAGAGTAGCACAACATGCTTGATGCCAGCCCTCTTCATAGCTTTATACGTTTCTAAAAGACCATCCTCCGCTTCGAAGAGTATGTATGAAAACGCAACGGTTGATCCTGATTCAGAAACGGCGCGCCCCACGGACTCGGGATCTGAGAGATCGGCCTGGACGCGAGTGAAGCCCAGCCTTCTCTCAAGTTCGGGAGTGAAACCAGGAATGGGCTTTTTGATATTGCGCATGGCGAGTGTGACTTGTGCATCGCGGGATTGGGCTTCTAGGGCTGCAGCTCGCCCAACTGCGCCTGTTGCGCCGAAGATGATGGCTTTGACTGAAGACATGGTGATGTGTATCTGGTTGTTCAAGCATATAAGATAAGTAGGTGATACAGGGAGATAACACAGGTGTATGCAAGCTTATTATATACTCGAACCTCTACCTTTTGACTTTAACATCTCTCGCAATCGGGCTGTTCATTATAACTATCGGTATTCTACATTGTCCGATATGGAGGCTAGTCCACCCGCCGGGATTTGCCAGAGCGTTTGGGTCGCCACAGACGTCAACCAATCGATGACACACGACGAACATGCCATATTCTTTGGGTGAACAAGTTGACATCGGACAACGAAAACTGTCCGAGAGGATGCGTTGTTTGCTTGGCTTTTGTGGAGTCGTCTACGTAATCGACTTGTGATTTCTCCTCATCGGAGTTTTGGCAGATGTGACTGTTGGGAGGTGGTTTGTTGGAAATACTCTATTTTCTGATAATAAGATAGGGTTTCGGAGGAGTTGTTTGCTCTTAGCATCATGTTTTGTTATCATCAAGAGGTGAGTTTGACGGAGTAAAGATTCGGGATAAGGTCGCAATGCTGTGCTTATCAGCCAATCAGCTGTTATTCGGGTATTGATCTATGATAGTTGGAAATATATTCTAGCAGTGTATGAATCTCTTCACTTTCTTCGAAAGGTGGCAGTTCCTGTGCCCTGTCTTGGATTGATGCTGGTTTGGAGTCTCATGAGTCTGCCATATCTCTTCATCTTCAGCGATGAAACGAATGTGAGCGCAACTCTCATCGAGAATATTGCATATCGGAATTGTGATGCATGATTGCATTATGACGGTATCGTAGCAATATATTTTTGTTTGAAACACTGTCTTGACTAGCTGTGAGCACATCAACCAATTCGCAGATCAATAGTATCAGTACTCAGCCATGTTCCATCTCCATGCGAGATAAGATAACAGTTCTTTTGCTGCTTGAAACATGAACCAGCAGAAGCAAAGCTGCGTCATAAAAGCCTTGGCAAAGGCTTATTTCCAGCGGCTCAACCAGCTACCAATTTGTCTCTGACGGCCATTGATCTTCACTCCTCGTACAGTATCCGTAGAGATCAGCATTATTCTCTTGCTACAACTCACGCTTCACCTTGATACCAACAAAGCTTCGGCCCCTTCGGTTTTAACCAGATTTTAATTACGATTTACCTCGTCAATGCTCAACCTTAGCTTTTGCTGGGCCCTCCGTGCGGGGCCCTGTCATCTCCCGCGAGAGTTTGACCAGGGGGTATCACTATCACACAGCCTTTTTCCCTGCCCAGCTAGAAGCACTACAGAAGCTTATTAGAACATCTAAAAAAAACAAGATATTCTATAAAATCACAGGCTAAATGAGTCTACGAATGGAATAAATGGCGCAGAGGCGGTGCTGTATGCAATGCAGACAGATCTCCTCGTGACGCTAACACCCCTCGCTACCTTATCCACTGGGGGTCCCCCAATGTTATCAATTAAAAACAAGGGAGGATTTGGGATTATCGTTCTAAGTACCCGGCCTAAGAAATCAGGGGTAAATTGACAACACTGCTTAGCGGCGCCTTAGCGATTTTCCCGATCAAATATCGCGAGGCCTCCTTTTAAATTATGAGCCCCCCTTTCTCACTCACAATTCCAGCTTCTTCCATCTTTTTACACACATTTCTCAACCTCAATGAGTCCCTCCCTCGCTACGGAGACCACCAGATACAATGACTGCTCACCGTCAAGTGCGAGCGAAGATGAAGATGACTCGCCTGACCCGCTGAATCACCATGGAATCGATTTCAGTATACGAGGTGCGCGCATAGCCCCTTTTTTTAAACGAGATTTTTCTTTATCGGAAATGACGGAGAACTGATTGTGAAAAAGATACCATGAAGCGAGCGCTTCGTGCATCATCGCGTTTAGGAGATGGAGTTCGATACCAACAGCTTGGAATTTCGAATTCAAATGATTTAGAGACTCAGTCACCGCCTCTTGATCGCACCCAGTTCGACTTTAGCAGCCACCATGAAGGAGTTTCATTTTTCGGTCAAATTCGATCAACGGTCGTTGCATCGAAACTCAACTGGTTGCTAGTTTTTGTACCGATTGGTCTGGCGGCGCATTCCTTTGAGATTAATCCTCTTGCTATTTTCATGACGAATGCGATTGCTATCGTGCCGCTTTCTGTCATGTTGACGGAGGCGACGGAGCGTATTGCTGCTGATGCGGGAGATACCATCGGTGCGCTTTTGAACATTACGCTTGGAAACCTTGTTGAGTTGATCATCTTGTGAGTTTTTCTGTGAGATTATGACAGAGTTTTTGCTAATGTGATGCAGGGTGTGAGTTGAGATGAGATTGAGTCTCAGTCAGAACTAACTTTGTTAGGGTTGCGCTGGTGAATAATCATATTCGCATCGTTCAAGCATCCATTCTAGGTAGTGTTCTTGTGAACCTGCTTCTCATCTTGGGCTCCGCGCTTTTTGCGAGTAGCATGTCCAACATCGACCCTCACAGCAGCATGGAAGAGTCAGAGCTCCTGGCCGCTCTCCTCTTCGTCTCAGTTTTTGTCATCCTCATGCCCGTAAGTTTACTCATTCTCTCACTCATACAAACCACTGACTTGATAAGACGGCATTTGACTATACTTTCCATATGAAAGGAAAGAAGAGCGAAGCTGCGTTGAGCATGAGCCGCGCATCGTCTCTTGTAGTCCTCGTCATCTACATCGTCTATTTCGCGTATGAGATGAGGCCCAAGCATGTCGAAGCACCAGCAATTCCATTACAATCACTGCATACAGAGCATCATCAACATCGACGAAATCAAAACTCCACGTCTCACAGTGCAAGACTCATTAGGTTTGCAGACCAGGAAGTGCCAACGCGTGCGAGGAGCACGACTCTTGATACACTTAGCGTAGCTGAAGCTGAGGAAGAACGTGGGAAGAGGGAGACGTCTCGGGCTAGTTTGTCGCATCGGTCGAGAGGGAACTCACGATCGCACTCACGTTCTGGTTCAAGGACTGAGTTTCATGGATCGGAGATTCGAGATCTTTCGGTTGGGAGTGTTCAGTCAAGAACTATTCTCGAGCGACCTGATGTATCGGGTCATCCATCGCATCCTTCCAGTACTAGTGGTACTGTAGCTGCTGTTACAGTTCTGTTTGTCTCATCGGCACTCATGTCGATGAACGCCGAGTTTCTCGTCAAGACGATTGATGATGTCACCCATGAAGGCGGTCTATCAGAAGCTTTAATCGGCCTTATTATTCTTCCTGTGGTCGGAAACATCGCCGAGTACGTGACCGTCGTCACTGTCGCTATGAGGAATAAGCTCGAGCTTGCCATTTCCGTTGCCGTCGGATCAGCTATTCAGATCGCGCTTTGTGTCGCACCATTGACGGTGTTGATAGCCTGGATGCTAGGTCGGGATCTCGAGATGGCGTTCAATGTCTTCGAAACTACGACATTAGTTGGATCGGGTCTGTTGATCAACCTACTGATCCTTAGTCGTGCGGGTACTGCCATCAGAGCTATTGGCTTGAAAGGAGCTCTGATGTTTGCCTGCTATGTCATCATCGCGTAAGCTATCTTTAATCCCTGGGAGGGAACCTGCTAACAGATTGTAGTCTTGGTGCGTACTATGAGCCTCATGGGAAGACAAAATGAAAGGGAGCGGGGAGAAAGCAAAATGTGATTATGATAATATCAAGACTTAGATTCATCCGGAATATAATTTCACTTCAATCCTTTGATTACATCTCCTCATGAAAATGACATGCGACTAACTCAAGGATTAAGACGAGTTTTCATCCCTGGTCTTTTGCAGATAACACGTCTGTCTACCTTACAAGATAAGACACCATACCGATGGTGTAAAGGAATCTCATGCCTTTGCCAGACCATTGCACTGTCGAGACCTCAACCCTCGCCATGGAGGCCTAGGTAGCTCCATAATCCTTCTTATCATGCCGATACTGAAACCCATTCCTTGCGCCATGTAGGTCGAAGTTTGAATATCAATCAGAAACCTTTCCAGAGATTGGTTATACTTCTCCTTTGAGAAGACCATGCTACCATCATTATACAAGTGAAATGCAGTCACAACTGTGACGCCCTTGCAGATTTGCCCAGACACGAATGTTGGGATCTCTTTCCGAGATATGTGGTCGACCACTGGGATGAAGAGTTAGCAATTCTACAGCCCGGTAACTGATTTTCTTCTTACTTGATAAGTACTCTATCCGCCTTATATAGCTCAGGGTTTCTGAAGAGGAGATAGTAGATTCGAGAGTTACAAGAGCGTATAGGCTTGCGGCCTCGCCAGATGATGTGCAGAAAAGCACGATCAGTGGAGAAGGGATGAAGAAGCATTTTGAAAAGACAGGAGAATTGCACTGACAAGCTTGCCTTTGAGGTGTTTTTATGCTTCAATAAGTTAGTTGGGACAATGGAGAATATGCTTGTACATTGTTCTTTGACTAACCAATCAGAAAGCTGTTAGAAGACAAAGAAAGGAATCAGAAACACTCCAGCCAAGTTTAACAAGTCCAACAAAGCTTTGGCAGTTCAGCCACCTAGAGTCGGGATTACCTCTTCCATTGTAAGAATTTCATGTCATTTTAGCCAAAGCTTTGGTATTCTAGTCCTAAGCCCTATGGCAACCTTTGTAAGTAACTTACTGGTTATATGCAACTTACATAATGATCAAGATGTGTTAGCCTCTTTCACCTGTGCTGTCTTGTATTGGCTGTGACTTATGAGGCGTTAAACAACAATCAACTTGAGCTGTGAACAAACCCCGCCCCACTTTTGCTTATTGACGCCACTTTCGCTCACTCTCGCGCTCGCTCTCGTCATCAGCAAACCAACACAAGACAACGCTTCACATGTCATGTCGCATGATATGGCGCTCCCTAAGAGTATTGCCAAGTTTTCTTAGGTCTCTCACCCTACGCGAGTCCCGAGGTTATGATCAGGCCCAGCCCTTCATGGCACTGTACCACCAACCATGGGCGCCGTCTGCCATACCTGCAGCACGCCTTGAGCTTACATGCCCTATCGAAGAAGAAAAGACACCAAATTACAGCCCAGAGCGCTTCTACCCCATTCGGTTGGGGCAACTTCTGAATGGAAGATATCAGGTAGCGACTAAGCTGGGCTACGGCGCCAATTCGACCGTCTGGCTTGCTCGAGATCTGAACCGGTACGAAGTTCACATCAGTGATTCATGGAAAAGAAGAGAAGAGCCACTGACCGAAGTATTCAAGGTGGCGCTGGTCCGCAGAGAAGTACGTCGCTATCAAAGTCAACGCAACCAAGAGTTTACACAGACGAGCCTTAGCAGAAAATGAAATCGATATCCTCCGGCGCGTAACTCGAACAAACCCAAAGCACCATGGATGGCACTTCATTCGAAAACTTACCGACACTTTTACTCTGGAGAGCCCATATGGTCGCCATCCTTGCCTCGTCTCGGACGCTTTGCGTGAGCCTCTTCGGCTATATTGCTCCAGATATATTGGGGGTGTCATCCCTCCAGACATCTTGAAGGTTCTCCTCCAGATGATACTTCTGGCGCTTGACTATCTGCATACAGAGTGCCACATCATCCATGCTGGTAAGTGAACTAACTCGCACTCATGTCTACGATACTCATCAAGCTTACTGCAGATCTCAAGCCCGACAACATCATGATAAGAATCGAAGACGCCAAGATGTTTGAAAAGGACGCAATTGAAGAGTACAACAACCCCTTGCCGGAGAAGCAACTAGACGACCGAACCATTTACTTATCGCGAAACAACTATGGACCGCTTGCTCGACCAACGGGGATCATACAGCTCGTGGGCTTTGATCTCGCGGTTCATTCCAAGCCAGCGGAGTTGCACTATGGTGCGATTCAAGGAGAGATGTACCGAGCACCAGAAGTCATCCTCAACTCTGGGTACAGCTACTCTACGGATATTTGGAGTGTTGGAGTGATGGTAAGGATTTCGCTCCCATGTCATGCGAAAGAATCAGTAACTGATCATGCGACTGATAGCTTTGGGACTTGCTTGAAAAGAAAAGTCTCTTCGACCCTGTGACTCCAGGGGACGTAAAGGAATACGACGACTTGTCCCATTTAGGACAGATCACCGCCCTACTAGGCCCTGTACCACAAGATCTTCTGACTAAAGGGAGAAGATGGTCTTTGTTTTACCAGGAGAACGGTATGTATTTGTCCCTGATGGCTTGTCAGAGCAATGATTACTGATGCATGACCAGGAGAGTTGAAGGACCCGAGCCGTATACCCAGCAATTTCAACCTCGCCAACACGCTAACATGCATGGCTGGCGAAGAGAGGCAACGATTCATCCAGTTTGTCAAGAGAATGATGACCTGGCGCCCTGAAGAACGCAGCACAGCCAAAGAGCTTCTCAATGGTCCATGGCTCTACAACGACTTTCCTCAAGACTAGACAACACAGTTGCAACAATGGAATCACAGAGGCATTCGATGTGTACATCATTCCGTTCGTTTATCATTGGAAGAGTGTCTACCGCTAACATATAGCTGCTCTCTGTCCTTTATGTACTTTACTCTCATCATCCTCATACCGCCTTCTGCTCGACGGCACAACAGCTGATGGATGCACTCCCCCCATGGAAGTGGGTATTCCCATGTATGCTGGAATATCCTCGCTGAGTTCCGGAAAGTGCTGGAAGAAGTCCGTCGACATGGTCCAGGCGTTGATGTCGCGGATGCGCTGCTCGAAAAGTGGCGATATGTGGTATTTTCCCGTGTGCGCGTTGTGGTAAAAAGTGTCCTGGAAACTGTCCGTCCAGAGGATTTTTAAATTGCTTTGGAGAAGCTCCCAGAAGGAGTTGTTGCAGTATTGGTGCTGTGAGAAAATGAGGCGTTCGCGGAGACCGGGCCTGGAGGAGGGGTAAGTTTCTGTGGTGGTGGTGGATTGAATTGGATTGAACTTACCAGACGAAAAAGTCAATGCCGTACGAGTGTGGTAGTGCTTGCGACGGTCTGTTAATCTGTTAGTTCTAGTTCATTCGCGTGGAAATTTGGCTGGTCGCACCTATTCCAGTACCATCGCGGTAAAGTCGCGCGCCTCTCCATGGTAGGATCACCATGATACGTGATCAAAAGATGACATATCCTCATCGCAGCCAAACGCTCTGTGTTCGCACAATTTGTGAAACAGAGCTCATCAACCCTGCGCAACTTACGCCACGTCGGCGTCATTTTCCCCGCCCGTTCAATGCTATCCCAGCCCTCAATCATCGCGCGCACCGGTATATCCTCCGCGTTATACTCCTCGATCGCCATCTCTTCAGCGGATAGCTTTGTCGGCTTGACGAGCACTTCGTTTATCGTGCGCCAGATGTTGGGCTTCACGTCGTGGTAGCCTGACGGGCAGTTGGTCGGGCTGGAGCAGTGGCAGAGCACGGGGGCTTTGGGGATGATGACGTCGACCTCTTCGGGTGTTGGGGGCAGGCTTGGGAGGAGAGGCTGGATGGGGATGAAGCCGTTGCCGGCGGGCGGGAGGATCGAGCTGTCGAAGGCCATTGTGGTAGGGTAGTGCTCGGTCGTCACGGCGTAGTTCCAGCCGTCGTAGGTGAAGGGGTCGTGCGGGGGAGGGTGGTTTATGGGGAGTTCTAGTATTGTAGAGTTGCTTGTCTCTGATGCTGCTCTCTGGGTCATGATTGGGACTATTCGTTCGTTTGGTGTTGATTGTGATTGCGATTGCGCTGGTCCAGCATAAGCCGGCGACTCGGATTTTGTCTCTGATCGTGGCTCGCTCATGGTAGTGGCGTTTGTGGTATCGCCAATGTGCCGACGGATCGTCGAGCCTAAAGAATCGAGAACCTGTAATAAATTGTCCCTCTCCTTGGTGACCTTGCCTAATTGGTCCATCAAGGTAGCTATTTGCGCGTTAGAGTCGTCCTGTCGAAGGTTGTCGACCATGCTCTCCAATTGAGCGATGCGACTCTTTGTTCTCTCTCGCGCCAGGCGCTGGGCCTTGCGATCGAGCTCCCGCTTCTTGAGCCGGCGGGCTTCGGCTGTTGAGGTCTGGGTTTCATTGTACATGATGATCGCCTTCAGGGATGGGAAGAGACAAAGGATGGAAAAGAGGCGACCGGACCAACAGGTAGACTTATATCTGTTGGAGGGGGAGCTAGTCTACCTTACATCCCAGAAGAGGGAGGATGAGATGGAGAGAGAGGGAGGGGTTCGTGAATGTGAATCTGGGGAAGCGGATCAAGGGCTTTTGATCGATTCACGCTACCCTCCAAGTCATTTAGTTTAGGTACCGATGAACGGTATGGTATGGTATAGCACCTTACCCAGCAGCCAGGCCAGGAGCCCCCGGGCACTCTGTTTGGGCATGCCAGGGAAACAAACTTCAGCGCTAAAAATGCCACAATGGAGCTGAAAGGGATAACACCGAAATTTTGGTAGATGATGTAATCAAGCAATAAGCAGGAACTAAACCCTCAACGGCTAATCCCGATTTGCTCGGCACTGGGATTAGGGTGCTCATTCGTGGCGTTGCCCAGTGGCTCTCCGTTCAGCTCTAGTCTGCGGCCACATGTCTCTCTCGGGTTTCCGGTTCCTAAGAACCAAGGCAAGGCCCGTAGGATCTCCACGGGGCGCAACGTTTCGCTTGGACGAATGACTCGCAAACCAGTCCCGATTCACGTCTCAAAGTAACCTCACCTGCTATCGAGATAAGATCCTAGCTGTAACTCAGCACGCTTGGATCTTGGAAGGGGAAGGGGTAAATGTGTTAATCATGCATGCAAGATTAGCGATTCAGGTTTTTGGATGTTTGGATGTTATAGGAATACGACGGTTATTGATCCCATTGACTGATACTTGGCAGGGATCTCAGCTTTGCAGGAGTCTAAGTCTAGAGCCAGATATCATTCCCTTCCATATTGGGATGATCAATTCTGATTAAACGTTAGATCAATGAATGGGATGAGACGGGATGTCACAAGGCGTGGCGTGGAATGTCAGTTTGGCGTTCGTTGCGCGTACAGCACAAAACGGGTGCCCCCAAGCCAGCTAAGTGAGGTACATGATCACTGATGGATGGAATTCTAGACAAATACCATACTAAAGTTATAATGGTATTCTCCTGGTCTCATTAAAACGTCATTCCTACGTCAACTCGGAAATGTCTCAAATGATCATTGACAATGTCTCTCAAAGTAATTTAATCATCATCGAAAAAATGGCTGAACCATACTTACCCCAAATACCTGGTCTGCCGCACTGGAAGTGAACCCCAAAACCACAAAAGCAAGCCACTTGCTCTAAGATCGTTCCCTTACACGAACTAGCGCGTCGATGCCGTGGACGGTCTAGGCCCTTAGAGTCGGAGCAAGAGCCGCAGCGGATCCCTCTGTAACTGGACCAGAGCCCACTCAATTGACTAACCATCCGTGGGTGGCTATCAAATACCCGGCGGCGCATTAGCTACTAACTCATCAGGCCCCAACGGAACTTCCGAGTAAACTTTTTTCACAGCACACCACCAGAGATGAAACAGGAATTAGATAGGGCTGATCATGGAATTGTTCGGGAAATGAATGTGAGGAATTAACATTTCTCTCCAGGGATCGTTGAGTAGGTATTTCCGTGACAGCTGAACTCCAAGACACTTTCCCGTGGTGATCGACACTGCTAGTATTCTGAAAGCTGAACCTAACGCCAAGGACCCATGTCGGATGCAATAACTCGATTGGGAGCCAACTAGGTTTGCGAAGCCCACCCCGACCTGCTACGGAACAAGGACCAACTCCCGTTCATTCAATAGATGTCTATCGAGATGTCACCAAATTCCACTTCCTCCTAGGGAGATCGTCGCCCTCAACTTCTGTAGCAGTCCAGCGCCCCCTTTTTACTCTTCCTTCAGACCGACTTTGCCGGCTTTACGCAGCCCGACTCCTCCAATGAGAGCGCAGAGAACCATGAATGAGAACATGGTCCAGAAACTCGCCTTGTAGCCCTGAAGAAGAGCATCAGCTGGCTTCGATCCTGCATGTTGCTTGCTGACAAGGGTAGAGACAACCTGCATCACGGCTAAACCCATGGCATTTCCGAACTGCGACGCTGCGTTGAACACTGACCCGGCCACCGCCTGTTTATCCTCGGGGAACGTTTCAGTGACGACTATCAGACCCACTGTGAAGAGAACATCTATAGAGAACGGCATGAGAACCTGTGCGAAGAATGCAGCTGTCCAGTACGTCCACGCAGGGTCGATGAGTGCCATGAGCAGAGGCGAGATTGCTGTGAGGACAGATGTGATAACAACGAGCCATATAGCAGGGATCTTGTGGACAACAAGACCTGTTGTGAAGTTGAGGGTTACGCCCACTACGACGCTAGGTAAGATGCGAATAGCTGCATTGAGAGCTGACAGGTGCTGGACCTCTTGGAAGCTAGGGGCAAAGATTTAACAACGTGGGGTACATCATGAACTGTCGTTCGGGTTCAAGACTTACAATAGACTCGCGAATAGCTCTAGAGAGTTTATGACAGCGTTGGATAAGGCTATGGTCACGCAGATCGTGGTGAAAGAGTGGTTCCGCCAGAACGAATTCGGTATCAAGGCCGGTAGACCCCTTTTCACCTGAAGATGCATCCAGCCGACAAAGAGCGGCAGTGCAACGAGACTCAGGCTTAAAAGAACAATGCTGCTCGCCTCTTTGATCCGGTAAACATCTGTACTGATGACGCTACAAGGTCGTCAGTTATAGCACAACGTTGAAATAAGACACGGGTGACGGTGGCTTACGCTAGGAAGTATGACAGCAGTGCCATAAAAGCTGAAGCAAGAAGAGTGCCGAGCCAATCAATTTTTGTCGCAACGCTCTGCATCACATCCCGCAACGTTCCAAGCGGCTCAGACTTTGGCAAAGACCAGAAGCCCACCGCGGACAAGACAAGATTGATGCCACCGTAGAGAAACCAGCCTGATCTCCAACCAATAGTCTCAACGAGCACTCCACCGAGCACGAGCCCAAACGAGAAGCCAAGCGGTTGGCTCAACCCCAGACACGCAAACGCCAGATTCCTCCCCCGTCCCCGCGCCAGCGTCCTCGTGACAAGGGCAACAGAGCTCGAGAGATGCAGAGCAAGCGCAACGCCCTGCAGGGCCCTTAGCGCAACTAGCTCCTCACCAGCGCGGACGAATCCGCAGGCCAGCATGAGCGCGCCGCTGAGGATGCATCCCGCAAGATCGACAGATCGGGCGCCTAGCACGTCTGCGAGGGCACCCGCGAGGAGTAGGGTTGAGGCTGTCGCGAGGCCCTGCACGGAGGAGGGCCAGAAGGCGAGGGATGGGGGTAGGGAGAGGTCGGAGGACATTTGGGGGAGACCCACGACTACGAGGCCATTTGTAGCGCTGGCTGCAAAGTTGACGCCAGACAGTTGGAATGTCACTGCTATTTTCTGTAGACGAGACGCAGAAGCTGCTGGGGTGCTGTTGGTGTTGAGTGGAGATTCCACGTAAGTTTGTGCCTCGGCAGTTGAGGGCAGCATATCCTCGAGGAGTGTTTCTGTCTGAGTAGCCATTTTGTCTCTCTTCGGCAGTTAAAAATATGTGATGCTCTAAATTCCAGATAATTCAATAGTTGTAGTATTTTATCTATGAGACATAAGCAAAGATGTAAAACGTCAGTCTCAAGGGCGTGTAGAATTGGCGCCCTTTTGATGTGGGGAATGTCATGCAAGGGAGGACTCGTAGAGCCTTTTTGTACTCGAGGCGATGGGATCCAGGGCCCCGGAGTCAGCGCTAACGTGGCTTGGGAATGACAGCTTAGTCTAACCCACTTTAAACGAGACCGAGTGCTTCGTATCCTCAATCTTGTAGTGGTTGCGCTTTTAGTCACAGATCGAGATAGTCTCCTACTAGAGACGAGATCTTTGCACCATCTATTTCACTAGCAAGCAATCTGTGACCCCTAGGTGGAGGAATGATAAACAAAGCTATACTGGAATTGCGATACTAAATCTGATTGCGCGAGATAAGACACTTTAGGATCTGAATCCACCCTACGGATAGAGATCCTTCCGAAAAGATGCTCCGCCTAGCATCTTGATGAATCGATCGCGCTCAACTTGATTTGGCCGATGCCACCATTTATCCGCGTCTACCTTGGAGAACCCCTGATCTTCCCATTTCTTCAGCTGCTTGGAATCGATCTGGTGCTAAGGGACCCCGAGATCCTTGGAGACCTGATCTTTGATCTGATCCATGACCTACGTACTGCCCTCTTCACCTTCAGGACCCTTCCCATCGACAAAGAAGATATCGTACATTTTCTTTCTCTCCTCTTCTGCTTTCTTGAGATGGCGCTCCATGCCATTGACCATGGACTTCTTGTTGTAAGCCACTGGCTTCATCCGCTTTGCAACTTTCTCATAGTCAGGTTGAACGCCCGCGCTATCGTAGGTCGGGGACCCATATGGACCTTACGGTGACATCGATGTAGATCGTAGAAAGAATACAACGGGTCTGTATGCTTGTCTCTAGGGTTGGGGATGTGGAACTTTGATAGGAACTCCTCACTGAGTTCGCGCTCCTCATACCGGGGACGCTTGACGCGACCCGGCGTTGCTCGCGGATCCCGAATCTGAGAGTGGTCGAAGTCGAACTCGAGCTCTTTCTCTGTAAGCGTTGGCTATGGTCCATCTGGCGTAGAGGGGCGAGTATTAGACGTCTTGGCCTGTTTGGTCTTCGTCTCCGGCGCAGAGTCCGTCTTGCTCGACTGTCTCTTGCGACCTCGCGAGGTGGCGTTATCCTCGTGAGTGTCGGTTCCGCTCCTAGTTCTCATTGTAATCTGAACACAGATAGTCTTGGTATGAAAGGCAATTGAGAAGATAGGTTGGTAGCTGAGCTAATTAACTAGTTTAAATAAGTTTAAGGTAGGGAGTAGTTAGTTGCGTTTAAGGCTCTGGGAAGATGAACGACATTATCGCGTATGGAAAAAGGCATGGTCACGTGACATGACCAATCGCACTGGTGTTAGAGCTACAGCTTTAGGCGCGTTTTCCATCACAACTCCACCATTTTAAGCCGCAATAACATAGAAAGGCATTCTTTTTAATGCAAAAACAAATTTAAACACTTTTTATTAACTAAAACTGTAAAAAATGCAAAATTAACCCCTTCGGGGACTCGAACCCCGAGTCTTCTGATTAGAAGTCAGACGCGTTAACCATTACGCCAAAGGGGCGCTTATCTTGTAATCCTTGTATACCAAGATCGTATTAGATTCTATGTCAATGAAAATGATTTCAATTTCATAATCCCATATTGCATTTTATAACATTAATTATCATAAAGTGTAATTCGAGAGACAATCAAGAGACATATGGCCTTTTTAAACAAGACTGGGAATCCTTCCTATACTTTACCTAAATACGTAAACCTTCATCCTTCATCCTCGTCCTCTTCCTCATCGCCATCATCACCTTCGCGATCCAGTCCCAGCAGATCATCTGTAAATCCTCCTCCAACAATACCACCAAAGGCACTGTTCTTAATTGCTTTTACTTGGGAAACATCCAAGTATCGTCTTGGAGTCAGCACGATATCCTCATCCTCTTTGCCTTCGTCAATACGATCCACTAAGGTATTCGCTCTACACACAGCACTATATCCATGGAAAAATGCGTAAGCTTTGACTTCTTGGTAAGTATTATCATCTTTATAGACAACCAAGAAGGCCAAACGAGTGGCAGGGTCTTTAGGTAATGCGTATGTCGCGTAGTGATTTGGGTGTGTGTTATTGGGGGGACTGATCTCGATCCAGACGTCAACCACGCTATCCTTGACTTCGAGATCAATGTCAAACAGGACTCGGCAATTCCCAACGCTGATTCGACGATGTTTGTATCGCGTAGACTCGGGCAATATGTACCTGTACGGGGTGACTTTGTAGCGCTCCCCCTCCTTCTTCCAATTTGAAACACCGCTGCATCGTTGCTGGCCTGAGAGAGTATTCCATCGGTTCTCGGCTTTGAATATGTCAGCCAACGGATAATTGTCACCATTGGTGATGCTGGCGATTATGGCTGGGTCAACAGTTGCTGCTAGATCCTTCATATCCGGTTCCTCAGATAGTGAACTCTGCAATTCCGAGGAACAATCTATGATGGCTGTAGGCTCGTCCTCATCGTTCTCTTCACCATGATGATCGTTCGAAATCACCTCCGTATCGGTGGCATCTAAGGTACAACTCTTCAAGACTTCCTTGTCACTGAGTGCGGCGAGCTTAGAATAAAACGCCCTAGCTAGGGGATACATTTCGGGGTCGAAAGGCTCATGCACGCGAACTTCCTGCTTTCCTAGTTTCAAACGAAGTCGACGCCAAAACGAATTGTGTCGAATCTTGCCCTCTCTTGCAAGCTTTGCTCGGCCATGTAAAACCACCAACAGGCCGCGGCTGAGAGTTCCAGATAGCTTCTCAAGCTGTGAGATGTCATCGAGACCTCTGAAACCTCGGTGTAAAAGCCAAAACTTTACCCCTTCAGGGATAGTTTGGGTAGTCATAGGTGTAGCTGTACCGAGTCTCTCGGCCTTGATTTGGCACAGGATGTATTGTATCACGGTACTCGTTTCAAGGAATGCTGTACGTGAACTTTCCACTCCTGTCATCTTTGCGGCAAAGCGCAGTGCCTCTCCAATCTTGGAATTGTGGTGATATGGTACTGCAGAAGGGCGTGAAGGCAATTCTGGACACCGAATGAAGAGTCTTGGGTAGTTGTTGTCAAAATATAAGGTAAAGTTATATCGCAGCTGGAGTTCTGACTTTATCAGGTTCTGAAATTCTCTGCGAATCGCTTGCTCGGCTCGAGGGCCGCACAACAAGACAATTTTGACATGACTCGCCTCCACGAGTGCACGATGCGATCCGTCGCCTGGTGAGTAAGGCGACAGACGCATGGGTCTGCTCTCTTCCAGGGTCGTAAAGGGCATAAAATTATACGTCCAAACAAGGATATCGGATGGATCAAATCCCGAGCCTCTGAGTTGCCACGGGATTTCATTATCTCGGTCGGGAATCTGATGTGAGGTCTCCGAATAATCCTCCGCTGCTGAAACTATTGAGTAGTCGAGCAATACCCCGATCTTTGCAGAAAGGCTGCCAGCAAACTTTGATGTCAGAGATGCGGTAGTGGCGTCGACATCCGGATGCTCATCCAATGCAAAGGAATCTGATAGAGCTTGGAAATAGTCTTCCCCAACCGCAGCGCGTAGGCAATCTTTATAGACCGGCAAACTCCTTCCAATCCCCTCATCTGGTAAGAATTGCTGCATCGTCTTGGCTTTTACCTCAGACCGAAATGACTCCTAGTAACGAATTTGCGGGTCTGAGGATGCCGCCATCTGAGATCTTGAGACTGCTTGAAGATAATCCCCCACGGCACTTGCCTGGGCAAGGGGTGTCATGACGTTCAGACCGTACCCTGAGGCAAGGCCATGTTCATTATCCCGCGTCGTGAGACATCCGTGATGAGTGGAGAAAGCTCTGCAAAGAACAGCCTCAAGAATGTTCCTTTGGGTTATATCTCCCATCATGTTAGAATCCCCTTCTCCGCGAGGGAACTCCCACAGCTTAATGAAATTGGCGGTACGGTTACCATTTCCCAGCCAGACGACAAAGTAATGGAGGCATGAGGTCTCTCCCCGTAACATCGATTGGCTATGCTGACTGAAAAGCCTTCGGCGTGCTTCAAGACTCTGGCCAACATACATTCGAATGTAGCCAGCATTTCGGCTATCTGTCACGTAGTCTAGGTACCCCATAGACGTCTCGCTCCAGTCATCGCCATCGTTGATTTGCAAGTCCTTGATTATGTCCAGGCGCTCCCGCGTGACCAGTTTGCCCTGAAGCTGTTTGATCTCAGGGCAAATAAACGATACGATATATACGGCAAGATCTTTTGAGCCAAGCTTAGTTTGAATAATATCCCTTTGGGACGAGGATGCCCCAGGAAGACGATTGCTCAGGATTTCGGCAATAACAGACCGACATAGTATGGTCAAATCGGGGAACAGCAGGTCTTCTTGCAAAACAACGGCCTAATTTTATTTTTCAAACAGTTAGTACATATTAAGTGAAGGTGAATAGCCATACCAGGAAGGAAATACCAACCTCCCTAACTTCACTTGGTACATCGAACCAAGCAAGCGAATTGTGACTCGGTGGAGTGAGCGTTATATTGTATGTGAGGCATACTTCGCGTGGCTGGAGCCGTAGAGACGATGTCTGATTCCGTGGAAGACGGCTATGCCCAAACCTGACAGGCTCTGCCCTGTTTCCATTAGGACAATGTTCGGTTTTATGGCCTTTAGCGCCACAGAACTTGCAAGGTGGTGCTAGCGGACATTCGTGGACGGTATGGCCTCGATTGTGGCAATAGCGACAATGGTCGCATTTGGTTCTGCCGCAGCCTGTAACTCGACAATACCGGTCTTCCAAGAAGATTGAACCCATGGCTAGAGGTTCAAGAAATGATGAACAAGGTAAAGTGGGGTGCATTTGAGGATTTGAGATGTACTTCTACCGGGAAATCTATGTTCCGGGGCAACTCATCTTGGCTTAATTCCCCCTCTTTATGTGTATCAAGCTTTCATGTATTTATTGCCAGCTCTAAGAAGTTTATTAAAGGGCTAGAAATAGTCAATATGTTGCTGTCATTCAAATAATTTTGCAATAATCTACAACGCATTTATGAACTTTACATTTTAGGTCTGCGTATTACAATTAACCGAACGCTTTTAATGCCATCTAAACCTCTTATGACAGTCATGATACTTCTAATTTCAAGAGATACCGACCTTCTTCAACTCTTATCAGCATGCAATTGGTATAAATGATTTGAATCGTCATTCAATTTGGAGTACAGGGTAAAATACATAATCCTTCTCAGCTTTTCCTCCATGGATCAATGCTAAACCGTCATGGTATGATCAATACTCGCATTTGAACCCAAGTTGTATTGCGATCATACAAAGCAGCCATTATTTCTCATGCAAGCCCAGCTAGCCTGGCATATCAAGTCTCTTTGTGAGTAAGTACATTGTCTGTATGCACCGAACTATCACCAACCCGTCGCTGCCTCAGATTCCCAGCCTCATCATGCTCTGCATCCCATTTCTCAATCTCAACAAGAGGAACTCTGACCAAGCGATGCGTGTTGGCGCCATTTGTGTCAACTTCCAGAACTTCCGGCCGAATTACATAACCCTTCCATTTGGGAATGATGTAAATCCAGAAGACATAGTAGACACCACAAAGAATCATGCTGAAAAAGTTGTACTGTCAGCGGGTGGTCCAAACGATGGCCAGAAGGGAGGGGAACATACATTGCAATGCCGACTACGCAGTAAGTTGCATACCAGAAACTTACGTCGCCAGCGTAGGGGCCGCCCTTGGGAGGGTACCATGGCATGACGATGATGAAGATCTGAATGAGAATGAAAAATATGGCAAAGACATCCCAGGCCTTGAACTCTGGTGGTCCTCTTCCGACGCGCTTGTTGTGACGTCGGACGATGTAGAGGCCAATACTCATGGCTAAAAAGAAAAGGCCTTCGGGGTAGGTCTTGAGACTCACGACTGGCTTACGGTCAGCAAAGTTAACAAAAGAAGGTTGTGATATGGGAAGATTACCAAACTGGAATGCATCACCAGCAGGAGGGGCTACGATCATGATGAACGTCATAGCCCATTTCAGTAGATAGGGTCCGATGGGTGTTCCGAAGGGCTTTGTTGATACCCAGAAGGTAGTGAAGGGCAAGACTCCTTGGCTGCCTCTCGAATCAGTAAACGAAGAGATGTTACGTAAATATAGTAACTGACCGTCCGATCTCACGGATCATTCGTGAAGCGCCAATCAGTGTAGCAAGAAGGTTACCGTACGCACTGAGCAGCACAAGAACGTTCAGAGCTGTCACAGCACCACTGGTACCAAACACAGTGGTGAAGAAGACCGCTGCAGCGATCTCGTTGGACTCTGCAAACTCTTTCTTAGGGACTAGATACTCGCATCAGTACATCAAGTCGTAAAGCTGAAAGCACCTGATAGCTCACCAGCAGAGAAATACGCGACGTTGCATAGCATGTATAGAACCGCAACGAGAAGGACAGAAATAAAGCCGTACTTCTTGATTGTAGGGATCGGTCTCTTGACTTCGTTGACTACGTTGAAGGCGTTGGCGTAGCCAGTGTATGAGAAGACGATATTGACCAAGGCTGTTGAAAGGTCGTTTCCGTTGTCGGTTGTGCCCTCGAAGGCGTTGCGGAAGTTAGCGTTTGGATCTGGGATTCGAGAAACGTTGCCACCGAGGACCACGAAACCAGTGATTGAAATGCTGGAAAAGTTAGACTGAGAAGGTTTATGAGGCGTTGAACTGACAAAATGAGAGTGATGATCTTGAAGAAGCCCAAGACGTTGACAGCCCAAAGGGAGTATTTATTGTGAGCGATAACACCTGAGCTTATGTTAGTGAGCTCATTCATTCAAGTCAAGGAGGGACTAACAGATCACAGCAAGAGTGTACGCAGCGATGGCCACGCCCTTCATCTCCCAATCACTAGGAGTCTTTCCAGCGATTCTCCAGAGATATCGAGACAGTACTACACAGCCAGTCAGTACCTTACAGCCGGGACACTACTGACGACTAACCAATCGCGTTGCTGCTGCTGAAAGACAAGACAACTGATTGCACTGCATAAGCAATCGGAAAGAAATGCTTCGGTCGGGGGTAAGCTTGTTCGAGGTATACGACTTCGGCTCCAGATCGACTTGGGAAATAACTAGCAAACTCAAGATACACGCAGAATCCGGCAATAGCCATGATGAAGCCGATGAACCAGTAGATCAGAGCGAGACCTATTGATCCTGTGGAGTTGAGAATGCTGCCAGCTACACTAGAGTTAGCACGCCGGTAATCGGTTGGAAAAAGCGAATGAAGGCATCGTACGTACGTGTTGAGAAGATACCAGTACCAATCATCTGATTGACATTTAGGAAGATGATAGTTAACCATCCAACATGATAGCCTAACGGAGAATTAGTCTCGACGGGCGCGCCGATGGCCTCCTGATACGAGGGCTTCGCATCATTTCCGCCCTGCACACGCGTAAAAGCAAGGTTTCCATCGCGAAGAAGAGCGGGATCAGAGCTATCAGACGTATAGTTATGATCCGCATCGATAACAACTGGTTTAGCCTCTGGCTGAGGACGCCAGCTCGATAAAGAGAAGCCCATGGCGGGACAACAAGGGATGTAATTCTCAAAATGGAGATGCTATAAAACAGCACGAGCAAAGTGCAGTGCAACCTCACATCTTTAAACAATTCCTCTTGTTAGTAGCTATCGGGATATTTCAAGATACAAGAATGTCGATCCCTTCGTCCCCGGTTCCATGTAGATTGGCTCTCGATTGCGTGACGCTAATGACCTTCCAGACTGGTGAGAGCACGCCATAGGCCAAGGCATTGACGCCAAATTCAGTGTTACGCTGACAGGGACCAAGAGCATCAAAGAAGGGCCTTTTGGCAAGCCAAGACACTAAATAAAGCATTTGTAACGTTGATTCGGAGGTTTCAATCAAATGACAAGCCGTAGGAATACGGTCTAAGTCTTCAACAGGAAGTTGTTAAGCCCATGACCAAGATTCGTCTGCATCAGCGCCCGTAGCTTGCATTTTGTTTTTGGCTAAATTGATCACTGCATGGTCTTTAAATTAAGCATAATGTTAGTCATTGGCTGACTGTGCCCCGGGTCTCAACAATCCTGTTTCCAGTCGTGCTACGCTGGGTCCTGGTCTAAGGCTACCTGATTTATGGAAGAGAAGGGGCGTGCTACAAGCGATTTATAACAACGAAACATAAGAACAAATGGTTCGATTGACGTTGAGACACAACGTCTGATAAATGACAGATAAAACATGGCGTAGTTAAGCTTCTTAGCTGTAACTTGGGAGTAAATGTACAGGGCGGATAACCTGACGACTGCATTCTGAGTGAGTGAACTATTTTTTTATTTTATTTTTTGTTTCTCTTTTAGCTACTCTTGTCACTAGTAAACTCAAAGCGTTCCTGCAACATAGGATTCCATAGCCCCAAATCTATTTAATTATACTTATTAAAAGACGGTGATAGCGTGAACGGCAGTAACGAAACTACAGCTGCAATTACAACTGTTCGAATTGGTCTGTTCAGTGATGAATCGAAAGCTGGTAGTGATCCGGCAAGCGTGTGCAGAATTCCAGCTTTTCGAGCCCGTCCTGATCCACAAGCACAGAACTTGATATCCAAGAGAGCGAATACAAGTTCAAGAAGCCTGATCCTTGATTTGGTATCACTGAATATGCTTTGTACAATGCCACAGAACTATGCTTTCACCCCAATTCTTGCAGTCCGGATCTGGTATCATTGTCTGAAGGGAAGTGCTGCAAAGTGAACAACTCGAGAAGTTCTTCGGCTATCTGGGGATGAGATCGAGGTTTATTGCTCAAACATTTCGAAAGTTATCTGAGTATCTCGGTTCTTTCATACGACTCCATCATGAACAAGAATTCGTGTAAGTGCATGACCTATATACCTAGTACTCAAAGGTCATCCCACCCAAGTAGACCAGAGTAGCATGAAAAATGATGGGCGTCACCATGGTCTCTAACGGCGAAATCGTAAACTCGTTGTCGAAGTCGATCTGCAAAATAGAGAGAAGACTTTTGATAGTCCCCCTCATGCATTGGCTTTAAATATTGCCAATGATCTAAGCACTCTTCCCCCTGCTCGAGGTTGACTTTGAGAAACTTTCTGTCGTTGGTATAGAATGGTTTAGAGAGATGCGGAGATGTGAAGCCGCTTTTAACGCTGTCCTTTTGAGAGGGGGATCCCTTTCGCCTTTTCAGGTTGTGATCGATCAGCCATATACCAAGAATTACCCATTCTTCAGCAAGCTCGAACAGTTTATGAAAAGCGAGAGAAATCGAGTCGTCATCTTCATCTTCATCTTCGTCTTGCTCATAAGGTTCAATGGCCCATTTCTGGTTGTACTCGATGCCTATGTTGAAACCTCTCTGATGAAGGAACAGATCGCCGAGAAAGTCCCAGTTGAAGTTAATCATGCCATCAAACTGCAAGATAATGAGGTCCGTCTGAAGATAAATCGTGATATGTAACGGGGCACCGCCTGAGAAGTAATAACCAGTCCTTGATCGGGGGAAGCCCATCCTAGACGTGTCGTTTGTCTCAAAAACCCTTTTCATTAGAGATCTGGATTCTTGGCAGACAGTCAATAGTGACGAATCAATCAGATATGTGGATATATTGTGATCGCTTGTGCCGTCGATGCCTTCAGGATTTTTTTTCCATAGTGGAAGTGCAAGGCGATGCAGGCAAGGTGGCATGCTCTCATATCTGTATGCATAGCCGCGACCTGTTGAAATCCCAATTACATCTTCCGTGTGTCCAGAACTGTCGAGTTCCGGATGATACACTCGGAATGTTTGAACACCTGGCTTGTCTGGGCGCATCGCCATCTTCCAAATGTCTTCCCGAAGCTCCAGTGGGAGCTGTGAAAAGAGGTGGAATGTGCGTTCCTCCATGATCTTCAATCCTGGTTGTGAAGGTTGCTTTGAAGGAGGAGTGCTGGAGAGAACAATCGAGCGAATGTTGGTAAGAGAATAATCATATCACGGGGGAGGGGAGGATATATATATGCCACCTAGATTTAAACTCGAAAGAAGGTTTACACCGCATGAGTCACAAGAAGTGGTTTGAGTTTTGTGCAAGTTGACGCAGTTGACTCCTGTTCATTTTGTGAGAAGTTTATTCTGATAACTTCAAATGTGGGTGAATGGACCCAGGTGTATTAGTAGCCCCCACTAATGGATTTTTCTCGATAATTGCACGCAAGTGGTGGTGTAATATGACTTGGCAAACTCAATAGATTGTTCACTAGCTCTTCCATGCGCTAAATCTAGATGTTCAACCACTTATCCCAACGTCAAAGGCGATCCCACCCAAGAAGCCCCAATTCTAATCCTGGGGCATCAGTCCACTCCCCCAATTCTTTATACAACTCCTGTAACTGGTCTGCGAAGTATAACGAGGACTTGCGATAATCTCCATCTGCAACAGGGTTGATATATTCCCAGTGAGTCAGGCGCTCTCCCACTTTCTCAAGACCAGTGCTAGAGAACTTCCTATCGGCCCCATAGAAAGAAACATTCCGAGTTGTCCAAAATTCTTTATTACGCTTGTCATCGGAAAGGGGAGCGTCAACCTTTCGTTTCAGGTTATGGTCGATCAACCAAACACGCGTTCCACAATGCAGATACTCGCCGAGTTCCCAAATCTTGTCGAATGCAGGGGCTTCAACCCCCCCTTCGTCTTCTTCGTAAAGGTCGATGCCCCACTCAGGCCTGTATTCGATACCGATATCATGTAAGTCTTGCAAGCGGCCCAGTGTTCCATCATTCCATTTTTTTAATTCGAGGCTGTCGAGTTGCAGGATAACTAGGTCATCATTGTAGCGGACTGTGATATATAATGGAGCACCGCCAGAGATGTAGTAACCCGTCCACGAAGGATAGTGCCATGGGTCCTGCAAAAAGTGCTTCTGCATCATGAGTCTTGATTCATGGCATGCTGTCCACAAGCCGGCATCGATTGGGTATGTCGATATATTGATGTCGTTGCCACCGTCGATGCCATCGAGATATTTGTTCCATAATGGGATAGCCACACAACAATTGGGGCGTGAAAGCCCTCGATATGAAGGGTAACGGGGGAAATGGATTGTGTCTTGTGGGCGAACTGGATCATCCGAGCCAGGAACACGAAGACGCAAAATCTGGACCCCTGGGCGACTTGGCCTAATAGCATCTTTCCAGACTTGCAGCCTAAGCTCGGTTGGAAGAGCCGAGAATAAGTGGAATGCCGATGCCATGTTGGAGATGTAGCCCAGGCTGACGAGTGCAAAAGTTCTGGCAATAGCCCAGTGTGATTATGTTCAGGTTCTGAATGTGGTGACGGTCGAGATGTAAGATGGGTGAGGTGGCATGAGGTGATGAAGAAAATCGATCAAAAGGGGTATATTTATACATCATATGGCAATCAGGCTTTTGGGAAGCGGGCCAAGAGTGATATGTGAAAAACATTGTGTTAAAATAACTTTGTTATGACTGATCTTTCGTCACCTTGTGACTCAATATTCCCCAACCTTGACCTTTTTATCCCTTAGGGAATGTATTTAGAGTTCTCTTTATATGTTAGACCTAATTAGATAATAAGCTAAAAAGCTTATCTTAGGCTATTATATAGGTAGTTGGTATGCTGCCTAAAGTGTGTTTTTAAGAGTGTTATTTTGAGTTAATAGACCTGACAGCTGATGCTTGCATCGCGCGCCTTACCTCGATATGTGAAAAAGAGTAGGAAGTATAAAAGGAACATGCTTTCTCTCGTAGGCTCTCCTTGGCCAATTCCGTCGGTGTATTGGATAGACAGAGTTTCTCATAACAGTGCCTACATCTAACGTCGTAGGGTACCTGCTTTACGTGGAGACAGAGGGTCAAGCCGTCAAAAGTGCACAAGCTAAAAGCGTGTGAGAAAGCAGAAAACGTTTGGGATTAGCAATTCCAGTGCCCGATTTATTAACAAACATTCTTCTGTATAAAGGCGAACCCTCCTTCTTCTAAGCCTCAAAAGTTATCCCATCCAAGAAGTTCTATCGTAGGGTTGAACAAAGCTTCAGGCCCGTCTTTTCGCGCCTTTTCGTAGCATTGATGTAACTGTTCTGCGAAGTAGAATGAGGATCCTTGGTAATCTCCATCCGGAACTGGTTCAATATACTCCCAGTGATCTCGAGAATCTTCCTCCAAGAAATCCACAACGATAAGCTTCCTGTCACCTGCATAGAAGCACCCACTCTTGTAGGGAGGAGCGTTTGCCTTTCGCTTTAGGTTGTAATCTACAAGCCATATGCATGGCCACAACGCATTATGGCAGAGGTCCATAATCTGGTGGAATGCTGCACAATCTCCGCCATTGTAGTCCTCGTCATAATTTTGCGGTCCCTATTCTGACTGGTATTCGATGCCAATTTGCGGGAAACCGTGGCTAAGTGCCTGATCAATGTTTTCCAGGTCGAAGTATAGACTGTCCCGTCGCAGGATAAAAAGGTCAGACATTGGCTTTATCGTGAAATAGGACGGCGCACCCCCAGAGAGGTAGTAACCCATCACTGGCTTGGAGATGTAAACTTTGCCGTGCCTAGTATCCTTGATCGTTGGAAAAGCTTTTTTCATCATGGACCTTGATTCATGACAGGCAGTCTATAGCCCCGTATCAATCATATACGTTGATATACTCTTAGCGCTAGGTTTATTGGCCCGGTCGAGACCTTTGTGTGGCAAGGGTACGGCCAGACCCAGTTCATCGCGTTCGCGCCCGCGAAATGGAGATTCGTTATGTGAGAAGTGGATGGCTTCCTGTGGCAAAGTCTGATGGTCCTGAAAAGTACCGTAAACTCGGAATATATGGACTCCTGAGTAGTTTGGACGAATAGCTAGATTCCAGATGTCTTCCCTGAGCTCGGTTGGAAGAGCGGAGAAGAGAGGGAATTCAGTCGGCATGATTGAGAATTGTCGGGTCCAAAGTATAAGAAGATAGATCATACAAGCGCCAGCGGGATAGGCAATCCTGCTTTGGTAACAGGGGGGGAATTCCGGTGTGACGAAAGAAGTGAAAACAGTATCGTCGTGAAAGCCCACACAGGAAGGGATATATATACATTACCAAGCGATTAGACTTCTGGGAGCTCTACACCGTTTGAGTCATCAGCAGCGATCTGCGTCATACCAAAGTACTCTATGGAAGTGTAAAAGGAATAGAGCTTTCGCCCCAGATGAGTTTATTAGATAGAATTTGTTACAACAGAGTTTATATCTAGGCTCATAGGCCACCACCAACATAATTTGAACACTAAGTTCTGTGCGGTTATTGTAAGCTCTCAGCCACAAGTCTCAACTGTAAATAACACATCTAGCTCACAATTTAGACATTATGATCTAGACAAAAAGAGCCAAGTTTCCAACAATACACAGGCTAAATGAGTGACAACTGCGTATACAACATTTTTATGCCTTGGAAATCTCTATTTGATATGGCGAATATCGATCTTTCCGGCCTTAATTTTGCCTTTTCTAAGTTTTTATCTACCTTGACGGGTTGGTGAGAAAAAGTGATTTGAGATGATTGTATCCATTTAGATTCGGTCTTTTGTGAGCTTATGAGGTTCTTTGCGACTAGATCTAGGTATACCTATACTTATGATTTTTTAAGGTCTTCCCATCCGAGAAGTCCGACTCGACCTTCGAGACGATAGCCATAATTCATGCTCATAACCCTGTTCATCTCCTCAAAGAATCTTGCTGTTACATTTGCGGAAATTGCGAAGCAAATAGATGACTTCTGATAAGCTCCGTTTCCCACCGGATGCATATACTCCCACTCTCTCAAGTTATGTGCCCCCTTATCAAGAGAAACTTGTACAAGCTTCCTATCATTTGCGTAAAACTGCATTGTCTTGCCGCCCTGAACCGAAGAGGCGTCTGCTTTCCGCTTCAGGTTTGTGTCAACCAACCACAAACGGTGCCGCGGGGAAGAACTAAACAGATGGGCGATGGCAAGTGTCATATTACGTGAACCCCAGGAACTACCATACGCCGGCAGTCCATCCCCCCATTCTGGATCATACTCTATGCCAATTTCCCGGCAAGAGTCCAGAGGGTAAACATAAGGACCTGGAGTGTAGGCGAGCCCAACAATACGGCTCCAGCTGGTAGGGAAGAAATCGTCTGGTTGCAGAATGATAAGGTCCGAGCCTGGCCAGATAGAAAGGCAGAAGGGGCTGCTGCCGGAGCAATAGCTCACTATTGCACGCCTGGGTGGTCCCCAGGGGTTGTTTGAATGTTTAGCGAAGCGCTTCCGTATAACACGACGTGATTCTTTGCAAGCGGTCCATAGCCCAGAATCAATCATGTATGTCGACACATTCTTATTGGGGGATTCGTCGAGGCTCTTGTAATACTTGGATTCCAGGGGGGCCGCAAAGTGCCAGGAGTTGTTGCGTTCGTCTAACATTGGTGCGATATTCCGATCTCCCGGGCGAACAACCACAGTAGATTTGTGTACACGAAAGATTTGGACTCCTCGGTGGTGTGACCGAAGGGCAAAAGCCCAGATCTCGTCCCTGAGTTCCTGTGGAAGGAAAGGGAATAGGTGGAAGGTAGTAGCCATTATAGCGAGTGAAGTTCGACGGCGATAGGCAGCGCGAAAGGACTGGGAAGTGATGAGACAGATTGGGTGTTGAAGTGAAGAAGAAAGGAGGAAACAAGAGGCGATCTTAAGGAAAGAGTGATATTTATATATTCATGATAATGGAGGTTTATAAGATTAGACTTTCGGGTTGAATCAAACTTTTGTAGTCGTATACATGCTGCCACAGTATCGACAATGCGACTTGGTGTAGCAAGAATAAAGTTTAAAATTGTGCAAAGCTTGGATACTTTAATCAACCCGAGCATATCCTGACAAGAATTATAGAAGATTTAGATTTTTTAAAGAAACACAAGCCGAAGTCTGGGATACAGCAATAGAATGCAGGTGACTGAGGAATACAGAGACCGGTCGGAGGCTACAGGGGGAGCACTGGAGGATAATTTACTATAGTGCCATACCTGTAGCGTTCCCTACAAGTCTCTTTGTGGCATTTGTTAAAGAGTCCAAATCCTTATCTAAAAGCTTAAGTTTCTTCCTCTTTGCTACCCATTTCTCGCTACTAGACCAACTCTCCATGTGGACCGCTCGGTTCTGACAAAATGTCGTTATCTCATCGGGATCCGCGCGCTGGTCGGTCTCTCGACAATCCTCAACAAAAGATTGTATCAACTTGTCCTGTAGTTGATAACCTAACTCAATGTTGGACTTGAGTTTTTCCTTAGCTTCGGTATTCGATGGGGTTTTAGGAATAGCAGCTTCTATCTATTAAACGAGTTCAATGAACCGTTGCCCCTCTCGGTCCATCTCCCTAAAGTGAATATTGGTCTTTTGGGTGCAGAAGTATCCCACTCTTGTATATTGAACAACGGTATCCTCTACCTGGCTTGAAGTGCCTGGCGCGGCTCGAACGAGGATTCCATGAATTTGCGGTGTTCGAATCCGCAGGCCAACCCTGTTATTAATCAACTCGAGAACGGGTAGGCATCTTATCTCGTCTTGTTGATGGTGCTCCAGCGTATCGTAAAAGTAGTTCATTGCCTCAGGATCAAACGTTCGGAGTTTGCAGGACAGCTTAAGCGTAGCATTATGGGCCATGCCGTTGACCGTATGTGTAGCTTGAATCTCCTGGTTCGATATCAGGGACTCGATATATTCCCATGATTCGGAAACGCTGCTACCCTCAACCGTTACGCTAACCAAAGAGATAGACTCTGGAGTTGGATCGACCTTCTTTAGACGATGTGAGATCTTGCCGTCCACTGAGGCCCAAGACCATGTGGGAACAGAGCGGCCAGACGGTCGCCTTTTGGCTCCAGCATCCACCACCCAGAGGAGATTAAAGGGTAATGTCTCGTCCCAAAGGCCGGCAGCGTACTTGAAACACGTGCTCTGCTGGATGAAGTAGGCAACGCCGGCAATAGCCATCATCTTGTCGCCATCATTTGTAAGGTTCCGAACCGAGTAGCTCGTCACCATCTCATACCATCGTAGGTGGAATTCTGCCTGCTCCTGCATATTTTGTCCTCTGAAAGACCAAAGGAAGCCGAAAGCCCCCCGCATACTCAGTCTTGCGGCGTTGGTCCTTATAGACGACACTTGAGCTTCATAGCGCCGTTTCCTATTGGCCCATACTCGATGCTCGGGGTTTGCGGACCAGCTTTTCTTGACCGTGTCCTTAGCTGGGCGACTGGAAGGTCTTGTAGAAAACCCGGCATGTCGGATAATTGTCCTCTTGCAGAGCCGTCTGGATGGTTCAGGGCCTGGAGGAGAAATTGCTGGTGCGTTCAAAGTACCATCCTGGCTAAACTGGGTATTCAGGGGGTAGTGTTCTTCACCATGACACTCAGAGGTAGTCAACGTGTTGCACTCAAACAGCATCAGCCCCGAACAGAAGTGTACAATCCTGCTAGCCAGGAACGAATGATCTACCTTACCATCGAAGAGCTGGACCAAATCGGGATATCTAGTCAACGAGCGAACAGCGAGTGAACAGTTCCAATTGCTACATAGCACGCAGTCGTAGGGAAAGAGGTCCTTGGGTTTGTAGCAGCCGCCCTGTGAGTTCTTGGATGCTGTCGCTGATATCACAACCTTTGCTCTCGCGTAAACGAGGCCCATATCGCCAGACTGCTCTTCCCATTCCTTGCTGCGTTGCATGATACAGAGCGAGTCGATCCATAGATAGTTGATGCCCATTTTGTAAGTTATGTCAACGGCATCTCGGAAGTTTGGATCCAGGCCCTCTATTAAAATTGTCTTCGTCGTTTCTTGATTGTCGTCCCTGAGCTCAGACATGACCGTCGTACCCCAGCAGTGACTAAGGGCGGCGTACTGAACGATATCGTTGTTTGATCTGATTTAGCCACTCAGTACGAGTTGAATGACCCCCTTGTCCCTCGCTCGGACATCTATAAGCCGTTTAGGAAGGTATCGCTGGCTGTCAGATCGAATGAAGTGATTACGACAATTTTGGTGCTCTCGTTCACATTTCTCAACCATTTCTCGAGCCCAACGAAAGCTAGGCTTAGAGCCAGTCATGTTGGACTGTTCGCAATTGTGTTCATGGGAGACTATGGCGCCTAGTCAATCGTGAAAACGTCGTATAGCACCTGCAAGACGTACCTGAGCTGTCATCCTCAATCGTCAGCGACGGGAATGGGCTGGACCCTTTCTTGTATAGACGAATATGAAGTAATTGTTCTCGACCAAACTTTCTAGTTGCCGAGATTTGGACTGAAAGTTTCGCCGCTTCGCCACCTTGTTCGCAGGGAAGAGAATTGCGTGAGCTGGCGACTGCGGAAAGTAGCGGCATAGTGCTATCTGGTTCCCGGGCGATAGTCTCTTCCGAGTATGCTCCAGTCGCTGGAATCGTCTGAGCGCCAAATGATGAATGCCAAAGGAGGCTACATAGATGACAGTTTTCGGCGGACTGTTGGAGCTGATCCATGGGATGAAAGTCGTACTCTTCCCTTGATCGTGTTAATCTCCAGCGGGTGCCTCGGAGGATGGAGGACTGGTCGACTATATTGCTGCATCTCCCACACAATCTACAACCTGTTCCCCGTGGCATTTCCAAACGCGACGCGTACCGTGGCGACCTTTGAGCCCAGAACAATGAGAGGCACCAAGGACCCAATGCGGTGCACAGGTTAGGGAGCTCCAGCATCAGTCGGTATAGTACCGCAAGGGCAAAAAATGGCGATAGAAGAACGAGAACCCCGAAAACGATGAGGTGCGGACTGGCCAAGAGGCTGACCATGAAAAATATTACGCTGACGATACCCACCAGGGCACCAGACGGTCGATCTTTGACCCATGAATTGAAAAAGTACGCGGATGGTGCCCAAACCATACCAATAACTACAGTTTCGACCCAGTCGGAGGCACTCATCGTGTCGTAGTCGAAGATACCCATCGTGGTGTCGAGTTCTTCCAACGGAAGACAGAAGCTGATGGCTTGTGCAAGAGTTCAGCTCGTCGGGTTCAGCAAGCGGGGTTGGGCTGATATGATTGGCATGCCCAAGAAGCCCGCATCAACTCATTTCCTAACTATAAGATCAGCATCAAAGATGACGCTGGTAAGGGAGATATTGGCCTTTCTTTTATTGGATTATTCTCGCAAAAAAAGATGATACTATCCCCATCGTCTACCTTCGTGGCTGGGCAGGTAGCTTCCTTGTTTCCAACAGCTTTTAGTCAATCTCTTACCAAGCCTGGACAGGGTATCCCCCCATGATCAATCGCTGCACGAGCAGCTGAGAGTTCATGGAGATCTTTCGACATATGCGAACTAAATTGACATTTGCTGTAGGGAGGGCACTTTGCAGCTCTTGAGAGACCTGCTGAGTTTCTTCAGGATGTTGAAGATTTCATTGCGCTTGCTTGACCTCGTCATGGCTGAACTTTTCATGTAGCAGGAAATGTGAATCGCATCTAAGGCTCGCAATAGTTCCGATATCACTAAGTGAGTCAGGGAGGATCTTCCAGGAGAATAGACAGCGGTTCTTATAGTCGAGCGACGGATCTTCTGCCTCCTGCGTTTCTTTTACTTTGACGTGATCCTGTAATTACTTAGAGCTGACAGGTAAGGACTGACCGAGGGCAAAGCAATCTACCCCAGTGAAGTCAGAGGCCTATGCCAACCTCTGATGTGACCAGAACAAACCAAACTATTACCCCTGCATTGGTGAATTATAGTTTACTGGACGAAGTCGGCTATTGAAGTGATCGACATAATTACCCAAATCGAGAACGTAGAAAAGTCATGTATACTTGCTCAGTTCAAAGATATTGCCTCATTATCACTTCCAGATCTTGTGTCCGACCTCTTCACAATCTCAAAAGCTTTAGATAAGCGAGGTCTGAAACCCTTCTCAACGCCGACTAGTGTTATGGTTAGCTTTTGGGCTCAAAACTACCGCGGGGAGGTTTAAACTTACGAATAGCCAGATGAGCATATTTCGCTATCACCGGTGCCCAAATCAACACAGCCACAAGTTGTCCAACGCTCCAAGTCCCCGTCTCGCCTCGTAGCAGCAGATTCAGCAGCGGTGCACGAATTACTGCGAGACCAAAGCATATGCAAGCAAGAGCACCAGCTTCAGCAATGTGGATTGCGAGTAGAGAGGCTTTTATAACGACACATTTGATCCATTCCCATGTCTCAAGTTGTCGTTTCGATAGCGACTTGTGCTTTCGGAGGAACCATGCTGGGGAGTTGCACAGACTCCATATCTTAGCCCACCATAGGATAGTAAGTAATCCAAGGAACGCGTATATACTTGCCGCCGGAAATACATACCAGTATATACTCTCTCGCTCTTCCACGCAGAAGGTTCGAAGTGAAGGATGGCCGCCGCATTCTTCAAGTGTATTCTGCCCTTGAAATATCTTGTATATCCGATCAGGATCCGGATTCGCAGCTGTATCAGCTGCAACACCAGCGAGTACCAAAGCAAGCGTTGACAGAAGCAGGTAGTATATCGAGTCTAGCTCAGCTCTTCGGAGGGAGATCTGACCCAAAATGATAGGCCAAGCTCCCATACCTGCCAAGAACTGGATGCTATCACGGTTCCAAAGAAGACTCTGCCAGTTCTCTGCGCCAGTGAAGATAGCTGATCGTGAACTCGCATTTATCAGGGCTATCTCGATGGCGACAACGAAGAAGCATTGTGCTTCGTGAAGCTCTGCGAGAAAGGTGCTCGTCGCATGCGCAAGATTCGTGCGCTCAAGCCGTTCAAGACCTGATACACGATGGGTCAAGAGATTGGGTCCTGGGTTTCTTTTGCGGAAGAGGTGAGTGAAGATCGAGGCTGAAGTGTTGATGAACTTGTTGACTTTTAGTAGTAGGAAGAATAACCAAGCGAAGACTACCATGGCTGTTTGGGTGATGTATGTTATTAGTACCTGCTGAGCGATAAGCGTGGGTTTCCATTATCTGAGACTTTGACTAACTCCAGGCCCAGCAATATCGATATTGAAATCGCTTTCTAGTCCACCGCATAACGGCTCAAGAGCCTCGTACACTTTGATCCACTGGATAGTCTCACTCTCAAAGTAACCAGGGCCAAGTTGGCCAATAGAGCACTCTCCCATACTTGTATCGCGACAGCTCGCAGCCGCACACTCATATGTGAGATTGAGAACCGTATTCCCATCAAAATCGGTCCCATTGGTAATGCCAAAAGATGACAAGGCACTCATGATCTGTTCCCTTGAGGTTCCATTTCCAACCCCACTATGGTGTTGATCAAGTGTAGAGAACGTCGAGTTTGCGAGAGTTAACGACGTCAGGGAGAGGCATTGCCACAGAGTCTTCCAAGAGGAGAATAGATCATCTGAACTTGTGCATACGACTGAGCAGTTCTTTTCTGAAGAGTCGTGCCCAGAACAAACGTCGTGTAGCAAAGTCACGGGCTCGGCCGAGGTGGCGTCTTCTTTATCGAGTCTAGTAAAGAGGTCCCATGGTTCGTAGAGAGTCTCGCGTAGGATCGTGCTCGTATCGGGTCGCGTCACGGCATCTCGCGTAAGCCCATCCATCCATCCGCCATTGAGGACTCTCACTACCCCCTGATCCATGGTGACAGGTGTGTCATGCCGAGAACTAGGACAAATTATTCTTGTCAATGGTTTTGCTAGAAATAGGGTTCAATCAATGTGCTTGTTATGTTTTGGTCTATCTGAGAGATTTTCGTGATCTTGTTTCATCTGTTGGTATATCTCACGTGGCCTCTCGAGACCCCTGCTCTTAACCCCTGCAGCATTGAATCAACACCCTGGATCCTAGCCCAGATGCATTTCAAGATCTGACAAGCTTGTAACTTAATTATAATAAAAAGGAGAAGAAGGAAAACATTCATAATATTAGATTCTGTAGTCTGTTTTTCGATATATAAGAGTATCCCAACAACATTTCTGCCCTTTTGTAAGCCCAGCTGCTCATTTCCTCTCTGATACATCCCATTGCACAACGCCCCCTGAACTCCATTTCAGTAATTGCTCCCGATCTTCAATGGCTGGCAGTGACACCTTATTGTTTCCTATAGAAATCATGGACGAAGAAGACTCAGTCCCTGAAACATTCACCTGCCTCTGCTTCATTTTGTCCTGCCACTTTTGAGATCGGCGAAATTCCCTCCTTGTCCTTTCTAACTGAACTGTTGAAACAGGACCAGGGCCAACGAGAGACAAAATCTTATCAATCTTGTCTTGTTCCATCCCGGTCAAGTCCATTCTACTTGGAAAACTTGATACCGCCGTTGTGTCTTTTGGGTAGTAGCGGTCGTCTTCGAAGAATGCCCAGGCCCGTTGTTGAAATATCTTGTTCTGTATGCCGCCATGGCGGTTAGGTAGCTTTGAACCAAGGAATTTCCACCATCCTGGCTCAGCAAGACCCTGTCTGCCATCCGGTCTGTTGCGGTAGACCGTATCGAAAATGGCTTCCCACGGAAGTCTTCTTTTGAAGAAGTGTTCTATATTCAAGGTCCGATCCATTGATCTACAAACCTTTTTGACCAAGATTTCGAGAGCTTTGGGATCTTGTGGTCTTGCTATGGCAAAACGGATCACCGTAAAGATCCAAGAGAACCCGTAACGAGCCATGTTTTCAATAGCTGACTGCTCTTCTTGTCCAGTCATGCCAATGTCCTTGCCATACTCAATAGGGTCTGCAAAGACGGTATCGGGAAACAGAAGCCCAGTTTCTGGAGGCGCTTCGGCTGCTGGCAGCCAAGCATCAGCACAATGAGCAAATATAGCGCCATAGAGTGAAGATGTATACAACCAGACACAGTGAATGGCCTCCCTATCTTGTCTTGCGACTTTTATGGCTAGCTTTCTGAACAAGTCGTGGTTTCTGTCACTGAAGCTCAGAGCGCTCTGAACCAGAGACAACAGCTCAACTCGTAAGAATGCCCTCAAGAAGCGTCGTCTTTCGCCTTCCAAAAGGTGGCCTGAATCGAACCTTTTTGTGATCTTTTGTCCTTTAAAGATAAGATGGCTTTGGTTATGGGAAAGCTGAGGGAGACAGATGTATTCACGCGGTGGAAAGGCCGCAGTCGCTTTTGTAATGTAGTCTTCGACGAATACCATCAGAAAACTATGTAAATTGTCGAGTTGGTTCATGAGAACGGTATCGCGGGTCGCCAAAGGATTTGGAAGCTCATGTAACTCCCAGGAGTTTAAATGTGCGTGAACTAGGAGCGTGGACCTTCGGGACTCTCTGAGGGACGGAAATAGAATGATTCCCATGGCATCTTGAATCATCTGGTCTTCAAAGTCGCGCGCGAGCAGGTTTCGTGTTATTGTGCTTTTACATCCAAGGTATTGCTCAAGCATTATTGGGGACGCTTGGATGAGGCTCGATATAGAGGCCTTTGATCGCATGAGCGAGAATATTTGCAGGCGTAACTCGGCGGGAATTCGATTGAAGGGATCCATGATGCTTTGTGATCCTCGTCGTTGTCGCTTTCGTTATTCCAATGATAAATCGAGGGTCGGGGTTTCGTAGCGTGAAGTTGCCCGATAATGGAATTGGAGGTAGAAGAACGGTGGTTTTGGACGGGAAAAGAGGATCTAATATTGATGGAAGAAACCTTGTTTTTATTCACATTATTTCACTTCTCCACGCAATAGAGAAACTCTGAAATGTGTGTCCTGTCTGAGGGCTATTCCGACATTGAACTTAATATCGGCAGAAGAGATATGTTTGGCCGGCAGCAAAGCTTTACACTTTGCATGGCAAGGCTACTTGAGTCTAATATTCTAGATAAGCATTGTTTTATTTCCTGTCCCTCACTTGAAAGTGCGGCGACTTAACGCAGCATGATACTCAGGATTGGCATGAAATGTCATATTCGCTGTCCAACGTAGTCTAGATGGTGTCATTCGAGGCCAAAAGCACATGGGTGTAATCTCCCAGACAGCCTGGAACATTTCACGCCATTGGGCCTTATGATGTTGTTGATATGTTGGGGTATTAGGTATTATGTATATGGTATATAGCTAAAGATTGTATGTGAAGATCTCACGATCTTCTGCTGCTAGACATAGAAGGGTTGCGGCTAATCTCCTCGACAACAACCTGCTTAGGATGTCCCGTATTCGAAGTTAATGGCAACTCATCCAGCGACTCAGTTCCCTCTCTGAAAGGATTCTTCTGTGGTTTCGTCTCCACAGTGACCTCAAACTCTGTTCGGCGATGGATACCAGGTCCACCATTGTGTCGAGCCGCAGTACCAGACAAGTCCTCGTCGGAATCACCAGCGACAACCCTTGATCGGTGCGTCAACTGAACGTTGTTACCCTGGGTCCATGGTGCATCGTTGGTCCGCTGGTTGTTGCTTTGGTGGTTGCCGGAGTGCGACATGGAGGGGTAGTAGTCGTCGGCGTTCTCACCCTTTGCGAGGCGGGTGATGAGCTTGGCCATGGACATTTCGATGTTGAGCTTGACCATGTATGCGACGGGGTGGAATTGGATGTAGACGACTTGGTTGGGTAGTGACATGAGACCGATGAGCATGCCCTGGCATGAGAGTTAGCACAGATTTGTATTTGGAAAGGTATTTTCGAGATACATACGTCCATGAGGATCGAGACGACCATGAGCTTAGCGTTGAAGCCTACAAGAGGCTCATATTTCTTGAGGCGATGCTGCTCGACGAGTCGCTTCTTGACAGTTCGAAGGAAGTACCAGTTAAGGCCAGCATCGACAAGAAGGATAAGAACCTTGGATACACGATCCCAGACCTCATTGATGCGCACAAAGCTGCAATTATCAGTATCAACTTGTTCAAGTTTTCGATAAATGACTTACGTTTGGCTGACAGGAGGAACGGTATGGGAGGGGATCCAGATAGCAAAGACAGCAATGTTGATGAGAGTGATAGTTAAGGCGGTTCCCCATTTCAGCTTAAAGATAGTAGATCGATGCTCGGCGATGATAGAGATACGGTTGACGATAATTTGCATAAGAAGCTGGACCTCGAATACCCAGAAGAAAAGAATGAAGAACAACACCGGTACACTAGAGCCTGTTAGCACGCCACACGGCAAGTAAGTTGAGTGGCTATCTTACGTCGGTCCGATGATTCCATCCAGGAAAATCCATCCGATGATAGTAATGATGATGTTTGCCAGAATCTCTCCCCAGAGCATGTAGATGTAAGCACTTCGCAGCGGATTCCGATTTCTTCGAGTCTGCTTCCATGCCTCCCAAACAGTAAGCAAGCCAAAACCAAGGGTGAACCCCATAGCTATGGAAGCAATCTTGATATCACTGGTAGTCGCCGACATATTGAACAGAGGAGTGGTACAAAAAGCAAAAAGGAATAATGAAGGATCGACCGGGGGAAAGAAAGGGAAGAGGGACTGAATCTGGGGTTCAAGGGGGTTTATACATGCAGACACTACCAGAACCACGTTCTTGGCAGGTGGAGGTGCGTTGGAGATATTAGTGCACCGGGACGAGATTCCAGGAATGGTCTGGCGTGGAGTGGCGAAACGAGGTTTTCTAGCCAAGTCTCTGGATGAATCGCATCTCTGCGCTTTGACCTTCGCTTTGACACTTGAGCTCTTGTGGTTAATTGGACAATCTGATTTGATGGGAGGATACGCTGCAAGAATGGTTTAACCATATCCCTGCTGTTACCCGAGTGTCTGGTATGATCGTCCCTCGGTACGCATGATCTACAGGGATGAGCATCACATCACCATGCAGACGCCCTCTGTATTTCCGCACTCTAATTCTGCAACCGAGCTCCAATACGGGAGAGTTTCCAATGGCTCCGGGTTATATTTCCCTTTATGTCTCACAAGCCTCGGTTTCCCCTCTCGCGCCTCAACGAAATGTCATCTCAGACATTTACACTAAAGGTTTTCACCCGCTAAAATGGCACTTGACTCAGGGGGACGCCACTAAAATCAACGCCACAGGAGACGGCAGCGTATCAAATTTCGGCACTTGGGAATCCTTTGAGATCAAGTTCCGCTGCACCAAGTTGCTGGGCTTCCGCTTTTGTCAACGCCACTTGGGTCTTTTGAAGAGCGGAATGAGCCGTTGTGCTTCGCTGAAACATTAGATGAAGTTAATATCGAGCAAGCTCATTCATTGTCAAAGTTTGCCGACATTTCCCAAGAATTCTCTAGTGTTGGACTATTGAGACAGAGATGACACATTCTACCGCAGAAATTCCGCAGTTAGGGTTGTTTTGCTCCGAGCTCCGGGCCGAATGAGCATGAACTCCATTGAATTGAAAGGGGCTCCGGAAATAACCAGAATCTTTGGATGAAATATTCCTCCGAAATGGAGACATTCTGAGACGAACTCCATTCTGCGCCTGTTCAAGCGAGGTCGGGAATAATTCCTCCTTTTCCTGCGTCTGGAAAATCTGGATATAACGTCGGCAGTTAACGCCCAGAGGGATATATATCTCGCAGTAGATCTCACCGCCAGGATCATCACCTGGTAATAAATCTCAATACATGACTCAATTCAATGCGTAGTCCTGCCTATAGTAGCACATGGCGACAAGAATGCAGAGCCTCAGAGTCAGTAGGAGGCAGATCGTCGGCGCTATGTCAGTCACTAGTGGATCAGAGTTACAGCACAGGTAGAATAGATCCATCCACGTGGATCCTCAGTGCGTCCCTGGTTCGGGTGGATTTGATAATACCCTACACGCCACTTATCTTTCGGTTATCTTTTACCTGAATCTTATCAGACTGAGAGTTCAGTTAACATGTCTTGATATGGTTGATCGTCAGCTTCGCTTCTGCTTGGCAGCCGCAAAAGCCTGTTCGACTCTCTATAGGCCAAGTTCAATTTTTTGATCCCTTTGTTATTGACCCATCTTTGTAATATATGCCCACAGATGCGGTGAACTTCCAGAGAATCATCCATGCACTTCTTGGCATCTTTCGAATTGAGAACAAGGAAATGATAATTTAGCATGCAGCTGTGGAGATCTTCAATCGGTAGATCACGCCATGAAATACCAAGCAACTAGTGCCTCAGGAGATGCCCTGACACGGTATTAATTCTGATCATGAGTTTCGTAACTTACCTGTCATTATACGAGGAAACCATGGTTAATTAAATGATATCGAAATAGCGGCACGTGCTCCTTCCCTCTTAACCTTCCATTCTACCATGTTACTCATTCGAGATGAGTTGAGTAACTACTTGCTATCAATATTTACACGCCTAACCACGGCGAATCATTTGATGACAGCTAACCTCTTGGAAACTGAAAGGGTCCATTGCTCAAGTCTCTATTTACTCAGCTTCAGCTCAATCTACTACAATTTTGAAGGGTTGAGGACAGAAGCGTACAGCTCTAGCGCCCTATTCCTCGGATCTTCCAGACGAGCCTGCGTTTCTTCAAACAATCGAGGCAAACCAGTCTCCTTGAACGTAGCGTCCTTGAGGAGAAACTTCGCCATCGCCTGCCCACACAAGAATATTTGGGGCATTCCATGGCCAGTGAAGCCCCCCATGATAAACATGCCTGGTCGACCAGGTATAGGTCCTAGTCGAGGAAGTCTGTCGGATGAGTACCCCATGACTAGTTTGATGTTAGCTGCCGCCAGGGTTCAATGCAATGCGCTGATAAGACTTACTTCCGGTCCATATATCATCGACATACGCTCCACTGTCCTCCCATCCATGAAAATGCCTCTGCATATAGCCATCAAAGTAGGATAGCGCTTCATGGATGACTTGAGTATCATCAACATTCCCATACCATGAGTCAACAGACCTAATATATGCATCTCGAGCTCCGCCGACTATGATACTTCCATCCAACCGAGGAATTAGGTAGTCAAAGTTCCAGTCCGAGAATCGAAGCGCGTAGGTATTATTGAGGAGAGGATGTGGCGCCGTGGTTTTGATCCGACTGCATACAGCTCGATATGGAATGATCTTACTTTTGTATTCAGGAAGTAGTGAGCCCGTGTAGGCATTCGTTGCAAATACGACCTTTCGCGCTCTGACTTCGCCCCTGCCGGTGCTTAAGGTCCATTGGCCACTGGCATATTGAGTCTCGGAGACAGAAAGAACTGGCGTATTGGTTTGTAAGTTGACTCCTTCGCGGATTGCTTCTGAAAACATGTGATGGATAAGTTTGTAGGGCCAAAGATGGCCTGCCGTGTATGTAAAGCATCCCTTTGCGCCCTTGACGCCGGACAACTGAATACATGATATTAGTATCTGGCAGATAGAACGGATAAAACACTTACCATTTCTGTATCCTTCCCTTCAATGCTGAAGGTATCCTTTGTTGGCTCGAGTCCGGCAGCAATAAGTTTATCATAACCTTCTTTGATTCGACGTTGATGGCCAGTGGAAAGTTGAACATCGACCGCCCTAGTTAGTACAAAGTCGCAATCAACTTTATTTTGTCGGATATATTCAGTGACAGCTTTGACATTTGCCGATTCGAATGAAGCGACTTCTGCCGCGGCTTCTATCCCATATTCCGATGCATATGCGGCGATTGCATTATACGAATCCGGCTTGAGATGGCCACCTGCAGTTATCATTATCAGCACACGTATAAATCTACTCAGTTTTGGACTGTACCGTTTCGGCCGGTTGCTCCTGAGCATAACTGCCGAGCTTCTAAGACAAGAATTGATGGCCTGTCCTCAGCCGAAGTTGTTGCCAAAGCATGTGTGAGAATAGATGCTGCAGAGTATCCAGCACCAATAACGGCAATATCTACATGTGTTGGGAGCTCTGCAGTTGAGCGAAAGTCATCGAGGTAGCCGAGTTGGGTCCTCCAAAAGGATGACATCCCCTCAGGCGGGGGGAAAGAAGCCGAGCACATTATGTCTAACCAGTGGCCGAGATATGAAAAGAAAGACAAGACAATGCCAAATAACACGATAATGATCGCTCCTAGACGGATATTATCGAGATCGTTTGTATACGATCGGACAGGACTCTGAATGCCTGATGCTACCCTACGACTGATAAGGATGTCGGCGCTTATCTCACCACAAGCCTCGATCTTTACTGCTTCTGGAAGGTGTCCGATGATTGCCTGTTTGATACTAGCGCAGACATCCAGGGTCCACTGCCAGAAACTTGCCTGATCTGGAATTCAACAGGCTAAGGGTGTCGAGCTGAGGTATGCCGAAGGACTTAGAGAACCAGTTTGCCAACGGAGCAGAAAGTAGTATAATTTCACCGACTGATATTACCAACAAATCTTACAATTGGAACTCAAGGATCGGAGTCATTATGAGCAGCGACCTTTATCAACAACTAACCGCTCCGAATGGAGTCACCTACAACCAGCCTTTGGGCCTGTTCATCAACAATGAGTGGCATCGGTCCAAGGGGAACGAGTTCATTCCAGTTGTGAGTCCAATGTAAGTTTCATGGTTGCAACCGAAAACCCAGCAAGTCAGTTGACCGAAAGCCTGCAGTGATGAAAATGAAATCGTCAAAGTTCACGCCGGTGGCGAGAAAGACATTGACGATGCTGTGAAGGCAGCTCGGGCAGCCCTCAAAGGACCCTGGTCATGTCTTTCTGGAACTGAGCGTGGTGAAATGATGCGCAAACTCGCCGACCTCGTTGATGCTGCCACAAACGAACTCGCCACTATTGATACCTGGAACAACGGCAAACGATTTTCGTCTGCTCAGGGAGATGTTAGTGAGTTGACAGGAGTGCTTCGTTACTATGCTGGATTTGCCGATAAACGGTATGGGCAAGGTAAGTCTCAAAGCTGCACTGGGTAAACCCTGAGAATCTTTGACTGACGAACTCAGTGATAAGTACAACGGAGAAGAAGTTTGCTTACACCACAGTTGGACCTATTGGTGTTTGCGGCCAGATTATTACTTGGAATTATCCCTTGGGAATGGCCGGCTGGAAGATCGCTCCAGCACTTGCCGCTGGTAACTGTGTGGTACTCAAACCAGCGGAACAGACGCCTCTGTCTATCTTACTCTTTGCAGATATCGTGAAGAAAGCAGGATTTCCCCCTGGCGTGATCAACATTGTGAATGGATTTGGGAGTAAGGCCGGTGCAGCTTTAGCTGCCCACATGGATGTTGACAAGATTGCCTTCACTGGATCTACAGCAACTGGACGTGAGGTGGCGAGGCTTGCGGCAAACAATCTGAAAGAGAGTACGATTGAATCCGGAGGAAAGTCTCCACTGCTCGTTTTCGAGGATGCAGATCTGGATCAAGCTGTTAAATGGAGTCACTATGGTATTATGGCCAACCAAGGCCAGATCTGTACTGCAACAAGCCGCATCTTGGTAGACGAAAAGGTATATCAACAGTTCATCGAACTGTTCAAGGAGAGAGTCACATCTTGCAAGATTGGCAACCCTTTCGAGGAAGACACTTTCCAGGGACCCCAAGTAACCAAGGTTCAGTATGAAAGGGTTCTGTCGTTCATCGAGAGTGGTAAAGCTGAGGGGGCTACTGTTGCTCTCGGCGGTCAGGCAACTGCAGTCAATGGAAAGGGCTTCTTCATCGAGCCCACTATCTTCACCGATGCCTCAGATGATATGAAGATTTACCGCGAGGAGATCTTCGGCACTGTTGCTATCATTAGCCCATTCAAAACGGAAGATGACGCAGTTCGCCGGGCTAACGATACGATTTATGGACTGGGCGCTGCTATCTTTACGCAAGACATCACTCGAGCACATGTTATCGCGAACAAGATTGAGGCAGGAAGTAAGTCACACACCCGTTCAGTTTAGAGCTCGTTACTGATATTTGCAGTGGTGTGGATTAACAGCAGTAATGACTCTGATTTCCGCATCCCCTTTGGAGGTGTCAAGCAGTCTGGCATTGGTCGTGAGTTGGGAGAGGAAGGGATTCGTGCATATACGAGCAGAAGATCAGTGCATGTAAACGTTGGAAACACTCTGTAGATCATATAACTAGGGGATTTTATAAAGTTCATATTAATGCTAAAGTATCACTTCTACTTTTATTGATTGATAGTAAAGGCCCATGTTGTCTGTGCGAGATGCATTAAGTTGAGCTATTGGAAAACCCCCAATTTCCTGCCATGAAAGGTTTTATTCTCTTGATCTATTCAGTAGTACAGCCTTGGCTTCTTTGAACCTTAGTGCGGTAAGTATATAGATGTTGCTCCGTGTGAAGAAGTACTGAGCTAAATTGGTAACTGGGTCTTTTAAAAGCTAAGTGATTCCGCGCAATCATCCGAAGTGAATGACGAATCATAAAATTGGTCTGACTTATACTAGGTAGGGATGCAGTGTCAATACACCTAAGCAAATGATAACAACTTGAAGTGCCCAAATCCTGCATCTGCTGGGTTGCCCGTGATACCGAACTGCAAAGCCAATTAGCCACCCCAGAATCGAGCCCAGGTTCTAACAACAATGTGTTTCTTGGCTAATGTATCCCTCTCAAATTCATCACCAAATCCCTCCTCCCAGAAGCGACATTCCTCATCAACTGCCTGTTTCTTGCCATCGGCAAAGATATCGACAGTGGCAGGAGTAACAAACTTGGTTCGCTTGAAGATCTTCCAGAAGATAAACATAAAGATGAACCAAGCAAGACCAAAATAACTAGTAATAAACCCCTTCAGGGACCAGGGTTGGAAGATGTCGAATCCAACGAAGAGTGATGTTGAGCCTCCAATGAAGAGACATAGGTACGGCGTCCATGATGTGCAAGGTGCAGTGAAAGGGAACACGATACCTGGTACAGGTTGCTTATCTGTGTCTCTTCTGAAGAACGATTTCTTGAAGTTGTTTTCGCCTTGGCGAGTGATGCCCTGAGCTTTGAGGGCCCGACGCCATCCGATGAACACCCATGTCATGGCCGTGAAGTTAACAACCAGTGCTACAGTAGTAAGATCCAAGAACCAGGAGAAGACCTCGCTCGCACTGTTGGAGGCTACCAGAAATGATAGAAGAGATATGGCAGTCACTGCTGTGACACATACCCATGGTACACCAGACTTGGTGCATCTCAAGAAGATCTTGGGTGCTTGTCCGTCTTGAGCTAGCGAGTATAGAGTTCGGCTGGAGGAGTACAAATACGCGTTTCCGCAGGACCAGCCAGAAAGCAAAATGAGGAAGTTGATAAGCCCAGGGAGGAATCCTCTGATGTCGAGGCGGAGAAGACCCAGGACCCAAGGAGATGCTGCTGCGCCAGCCTCACCGGTTTCGATTGCTCCCAGAAGGCGAGGGTCGCGCGAGTTGCAGATGATGCCAACAGCGAGAATTCCGACAACGTAAAAGAACAGAATTCGACCCACGATCAACTTGGTAACCTTGGGAATCGTTTTGCGTGGGTTGCGGATCTCGCCGGCAGAGAGGGAGATGATATCCGGGCCACCAATGGTAAAGACGGCGTATCGCACAGAGATGCAGATGCTCAGAAAGATACCCGTAGCACCCTCGGCGTAGTATGCATGGGCCATGTCTCCATTCTTCCAGTTTCGAAAGCCGTAAGAATCGTGGTGTGGGTTGCCACCGACCATGGTGACAAAGGTCGCCATGATTAGACCGAGAATCAACAAAATCTTGGTGGAGCCCATGATAAACTCGGCTTCGCCATACCATCTATGTTCAAAATGTTAGAGCTTATATCTCACAAGTCCAGAATGGCGGTTCTTACCTGACAGCAACCATGTTCAAGAAGTAGCATACGGACAAAGCTATGGCAATCCAGACAGCGGGGTTGATGTCGGTGTTCCAGTACTGCATAACTGTTGCGACGGCAGAGTATTCGGTACAGACCAACATGGCTCCTGCATAGAAGTATGTCCATCCCATGGCAAACCCAAGAGCTGGGTCGACAAATCGGGAGGCCAGTTCGTAAATCGAGCCGCGGATTGGAAGCCATGCTACCATCTCTGCGACGTTGAGGGTGGTGGGCCAAATGAAGCCGAGACCGTAGATCAGGTATCCGATGATAAGAGGTAATGGCCCAGTTTTGGATAGGACACCGCCGACGCCGACGAAAAGACCAACACCGATACCGCCGGCAATGGTCATGAGCTGAACATGGCGAGGTGACAAGCCTCTACGGGTTTGTTGCATGGTGACGACGGCATGATCAGCGACAGTGGTTGAGATGTTCTCGTCACCATCTGCTTTCTCAAGCGAGGCAGTCATGGTATCAAGCTTGATACGATGAAGGAAGAAGGGGAACCAAGTTTTCACAAACAGTCAAACAATAAAACAAGAATGTTCGGGATGGGATAATGCTCAGTTCATTGTGGGGTTCGACGATCTTATAGAGGAGAGGTCTCGACCCAAGCTGCGAAAGACAGGATACAGTGAACAGCCATTATCAACGCTATCAGCTCCACTGATAATAGATCCTGGGGCCCCGGAATCTGGAACCTGGCATCTGGGAACGACTAGGGCGGATACAGAAACCTCACGTCTTGGCTTGATAACGCTGACTCGATCCTACTGATCGTTCGCCGATAATGTCGCCCAACGTTGATTTCAGAGCTCATAGAAATATTACGATATTCAGTTAGTTCAACGGCACTTGGCTGACTCCGCTACAGAATGTCTGATTGGCGATTTACGCACTAAGTCCAGAAGGACACACGATTGAGCAATCAGATCTCGTCGTTCAACAGAACCAAATACGGGTTAGTGTCTTCATCAGTAGAACTGAACATCATTTCCCTATAATGGAAACATTTTTGATCTACAGTCACTCTACAAACAGCAGGATAACAGAAACTGTAAATTATGGTCACGCGAGGGTCAGATGATAACGCAAGCCACGCGTGAGAACTGATATGGAATGTTTGCCTAAAGGAGACTGGTGAGATACGAGACAGTCACTAAGTAATGGGATCTACCTACGGTGGCATGGGTTGATAGCTCAAGTATATCAGTAAGAAAAACATTCTGTCACTGCTATCTCGGTCGTCACTATCAACTGTCAAACAAGGCCCATCAACCATGAATGATTCACGCAAGGCCACAGATCGGCTACTAGCTATTGCCCGATCATTACAACATCCCGACTCGAATTATGGTTTACCCGAAGACTTCATTCGAAAGCTTCGTGCTGCCCTCCTGTCTGACCCATTAGTACCAAGGCCTAATCCCTCCATCTCCCTTTGGCAAGAACCTGCTCACCCAACTGTATCAAGCATCCAGTCTCCCACTCTTCCAGAATATGCTGATGTTGTTGTCATTGGCTCTGGTATAACTGGCTGCAGCGTTACAAAAGCCCTGCTTGAGGATGACACACTAGACCCTACAAGTCGCATTGTCGTACTCGAGGCTCGGACCCTTACCAGCGGCGCAACTGGCCGAAATGGAGGTCAGCTCGTGTCTCCAGTCGGCCATCTTTACCATACCATTTGCAAAAGACACGGCGAAGAGACAGCCAAGGAGATGTGCCATTTTAGCTTCATGAATATTGAACGGATCATGGGTATGCTTGACGAACTAGATCCGGAGCTCCGGGAGTCAAGTGAGATTCGACACGTCCATAAGGTTATGGTCGCTGGGGATGCGGAGACTTGGGATGCTTCGAAGGAGTCTCTGAACTCTTTCCGGGAGGCAATTCCCAGTCATAAAACCGTCCACCGTGTTACTGAGCAAGACGGCTTAGCAAAGGTATGGCTCCTTCACTCTTTCTCTCCGCGTTCTATGGTTCATTGCGGGTATTAACTTTTAATGCTTAAGGAGTTCAACATCAAGAGTGGTCATGGTGTGATTGACCATCCTGCTGGCGCAGTCTGGCCATACCGCCTCATAACTGACATCTTCGAACGTCTTCTCGTCCAATACCACGACCGCCTTTCGATCGAGACAAACACTCCCGCAACAGCGATAAAATACACACCTGGCACGACAAGGGATGGTTCTTCGATGCCTAACTACCCATATATCATTGAGACTTCACGAGGTGCTGTTCACGCCAAGCAGGTGATTCACTGCACGAACGCGAACGCTGCACATTTGCTGCGCCCATTGATAGGAAGACTCTACCCATATAGAGGGACAATGTCTGTTCAGAAGCCTGGACCGGATCTGGAAAACGCGGGAAATCACCGATCATGGAGCTTCCTGAGCAAGTCGACGCTGGATCCCGTGTCCGAGCGTTTTGATGGAGGCTTGTACTATCTCCAACAGCATGCTACCACTGGAGATATATGGGTCGGCACCGACTATTCTAATGTATTTGATGTTCTTACGTCTGATGACACTGCTGTACCGGGCCACTCAGTCGAAGCCTTACTGAAGTTCTTGCCTAACTACTTTGCCAAGGGATGGCCGGAAGATGAGCGACCGGAGTTGAAAGGAGTATGGACCGGACTACAAGGGCACACATCGGATGGACTCCCATTGGTAGGTAAGCTCCCGAAGAGTGTCTCTGAGCGTGACGGCGATGGTGAGTGGATTGCTGGTGGTTATAGTGGGTATGGGATGGACAAGGCTTGGATGATCGGCGAAGCGCTTGTTAGTATGATTACGGGCAAGGGAGTTCCTGAATGGTTACCCAAGGCGTTTCTTATTACAGATCAGAGACTTGAACGAGACATCACGGTGGAGAAGTCAGTCGCCAAGTGGGTGTCGATAGCTAAGACTGGTGATTGGTAAATAAAAAGACGAATAGATTAGTCGTACATAGATGTAGTAAATGCAAAGACATCTACCCAATAAGTGTGTTCAGCTGCTTCCGAGTGCAAATATCGAGCCAGTAAACATCCAACTCCCCTTCATCAAGAGCACTCCATATGCTCGTCACAAGCTCAAGTATATTGCTGACCTTTCTCAAAGGTAGCACATCAGCGTATGCTGACAATCGACTCTTGACAAATTTTCTTGCTTGGGCGAGTTCAATAATGCTCTGCCCTTCATGCCGTGACTCTTCGTCTGCTGTGGCAAGTAATGTGACATCCTGTGGCATACGACGAAGTTCGCTCGAGATAGCAACGAGAATTAACGGTTGGATACAGCGACTTCTTGATTCAAAGGGTATGTCACGAAGAAGCTCAAGGGTATACAGTGCCAGGTTGGTCAACCAGTAATCCTTCTCTGCTTTGCTTGGAGCCTTGGAAGGCGGTCGGGCTGAATAAATGTGATTTGCGTCCCAGGGATTGTACCTCTCAGCCAAAAGATCAGAAAACACGCGGTAGATCTGGAGTAGGCCGACACATCGATAGGCTTCGTCTATCTTCGCTAAGTGACCTAGCGTTGTTCTTGGATCTCCTGTATCTTGGATCTTGGACGTGTCGGCAGGTGTATAAGCAAGGAGTCGCTTCTCCAGACAACGAGCCTCTCGTATTTTCTTCTTGAAGAAGTTCATGTCGTCCTCTGTAATGAATCTGATAGACGAAGCTCGAGAACGGTATTGAGAGACGAGATTTCCGACGTCAGTTAAAGTTTTGACTGTTTCTCCCGCCATTCCGACAAACGGGTGCAACACAGATTGGTTGCTTGGCTCTGAGGGCCCAACCAACGGATTAGGATAAGGTATGCCTGACACGTCCGTGAAGAAAGACAGAAGCGTCCCCCAGTAGTCGACTGCAGTCTGAAAGAACTTGACCATGGGCTTAGACTGTGTCCCAGCTGCTGAGCTCCATTCTAGCACTCGTCTTTGGGTCAAATGATATCTCTCTTTTGCCAGATTACCAGGATCATGCCAACTTGCAGTGTGACATAGGAGAACCGTTGCAAGTAGCCTCGCCTCGACATACTCCGCGCTACTTGGTTCGTCCTCATCTAAGCATTGCAGGGCTATCAAGCGCTCTTGGATCGCAGTTGTAGATAGTTCAGGAAAGACGCTTGTGAGACAAGCGGCTGACATACTTTGCATCGTGTGATATAGGACTTTTGATGATTGCCAGGCGCTTTCTGCCACAACACGCATGAGGTTTGTTTGGCTGTCCCATGCACAATAAAGTGGTATGACTTCCCGAATGAAGAAGTCAGAAAGAGCAGTCGGAAGATTACCCAGTTGCCGTGGCGGTGTTAACGATAAGTAATTACCTGGGACTTCGGTGCTGTAAGGCTCCGCAGAGAAAGATACCGTATTCAGATCAGTACAAGGTTGTTGAATTTCATCGCGCAACCAGCTCATATCAAGGGGACGATCGCGGCCTGACATTTCCGTTCGCTGGCCATTCCACTCGCCAGTTTTGTCAATTGGCGACTCATCTGTGAAAGCCGGATCATCTGGTATAGTCACAACTTGTGAAGAATCCAAATTTGGAAAAGGCCACTGTGAAATTGCAGCATCATCCTCTAAGCCGAGGAAGCCGGAGTCACTCAAAGCTGCTGGGAATGGCATGGGGCTGGGATCCCCAAAGTGAGGGAATAATAGGAGTGGATCCAAGGTTGATGTCGTGATATCGATGGAATCTCCCTCATTCATATGAAGAGTTGAACTAGAACATGACTCGCCACTTCCGGGAGCTGTAGGTCTTCGTTTGGAGCTGACAGACTTCTAATGAAGTTGGTTCTTAGCAGACCACCGCAGGTTGAAGACATATCCCGGACACGAGGAGCCCGCATCCTCACATCGCTTGCATCCTGGCCTCCTTTGATCGCATTTTACCTGGTATCGAAGGTCAGACTAAGGAACGGTGCATGAGATGGACTATACGTGCTCTCTTCTCTTTACATCGAGAACAGCCATGGCGAGATTTGGTGTAAGTCGGTCGGTACGGAGACTTCATTTCGAGTGGCACAGCAAACCATGCAGCATCTAATCACTCCAATCTTGGGCGTGATTTCGTAGTTGATCGCATTTACAGAGATACTGAGTGGCCGTTATCGCGACAGAGAGGAGGACGGGGTGGGGTAAGATGCCTGAGGTATCCGGCTAACTTGGAGCCACGCTCCTTGTTACTATCACTAGTAAGTTAGCCTAGCATGGCACTGAACTTCAGCTGCGTAGCTTCTTTTTTTCTTTTCTTCATCTTTTTCTTTCGGAGTTTAATATGCTTCTGTCTATCTTGCATTGCAGAGAGTAAAACATATATGATAATGCATTATAAGTAGGAAGCAACATGTCTCTGCATCTGCCGTTATAAAAGTTACCTGATGAGGCGGATAAGGGGAGCTATGTCGCAGAGGTTCTTTATCTCCTAAGAGCCCAACTGGCTGCAATTAGGTCACGGCGAGGGGTCATAACCAATTAAAATGCACAGAATAAGAGGTACTTCTATAGCTACCTAAATTATGCAGTGGTATAAGTACCAGCAGGTCTTATTATTATAAATTAGTATATTATATATCTTACACCTATACCTCGTCTGCTAACTGCAATGCCTTCCTCTTGCGTTGCTGCTAATTTTAGCAAAAGTATGCCTTTATAAGCCTTTTAACCTTATCTACCCTTACTAAAAGCCCTAATAAGCTAGGCATCTTAAATAATAACTATAATAGATATAGTTAATATCCCTATGTTACGACCCATGCGGCTACGTCACGTGGCCCCTACAATTTCCACCTATTACAGGAGGATTACTTCTCCCAGTAATAATCCTCTTTTATTAAAGCACTTAGATCACGACGCTTTAAGGCTAGATCACCATAGATCACTAACGATCCCCTGAGATCTAACCTTTAGATTACTATTATTCCTTACTAAGCTATTAGGCTACCTTTAGTATATAGAATATATTTATTAGCACTTTTATAAAACTTAGCTTACTAGCTATTAATAAAGCATCTTTATATTAATAAGCCTAATATATATTACTTAACTATTAAGAGATATAATACTTTATAATGCTTAGTATTATGCCTTATATAACCTATAAATATAAACCTAGTATAGACTAGTTTACTTATTTAGAAAACCTAACTATTATATATTAATAGCTCTTATTTAGACTATACTATATAATGCTAAGTAATACTAATGTAATAGTACTTACTACTTTAATCTAGCCTTCTAACTTAGGATATGCCTAGCACTACCTGCAGTAAGAGATGCCCCCTAATCTAGAAGATATTCTTATAGAAACTAATAATAAAAATAAAGAAGATATTACCCCTACTTATCTAAGTACCTATAAAGGAGAAGTTGCGAAACTTAAATATAGACTTAAATATCTTAGCTAGTAATATAATAACCTCCTAGAGAACGCAAAGAATAGCTCTAATATGGCCAAAAATAAAATCAAAAACCTAGAAAAAAAGGTAGCTAACCTTATTAAGATTGCAGAGGTACTTAAAAAAGAAGTAGAAAACAGTTAGAAACTTTATAAGGAGTATATTAAATATACTACAGCCCTTATAATAACTAGAAAAGACCTTAGAGAAATCCTTTAACCCTGCCAGCCTAAACCATTTAATAATAATGCCAATAAACTTTAAGGATTCCTTACTAGCCTTTAGAGCTACTAGATGTATTACCCTATTTAGTTTATTACTAATAAACTAAGAGTTTAATATAGTATAGGATTCCTTAAAGATAAGGCATTATGCCTAATAGAACCTATTATTTAAGACTATATTAGCAAACTGTATAAAGAATAATAAGAAATAATAAAATATATTTATAAGAAATATAAAAACTTTAAATTAGAGCTTAGAAACGCCTTTAAAGTAATAGATGAAAAACATACTGCAGAAATAAAAGTATAATAGCTTAAGTAGAGAGGATCTGCTGCAGACTATCTAGCTAAATACCACTACTAAGCAGCCAAGCTGAACTAGGGCAAAGAAGCTTATATAGCATAGGTATATTTAGGATTAAAGTTAGAAGTTAAGGATATAATAGTAAATATTAGACTTAAACTAAAGAACCTAAATAAACTAGTAAATATTACTATAAAAATTAATAATTAGTAATATAAGTAATGCTAAGAGAAATAAGCAAAAAGATATAAAGGGTTATATAATCCTTAGTAAAACACTAATAGATAATAGAATGCTAACTAAGGAAGAAAGAGATATATTAATATATAATATAAAACTAAACCAGGACCTATAATACTTAAAGCAACCTAATGTAATAATAATAAGAGACCCTATAATATATTTAAAGTTAAATACTATAACTGCAATTAGTTTAGATATATGGCTAATAAATATCCTTAACTAAGGAGGCCTAGAGACCCTAATTAAGGTAAGTAAATACTAATAGTAACTAATAAATAAGAACCTTAAATAGCAATATAAACCTAAGCACTAGGAATAATATAAAGCCTATATAATATAACGGCTCTATATAAAGATACTATGCTAAAATACGGCTAGTACTTATACCTAGATAGCTCGATCTGTAAACTATAAGAAAAGTTTCTAATAGAAGAAGATACTAAAGTAGGAAATATACCTTAAATCCTAATGCTATATAAGATAAAGGCAATTAAATACTAAAGGGAATGGCAGAAGAACCTAGAAAACTAGTAATAGGAAAAGGAAAAGGATTATGCTTACTACCTTAAGAGGAAAGAAGAGAAGAAATATAAGAAAATAGAATAAACCGAGATCCTTAAGATAATAAGGGAAGAGAGACCCTTAAAGCAGGAAATTAAGGGATACCTAAAAAATCTATAAGGGATAGGAACTACCTCTAATATAGGAAAATAACCTAAAGTATCTAAGATAATTAATGCTATCCTAATTTAAATAACTATTTAAGAAAAAGAAGAAATAGTAAGAAAGGAATATAAAGTAAGAGATAAGGTCTATATATATTACTAATAATACTCCTAAAGTATAAGATATAGAGGAGGAGTAGTATAAAATACCGCATAATACCTTTATAAGGAAGATAAATAAATTAAGAATAAGTAAAAGTAACCTTATAAACCACTATTTAATAAATATAATAACAGGATATATACCTTAATAGAAGATAGATGTCTATAAGGAGCTAGGGAATATGGCGATATTAATAAGCTTAAGAACTTATATATTTAAGCTTATTATATAGCAGATACTATAAACCCTTACTATAAGGAACTGAAATTTAATACTAAAGATACTATAAAAACATTTCTAACCTACCTAGAATATAGTAAACTATTATAGTTATTATATAAATATTATTAATATAAGATATATAAATAAGAAAAGGAAGATAATAATTACTTTCTTATTATAATTCTTAATATACTTAATAATAACCCTTACTAAAAAACAGAAACAGAAGGGTACTTAATATATTACTAATATAAGAATCTTAAAATAGCAGAACTATAATTTTATATATTATACTACTGCAAGACTTAAAAATATAAGAACCTTTATTAAGGAATTAAATAAATAACATAAGGAATTATAGAAGTAAAAGCAGAATTTAAAGACCTGGCCTTAAAAGGACTTAAAAACATAGAAATAAGGATTAAACTCATTGACCTTAGAAAATATTATTAAGAAGAAAAAGATAAATTTATACAAAACGTATATAAATAACTAAAAAGGTACCTTTAAGATAAGGAAGGAAACGATATCGCTATTTAAGATAAAGAAAATAAATAATTTAAATAAGGAATAGCATTAAATAATTAAAATACAGAATTAGAAGAACATCTTTAATAAAAAACGCATAATAAAGAATTTATAAATAGCTATCTTAATAAGGAAGAATTAGTATACTATAAATGCTATTAGAGGCACTTCTAAAGAAGCTAAGTTAAAGAATCCTTAGATAATAAGGATAATAAAGAATATATTAAAGATTGCTATAAGGGAGTTAACTATAACAATAAAGAATGCAAGTTACTCTACTAAACAAGTTCAAGAAAAGTAGTATGCCTTTTATAATAACAGAACTACAGAAGAGTAATAAATAAAGATAAGAAAGACTTAAACTAATAAGTGCTTTAGGAGCTATATAAGATAGCAAACCCGATTGCCTAGTGCTATAAGCTTAAATTAAGGGAAGATGGCTAAATGTATGGATTAATAGTAGAGTAAAGAAGAACTTTATTAATTTAAGAATAATTATAGAGTTAGGAATACTATAAAGGAAGAAATAACTACTATACCAACTTATTAATATAGAAAGGCAACTCTTTAATTATAATAACAGTATAATAGATTAAGAGGTTGATTACCTTAAGGTCCTTATTAAAGGAAAGAATTAAGGAATAAGTTTTAATATTATCCTTTTAGGAGAGGAGATAGATATTATCCTTAAAATAAATTAGCTTAAATAATAAAACCTGCATATTGACTAAAGGACTGGCTAAGTTATATTTCCTAGTAACCCTAATAGTAATAGTAAAACGATTATAAAGAGCAATAAGAGATCTTAATCTGCAACTAAGAGGATTAGCATGGACCGGCATAGAGTAAAGACTCTACTACCTCTAAAAGGAGTATAACATAAGCATAAGATAGGCTAAAGATAGAAATCAGAAATCCTAGGTATCCTTAGATAATAAGATCTATAAAAAGATAAAACTATAATAATAAGCCAAGATTAACTTAAGAACATTCTAAAGGAATATTAAATATATAATAAATTATTTAAAGAAGAACTAGAAATAGGAGTCCTTAAATATAGCAAATAGGATTATAAAATTAACCTTATAGATAAAAAACTACTATTTTAAAAGCTATACTTACTAAATTAGAGAGAACTATAAGTTTAGTAAGAATATATTAATAAGATATTAAGAAAGGGTTATATTAGAGAATTAAGTTTATTAGCAGCATTAGTAATATTCTTTATACTAAAGAAGAACAGAAAGGATTAACTAGTTATAGACTATTAACTAGTTAATATATATACTACTAAGGACTAAACCCTACTTCTGCTTATAATAAAACTTAAGGATTAGCTATAAGGCAAAAAGATCTTTATAGCTCTAGACCTTAAGGGAGTATATAACCTTATCTATATTAAGGAAGGAGATAAATAGAAAACAGTATTTAAAACCAGATTTAGACTATTTAAATACCTAGTAATGCCTTTTAGTCTTACTAATATACCTGCAATATTTTAGCAGATAATTAATAGTATACTCCAATAGTACCTAGATATCTTTATAGTATATTACCTTAATAATATCTTAATCTTCTTAGAAAGCAAAGAAGAATATAAGGAATATATTTATAAAGTCTTAAAAATATTATAAGATATTAAGTTATTAGTTAAACTAGAAAAGAGTTACTTTTATATTATAAAGGTAGACTTTTTAAGATATACTATTATATCTAGAAAAATCCAAATAAAGAAAAAGAAAGTATTTATAGTTATAGAATAGAAAGAACTAAATAATATTAAGGAAATGTAAGCCTTCCTAGGCTTTACTAATTACTATAAATAATTTATTAAGGATTTTAGCAAGATTGTAAATCCCTTAATAAAACTTATTAAAAAGGATAAGACCTTTATATAGAATAATAAGGCTTAATAAGCCTTTAATAACCTTAAATAAGCAATTCTTAGCAAACCTATACTAGTAATGTTTAATCTAGATAAGGAAATTAAGCTAGAAATGGATTTATTGGATTTTGCCTTAAGAGGATAAATCAGTTAATAAGATAATATAGGAAAATTACACCCTATCGCCTTCTACTTATATAAGCTGTATAGAGCAGAGCTTAATTATCTAATCTATAATAAGGAATTCTTAATAATTATTAACTACTTTAAGGAGTTTAGATATTACCTAATAGGAAATAAGTACTAGGTTAAGGTTTATACTAACTACTAGAACATTTTATACTTCGCTATAACCTATAAACTTAACTAATAATAATTACATTATATAGAATACTTATATAAATTTAATTTTATAATTATTTACTATAAAGGATTTAAGAATAAAAGAGCAGATATAATTAGTTAATAACTAGATTATAATACTAGTATTACTAAAGCTAAAGAATAAGTATTAGAAAAGAATAAAAAGGGAGAATATTAGTTTACCTAGAAAATGCAGACCTTAGGATAGATATAAGCAGAAGTAACTAAGGAAATCCCAGGAAAACTATAGGAGTTTATTTAAGAATTTTATATATATCTATTATATAGATACTAAGGAGTTACTAAAACCCTAAAATAACTATTATAATAAGGCTATTAAATAATATAAAAAGTAATAGAAAAGGTTATTAAATAATGCAATATTTATGCTAGAATAAAAGCATAATAATATAAACCTTATAAAATACTATAACTAATAGAAGTTGCAGAATAATTATAAAGCTTAATTATAATAGACTTTATAATTAAATTATTATTATTAAAAGATCCTTTAACCGGAATCTTCTATAATAGTATTATAGTTATTATAGATAGACTAATAAAGTTCTTAATTTACTTACCTTATAGAGAGGCAATAAATACAAGAGTTATAGCCTATATCTTTTATAATAAGGTAGTAAGGGAATAAGGACTGCTAAGAGAAATCCTATTAAATAGAGGACTAATATTTGCCTTTAAATTCTAGTAATTGCTTATAGCACTTATAGGAGTTAATTACTAACTTATAATAGCTTTTAGACTGCAGGCAGATAGCTAAATAAAATAAATAAATTAAGTACTAGAATAATACCTTTAGTATTATATTAACTATAAATAAAATAACTAGGTTAAGAAGCTACTAAGCGCTTAGCTAGCTTATAATACTGCCTATAATAAAAGTATAAAACTTATACTATTTAATGCAAATATCGGATTTATACTTAATATATACTATAATGCTTAAGAACCTAAGAATATAAACCTAGCAGTAATTATTATAAGTAATAAGCTAAGAGAAATATATAATAAACTTAAGACTAAATTAAAATTTATTAGGAAAAGGATATAGAGATACTATAACCCTAAAAGGTTAAAGGGACTAACCTTTAAGGAGGGAGATATAGTCTACTTATCTACTAAAAACATTAAAACAGATTAACTAAGTTATAAACTAGACTATAAGTACTTAAGGCTAGTTAGGATTAAATAAAAGATAAGAGAAGATTAATATAAACTAGATCTACCTTTAAATATTAAATACTACCTAATTTACTATATCTCGATACTTAAATTAGCTATAGATATAATATGCATAAAAACCAGTAATAAACCACAATAAGTCACAGGACTAGAGGTATATAAAGTAGAGGAAATTAGAGATATATAAAGAATTAATAGATAAAAGATATATCTAATTAAATAAAAGGACTACTTAGAAAGTAAAAATATATAAGAACTAATAAAATACCTTACTAATACCTAGTAACTCCTAAAGAACTTTTACTAATAACCTTAAAGAGCAAAGGATTAAAAATCAGGTTCTAGTTAATAATATCGGCACTGCTAAAGGACTAAATATCTAAAACCGCCACATCCTCCTCTTAAGTAATAATATTACCTATAGAAGAATTTATATTATTAATAATAGACTAGATACCTTGCTTATATAATAAACGCTTCTAATAACAAATACAAGATAATCTCATAATGGCCTCATTAACCTCTTATTAAGCCCTAAGAAGCTTTTCCTTAACTTCCTCTTCTGCCTATTCTAGGCAATTAGATTTACTCCTTAAACAGAGAAAGCGCTGTTGGTGCCTCCATTTTGGGCGGAAAGTGTCGCTGTTTTTGGAGGCTTCAGCAGTGCGGGGGCAGGGAACGATAAGAGGGGGAGGGCATGTACTATATACCTGCGTGACCCCTGGCGCGCAGATCCTCAGCACGTGCCGGGGCACTACAGAGAAAGACATACGTCCCCCTTTCGGTCACCCTCCATCAGCGACCCAGCGGTGTCTATTTTCAACATCCCTTTGTGTTCTCTATGTCTCCTGCTGCCCACATGCTGACCACGTCGAGGCCATTACTTGCCGCTGGGGTGTCGACCCTGGTGGGCATAAATGGCGGTAGCGACCACCTTTGTCTCCCTCTCCTTCCTCTCCTCACGCTCATTCCCTTTCTCGCGCTGTTCTTGATCACCAGTTGCTCACGTTCGTTGACTGCCAAACAACCCGATGACTACCAGCGCGACTACAGCCGGAAATGGTCTGCACCAAAACCATGCATCTTTTCTCGAACGCTTCAATGCCCGACAAGCACAAAATCGAGCCGCAAAGCAGAAACCCACGCTCTCGGTGGAAGAGCACGCTGCGCACAGGGCACAGCTAGGCAAAGTCCGATTCATCAAGCCCAGATACTCTGAGCAAACCGAGATCAACGTTAGCGGCATCTTCAATAAATGGAGACGGTACGTGAGAAAGCACCTGCCGCTTGCAACCTTCGCCGTGTACTGACCTCATCCCGTACAGGTACTGCGCTGACATGAAAGTTGGCGAGTGGAAGGCGACGCTCGAGAACCTTGACCGCGGAACGACGCAGGACTTCCTCCTCTACATCTGCGAGCGCTGCAAAATCACATCATGGGGCAGCGGACACGAGTACATTCGCCAGTTCCAACAGCTTTATACGACGATAAATGGCCAGTATATGGATCGGAACGACACCAAGGAAGTGTACAAGGTATGTGAGGAACCGGGTTGGAGCCGTAACAGTGCACCAGAGCATTGCTTAGGCATATTCTCGAGCTCTAGTAACACGCAGCCAGTATTATCGCAGTGTACTCGTGCCCCGCTTCGGACACCGAGCGCCGAACATCGATGGTAAGCCGGTACTCAATGTCGACAACCTACGAGTCATCCTGACGTTCAATATCGGATACGATACATCTGTCTTCCCTGGCGAACGTCACCGCATCAACCTCGCTGGCTGCTATCAGCTCCTGTGCTATACGGGTGCGCGGCCGGCCGAGCTGGTAGATGGTGAGCGACAGAAGCCAAAGGACGGCTCCATCCAAGAACTCTTTGGCCAGAGTGCAGTTCAGTCGTCCTCTTCGGAGAGCAGTGAAGATCAGGATGGCCCTACGGATGAACAATCCAAAGTGCTCCACAGTCTTCTCTGCCAAGAAACCGTGGGACGTGGGCGTCCCAAGGCCCTGTGCTACGAGGATATCCAGATGATGATCGTTCGACACCCGGCCACTGGACGATGCATGCCAGCCATGGCCATCAAGTTCGTTCATCATAAAGGCGCTGACAACAAGCCCAAGCCGTAAGTTTCTCGTGCTTGTTGTCCCAAACAGCGAGCATTCGGGCGTTCTGTATATTAACAATCGCTGCAGTACCATCTTCTACTTCACACCCACAAGAAAGCTGCTCTTCTGCGCTGTTTCCACGATTCTTTCTCTCGCTCTCCACGACAATGCATTCGATGCTCCGAGCTTGACAGATGCAGCCGTTATATTCAGATCACGGCCACCGCGCTTCAAGCACTGCATCCCGCTCCGATGGAAGAAGTCTATGTTAAAGACCCCAGTCTTTCGCCGATATCGTGGCACGGAACTCTCAGCTGATGAGGCGATGCTGTACTCCAAGCTCAGAGATGACATAGGTCAGCAGAGCCTCGACTCGGGACATGAAAGGAAATGGACACCTCGCTTCGCTAGGAGAGGCGCTGGAAACGCAGCTAATGGTGCGTATTTGTACAGCACACGTCCCCTAAATGCCGACTTTGTCGCCATGCCATCACTGTTCCCTTTATTGACTGTATTCTTCACAGGAGACGCACCCGACTCCGTCCGCGACCAGATGATGCGCCAAGATCCCCGATTTATGACTTTTCAAAGTGCGTACCTCAACGAGATTGCGAATTTCGACCTCCAAAACGCGTTCCTAGAAGAAGAGAAGGAGAGCCAGCTGTTCCGGCTGTTCGCACACGTCAGCCTTATGCGCGATCCTCGAGCTACGGCAGACATGGTGCCCGACGAGGTCTGGGCTAACCTGGCACCAGACCCGGAAATTGTCGAGCTCGAGGAACAGCGTGCACGATTGAAGCAGGGCAATTATCGCATCGAAGGTCATGGGAATGAGGAAGAAATCCGACGGCTCACCAACAAAATCCGCACGAAGAGAGCGTACCGCGAAAGGCAGGTCGTTAAAGAATACCGCGAGGATTATTTCTACCACCGTCCCACTTGGGACATTGAGCAGCAGGCACGGGGCGAGGAAGAGGAGGAGTACACAGAACCTGTCATCGATGTGCATATACCAGAACGCGACCGGCTAGCAAATATTCTTTGTCATCAGCCGGATGGCCTGACAGAGGATCAGGTTCTCGAGCGAAGGATCGAAGCAATCCAACTCATGGTGGCTCTGTGCGACAAACGCGAGACGGCCAAGCGTCATCGCGTCCAGCAAAATGTCAGGGCTCAACCGCACATCAAAATCGAACCTACCGAAGCGAGCAGTGAGCCTTCACCTAGTGTCAACCAGTTTCCTCTCCTCATGCAACCCGGACAATGCCCGGACTGCATCGGTGACGAGCGGCTCTCTCTCGGAGAACGTACCTTTGCGTACTGCCGTCCGACCGTCAGGAACGACCACTTCGATGACCAGCACTTGATCGAGCGCGAGAGGGCACTGCAACGTGGCGAGAAGATGGTGTGTACACACCCTACTTGTCGCACCCAAAACCAAGGTCAAAATCTCGAATTTCATACCATGGACCATTTTCGGGCCCATGTGCAGACGATTCATCGTGTGACGCTACGATCATCGTGCCAAGTGGAGCAAAGGCGGTTGCGCAAGCTCAGGCGTCGGAAGATGGTTAAAGAATAACCAGCATGACAAGTTGGGAGCAATAGATACAGTCAATCACAGTGAAAGATAGAAAGTTAGGGTAGCTCAATTCAATCTGGTTGAACCCTGCTTGTTCACATAACACGGTGCCTCTGGCAGCGAAATTTCTTCCGCGGAGTTTCATCGATATTCTCGTACAAGCTTTTTGTGCGACATTTCCTTCAGGAGGGTTTTACTAAAGTTTAGAACGGGCCCTAATGGCGACAATTCGCCAGAGGTTTGCTCAAACTTCTCGGGAAATCCCGACCATCGACATTCTCGGGCGGACGTTGTTGGCGAAATTTCCGAGTAAGAACGGATGGAGGCACAAGGTCTGCCTCGGTTTCAACAACCCTAGAGCACTAGATGCATCTTCTCTGCTACCCTATATCTCATGCGCCATATACTTTATCTGTATCTTTTGACTCCCGTCCTTTGGAAACGAAAAAAAGAATATGTCCAACCTTTTTACCACATCGCTATTGGTCTTCTGCGACTGCCTTTCTTTACGAAGCCAGTTCAAATCACCACTGGGACCTTCGATAGCATTTTTCTTGTTAACGACAATGCTATACTGTACTCGGCATTTATGAGGTCGGTCCTATTTGGTAAATGCGGAATACCTACAAAGGTTGGCGGTGCATGAACGACGCAGCATTAGTAAATAATTCGTGCTCACGCCACTGTTCTTCAATCTCATTGCGTGGCTTAGTCGCGGCCAGAAATGAGGCTTGGCGATAAATAACGTCCTGACATAAATGAAATGCATGATAATATCTGCGCGATAACTCATGTATTTCCTCGTCCACGCCCATCTCGCCCATAAATATCATTGAGTTTCTGCGCGACGGCGGTACGGGTTTGAGGGTGCAAATCTTACTGGACAAATGTCTCCCACATTTGGCCCCAAACTGTCTACAGTGAATTGCAAGCGAAGATCTTTACAAGCATCTGAATATCGTCGGAATCTCGCGTACAAGTTAGATGACGCAAGCGTTTCGCAATATCAGCTGACACGGCAACTGCGCCATTTAATTACCTTTCACACCAAGGAACCTTGGGTCTGCGGTTGGTTCTAAAACCATTTTTAAACCAACCCAAAAGTCCCATCACCATTGTCACCGATATTGGCGAGGCGCTTAGCGTTTACCGTTCTGTCGGGATTGGTGTGGTAGCCGTAGCCCAATAGCACTTGCCGTTAACATGGCCCCTGGCTATTTTCCTGTACTCTGTCAGGGAACAAGTGCGTGCATCTAACTCAAAATGTCTCCTCATTTTGTGACCCTTGGTGCCTACGTTACGTGCAACCGACCTTTTCTTACCAATCACTCAGCACCTACAACCCGTCACCATCCAATCACCTTGATTCAAGAGCTGATCGTCGTAAATTCCCCTCATATTTAGAATTTAATCTTGACTAATGTAGCGAACCTTGCATTATCGTCCCTTGTCTCGCCTGGAATTATATGGGGGCCTAGCGACCATAACATGCATGACCCGGTCGTTGGGGTACTGGATGAATTCCGATTGATGGGGCTGGCGGCGACCCCTACCGAGCGTTTCCACTGCGGATGTTGGTTGCCTACCACAAGCCTTGTTCTGGCAAGACCTTGGTTTCAGCGTTTTTCACAGCTTTGCAATGATGCCCCCACCCTATTGCGTTCTCAACCTGGCGTATCGTTATCGAATCGCAATTAGAGTGATTGAAGCGTGGGAAGCATCTGAGCTTAGCATTCTATCTGACCGATAATAACTTAAAAAGACAAGATAGTAAAGGAGCTTGATTTGGATAGCTAGTCATGTTAATGAGCAGCATTAATGGAAGCTCGCGCGTGGACAGGTAGCCGAACGGCCAATGCTAAGCTGTAGCTCAAAAGTATTTCCGGACTTGAGACGCAAAGTAGGCTTCACCGCACACGTCTCTGAAATGTTGCTCGTCCAACCTCTGAATATGGACTCCAAGCTCCGTCAGGTCTTCCTCGCATCTTGCGACACTAGCGTAGCAATTCCATTTCCGAAGCCTTGCCATCCTTTCGGCTGTCCTTTCGATCGTGTTGTTTTTCTTTGTGATTTGATTGCATAGGTTGCAAGTCGTTTGTTGATTTCGGCGCTCGAACACAAGTCTCATTCCCACAGGTTTCACCGGTGCGATACTCTTTGTGGCACCGCTCTCGAAACTTGCCCCATCTCCAATAGCCGCATTTCCAGACGACCAGGTCGTAAAAACACATCGCGATGCAGGAAACTAGCGACAAGAGGGCAGGAAGATTTTTCTGTGGCAGTTGATTGATCAGTTGTTTCTGAAATGCTGGTTGTGCGATGATTCCTCCCTACTCCCATTTTTGAATGGTTAAATACTAATCATCGGCTCTATATCTCGTAAGCCCACGAATCATGAATAATGACCTTACTGAGTGACGCGGTTAACCAACACACATGCAGCCGGCATTTTTGCTCGTCACGGTTAGGTCACGCAGAAAGCAAATTTGATCATTCGCCTGCTGCGTTAGAAGTTTGTTGAACCAACATCCTCCTGAGATAGTGAACCTGCAGGTGAGTGTGTTCGTAGTCAAACAGAGGAGATCATCGTGCTCTATCTAATTTACCAGGTCCCACATCAGTCCCAAGGCAACAAAGGTACCGTAAGAACCAACACCTACAAGGGCATCCATCAAATCAGGTGCTTACAGAGTGGAGCACGCTAAAGTTCATTACGGGGAGGACATCCGATCACGCTCGAGGAACAGGGTAGTTCCGCGCTCCGAAATCAAATGCGTAGTGGAATTCATCCTCGGCAGAAATTCAGGCACGTGACCGCATAGACCAAATTGAATGGTAACATTCATCAAGATCAATCGCTTGTGCATCCTGACGATGTGAGTCGTAGGCCGGCCCTTCTGATCGCGACAAGCACACACGGCAACCAGGGTTTGTTGTCAAAACCCTTCATACTTGTCTCAAACGCTTCCCAGATCAGCTAATCATAGCCAATCATTGGCATGGCTGGCATGAAACAGGCTGATATGTATAAAGTCCTATACGAGTACTGGCCGATATGGGGTCTGGCCGGCATATTAATGATGGCCGACCGGCCAGAGATGCTGCCGGCACAGATAGCTGCCGGCACAATAGGCATCAGCGGCCAGCACGGGGTAGCGTGCCGGCAGGGGATATATAAATGGACTGGCCTGGGGAGGTCGACCGATACGGACTTGTGCCGGCATGTAAACATGCCAACCTTGCGCTATCGCTGTGACGGCCGGGCTCTGCCATCATAGCAATAGCATAAGGTTGGCATGTTTACATGCCGGCACAAGTCCGTATCGGTCGACCTCCCCAGGCCAGTCCATTTATATATCCCCTGCCGGCACGCTACCCCGTGCTGGCCGCTGATGCCTATTGTGCCGGCAGCTATCTGTGCCGGCAGCATCTCTGGCCGGTCAGCCATCATTAATATGCCGGCACGCTACCCCGTCTCGGCCGCTGATGCCTATTGTGCCGGCAGCCATCTATGTCAGCCAAAATTCTGGCCGATCCACCTCATGCCAGCCCTGATGCTAAATGGATTAACTGCTACATACATGTAGATATTAATCACGCTATTTGCTTGAGTGTGTTCTAGCTGTCTGTTTTCCCAAGTAGGACATATGTGACTGGACAGGGTGAAGCTCTCGTTCCAAAAATAGACTAGTACAATTGTAGTTACTTCTGGGTACTTGAACTCGGAGATATTCAATTCGCCTCTTTATCCTCTTCTCCTTCTCTTCAGAGCCGGCTCTAGAGTAACCTCTGAGTCCTCGGTCTCGCTTGCGCTCTCGCAACTGTCACTACTGATCTCTACTATATTCTTGCTATCACACTGCAAGGATCCTCCTACATCCGTTCCGTATTGTTTTGCTACGCCCTGCTGTAAAGCTTCGTCTTGTCGCCTTAAGGCTTCCCATACTGACTGCCGAGCCGTCTCTTCATTTTTGATCTTGCTTAAGCTGCGGTCCTGATTGGCCTGGGGGCTCTCACCGTCCATAACCGCTGGTGAGTGCGATTGGTCAACGCCAGTTGCGTCTGATGTGACTTTATTTCCTTTTTCGAGCCTGAAAAATGCATGAAAGACGGATCTACGCACAAAAAGCGAAGTAACATCCACGTCTCTTGCTACTGGAAGCGAAAAATATGTCATCGTGAAGAAATTTCGATCGTGCTCATAGGCTCCAGAGTATTGACGCCCACATCGGCGAGCAATTAGCTCCCCAGTGCCTCTAGTGGTGAATCTAGGTTCAACAAAATCTGGTCGTCTTCTTCGAGCTGCTCGGAAAAGTTGCACAGCAGAAGACACAAGATTATCCAGGTCCGACCTGTCATATTCGTACTCCGATTCGGGCCGGGCCAAAAGAAGCGTCCTAAGCGCCAATTCACGGTCCGGATCTTCCGATGCTAAACGAGTGATTTCGACAGAGCTGAATCCAAGACGTTGAGCTTCGATTGCCAATTGAAACCAGGATTTAGGATTGGGCCCTCCTCGTCCCGGCATCTGTACCTTTGCTCTATCTCCTCGGAGAGGAGCTTCATCGGTCAGTTGTACTATGTTTTGCATTATGAAGAGATACACCCGTTTCAACTTGTCGAGGAACTCAGCATCTGCTCCCCTTTGGCGTCCAGGTAGGAAGGCATCAAGTGCAACTGCCTGGGCTGTCGAAGAAGATCGTCCTTGGCCCAAGATGAGCCGCTTCAGAACATCCGCGCAAGGTCGGAGATATTTGACATCTTTCTGCAGAGTATGTATAGAAGGAATCAGAAATTTGATCCTCCTAAGTCGGTCCAGCAGTGCTACCCTCTCTGACGTATTGGTGAGACTTCTAAACACTACCCCACTCGTTATAACTCGAGTAACGTGCTCCAAGTCCTGTTCCGATAACCCCGGAACTCTTAGTTGCAATTCCCTTACAGAGGCGGTATCTATGTGTCGCAATGCTGACTTCGACCCCATGATTTCAGTCCAAGTATTGAGGATGAATCTAAAGTACCGGATAATCTCCTGGGGGAAAAAAAGTCAGTTGGATTGTTACATTGAGAAGAGTCTGAAGGTACCTCATCGCATTTGGCTGCAATTATTTTGTGCCACACGCCAATTAATAGATCTTCACGCATAGCAGGTATACTACGAATCAACTCCACGAAAGGGGTAGCCAGGGAGTGATGTTCAAGTAAACCTCTCAGGATGCTCGCCTTGCTCTTAGAAAGTTTCGCCCACCATTCGTCCTCCGCGATTGTGTTGAAGCGACTCTGCACAATCTCCGCACATATACGTCCATCAGAGTACCCTCCAATATTAACGGAAGTATTTCTAGCTCTGCCAGGAGCTTCCTGGTGAATATCTTTTTCGGGGTGTTAATATTTACCTACCCTTTAGGAAGAAAACGGATTTGCTCTTACCTGCATACAGTTCAACGGTCCACCAATAGAAAGAGCGATCGGTGTCCAGGAGTGCCTTCACGCGGCTTCTGCCCTGATCACATCGCACATAGGTATCTGGTGGAAGGTGAAGCATTGGAGGATCTCCCTCTCTCTGCAGACTTGCCAGCGTCAAGCGGGAACGCACCAGGGCCTTCTGTAAAGCATCCCGAGTGATGCTGCCCCTGATAAAATTCTGTGGATCATATCGGTTACATCCTTCTAGTTCAAAAATGTGTTTGAGACGATTAACTTTGGTTGTATCGATGTTGTAGTTGCAGGAAGAATAATCAGGTGCGAAAACAAGAGCATTGATTGCCATTCTGACAATGCCTTGGTAAGTCATGTCGTATTTGCCAAGAAGATGAAAGATGTTTGCGTTGGGTTTTTGGAAAGAAGAAGAAGAAGAAGAATAAATCTCCCTAAGTCTCTTACAAATTGAAAGAGTTACCCAGAGCGGTTTTTGACGGCTGATGTATCTCTTTATGATACTTAAACTCAGGGATTCCACCGAAATGTTGTAGTACAGCTGTTCCTCGCTCATTACGTCATTATGTGACACTACTGGGACCAGAACCCGCACCCTGGCTGATGTGCCGCCCACTGTAATGCCAGGATCCAGTTTCGGCCCCGATAGGCTTCGGGAAGCTGTCGCCCCCGAGACGGTCTTATGAAGAAGTCACTTAACGTTCCTTGAATGCTTGTCAGTACCCTGGGGTTAAGAGCAGTTCTCTGACCTTACTACATTACATATTGCTTACGAGTGATGGGAAAGAGGCATCGAAGAGGTCGGAAGCATTGTCAGGACCGGAAGCGCTAGAGACGCGGCCCCAGCCCACCCAGACTCGCAATCAAACCTTGATAGCCAGGACAGGGGTTCTGAAGTCAGTTTCTCAGTGCTCTCTGAATTAGAAATGTGCACAGCTTCCCTCGCGCCGCGAAGGGTTCAAATCAAAAGGCTTATGAGCGTGTTTCCGATTATGGGCTACATTCTTACTGAATTTGGCAAAGCTCAAGAATTGGCTTGGTTATATAGCCCATGCCAAGAGGGAATGGCCAACGCATGTAAGAACCGCCGCTCTTGATAATCCGGATTTAGTAGTCATTTTCGGTAGACTCGTGCAGTGCCGCATACTTAGGGTGAATCATTGGGCGCTCTACCAAGCTCCAATATCGCATATGGTAAGGCTGGGTTTTACACTAGTTGCTTGGACATTGGGCTCCTTGAAAGGGCTCACAGTTACAATGTCTCTTTCATCAAGGGCCAGAACATCAATTTTGCTGGGATTGAAGCACAACTTTCTTGAATCTTGTCAGATTAGGTAAATAAATGATACGCTGGTCCGTAGTCAAACGCTTCACAACTGTTCTTCCGCTGGGAAATGTCTCTCTTCAAACATGACGTTCTTCGGAGCGATACATATCGCATCGTGTCGGGGCAGTTCGTGCTCAGCGATTGTTCGGGGCTCATGCTGATGGTAGAACTCCACATCCCGCTTGAAATGGCCCTTCAGATGTTGGATGAATTCTGAAATCGATTCTCGATGGCATTTATGTTCTTTCCAACTACCCCCATTCAAATCATCTTCAATAAATTCTAAAACCGTCATTTCTGAAGTTTGGGCCAGCGGACGGATGAGGCCCAATGTGGGAGTTGAGATTACAGCACCCCAGTCTTCTGCCATGGAAATTTCCGAGGTTGTATTCTCATAAGGAATCAACTGTTGCTGAATGGTTGGTTGTTGCTGCACCGCTAGTTGCCTCGCCACGGGCTGCGTCGCCGGCAATATCATCGGTTGCTTCGCCGTTTGCAGCCGCTCTAATAAGTTTTTGGATTAGCCTACGATTCTTCCGCT